TCTGGTAACAACAATTCCGACTCTTACGGTTCTGGTAACAACAACAACTCTGATTCTTACGGTTCTGGTAACAATGACGATTCTTACGGGTCTGGAAACAACAACAACAACAACAACAGCGACGACAGTGGAAACTGGTAAGTTAGCTGAAATGCTAGCGGGTTAGCTTCCCTGGCATGTGGTTTATATGAAACCTTTTACATCCAATTGTATTTTGTGACTAGAGTTACATTCAATTTGAAAAGTCAATATAAGGGTCACACTTCAGACTAGCTATAAGTCCACTTTGTATAGAGTCAACTGGGGGTTTTGTGACATTAGGGTAGAATGCCTGTATTAGTGACTAATCTAGAGCGTCGGATCTCTAGAGGCAATTACGGGCCTCAGTTTATCCATCATCACTGCTGATCCATACGTTGGCTTCAGTTCAACTTCTAACTGGAATTGCCAGTTCGATATACTAACTGGAAATTTACGAATTGGTTAGGTCTACGCTCCACAGGGGTGGGAAAACTCTGATACTATATTACCTAGTTATCATCTACTCGTGGAACCCTTAGCCAGAGCAAAGGGTTTATTAGCTATAATGGCCAAGTATCCGTTGTCTAACTCAATTCTAACGTAAACTTTATCACCCGTGGACTGCCAACTGGTGTCAACTATATCGGAACTTGGAACCAATCGGAAATATCTGGTCCTCCGCCTAAATGTATAGACCCAAATGTGAAATCCCACATCTTTTTTCACGCCAAGTGCCCGACGTAGTTCCCGGTTCGGTAATCTAAATGAACAAACGCCCTCTCCACCATGGGCAAGGTCTCAATAGCATACTGTAATGCTTCACCGATATCATGGGCGTCCTTCAAGTTGGAGTTTGGGTCCAAGACCAAGTCCACCTCCACGTTCAAACCATCGCCCACGTGGTAGATGTTGATCGCAGTGATCTGCTTAATCGAGGTGGCAAAGCGTAAACAGAGATACAAAATGACCTGCTGGTCAGCCTTGTCAGCTGCGGCACCAGTCAAGTTGTCGATGTGCCCGAAGGCGGTCTGGGCCCACGAGACAATCACGTACATGCACAAGACGAGGGCGCCAGCCGCATCCATCCACCAGATACCAAAAAAGTGACCTATGGTGGGCATTAAAATCGACACAGTGTTGAAAACAATGTCCGTCATGGCGTCTTGAGCCAACGCTTGCACGGAGGAGGACTTCACGGAGCGACACCAAACCCAGCAGCCGAGCTTGACAACGATAGTGAGCCCCATGATGACGGACGAGAAGAGGCCAACCTCCACTGCCACGTGGTCTTTGTCATGGAGAAGCCTGCCAAGTGCCAGGTTGCCGACCTGGAGGAAGGAAATGATAATAATGATCGAAAAGACCAAGACCCCGAGAGGCTCCAAGCGTGATCTTCCAACGGGGTACAAGTGCTTGGTCTTCCAGTCACGCTTGGTGGACAACTTATTGGAGACAAAGATGATGAGGGTGGACAAAAAGTCGAGTAAAGAGTCAACTAACGAGGCAATGATGGAGATGGAGGAGGTCATGACCGCTACAGCAACCTTTCCAAGAAGCAATGCAAAGTTCACCACAAAGTTGACCATGATGGCATACGCCACAACTGAATCGTCATTCTCTTTGTTGTATCCAAGCAATGTCCCTCCCTCAATGTCGATGTTCCCGGGAGCTCCGGCCCGACTGAGTATTGTGTCATACTGGTACAGGCCGGACGTCTGTCTATCACCGACATCGTCCACCACGCTTGATGACGCCTCACGCACCATTGTAGGCGTATCAATATCACTACCGTAGTTATGTAACATCGTCAACGTGATCCCCGAGTCCAATAGCGCGTCAATCTCCTCGTACCGCTCGATTAGCTCGTTCTGGTCGTCGTAGAACTCGCGCACAAGCTTGTTCTTGCATGCCTTCAACTCGCGCTGGGATACCGCAAAGTCGTTCCAGCTCACCCGTTTGTACTCGCCAACCAAATCGCGCGGCCTCATATCCTGGAGGTTCTCAATTCGTTCATAGTTGCTCCCCAAAAATGCAAACCCGGCGGGGGCATCTCCACCGAGAGACGAACGTGTGCGGCCCCCACCAGCCACACTGCCGATTCGGTGCAATTCAGGGCGCTCAACTGAGGCCGATCTAGTCACCGAGGCCGATCTGACACGCGAGGAGGCTCGCAAGATGGTGGTACGCGCCGTTACTGGGCGGTATCTCGACTCGGGATTTGCTGAGAGTGGGTCTTCCGCAGAAGGCACGGTATTTGGACGTGAGCGGCCGCTTCGTTCGGTAGTGTCGGGAATTGAGCGGTTAGACATATCGATGGGGAAGGCGTAGTGGGAAGAAGAGCAAATATGAACAGATAAATTTACCCCTGCCTATTGCGCAGCTGCTTTTTCTACATTCAGCCGTGCCGATGGGCAGGGAGTGTGCTGAGACCGAGTTGAGTTACATCCTGCATGGATAGTTAGATACTACTGAAGGGTGAGGGTAGCTTAAATTAGATAACGGTGATGTTGGGGCTTTATACTTTCACGTCGTCAAAATTCTTGCGATACCTGTCCAATAAGGAGGTACAAGCTATCACCACCACGTAACATCCAGTATGAGATGATCAGAAGGGAAATTTTGACTTATAATGAAAAGAACTGGAGCATCATATATTGTCTCACCCGATCTATCATCGGTGTCATACTCTGAAAAGGAGTGGGAAGATATGCCGCTCAATACAGTGCTACCTGTATGGATTTACAACATATCCATATTTAAAATTTATCATTAGTATCATTACTTATAACAACTTATTGCAATCGAATTATCTCAGTAGCATGCCATTCAGCAGCCAGCCTGGCACGGCTTCGGCACCCTAAGGTAGCTTTATCTGTAATGTAAGTCTATTCCATAGTAGAGGTTTACACGTGACCAAGATGATGCTCCAGCCTTAAACTGGCATTTTACCCAGTTCTGCGAATGTCTCGAATAAAAACCTCTTACCAAGCTCTCCAACCTGGCACCAATAAGCTGTTATTTAAGTATATTTCCCGTCTCAAAATAATATCCGAGTATAGTTGAAGGCCAGATCACTATTTTTTCTTTTGGGTTTTGTTGGAGCCTGTCAATTGGCTACAATCTACATTACACGCCAATGCATTCTACTGGACCAGAAACACAACTGAATGTTTCATAACAATACTCTTTTGAAGTTTAAAAATGGTATATTTTCCTTGGTATTTTACAATGGGTTTCTTTTCTTCATTCTCTTCCCCTTGTGCCACATTTCTTCTATGGTCCCCATTCCATGTATTGCTCTTCGTGAAGCTCCCTCGCGTGCAGGATAGCCTCACTTGTATTTAACCACAAGGTTTTATGGCCGGCTCTACTTCTCCATCCCTAAACGTCTGCTAACTCAATGTCTAAATCTGTTGTTGTCTTTGGCGGTGCTGGCTTCTTAGGGAAGCGAATCTGTCAGGCTTTCTTTAACTCTGGTTACAATGTCACCTCTATTTCGTGAGTATTATCGCCTGACTCCCCAACGCCATACTAACCTTGGATAGCCGTTCTGGGACCCCACCCGCTATAGAATCGCATCATGACGCATTTTGGATCAAAAATACTAACTGGGCCAAGGGTGATGTCTTCAATCCACCCACCTATGCCCATCACTTGAAGAATACCAATGCCGTCGTCCACAGCATTGGCGTCCTTTTCGAAAACTCGTCATACAAGAAGCTTTTGCACGCCAAGAGAGATGCATCAGCGTCTGTCTTAGGCACCTTATGTGAGAACAGAAAGGCCGTTTCTGCCATGTTCGGTGGTGCCAATCCAATGGAGAAGAGCGCGACGAATTCGTACGAGGCGATGAACTACCAGTCTGCTATCACCCTTGCTGAAACTTTGGCAGAATCAAAAACTGAGAGTATAGCAGGAGAAACCGCCGCGAAGCCAGTGTTCATTTATGTGTCAGCGGACCAGCAGGTCCCGATGGTTCCAGTGGGCTATATCCAAACGAAGAGAAAGGCCGAGGCAGAGCTTTTCTCCAGATTCGGCGACAGCTTAAGATCGATCGTCTTACGTCCGGGCATAATGTGCGATGAGCAGACTGCTTTCGACTTCAGACATGCTGTGAAAGGCGCCGTAGACCTTGCGGGAAGTATAGGCTCTGTAACCGGGACGTCGGCCTTTGTGAACAGTATCGCTAGACCGGTTGTGAGCACACAGAAGGTCGCCGAAGTTGCGGTAAAAAAGACAGAAGATGCCAGCTTTTATGGGATTGTTGGACTTAATGAGTTGGTTAAGGAGTGAGGTGAAAGCTGAATGAGACGGCAATGTATATACGCAATATTAGTCTTTATGAACAAGTTATTTAATTATTACACAAACAGAATAGCCGTCGCTTACGTTTTTAGCCAAACTCGCAACTACCAATAGTTACTCAAACGAGGCTAAATGGTTGGAAAGTAAGATACACGTAAAGAAGGACGAATTTCACGCCTTAGACTGAAGGGGTACATAAAAGAAGACGTAAATTCAACCTTATATCATGTAAATGTCAGTGCAAGGCCAGTGAAGGGGAGAATTCTTAGCACTTGGATGGTATTTGAGAACGCCCCAAGTCGCTGATCTGATGAAATGTCATAAGTGCGTTTAGTTAATTAGGTGCTCAGTTAGAAGCGATTTTCCTTGCTATACATACGCCAATCAGTGAGGAATAGACAAGTTATGGCTCTTCCCACACCAAAAACCATGCCGGAAAAAATGAAGCTTTTTTCCTGAGAGCTTCATTTTTGGAAGCTATGCAAGGGATAATCAAATGGCACCTCTACAAGACGTAGTGGGTGCTGGGCCATGCCATCCTTCGAGGGTGACTTTACTGCGCTGAAACTCTACCTCTTAACGTACAATTTCCATTTACCAAATCTTTCGGATGCGGTAGAACTAACACCATACCAAAGCACTACAGATACATCGGTTAGCATTTTGTGAGCACCTAATTAGACAACTGTATTGGTTACTACAACATATGATACAAAAGAGCAGAGCTCGGGAGGTTCGGATTACAGTAGACGTTACCTGATCCTTACTTTCTCGCCTTGAAGGTTTTCAACGGGTCTGACTTTCTGGTCGACTTCTTACCCTTTCTCTTGGCAACCTTCTTTTGGAATGGCACGAAGCCGATCTTATGAGCGGTGTCCTTCCTGGCACCTGCTGGCAAGAGGTAGTCAGGTACTCGCTTCAAATGGGTCTGGACTCTGCTCGGATGCAACTCCTTGTCATGTCTCAAGGAAATCAAATCCTGGGGATTTTCTTCAAAATGGCGCTTCAACTTCTCGGAGTTGAGCAACTCATTCTTCAACTCCTTGATCCGTGCCTCTCTGATGGCGGTTGCGGTGACCGCACGGAAACCATCCTCGGCTCTGTATCTAAAGCCCTCCACCTGCTTCATATCAAACGAATACGGCTTGATCTCGAAGCCCAACTTCAACTGCGACTTTACCACACGTTTCAAAACCTTTTCGTCACGCTTGGTTGATGCGAGTGCGGACGCCTTGTGCTTATTGAACTCTTTACCGGGAATGACAAACGAGAGCGCCATGCCGGACTTTCCCGCACGCGCGGTCCTCCCGACACGGTGGATATACGACCTGGAGGTGGTTGGAAGATCGAAGTTGAGCACGCAGGCGACGTTTCTGAAATCGACACCGCGGGAAACACCGTACTCGCGGTCCTTCTTAGCACCTTTCTTTGGTTCCTCTGGTTTGGCCTCCTCCATCTCCTCATCGTCCTCATCACGCTCAACGGTGAAATCGTTGGTCTCATCTGTGGCAATCAAGAGGTTATACACGTTCTTATTAAACTCTTCGACAATGTGCAATCTGGAGTTGATCGGTAACTCGGAGTTGAGCACACAGCAGCGGATCCCGAACTGTTCCATAAAGAGCTTGAGCCTGTAGCCCCTGTCAATGTTGTTGACAAAGACCAATGTTTTACCCTTGATCAAGCTCAACTTGAATATGACGTAGGTCAACAAGAACTTGTCAAACTCGGAGGTCCTGACGTAGTATTGGACAAGTTTTTTGTCTCTGGCGGTGTCGTCGTTGAGTTTCAAAATGGCGGGTTTAGTGCAAAACTTTGCCTTGAGCTCATTCAAGTCGTCGTTGACGGTCGCACTCATGAGAAAAATCTGGAGGTTGTTCTTTTTGACCAGGAGGAAGTTTTCTAACTTGTCAAGGTCATCCATGTAACCGTAGGAGAGGATCAAATCGACCTCATCGATGGTCATGCTCCTTACATGCTTGAGGTTAACGACACTCTGATTCGCTTCGAGGATCGCGATGAGCTTTGCTGGGGTCGACACCACGATCTCGGGCTTGTTCGCGAGAATCAGGCCCAACACCTGCGGCGAGTAGGTGGCGGACAAGTTCGCCACACTGATAGCCTTGTTACAGTACACCAACAACTTCTCCAAGAACTGGGTGACCTGGCTGGACAACTCGCGGGTCGGCACCAAGATGATCGAACGGATCTCGTGCTCGGGCTCGCTCTGGTTGGCCAAATCCTCCAAGATGCTCTGAATGATCGGAATGCAGTATGCAGCAGTCTTACCCGAGCCGGTGGACGCTTTCGCGATGATGTCACGCTTCTCTTGGAGCGCCAACGGGATGGCCTTAGCCTGGATGAGCGTCGGGTTGCTGAACCCCTGCTGCTTGATCGCCTGGATGAGGCGTGGGTCAAGGTCAAACGACTCAAACGTGGTCAGTCCGTCCACATAGGACTCTGCCACAGCGGTAGTAGAAGTGTCATTCGCCATTGTGAGTATGAAACGATGTGATATGGATGAAGATGGGATTTGGAGTACGTATGAAAAATTATGCACGAAAAATTATAGAAAAAAATAAAGTTGCATGCGATGAGCTGGGGTTACCCGCAGACGCAGGATGTAAAGAGACGCCAGACAGGAGGTGAAGAGAAGCAGACACCAGAGATTTTATATTTCACCGATTTTTGCCATTAGCTTCACCTTCACTACTACCTGATATGAATTCGACTGGTGATGTTTACCAGGAAATAGCGACTGTGTTTGAAGCGCTCGAGGAGAATCCATATGACCGGGACAACCACGCCAAACTTGTTGCCCTCTTGCGCCACAGCAAGGCCACTATGCTCGAGGAGCTTACCAATGCGCGCAAAACCATGGCTGAGACGTTTGCGTTGACAAACTCGGAGTACTATGGGTGGATTGAGGACTCGGGACTTGTGGAAGACGAGTTTGCCCGGCTTTCAGAGCTCAGAGAGGTGTACACACGGATGGTGGCCGATAACCCGTCGTGCACGAACTGGTACCAGTACTTGCTGTTTGCAGTGGAAGCGTACGAGGCGCACCGGAATGCGAATGAAATCCACGAGGCGGTGTTTGCTGAGAGCGATATCATGGCGTTGTTAGAGCAGGGCGTCCGGGAAACAGCGTACGCATACCAGAGCTCCATTGTGTGGGAGTTGTGTTACAGCTTCTATAGCACAAAATTCCAAGGGCCCGGTGGTTTTGAAACGTTGAAAAAGTTCCTTCTTGCGAGACTCGCCGTGCCCCATGCCTCCATCGACTCCACCTTTTCCATGCTCTCGCAGTTGGTGTCCCGGTATAACAACGCCAAGTACGAGGGGGAGATGCGGGCCGCAAGCAAGATTGTGAGTGAGTGCAAGAAGCGCACGAGCTACTTTGAAACCAGAGAGCTTGAGCTCAGGACCCAGGATACCGTTTCCCCCGATACATGGATTCGGTACTTGGCCATGGAGAGCAAGCGACCAGCCAAGTTCCGCAACCCACAGTTTATCGCCTCCATTTTTGCGCGTGCCATCGACGACAAGGTGAACGATTCCAGCTACATTCCCGTCTGGAGGGCGTATCTTGCCATATTGTACGAGCACCAGGCCAGCGATGTGGACACCGTTTTAGCCAAGTTCATCCGCTACCATCCTGACAGCGCTGTAGCCTTTGCGGAGTCTATTTCACACCTTGACTACATGGACTTCGCCAGCATTAACGGTTTTAAAGCCATGCGCGGCCGGATAGGAACGGTGGATTTGCTCCACAGAGCAGCTCCCGAGGACTGGAAAGTGCTTGCCATGGTGTTGGTGACGTACGAGTTCAAGGCGGTGAAGAACGGAAATTTGGACATGATCACAGAGTTGTACACCGATATCGAGAACTACGCCACCTATGCCATTGACAACACCGAAGACGCACTCCATTCGGTGGAAAAGCTCTGCGTCGCGGTGTACGTGGAGCTCGAAGACTTACCTCTGGGGCGGAGGATCATTGAGCAGCTTCTCTCGAAACACAAGACCCAGGTGGAGAACTGGTTGTTTGCATTGGATTATGAGAGACAGTATGGGTCGCCAACAGAGATCTCTGCTTTGTTTGAGCGGGCATGTCTGTTGCTTACGATTGTCGATTGGCCAGAGCGTATCATTGACGAATGGTTGCGGTACGAACAACTACACGGAACACCGTTTTCCTACCAGACTGCCTGCATCAAGAGTCAGAGGAAGATGCACACCGTTAATGTGACGAGATACGAGCTTCAGTTGGCACAGGAACAGCGGCAACAGGAACAGATGGAACAGCAGCTCAGCGCTGTGTCAGTGTCTAGCACCAAGAGGAGGAGAAGCGAAGACGAAGGGCCAGCACTGCATAGTCAAGAAAGCAAGAAGGACAAGCAGCACCATAACAGCGATGAACCTCCAAAGCGTGACAGAGAACATTTGTGCGTATTGGTAGCAAACCTTCCTGCCAATATCTCCAAGCCGGTAGTGTCGGCATTTTTCAGAGACTGCGGAGAGATCAAGGACTTGACTCTTGTTCAAGGAGAAGGCTCCTTATTTGCAAAGGTGGAATTTACTGACGAGAGGTCGGTGCTTGCTGCGCTCACCAAGAACTTGAAACGCATGGAGGGCGCTGAGCTCGACGTCAAAAGGTGTCTCTACAACACGATCTGGGTCACCAACTTTCCCCCAGAATTCAGCCAGGAGAGGCTAGAGGAATTGTTTGGCGTGTTTGGCACAATTATGTCCATTCGCTTACCGTCGTTGAAGTTTAATTCCAATCGCCGGTTCTGCTATGTGGAATACCTCCTTCCGTCTAGTGCCACGAATGCCACAAGCCAGCTACACGGACGGACCATTGATGACCACAAGTTGGTGGTGAAGATATCCAATCCAAAGGAGAAGCAAACGGTTGATAAAGAGAGGAGGTCAGTGATCGTGAAGAATCTTGACTTTAGGGTCTCGGAGGAAACCTTGCGGGCACATTTTGCAGAGTACGGTGAAATTGAAAAAATCACCTTGCCAAATAGCTCTCAACACCCACAGAGCGACCGAAAGAACGATGGGTACGGGTTTATCAAGTTTGCCGACGAGATCTCGGCCCTTAATGCGATGGCTCATGATCAGTTTGGACTTGCCGGCCGTCCAATCTCTGTCTCTATGGCAGACGCCAGCTTCAAGACCAAGCAAAAGGCTCCTCCTGCCTCGACTCATAGCGACAACAGGTCGGCAACGATTAGCATTTTAAACATCCCTGACACAATCAGAGAGGCTCAAATCAGACAGTTTTTCTCCACCATTGGTCCTGTGGCGGGGGTGACACTCAAACCGGAGTTTGGTGGGGCTCTTGTTGAATACGAAACGGTGCTGGGGGCTGGAAAGGCATCCATGCAGTTAAACGGGCAGATCTTCGAAGGGATCGCGTTGAAGCTCGGAACTCCGAAGGAATTGACGCAGAACGTGGCTTTGCCGACGTCGGCAAAGCCAAAGTTTTTGGTACCGCTGAATCTTCGCAGACGTAAGGCGCTCCCTCAGTCCGGGGAGAAGTCGGCTTCGGGGGACCCGCCAAAGTCCAATGAGGACTTTAAGAAGATGTTTCTTGGGAAATAATCCTGTGGAACGTAGCATTACCATATGGTTAATCTTTAAATAAACAATTATTTAAGTACATATACACATCACTGAGCAATAGACTCTTTGAGATCACGAATCTCACCAACAATATCAGCAATAAACCTTTCTAGCGCCTTGCCACCGTTGTCAAAGATTCTCTGTTCTTCAAGGGTACACGGAGCAACCCTCGAGGATAAGAACTTTGGATGCGACAACAAGTACTTTAATCTATCGCTCAAAGAGGCTCTGTCGTCTTCGGTTTCCAAACCTGGGAACAACACAACATCGCTTGCACCGTAGCCGAGGTTCTTGGCGTACCCCACCAGAATGTACTCCTGGACATTCAAGGCTTCAAGCACTTGGTAGAGCAACACAAGCTGGGTGGTTTCTTGGATATACGGAGCGGAAATGACCACAGAGTTCTGCTTCCATCCACTCAATGCGCCGTGAATCTGCTTCTCGAAATGGGTCAAGAACATGCATACTTCAGGGAGCAACCTGACACCAAACTTGCTGAGCAAGGTCAAGACGATGGAAAGCAATTCGTTACTCCAGATATGGTGGTATCTTGGGGACTGAGACGGACGAACGCCACCCTTCTGTAACACAAGCGATATGGGGCTCTCAGTTAAGACAGAGAACAAACCATTGGAGATGAGTTGTTCCGCAACAACGTCCACGGATACCAATTGGTAGATAACCATCAACATCATTTCGGCAAAGACGGGCTCGCCGTTAATGTTAATTAAGTGCGAGGAGGAGTAAAGGTTCAAGATAGATCTCAAGGTGCCGCTATCTAATAGCAAAGAGGTCATGGTGGTTTTAAACTCATCGGTTAAATGGAGATTGACGAAAGCCTTCAACACAGACAAAATCATAAGCACATCTTCCATCTTAGAGGTAATGGCCGCAGATTTCGAGAACTCCTTCTCGTACGAGGAAAACACTTCGTTTTGGATGGATGATAACAAGCACGAGAACCCCTTTGCGATAACCAAGCCGAAGATGTTGGAGAAGGTTTCGGAATGCTCAGCAATCAACTTGGCGTCGGCCTTGATCATTCCAAGGGTGGACAACAAAATACGCAAGATTGGGCGATATGAGGTATTTTCCTTGTTGTCGAGCTTCTCGATGAAGCCAAAGTCATGGCTTACCAATAGCTCAGAAGCAGCTCTGATGATCGAGAATACCTGATTGTCACTAACACTGGTACTGGTCTTCGATATGCTGTAGACAATATAGAAGGCCAACTCGATCCGCTCTTGATAGATTTCATTGAAGATGCTTGCGGGGGTTCCTTCAACCGAATTGATTCGGAGCAACTCAACGGCAATGCTCGCAAAGCTGCTTTCGACCCCGGCGCCAGTCTTTTGGCAGTATGCTGTGATCAACGCCCCAAGAGACTTTGAGTTGTTGATTTGGGCGACAATGTACTGCAAGTTCACACTCGCCAAGATGACTTCGTTCTGGAAGTCCGCCCACCTCGCGTCGCCGCCGAGGAACTCATTCAACAAGTCAAGGTCGTAAATCGCATCGGCACCAAATCTCTTGCGTTGAACCAAGAAAGAGCGGGTAAAGTCTTTCAAGCTCAAACTGCTCCACCTCTTTTCAAACTTGTACTGTAAGTTGGCATGCAACGCCGAGTTGTAACCCCGGATCTTGAAGAAGTGTTTCATTTTCTTGATGAACGCGTCTGACTTGATGAGGTCAAGAATCAACTGGGAACACTCTGTGTCTGGGGTGGAGTACAAGTATAAAGCCAAGATTTCAGAGATCTTAGAGAACATTTTAAACTTGTAGCAGGACTCAACATACTCATCAAACGTCTTTGGCTCCTTAGCCGGCTCATCTTGCAATCGTCTGATTAACTCAGATATGAATTCTTGATCGTTGTCGCTTTCCCTGGCGGTAGTCCAGGAGTTGAACGCTAAGGCCAAAGCATCAACAAGGTGGAGAGAAATCGAATCAGAGTGACGGTGGATATTGACCACATTCTTCTTTAAAATGCCGAGAAGTGAGACGGAACCAGGACTAGAACCTTTTGTATCTTCTCCGCGGATGAACAAGATGGACAAGCCTTCTTGGTTACCTTCCATAACGGCAGCAAAAAAGTCGTAGAGAGAGATACCCATCGAGCTGTCGTCAAAACCAGAGTTCAAATCACTGGAAAGCGAGTGCAACAAGATGCTGGCATGGTTACTACCAAGATGGGACAACATGGATGGTGGCTCGTTGGGCCACTTGGCACTCACGATGGCAGTCATCAACCTGACGACAGAGAGACGCCAATGCGAGTAGCGGGAGTAAACATCAACCAAGTTCGACAATTTCACAAACAAGGACTTTTCAAAACTAGAGGGGTGGAGGTTTAACATGGATCGGATAGAAACAAGCAACGAAGAAAAGGCCAACGACTGGTGGATCCATTGGTCATGCCAGAAGCCAGCATTATCAGTGGTGTGGAAGGCGGTGGAGGAAGCGCTGATGGCCTCGATGGTTGAGATAATTGGAGCGTTGGATCTGACGTCACGAAGATCAGCAATCAAGAAGGCCCTCACAAGCAAGCTGGCAGATTCAGCAAACACCTTGGTTGGCTTGCTTGATGCATCCTTGGACTCGTCGATGCTGTAGACGGAGATCAAAATCTTGGAGAAGATCCCGACCAAAAGGGTACCGAGCTGCAACTTTTCATGTCTCTTTGATACACTCCAGTGGATGAAGCTTTCAAACACTCTAATTCCGTGGGCGACAAATCGCACCAAGATCTCCGACTTGTGCTTGGACGGAAAGGTTTCCTCCAAGCTGAGACAGTCAGAGATGAGGAAATTGACAAATTTGAATACAGAGACGGTGAACTCAAAGTTACTGTTGGCCATTTCGATGGAGCCCAAAATGATTTCAAGGAAGCTCTCGGTACCGACCTGGCCCAACAACGGAGATTTCGACAAGTAGGACCAGATTCTGGACGAACGGTACGGCACCAATACGCTCAACAAGTTCATACCAGCCTCCAAAATGACCACCTGTCTCCCGTGCAACGCCTGCTCGAACAATCTCAACACGACTTCGACAATATCAGAGTCATCGGTATACAACGACATGAACGACAATATCTCCTCCACTTGTTCGGCCGGCAAATCTCGAGCAACGTTGTGCAACAAGTGGAACATGTCCACCACGAGATCAAGCTTGTCTTTGTCAAGCTGTTTGGAAATGTTTTGTAAAATTCTGCCTAACAACGACCAGCCGTTGTACTTGTACAAGAAGGCAACCAACACCTCATCTTCGTCCTCAGTCGGGAGGATCTTTCCCTTGGTGCCCGCTTCTAACAACAAGGTTAAGTTGGAGCGTTCGTACATCGGCGGAATGTCAATGTTGGAGGTCAACTTGATCAAGTCTTCGTCCGTGTCGTCAAACTCATACACAGTTTCGAGGTACTCCTTGGTGAAGAGCGCGGTATAGGAGCGAACCTGCTTGAACTCTTCGTAGGCGAAAAAGGAGTTCACGTTGGCCAATCTCACAAACGGGGCGATCGAGCTTGGGAATTTGGCTCTGGCCAAAATGAACCATCTTTGGACCCCTTCGTGGTTGAAAAAGCGCTCGAGAATGACATCCGAGGCATCCTTCATCACTGTCTCCACGGTCGATGCAAGCTCGGGGGTGAGCGGGGCGAAAGGGGAAGAGTGGATGAGCATGGAGCCCAAGACGGAGGAGTAGTATGGGTCAAACTGGAGGTTATCATGGCACTTCTTCAACGCTGCAAACACGTTCAAGTCGTAGCTTCGCACAGTAAAGGCTTTGATTGTGCGGTCCAACTCGCTAAGATCGTTGTCGAATATGGCCATAAACGTATCGTCAAACGCATCGTCCATGGTGATGGCCTTGCGGAATAAAACAATCGTCCAGGCAAACATGACAATGGGGTTGGAGGCAGTGTTGGACAAGGCTCTGTTGATACTCGCAAAGCTTTCAGGGTCGTTCATATAATTAACCACATCGGTGGTGTTGTAGAAGTCAAAGTCCAAGTCAAGGAAGAGAATGGAGGCGACAGAGCATAAGCTCTCGATGGTTTCCAACTGCCCAACCTCTATGGCTTTGGCAAGATCTGCCGCAAAGTTGGTCTTTTCCATAAGCTTGAACCACCGGCACGCGTCTGCCTTCTGCACACAAGGGTTCCCGGCCACCAAGTCCACGAGCAACATCAACACACTCTGTGTGGTCATAAGAAGCTCGCTCTTGTACAACTCGTTGAACTCGGCCGAATAATCCGTGGCCCATGCCTTGCTAGAGAGCAGTTGTGCGTGCTTCTCAAGCTGATCGATGGTGCGGGAGATGAGGTCCTTCGTCACGTAGATCTGCTTCCCCACGGTCCGGATCACCTCTGAGCATCTGGGGTTGTTTTTGTTCTTGAGCACGGCTGTGGTCAACGAAATGATGGCTCTTCTCTCACGAAGAACTCGGGACGCGTAGAACGTGATGAGCTCCTTCTGCCGGGCCTTTTCCCTCTCCTTCGGCACCGAGAGGTTGGTCTTGACCTTTTCATCGTTTTTTTTCGCGGGGATCCGTATGTTTGTCTGCAGAATGATTCTGATAATCTCGGTCTCACTCAAGTGCAACAAGGTTGCTATCTTCGCAGCGTCTTCTCTGGTAGCGTTGGTGATTTTGGGGTATGTGACGCCCCTGAGGGTGAACTGCTTAGCATCCACAGTGACAGCTCCATCGAAGGCGAGCGGAGACGGGCTCAACAATACCGGTTTGTTCTGTTGCACAAAGTTGTCCAATGCCTCTAGAATGACAGGGTCCTGGCATTCTTCGATGAGCAAGACGGCATTTTCGAATGTCCAAAGTTGCGATGGGTCTTGGGATTTTTGTTCCACAACCGCACCACCCGTCAGAGATGCTAATGAAGGCATTGGTGGGAATGTTAGGTCGAGGTGGGTGTGGAGGTGGAGAGATAGTTTTGTCAGCCGCTAGTGCTCTTTAAGATATCTGCATGGTGAGGATCAGATTTTTTCGTGTTTACGCGATCTAGACTGCCCGATGCGGAAGTTTGTAAATGCCACGCATATGGTCAAGGACTACTAGGGGAGCTACAGAGAATAGTACAAGAAAAGGACAATTAGAAATATCCCGTAGATATTTATGGAGAGGGAAGTATAATATTGGTAATAACATCTCTTCGGGGAAAACTACTGCTAAACGGTAACAGAGCCTAGCTACGTATTCAATGTAATGCAAGTGCCCTCACATCCGCGTATGTATATATGGGTATCATAGGGACAGCTGAAGTAGGACAGCTGAAGTAGTACAGTTTAGTTATAAGCGGTTTATAGTCTTAAACACATAAATGGTACCAATACATATGGGATACACAAATAAATGGAGGCAAAAATTGCATAAAAGGTATATGGACGGATCGGAACAAAACTGTGCGTGGTATGTAGACAAAATGAAAACATACGATTGCTGACCAACGGTGGGAATGAAGTGAAAAATGTGTGCTAGTGATTGAAAGTACTAATAAATAGCACACATACTGTATAAATGGATATATCGGGATGGATGTGATGATCCCGTTTATACTACCATATTATAGGAATAGCCAATATAACTCGATAGTAGGAATGCCTATAATAACTTAATGTTTATTTAACTTAGTGATCATAGTATCATTAGGCAATATTTACAAGTCCCTCGGCAGCCTAAAGAGAACGGTAGTCCCAGTATAGAAACGGCTGAGATCAGCTTTCGGCAGGTATCCCATGTTTAGTTGTAAAAATACAGCGTATCCACCTCAGACGGGATGGCAGTGTCTGGTAGAGCTGCGTTGATCAACAACTCACCAGAACTGAGAGATTCGTAGCCCGGGGTACCCTCCAACGTAGAGTTCTGGATCGACGGAAGACCCTCGCCCTGTACCTTGCCCTCGACCAACTGCTTCCAGGATTCGTGGCACTGCTGGATGATTTCCACGGTCTCACCGACGGTCTTGTACTGCCCACTGAAGGCAAACTCGTTCTTTGGCTTCCCAGCTGGCAACTTGTAGTCGCGGAACCACTCTTTCGTAGCCTCCAAGATCCCCGGCATGTGCTGGGAGACGCTGTGGATGTCTGGCATATCGCGGGCTAACGGGTCAGTCTCGTCAATGACAATAATCTTCCAGTCCATCTCGCCATCGTCGATCATCGCCAACGCGCCCAAGATCTTGACGCGTCTCACCTCGCCCAATTTCGCAACCCGGGAGCCGATTTCGCAGATATCCAACGGATCGTTATCCCCGTAGTAACCGTGATGCTTGGCTGTCGGATCTTCCCACGTCTGCGGAATCGCGCCGTAGTTGTGGATGTAGCCGTGAAATGGAAAGATGTTGTTCACAAAGCGCACCTTGCCCTTTTTGGAGTCCTGCACAATCGGGTTGCCCCTCAAGTCCGGGCTGATTTCAAACTTTCCGTTCGTCCATCTGGGGATTTCGATCACCGCATTGACAGTGTTGCTGTTCAAGTCAAGCCCGAGCGGGATGTCGTGGAAGTAAGACACTATCTGGTTGTTCTGGGTGGCGTAGTTTTTGAACGACGTGGAGTACTTCGAGCCCTGTGCTACTCCACCGAAGGCACTCGTGGAGTAGCCAGCGGTCGGCTGCAAATGGCCGCGGGTCATGTTTAATCTCGAGGCCATGCTGATTCTGCCCCTCAATGTATGGGAGACGAAGAGTCTTGCAGAAAGCATGTGGGGTGGTGGGGTTTTATATGCGTGGGGTGAAAGTCGCGAATTAGCGGAGTTGCGGACGTAGACTACTGTTATCTCAGTGTCGGGAGGATCTCGGCAGGGAGCGGAAGAAAACTGTTTTATAGATGCCGAGCGGCTGAAACGAGAGACACGCCCCTGGCACGGAACACGGATTTCGCGCCCAGGTTTTTCCTTCTCACGCCACATTACCCCGCGGCCATCACTCTACAAATTTCACGTCGCAGATCGTAAGGCTTTTAGTTCGGGAAAGGTGGGGAAACTGGGGAAGCACCGGGGTAGAATTACATAGTGAGCCACTGCTTACTGACTACAGATCTTCGCAGAGTACCTGAGAACTTCTGATGTATGTTTTTAGCATGTGGAGTCAGCTAGTGCCGACGTGATCCGTGGGGCCGGGCGACGTACAGGATTTTCACCTAGCGTTGAAAGAGTGCGAGATTATCTGATCGTACGGCCCACTTCAATAAACGATGGTCAATTCAGACATATATCCACTACATCTCTGTGAAGACATACTACCTGCAAGCTCTTACAGGCGTACCAAGCCAACGCCTCTTCTCCGAGGGTACTAGCACATACTCGTCAGTTAATACACAAAGAATACTCTATTTATAGAACCAATTCTAAGTCTTCTTGTCGTCTGGATGCAAGAATGGGTTCTTCGACTCGCCCTTCTTCAGCTCTAATGGCACCTCGCAGTACTCTGTCTCGTCATCGCGGTTACCAACATTAGGTGGGGCGGTAGTCCAACAAGACTTACCCTTGTGGTCGAGCATTGCGCCTTCGTCAGATGCACTAATCACACCATCAAGCTTGTCAATCTCTTTTTCGGACAACCCCATGGGGTCGCGAGGCAACCACAAGACGGGCTGGGTGGCGCTGACGTCGGGGAAGTCGTAGGCGTGCTCGTTGGCGGCCATGTCAGCTTCGAGCGGGTAGTGGAAGATTTCGGGCAACATCTTCTTCACCTCCGCGTAGCTGAGGTACACACTGGGGAGAAAATAGCGGAAGAACCGCGAGTAATTTGGCGGGTCTTCATAGTAGTCAACGTCTTCGGCGAGCAATGGCTGCAGACCCCACTGGCTTTCCTGGTTACCATCACTGGCCATAGCGTCAGTCAACGGTTGCGTAGCATGGGCCTTGACATCCTTGGCGTTCTGGTAGTCAAAGTTTGCCTCACTGGCCTTCTGCCCGGGGTACGAAGGAGTCTCAGAGACGCCGTCAGACGGCTTCATACAGTCCACAGGGAGAACAGTCACCAAGTGACTGAAAGCGGCCAGGAGGTTGATGTGGACAAAGATAGTGATACCGAGAGCAATCAACTCCAATACGATGGGCCCCCAGCCCTTGCCCACCACAAATAGGCCGAGCAAACACACCTGGCCGAGGTAGAGCCCGGTAAAGGTCTGGAAGATGGCACGGGGGTAGTACATGCCTCTGCCGTCAGCAGACTCGACAAAGATGTAAGTGATGTTGTGGAGGTACACGATGTACAACAAGGCGAAACAGAGGCATGCAAAGAGGAGAATGAGGGGCGAGATGATTGCATACGAAAGTGTGATGACCGCTAGGTTCGTATGCACGGGGAAGGCGGTGCCCCACGAGAAGGATGACAAGGAGGTCCAGCGCGTCCACTTCTTGCGTGGCGTGGTGTCGAGCAAGCCCATGATGTAGAACATTACTAAGGTGGCGATCTGGAGGAGCGCACCACCTGCCACCGACAAACCCTGGAGGAGCAAGTAGGAGACGAAGAAGTTGGAAGACTTTGGTAAGCCGCTCGCGAGCAACGTCATGGCATCCTGTGGGTGTTCAATGATCAGGGTGACCACAGAGGTGGCCGAGGATGTCACCGTGGTGATTAAAAAGACGTGCACAACCTGGAAGGCAAAGTAGACATTCTGAGTGTAGTGTTCGACCTGCTGGGTAGAAGCAGCGCCTGAGAGCTTGGCAAAGCCGCGGATGAAGATCGGAAGGAAAGACATCAACACGGACAACACAATGGTGGGCAAAAGCGAGGTGATTACACCCAACAACACTTTGGGCAATTTCATGATGAACCCCAACCACGGTAACTTGTCAACTAAGTAGGTTATATTGGAAATCATACCGACAAAGGCCACCGGGATGGCCCACAACACGACGAGTCCGCAAGACGCGGCGGCCGCGGTGGCCTCACGCACAAGCCGCTCCCACCACATGAGTCGCATGTTGGACCAGATGATATCTTGTGGTTCAATACCGATCTGTTTCGGGTTCATGTGCAACAGGCTGTGGGAGAGCACGGTCTGGAAGGCGATCTGGGCCAAGTACTGTGACTCAAACTCGACAAAAATCGAGTTGAGCGGGCGCGCATTGCGGAAGTTTGCCTGCATCTCCTCGACCTCGCGGTTGAGCTCCGGGAGTTTTTCCGAGAGTTCGGTAATGGTGTCGACCTTTTTGCCGAAAAGGGGGAACTTTCTGTGTGACGGTCTTTTTTTCTGTGGCACATAACAGACGATTTCGTCGGCCGGCTCAATCACCTCACCCTTTTTTTCCGCCTTTATCTTGGCCTTGTACGCCATGGTGAGCAACTTTGTCTCTGCTGCCTCCAATTTCATGGCCATCTCCTGGCGCTGTTTAACCTTGGCGGACAAATCTGGCTGCGCGCGCGCGACCCAGATCTTTTTCACCCCGTCAAACAACTTAAAAAACTCTTCCTCGTCCAAAAACTGGTCAGTAACCGTTTGGAACAATACGGTACGCGAGGAGAGCTTTTTTGCGTAGCGTGGTGACGAGAGCGCGGCCTGGCGCAACGACGTAAAAAAGAACAACTCGCGGTAGAGAACGAACATCACACCGCCGTAGAAGAACCACGAGAGAATTGCGTGCGCGTAGTAGCGGCTGTGGTGTGTTACGTTCGAGAACGTCAAGAGGTCGAACCCCTTGTTTCCACGACCCCCCACCACGTTGACCGGCAAGAGAATTGGAAGAAGCACAATGCAGCCCCAGAAGCAGATCCAGCCAAGAACGTACAAGTAGCGGATGAAGAAGTAGCCGTCAATTCCAGCCTGCTGCAAGATGAAGGCGTGCGGCTTGCGAATCAACACTATGAACCAGCGATAGATCCCCGAAGGAAGTGGCTCCGGCTTTTTATCCTCCGCAATAAGGTCGTATGCGGACTTCGGTTGGTAGATGCGCTTGAAGCGCCCACGCAAGAGGAGGAATCCGAGTACGAAAACAGCACACACCACCCCGTTGATGGTGAACGATGTGATGATTGATTGGGTCGAGGTGTTTGCTGTGGATGTCATGAGTTATGCAAGAATGAGGTAAAACTTGATATGATGTACTGGAACCTGACGGCGTTGCGGCTTAAACGGATGAGCTCGTGTATTAAAAGTGAAAGCGCGGATTATATTTGAACTGGATCCGCGATATTTTGGACTTGTTCAGCGGCGCGATGTGATAGGAGGGACCAGAGTTATACACCTCCAAGAGTGACCGGTGTTTGAACGTCACAGAACTTACCCCCTAGGCCTGAGACCATTGGTAGATAATTAACGAGTAAATAGCGCACCGGGTGACGCTTGAACATTCCACCTTCCTTTTTTTCCTGTATGGGCCTGGATCGAGCATGAAAATTGGACTAGCTACTGTGCATAACCAGGGTAACTAGATCCTGCATTTGCCCCGCGAGGCGTTACCAGTGGTTTAGATTGCATTAGAGGATCCAGACATGGATAAAAGCGCTTGCGAAACTATGCTGTCAGGTTCTAAGCAGATAATAGTTGTCGGAATGGTATAGGCTGATTTGAGCTATTTGATTAAGGATCGACAAGTGGATTTGGTGAGAAGCAAGATATGTCAGGAGAATCACCTGACGTCATGTGGTTGCACGGTGAGGTAAGGATTATTTAAAATTCAGGCATGAACTCTTGGGCATGTAATGTCGTATAATATTAGTGAGAGAGGTAATCTTAAACTACAGTAAAACAAGTGCTCAGACCCATGTCGAGAGACCCCCGTGGTTTGACTCTTCAGTATTTGCATGTGACTACAATACACTGTGTAATGTGTGTGGAACAATAGAGACGTTCGAGGGTTTGGGGCTGAAACCCGTAAACTTGCATGGATAAGTATCTCGACCTTCACCCAATCGATAACAGAAATTTAAGCAGAGATTTAAACAAAAAATTAAACATCTTGTGGTATGATCGAAAATTTCACCTCGCTAAACTAGAGATAGAAAATATACACGGTGCTTACGTAGTTTTCAAAGCGCTCGCCGTCACGTTAACGGCCCATGTCAGACCTAATTACTTGTAGATAGTTTCCAACAACTTTGGGATCCGCATATGAGAAGTACTAAGTTCAATAAAAAAACTCAATTCTATTTCTGTCAAACTGGTACACGTTGGCTAAACTAGACCAGTCATATCAGGTTTCCCAGTTGGGGACACCTTATCGTTGTTAATAGCAATTATCGAGTGACTCTTGGACTGCTGTTTGAAAAAATTCCCCAGAGTCGGATAACATTAGGTCAATAGCCTATCATGCTATTTTTACTTCACTTAGTAGGTGGATTTATAGCAAGCACCGACGGTAACTGGGATCTATACTCAGGTATCTGGACTAAACCATCGTTCAAGCACATTCCGGTAAACGTTAAGTAACAGTCAACAGCAGTGAATGTATAATACCAAACCTTTCTGACGCCGGGATGTAGTTCCTTCAAGAGTACCCACGTCTAGCTGACCCTGACCATACAATTACGCCAAAGCGATAGCATTGAAGGTGAAAGAGCAAAAAATAGATTCTCGGAAATTTATTCATTAGTCCCCGTGTTAGAGTAACGGAGGGAAATTTTATAAATCGTCCCCTTGTGGGTGGCTACATTGATACCCATTCTTGGGAAATGGGTGTTAAGAGCAGACAGATGGGTGGTGTCGGTATCAGCTCTGGCCTTTAAGATTTCATAGATGCTTGATAGTTGTATGTTAATCTGAAATATACTCAGGTAATATTTATCTGGTGCTCTCACTTTTATGGTACAACTGGCAATTTTGGTGCTTCAGGAGGTTCTGGTTCGTATTTTATTTTATAGTTCCTGTACCTGTTCCTTCCCACGGGTTCATGCATACCATGCAGCCAAGTGCCCTTTTGAGATCCCAGGCGCAGGATAGCGTAAAAATTCTGTGATGGAGGCACGTGATAATCCATCTCTATTTTCTTTTTTTGAAAAAAATATTCCAGTTGGAGTGGGCTAAGGTGATCGGGGTAAAGAATACACACGTTAGCTATTTTCCCACTCAAGGTTTTATCCAGCATATACGCCCAATCATGAATGGTCGTGAATATTTAAAGTCCTACGGTTGGAAGGAGGGTGAGGCTCTCAGAAAGGGTGGTTTGAGGAAGCCAATTCTCGTTAAACACAAGAAGGACACCAAGGGTCTTGGACACGACGCAGGTGACAGTGAAGCCTGGTGGGAGAGATTGTTTGACGGTCAGTTGAAGAGCTTGGAAGTTAATGCGAGTGCCTCTAAGGGTAAGGATGGTGCCATCAGCTTTAACCAGAACAAGGTGGTGGCCAGTGGGGTGTCCAAGCAGCAGTCCCCGTTGTATCGCATGTTTGTCAAGGGTGAAGGTTTGGCCGGGACTGTTGGCAGAACGGATTTCTCACGAGTCAGAGAATCTATCGTGGTGCTAAGTGATGACTTGGTCAGTCAGAAGTTTAATAAAGGAAAGAAGCAGAAGGAGGGAAAAAAGGACAATAAGGAAAAGAAGGAAAAAAAGGGAAAATCTAAAAAGTCTGAGATAAAAAAGAAGGAGAAGAAGGAGAAGAAGAAGAAGAAGAAGAAGAAGGAGAGGAAGGTGAAGGAGAAGGGGAAGAAGGATGAACCCAACTCTGGTAAGCGTAAGAGAGACTCTGATGAAGACAAGTCGAAGAAAAAAAAAACCAAAGTGTGAGGTAAGGTTGGATGACTAATAAAAAAGATTAAATTAATCTACTTCAGCCAACCAGTGGCCTTTATCATATGACTACCCACTGACCAAGCGCACCAGCAACTTCTTTGGTACCAAGCCATATCGAAAATGGCATCGCCAAAATATTGCACTATAGACGAAAGTAGATGCAGTGGTCCACATTTGGAATACCAGATTTATACAGATGTATTATACTTGTACACTAATTCTATGTTAAATATCTAACAATATTTTTTGTATCAATAAGGAATACATAATCCTTCGAAGTTACGCTAACTGATCTAGAATCCGAAGCAAAAGTCAACAGGCAGACAGCACCCAGCCATATTTTCGGTACAGAACTTAGAGGACATAGCTAGGATACGAAACACAATATATTTGACAAATTTAGGAAAGAAAATAGAGGACTAGCTTGATTGGGGATATCACTGAAATGCCATAGATAGGATGTGAAAGATTTAACAGCCAGACAAGCAGATCAGGTATGCAATAAAAATACCCAGGGGAAAATGAATAACCAAAATGTAGGTAAATATAGGCAAAACCATTTCAAAACTGAACACCTGGATTCTCGTAATAACCTGCATTGCCCTTATTTTTCCGTTTAACAAAGTATGTTAACGCCAATACACCAAAAAGCAAACTTCCACCGACACCTACAACCACACCAACCACTACCTTGTTCTTACTTGATATTCCGCTCAGACTAGCTCCACTTCCGCCCCCGCCCTTACCATTTGTGCCATCTATCACAGCCGAGGCCAGAGGTGAGGTGCTAACTGTCATACTGGAAGCTGTGGATGAATGATGGGGTTGTACAGTTATGGTAGTGGAACGGTAGATGATGACTGTACTTCCATCTTTCGTAGCGGTGGTTACAGGAGTTTCAGTTAGTGACAATACCATGGAGCTTTCAGAGGTAGTGGATAAGATTGTTTCCTCGCTCAGCGAGGATAAAGTGGTCTCGTCGGATGACAAAAAGCTTGAAGTCGTGAACGAAGAAGTGAACGAAGAAGTCGTGAACGAAGAAGACGGGCTTGAAATTGACGAGAATTCTGACAAAGATTCAGATGAGAGCGAGGATGGCAAAATGGTAGACAAGGAGCTAGAGCGCGATGTTACAGACCAGCTGGACGAACTCAAGGTCAGGGAACTAGTAGATTCCAACGACGGACTATTATAGCTAGAAGGATAAACCGGAGCCCAAGTTTCAGAGTAGAAATTCAGCGGGGTTGTAATAATGCTGGATTTGTTCCTCAAACCGCTGACCGTACTGTACGTTGGAACATTGTAGGAAAACGAAAACTTGTCAAAGGAAGATGCATAGGCCTGCGTATCTGGAGGCGTATACGCTGTTGGGGTGGTATCATAAGTGGGAGTATTTGTATTAGAGATCGGATCATACGTAGAATAATAGATGGGGGTATACGTGTCGAGATCTCTCTTGGCTTCTGGTGCAAAACCCAATCCTCCGCGCACTCTATCCAAGAGCCCTACCACTGCCAGGTGACGTGCCAGCCGCGGGGATATGTCTGGCTGAACCAGTGAATGCGGCTCTTCTGGAACAGCAGCCCGGATGCACTGGACAAATGCTATAGTAGAGTAAATGAGCATTGGCTTCATTCTGGATGGGAATGCTGTAAGACGAAACCGTGAAGAGTGAAATAAAATGCGAATGGAGAGTGTGAAATAGGGGACTAGATAAAATTTCGCGATGACCCTGGTTTTTTCCTGTGTGATATATTTAGCCATTCCAGCAGCGAAAGACTAATTATGCGCTAAAAATAGTAACGGGATCATTGCGATACATGGGCTACTTATAACAGACTGCGTTCAACGTGTTCACTAATGTCCCTCCTCGGCACCCCCAGTCACACTTAGGCTCTCTACTATTGTCGAGTCCGTCAGGCCATATTACGCTAGATTACAGGCCGAGGTTCGGGGTACTTTGTCAAATTTCCCGAAATTCTATTGGTGTATATTTCCGACTTTAGTCTCACGCCTTAGTTCGGTCTGGAGTGTAACCGTAAACTCAATGATAAAGGTCTGTGAACCTTCGGTGCAGCCTAAAAGCAACCTTCAACTGCTCTATACAGACTAAATTCAAGAAGGTTGAGAATTTAATGCAGGTGGCAGCCCATGACGTTAGGGTTGTACCTGGTAACATTTTATCTCCCGCCGTATCTGTGTACGGAGTGTGACTGTAGAGCGATATTAATCTTAGAGATATAGCGTCACCGAAGTGTTGCTTCAGAAAATTACAGGTATTATTAGTGGCTTAATTGATACTGATAAGACAGTGCCTGCCACTACCGGAGGCGGAAGAGACTCAGCGAAGGGTCCGATTTGTCTCGATGCGTATCCGCCAACAGTAGACTTTGATACTCGGGAATACCTAACATTAGTTGTGGCCATGAAATTTGGAAGGCATTTCCTCAATAATCTCTGCATACACAAAGGAATAATACGATGCGTTGTACTGCTTAGCGAGCCATACACGATTGCTACGGTAATCTTGTGGTAAGTGTTTTAAATGCTCTTCACGGCGTTCAGTTTGGGAAACTGCGTGCGGTATCCTGCTTATTTTTATGGCATAAATATATAGATTTGTAAAAGTTTATTCACATTAACAGGGATAACTCAAAAACTTGGCGGGCGATAAGGCGGTTTGGTCTTGACCTTGGACTTCTATAGTTCTTCGGGTATCTGGTGTCCTCACAGCACATCCTGCGGCACGTTTGAAATGGATAAGCGTATGACTATCTGGCGATGAAGTGAACGAATTACATGAATATCGGACCTTTTCCATCATGTCAAGACCGAGGGTTATACAACAGTAACCCTAAGCAATCACAAGCGGGCGGAACAGGAAGCAGCAAATTTGGAGTTATACACATACCTAAGAGATTACAGTATCTTAATTTGTATATAATAATCAAACCATTTTATTTGACTTACCTGGCCTCTCCGAGCTTTCCATGATCCTTTTCTAACATGTATATTCACGATCCATACGCTTGGTGACGATCAACGGTTCTGAACGTGTAGTATACTGCCATTTTTATTTACTCAAGTCTACTAATCTCTGTATCTCCACATTTATTGCGTTATCGATCCATACCTAGGTATGCGATTTTATTTCCTGGATACCCCCAACTTTAGAATTGTCTGGAGTTTAGGTTTCAGTTTATGCAGTAGAGCCGTACTGAAATGCATCACTATATGTCGTATTTTTCTTCGTCTAAACTACGACACATGAACTCCAAAACCTATTTATATTGCTAGCTTGCGGCAGCTACACTGATTAACCCTGTAAACTAACAATATGATACATTTATATGAAAGTTAAGAAAAAGTGAAAAGGGGCGTCGGTATAAGGTGTAGCTTCTAAATACGAGATGCAAAGGACGAAATAAAAAAGATAAAGGAATGAGGAATATTAGGGGATGAAGAAAGAAACCAAGAAAAAAAAACCTGAGAAAATACCAATAAACGAGCTATTACCAATTAGAACTGAGTGCCCTGATTTTCCCAGTACTTTTCGTTGTTCTTCTTATTTCTCTTGATATAGAAAAGGGCACCGAAAACACCCATAATGAGGGCACCACCGACACCAACAACAACACCGACAACAATTTTGTTGGTCTGCGATAAGCCGGCAGACTTCAGGTTCAGGTTCAGGCCCAGGTTCAGATCAGTAGAGGCGGAGGCAGACGAAGACTGCTTGGAGGAGGTGGCACTCTGGGTCTTGGAAGCTGGACGTACGGTGACAGTAGTTTCGTTGTTGATGATTACCGTTGAACCATTCTTCACCGTAGTTGACCCTGTTATCTGGGAAGTAGAGCTAGAGGTCAAACTAGAAGTTGACTCAGTAGAGGATTCAGCGGCCTGGGAGGAGATAGAAGAAGAGGTAGGGGAGGAAGTGGGCAAGGAGGAAGTGGGGGAGGAGGTGGGGGAGCTGGTGCTCTGAACCGACGATGGAGCTTCTGAGGTTTCGGCCGTAGATGTAGAAGAACTGGTGATAGACGACGAGGGGGAAGTGGAAAGAGCAATGGTGGAGGAAGAGGAGGTGGCTGTCTCAGAAGTGCTAGTTCCAATATCTAAGGAAGTAAAAGAAGAGGGGGATAATGGGGCAATAGTGGATGGCAGGGAAGAGGCAATGGTAGAAGAGTTCGAAAGGGAGCTGTCGGCACGCTTAACAAATCTCTTCACCAATTCCATGGAGTATTCCAGTGGATCATGGGCTTCGGCAACTATGGTTACCAACGCAGTAGAAGGGTATGGTGTGATCAAGACTCTCTGGTTTATGGCTGCGATCCCCAACGCCAACAGCGTGAAAAGTAATGCAAATCTGGATTGAACCATGGTGTATGAGTGGCGAACGAGCGTGTGTAGAGATCTGGTATAAATGAGGGAGGACCAGCAGAAAATAAGGGCAAACAAATAGAGTTTTCTATGGGCAAAGAAAAGATGTAAGGACGCGCGACTGAGGTTAAGAACTGAGAAGGACAACAAGTAATAAAAATTTTCTAGTGGTTGGTTATACTTCGCAGTCTAGAGCGGAAACTTCGAGCCTGCAGGACACCAAGAAATACCGCAGAAGCAGCTGGTGAAGGTACATTTGACGGCCGGGAAAGAAACTTGTATGAATCTGCAGGAAAAAAGAAATCCGATAGACAACGCGCAGGCAACATGAAATACAGGCATCAGCCGTCACAACGTGTTTAGTTTTTGGCCTCTTGCAAACATCTAGGTGGTTAACATGGATTTTCCGTCAGCTCAGGGGTGATATACAGAGATCAATATTTTCACATCTCAGTGAGATGAACAGCTGGATCAATAGTGGGTCCACTTTCAGTTCCCAATTTACGGTGGAACGGGGCACTGCTAGGAGCCGCACGTCCAGGGAGAACATTCATTCATTGTACCAGTGCCCCCGCCTCGCTGGTAACAATTCATATACGTTTGTTACTATTTATAGATACAGTTCCCTTTGGGCAGAGATCTAGATCTACAGCTCAGTCGTTGACCCCACGGAGTGACATGTAATTCTTTTTTACAGTGACACCACCAGACTATAATCGCAAAGCTTTTGGATATACCCCAAGACAGAATATCCTCGTAAAGCTTGGTGACTGAGCCACGTGGCGGCAGAGCTTCAACCCCCATCAAATAGCGAGTGCAGGCGTGTTAAACTTAATCCTGCAGGAGTAAGTCAACGTTATCGGAGAAATGGGCTGGGGTTAAGCCACCAAGTGATTTACTCAGTTGAATGCAAGAAACGCTTAGGCTGCTTGGAGGGAATCACTTTCATCGCCAATAAAGTTAAAGTGTTAGAAACACGACTGCAAGTGCAAGTTTATGCCAGATAATTTCTCGATTCGGATATCTCAGCTGTTCCAGATTGACGCAAAACAGGCTGTGTGGGTGCACAAATTACGCGTGATAATACTCAGTATAAGCGTATGTAAGGAGAGAGTTCTCCTGTGGAAGTGCCGTTTTTCGCATAGTTAATATGTGTAAGGTAAGTTAAACATGGACTACGTTCTACCATAGAAAATTGTATTTATTTTGCGGTCAGTGGGTCAAGGAAGATGTGGAAACCGGAGCCTTTCCCTGGATATAGGAACCCTGTTAATATGGCATTCCTAAGCGGATGGTTGTAGATCAATAGACACATAGCTACCGTTTGCCCATTGATACCATCACAAGGCGGAGTTCTAGACTCTGAGCTTTAACTTCAAAAAAGGCACAGGTTATACATGCAGACCATTGGCGTACTGCGAGCCCTTTACCACATCTTTCAAGTAGTCGCCGCTACTGGGCTGTGCAAATTCCACTGGATTGCTAGGTGGGAACCTTGACACTTGTCTATCGAGCTTTGTTTAAAAGAAGGAAAACGGACTCAAATGAGTTTGCCGCATATAAAAGTTCACACTCAATACATTATGTGATTAGGTCTGCTTTGATTTACACATGTATCGAAGCACAATAAGCAGAGGGCGTATTCGTGCAATGATATACCGGAATCAATTACGTGCGATGTTTTGAATTTGAGGCGGCCATAATATTAATATCAATATACACTCTCAGTCTCTAACTTCTGGATTCTTTCAATTCGGGGAATACCTCGTCCAAAATCTCGTCAAAAATTTCAAACACTAGATGGGTATTCAATAGTTCGTTCTGCAACATATCAAAGACCTTGTTCCCAGCCCACTTGGAGTTACTTCTGCCAAAAATCTTCCCGCACGAATCCACAACCATTGATTCCAATAATACCCTCGATTCCAACCGACAATTACTCTTTTCAACCGTCGTTCGAGGGGGACCCAGTTCTCTAAACTTGTTGTGAGGGAAAAGAGCTGTTTTCAAGGAAGTGATATTGTCCAAAATCTTCGTCTCGCTGGTGAAGAACGTTCCGATTTTCTCCTTGCAAGTTTTTTCGATGGTGCTACCCAAGATCTGCTGGAGTAACACTAGGACCGCGCGGCCTCGGAGCCAGCCGTTATTCTTGTCGTTGAGGCGAAAAATGGACGTAAGTAGGTCGCAAATCGGCTTCACAAACGAGCCTCCTACTTTGTCAGAATCTTCGTAGCTGTTTAGCTCCATCTGCAAGTCCTTTACCTGCTCACCGTTTTGGAGCAGAATATCGCCCACCGACAAGCCATTTGTGTAACCAAGCGAGAAATAGTTGTTGTATAGCTTGTTGACAACAGATTCAACCTCGACTCTGGAAGACGTGGAATGCGCCATTGGCTTGTTTTTAGATGACCCGTTCTTGCTACTGCTTCGCTCAAATACTTCCGAAGAGAGAAACAATCTGAATACCCGATTTTGACACACCTCAGGATACTTTAACAATTCTTGCAAGTAAGCTTCTAGCTTGTGCTTTCTCATCTCAACCAACTGCTTCTCTTGAAAGCGCATCACCACCTTTTTTCCGGGAAATTTGATGTTGGCGATAGACGGGTACAATTTCTTCAAGTACTCGTTTAATTGGTAGAACTGGCTGAATCGCCTCGCCACAATCCACCCAGCAGTGATTTTGTCCTCACCAGCAGTTTCTCCCTTTTCGGCACTGCCCAAGTCCGCCTGTCTCCTTTGGTGGGTCAACTTCTGAACCTCAATGATGTATAAATAAAACCTTTTTCCACTGCCGTCAGCATCCTTAATAAACGACTGGATCTTGACTTTGGATTTACCATACAAGGAGTTGTCATTTTCTTGCACAATAAACTGTTGTCTCTGGAGATCCTTAATCTGAATTTCACGGTGTAAACTTGACTTGGATTTGCGCAAGATACGTAATTCGAGCACATTATTAGTCAATTCGGCTTTCTTCAACATGGGTTCCAAAATGGTGAGCTGCTCATTCAAGCGCTCGATGTCATCGTTCAACTTCACAATCTCCTCTGTAAGGCTCAAATTTCCCGGACCCGCCAATAACAAATCGTTAGCATCTCTTTCGCCGTTGTCCGAACCGGCAAAGATGGAGGATTCATCTAGTGCTATGCCATCGATGAAGTTAGGATCGTCAGAGTCAGGATCGTAATCTTCGAACAAACTACCATGCAATTCATCGCTAAATAAGATAGAGTTACGGCTGCGCTCCATTTCAGAGTAGTCACTATCTGTCATTTCGGTTGATTGGGGACCGTCTTCCGCAAATAGACTCTTTTTCAAGGAATCATCAGATCGACTCATAGCATCCAAGACTGGGTTGCTTGTCGAGCCCACAAAACCCATCTCTAGATCGGTGCTAGCACTGACCTTGAGATTCGGAAACGAGTCTGACAGCAAGTGGGAGAGAGGGCGGCGGGAAGAGTTTAGCGCTTTGATGTGGTCTTGCTGTTTCTTTATGGTTAATAAGGAATTCACATCCGATTTTTCGCACATGATTTCATTTAACGCAGCCTCAACCGCCTTTAACACATTTTCACTGATGCCATTATCTAGCGAAGGAATACCTGGAGTCATGCAAAGCTTGGTCGGAGAATCTAGCGTAGAAATCCGTTTTTTCGATGCCACTGTTGACTGTGAAGCCTTGGAAAGAAAAATCCTTTGGTACTCGCGGGACTTCTGAAACATCTTGAAATCGCTCACTTTCATGCGTACGTAAACCTGTCGCTGGAGCGTGAAGAGGGATCCCTTTGCCTTTGATATACCCGACGAGGTGCTTGACTTTGTAAACTCCTGGATGACTTCGTAAACAGGCTGAGAAATCCGAAGAATATTTCTCGAAGCCGTTGGAGCAATAAAGGCGGTAAAAATAGCCGCTATCTGAGTGCGAGTACTTTCCATCTCAGAGCTAGTCATGGTTCCAGAGAATACTGCTTGTTCATCTGTCATTTCGAGTTCACTTCCTGACTCGCCTTCTTCAAATCGATCCTCAAGAGGGTTCCGCATAGTGTCCACCGCAACCCAATACTTCAATAAGACACCTCTTCCCTTATGGTTCATATACTCGGAGAACAGCTTCACGGACTGGGGGTCCTTGAGTACAGCGAGGAAATTTTCATCTGCCTCGGTCGGTATTGCCAGGAGGTCTGCGTCTTTGCGGGAGTCCACAGACTGATTCGCTACCTCATCTCCGGTGAGAGTTGCCAAACGTTCCTCAACCACCTGGTTGATAATAAAAAGCTTTTTAAAGTAGTACTCGTTCGACTGGATGTTGGTGTCGCACGTGGATATCTCTTGTTTAAGGTGGGTTTTTAATTCCTTGAGAAAGAACAATGAAGTGGATTTGCTGATAATGGATATGACGTTCTGATATGCGGTGTCATCCATGTCCTTCTCGATGCGAAGCGTGTCTGGGGCAGAATTCATTTTTTGTGGGTTCAATTGTAACATACTTCTCTTAGCCTTGAGAGTATGAGTGGCGTGCTCATCCAAGGTGGCCCTAACTTTCTCTACCTGGTCTCTCTCCTGGATACCCGCCCCGATAACCTTCACTATCAATTGGTTGTAGAAGTCCGGGTCGATAGCCATCGAAAGAGCAGGTAAAAGGACAACATTGGACAAAAGCTCCCGAACAAGGATCCGGACTGGGTGACAGTTGACTTCGGTTGTGGCTAGCAAGAGCGGAAGGACCTGGTCAATTTTTTTTCTCAAGTGTTCTGCTCGTTCGGCGCTTTTGTTTTTGAAGCCTACGGCGGGATGGGTGTGACCGCGGTTGTATTTCATAGCCACAGATATTTCTACATCATGGGGATCTTGGAGTTTCAAAGCCTTGCCCTTGACGGCCTCCTCCGCAGCCAAGAACAGATTGAAGTGATCCGTAGCAATGGGTAAGATGTGGGAGATGGCTAACCCAGGGTAGTCGATCTTCCCAAGCCTGCTCTGCAACTTCTTCGTCACTTCTTGCAAGCAAAGTTTTAGGTGGTCCACAAACACGTCATCAGTATCTAGGCACGTTTTGGAAATGCTCTTGTACCAGGAGGTGACGAAGTTCAGGATGATCAACTCCAAAAGTTGATCCAAGGCCTCTGAGATCAAGAATGAGTTGTCGAATATAGGCCGTGTAACCAACTCCTGTAAACCCTTGGTCTGTAACATTCCTTCTAGTTCCTCAAATAAATGGTCTTCGCCTCGAGAGTCCACCAGAAATGCAAGCCGCGGTAGTTTGTGTTGTATGTCACGGGCATACCGCGGATTAGTGTATACCAGCGGAAGGTCTATGAACAACAGGAGGTAGAGATATGTCCCCATGGAAAACAAAACACCCAGAAAGAACAAGAAAAGTGTGGAAAAGATACTCTTGAAAAGAACAACCACTGGTATGGCGGCTAGGATATATAAATAGGGCTTTGGGTGACCCCTGGGCAGGAATTTCGTGCTTCGAGCATTGTCCAATGTTGTATCAGACATAGCTTTGAATACACTGGCAATGGGTTGTTGTAAGCCTGAATAACAATGCCGTAAAGGTAAAAAGTTCCAGGGAAAGAATATAGGTTGTTTTATGAATCTAATCTGATTAGGATCATTTTTCCTGCAGATAGAGTCCAGCTCAGCGGGCAGTCAACTGGAAAATTATAGATCCAAACCTGTATAGGGGCATCATGGTAGAGGGCGATACATCTGGATGAGTGACAAAGATCGGTCATCAATTTGATAGTATGCGATAAGAAAATTCGGAAATGAATAAGTTAATGAAACAATGATATATATCTAATATTTTACATGGAAAGAACTGAAAGATGCAGCCTGAAGGTCACAAATTAAGACTCAATGAAATACGTGAATACAGCTGATTAATAAAACTACAAATAAAATACAGATGATTGTCTATGAAAAACCCAGACGAGTGGGAAAAAATAACGTAGCTCTACAGACTATGTACTGGTATATATCTTACAAACTATACTATTTCCGTTCTACTTTCTACAGTTCTAGAGGTTCAGCGAGGGCTCTTGTGGTACACGGTGTATACAACATGTCCTGTAGCAACCAGCGAGACTTACAATTGAGCTGGGGCGTAGTCCTTGCGGTACTGGACGATGGCAGCCTTTTCATCGGCGCTTAACTTATCGCCCAAGTAGCTGATAATGTCGTTCAAAGAAACAATAGAGATGACTGGAATCCCGTATCTCTGGGCCACAACCTGAGTGGCAGAGAACTCGGAATCCTTGGTCTTCTCCTGTCTGTCCAAGGCAATAATGGTCCCGACAACCTCACCCTTGTCCTTGCCAATGATCTCGAAGGCTTCGTTGATGGCGGTACCTGCGGTCATAACATCATCGATGATCAAAATCTTCTTGTTGGCCAACTCGCACCCAACGATAGATCCACCCTCACCGTGGTCCTTGGCCTCCTTTCTGTTGAACGAGTAGCCGACGTTCTGGTACTTTTCGCCGCCAATCTCAGCCAACTTGGCAACGGTGATCGCGGTCAACGGAATTCCCTTGTAGGCTGGACCGAACAAGATGTCGAATTCAATGCCAGAGGCAATGATAGCCTGAGCGTAGGAGGTGGCCAAAGTGGACAACAACGACCCAGTGTTAAGCAAACCCAAGTTAAAAAAGTATGGCGACTGGCGACCGGACTTCAAGGTGAAGGAGCCAAATTTCAAGGCCTTAGATTCAAGGGCCAGGTCGAGGAACTTAGTTTGGTAGCTTTGCATGGTGTAAGGGTTTGTTTACGGAGTGGATAAAAAGCGGACAGTTATGAAGTGGAAGATGGCGATAAGGCTCTTAATATAAATGAAAAAAAAAAAAAAAAAAAAAAAAAGCGGCGTGGCCGGGTAAGTGGCGGGACCTTAATTGACTTCCGCCGCACGACCCATGCTACCTACTACGGGTTGCGGTAAGTAATAAACAATGTGCTAGAATATTGGTCATATTTCAAGCAGCTTTTTATCCCTAGGGAAGGTCTTGAAAAATTCATACTATATACATCTTATTTATATTAGGTTATAATTAGAAGAAGAATTTAAAGAAGGTTCATATGCCTCTGCCCAAGATAGGATACACCCTACGTAGCCTCGGTAGCTAGAAAGAATAATTCTGTACATGGTATCAACAGCATTTACGTACATACTGGACTCAACTTCCTGGTGTACTTATATCGATTTTACAAATACTATATGGACCAAGGAGGAACGGCTAAACCTGTGGTGGCAATTGCCGAAGGCCTATACGACTGTATCTCAATAGCAATATAATCACCCTAGATCTGTTTTGTGAGCTACACTATCGGACAATAAATGTAGGTATCAGACTTACACCGAAAGCTACTTTACCCATCCCAGAGCGAAAAATTCGTCTATTTTCCCCAAATACAATCCCCACCTCTAATACAAACTATTTTTTTGAGGATTTAGCAAAAGTCATTATCTATAAGTTTTCCCGGCTTCTACCTCTTTCGTCATGTCGCGTGATGTTCAACACCAGCACGGCCCATGACTAGCGATTTTCTTTCTTTTATCGGTCCTTGCACGCCTCAATATATACTTAACCGAAATAGCTTCATCTTCCGTCAAGCCTACTCTCTACTCACCATTTAGCACTATGCAGTTCTATAACCATCCGGGAATCAAGCGACACATTGATGAAACCAGCGACGGACTCGTACGATCGCTAGATACGTTCGCACGAATCGCCAGCAAGCGTATCAGAACCACAAAGCACAAGCTGCCCCGCAGAGATGCCAATGCAAATGCCGCCGCTTTCGCGCCCTACTCCAGGGAAAAGTTGTTGGAACGACTCAAGACGTACAACGTGCTCAACTGGAATATTGATGATGAGGATTTAAGTGCGTTGAAGTGTGCGCGCAACGGCTGGAGCTGTGTGAACAACCAGCGCAACACACTTTCGTGCGTGTCTTGCCACCTATACATGGCGGTTAAGTTAGATAGCTACCCAATCGATCTCAGCACCTCTACCGTGGGCATTTTTGGCTATGGGGAGGGTGAATACGCGATGGACGAATGTGAAGAGACAGACCAGATGGAGTTACGCCACAACTTGAGCCAGCAATACGTGCGAAATCTCAAGACCTCCCACAGCCCTGCCTGTCCCTGGGCCAAGGTTGAGTGCCCGCTACACATCTATCACTTTGACTACCACGACATGCCACGCATAGTACAGGACTTCATCCAGAGACTCAGAAGCTTGGCCCGAAACACCGAGACTTTACATGAAGCCATCCAGCTGAGCGGGGCTGGCGTGCGGGCCGTGCTCCTGAGCGAGCAACTACGCTCGTTAGAGTTCATGGCGCGCCAGCATGCTGCCTCAGACGTGTTTTGCACTGCTCCAATGGACGATATTCCGCGGTTTATCTACGAGCTTGCCCTTCTAGGCTGGGATCTCAATATCCAGCAATTTAAGTACAAGGACGTACTTCTATTGTCATGTATGAAGTGTAATCGACGGATTTTACTTAATAACACAAACCAAGGCCATTCGCATCCGATCGATGCGGTGCAGAGCGTCCCCGTCAAACCTGAAATCTTGTTGACCCCCACCAAAATTCTCGCGCCCTGCGACTACATGCCACACACAATAGATACAAATGGGTATTTTGGTAATATGACAGGGCCAGAGGGGGAAGCGGGGGATGAATTGGATATTGTTTCAGAACACCAGCTGTGGTGTAGCTATGTGGCGTCGTCGTCAGAGAGCACCGCCGATACAGGCTATCAGTTGGTATACGACATTCTCAAAATGTCACAGGATGCATAGAGACGCATAGGCTCTCTGAATGTTCTGTGGTACAAACCAGTCTAGTTGGATATTGCTAGTCAATCCCAGAGCATTTCGGAGCATTTCAGTTCATTCCACTCCAGTTCATTTTATTCCAGTTCATTCCATTCATTGAGAATTGAATTCTCATGGTTAAGAAGCAGCCTGTGACACACACTTATACAAATGAGGCGGATGTGATATCCGGTTTTAGGAAACTTCCCATGACTACGCCTCTGAAGTGGCCCCAAAAATTATCAATGAATCACCCTTGGGTGGGAGAACCTCAGACATATAGATTAAACCAGTTGAAGTACCCACAGAAATCCTTTTTGTAGATCAAAATAACCAGCCTTGTTTTCTTATCGTACAGTTAGAAATATGGTCGTCTATCACATTTGGTGCGGCTTTACACCATCTATTCTGCTTCAACGCTCATCCATACTCTTCCCAAAAATATCCCTGTGTTCCGGTTCGTCACCAGACCAGTTTTACGCTTCCATCTGAGCTAACCCTCAAGAGACAATAGACAGTGATAGCATGCCTGTATTTGGCTGCCTCTTAATATTCTATGCCTCACAAGCCCCATTTATTTTTCAAGCTATCCTCATTAATATTCAATATTCCGGAGCTTATCTTTGCCATAAGAATCATTGTAGCCTCTGACTGTCACACAGTATCTTACAATTCGCGTGAACCTTAATATGCTCCAGTTGATATTATACACAGTCGTCCATCTGACAACTACCCTCTCACCTTCATAAACTTTTGCTTTGGCTTCTTCGGAGCGATGACCTGCGGCACCGGCTCTTCGTGTTCGTAGATGCTTCTGGCCATCGGATGCTTCATGGTCAATGGCGAGTGGAACGGCACGATGGTATTCATCTTGAAGCCCTTGACACGCGGCAAGAGTTCCGGTCTGATATCGCCGAGCTCGGCTGGCGGTGGAATCTCGTATAAGCTGTTCAACGCAGTTGGATGCGACTGCATGTAGCTCGCAACCAAAGTAATGAGGCGCTTTTTGTTGTTGATGCCTGGCACCTCCGGCTGGCCCTCGTCCTTGAGCAATACACGCACTCTGCCAGAGTTACCAAAGTCCTGCGGGTGGGTCTTCTCAGCCTCCAACACACACGCAAAACCCAACGCCTGACAGGCATCCACAATCGTCTTGGCCAACGGGTTCTCTGTCGCCTGAGAACGCGCACAGCGTCTCCCTTCCTTGTGCGATCTGTTCTTGTCGAAGTATGCCGGGTACAACAACTGGAACGACTTCAAGTGCTCCATCTCCTCTTCGTTGAAGGTTTTGATCTGGTTCTGATTAATCTTTGGTCCAGAGAGCGGCACTTCTGGGAAGAGCGGCGGTTCTGGCTGGAGATCCTGCGATCTGGCCACAGATGCCTTCGGAAGCGCTGGCGCAATCGGCGTTCTCAAGCTGGGATCGAACTGCGCAATATCCATATCCATGTTATCGATATCTTCGATATCTGAAATCTCTTCGAGCAACGGCATTTTGTTGTATGTGAGGTGGTTTTGGTTGTTGGGTTGTAGGTTGAATCGCATTTAACCAACGTCTTTGAAGTGTTCAGATGTTCATGGAGAATTGGACGTGCACGACTCCAGCATTTTGAAGGTAAGTGATACAGTGCGCAGGATATAACAAACCATTTAGTTACCTTAAAGAAATGGTGAACTAGTAATCCTGGAGTGGGTTCAAAGAGTAAATTTTTTTCCCAGAACTCCATAACCAGGCTATTAATTAGAGCTGTGGTTAAAAGGTAGATATCTCCGATGGTTACTTTCCTCTTTGAGAGCAGCATGTTGACTTCAAAATGGTTGTCACGATATCTATGAGTCTAATACGTCTCTAAAGGTTGATTGCCTAAAGTGGTGATACAATAGTTTTTTTTGTCGATAACACCGATACCGTTGAGATCTGTGCCGATACCATCGAATAGACTGAAATAATACATCCGGTAAAGAAAAAAAAGCCTGGGGTCATTATATGAGTTTCATACATTTTTAGACAATTAATTCGCTTTCAATAGCTTCGCCGTTACCCAACCCAGATATATCTCTACTCGGAAACTTGCACAATATATCATCGAGTAATCAATTAACGGATATATACATTAGTTACTTTAGGAATTGGAAGTCGAAAACAATTATGGTAAGCCTTCGCCCAGAATTCATACCTCAACTAGTTTCAACTTCAAGTTGATATATATATATATATACATTCGTCAAACTCCAGCGTTTGATTTTTTTTACCGGTTGTACTAGGGCTATTACACATTATTGATAGCAGCTAGTTACTTGAGGTCAAACGGTTTGGGTAGTTATTAGTTAGATGAAGATGATTTTGATAATAAAGACAAATGGACATAGAAAAGCAACAAACGGTACCTACGCTTGGGTGGGTATGGATATTCGAGGAGAATACACCTCCTCAACCTGCTCCAAGGAAAGTCCCTTGGTTTCTTTGACAATAAGCATGACAAATCCAAAGGCAAACACCAAACAGCCGCTGAAGACGTAGCCGAAGCAGTAGCCAATAATGTTGGTGATAGTAGGAGTCATTAAGGCGATCAAGAAGGAAATAATCCAAGTGGTGGAGGTGGCAATGGCCATAGCATGTGATTTGATCCTCAAAGGGTACAACTCACTCACCACAACGAAGGCAACTGGCCCCCAGGAGACAGCAAAGGAAAAAATGTATAAACACGTCACTATGATCATTCCAATTCCAGCGTATGCGTTGACAGTGTCGTCAGATTTGGTTAACGATAAAGTTCCAACCGAAGCGTATGTAACCATACAAACAGCCATGGAGAGCGCACCGAGGGACAAGCATTTCTTTCTTCCGAGCCATTCAACCAATGGAACACCAAAAAAAGAGGAAATAACATTAACAGTACCCAAGATGATGGCAGTTTTGTATGAATCTTCAATTCCGGCAGCAGAAAACAACGAGGTACCATAGTAAAAGAAGTAGTTTATGCCGGTTAACTGCTGTAAGGCCATGATCGTACAGCCGATGGCGATACGCAGAAAATACTTTGGTTTCAAAACTTCAAAGAAAGAGGTCTTATCCAATGCTGCATCCATGTTATGGGCAGCCAATAGAACATCGAATTCAGCAAGTAGCTGGATGCTGTCTAGGGAGGTGTCAGATAATTGGGCAAGCGATTCCTTTGCTTGTGTGAGGCTACCAATCTTTACCAAGAACCTTGCGGATTCTGGGGCCACAAAAGCGGCAATAATTAAGATGAAACCGATCCCGAAACCAATACAAATAGGGACCAAGTAGCTTGTGGCGGAGTTAGCGTAGACAGTCTTAGTGGCAAATGTGGTGATCTGGCCAAACAAAATCCCCAAAGTCATCATGACCTGGTAGAAGACAACGAAGGAGCCTCTGACGGACGAAGGTGCACTTTCGCCGATAAGCATTGGACATAGCACAGCAATTCCACCAGCAGAAAACCCCGCAATGATTCTGCCAATCATAAAGACGTACCAGGATCCCACAGCGTGCGAGACAATCTGGACGGCTAAACCGAAGAATAAAATAACCGCAGTCGACATAATCCCCACACGACGGCCCCAGGTGTCGCCAATGCTGCCAAAGAAGAAACCACCAAACATGCAACCAATGTTAAAGGTGGAAATTACAAGACCCAAGACCCAAGAATCCAAAGCGTAGGTTCCATTATTGACACGTGTTCCGTAGGTTTCCTTGAACTTTGGCATCCCGCTTATACCACCGATGGTTCCGGTATCCCAACCGACAATGAACCCACCAAACGAGATCAATACGCAAAGTGTCATGGCCTTCTTGAATCTGAAGTATCCCTCAAGGTTGGAGTGTTTCTCACTTTTTTCTTCGTAGATATAGCTCTCGATCAATTGGATTTCGCTGTGGCAGGACTCTGATGCTTTTAGCTCAGGAATTGACGCAGTTTTGATCATGGTGAAGATTTTCTATGGTGAAAAGTAGAGGTAAGAAAACCATAGGAGGATGCAATGGTCCAAATTTATAGAAAATATGATGTACGGGAAGGAATAACAGAAATGGTAAGTATGGAGAGGGGAAGAGCAGAAATGGAATATAGCGGTCGAAGAGACGACATACACTAAGGTTTGGAGGAAGTGACAGAACAGACACTGGCCCGTATCAGCTTATGAATGAGTAGAAGTGAATCATTGTAAGAAGTGGTAGTAGAAGCCGCAATTGAGATTTGCTTGGCTGAGGGGTGAAGGATGCGATCTTAAGCAGTTTCAAGAGGAAGAGCGAAAGTAACTTCTCTTCATTTTGCTTTCCGTATATAAATTACACATCGGTGGAGAAGCATGATACCAGTTGCGAATGAAAACGCAGAAGCGGTAGCCAAATCCTTCCGCGGTTCTAAAGAAATAACAGAATAACAACACAGAATTCCACAATGTACCATAGCGGAAACCTGTTTGTGACCAGGAAACATTTTTTCAATTTGTAGTCAAGTTCAACCATTTTATTTTCAACCAGCGCCTAGCTACCCACTATACGCAGCTGAGGAAGAATACTTAAACCTGAAACGAACAGAAATCACTCGAATATTATAGCTAAAAGAAAGAAAACAGAGAGTGCAAATCGGAGATTAAACGGATCCGGTTGAAAGGCTTCGTTGAGAGTCCAATAGCGGTTATTCGCATACTGAGCTCTTACAGGCACAACAGGACTGAATAGCTACACCAATAGATACTTATGATTACTACTGCTCTGGAATTCGAGGTACGTACTGAATTCGGATTCAGTTATATTTCATAAATAACGATGAGGTAGCCACCAATACCTACTTTTCTGGATATCCCTGATCCATATATGTTAGACCTGCTTGGATGCAGTTTCCTAGCTCCTGCTTACACCAATTTCCAGGTTCGGTCTACCGAGAATCGTTGTATATAATACTCCCAAGTGTTCTACACCATCCAGACGGTATAGAGATCAGCGATAATGTGCACCGGGTGTTACCATGGATACGTGAAATCCGAAACGTTCCGTTCCTCGGCTCGCAAGTCTGAAGTGGAAGGCAAAGCGTCGTACCTGATGAAATCTTTGAGTCCCACGCCGAGGGAAACAGAAATCCCGTCCGTTAGGAGTCAACTCCTTTTCTGTCAGACATCCCCACATCGCGTGCCCTCCGTCCGACCATAATCTCCGTGGCATTATCACCCTTGGTTACTTAGACGAGTCTGCATGTGAACCGGGATAAGAATTCTTCCGGAAACAATCTTGTGCCATCGGCTGTGCCGTCCCGTCCTTTAGACCGCCCTAACACTGTATTATTGTTTTCTCTCTGCACCGCTAGTCTGTTAATTCCGCTTACATAGTATTAGTTCTGCCCCCAGGGTACAGATTGCCTGGTCATACACGTTGCATGCACAATATGCTAGTTCTGTAGGTACCCGCGCAATTACAGCCCCTGTAAACCTGGGGCCCTACTGGCCTGCTGGGTATAGTGAACCTAGCTCACTGGGACTACCTGCCACCGACATGCATGTTGACAAACACTGAGGTACCTATCAATAAAGATCAACAAGACCGAGAAACCCATCGCTGAAGCGTGTCCCATTGTCGGAATTCAGCAGGCGACTGATTGTAAGCCACAGAGTCCCTACACGAGACTCGCATGCAAGTGTCCTTACGTAGTAATTGTGACGTCGTGGCTCGAGTTGCAGATCTCTGTCACTCCCTTTGGCGGGGATGTAGTCTCCTGGTTGCCAGTTAGTACATCTATAGCGTACCCCCATGGATATCGTCCCCGTTTTTAGGTACCTCCTCCCCTAGCCTAGACCAGGGTGGTGACAGCTACACACATCACGGTTTGGCCCTACCCTCGGGGTCGGAACTATTCCTCGGAGCTGCTTGGTCCCTAAAGGATTAGCGCGACGCAGCTCTAATGGAGTAGTATGCGTTAGTATGCAGTATGCGCTATCAAAGCTTAAGCATGCCCACCAGAAAATTCATGGCCAGATTCCACATGACACAAACCGGGGCATGGCCGTGGATCCCTGTGGCTTCCGGATATGGCAGTGTAGTTACGGCATTTATCATAAATATCGAATCCGATCGTATACATGAAGACTATGCCGAGTTTGAGGGGTGTATTGCTAGTTCTGGGGTGGTCGACTCCACTGAATTGTCCTCCGGATTAAGCAGGGGCAGATCCTGTCTGAGGAAGGTAAAGCTATCCTGGCTTGGATCTCTAAACAGCCCATGCCCCGGCGACGGGGATTAAATATAATGGGCGAGAAAGGTATTAAAATTTGATTCTAGTCCGCCTCAAGCAATGGGAAACCTTCTGGTGTAGGGTACGAGAGGCTTGTCTGAAAAGGGTAATTAGACGCAAAAGGTGGGGACGCAACAAATAATTTATTGGAAGAAACTTCGCAGGGCCAATATGGGCGCCAACACTGATAAATGTACGTATTTCTTTCTGCTTTATTATGAAATAGAAACCATTCTGCTCTTAGTGCCACAGGGAGTGATATGATTTAGACATTCCCCCCCGGCAGTGTACAACGCTAACTCCAAAAAACCCTTGGCATGATTTAGCTTTCAGGAGGAGTTGGTATTCCACTCTACCGATCTGTGAAACCGAGGAGACGTATCCTTCAACTATTATTTAATCAGAATGGGCTGATCTCCAGCCTAACCGTCAACCGCAAGACCACTTTCTCTCTCTGGGTAAATAGAGAGATAGAACAACTGGTATCCATGAATCTACTACAAGTTTGAATCTGCACCCGTCAAGCATTGATCACCTGAATCCACAATCTATCTCTGTTTGAGTGTACTGACGATCAGGAAACTACAGCCTCTGTCTTCCAGTGGAGCTTGTGCATTCGACAACAAGATTTACGTCCTGGATCTGCGGCCTCTAACCGAGATTTTCCATTCGAACCTATTTCAAACCGACTACAGATATTTGCTGCTAAATTCACTGGTTGAACAATCATTAAGCACCTGAGATATGGACAAAACAAATCCCGGGTTGCAACGATTGTTGGTTCCTGAACGTATCGTCTCAACCAGTACTTACCCATACGTCTAAGGTCTTATCCCATGGTTTCTCTTTAACCGACGGCCTTGAGTCAACGGCAGCATGTCTAATCTACATGACCATTCGTGCTCCGGAAACATTTGAGGTATGACTGAAAGTTTCGACTCGATTTCCGAATACACTTTACCTTAAGCTTCATTGCCTAACGGTAACCACCCTTCAATACGATCCAATAAGCCACGAGGAAACTTATCAAGCAATTCGCTTCCTCATACCATGACATTAGCTTCACAGGAGATCAAGCTACAAGGATTATGGAATTCATACAATTATTGGTTCAAAATTTTGTTTAATTTATAGACGATGACTATTTTAGTCTTCTAGATGCGAATTTATCTATCATGGATCAAACCGACTCAGAAACAATAGCACTGACTTAGGCAGTAGGGGTAAAGTAAGATGGTAACACATCGTTACCATCAGATTCAATACTCTCAGGTTTCATAGATGGACTATATGCTTATCTAATCTATACAAACTACAATATAGAAGCTCAAATTCGTCTGAGAGTCTCTCCGAAAGGTCAGCTTAAAACGTAAGCCAATGACGATGACTTATGGTGGCAAACATGCGCCAATAAAAAATGGTGCCCAATCGGGTATGGCTAAAATCCCTGGTTTCAACTGAATGGCCTCAAAGTTAGAGCTACGTGGTAGTATTCTATTCATCAAAACGCTTTAATCTTGTCCAACTGTTTCCAATTTCTAGTAACCCTTACAATCAACCATGACTGGACTTTGAATTTTCACTCAAACTTTTACATTCTCAGTCTACTTCAATAGCACAACAGGTGGATTTCCTTCCGTGGATATAACAGGTGCCTCCCCACGATTATAAACTCGAAGGCCATTCCAAAAAGCTAAGTCTGATGTCACCCCTGACCGAAACCTTCGGAAGCAAAAGTTTCAGGCTGTAAACTCTGATAACACCATATATCTGTGATAAGCGGTTATATCTGTGACAGGCCTTTCCTCGTTCTTTCATTCATTCTGGATAATGGAAAGTGGCAGAAAAAGCCACAAGGGTAATCCAAGGGTAATGTCTTCGTACAGAACTTAAATCATGGCAATCATTCAAAAACGCAAATCCTCAACCATTTCCCTGTTTCCTTACCCCAGCTCTGTCAATCTTTACGCTGTTCAGTGGACCCAGCTTTATCGATAAAAAACGCATATAAACAACTTTCCACTACCTAAATAACAGATGACGATCTAAATACAAATGTGTAGTGTAGACAAATAGATGTTGTGTTAGCCCTCCACATGTACTAGTGAGCGACGTATTGGGAGTAAGGAGATATCAGTATTAGGCAACGTAAATATTCTTCGTTTACCATCCAGACTTAGTTCCTTATTTGGCAACGGTATAGTTATAATGACTGTGTTCATGAGTTTAGTAGCAAGACCAGACAGTCGCAACTACACTGGAATTATCCTGGAAAAAAAATCTACCAAGCGTGAGTCCTTGCGCCTTATAATACCCAACAAAAATAGCTGCCCATAGCTGAGTTTAGCAAACAGCTCCTACTATACTATAACTGGCTGTCAATCAGATGTATATATAACAACTTATTTAATAGACAACCAGTGTAATGCTACACATATAGCAAATCCAACTCCCCAAGTATGATCGTTTCACCCGTAGTTACTCTAAGTTCGCTTCGTTCCATTGACCGCTCACCATCTCTTTTCGTATTTAGCCTTAAATCCATCTGCTGTCTATCTACACTTTTTCTACCATATATAGTTATGCATTTAATCCGTATATCGTTTATCAACCTCGTTTTTGAAGCTGGGGCCATTTTGAGGATGGACACGATACCAGCCGGGCTGACCGTCCGGGTGAGGGACACGGCCGTCGCCGGGAGGCTGCGCGTGAGGGTGGAAGTAGGGTGGATACCCACTTGGCGGCGGCATGCCCTGGAACGGTGGAAGGGCATGCCGCTCGTCAGCGCGGGGGTTCGCGTCCTGGGGAAAGTGGGGCGTAGGAGGAAAGCGCGGGAGGCGCGGCTGCGAAAATGACGGGCTCAGGGACACGTCCGGCGGGCCCTGCGGAAAGCTGTCGCCACGCGGGTGCTGATCTGGCGGGGCGTACGCGTGTGCCGGGTAGTATGGGTATGGCGCCGGGTAGTACTGTGGATACGGGTAGACGGGCTGTGTGCGCGCAAATGCATATCCCACCGCATATGCGCGCCGTCCCTCATGGTGTGATAGCGCGCCTGCCTCTGTACGTTCGTCCGCGGAGTCGTCGCTGTAGTCACCGCCAAAGTCCAACAATGCCTGGGGGTCGTGTCGCGCGGCCGTATACTCTGCAACAGCCTTGTGAAAGTTGAACGAGCACAAGATGATGCGGTTCGAGCACGTAGCGTCAACCACTCCGCGCACGAGATCGCGACGAAGCATGCGTTCCTCCACATAGAGCGACGCGCTTGTCGCGCGCGGAATGAGATAAATCTTCATATCCGACTTGTAGCGCGGACGCGCAATCACCTTCTTAATAAACACCGTATTCGGACGGTCGCCCTTGTCGCCAATCCCGTTGATCAACTCTTCATTGGAGTCGTCGTCATCCGCGAGCCACGCATCGCCTGGCAGCGCCGTCTCTAGCTTCAAGAGCACCGAGCCGTTGGGCTCAGACGACGCTGCACGCGTCACGCGTACGAGTGAGTACTCCTTCAAACCAAAGAGCGAACTGACCGCCGCGTCCATAGAGTTAAACGTGGGCGCATCATCGCGCTTGTGGAAAGATTCCAAGACTTTTGTCGAGAGTGAGGCCATGTTCATCAACGTGTCGTCAATAAGTTTGACGGGGCGCGACACCAACGCGGATGCAAAGCTGCGCAACATGTCGCTGCGCGATAGCTCGCGCGCGGTCGCTTCCGCACCCGCGGGGCCGTGCTGGAACACGGTGACTTCTTTGCGGATCGAGTTGGGTACAAGCGCGAGATATAATACCGCAAGAGATGGTACTAGAGTTAAGCGGATGCGCGAGCCGGCTTCGAGCGGCTTGGAGTGGTACTTGTTGGCCTTTGCGCCTGTGCTTGTGCTTGCGCGCGTCTTGGTGGACGACTTTTTACGGATTGCCAACTTGACAATTGAGCGCGTGCGCTTGAGCATACGCGGTGCTTGTCCCGGGCTGGGCGCGAGGCCGGGGCTACGTGGCGTATGCCTTAGGGCCATGCCGTGCTCTTCCAGGCGCGCGACCACGGCGAGCGATTTGTTTCGGGGGGAGGTGCCTGCGCTATTGCATTGGTCCATTCTCATTAATCGGGTAGCCGGATACAAATAAAATCAGAGTGGTCAAAGGAAGCCTGGGAAATTGAGTAGAGATGAAACGATAGAAAATGTTCAAGGGGGTTCAATAAAGGAGTCTGAAAATAAAATGCAAGTGGATGGATTCAAGAGTAAAAGGTTGCAGCCAGTCCGAGAATGATAGGCTACCAAGTGTTGGGAAATTGAGGGATCGTGAAATATTTGATTAATTACCCTGGTACGGCGGCTCTTTTGAAATTATGACAATATAGGAATATGGCTCAGAGAGAGTATAAACTGGGTCCAAAACCTGGAAATTGCTTGAAAAAATTGTGGATAGGTCGTTAAGGTATGTTAATAGAGATTCAAACAGGGTAAGTAGCACAAGGGAAGCTACCAATCGGTGATTATGGGTAGGGTGGGTTGTCAGGATATCGCCACGATTCAAATAACTGCAAATGAAACTGAAAAGGCTAGGTTAGGAACACAAATTAATACCGATTACGGGCGGTATTCTGTGAACAGGAACGGAAAAGTCTCGCTGGCGAAAGAAAGCCGGGGTGGGGATAGATACGACGGGAAAGAAAGGCCAAAATGGAGTAGGAACAAAGGGGAAACGGCCAAAATGGAACAAGAACGACGGGAAAAGAAGCCGCAACAAGAATCAAGGCCAGCGATGGAGAAAGGGGGGGTGGTGTAGGAATGGTGAACCGGCACCTTTGCATGGAATAGAGCTCTGAGTATCCACAGAAGGTTAGGTTGGAGGGAATCTATATCTATATATATAGATGGCGCCCGTAGACAGGATGGTGGGAGCCAGGGTGCAGCCAACAAGCATAAAGGATAAACTGGTGGCACACAGAGTCACGTATACGCAGATCGCCTAAACCTGTGTCTTTCAGGAAGATTAAGCGTAGGTGCGGCGGCTACTTGCGCATATCCAGATTTCAGCTCATGTTTAGCCCTCGTTTGGTTTCTGACGAAGTGTTACTCGGTTTTTACTTCTTGGATAAGGTTCTACCGGGTCTGTCTTCGTTAGGCTGTTTCCGGAATACGGTTCCATCTTTTGCTGACAACCACGCACGGCCTCCTGGGCAAGCACTGGGATTATCGAGTCTGCCAGGATGCCGGCCGCATTCAGGAGTGCCGGGGGGTGGTGTGACTACAAAGGTTGTGTAAACCATGCTGCTGCAGCGCACACGTTGGACGCTGACCTATGTAAGCTGGCGGCAGGGTCACCACCCGATGCAACGTGCATCTGTACCAGTGCGTAACATACGTGCAGGCCTCGGATGATACAATATGCACCCGGCCCCGCTCACCCCTCGCAGATCGAGAATTGGCCACCTTTCGGACACATGCATGTAAGCATGAATTATGCTGCATGCGCATGCAATACTACATCACCGGACGTGTTCCGGTTCTTTCATCATTCCGAGTGGTAGGAACTATGCCCGTAAAATGGATTTTGTGCACGCTCGACCTAACTTGACGAAAAGTACACCTTCAACGGAAGGAGGGAGGCTGAATAGAGACGTACAGACTAAGACTCTCATGCTTCTATACCTCCGCGTATCTCCACCCCCTGTATTTCTACTCAGAGGCTAGATCTTACTGAATTTTTATCCCACATACTGGCTCTCGGGTACCGAGCATTTAAAGGCATAAGAAACATTACAAGGGGTCTAGGAACATACCTGGCACCATGTCGAGGCTTACAGACGGCCTAGAATGCACCCGACGCTTGGTGACGACTTCTAGTCCGACTTGACATACTTGGCTCGAGTTCATGGCACGAACGCAGTCTCCAATTTCAACAAATCTCTGACTCAAATCCACCATGATCGGTGCTAGCCTGGTCTTACCCACTGCATCGAATTTCAAGTCCACGTAAATAAACCTGATAGGCCACAGGCTTTAAGCTCCGTCGCCTTTGTTTCTTCGACCCTTGTCGCATCCCCCTCGGAAGTGGCAGAGGACGAAATTCTGTGCATGATATTTTGTCGGACGCAGAACAAAGAAAGGCAATTCCGAGGTACGGGGGGCTTAAATTAACATGAGAGGAGTCTGCTCCTACAGATTTGCGCTCGTCCGGCCGAGGGAGACTGGCCCGGTGGGGCAACGTGATTGCGATTTCATGTCAGGTACCATCTCGCCAGCCATTTTGTAAGGTTTGAGCATGGCTCGCATGTGCCAACGATGATGCTACTGCTAATCACTCTCCTTTAGCACGTTCTCACGAGACTTGATTCCGGCAGGAGATTCCAGCCATATATGAGTTTCGCCATCCCAGAATAAGGCATGGGGTGTATGAAAGACTATTACATTGGCCTGCGAGCCTGGCGCCAACAGTTAGCGGCGCTTACCTCCATGCGTCGCCCATATGCTGTACCATGCACTATTGCCGGGGGAAGTACGCCGCACATAATGTATCTAAATTGTTAGTTCTACCTTGCAGCACTACAGCCACTAGGCCCAGAGCGACACATGTTTATTGTCTGGATCTCGTGGATTGCCAGTCGGGCGAGGCAACAATAAGAGCCAGGAAGAGTGCATTTCCATGGAATGTCCAGGGTGCGAGCTCTAAGGCTTGAATTGGGCGGTGGGCGGGTGTCAATAGTGTTGTTTTAGGTATAATAGCACCAGAAGCTACCCTGGCTAGGCCCGTTGGGCACTTTCTCAGCCGGCGGACCTTTGCAGTATGTTGGTACGATTCCGCTTCGGGTAATTCAAATGCAACAAGCGCCATGTGTGAGTGAGTGTCTGGCCTTGGAGCTACCGGACCAACGTTGTTGCTTTGTAACAGAAGGTTGCCCTTCGTGCATATGTACCAACAATAACTAGGACGCTTCTTTCAGAAGTGATATATATCTCAAATTCCCAGTTGATGAGGAATTTTTCTCAAATCCCAGCTTCCTTAGGGATATGAAGCCTTCCTGGCGTATATGCTCCTTTGAAATCAGACATATGACGTATTGGGTGTTTGATAGGCTAGCAACCGAGGAATCTTGTCTCGGCTCTGGCAAATCCGTGTTGATTAGTCAGGGTAAACGACCCATTAGGGCCCCGTTCATGCCTGCGCTAAAACCCATAGAACTATAGTGGTCTATACTTGTGCATGCATGCCCAGCTTAATAAGTCCCGCCTGCGTCATGTTCTAATCACCTTAAGTCGGGGATGCTCTGGGTCCAAGCGCTCCAAAGTCCAACCTAATTCACCGAGCATGTAATATGTAGAGAGGAATAAATACTAGTGAAAAAAAAAAGCTTTTACTCCTGACTACGATGGCTAACAGTATATTGGTAGCATTGGCATAGTCTCTAAAGTGGCGCTTGAGGGATAATCTCTATGATGGTACCTTACAAATGTCAGGTTCCTTTGCCTTGCTACGCAATAGTTTCTCCAGGTTATGGCGCAATCATCCATAGTGAAATGCCTTCCTACCACTTCAATTTCACCATCGGACCACAATTTAACGCTCTTTCTGGAATTCTTATCAGAAATTTCCAATTAAAGAGTCTTCACAAAGAGCATGAGACTGGAACACCTCGTTTTTGTCAATGAATCCCAAGGGTGTGATAGTATTGCACCAAGCTACGGCCTACAACGCTTACTCCGGTAACGAAGCCTAACACCAACATCAGTGAGCCATGGACGGGACTAAAAAAAGGGTTACCGTGCCAATCTTTGCATGAACATGACGAGTACGTGCATAAAGGCTTCGAATTATCCTAATCTAACTCATGTTCTCGCTTTGGCTCTTTTTTTGGTTAAGGCTTCCTTGAAAAAGTATACGCCGTTTTATAGACGGAACGACTTTTAGGGTTTCCTAGATTAAACCCTTTCACATGACAACTTCTGAGCGGAGTGAAACAGCTTATGCTAATTCGCGTCAACTAACCTGGCTTTCGTTACCCCCGAGCCTCCAGTTAGCGCTTCCGATCATGTAAAACTATGATAGCGGCATCTACTAATACGGATCCCTGGTAATTCCCTATGATTTAATACACCCAAACGATGGAATATCTTTCCTGAATCGGATGCCACTGCATACAACCAGATTCATGTAGAACTTCACCGAAGATACACGATGGTCGTTAATGACGACCGGTTTTCCGGTTGTGTTGGGAACGGGATGAAACCATAAACTGCAGCTACACCGCCTTCATTTCGATTAACTTCGTGGTCAACCATCAACTGTATCGTGGGTATGCATGGAAATAGTAAACAGGGTGAATTACCGCGCTATTGCTACTGTACGTGCATGTACTATACGGTTCGTCTCTTTTCGTTAGAGCGATATGGGCGCGGGAGCGAGCATGTTCCCTGCTTCTGAGGTCTTGACTAGCAACCCCTCGCATCCCTCAGACGCATATCTACATTCCAAGTCGTCTACTATCAGCAGGGTCATATACACTCGTATAGGCACCTCTTCAAACGCAATCCTGAATCGGGGCCTGTAGCTATGGCTTGGTTCGGGGAATTCTCGTAAAACTGGAAGGGTATGTGAGCTCCTATTTAATCCATTCCTTAGGGAGAGCGGGATTAAAAATAAATACGGGATGTTCTAACAGACTCTGAGGCGTTTCACCAAGCAATGCATCCGAACACTTTGTCACAAAGCGATTTAGACACATTGTTCAGATATTACGTAGAGACTTCCATTTCCCTGATCCAACTTCCGGCTTTATATCACCGAAATCAACCATGTCTCAAGCCAGATTTATGCCGCTGAAAAAAAAAAGCATGAGACAGTAATAGATTTATATGATAGCTAGTGAACCAGCTTCGATCACCACCTCTGATTTCTATAAGAATTACCGTGTAGGAGTCTGGTAACAAATTCGCATAGTTTTATATTTCAAAGTCTTCTAATTTTTGCCTTATGTTCGAGCACCAAATTTTACATTGCACGTTGGCCGACCCATTGGGTCACAAAAGTCAGCTTATTTGTAGTTGAAAGGCTCTAGACTCGATAACAGTTGATCCCCTTTTGTCGTATTTAATAGGCGGTAATTGGGTTTAAAGGTTTCATGGTCCGGTGAGCAGAAAAGACCAGAGACTCCAATCTGCGTCTGAAAGTCATAAAAGAAGGGGCTACCCAATTCACACTAAAAAGTCTTCTAGAAAGTATACCTTGCTAAAGAAAGAGGATTCATGTCTGTTTCTTCCAATTGCACCCGCAAAAATCGCCCAACGATGAACTCATTTAGAGTCCACCATACCATTAATTAAGGGTCCGATAAGAAATCTTCACACTTTGAAGGATTATGTCCTTTATTGTATTCAGACACCTATCCTCCAACAAAGAGGCCCGCAGAACTACAATCGAGTATTCCCTTTAGTCCGTTCTGTACTATGGCATCCAAGTTCAAATCCAGCTAAATTCATCACTGGTGAAGCATAGCAGGAGTTTGGGTTTAAGGGAGGCCCTTGAGTGGGATTTACAATACACTCCTCTTCCCCATAGCCGCCTTAACTTGTACTTTCTAGAATCAAGGCTACATTATCCAGCTTCCTGACCAATTTTCCTAGGTTTTGTTTGAAGTAGCGTCTGCTACAATCTTGGCTGCGATTCTACTAACGTGCTAACAAGCCCTGGGTTTCCCTTTCAAATTATGTGGTTCATGTCTCTATTTGCTTTCACCCTGGCTGTCCCAATTCCCCACCAGTACACTTTCGCCCCCAACTCCTCCCAGTCCTCCTCCCGTCTGTATTATTTTCCACCACCCTTCACTCTAACTCCAATGCCTGTCCACCTACAACTGTCAAATAAAACCTCATACTCACACGTCACCCTTTAAACAATCCAATTACTTTTAATTCGATAATTGTATTTTAATAAACATAAATCCTCTATCGCCTACAACCGATTCGTGTTGAACAATAATGCGACGTTATCTCTCAACAATGCCTCGCCATCGAGGCCCTTCTCCTCGTTGGTGTTTGCAAAGAAGTCAGCGCGTCTCATGGTCTCCTCGCTGAACCCCTCGTCGCCGTTGAGGATCTTCAAGTTGTGACAGTGGCTCGCGTACCAGTCTTGCAAAAAGTCCACGGGATTCTCAGCAAGACCTGCATAGAACTGCTGCTTAGCGCGGCTCTGGTTGAGCACGGCGACGCCGGTGGAGATTTTGTTGTTCAACGCCATGATGGCGTGGTCGTTAACGTGGTACAGGTGCTTGATGGTCTCCAACTGCTCCGCGCGCACGGCTGCGAGATAAACCGACAGCTCCACGGGAATATCTACGACGCAACTGCCCAAGGTGGATGCCTTGGTAACGTCGACCTCGTAATCAATCACGATCGGCTCCTTCGGGCTCAAGTGAGGCGTGAGCAACTCCATCAAGCGCGGAAACTTGAACTTAGCCAAGCCAAAGAGTGAAAACAACGTTGCGTCACAGTACACAGTGCGGAGGTCGTCACCTGGCTCCCGCGTCGCTACAGGGTGCGTGTCAGTCTGCGTCGGTGGCAGGAACAAGCCGTGCAACTGGATGTATTGCCAGATACCGTAGATAACCCCGTGCTGGCTCATCTCGGGTGCTCCGAGTATCTGCGCAAGCGGTGCTGACACCTTCATCTTCAACGGCAACTCTTTCAACTGCAAAGTAACCTTGCACGCGATCGGATGTTGCCCCGTGCGCGTGATATCCAAGCCGTCAAACGCAGATAACTTCGCGTTGAGCCCCACGTTGGTGTTGCTTTCGGGCGTGTTCTCGTGCCACTCGATGATGTGGTTGCTATTCTGCGGGCCGATGTCCGGGTAGTTCGGGTTGGGCATAAGGTCGACCGTCAAGCCCGTGAGCATCAGGCTGAACTTGGCGTTGCCGCCCACCAAACGACCCTCCACACGCAACGTCCACTTCGACGCCGCCGTGCCATCTGCCTGCTGCCATGGCTGGTTTTCGCACGTGTTGTAGACATAGACGCGCAAGAGCAGCGTCTCTGGTTCGAGCGGCTTATTCAAGTACTCCTGGAGGTCCAACCACTTGCGCTGCGTGAACGCGTCGATTTTATTTTCTGCGGCCGCAAGCTTGCGATATAGCGCCACCTCAGGGATGAGGTCATCCAAGGCGCGCGGAATGGTAAGGTCGGTGGGTTTGTGGGAGATCGTCATGGTGTGGATAAGAGGGGTGGTGAATGGAACGTTGGCTGCATTTGTTTTTAGTCGCCCAAATAGAGCCGCAAAGCGCGCCGATGTTCGCGGTGGGCGCACGACCAAGAGTAGGCACTATGTTGATAGCGTTAGGTACATACGATATCTTGCAATTCAGGAATCCAGAGGATTGAAATTCAAATTAGTTTGGATAGATATCACAAGTGTGCTTTTTTCTTCTTCTTTTTGTTTGGGCCTTGGCTAACCATGTTAATTGGCGTTACATGCGAGGAGCAGTATACGGCAGGTATGCATAGCAGTGTAGTGTTAGGCAATGAATGGAAATTCAGAGAGTTTTATTTTAGTGTTATGGCAAGGGGAAATAAAAAAAAAAGTATGAAAAATCTCAAATATTAGTATTGTGTCACTAATAGAAGGAAATAGTTTGGATGGGGCTATCAATGGTGCAACAGAGATGGATAAGATAGAAAAATCAGGTACCATTTAGATTCATTCTTGAAAGTTGTTGTTTCATTAACGACATATTATCCATCTTTTTATTTGAAGATTACTTTCTCATGCTCTCGACTACTTACCTCAAATCAACCTTATATTACATTACTCTAAATCGGCATCGGCCATTTCCTCCTCATCTTCCCAGCCATCTTCACCCTCCTTCTCGGTCTCCTTGCTACAGTTTGCGGTCAATTTATCAGCAACCTTCCAAATGTGCACGACATTGTCATCGGACGTGCTGGCTAAACACCAGTCGATCTCAGGATGCCAACTCAAGTCTTGGACGCTGGAGGTGTGCCCTGCGTGCATCATGAAGATCTCCGGCGCGCCGTCCTCCAAGTCGTCCTGCTGCTGCTCCTCGCCGATCTTGTAGAGGTCCCACAAGAGCACGCGACGATCTTGCGAGCCTGACGCAAGGATACCGTCGCGGTGCGGCGACCACTCCATTGACGTGATCGACTCTGAGTGGCCCATCAATGTGTGTAGCTTACGGTCCATGCGTCTGAGGTCGAACAAATCGATCGTGCTGTCAGCGTTGCCCACAACCATCAAGTTGGCAGAAAAGTTGTTGAAGGCCAAGGAGTTGATGGCGCCGTTCTTACCCGCGCGCTTGATTGGCTTTTCCGCGGCTCTGACGTCCCACAAGAGGAGGTTCGTGTCATCGGAAACCGAGCCAAATACGTTTTCGTCAAAGTGGTGCCACTTGACGTCGTTGACGATGTCGCTGTGCTTCACCACGAGGAGCGGTGCCACTGGTTTCTCAGTGTCCCAGATCGCAACCGTCTGGTCGTCAGACCCGGTTGCGAGATACCCCTTGCGACGCGGACTCCAATTGAGCCCGTACCCGTTGCTGGTGTGGTGCTTAAGCTCGACTACGCCCGCACTGTTTGTCTTGTATAACGACACAAGCCCACTGCCAGAGATTGTCGCGACGACCGTTGCGTCCTGCGACATGTACCGCGCGCGGTTGATCTCCGCGTCCGCGTGGCGGTACTTTTTGGTCACCTTCAAGCGCGAGTTGAGCTTCGCCTCAGAGGGCCCTTTGAAGTCAGGCAACGTGACGCTCGCGACTTTCAAGTAGTTCACATCTTCGTTCGAAGTGTGTGTCCCCAACAACAACCGCGACGTGAGTGTGTGGTCGCCCTTCTCTGACTCGGGGTGCCACTGTACCGTGAGAGACGGCCACGTGAGCGCCGTCTCGGAAATGTAGTCATACATATAGTGACAATTCTGTCTCCATAGTTTGTATTCCTCCTGGATGGTGAGTTCTTCGTTTTCCTCGGGCGCGCTCATGGTGATAGTGACTGGTTGTAGAGTGGTGGGGAGGATAAAAAACGTATCGTTTTTACGCGTTTTCGTTATGCCTTTTCGCAATCCAATATTTCGCGAACTGTAAACAGATGATTCGCGAAACAAAAACCGGATGAAGGGCTGTTGGAGTGGGAACGGTGTTTCAGAGCAGATGACTAAAGAGTTCAAGGTAGGTGGAATGGTTGAAACATCTATGGCTCCAAATGACTAGAGTCAAGACTGATTTTAATGGCTTGTAAAACCAATGAACTCTATACCTGGCTCTACCATGGTTATGGCACTGTGCTCACACAAGCTTCTTTGTGTGAGTACTAACCTCTAAAACTAAGTGACTTATAACCCTAACTAATACACACACCATTTCGGCCCGTGTATTTGAAGATATAGCCAAAATGACCAGCTTTGATCTCCTGTCTTAACTCCCTTCTGTCTGTCACGTGATTGCGCACGTGTGAAAAAACACACGAAAAAACTACACCTTTGCACTGAAAAATTCCACCCGGTAAATCAGTACTAGTCTTGACACTCTGCCTCCATAACTTCACCTATTATGATCAGACCACAATTAGTCAGACACTACGCCTCTGCTCGCCGTGCCAAGCATTGCACGGTCCAGTTGTTGAGGGACCATGCCAACGTCGGCCAGAAGGGCGAAATTGTCCAGGTGTTGGCCTCCGCCATGAGAAACTACTTACACAGAGACAATGGTGCCGCGTACGTGTTGGCTGGTGAAGCGCCCCGCATTCCAGTTGTTGAAGCGAAGAAGCAGTTGCTGTCCAGAGAGAGAGCTGCGGCCGAGGCCAAGAAGGTGGTGGTTGTCAAGGCGCCAGAAGCCAAGGGTCCTCAGACCCCTAAGCCAGCCTTATCGTTGGAAGCCTTGAGCCAGTTAATCGCCGGCCGTAAGAATACCAACACTGCGAAGCTTGCGGCGAACATTACATCCACCACCCCGGAGCTCATCTCATACGAGTCGTTAGAGTCTATCCCAGCCAACTTCCTTTTCAGAGCCACCACCGACAGCTCCGGTGCCTTGGAGACCGTTGTAGACAAGACCGCCATCTCCAAGCGTATTTTCGGAATGACTGAGGTCGATGTGCCTGCTGGGCTCATGACCTTGAGCTATGTCTCGCCTGCCGGCAGGTCCTACGCAGTCGAGGCTGTCGACTTCATCGGGACCTACAAGGTGACCATTTCCGTCCCAGGTGAAGCCCAGAAGATCCACAGATCGTTGTTGGTCAAGTCTGTCAACTTTAAGAACCAGTTTGAGTTGGGTTTGGACAGACCGCAGACGGTTGCGGCGGAAGCGAAAGAGGAGGAAGCTAAGTAAGAAAGATCGAGGCAGCTGTATATAGTAGAACAATGTATTTATATTCCAAGACAACAAATTCTGTTTAATCGGTGGTATAGGGAAAAGCTATACCCGGACGATGGTAGAAGCTGGGGTAGGCTTTATGTCTAGATGCACTTTGGAGTTTGAGGTTAATGGGCAATATTATGGATCACCGGTGATCCACTTTCACCAATAGAGCGGCTACAACGGTGGTTTTATTGCTGTGAGTAACGAAAAGGTTTCCTTTCATGCCGATATATTAGCTGGGTGATCCCTTTCTCCCTATAACTAATGGCACATATACCCTTTCTACTTTGAGAACTACATCCTCATTTTCGCATGGTATATTGTTAGATAATTTTCGGTGTAAGTAGTGTTTCTATACCTGAGGGCTATTTAGAGCACCGAATTACCGGTAATGGACCATAAAAGTGGGTTAAAGGTTTGACCCTCCGTGTGTATCGTGTCGCTGGCATCACTCCTTAGTCATTCGCAGATGACGGACTGGTACTGGCAACTTATCGTATATAAAGAGCCGTGGTTCTTACTCTTTGTTTATATATTTAAAGATAAAACATAATTTTCGATAAGATTCCCTGGAATACTCCTCTTTGACCAAATTCCTTCGAAGTAACCAGTCTCAATATGGATGAGAAAATCTTGCTAGTTATATATTTCTACTTGGACGTGGCCGTCGATATAACAATAGCCTCATCGCTTTAATCACATCTCTGATGAAAGTCACTTGGTGGTAAAACTTTAGGCAGAATAAACAGAAACATTAAGAGATTGAAAAAAAAAACAGTTTGAACATGGTAGACGTCTCTACTTTTAGCCTGTCTGTTATTCTAAAAGCCTTACCCCACACTTGCGTGCAGTCTCGAATTTTTCACTGCAAAACGTAGGTGAAAAATCACCTTATTTACATCCTCTAATATCCCCACCAAAGACTACAATGACCGTCCAGGAACTTACCGATGAGGTGGAAGTCATCGAAGCCATCTACCCCTCAACTGCTAGCCAGCTAGCGCCCCAGATCTACGAGTTTAGGCTCCCGGCAGCGGTGGACCTAGAGCATGACTACGGCGCCAAAAATATCACGATAACAATGTCGTTCGCCGAAACGTACCCTGACACAAAACCCGATATCGTTCTCGTTCTGAATCTGAACGAGACAGATTTTGTGGATGTGGGCTACTACGAGCGCACGTTCAACGAGCTCCTCGAGGCGTCCTTCCAGGAGGGAATGGTGTGCCTCCTCGACTGTTTAAGCCAGATTGACGAATTTCTTTTCGAGCAGCAAGACAAAAACCTGACACGAATTGCCAAAGAGGAGAAGAAGGCTGAAGAAAAGGCAAGGATCGAGGAAAAGGCAAGGGCCGAGGAAAAAGCAAGGGCCGAGGCTGGTATGCTGGTGGGAGAGGCCAAGACGGAGCATACAGAAGTGAGCGGAGGTGAAAACTCCGATTTAGCTTTCAACAACTTTTCCATCTCTGTCCCCAAGTTTGAGTTGCTTCCAAAGTTCACACCTGATATTTTCTCCGGCTGGACAATCTCCGAACCGATTCTCGATCGTAAGTCCACTTTTATCGCGTATGTCAGACCGGTGCACTCTCTCCAAGAAGCACAACGACACCTCGCTGCGCTCAAGACGGACCGTAAGATTGCGCGCGCGGCACACAACATGACCGCTTGGCGCATATGCAACAATGACGCAGTGGGTTCCACAATACAAGACTGCGACGACGACGGTGAAGCCGCTGCGGGTGGCCGCTTGCTACACTTACTAACGGTATGTTTGCTTTACTATACAGAGATCAGCACTAACAGCTTAGCTTATGGATGTGTGGGACGTGATGGTAGTGGTCAGCCGCTGGTTTGGCGGAATTCACCTCGGGCCGGACCGCTTCAAGCATATCAATGCTGCCGCGCGCGACGCTATTGTCAAGGCGGGCTTCGACGTCGCGGGCGCCAAGGCGCGAAAGAAAAAGTAGCTACTTCTTCTGTTTCTTGCTCACGCCGTTCTTCAGCTCCGCCTTCCTCTTGGGAGCGGGGTCCTCCTTCTTCTTCCACAATTCATCAAGGAACTCCTTGGACTCACCCTCCGCGAGCTTCTCCGCCGCTTCCTTGACCTAAATGGTTAATATCGTGCAAGAGTTGGGGAATTGCCGGGTATTTGAGTATATATCAAAGTCGAACATTGGGCCAAATTTGTAGACCGTATTGAGAAGAGCTCTTATTTTTTGGATAACTCTCAAAGGTGGAATATATGGTTTAAGGTATCGGATATACTCTCAGGTATAAGGAGACACCGTTACACTGCCATAGAATCAGATATTTCTCTTCGCAAAACTGGTGATCAATTTCGTGGTATCATTCAAGCTTGGATAGTGTTATCACAAACTATACGCCTTCAGTAATGCTGTATCCAAGTCTTTGGCACTGATTTATCTCACACAGTGTGTAAAAATCGTTTTATCCCACAGAATGGTGCGCCTCTTACACAAAACTTTGTGTAAATACGGATATCTCACGATTTGCTACCATATTGCTCTCACCTTGCGACATTGGATTTCTCAATCTTTATCTAACCCAATGGCAAGCTTATCCCCCTCAGAACCTTCTCAAAGATCAAACAAGCTCTGACATGTCACGCTCTGAAAACTTTCATACATACCTCTTTGCTCGCAGAATCACCCCAGGTTTTTCTACCAACCTTTGGCTCTTCCTCGACCACAACCTCTGCAGTCGTACCAATAGCATTTATGCTGGAATAGCCCACATTAATAACCTGGGCACGGGCCTTTGGCTTGGCGTAGCGGGCGGCCAACGGTGATTTCCACTCAGACAAGTCGTGGTACTCCTTCTGTTTCTCCTCCTGCTGGAGATCCGCCTGTTTGATTTCCGCGCGTCTCATGAACTTCATGTTCATGACACGCGACGATAAGGAGTTGTTATCACTCATTGTATATATGATTTCTAGCCGTCCTTTACCACCGTGAATATGTTACCAATGAGATAAATGCCAGGTCCTGCATAATTTTCTTCCCGGGTAACCTCATCGAATTATGCGGCTCAGACATGACATTGATTTTATACGAGTATACTCCACCAAGTTGAAAATAATATACAAAATCCCCCCTAAACTACCACAACCATTTAGTACTCTACATTATAAATCTCTTATATCTACCCTTCTTCTCGACTATCTTAATTTTCGTCCCTCTAAACGTAGCCAACCGTTTGCCGCCTAGCATTCACCTCCATTCTGCGTATAGAGACGGCAAAAAGTATCTTGCTTCCTCCCCATCACATATCTATATACTCCAAACCACCCAGTCCCCCCGAACTTTATTATTTATCTCCGTTCTACTCTCCTTCCCTTCCGGCCTATAACCCCGATTTCAATGCTAGCCGACCGTTAGTCACGTGCTTTATCACTCCCGGGTAACCTCATCGAAAAATATCCTGCGGCTCACTGAAAAATTATTCTACCTTATTTAGCTCTCTCAACTGCATCGTATATCACAATCCCTTTTCACCCACAATGAAATCCGACTTTAAATTTTCCAACTTGTTGGGGACCGTGTACCGCCAAGGTAACCTTGTGTTCACGCAGGACGGAACGGTGTTGCTCTCGCCCGTAGGAAACAGGGTGTCCGTCTTCGACTTGACCAACAACAAGTCCTTCACCTTCCCATACGAGCACCGCAAAAACATTCTGCGCATTGCGTTGAACAAACAGGGCTCATTGTTGTTGTCTGTGGACGAAGACGGAAGGGCTATTTTGGTCAATTTCCGCGCCAGAACCGTGTTACACCACTTCAACTTTAAGGATGCCGTATTGGACTTACAGTTCTCGCCGGACGGCACCCACTTTGCCGTCGCGTGCAGCCGCTTTATCCAGGTCTGGAAGACGCCGGACTTGACGGAGGACCGTCAATTTGCGCCGTTTGTGCGTCACCGTGTCTACGCAGGTCACTACAGCGACGTGACGTCCGTGACCTGGTCCCAGGATTCGCGCTTCTTCATCTCCACCTCCAAGGACATGACCTCGCGCCTCTTCTCGTTGCACTCCGAGGAGAAGTCTGTGGCAATGACCTTGGCTGGACACCGTGACTACGTCATCAAGGCATTCTTCAACGAGGCCCAGGACACTATCTACACGCTCAGCAAGGACGGGGCGTTGTTCAGATGGGAGTACACCGAAAAGCCGACCGATGAAAGTGAGGATGAGAGCGAGGAGGAAGACGAGTCCAGGATGAGCTGGAGGATCGTGGCAAAGAACTTTTTCTTCTCCGAGGCAAAGGTCAAGACCGCCACGTTCCACGCCAAGACCAACATGTTGATTGTTGGTTTCACCAACGGTGAGTTCCGCCTCTACGAGCTCCCGACCTTTACATTAATCCAGCAGTTGAGTATGGGCCAGAATGAGGTCAACACCATCAGCATCAACGCCACGGGAGAGTGGATCGCATTCGGGTCGAGCAAGGTTGGCCAATTGTTGGTTTACGAATGGCAATCCGAGTCGTACATTCTCAAGCAACAGGGCCACTTCGACTCGATGAATGCGTTGGCATATTCGCCAGACGGCTCGAGGATCGTCACGGCCTCTGACGATGGGAAGATCAAAATCTGGGACGTAGTCTCTGGCTTCTGCCTCAACACCTTCTCCGAGCACACGTCTGCGGTGACGGCGGTTCTGTTTGCTAAGAAGGGTCTGGTGATGTTCTCTGCCTCCTTAGATGGGACTATCAGAGCCTACGACTTGGTTAGGTACCGTAACTTCAGAACCTTCACCGCCACCGAGCGTGTCAAGTTCAACTCTTTGGCGGTCGACCCGAGTGGGGAGGTTGTCTGTGCTGGTTCTGAGGACACCTTCGAGATTTACGTCTGGTCTGTACAGACGGCACAGTTGCTCGACACGTTATCCGGGCATGAGGCGCCAATCTCGTGCCTCGCTTTCGGCAGTGAAAACTCCGTGTTGGCAAGTGCCTCGTGGGATAAGACGATCCGTGTGTGGAGCATTTTCGGTAGATCGCAGCACGTGGAGCCGTTCAACATATACTCAGACGTTTTGGCGATTGCAATGAGACCGGACTCGAAGGAGGTTGCTGTGTCTACCTTGAGCGGCCAGCTCCAGTTCTGGGACATTGAAAACGCCAAGCAGGTCAATGCCATCGACTGCCGCAGAGACATCTTGCGTGGGCGGTACCAGGAGGATGGCTTTACGGCCAAGAACTCCAGCAGAGGTAAGAACTTTAACACCATCTGCTACAGCTTTGACGGGTTGTCCTTGGTGGCGGCCGGTATCAATAATTCTATCTGCCTTTACGATATCCGCAACGAGGTGATGTTGAAGCGTTTCACCGTGTCGCAAAACATGCAGTTGAGCGGGACCTTGGAGTTGCTCAACTCCAAAAACATGACTGAAGGTGGCCCGTTGGACTTGATAGACCGCGACGGTGAGCACTCAGACTTGGAAGACCGTATTGACACAACCTTGCCGGGCTCCCACCGCGGTGACCCGTCGGCCAGAAAGACCCGTCCAGAAGTCAGAGTCATGGCGATCCAGTTCTCTCCTACTGCCGCCTCATTTGCTGCCGCCTCTACCGAGGGGTTGTTGATCTACTCGGTTGATAGCAGCGTGGTGTTTGATCCGTTCGACTTGGACGTCGACGTCACGCCAATGGCCACCCTCGAGTGCCTCAAGGGCAAGGAGTACCTCAACGCACTCGTCATGGCCTTCAGATTGAACGAGCAGTACTTGATACACCAGGTATACGAGAGTATTCCGATTATAGACATTGCCTTGGTCGCTCTGGACCTCCCAGTCGTGTACGTTGACCGCTGCTTGAGATTCGTCGCCCTGTTGGCAATGGACTCGCCGCACATCGAGTTCAACTTGTTGTGGATCAAATCGTTGGTTACTGCACATGGTAAGTACATTAACAGGAACAAGGCCGAGTTTGCCGGTGCCTTGAGATCCATCCAGAGATTCATCGCCAGGATCGCCAAGGATGTTGTTACGGTTTCCAAGCGCAACGGCTACTTGTACTACTTTCTCAAGTCGTCTTATGACATCGAGGCTGATGCCAGCGACAGCAACATGCTTGAGGATGTGGAAAGTGACGAGGAGATCGAAGAAGAAAGTAGCGACGAAGAAGGCTGGTTCGGGCCGGAAGGTAAGCAGCCAAGGTCATCGTTCGCTGCCGACTCCGACTCGGAATAATGTATCTGCCAAGTGCCTGTATAATAAAATAAGCATAAGAAACACAAGGTAGGACCGGTTTGTAGATTAGTGAGCACATGCTCAATGCTAATGGGAAGTTCCAAAAGGATATAAGGCAAGAAATGGCTTCTTGATTTTTTGATCTAATATTCAAATGGCAATTAGCTAGACATTGTTTTTATAATTATCAAAATCTATAAATTCAGACATCGTGAAGCATCTCTCATTTGTTAACTTTTACCCTTAACGGTCTATGTTCAGTATGTGACGTTATGGCCGATGCCAATGCATGCAGCATTGAATATGCAGGACAGCGACGTTTTTCAGCGGAATGAATCACTGTGAACGCTACGTTGAGAAGATATCTTCTTGAGCCTATACCATGTCCGACCAACTTAAGGAACTTGGGAGACAAGCTTTTGTCAAACAGGAATACAAAAAGGCTGCTAAAATCTACCGCGATGCCATCAAAATAGACCCTACCTCCCCAGTACTCTACTCCAACAGGGCAATGTGTTTTGTGAAGATGGAGGACTGGCAGCGGGCTCTTGATGATTGCAAGAAAGGCCTTTCTCACAATCCCGAGCCCAAGCTCCGTGTAAAGCTTCTATGGAGATTTGGGCTTTCGACCCTTCAGTTGGGATTCCCAGAAGAGGCGAGAAAGCGCTATGCAGAGGCGTTGGAGATTGACCCGGGCAACACCACGGTGCTTGATGCTTTGAAAGATTTGGAACGCGATACGCCCTCTAAGAGAGGTAGTAGCCCTTCCAATTCATCCTCCAGCGATGAGAAGCGATCAAAGAACACCTCTGTTGTGTCGTCTGTTGGAGGCAGAGTTGAATTAGTCATTAAGGAGGTAGATACCTTACCCGAAGAATTCAGATCCGCCGACACTCCAAGAAGCCAGAAACCTATCATTGCATTAGAGGAAACCCCCGGAGTGTCCCATTCTGGAATTACCGTTTCGGAGGAGACTCCTTTATCGGCCCATTCCGGGGTTACCGTGTTAGAAGCGCACAGCCTCGGCCTGGAATTTCCTGCGACCCCGACCGTGTACTTTTTGCAGTCCCTCAACAAGATTCCTGAGCACCAGAGGCAAAAAGCGTACGAATATGTGTTGAGCATACCTCCTGAGGTTTACAGAGGGCTTTTCAGCGTTGGTGGTATCGACTCTGATTTTATCGACTTCTCCCTCTCTGCGATCCTCGACCCCACCACCATTGAAAGGGTCCTGAATGCCGAGCACAGAGCGTTAGGCTTGTTGCAGACAATGGCACAGTGCAAGCGGTTTGAACTTAGTGCATCATTCTGCTCCCTGGAGAAGATAGGCAGAGTACTTGAAGCTATACGAAAAAGTGAGGATACTCTAGCTGGTACTGTCCTTCAAACCTGGAGGGAATTTAGCAGTTAGATACATTTATCGGGGATATATTAGAATAAAAAAAGGCTTGTTATGGACAGCAACATCTAGATCATTAAGGTAGGACGTGCCTATTCCATACGCAAACGGGCCTTGAACGTATTGAGATGGGTAGCGTGGAGTCCCTTCTTGTCGCTCAGCAACTCTGGTGGTTGCATAAGTGGGACTAAAAGATCCGGAAGGAGCAGCTCAAAGTCAACCACCTCAAAATGGGTCATTACCTTTGGCCCCGCAAAAACCATTATAAAAGCCATCAATGCGCAGAGGTAGATCAAGGAGTATATCTGTACCGTGGTTCTACGAGATCTTCTTTGTTTCGAGGAAAAGACCCGCGGTCTTATCTGCCTACCCGGCTTTAACCAGAACAACATCAACGAATGCCATCTGTCAATGCACGGAATAAACAAGATGGGGAGCTGAACAAACAAAACACAATGGGTCAAGAAGAAATCGCTGGTGAACAAGCTGAGTTCGATGATCTTACACAAGTACTCTCTGAGTGGCTGGGTTAGAATATTCCACCCGAGATTTGCCGTGACCCATTTACCAGACCACCATGCACGATTGGACCGGTCGTGAGTGAACTCCCGGGTCAAGAACAAGGCACTGGTTGCTTTAAAGAGAAACCCCTGGACCATAATCGAGGCGCATAGACCAAGAATTGTGCGAGAAATGTTCCAGCGCTGAAAGAGCCATAATAGCTCGAAAAAAAAGACGTGATTCAAGATTGAAATACCATGGGCAATATAAGCAATGGTAGAGGGGAAATGAGGATAGCAGACGGATACCAAGGGCCCCAAGACACACGATACGACAAATAAAACCACCAAGAACGACATGTTCACAATAATCGGCCCCACCGACACGAAAGCTAAGCGCATGATGGAGTTTGCCCGGTCTGCATTCCGCACCTCATTTTGAGAGTTTGAAAACAAATAAGCGATAATCACCAAGCTAGTGGTGATGGCGTGGGGCCCGAGATCGGAAACCAAGAGGCTGACGGCTGAGGGCTTTCTAAAGTCTGATGCCAAATTATCTCCTGGCTTTCCTAGTTGCTTTCTTTTGGATCCCGTGATTTGGGTTCGGACGGAACGAACATAAGAGATCCAGCTGCTCTTCCGTATGCTGGTGTTCCCACTCGCCAACCACACCAAGAAATGTTTATAGTCGATGAAGAATTCGTTCCAGGAAAACTGATTTGGGTTGTAAAGGAAGGGACAGATCAAAAGAGCAATGATTGTTATCCATAGGTAGAGTAATGACAATTTCCACATAGAAAGTGAGCAAAAGACGATCATGAGAAAGGCGATAGCGCCAAAATGCATGCTCTCCGAGGAAAATCTCGAATATAGCACCGAAAACGGGACTCGAACCGTGGCAAACCCTCTGCCCGTGGCAATATACCTAGCACCTCCAACTGCCAAATCATTGAGCAAGGAGGTGGCATAGATTTTGCAAACAAAAACTTCAAACAACGGCGAGCACGATGCAAAGTGTTTACCGAGTCTCGACAACGCTCGCCAGACACCCCGCTCCATGACTTCCTGGACACATAGAGGCACAAAGGAAATCGCAAAAACGATAAAGATGGAGAGAATGCACCTCTCAAACCACTCCACAATCGGGATCAAATTGTAACAGCCTGGAGGTCGGTGGGGGTCGGTAATGGGCTTGTTGCGATCATACTCACAGATTACCGAGTCCTTGGTCAACACTGCAAGATTTACGCACACCACCAAGAGTAACTTCACTGACAAAATTATGAACACATTGTTCAAATGGAAGCCAGGGTGCGCATAATAGAAAGAAAGGAACCGATCAAGTGGAAGCTGCGTTCCCAAGTAGAAGTATTCCCGGGAGAGCATTTGCTCTCCCATACCCGCGCCAATCTTTGTGGTAAAGTTCAAAATAGACCCAAACCCAAGATCTCGCCCTTTACCACATTGGATATATTCGCAATGCTTGATCCTTCCACCCCTAAGTAGTACGTTCATTCCCGCGTAAATGTCCTCATTGAGATGTAATCCCTTTTGAGCCTTGGAAACCCCCCCTCTAGTATTCATGAAGATACTGTTCAAAAAATCCGGATGGCCGTAGTGTAATTTACCTCCAATTTGGGCCAAGGTTCTGGCAAACAACGTACCGAATGTCTGTTCCTTTCCTGCTGCGACGTCTCCGAGAATTCCAATGTTCTCAGAGAAGATGTATTCTCGGGTACCGATGATGGCCACGGGGGTGGTATACGAAGTAGAGCTATTTTCGGGGTCGTATAAATCATCAGGGATGCTCATTTCCTCAAACTCGGCCAAGAGACTTCTGATCTTTAAGCATTCCTCCAAGTAGTTGTCCTGGTTAGCGTCAACCAACTGTATGTATTCACCGCGACAGAAGATGATCGCGTGGTTCTGGTTGTCCGACTTACCATCACCGAGAATCGGGTTCCCTGACAACCGGATACGGTACTTCAGCTTTCGCTTACCGTTTCCTAAAATCTCACAGCTACCGTCCACGAGCGAAGAGTGGTACGTGGTTTCGCCCGTTTCCAAAGATACTTCCTTCTCAATGAAGGCAAGCTGCAACTCAGGGTAGGCTCTCAACAAAAACTCTTTGCTCTCCTCTTCTTCGGTCGTGAAGTCGCTCATTCTCTGCATCGAAACGATTAATCGAAACTTCCTTAGCGCCATGATCGACGCCTCCTCGAGCTTCCTCTGTTCGCTTCCTCCAAAGTCTCCGATGTCAGGGTTCTCCACATCAAAAAGCAATTTGATCGCACGTGAGTGATTCATGAAGCCCGAGATGGTCCTATACAACGTTTGCGATCTCAACGAGGCCCAAATACGAGTTCTCAAGACATATTCTGGAGTGGCCACTTTGAACCCCACGCTGTAGAACGGCAAATCATCCTGCTTTTCCTTGATGCCAAGTTCTTCGTATGTACCTGGAGATTGGAAGCTCTCCTGGGCCAACAGCTTAGTGTCACTGACAAAATTCTCCCACTCTACGGGGTGAAGCTGCTTCAAGTATTCCAAAAGGGTCACACTACTGTACTGGTCTTCTTCCTTGATGATTTCCCTCAAGGACAAGGTGATCTTTTCGCTGTAGTGGGGAATCAAAACGGTAAAGGTTGGCATTTGCTCGGTTGGTAGCGCCTCGGGCATGGGAGTGGAGAGCGATTGAGCAAAGAACGTGATTCGTCTCTGGGCTTCTCCGATGGACTCAAATAATGACGATTGGAGTGACTGGTCTTCCTGCGACACAAAGAACGTGGGTTCCTTCAAAATTACTCCCCCTTCCACCCCCGGAGTGATCGTCTGATGGTAGATTAGCCGCTGCACCATCTCCATGGATAGTAAATGTTCACGATACATGGAGATGATAACCGAGTTCCAGATTTGGGACACCAACACCTTGGCCTTGACGTTTCGATCGCTCGTAGCGATGACCTTGGAGAAGATTCGCTTTGGCAATCGCGAGAATATGTTTCTCCAGGGGGTCCAAATCGACACTCCGATGTAGAACGACCGACAGACTGAAAAGATGGTGTTCCAGACAATATACCACAAGTATGTGTCAAGGAAGAACAATACCAAATCGGTCAAGGCCATCAAGGCGAGAAGAATCACTGGCTGGTAGCGGCAAAGCGCATCTCCAAAAAACAGCTCCCCGACACACCGCCGCATTTGCATGATACTCAACTCCCGAATGGGATCTCTGAACGAAAGCGTGAGAAACACGTACGACTCGAGGAACTTGGCGGTGAAAACGGCAATCCAAAGCCCACATGAAGCAAGCTTGTCCTTCAGGTTCAACTTGGAAAAGGAAGCAGTGAAGGTCTTGTTTGGGAGATACTTCCGAGATGACGACCCGCGATGCCCACCAAACAAGTCACTGAGTGGGGTGATGGAGAAGTAGATGGTGGTGAGAATCGAGAACACAAACTGGGAAATGGAAATTGCCAAGCCATGACTGGTTTCCGACCTCAACGGTGTGAGAAACAAAAGATATATGGATGGGAGGAGGTTGAGCAAAAACACCAACACTAAGAGAACAACCCGCTTCACCAAACCCTGTGCCCCGGTCCATTTTCGTGGGACAAAAGAGTACTCAAAGAACGTGGCAAATATGTTAATGAGGGAAGCAATAGCTCCGGCAAGAGACATGGCTGATAACTTGGCTTGGACTGTGGGCTGGGTGTTCAATGACTGCTGGTAGTTTGACACATAGAGCGTCGGAGCGTTGAGCGACGTATAGTACCAGAAGACGGAGACGTGGATGATCCAGATACGGTTGAAGTTAACAAGGGCGTGGAACCAGCTGCGTTTCTCGCTGTACGTCTTGTAAAACGCCTTCTTCCAATTCAAGTTGCTGAGCTGTGAATACCGTTCGTGTGGTGCCAAAGACATTAGTTGTACTTTCTGGTCTTTCAAGTATAACCGCTCTAACCCCTTTCTGTACCAGAATAGTTGGTTCATATCGTCGTAGCCAATCACATTCTTGTGGTCTTTTGGGCGGTTGCGATACACGCCGTTCACCAACTCGTATGACTGGTCACGGTAGAACTCGTACAACGGCGTGATGGCATGGTCGAGAAAGCTCGGGGTGCACTGGGGCAAGGCTTCGGCTTGTGACAAGTCGAGTGAGTAGAAGTAATCATTGCAGCACTTAAAAATGAAACAGAGACATTCTGGCATGAATCTGACATTATTAGCCTCTCCCCAGCACAACAAGTACAACGCGACTTGGGTCACACAGTCGGCTGGGAGTAAGCCGGCCATGTTCTTGTTCCAGAGAATTTCGGTCTTATCCATCGAAAAGCCTTCGTCGAACCCGGCGGATCGAATACCGAAAACATCCTTGGGGGCCCCCGTCTCCTTGGCATTGGCGTAACCGATGGTGTCGTCTACATCCAACTGGGCGGCAAAATACCATTTCTTGAAGTTGGCGTTCAAGCCGCCGATGTAGTCGGCATGCAACGAACGCAAGGCCTGGTGAGCACTCATGCGGGAACTTCTGGAATCCAACAACCTCAAAAAGTGATCAAACATATTTCTCGTGTTGTCCATCTGGAAGCCAAAAATGTGCGTTAATTGGAGAAAGACGGATTCGATATCGGAACGCGTGACGGGGACCTCATCGGCCAAGTTCCACGAAGGGTATGGGTCGTAAGGGTCGTCAAAAATGTCACAGCCGCCATCGGCGAATGGACCATCCGCAGAAACCTCCTTGTCGAGCTTCGTGATCCCGTACATGTCACCTAACCTCCCGGCATCATTCCACCTTCCAGAGGTCAAGTATGGCGTACGAAACCCGCTCACTGGCATAGCCGTTTTATCCGTATAGACCGAATTGAAAGCGGTGCAATGGGGATCCATAAAAGGGGCTAAATACGGGTTAGTACACACGTTTCTTTGTCACACAAAGGGTAGGTCGTACGCAAAAGGGGGGACTTTCCAACTCCAATGCGACGGTTTGATTGGTCATCGGCTTCAAAGTTGGCGCTTTCACCGTCTTTCTCAGAAGCTGAATACAAGGAAGCGCTACTATCGTCGGCGACGACGTGGTGGCGAAGGAGGGAAACCATTCCTAGCGATCTTCAATCCGGGGTGTTCCGTGTTTTGTTATATCGGTTGTAAAGGAAGCACTGGGAAGTGTATAGAAGGGACAATTCAGTATTTTGTGGAATTCATTTATCCATCTAAATTGAATCGATGGAGGTGTTTTGCGGGCGGCTAATGCATGAAACGCTTACATTTGTGTAGGCGGCTAGCGTACGCGCGTCAACTCCACAAACCGCCAAAAAGTGGAAAAATAACAATATTTCTGGTATTTTCTATGGGATAAATATTAAGTAGCGGAGTCATGCATTTTTTTTTTTTTTACTTTGAGTTTGCGACAATAGTGTGGTGTATCTATTCAGATAAGTAACTGGTTCCTTGATTCACGGAATACATTTTGCGGGGAAGTAGAATTTTCACTAGCAAATGAAGGTTCGATTGTATCTGAATAAGGCGCTTTTATGGTACAATACCTAAGGTTATGAAATAATTGTCAGACTTAACAGTCATTTAACCGGCAGGTTATACTTTTCGTCGGGCTAAAAATTCAAATGTACAGGTATGACATTTCACCAGTTCAGTAAAGCTTTTACAGCGGTTACGTGCATAACTGTAAAATTTAATATTAAGGATGCATACACATGTGTATGTACATATATACATATCGGATAACCACATCGGTAGCCATGTACACAATAGTAGGTTTCTTCCCGAAAGATTTTACATTAAATATGCTTTTATATTGCATTCTCTATAACTATTATTAAATCTCAGAAAATTTAAAACTAGAAATAGTTGCTGCTAAAATAGCTATATACCTAACTGTAACTTATATTGGAAAGCTCATACACGGTTATCGATATCGCTGTATATAACCAATGATGTATATACACCATAGAGTATAGACGTTAAAAAAAGACCAAGGGTTCGAATAATCTCTATAGAGCCACTCCAACACTTGAAATAACAATCCCAGTCTAGGTTTCCCCTATAATATGCAAACACTAAATATCTGCCTCCGAGTCGCGGTACGTTATGTATGTCCGCGGTAGCTGCCATCAACGTTACGATACTCCTGAACCAACAGCATAGCAGTGGCAATTAACCACCTTCGCAGGTTTTGACTGTGTGGGATAGGTAATTTGACCCGCCGAGGTATGTAACACCGAAACGCATAAACTACCCAACGTATACATGTTTCTATCTATATGCCAATGTATACTCCTGGGTCGCCTAGGCTTAATGTCCCCTAAATCCCTGTGTCGTTTAAGGTTCAACAGCTAACCATTGAAAATAAGAGCCGTAACAAATATCCTTAACTTGTATCTCGCTGGTCTCCTCTACTCGTTAAGGTTTTCGAAGCTCAGCATGGAAAATACATTTTCCAGTGCCCAACAACGGAAGGCAAGATTAGGGTCGAGGTTCTGTGCAGGATTTCGTAAACAACATGCAGCCTCTGGGAATACCATCCTTGGGGGGAATGGCCAACATAAACCCCCGTAGGAGCCCTAAAAAGCAGATTCACAGCATTTTTCTAGGAGAACATATTTCAGAGGATCGGATACCTCTTATATGATTACCGAGAATCATTCTGGGCAAGCTCAATCGCCTTTATTCATCGAAGCTCCTTTTAACCCCACGGTGCATACAATATACCGACTACTTAAAGCTTACGGGCCGGAGATAGCAGGGCGTCATACCATTGGAATTAGGGTTTGAGGAGCCCAGTAAAAAAAACCCTTGTCTCCAATAGCCTTTACCTATCCCAACACAAATCTGTCGAGTAATCCCAGTTTTCTTCTTGTGAACCATATATTACGTAACGAAAATTATGTATTCGGGATATACCAAAGTTAACCATAACACCAACCTAGATGGCAGCATGCAGGATCTGCGGTGCTCTACCTTTCTTGCATTCAATGTATCCTCTATCCTGCATAGCGACAGTCAAAATGTTGGCCCAATTTTTTTCGCACTTGCTAGGCGGTGCGGCACGGCCTGAGGCATTGGCGATGCGATTTGATTCCGCCTGCATATTAGTAGTCCTGCATGGTACTTCCCCCATAACTTGCGGCGATGTCAGCCGCCAGTATATATACTCTGGCGACACGCTCGCCCGTTTGCAATCGTGAATCTGGCATATTTCTGACTTTGTTTTATCCCCCCCCTGAAGCAGTCTTATCTTCATCCTTATACAATAGTTTTGTCCCTGTTTAATTCGTTTGGCATTTTACTTTCTGCCATTGGTCGCCACGTTAATACAAGGTACGTATACGCTAACCCCCACCCATAACGAAACATGACACGGCCTCCCTTAAAATACCACGGCGTCTTTTGTCGCTCATTCAGCAACTTCAACAACTCCATAAGCCAACTCGGAAAATTTCTGTTTTGTAATATCCCAGTTTGAAAAACGCCCTTGTTTTCAGTTTCTCTGCTGTTCCTGCACAAACCGTGAGGCCCAACGAAAAAAACTCGGCGGCTCAAAATTTAAGGTTCGCTCGACAGCTGGAAAACGGCAGCCGCAGGATTGTGGATAAGACGACAAACTCCAAAAAACCAGCCCGAACTCTCGTATATGGCTGCCCCTGCTTGTGTCTTGTTTTGTTTATGAGTGCAATTGCGTTACTCAGACCACTCACTAACACCTTTAGCAAGCATTTTTCCCCCTCCCTAAACCCGTTCCGATACCTTATTTATCCCCATTCCAGACGCGCTGTCCATAGTATGACCGATTACACATCCCTCCATAAATCACTACCACCTCACTACGTGGGGTTGAACACCCTCGCGGTTGCTGAGGCCGGCCCCGTGAAAGACTTTGTTGCCTCCCATGGTGGGCACACCGTCATCACCAAGGTGTTGATCGCCAACAACGGTATCGCCGCTGTGAAAGAGATCCGTTCCGTCCGCAAGTGGTCGTACGAGACCTTTGGCGACGAAAAAGCCATCACCTTCGTCGTTATGGCCACCCCAGAGGACCTCGAGTCCAACGCCGAGTACATCCGTATGGCTGACCAGTACGTCGAAGTTCCGGGTGGCACCAACAACAACAACTACGCCAACGTCGAGTTGATTGTGGATATTGCCGAGAGAACCAAGGTCCACGCCGTGTGGGCCGGTTGGGGTCACGCCTCCGAGAACCCCTTGCTTCCGGAAATGCTCGCCGCCTCTCTGGAGAAGATCTTGTTCATTGGGCCTCCAGGTTCGGCCATGAGATCTCTTGGCGACAAGATCTCCTCCACCATTGTGGCCCAGCACGCCAAGGTTCCGTGTATTCCGTGGTCCGGCACCGGTGTGGACACCGTTCATGTCGATGCCGAAACCGGCCTCGTGTCTGTCGACGACGACATTTACCAGAAGGGCTGTTGCACCGGGCCAGATGATGGTCTTGTCAAGGCCAAGGCCATCGGATTCCCAGTCATGATCAAGGCGTCTGAGGGTGGTGGTGGTAAGGGTATCCGTAAGGTCACCCGCGAGGAGGACTTCCACTCCTTGTACCTCCAGGCTGCCAACGAGATCCCTGGTTCTCCTATCTTCATCATGAAGCTCGCCGGAGACGCCCGTCACTTAGAGGTGCAGCTTCTTGCCGATCAGTACGGTACCAATATTTCTCTTTTCGGCCGTGATTGTTCCGTGCAGCGTCGCCACCAGAAGATCATCGAGGAGGCCCCTGTCACTATTGCGGACCAGGCCACCTTCCACTTGATGGAGAACGCTGCCGTCAGATTGGGCCAGCTTGTGGGCTACGTCTCTGCCGGTACTGTCGAGTACTTGTACTCCCACTCTGATAACAAGTTCTACTTCTTGGAGCTCAACCCCAGATTGCAGGTCGAGCATCCAACCACTGAAATGGTTACCGGTGTCAACCTTCCTTCCGCCCAGTTGCAGATCGCGATGGGTATTCCAATGCACCGTGTCAAGGACATCCGTTTGATGTACGGTGTGGACCCACACACTACCACCGAGATCGACTTTGAGTTCAAGACCGAAGACGCCTTGAAGACCCAGCGTCGCCCGGTTCCTAAGGGCCATACTACCGCTTGTCGAATCACTTCCGAAGACCCGGGTGCCGGGTTCAAGCCTTCCGGTGGTACGCTTAATGAATTGAACTTCCGTTCATCCTCCAACGTGTGGGGCTACTTCTCCGTGGCCAACCAGTCGTCCATCCACTCCTTCTCTGACTCTCAGTTTGGCCATATCTTTGCGTTCGGTGAGAATCGTCAGGCCTCGCGTAAGCACATGGTTGTCGCCTTGAAAGAGTTATCGATTCGTGGTGACTTCCGCACCACCGTTGAGTACCTTATCAAGCTTTTGGAGACCCCTGATTTCGAAGACAACACCATCACCACCGGCTGGTTGGATGAGCTCATCACCCAGAAGCTCACCGCCGAGCGCCCCGACCCTAACATTGCGATTGTCTGTGGTGCCGTCACCAAGGCCCACATCCAGTCCGAAGCCGACAAGACCGAGTATCTCGCCTCTCTCGAGAAGGGTCAGGTGCCAGGTAAGGAGTTATTGAAGACCATCTACCCAGTTGATTTTATCTATGAGGGTTACAAGTACAAGTTCACCGCTGCCAAGTCTGGCATCGACACCTACACCTTGTTCCTCAACGGTTCCAAGTGCGAGGTTGGTGTCCGTCCGTTGTCTGACGGTGGTCTTTTGCTTGCTCTCGGTGGTAAGTCCCACTCTGTCTACTGGAAGGAGGAGGTCTCTGCCACCCGTTTGTCTGTGGACTCCAAGACCTGTTTGTTGGAAGTAGAGAACGACCCCACCCAGTTGAGAACCCCATCGCCGGGTAAGCTTGTCAAGTACTTGGTCGAGAATGGCGAGCACGTTGTCGCGGGCCTGCCGTTCGCCGAGGTTGAGGTCATGAAGATGTGCATGCCGTTGTTGTGTCAGGAGAACGGTAACGTCCAGTTCTTGAAGCAGCCTGGTTCCACCGTCAATGCCGGTGACATTCTTGCCATCTTGGCTTTGGACGACCCGTCGAAGGTCAAGCACGCCCTTCCGTTCCAGGGCACCATGCCCGACTTGGGCTCCCCTACCGTTAAGGGTACCAAGCCGGTACACAAGTTTGTCTCCTTGTTGTCCACTCTCCGGAACATTCTTTCCGGTTTCGACAACCAGGTTGTCATGAACGCCACCTTAACCAGCTTGATCCAGGTCTTGCGTGACCCTGAGTTGCCGTACTCTGAATGGAACCTCGAGGTTTCCGCCCTCCACTCCCGTTTAGACGCCAAGCTCGATGAGTCCTTGAGGTCTTTGGTGTCCCGTTCCCACGAACGTCAGGCTGAGTTTCCAGCTCGCACCATCTTGAAGCAGCTCCAGAAATTCGCCAAGACCCCGGATGCCGACCCGTTATTCGAGCAGGTGGCCGCTCCATTGTTCGACATTGCCACTCGCTACTCTGAAGGTGTATCCCACCACGAATACGCCGTATTTGCCGGCTTGTTGACCGAATATACCCGTGTCGAGCTGCTCTTCGCTGGCCACAACATCCGTGAAGAGGACGTGGTCTTGCAGCTTCGTGATGCCAACAAGTCCGACTTGAACGTTGTTCTCCGCACTGTTTTGTCCCACTCCCGTGTCGGCGCCAAGAACAACTTGATCATTGCCATCTTGGATCTCTACCAGGAGCAGTTCCAGAACTCATCAGCCATCATCGGCGTCTTTGGTCAAGCCCTCAAGGCTATTGTTGACCTCGAATCCCGCTCTTCTGCCAAGGTCACTCTCAAGGCACGTGAGATCATGATCCAGTGCGCGCTTCCGTCCATTAAGGAGCGTTCCGACCAGTTGGAGCACATTCTCAAGTCTTCTGTGCTTGAGTCCTCTTATGGTGAGATCGGCCGCGACCACCGTACCCCGCAGTTGGATGTCCTCCACGATGTTATCGATTCCAAGTACACCGTGTTTGACGTCTTGTCCCAGTTCTTGGTAAGTAAAGACCAATGGGTTGCCACGGCCGCGGCCGAGGTCTACATCCGTCGTTCTTACCGTGCCTACAACCTCTGCGAGGTCAAGTACCATAGCACCTCCGACCTCCCAATTGTCGAATGGAAATTCCAGTTGCCGTCTTTGACATCCGCTGCCTTCAACGCCGTTCCACAAGTGAAGAACGCCCGTCCAAACACCCTAGAGAGGGTTATGTCTGTTTCTGACATGTCCTTTGTTGGTAACTCCGACACCGACATTCTCCGGACCGGTATTCTCGTGCCGGCCCAGCACCTCGACGATGTGGATGACCGCCTTTCCGCCGCGTTGGAGCTTCTTCCACGCAAGGACGCCGGCTTGTCTCTCAACGGGCCGGCTCCTAACCGCAACCAGATCCCAGTTGCTAGTCTTGCCAATGTTTGCAACGTCATCATCAACAACATTGACGGCTACTCTGGCGAAGAAGAAGTCTTGGCCAGAATCCAGGAGATCTTGGAAGACCTCATGGACGACTTGGTGGCTACCTCCATTCGCCGTATCACCTTTGTGCTTGGTAACAACGTCGGTAGCTACCCACGCTATTTCACCTTTAGAGGTCCATCCTACCTGGAAGACATGGCCATTCGTCACATCGAACCGGCTTTGGCGTTCCAGTTAGAGCTTGGAAGACTCTCCAACTTCAACATCAAGCCAATCTTCACTGAGAACCGCAACATTCATGTGTACGAGGCCATTGGCAAGAACTCCGATGTTGATAAGCGTTTCTTCACCAGAGGGATTGTGCGCACCGGCCGTATTCGGGACGACATTACCACTGCCGAGTATTTAACCTCTGAGGCCAACCGTTTGATGTCTGATATCCTTGACGCTTTGGAGGTTATCGACACTTCCAACTCCGATTTGAACCACATCTTCATCAACTTTTCTGCCGTGTTCAACATTCTTCCAGAGGACGTTGAAGCCGCCTTTGGTGGGTTCTTGGAGAGATTCGGTCGCCGATTGTGGAGATTGCGTATCGCTGGTGCCGAGATTCGAATCATGTGCACTGACCCTAAGTCTGGGGTTCCTTTCCCACTCCGTGCCATCATCAACAACGTTTCCGGCTACGTCGTGAAGAGTGACATGTACATGGAGGCCAAGAACGCCCAGGGCGAGTGGGTCTTCAAGTCCATTGGTAACCCGGGTGCCATGCACTTGAGAGCCATCTCCACCCCATACCCAGCAAAGGAATGGTTGCAGCCAAAGCGCTACAAGGCTCACGTTATGGGTACCACTTACGTGTATGACTTCCCAGAGTTGTTCCGCCAGGCTACCCTTTCCCAGTGGAAGAAGCACGAACAGAAGGCTCCAGCCGACGTTTTCACCTACAACGAATTGATTGTTGATGATGCCGGTGAGTTGACCGAGATTTCCCGTGAGCCTGGTGCCAACGCTACCGGTATGGTTGGGTTCAAGGCCACGGCCAAGACCCCAGAGTACCCACGTGGCCGTCAATTCATCATTGTCGCCAACGACATCACGTTCAAGATCGGTTCTTTTGGCCCACAGGAAGACGAGTACTTCAACAAGGTCACAGAGTTTGCCAGAGCCCAGGGTATTCCACGTATCTACCTCTCCGCCAATTCTGGGGCCCGTATCGGTGTTGCCGAGGAGCTCCTCCCGCTCTACCAGGTTGCCTGGAAGGATGCGGCTGACCAGGAGAAGGGGTTCGAGTACTTGTACTTGTCCAGCGAAGGGAAGGCTCAGTTGGAGAAGAATGGTAAGGCTGCCGCTGTATCCACCGAGAGAATTGTTGAAGGTGGTGAAGAAAGACATGTTATCAAGGCCATCATTGGTTCTGAGGACGGTCTCGGTGTCGAGTGTCTTAAGGGTTCCGGTTTGATCGCCGGTGCCACTTCTCGTGCCTACAAAGACATCTTTACCATCACTCTCGTTACCTGCAGATCTGTCGGTATTGGCGCCTACTTGGTCCGTTTGGGCCAAAGAGCTATTCAGATTGAGGGCCAGCCAATCATCTTGACCGGTGCTCCGGCCATCAACAAGTTGCTCGGGAGAGAGGTCTACTCCTCCAACTTGCAGCTTGGTGGTACCCAGATCATGTACCGTAATGGTGTTTCCCACCTTACTGCCTCTGATGACCTTGCCGGTGTTGAAAAGATCATGGAGTGGATGTCTTACATTCCAGCGAAGAGAAACATGCCAGTTCCTATCTTGGAGTCCCAGGACTCTTGGGACAGAGACGTTGACTATGCTCCAACCAGGAACGCGCCATATGACGTCAGATGGATGATTGCGGGTAGAACCTTGGATGACGGGACCTTTGAGTCTGGTTTGTTCGACAAGGACTCCTTCCAGGAGACTTTGTCTGGCTGGGCCAGGGGTGTTGTTGTTGGTAGAGCCCGCCTTGGTGGTATCCCACTCGGGGTCATCGGTGTTGAAACTAGAATGGTTGAGAACTTGTGTCCTGCTGACCCTGCTAATCCAGACTCCACCGAGATGATGGTGCAAGAGGCCGGACAGGTGTGGTACCCTAACTCCGCCTTCAAGACCGCCCAGGCGATCAACGATTTCAACCACGGTGAAGAACTCCCATTGATGATCTTGGCCAATTGGAGAGGGTTCTCTGGTGGCCAGAGAGACATGTACAACGAGGTTTTAAAGTATGGTTCCTTTATTGTTGATGCTTTGGTTGACTACAAGCAGCCAATCTTCATCTACATTCCACCAACCGGTGAATTGAGAGGTGGCTCTTGGGTCGTTGTGGACCCAACCATCAACCCAGAAATGATGGAGATGTATGCCGATATCGAGTCCCGTGCCGGTGTTTTGGAGCCGGAAGGGATGGTTGGTATTAAATATAAAAGAGACAAGTTGTTGGCCACCATGGCAAGATTGGACAAGACCTACGGGGCTTTGAAGGCTCAAGTGGCCGATGCGTCGTTGTCAACTGAGGAGCACTCCGCCGTTGCTGCCAAGTTGGCTGCCCGTGAACATGCTTTGTTACCAATTTACTCCCAGGTTTCCGTCCAGTTTGCCGACTTGCACGACAGATCTGACAGAATGTTGGCTAAGGGGGTGATCTCCAAGGAATTGGAGTTTGCCAGCGCCCGTCGTTTCTTCTTCTGGCGTGTTCGCCGTAGATTGAATGAGGAATACTTGCTCAAACGTATTGTCAAGGAGTTGCCGAATGCTTCGAGGTTGGAGGCTGTATCCAGATTGAAATCCTGGTACCCGGCAAGTGTGGACACCGAAGATGACAGAGTGGTGGCCACCTGGATTGAAGAGAGCCACGTGCAGTTGGATGCTGCCGTGGAGAGGTTGAAGGGCGACGCTGTGCGCCAGAACCTCGCCACCATCATTAGAAGCGATCGTACTAATGCTGTCGACGGGATTGCCGAGCTTGTTGCCTTGCTTTCGACCGAAGACAAGGCCAAGATTCTCAAGCAATTACAGTAGTGGGTGAGTTCTCGGGATGGAGTCCGTGTATATAATCTAGCTACGTTATTTTTTTTATTTGCTTTTAATTTATGTTTTGTTTTTAAGGTTCGTAGAGTATGCTAGATGGATCCCACTACAAATTTATTATTAAGGGTTTTTAAACTCCAGTGCATGCTTGAGACAAAGGGCCGAGGCTGGCTCTAGATCGGGTTGGGCGGACCTCTCTACAAGAGGTTTGGTCTAGCAAAGCCCCCCTGGTGAAGACTCGAATTATTATAAAACCCGGTGGTGGGAGAAATCAAGGACTCAAGTTCTAAGATAATCGTATTAACCTTTCTCATAGTGCTATGATCATATAGAATAGCTAATGAAAAATCAATAATGAACCGTTGGAGGAGTGCATCGCTTATGTCAGAATCTGAAGGTTATCACGGAGTGCTTGTGTACTTGAGATTTTTATTTATTTATGCAGTATTAAGTCTGGTCAAACAACTCACATACCCTTGATTAATTAAACAGTCCACTGTAACGGCGCTACTTTCTATTTACTAAACTGCGTTATTTTACCAATGAATGGCGTAGTGCGTGGAGAAATTGTAGGAGCCTGTAATCGCGAACTTTCGACTCAGCGAGTTTCTCGAGCCATATAGACGCACAGGCTAGCTTATACACTCTCTTTTACCTAATCACTATACAATCAGAGTCATTATGGATCCATGTCTAGTAACCGAAGAACTAACTACTGCTAAACGCGAGTATGAGTCCTTTTTCAAGTCCTTAGTGCCCGCAGCACCTACCCCAGTTATACCCCTCGACTTCTACGGCATTACAAGACGTAGGTCAACCAACCTGCAGTTCTTAAAAGGTGTCACCTTGGAGAATCTCAATGTTATGATATACGTTTCCACCGCTGGATGGTCAATTATGTCTCAGGACGACAATCCCCTTGGATCAGAGGTTACGAATGCCAGCTATGAAACCTTCGAGGCCCTCATGATGAGAGTTTCTCCTGGCTTTGCCAAAATGTTCAACGATACCCTCTCCAATAAGCTTCAAGGGTTGTTGAATGCTGAATCGCTGGGATACAAAGGAGACTGCTGATTGTCCGTCTTCTGCCCAGACACTTCGATTTGCATGGGCCACTGAGCAAACAATACTTAAGCCCTTCTGGAGGGTTGATTAGAATGCCAAGATAGGTGAAGACCAATACAGTGGATAGACGGCAAATCGGATTTACAAGTCTGTATGCTCCTGACTTCTTGAAAGGAGATATATTCACAGCTGAACATTCCAGTTGCAGACTATCTACATATGATACAGATGTACCGTCTATTTGCCTACTCTTCGCCTTCTGAGTCGCCTGCTGAGTCGCTGTGCTCCTCAGTGACTCTATTAAATGCGATTCTATTGGGTGTGAACGGTCTCAAGAGGACGCTCCTACGGCTAATGTAGCCTTCACTCGAAAGATCCACTACCGTCTGTTTAATATCCTCTGGAGCCACCCCTGCGCCCAAGAGTGTGCCTGCGAGCCCCGCAACCACAGGCGACGCCATGGAGGTGCCAGATAATGCCACCAGTTTCTTCACATCCAGGTTGCTCAAACTGTACACGTATACCCCGCTGGCAAACACATCCACACAGCTCCCCCAGTTAGTGAAACTGGCAAGCTGGTCGGACTTGTCGTCAATCGCACCCACCGTGAGCGCATGCGACAGACCCCCGGGGCTGGTGATGCATGCGTCAATGTTGGAGTTTCCTGCGGCCGCAATGATGACTAGCCCCGATTCATATGCGGCCTTGATGGCCAGGTTCAAGACGCTGTTGCGAGCAGCGCCAAGCGAAAGATTAGCCACCCCACGGTTACCATGTGTGAGGCGGTGGTTAACGGCGTACTCAAGTGCTCCGACCACACCGGAAAGGCTGCCCGAGCCGCGGAAATCAAGGGCCTTGACGTCGACAATGGTGATGTCCTTCGCCACGCCGTAGGTCTTGGAGCCGATGATGCCTGCTACGTGAGTTCCATGGCCGTTAAAGTCACCTGATCCCTCGCCTGTAAAATCCTTACCGAACACTGCGCGGCCCTCGAATTCTGGGTGGTCTACCCTGACCCCACTATCAATGACGTACGCGTAGACACCTTCACCAGTGTTGCTAGAGTCGTAGAAGTAGTCTAAGGATTGATAGGCTCCTGGTGGCGGAAGTCTGTCGAGCTGGGAGAGACGGGCCAAATGTCTGGGAGCAGGACTCTGTGTTTCAACGTCATCCATCGCTTTTATGATAATGTCCGGGGTGATATCAAGAACCTGGGGGAGTTAGTATTTGAAACAAATAGAGTATTGAAAGGTACGGGTTTGGTGCGATGGTTCCGGGCCAATGCAAAATAAGGTCTAGACATCCGGGATAGAGATAAATCTCAGAAAACAATCCCACCTTTACGTATACTCTTTTCCTCCTTACATACTAGTTTCGACTGAGACAAGTGCTTTAACATGTCCTTGGAGAAGTCACCGACAAAGGCTGCAAAGTCTCCAAAGGCGAAAGATTGTTCGATAAATGGCTTGGCATGGTTTGCTATGCGAACAAGTTCGTCCGACCGCAAAAAGGTCTCCATACTGACCTCAGGGGATTTTAATCTGACAAAGAATTTCTCGGCGTGGAGAACGATCGGAAATGCGGCAATAAGCGGCACATATTTCAAAGCCACCATGATATAGCAAAGGTATCAGCAAAGATGGATAGATAGGTAACTCCAACCAATACCGAATAAAATAAATATAAAAGCTATCTATCTTAAATTGAGCTTATATAATGCAGGTGGTCGGAGGTGGTGTGGGGGGTCGCTTTGTGACATGAGCGCTGCAGGTTACAAAACGCAGTGAGCTCGCACTACATGGGACCGCACTTTATAACAGTGGTTAAATGTGGTTAAGCCAAGTTAGAAAATTTGATAACTTGCCATAGCCAAGACATTTGATCCAAATTATGTGGTTGGCTGTAAAAATCCCGAAGAATGAGGTCAGCGTATCACATATCTCCTAGCCACTCGCGCCGCACGGCTTATCGTCGAGCACGTGACAGTTTCTTTTTTTTTCTATATGCATATAAATTTTTTTCAGGGCATTGGCTTTGAACCATTCCAACCATCACCACTCACGCAAAATGTCCCGTCCAGAAGAAATCGCCCCGGCAGAAATTTTTTACAACGACTCTGAGTCTCAAAAGTACACCACGTCCACGCGTGTGCAGCACATCCAGGCCAAGATGACCTTCAGAGCCTTGGAGTTGCTCAACTTAGAGGACTTCCCCCACTACATTCTCGATGTGGGGTGCGGTTCTGGGCTATCCGGGGAGATTTTGACCGAAGAGGGCCATTTCTGGACTGGGTTGGATATTGCACCATCTATGTTGGCCACAGGGCTTGACAGAGAGGTTGAAGGCGACTTGTTCCTCTCGGACATTGGTAACGGGATTCCGTTCAGAGCCGGTACTTTTGACGCTGCCATTTCCATTTCCGCCATTCAGTGGTTGTGTAACGCGGATCAGTCCGGTATCGATCCTAAGAAGCGTTTGTTGCGTTTCTTCAATTCCTTGTTTGCTTCATTGAAGAGAGGCGGGAAATTCTGTGCACAGTTTTATCCCCTGAACGACCTGCAAACGGAAAACATTTTGGGGGCTGCCAAAATCGCTGGGTTCTCTGGTGGTTGTGTTCTCGATGACCCAGAGTCCAAGAAGAACAAGAAGTATTACTTGGTGTTGACTGCGGGCCGCTCCGAGAGGAACATCAACTTGGAGAATGTCACCATGGACGCGCCGGAAACCACGAGAAAGTTGTCCAAGAAGCAAATCAAAGAGAACGAAACCAGAAAGGACTATATTAAGAGAAAGAAGGAGTTGATGAAGAAGAGAGGTAAAGTTGTGGCCAATGACTCCCGGTACATGGCCAGACCCAGAAAAATCCGCTTCTAAGGAAGGGGATAGAGCCGTTTCGCGGACTATGGATCCACCAAGTGTACAGTATAATATTTTTGCATTAATTTTCGTAAGCCGGTAGAGCTAAAAACTAGAAAGGGAATCGGTATCCTTTTGATCGGTGCAAGCGGGTATTTTTTACTAAATCATTCCAAGCCTACTCAATAGTTAATACGATAAAAACCCGGTGCTTTAAAGAGGATGCTGATAAAAGGTGTAGAAACGACTAACGCAGAGCGCTTGAACTTTGTTGTATGCCACTATCCTCATTTCCACTATCCACATTTCCACCATTTAATATGAAAATCTGTTATGATAGTCTCAAAAAGCCGTAATAATCAGTTATACTCTAACATAATAATCCAACTATTTACTCATGTTGGCCTTCCAACATCACCGCCCACGCGGTTCTAAAACTACACACAAGCGTAATACTCAGTCCCAACATGTTTCTGAAAAATTCGGCCTACATCAAAACCGATTAGTGAAAAAGTACCAACCAGACAGGTTAATAAACTACTCACCACACAACATGTTCGGCTTATCTAGAACCATTGCCACCTCTGTCAAGGGTCTTCAAAATACCACCAGGGCGTTTTTCGACGCTTCCCAGCAGGTCCGTTCTTTCACAAAGACCAGTATGTACACCTCGACGAAGCACTCAGCGACGTGATATTAACCTTTTCTTAGCCGGCAAGATCATCCCAGTTTACGAGCCATTGGTAAAGTTACGCGAAGGCAAGCCAGTTATGGATGCAGTCTACCACCATCAGTACGCTATCCTCGATCCTACCGGGATGAAGCGCAAGCTTATCGATGCCTCCGACCCCGACCACATTAGAGCCGGTGACGTTATCACCGTCAAGTTCAAGAACAGAAAGAGAGGGTTTACTGGTTTGCTTATGGGGATCAGTAGATCCCGTACCGATACTAGTCTTTTGTTGAGAAACAACATTACCAAGTTGGGGGTTGAGTCCAGAATTCCGCTTTTCAACCCAAGCGTCGAGAGAGTCGAGGTTGTTACCAGAAACCACCGTTTCAGAAATAAAAAGAGTAAGCTCTACTTTGTTAGAGGCACAAAGTTTGATGTCGGTACCGATTTGGATCAACAGTTGGCCAAGATGAAGAAGAACGAAAGATGGTAGTCCGCTCGGCTCTATCCCCTGTATATATAGAATCACACATACCTCCCCGCCTTAGCGGAGAAGAAATTACGTTTAAATGAAAATAGTTTGTAAGGCTATACGGGCTCTGAGATTGGTCTACGCAATTTAACCGGGATCACGGGGTTGAGCTTGAAGTTCCGCTGACAGTTTATTTTCAGTTAAACCCTATTTGTCACCTGGAAGGCAAGAAGGAAGCACCACAAAAGTCGGTACTAGTACCACTGAACAAAAAGCACATGAGACTTCAACCTGCCATATTCCAGTCACGTTTGACTCCTTCGATGACCATGACACTCATTACACTGGGATTGGCGTTTGAAATCTAACCCCCGAACTAGTACTATTTATGGAGCAAACCTATTTTCTGAATCACGAAACAGCGTGTTTCAGTAGACCATCGTGTCCAATTTTTTTCTCTCAAAGTATTTCCCAGAACCGCGCACATTATCCGTGGGATATATAGGTATACCCAAAATCTAACTAATTCAATAGATTCACCAGTATTAGTAACTTGTATAAGCTATCCAATATACATCACCCCCTAGGTCTCTAAAACTGAAAGTCTCCCAGGTACCAGTGATCTAACGTATTAGATAGAGAAAAGAAACTGGTTAATTCTTCTAAGTTGATCAAACCCAGCAACTCATTGTCCTCCAATACCATAAATTTTTGTTTGGCTTCTTCCACTGGCTTCTCTTCATCCCTTACCATGGGTATACTGATGGTATCATTACCCAGCAGCAATGGAGTTGTGGGAATGTCTTTGCTTACTTTGGCATGAATGGTGGAACCAAGATGAGTGTATGATGTTACTAGAGTAACAAATTCATTAACGTCAGCCGTCGGAAGCTCGAACAACGTGTTTTTCTCCATTTCTTCCGTGGAATCCGGGCTCTTGGCTATGATCGCCGGATCATAACTCTGTAAATCAGCCTTGGCAAACTCATGGTACAACTCGCGGGTCACAATACGGGTGATGAGCAAACAAAGTGCTCGTTTTCTCCCCCATCTATTGAACGACTCGGCATTAATAGTGCCAGTGCCCGTCGAACGATCCCAAAACTCGTGCACCACCTTAAACAATACTTCCACCAGTTTAAGCTTTTCCATATCGGTATTCCCGTGCTTCTTCAACGCCAGCTTGTAGATGATACACCGCAGAATAATACCTGAAAACACCTTGCTACTCTTCCATAAACCGTTGAGGGTTTTGAACGATATAGAGAGATCGAACAGCCGACCAAAGTACAAAGCAGGATCATGAAAGATGGGGGAACAGATCAGGAAAAGCCCAAGAGCCAACACAAGCAATTTCTTCCAGTAATAACCCGCCCACACCATATCGCCATTGTTTTCAAAGTGAAGAAAGATCTGGTAACATATGTCCACCATGTAGCCCTGGATGCTCACAAATCGGCGATACATCGTGGACTTGCGGAAGCAGTACGCCGGGTCGCTGTTTTCATCCATTATTGACAAGATCGACAATGCAGGGTTTCCAACCTTGTGGAACAAATGCCTATCAAGCTTGTTCAAGACCTCAATAAATTCACATATCTGGGGTTTACGGCGCAAGTTGTGCACCATCGCACTTAGGTCATATAGGTGCTCGAGGGCTTCCAGTGCATCTTTATATGAAACGTTAATTTCCCGTTCCATGTCATTAAGATTCCAGTCTGGTAACTTGGTATCAAACGAGTTAATCGTTCCCACCATTGATGGGTACCCTTCGCCAATCGAACTATACGCCTCCAAATTGGCGATTGTGTACCACAATCGCCTCCAGAGCTGGACAAACTCAGGCGACATATTTTCGTACTGCCGCGGAAAAAAGGTGGGATCCCTGTGCAACCCTAAACTGAATGCCATCTGCAAAAGATTGGGCACCAAGAGAGAATCGGGCATGGGGTTTAGCCTGTCTCCGGATTGGGTTTCCCCCTCTATATGGAAGTAGATAGAGAACAAGAGATGGAACTGGAAAATCGGGATCGAGGGGGACTTTCTGGATCGAACTTGGGAAAGACAGTGCTCAGCAGTTACTAGTAATGCGGTCTGATCGACTACCTTGAGGGTCGTCATATCAAGACGGGGTGGAGTAGATGAACTGGGCGAAGTCTGAATAGTGCTTGGCTCTGGGTTATACGCGCTGGAAAAGAACACCACGAGGAGGAAAATTCCCAATGTGGCATAGTCATTAAGCGACTCGGTGTGTAATACAGTGATAACATCGTCTTTAATATCCAAGAACCCCAAAATTCTAGAGAGATCTTTCACAAATTCATTTTCGTCAATGATCGGTAGGAGCGGATAGATCCTCTTGAAAAAGTTGAAAAAATGCATCCATAGGTGTTTCTTACCAGGCAAGACGTTCAAGATCGTACGATTCACAAAGTCCTGATCGGGAACGATTGGAGAGGTAACTGACCCAGGCGAATTTGTGTCGACCGAAGACACAGACGTTGGTTGCGACTCCCCCGCATCGGTAACGGTATGCAACTCCTGGGTCAAGTGGGAGATGATACTCTTGGACTGAGTTTGTCTTGAGCGGCGTGTCTTACTGCCGATTTTCTCCATTGAGCTGGATTTCTTGAGTCTATAGCGAGAAAACTTGCCTTTGCAGATGACTGCAAACCTCGGATCGTTAACGAGCAAGTCATTAAAGAGCCAGTCAATGAGAGAATACAACTTCCGGTCCAGAACATACATCGAGAGGGGAGAAAGTGGTCCGAAGTTTTCCATGCTTCCGTCTTCCATCGTCAACGTGTGCGTAGAATGAAAATCTAGTGGCGGCGTGTTTGGATCGAGAGGGTATACAAATTTGGAGAAGAAACTAGGAGAGGAAATGGACGGAGGAGGGATATTAGGGATCTTGGAAAGGTCTCTGGTGTCGCTAAACGGGTCGAAGGCATAGTAGCCAGCCGGGTTATGCGCTTCAGAGCAGTGATTGGTCCCCACAGAGTTTCCCAGGGGTAAATGGCTAGGGTTTACCTCTCGGAAAAAGTGTTCGTGGGGCAATCGATGCTCTTTGTGAGAGCCAGCTTCGCCGTTCTCATAGCTCGGAAAATTTCCAACCTCTCTATTTTCCAGGAATTGCTTCTCTCTGATCAATGCCTCGTCTTTGATTGCAGGCCTATCAGCGTCATTCATGGAATGTATGACCGACGGGTCACTGCTAAACAGCATAGAGTAGAGGTGTGGTTGAGGGGGAGCCCCCAAGATGGAGTTGAGAGCCGACTGAGTGGGCATATCGACAGCAGCCCCTCGTCCATTGAGGTTGGGTTTCAAGTCAGGGACGAATCCAACCGGGCCGGTCTGTGGTTGGGGTTCACTGTAGCTCCCGGTAAAGGCAAATGAGGAATTTGATTGTGGAACAAAGCTACCAAAGGGTATAGGATGGTTTAGTGGCGGACGTGGGGAAGTTGGTCCGATGACGCGAGGGGTTATTGGAGGTAGGGTAAAGTTCTCGGGAGGCGGTCCAGAATGATGGGTTTCCAGGGCGTTATGTACGGGAAGTTCGATTGTATGGACCATTTCCCGCTGAGTCCAGGGAGAGTCTTCAAACAGGCAGAGATGCGTGATGGACTTTTTGCGACAGTTCCCGCAGAACGGCCGTTCTCGGTCACACTTGGACTTTCTCTTGCGGCAGACGGAGCACGAAACCGGTACCCTTTGACGCCGCTTAATGTCCTTGCCATCAGTTAGAGGAGAAGGTTCGACAGAGCGTGTGGGCATGGCGGAGTAGAAGTTTGGGAGGCAAACGGGCGTTAAAGTAGATGCGACGGAGTTTTTTTTTATGTTCGATGCCTGTCGATGGGATCTGAAGCGACCTAGTGGGATTAGCACTTTTGGGTCTAGCGTGATCTAGGGATTCCTGGGTTGGAATGTACGTGATTCAACGTTCGTAAAGTCAACTTGAGGAGAAAGGGTGTGAGCTCGATGGGCAGAAAGTTGGGTTTATCTTGTAGACGGTGCTTGGCAGCTTTAATCTATTTCTAAAGCCTGGAGATAGTCTCTGGTAGCTATGTGCCAAATCGGTTTGCGGCTCCGGCTGTTATGTGTATGTGGTTACTATTAACATTCCAGGGTTCACCATAGTCTGAGGAATCAGGAGCTGTTGCAGCACCAAAGTCCGACTGGTGCATAACCACTGAAGCACGTAGCTCAGAGGTGCGAAAACGCTTCGTAGCTAGGACAAACAAAGCAGTGACAAACCTGGATGCAGCATAAATCACGTGGTTATGCAGCTCTTTTAGACTGCCAAGCATAAGCTGCGGGGCAAACTGCCAAGAGTTATTAGATATTCAACGAACCCTGTTATGAGCACCACACATATTGGCGATCGCCTCTGCAGGGAGTTTTCAATTACATGTAATGGTGGTAATAGAGGACCAATCTAGCTGTGCGTTAAACTCCACTGAGTCTTGCCGCAAATGCATTTACTGTATTCTGTGGTAACGGTTCTGCTTGGCCAAGACTGAGAAATGGACCCAAGGAAAAATATATCGGAAAATTTCGAACTTGTTGTGCATATTTGGGAGAGTCAATTTTGACGTCAGATAAAGAGCGTTGATTGGGAGAAGAGCGTGACGATATCAGATCCCCCGGTATAAGGACGCTCGAATCTTAGAGACTGAAAATTCATGAAAGAAGAGGAGTCTAGTGATTGAATAACTGACAGCCGTGGTTGATGGAGCTTCAATAAGGCACCTCACAAAATCAGGATTGCCAAGGAAATTAACAGGTATTATACTATCAATATACTAAACTTGAACGAGTGGCTAATGCCTTACACGTGGATGTCAGTGACTAATTTCTGCCAGCATGATTATACCAAGTTGTATCTCCTGTGTGGTCCTGTATACTTTGCTCGCTGAATATAGACGAATATCCTACGCCTTCGGAGTTGACTTCGACGCCGAAAGCCGTTACGCGTAGTCGCTAAATGGCAGCATCGGAGTACCTTACCATGACGTATGCGCCGGTACAATCGGCAGACATAATTCCTGGGTCTTTGGATTACCAGTGGTGGACCAATGGGGCCAGAAAAAATGCTCCCCCCAAACTACGATAACAACCTGATCAGCGCCTGCTGGATTTAAAATGATGAGCCAAAGGTATATTCGGTGTATTTCACGATTTAAAAGCACAGCTATTAACGCTGCAACCGAGATTTGCAGGCCAGGCCCTGTCAAGCCTAGTCCACGATTCCGTGCCGATCCGAAAGGATTTTCCTTTTGAATTATACAATTAAAAGCCGGTGTACTTTTCTCACCAGCGTGTGATAGTCTCCATACCATACGGGCGTCATTCGACCTTCCGGCTAGCCCCGGCTTCTCTGCTTACCCCTGCTGGCGATGTCTTGTCCTGCGGCCTGCATAGAATGCAGTATCGCAACTACTTTTCAGAGCCTATCCTTAAGACCCGTTTTCTCATTTATATATCACGGTTAGTAACAGAATTGGGTGATATAACTTTATATAGCAACACATATACCGTCAGAGAATAAAGAGTTTTCAACCTCATACAACCTCAGCCTTTTTGCTTAGAACGTGACCTATAGGACGCCCCTTTCAACATCCTAGTCGTCAATACAGATAGCGTCCATCTATCCAACTCCCAAAAGCACAGCTGTATACACCGCAAATTAACAATGAAACACCACCAGAGAACATCATCATCACAGATGATCAACAACCTCCGCATCCGTAATCAGAACCGCAAACCGTTGTCCGATGCCGATCTCTCAGCCTACTCCAGCGATTCGCTCGAAGATGATAAGAAGCTGTTTGATATCACAGACTCTTCCGACCCCCAGAAGCTTTCGGGAACCACAAGCTCCTCTGACGAAAAATCGCCCCTCGGCCCAGCGGAAGATTCACTACAAAAAATGTCGCAAAGCGAACAGAAGATTGTCCTTGACAAATCGTTCAAGAAGCTTCTCCAGCTCGAACAATCGCTTCACCTTCGCCGTAACAAGGAGGGGAGCTTCCGCTCACGTTTCCACGATGGTGCCATGATCCCCGATGATACCACCATCTTTGACAAAAGGTCTTTAAAAGAATCCAACTTCTACGGGTTTTTTGTGGTGTTCTGGCTCGGGGTAGGGCTTGTTATGTTTGACACGGTGCTTAAGCTCTATTTTGAGTTTGGCTTCAGCGCACTTTTCGAGGCGGCCGTGTATTCCACACTTCGCCGCGACGTGTTCAAGGTAGGTCTCACCGATTTGGTCATGTACTTGACGATGTACCTTACGTACGGGGTGCAGAAGCTCGTGCAATGGGGGTATTTGGACTGGGGCCGCGCTGGCTGGATCCTCCAGAATGTGTTGCAATTCTCGTTTTTGCTTTTCCACAACGGGGTGGCGATGTATCTCGGCTACCCATGGATCGCCCGTGAGTTCCTTCTCCTCCACTCGCTCGTTATGATCATGAAGACTCACTCCTATGCTTTTTACAACGGTTACCTCTGGGGAATTCAGCAGGAGTTGACCGCCTCGCAACAGGCCTTGGCTAAGGACGCCATGAATGAATCTCTTTCTCTGGAGGAGTGCCGCAAAAGGTACGAGATTCTCACATCCAGCGTAGAGTTCTGCGAGTTTGAGCTCCTGGCACAGCTGCCCACCACCAGGTTCCCCCAAAACATCACTCTCAACAACTTTTTTCACTATACCATGTTCCCAACCGTGGTTTACAGCATCGAGTACCCGCGTACGGAAAAGATCCGCTGGAAATACGTTGGAGAAAAGCTTCTAGCAATCTTTGGTCTCATCTTCATGATGATCACGCTCGCGGAAAGCTGGATGTACCCCATCGTTCTCCGTGCCATGGCACTCAAAGCAGTTCCGTTTGCCGAAAAGGTCTCGTCCTACCCGATGCTCCTCCTCGACATGATGGCGCCATTCTTACTTATGTATCTTCTTGTGTGGTACCTCATCTGGGATGCGATTCTCAACTGTATCGCCGAGCTTACCCGTTTCGGGAATCGCAACTTCTACAATGCGTGGTGGAACTCCACCGATTGGAGCGAGTTCGCCCGTGATTGGAATGTGCCCGTGCACAAGTTTCTCCTCAGACACGTATACCACTCATCCATCCTGGCACTAAAGTTGAACCGGTTACAGGCAACCATTGTTACGTTCCTTCTTTCCTCTTTGCTCCATGAGTCAACCATGTTTGTGATTTTCCACAAATTCAGGGGGTATTTACTCTTGTTACAGATGTCCCAGTTGCCGTTGGTAGCGCTCTCGCGAACCCGGTGGTTGCGTGATCGGAAGGTTTTAGGGAATGTTGTGTTTTGGATCGGTATTGCCACCGGGCCAAGCTTGATGTGTACCTTGTATTTAACGTTTTAACCGCTTGCCAGAGTGCGTAGCGCGAGGTTGAGCGATTCCATTTTGTTAGAGGTTAAGCGACGCCACTTTATTTGAAGGTATTCTTGCGTATGCTAGATGTTTTAATGGTTAGAACTCGTGCTTGTATATTGTGCTAGGATTTTACTTAGAGCCCACTCCTTAGACATTCAGCTTCACAGTTCTTCAAGTATACGTTCTGAGAGTTAACTCTCCACTTCTGGTCACCTAATTAGTCAGCCTATTGCTAAACCCCAGGTACTTACAGAAATATTTCCATACCTAGTCATTATATACACGCTATTTATACACCTCGTCGAACGGCCTAGTGTCCTTAAAACACGACTCAAACACCTCATCCACGACACGCTCGGCCTGCTCCTTATCCTTGCAGTTGGGGTTGGCGGCCACCGAAATAGCAGCCCTTCTCTTGACACAGGTTTGAAACTTCCTGCCGAATCCGCCGAACCCCGTCTTCTTAATCTCGTTCCACAAGCGACACTCCCCCGACAAGGTTGACGCTCTGATCTCAGAACATGCGTGGTGTCTCAAATCCAACCAGTCGACGTTAAATTTGTTGTGGTCGAATGCATGGACAAGCTCATGTGTGAGCGTGTCTTCGAGGTGGGTCTTGCTCAAAATGCGGTTTTGGCATAAAACAATCCCCAACTCGGGATGGAACCCGCCGCCCATAAGTTCCGGGCAATAGTCGCACACGATGTTGGCATCGGAAATGTTGGCACCCACCTTCTGCGCATTTTCAAGCATGAATCGCACAATTGGTGATGTCTGCATCATTTGGTCGCGGTACGTGTAGCATCTGGCACAGTCTTCTTCGCGTGTCTTTATGGTGAGATCTGTCTCGAACTGCAATTTCGCCTCGGGAGTGAGTCCCAAACCCGTCTGGTAGGTAATCTTTCTTCTCCACCAGGTGAACCCCTTGAGAGAGGCCGGGTCTGATGCAGTGGCTGTAGATGTAGATTCAGACATTGCTCAGGATGAAGTACGAAGGTGAAGGTTGTGGGTACGAGATTTTTCGGCTGCCTAAATACTGCATGTAAGCAGAGAGACAAGGTGAGGAAGACACATGGAATCAAACCATCAAGGGAAAATTCAGTAGGGGCTTAATAACAAGCAAATATCACCCGGTAGACTGGAGCATTTTGAAGATGGTTGAGTCAATTCGGACCGGTGCTCATATCTCCCATGTCTGCGCGTAGCCCAATCTATAGGCCTCATACACCTACTACGTCGCACCTTCGTCTTGATCTATCAACCTATATTTTCATTCAATCACCTAGAATAATAAACCTGTATAAGATATATAATACCTAACTACAATTAAACTATTGAGCTTTAAATCGCGATGAAACCATGGAGCATTCAATCAACCTGACCTCCGTAAGGTCTATCCCCCTCTCTCGGGAGCCGAGCCGCACGATTTTTCATCTTCCTGTACATACCTTATTACGCATAAAATTTTTATCAACAGATGACTCCTTCGCCTCGTCCTTAGCAACGCATATATCACCATGGCTATTAATCTCTGGGTGGCTGCTGCCGATAATGAACTTGAAACTGTGCAAAAATTCTTAGCCAGCGGCGACTACACTGCCAACTCCAAAGATCCAAACGGGTATACCCCGATTCATGCTGCCGCATCCTATGGTCATATCGACTTGCTCCGCTACTTGCTCTCACAGGGCGGCGATATAAATATCCAGGATGCTGAGGGTGATACCCCTTTACACCACGTGGAAGATGTTGACACTGCGAGGATATTGGTGGAGGAGCTTAAGGCCAACCACAAGTTGAAGAATGCTGAGGGCCAAACCGCGGCCGAGTACATCGAAGAAGACGACGAGTTTCCAGATGTAGCACAATACTTGAGATCATTAGTGACCGACGCGGAAGGCAACACAGAAAGTATCTTGGCGGGTATGCCGGCTGCCGGGACCGTAGGCGGCCACGATATCAGGTACACGTACGAAAACAACAACGTGGAAGTGCAGACGACCCCAGAGGAGGACGCCGAGAGGATGAGAAAGTTGGAGGCTATTGCCAACAGTGAAAACCCCGAGGAGGCTTTGAGGGAGTTGGTCAAAGATGCCGTACATCAGCGTTTCCAGGAGTTGAGGGCCGAGCCAGAAGAGTCCAGAAAGAAGAGAAAGTAGTCGCCACTGTACCCTAAATACGAAGTATTATGAATTTTACATCCAGTAGAGCTTAATGAAAACGCTTAATTCTGTAACTTTTCATTTGTAGTGCCCTAAGGTAGGGGTCGGAGAATATGAAATGTTAAATATACTCGGGGTGTCTGATAGCCTCGTGGGACAATCTTGCATCTCTGAAACGTGAGCCGTGTTAGGGAAATAAACCAGTTTCCTGACTTTTGGGGACTCACAAAGGGTAGAAAGCAACAGTTAGTCAGTTCACGTTTGACCAGTGAACGGAAACCTTGCCTTTTGTCATATTACGGCTACTGCTCCCTTTGAATGTTACACCCCTATGTAGAGTTGTCAGGACGAAGCATCATCTTCAGAGGTAGTGCATCAGGGGGATGTCTCTCTGCTACAGTTATTATCACTATTTGACCGGGCTTAACTCCAACCAGCTTTTAGTAAAAGGCTCGTAATACTGGATTAAGAAAAAAAAGCCCAATGTCTGGCTTAAGCCGTCGCGCTTGATATGCATATCCCTGGGGAAAACGAGCATTTTATACCGCATTTGGAGCATAAAGCCCAAGGGACAGGCTTCTAGCAGGGAAAAACAGCCTAAACCGTCCAGATGAGCAAGTTTCATAAAAAATACCGCAAACCAGACGGGTAAAACAGTGATTTGAAGACTAAAAGTACCCTACTTTCAATGGAAAGAGCCAATAAACAGCCATGATCTTGGAGGGGCTATCCCTAATCGGGCCTTTCATGCAGCTTTTTGGTCAATGCAATCGAGTACAGGGTCTAGTCGTTGAACATGAACTTCCTTTGACAACAACTTCAGACCAGGTGGATATATCGGAAGATATTGAAGTTGGTTACTCAAAATAATTCAAAGCTTAAAGAGGAATCTGAACTGTAAGAAAAGGCAGAGACTTTCAGTACCAAACCCCTGGGACAAAAGCTTCCCATCAGGCTAAAGCTTAAAATCCGGTTTCTTCCACTATTGGTCCTACTTCTTGGCTCTACTGCTAATGGCCAATAAAATCTCTCAGGTCTCTCCCCCACCTTCGACCATAAATGTACAAGGTTGAGCCAAAACTCTTGGCATATGCGTTATGCATCCCAAACCGCACACTGAGTTCTCCAGTATCTTTGTCTCTGACAAGAGTATATGAAATGGCCCATCTTTGTAAGCCTATAAATTGAGTCGAGTTTCCCAGTTGTATAATTGTCTCCTCTCGATATTATCCTATTTCCCACTCACAATGGTCTCTATTAAATTTGTCGCCTCTTCGCTTTTCCTCGCCTCTTCTGCCTTGGCCCACTTCAGAATCGTATACCCAGGTGAGAGAAATGCAACTAACTGGGACACTCAAACCACTGGCCCTTGCGGTGGTGCCAATAGAGTTGTTGAGCCAAGATTTCTTTTCAAGCCAGAGGGCTCGCCATTGGAATTGACTCAACACCACTCCTTGTCCATTGGACAGGTTCGCTTCTGTCCTGGCGAGGATTGTAACACTCAAGAGGATTTTTCTGTCATCCTTCTTGATTCCTTCGAACAAACAGGTGCCGGTAACTTCTGTGTCCCAGCCTTATCCATCCCATACAAGACCGGTACAAACGGTACCATTCAGGTCACCTATACGGGCCTGGGTGAGGTTGCTGGCGAATATGACAATATGTACAACTGTCTTGACATTACCGTCTCCGACGAGGGCGCGTCATTCTCCGGTCAATGTTTCAACTCCTCTTCCTCTGTAATTTCTCCTATCAAGCTTGACTCCAATGTTATTTCAAACGCCACCAACATCACCGTGTTGGACAGCTACTTTTCCTCCACCAAGAGTGTGGCTGCTACTGCCTCTGCCAGTTCATCCTCCCGTGACATGGCTGGCATGGATATGAGTGGTATGGATATGTCTGGTATGAGTGGTCATTCTATGACCTCCTCCAAAGCCGCCTCTGCCACCTCGAGTGCTTCCAATACATCGTCCACCTCGGTTGCTGGGGCCGCTGCCATCACCGTTGGTTGGACCGGTGCTGTTGCCTTAGTTTTTGCTGCCTTGGCTTAAATTATTGTTCCCCTTAACAAAACTAAAGCTGGTAAAAATACCGTAAGTAAAATACGCAGGTTCGAATTCCCAATAGCTATGCCACTGTATCTAGATATTACCTGTTTAATGATTTCAGTTGAGCCGGTAAGTCCTCTTAGTCAAGAGTCTGGATCAAAACAGTGCTATATATTTAGATATAATTGTAATAGAAGATGGTTTTAGATGTATAACCCTAACACCAGCACTTTGTCTAAGTTTTCCCTTTTCGTGAAAACCTTTTACGATAGTCTCCGACGCGTTTTATCCGTGCTACTATCTGATTTTAATTTACCGACAGAAATTGGAAACATAGATACGCCAAAGCTTGAAGGTTTTATGTTTCAAATATCCTAATAAGAGACCAGAAGAGAATACAATCCTTTGGATATTATGGACTCAAAATAGAGTGGGGGTCGAGCTGATGGCAAGCTATTCTGCATCACTGGAAGCCTAACGCTGGTTGTATTTGATATCAGGCTGATGCTTTTCGAAAATTGATACTGTGAGATAGATCCAGTCATTGTGGAGTATTTGTCCTTTCCTAAAACTTATATATAAATGATACAAATCTCTGCTTTATTCAATACCCTTTCTGGTTCTTTCTCTCAGACTTAATGCATTGCCTGAACGGCTACTTAAAGCACGCACGTGTACAGAGCTTGATCTGAAAAGATACCGTTTTGGCTGGCTATAAAATATTCAAGTCCTGAAACTGTAAATATTGGAACGTTTTCGGACATCGAAATCATGGAATGACAAAATCTACAAGACTCCACTTAAGCTCTGCTTTGCCTTATCCCTCCAAGTCCAGGTTTAGATCTTTGTCTCATTTCCTGTACACATCTCGCCATCGCCCAGCCCAACGTGCCCCCACCGACTGCGGCGCGTCGTCGGCGGGGAAAAAACTCGACATTTGCGGCCTATTTCTTCCTATCTAGATAGTACCATCTCGCCTGCTTTTAGTTTATCCCCAAAATGCTTTCCCAATTGCTTGCTGCGTCGCTTTTTGCGGCTGTCAGTGCCGAGGAAGTTAAACACTACTCCAACTACACTCTTGAAGAATTGCAGGCGTTCTCGTTCCTCGAGCGCGTGACTCTCTATGACTGGCGCATCGAATCCTTCACCGTGACTTTCACCGTAGTATTTGTCGGACTCTTCTTCTTCGGAAACAGATATAACCAGTCGCTTGTCACAACCTGGTTGGAAAAGCACCGTGCGTTGCTCCAGGCCCAGTTCTTCCAGGTGGGTGTGCATCGCGACGAGTTGTACGTGCGCGACGATGCGGAGAACTACTCCTCGTACGCGACCGGGCGCGCCAACATCGCGGCGCTCAACATCCAGTTCAGGTTGAAGCCGCGCCACAACGTTTTTATTTTTGTGATCGAAACCATCATGTCCTATTTTGTCGATGCTGTTCCAACCCCGCTTGACCGCGTGGAGATCAAGATCACCCCCGGGCCTGATGCCAACGTGGATGCCTTTATTTGGGCACTTGTTTCCAAGAACGGCATGAACGACCACCGCGCGCACAACTATTTCTTGTCGCTCACCAGAACTACCGAATCCACTGATTTGCCCCAGGAGTACGTCTACATGTCCGAGTCGCCGGAGTTCAATACCTTGGCTGCGGGCTTGAAGAAGGTCTTGCCCGGTGCTTCGCGCTTCTTCCGTTTCTTGGCCGTCACCGACCAAGCCCAGGAAAGGCCCCAGGCGCTTGTGGACTTGGTTTCCCAGCCAAAGATCGTGTTGTCCATGACTGTTCCAACCTCCCAGAAGGACTTGGACGCTTCCGTGGAGTTATTGGGTGCTACCCTCAGTTTGGCTGATACCTTGGCTTCCAAGGAAGGCAAGTTCCGCGCAGACGTCTTAAAGAAGATTCTCAAGACCAGAGACAACGAGGTTGCCAAGATCTTGAAGATCCAGGAGGACATTAAGAACGAGGAGTTAACCGATAAGCGCATCCGGGAGAAGCGCGAAGCCAGAGATAAGTTGAAGCAGTTGAGTCCAGAGGAACAGGCCAAGCACGAGGAGAAGGAGAGAAAGAAGGAGGAGAAGAAAATGAAGAAGAAGCAAAAGAAGCAGAGAGTTTAAAAGCCGAAACAATAGAAAAGAATGAGAATTTACATCATTACATTTGTAGGGATTGAGGCGGGAGAGCGCTTCTACGTACAATGGATTTCAGAAAGGGTCTTGGCCATCTGTCATCTGCGGCCAATGGTGGAAATCCCGAGAATCAGAATAGTCAGTATTTATGGAAACCCTTTCAGGCATAATCCATTTTGAATGAAAGTCTTGCCCTTTACTAGCTGACAGCCTCAAACTACAGCAAACCGGGAAATCCAAACCTTTGTTTTTACCAATATTAATTAATTATATTCGACATGCACGCACAAGTTCCAAGCACTCTTTCCCGAGCCACCATTTCATACAGCCTCAATTCTCCCCCTCTAATCCCCTCGAAGTCACTTCGCTGACCCCCTTTTTTGTCAATTTCATAATTTCCTCCCTGTTCGTCTGCTTCAACTTGACTCGGCCCTCCAGAATGTCCACCTCAAACCCTGCCTCCTCCAAGACTTCATCATTCACTGCCTCACGGGCCTCCAACAGCGCCACATACTCTTGATTCTTTGGGTTATTCGCCAACAAATACCGCAAGAGGATGATCAGACGCTCCTTGATGTACGGGTCGTTGTCATCAATATTGCAACACGCCAACGCGAGCTGGAGCCCGTGGAAATTTCGAATTTGCTCCTGCACCTCGAAATTCTCAAACGTGAGAAAAGCCAAGATCTCTACCACGAGAGACTTGATGTGCGGGAAATACTTCTTGGTTGCGTCCTCGATTCTCGTACCACGGTCCTTGATCGTAACACGTTCCGTATGCGCATGGACGTTCCCAAGCAAGCCGACTAAAGTTTCCACCGCGTTGTAATGTGTAAGGAAGCTTCGCGCCTCCTCGTACTTGGCGAGATCTGAGAGGAGGTCCAATAAGATCAAAAGTTGCGCGTGCACGCTCGCCAACTCTGCTGGCTCATGGAGCTGTCGCGGAAGAATGTCGCACGCACGCGCGCTGAGCTCCGCTGCACGCTCCCAGATCCATACAAGCATTGCCGTCACCTCGTAGTTGTCCCAGTAGTCTGCCTTTTGGCTCGTTACCACCAATTGTACCAGCTGTAAGCACAAAAGCGTTTTGTCGCCTCCGACACTACTAAGGAACTCGCCGAATCCTTCGTGCGAGACTATCTTGGTGAGGAGTGTCACGAGCGCAAGCCCCGACGGCGGGAGCTCATGGTCCGTATCGAACCCCACCATTTCTACGAGCAAGTACGATACAAGCTGCTGTTGCTGATTGAGTGCATCCGAGAGGACCTCTGCCGAGGCAAACATGTTGTCGAGGATGCGGAAGGCCGGGAACCGGACATCTTCGGTGGTGAGGGGAAGGGAGCTAAGCGGCGCGAGCCAGTCGCGAAAGGATACACCAATGCCAGCAGAGAGGTTGGCGAGGAGCTGCCAGAGAGCAATGTAGAGGTTGTGGTAGAGAGAGGCGTGTGGTGAAGCCGTGCGGGTCTCCTCGTTAGTTTCTGCCGCCATTCTGGCTAGACAAAACGCATGCCCGTGAATGCCTATTTCCGCGGGAATGCTCTGGTTGTTCACCGCCAAGTTCCGCGCCATAAGCACGGCGCCGCGAAGGATTCTGAGTCTAAACTCTGTTTCGTCGTCGCAGGCTCCGTCCACGATACCGAGTTGGAGAATTTGCACCAATGTGTTCCAAACCACTTCCAGGGCGCTCTCAGTAATCCGGAACTCCTCGTCTATGACTGTGCGCTGGAGCGCGGCACCAAGCTCTGTGAGGGTTCCCGGGTATATGTCTAGGTTGTTCTCCTGGCTGAGGATGGAGAGAACTCTCTGTAGGATTTCTTCCATTTTGGATACTGGAAGGTTGAATATGAAAGCGACGATGAACTGATTTGAAAAATTAATAAAGTTCCAAAAAATTCGATGCAGGCTAAAATACCATGCGAGTTGTGGAGGATGTGCATACAAGTTGAGGTTGACGCATGTGAGAGATTGATGTACTTTCAATGCGTGTAATTGCCATTCGATGGCATTGAATAAAAGATTACAATCTATAGGGTTCTGGAAATTTAGAAATTTTAGATGTACCAGCTGTCACCGATGGGAAGATGGGGTAAAGGATTATGATACCACAGTACTACAGGGGCTCAGGCAATCACTTGAAATATTTTTTTACCGCATACTCTTCGGACACATCAATACTTGTAAAGAATACTCATTAATTTCACCTAGCTGTACTCCTTAGTGACATTGCCTACTCTTTGTTTGATTTTGATATAAAAATAACTTATAAAGAAGTAAACGTCTCTACTAACCATAGCCCCAAGCTCGAGTGATCTACTTTTTTTAGTTACTCAGTCCAGTATATAGCCTCCCTAACCTGGCTACCAACACTTGCATCCGCGCTGCACCATGCAGGTGTAACTTTTATCCACAGCATTTCCCCAACCTTCTCCCTCCTTCCTTCCGACACCCCAATATGCCCAAACATCTCCTCTACTCTTCATCTAGCACGTCCAGAGTGACGTCCAAGTCGCTTATCCGCTCCCCAGCTAAACGAAAGGTACGTACGCCCACTAAGACTCCTACTGTGAAAACACTCGAGCAACTCGTATATATCACAGACGCCACGCTTGACTACCAGCTTGATACCAGCACCGACGTGTTAAATGCCCTAGATCACATTGTGGACAATCTCTGGGAGGATTTTCCGCAGGCTGGCGTCTCTAAAAAGCTCATGCTGGAGGTGGCGGCGTTGCGGCGCGGGATTCCCAAGGCGGCAACGGTTCACCAATTGTACACCGTCTTCCGCGACCAGACGTATGTGGATCGCGAGTTGCAGAGGGCTTTCGCCGATAATACGATTAAGCGTATTCGCGTAAATTCAGACAACGAGTTTCTGATTCGCACAGCACACTACGACGCAGTGTTACAGGAAGGCCTCAGGAAAGACATTTCGCTGGAAACCCGGACCTTATTGGAGCAGTTTTCGCACTTAATGAACGCCTATAACTTTGTCAGTATAGAGCGGGAGAAAATGCAGGCCCACGGGTTTACGCCCCCACAGCTTTCCAAGCTTGTGGATCTCGGTTTCTTGACGCTCTTCCAGACCTCTACCGACTCCACAAGTGTTGTTTATTCTCTCTCGCTTCCAAACATCGGCCTCTTACTCAAAGTGTTGATGCATGCACGAAAGTGGCTCGCAAAGAGCATCACGATCCACAACCGCAGTTGGAAGGAGATCACAGACACTCAGTTAGCGGCCCGGTGGGAGTCCAGTAAGGCCAAATGGAGCGGATTCAAGGGCATCCGCATGACGTGGGTATTGTACGATTGTTTGGGTGCGGGTACTCTTGAAGTGTTCAGAACGCCTGTGGGGGTTGCCTGGAAGTTGACTGGGAAGGTTTAATTGATGGGGACTTGACGAAAGAATTGAAGTAGATGTATCTAGTTTCCACCATATGATCGCGAGCGCTGCAAGTGTAAGACTAAGGCTTTAAACTATCCGGATAATGGCAATAGAGCGTATACGAAGAAAGAAATATACCAGTAAACGGAGTTCGGGCAGAATGTCCTAGTGGGTACGATAAGTTAAAAAGGATGTGGATAAACGGTGCGTGTGGTTAGATAAAATACCTCCTAGCATAAAGGAAAGGGCAGTTACTATTCGGTGGGGAGATAGAATTAATGACCCTTTCTGCTTTCATTTTTGGAGCTACGAGTAGGTCGGTGCCTACCGCTGCCTCCATTTGGATACTTGAAATTACACATGACGCTCGGACACTCTCACCCCATCGCCTACAAAACGTTAAGAAACGGTTATAATCTATATACGCACCGCCTTAACAAATAGAATAACACACCAAACAACGGTTGGCAAAACAAAAGATGGTTTCTGAGGGGAATACAAATCAAAAGAACAATTTTGGCCTACTTACTCAACTCCTCAATAATCGCCTTTTTGACCAACTCAACGTCGGCTCTCTCGACAAACTTCAATCTCTTCTCCTTGGAAGCCAACGCCCTCAACTCATCGGGCAATACGTCATTGTCGAAGCTGTAACCATCGACGCCGGCCAACGCCTGGTTGACGACCTCGGCGAACTTGGCAGGATGGGCGGTAGATAACGAAAGATACTTAACCCCGGCAACACCAGCCGCAGCATCACGTTGGATGTTTCTCAAGGAGGCCTCGACCCCGACGGCGGTGTGCGGGTCAAGTACGTACTTGTCAGTGGCAGCGTAGATCTGCTTGATGGTGGCAGCAGTTTCGACATCAGTGACTCTCTCGGAATCGAAATCAACTCTGGCAGCGCCGATAACAGCCTCAGGGACGGTCACGGAGCCGGTGGTCTTTAATTGGGTCATCCAGGACGCCAAAATAGCACCAGCTTCGTTGTCAGAGCCCGCGGCGTTGTCTCTGGCCAAATACCACAACAATCTCTCAAAGTTCGATGAGATCAAGATATCCATCGCTGGCGAGTAAGTAGCCTTGACCTCAGCTTCTCCCGAAGAGGCAGACTTTTCGTACCTGCCGTGCTTCATGAATCTGTCCAAGATGTCGTTTTCGTTTGTGGCAATCACCAACTTGTCGATTGGCAAGCCCATCTGCTTGGCAAAGTAGCCGGCAAGAATGTCACCGAAGTTTCCGGACGGAACGACGTATCTGACCTTGGCGGCGCCTAGCTTTTTTGTCAAGGCAAAGTACGAGTGGAAGTAGTAGGTGATCTGGGCCAAGATACGCGCCCAGTTGATGGAGTTGACAGCACCAACATGGTACTGCGTGTTGAACTCACTGTCCCCAAAGATCTGCTTGACAATGTCCTGGCAATCATCGAAAGTCCCGGTTACCGAGAGCGTGTGGACATTTGCATCTGGCACGGTGGTCATCTGCTGCTCCTGGATAGGTGAAATACGGCCGGTCGGGTACAAAATAAACACAGAAACATCCTTCTTGCCTCTTAACCCGTAGATGGCAGCGGAACCAGTGTCCCCGGAGGTAGCACCGACCACGGTGAGAACGTCTCTTTCGGCGCCAGTCTTGCCTTTGTTCTTTCTGACCAAGAAGTACTCAAACAAGTTGCCCACAAATTGCAAGGCAACGTCCTTGAACGCGTAGGTTGGCCCGTGGAATAGCTCGAGTAAATACAAGCCCTTTTCTTCGTTGAGCGGCTGGATAGGGGTCACGTCCGCGGCGCGGAACGTGGCATAGGACCGGTCGACCAAAGAGCGCAAGTCAGCATCTGGAATTTCAGACTCTTTAATGTAAAGGCGCATAATGCTGAAAGCCAATTCCTGGAAAGAAAAGTCCCTCCACGTGTCCAAGAAGTCGACTGGGAGTTGCGGAATGGTGGACGGGATGAACAACCCGCCGTCCTTAGCCAAGCCAGTCATTACGGCGTCTTCAAAGGAGACAGCCTGGTCGGTAGGCGAGCGGGTAGAGCGGTAGGTTTGGGTGGACATTGTAGGGAAGGTGTATTTTTAATATGAGAAAAAAGGGGTGGAGTGTGTGAACTGAGATCACTTATAATGAAAAGTCGCCGCAACGCAGGTGTGAATCATCAGTCATAGGTGTGCCGATACCGGAGCGGGTGTGTGCGCACCGGAACCCCATGGGCATCAAAAAACGCATTGGAGTCAACTGGCACGTGACAGAGGATCAGGGCACCGTGCGACAGAAGGAATCGTTTGTCAGAGCTATTAAAATGGGTAAATATAGAAGAAATGGCCGACCTGTACCGTCAACCTTCCTTAGGTCCGTTCGGGTGTTAAATCTATACATCATATCTCATGCATTGTTTATTTATATCAGTAACCGCAATCACGAAGGATCAACCCCCATGCAAATTTGTCAATACCCGTTCGTTGTCTCACCCGTCATCAATTTGATCCGCTCTAAATCCTGCTTCAAGCGTGCCAAGTCGTCAAGCAACTCGGACCCACTACCGGTGGCGGTGGCATTCTGGTAGCCGTACGGGCTCTGTTGTGACGGCACGTTACGTCTGGGCGGTGGCGGTGGCGGGAACATTGGCGACAGAACCGGCGACGCAGTCATTCTTCTACTTCGTGGTGGGGGCGGTGGCGGAGCCAAGCCACCATTTTTTTGGGGTGAAAACTCTGCGAAAGGCTGATCCATCTGGCTAAATGCTTGGTTAGACCCCTGGCTAAATGCCTGGTTAGGTCCCTGGTTTCCTCGAATGAGCTCCAGGGGCGATGAGACGTTGCGAAGAGGCGAATGAATGGCCGGGCTTGGGTTGATACTGCTGGTGATGCTGTTTAAAAAGTCCAAGTGCAGCGAATGGTTTCGTTCCGATATCTGGCTCGGCATCGGCGACGACAGCGATCTGTGCCGCTGCAACACAGGAATCTGGGAAGGCTGGCTTTGGTCCACAAAAAAGCTCGGGGTGGAAAGACCCTGTAGGTTACGCAATGCCTGGTAGTCCACGCCCATACTCTGCATATCGTTAGGTCCTGTACGGTTGGGTTTGAGGAGTTGGGCGTCCTGCTGGAATGCCTGGATTTGCGATTTGTGTAAGCTCTTGTAGTCGATGCCCAAACTACGCATTTCGTTAGGACCAGTCATGTTCGGTTTCAACGGTTTGAGGTCACTGAAATCTGTGTCTTGCGTCAAGTCCATATCCGAGTCGTTGGAGAAACTCAAAAAGCTATAGCCAACGTTCGCAGGCTTCCCGCCAAGCGACATGCTGTCAATGCTGCTAACCTGGTCAAAGTTGTGTATCTCAGGTGACATTTCTTTGAGGATTTTCGCCTCTTCCTCGCGCGTTTCATGCGGAGAATTCATCATCGTTACCGGATGGTTTAGCGTGAAATTGGCATTCCCATTAGCCTGTCCGAGAAGCTGATCCATGGGCAAGGAAAGGTCGATGGAGGATGACTGGGACTCAGGGGTATCCGATCCCGTCACCAACATCTCACTGAATTTCACGGCCTTCTTCTTGCGGCTCTCTTGGGGATTGACTCCCGTGAGCATGAAGCGGGTGAAGCTATCGAGATCGAGCGGCGCGGAATCCGGCTTCGGCTCCGGTTCTGGCGAGAGATCCCGCTTGCGTTTGTTCGCTTCAGCTGTGCTTAGAATTCCTATTGGTTTGGGGATCGGCGCTGGCCGCTGGATCACCGTCTTGTCGATCGAAGCCTCGACGCAGTCATCCAGGTAGTAGTGGCCGACCATGCGGAGCAACGCAAAGAACTGACCCACGTTCAAGCTGTCACGGTACTTCAGAAAGAGCTGCTCGAGCCGCTCCTTGAGCCAGTTCTGGAGTTTGAAGTTGGTGAAGAACGTCCAGATCTCTGCCAACGCAATGGTGGTCTTCTTAAGACCCTCCGGGTACTGGCTACTCACTGCGAGAGAACGGCTAAGAATGTTCCCATACCAGCGGAGATAAGTCCGGGCTTCAAGGGGGGAGAGTTGTGATACCGTTAGCGAAAGCGGGACGTCTGAGGTGGTCCATGACGATGAGACATCGGAGTCGGTTCGTGGCGGCGGTGGTGGTGGTTGTCTGGCACCAAAAGAGACAGATGGAGGCGGCGTGGGCGTAGACGCTACAGAATCACTTTTAGGGATGTTCAACCATTCTAGACCGCTCATAATTGCGCTAGATGTAGAAGGTGGAGTAGAGGTGGTGGATCAAGTGCGTTTTGCTATCAACTTATCGGAAGCGCCAAGAATAAGGAGGTGGTACGAGCACGACCTTCACAGGGCTTTAAATGGTAAGTCCCTGCTAATCGCAACAAGATCAAGATGACTGTTTAACAACTCAGATGTTAATATATAGACACATTTGCTGTACCATGTTGGTTATTTATGCTGGATTGTGTTGGTATAAGGGGAGGAGATATACCCGGGCTATGCTTTGATGGTCGTACCGGGAACGAAATAGTGTACGTATGCGCGGTGAAGTCATATGAGCTTGGCTGCTAACTCTATAAGGACCGTTCTCTAAAACAAGATAATACCTGATTTCGGAACCTCCTTATGCTTTCACTTTTTGGTTCTATTTCAGATTAACAAGCTAGCCTCTTTGCATTCTGAATGGGATTTTGCCGCTCTGGTCAAGGGATATCGTATCTTTGTGGGTCTGAGTTGGCTTGCTTCCTAGACGCATTCTTAGAGCTACTACAAACGCACTTTCTAATTCTCCATAAATGATACCCAGATCTACATATGCTTATTGGAAACTTTGAAGAGATGAAAGGTTTGCTACCTGCAGCGAAATCTGGAGCAGATTGAAGACTTTAATTTTTTAGTGTATTATCCGCATACGATTATAAAACACCAGATATGATGGATTGGCAAATCATATTTTTACCAAACGGGCTTATATATGCAGGACTGAAAAGTTGTATAACTTACTTCCTTTTCTTTAGGCAATCATTGCAGCCAAATATGAGTCGTATCTCGAAAAACGTGTTTAGCTACTCTGATGAGGAGGATCAAGAAGATGACAGGGAAACTTCTCTCATGGCTGCCCGTAAACAGGCGGAGGAGCGTGTCCGGAAGATGGAGGATGAGGAGGACTACGAAGCCATGTTCAGCGCGCCAGTCCAACCAAAACCGGTAGAGAAGCCTCCGGTAAACGCAGCATCATCTAGATACATCGAAAAGCTTCTCCAGGCGAAGCAGCGACGTGAGACTGACCGCGTGTTGTTGATTAACAAGAAACAAGGCCTCGTGCGAGCCCAGGAGGAGGTAAGCGGCCAGTACAAGGATAAGGAGATATTTGTGTCCAAATCGTACCAGAAAGCACAGAAAGAAGCACAGTCATTGGTAGAAGAGGAGACAGTCTTGTCACGACCGGTTTTTCTCTCCAACTTGGCGCTAAACCGTGCAGAGTCCGCTACTCAGACAGTTCCCAAGGTCAAAGTCTTGGCTGCCAAAGAAGAGGTGCCAAAAGAGGTGAAGAAACCGATGCCAAAATTCACATACTCGTCAGAGGAAGAATCGGAGGAGGAGCCCGAGCCGGAAGCGTTGAGTGCAGGGATGAACGTTAACCCTGCTAAACAGCCTGAGGTTTTGGTAGTGGATTTGCGGGATGTAAAATCGGAAGCAGAGTTGAGCGTGTTTCGCGAGCGGTACTTTTTTCGCAAGAAGGCCGAAAATAGCTTGGTCGGATGAGGGTCTACCCGGTTTTACAAGGAATATTACTCGCTCTCGTGAAGGTTACGGATAGCAGTACTAGGAATTACCATTTTCGAGTCAGTTTCGTTAATATTAGACGACGTACTCCAGTTTATTGCAAGGTGAGCCACAGGTCGGTTTTATACGAACAATTCCTACGAAGAAGATTGTCTACTCAGCCCTGACAATTGAGCTGAAAGCTGGATAAGCAAGTCAATGTCTTGTATCTATAGCGACATTAGACGTGATCGCTGGTGTAAGTTAAATAGCCATCAATATGTGGTATATTGAGAATTAAATGTTGATTATGCTGGCTTAATTTATATATAAAAAGGAAAGGGTAGCTCGTTATACAGGTTCAAGTAGATGAGGGGACTAGGTCGATATGGCATAACGATAACATGCCGATGTTATATCAATATTGGGGAAAGGTACGCACATGGTTATGCTGTCTTACCGCAAATCATATGGCTATGGATACAACAGACTATCCAACCTTGGGATGTTATAGAGCGCATTAATAGCTCTCATTGGAAGGGGTCATACATTTGGACATCATTTAGGACTGGTATTTAAACGATGTTTGATGTCTGTGTAAGCTCAAGGACTGAGAATTGTTTCAACCTTGAACCTACACAGCGAGGGTTATACATCTAAAATGCTGTAGACCCTCGGGTATTGGAGCTCTGGGCCCTATAGTAGGACCCTCTACATCACTATATGCTTCAAGCGGATGCCTGTTTCATTCTATTTTCATAAATACAGAATTTCGAACTGTCAAATCCGAAACTGTGCCATTTCAGATTCACCTTATTGATTCCTTTCATAATCCACACATGTCCCTTTCAGACTTTTTGTTTCTCTTCCCCTCAATTAAGAACCCAATAAACTCTATAGAGTTGGCTGGGGGCTCAACGTTCGTAACAGCCAGGGACATCAACATGGGTCTTGTTTTAGGGCCTCACGTTCCTACTACTCAGCGTCTCTGACATGGGCACCCTAGCCCTGCCTAATATTTTCGATGATCGAAAAACGTGTAAGCAACTCCTAAAGGGAGGGTCTGCGCTGGTCATCGTGAAACTAGGACTAGGTCTGGTGCCTGGCGGTTCCATCTCTTTGGCAAACCTACTGTTTTCACTCCATTCGCCCAAAGTGCCCAGGCGCAAACTTTGGGTAAGCAACTTTAAATATCCCTAGAAACGGAAACTTTTGCCAATCATCCCCCAACATATTAACCAAACCCTACCGTTTTCTGCACGAAGCAAGTGTGGTGAGCTCACCCGTTTGCAGGCACAAGCTCCATTTCCATCATTTCCTGGTGGGGTTTCCGTGACTACTCTGCTGAAAGGAGATTTATTTAGAAATCTTGCAGTGCATGCGTCAGTCCTCAGATTGATCTCATGTACCGCTGATCAGAGAAATGTGGCTTGGCTTGACTTAATACTCTCCGTAACTACCCCAGCGTACCCACATCTGCGACTTAAGGCCTAAAATCCAACGATTGCCGCGCGCTAGAGAGCTGTCTATATCCCAGTTATTGGACAGAAGAGGTTCAATATTGTAGGCACCGCATGCATGCCTCGGGCAATGCAGTGTAGTTAATCAAATGCTTGACCGCACAGCTCTCTTCGCTCTGCGAGTGCAATGTGGCCTAGTAGCCCACCTGGACATGCTCGCCCCCCTCAGTTGAATAAGCGTAAAGATCTATTGCGACAAAAACAATAAATCACCGAGTAGTCTGGATTATAAAGCGCCGCCTCATTCCTACTCAGTACCGGTAACCTTTCAACCCCCCTTCCATCAATCTGTTGGCTCCTCCAACCTACTGAAATCACAGCCCTTGCACAATGCGCTACGATCTCCCAATTTTGGGCCGTATAGAGTCGTTCCCCAGCTACTCAAACCCATCCATCACCTCTTCCAGATCTAATATATCCTCGTTATTCGATAAGATCAGCCGTGCCCTCTCTCATGATACTGGTTCTATCGTCTCCGCCGCCCTCTCGTTAAACAATCCCGGAAAGGCCGTTCGAGACTCGGAAGTTCGGCTCTCACGGGTAGAGCTAATTTTCACGGAGGAGGAAATTGCAATCCTTAAGTTCACATGGTCCTTGGAAGCTATGGGAACGGAACATGAGCAAGAAATCGTGGACCCGAGGTATTCCCTCTTTGGAACATCCTATTTCTGGAATCAGGTATATGGCATCGTTTTAGAGTCACACCCCAATGCAGGGAATATGGTTCCAACAGTGGACCACCAAACACGAGCATTCGCGGGAATGATGTATCTTTGCATGCGAAACTTGGAAGACTTGACCAAGTTGGATGAATACTTGGCGAGTTTAGGCCGCAGACACAGCAGGATGTTTGGTGCCCAACCCCCTCACTTTGAGGCTGTCGGGGTTGCTGTGATCGAAACGTTTCAACAGTACTATGGAGACGTTTTTACAAAAGAGATAGCGGCTATTTGGATCAAGCTATACTGCTTTTTGGCAAATTCAATGGTCCAGGCTTCGCTCTATGATCCGATAATTATAGAAAATAAGTTGGTCTTTCCTACGCTTGTGAAAGCTGCTGAGGAGTCTGACACCCCTTCCGGTAAGCTCCCCGAGGAGGCGAGGGGTGCTGACAGCGTTGCCGATGAAGATGCAGAAACCATGTTTCTTGACTTCCCAGTTGGTCAAAAGGGAATGGATATACTGCGAAAGAGAAGGCGAAAGCGGTTGGGGGACCTTGCTTCCAAGGTGTTTGGTGAGGGCTACAGCACCCATAGCCAACCACTAAAGTCATTGCTGAGTCCTACCTAGCAGGATTTGACGGCCAAATGCTAGAGAGGGGAATCAGTAGTAAGGTATGGTATGCCATCCGAAGAAAATGGTGTCTGCTATGCTGTATCATCCACTGTAAACCATGTCTCTCCAAATTTTGTGACATTGCCGTACTGATGTTCCCTTGTATAATGGTTCGGTTGTGAAACCAGTGATGAAACTCTTTTGCTGATCCCGCATATGCAAGATTTAGTAATACAGATCTGAGATGTTAGGATCGGCGTATGTTCTGAAGCTAGCCAGTCTACCACAAGCAAGAGAGCAAAATACTGGGTATGAAAAAGATACGTATAATTTTGAGATTAAAAATTAATCCACAATGTATAATGCAAAAGTGGAGTCCGATGGGTGAAATGTAAACTGGTGCCTGGTTTGAAAATTTAATGTTAGAGGTTTTCGCTCTTGATCTGGCTCGAATCACACCTGCATGGTGCCGCCATTAGATCAGCCAGAATCCGATTTTTTTCACCCTTCCCACCCCCGCTGAATGTGGCCCTTAATCCATACAGGTCCTGTGCCGCTGATCCCCATAGTCTGCTTTATATGCACGATGCAACAGGCATGGCTTTAATAGCTGTGTGGTGCCTAGACCTTAAGGCACGTAAACAAAAATTGCAAGCTCCCACGCCCCTCTACAAGATGTACCATGAAAGGTCCGAGGATCTTGCTCGGATGGGGAAATTCTCCTTAGCAAACCTTATGTTATACTTTAATCGCCTTAAGATGCCCGGTGTTACATATGCCACCTAGTTCCACAGTAGCATAATGCGCCCCAGTAAGCGCAAGACATGTGATGCCCAAAGACAAGGATCATGCTTCGCGTTTCGTGTCTAGGGAGGCCCGTGGTAGAATAGCTCTTTGTTCTACGGCGCCTTATAAATGAACCCTGTCACGCATGGCCAGAAATTACCATTGTAGTAAAATGGTACACTGCTCACTGAGAACCAGAAAAGGCAACCCCATACCATTTAAAATGCTAACTGCCAGCACCAATCTAAGTTTACTAGGACCAGCTGATATTTCCAAAACCTCACCCTCGCCGGTTGGCTTCGGTGATTCCGTATCGGATTTATCCTCCTTGTTTGACAAGTTCCCGCTTTCGCGCTCCCATGATACAGACTCTCTCGCTTCCAATACTCTGATTTCTAATAGTCCCGTGAAAGAGACAAGACATACGACCGGCATCTACTCGCATATGGAGGCAGTGTTCACGGAGGCAGAGATCGCCACGCTTAAGGCCACATGGATATCGGAAGCTGTGGGTACAGCCTATGAAGGCACGGTGAACTCCAAACAAACGCCCTTTGGTACTATTCACTTTTGGGAGCAAACCTATGCCTGTGTTCAACGAAAACAGCCCTCTGCGGTGGCGTTGATGCCGGCCATTGACCACCAAACTCGCTCTTTTGCCGGGTTGATGCATCTTTGTATGGAAAACATTGAATGCTTATCCACCTTAGACGGATATTTGGCCAACCTAGGGCGAAAACACAGCAGAATCTTTGGTGCGCTGTCACGTCATTTCCAAATTTTGGGGGAAGCGGTCGTTGAGACACTACACAAGTACTATGGGAAAGTCTTTACGCGAAAAGCAGTCGCTCTTTGGATCCGTCTCTACTGCTTCTTGGCCAATTCCATGATTCAAGCCTCACTCAATGAGCCAACCCTTATCCGAGATGAATTGGTGTACCCTACTTTACAGTCCACAGATAATACAAGCATATCGCTTATAAGGTCTACGGATGAAGATATTTCCAGAGATGATTTCGAGAACATGTCTCATGATTTACCGGCAGAAATTAGATTCTTGGGTACGTTCCAGAGGAAGAAGCGTCATAACTTGGGTGCATTAGCCTCTAAGTACTTTTTCTAGCCAGGTCGGCCTTGAGCTAAAAACTCAAGGTTGGGAAGCTACTCAGAGTAGTCACCTAAATCCATTTACGGAAAAGTGGGTATATTGATGAGAAGTATGGATTAAAGGTATGTGTTGAGGCAGTTCTTCTATCTCCCTACTGATCAGTCTATTCATCTATCCTTTCTAGTGTGATTTTAATTGAATATTTGGACATTCACCGAGAAAGATCTTAGAATTCGAAGCATTTACATATTTGGGCGGTTGCTGAAAAAGTGTATATACACTAGCTCCTCGACCTCGTCTCCTATAATGTTACGCCAAATTCCTTTGTCCCGGTAACCATATATTAAACCCAATCGAACAAAAAAATGGGAAACAATTCTATTTACATATACAACAGTAGAAACCTTCCATGGCTTCCACTGCTGACATAATATCTACCACGTGCTTAGTACCGCTGGTATTTCCGCTCTGGTGTCTTCTTCCGCTTGAACATCTGGTCTTCGTACTTCTGCATCATCTCAAACTCTAACGCGTCCAATGGGCCCTCTTCAAACTCTGGTGTGTAGCTCAGCTCAGTCCGTTTTGCCAAATACTCCTCGTACATTGTATCAGGCGGCGTAATCACTATAGCACCCTTAGTTTTCAGTGAAGTCCTAGCTTTTACCGCTGTGGGGACGGCTTTGGTTTTCACCACCGGTTCTTTTTTTAAATAACCGCTTTCGTCGTCCTGGGGGGCATACTGTTGCATCTGTCTAGACTTTCTCCGAACGGCCTTGAACTCATCCTCATCCTTGGCCACTTGCAACTCGATAAACCGATTCAACATTGACGGGGAGTACTGGCTATCAATATCAGCAAACACTGGGACACGCGGAGAGTACTCATAGTGAGACAAATCCAACGAATCAGCCTCGCCTAAGAGAGAGCCGTGAGACGTGGCACACTTTGTCAACGTTTCTTCGATGGTCAACGACTCGCCTGGTCGGATAGGTACCAGGTTGGAAGGCGTGACACAATCCATATCAACCTCCTTACGCAATACGTGGTCCACGTCGACGGCGCTGAAGAACGCACAGGACTGAGGGATCTCACTGATCCCTAACTGCTGTGCAAACATCGCTCTGGTCCACAAGTTGCAGATCTGCATTAATAACGTAGTTTTGTACTTGTCCTCTTCCTTCACCATGTACCGCACCTCATCGTGGACCGTAATGAGTAATCTGGCGTCGACTTTGTACAAGCGAATGAGGTACTCCATCCCAACGAGAAGCAAGTGCAAGTAATCCACGCCGGACGACTGGATCGCCCAGTTAATACGTGACGGCAAGTAGCTGTTGACCTTTAAATATTTTTTGGTCAACGCCTGGGTGATCCCTGCTCCCAAAATCGGCGTCCGAGGCACCTCTTGCTCCGCAATCATCTCCAACCGATTAAACACCACGCTTTCACTGCCACCGAACCAAGTCATCTTGCCGGCAAACTTCGGCCCTGAGGGAAGTCGTTTACCCTTGGTCGCATCGTACAACTTCTGGGCCGTCTCTGCGGCCTGTTCCTCGGTCAACGTCGGATTGAACTGCTTTAACAATGTGCATGCAAACTTCAATCCGGCCCCGTAGATCCGCCCGTAGTTAAATACCTTGGCTTCGTTTCTGCTGATTCCCAAAATGTTAGCGGTCTTGGAGTGCAAATCCGTGCCCTCGCTCTTGGTCCCTTCAAGCGTCATCCAGCCCAACGCCGTGCCGCCGTGAAGCTTAAAGATCGAGTCACCGACCAAGGATGCGATCCAGAGCTCTTCGGAGTCTACATCGGCGCCCACAAAGCAGTAGCCTGGTGGAGCCTCGATCAAGGATTTCAACTCGGACCCGATTCTAGTCTTCTTGGCGTTGGAGGCGGTGAGCCAGGTGTTTTCAACAGATCTACGAGTTACCGTTCCCATCGACTGGATTTTCGGGAGGATGATCCCCATTTTGGACTCGGTGCCGAAGTCTCGCTTGTTCTTTTGATCATCGTTGTACACAACAAACTGCTGCGCAATTCTCAGACGGGACGACACCCAATAGGAGGACATGGAGTTCAGAACAAATGCCTGCTGTGCGTGTTCAAACTGCGACGTCAATATTCCCTTTTCAGCAAACTTATGGTACGCCTTGCTCATCAAAATTGCACACCGCTGATTCGGGCCGTCGGGGTGCGGGACCCGAAACAACTCATACTCAAAGTTTCCCCGCAACTTTTCCAGAAGCGCAAGATCTGTCTCAGTGGCCTCAAAGTCACTCACCTTCTTTGGGCCAGTTTTCTCCCGTTTCTTCGGTTTCGGGGCTTTGACCTCAGGTTCAACCTCGATCTCCGGCTTCATCTCCATCTCGGGGTTGAGCTCTTTCTGGATGAGCCGCTGGAGCCGACGATCCTCTGCACGGCGCCGGACCTCCTCCCGACCTGTGCGAAACTCACACACGTTGTAGTTCTTCTTTATCATCTCCTGGACCCTGCTAAGGGGCACTTGGAAGCACCAGCCTTGACTGTCGAACCAGACAATGGGACATCCCTCCCATTGGAGCTTGAAGAGAAGGCAGGCGATCCTGCCCTTGCTCTTGACCACGGCTTTGTCGGAGCCGGTCGGACAGAGCGACTTGTACCACTCGGGATACCCCGGCATGCGCTGGTTCTTGCGCGGAAGGCCCTTTTTGGTGTATTGCATCGGGGTGATCTTCCAGTCAAGCTGCGACAACCAAAAGTCATCCTTCCAAGGTTCAGATGCGTCTTCTCGCATGAGCACCGCCTCCTCTGCTAGGTCGCGCAACCGCTGCTCGACCTTAACAATGCTCTGCTGGTACACCGCCTCGGAGTTGGCCACAAACGCATCCCACTTGCGCGTAGTGGGCAAGAACGACGTCCCAATCTGGCGCAATGCGGCGAAGGACACCGGGTGCGGCACGTGCTCGCGGAACTTTGGAAACGTCTTGGCAAACACCTGGAACGTGGTGTCGACGTCTGTGGCACAGTACAGCATCAATCGCGCAAAGTTCTCGCGGATGGGCTCCGCGTCCTCGAGCGAGAAGTAGTCGCGGTCCGCTTTGTCCATCGTGACTCCACAGTGAAGCTCGGCCACGTAGGCCAAGGAGTTCATGCTAGTCACCTCCAACCACGGGTCATCCTCTCGGTCCACAGAGATGTCATTCATCAAGTCAGAAACATCGGTCTCGTTGATATCAAAGCCGGAATTCGCCTCTTCGCGGATGTACTCGTCGGCCGTACGCAACTTCTTCTTGTGCTTCATCCAGGACCCGCGCTGCCGCGAGCTCAATCCGTTGATGGCTACGTGGAGACTCATTGTGTCGAGGTAAAATGCCTTCGACTGCGTCATGTGGTACTCTTCAAGAATTCGTGACCGGTCGTAGCCCACGTTGTGCCCCACAATCAACTTCGGAGCCCCATGGCACCCCATGGGGATCAAGTGCTCCATCAGGGTCGACTCTTTGGTGAGAAACGGCGAAACCCACGCGTACCACGCTGTCTCGCTCACGGCAGTCGCCATCACCGGATAAGGCGAGAGCTTGTATAGGCATTCTACGTCAAACACGAGCTTCTCCTCAAGCGGATACTCCACCTTGCAAGGTTTTTTCCCCTTGGCGTACCGTGTCCAGCCCGATTGGAATATCCATGCGTCTTCCTGGGGAAGGCTGGGCGTAGATTTCTGGGAGAACGTCGTGGCGTACTCGAGATACGGATCCGCACAGAAGAGGCCCAAGCGGTGAAAGTGCTCGTCCAAGTCGCGGCCCTGCAACGGTGGGATATCAAAGGCGATGGGGTCCGTAATGAGTGTCTTTTTGCCTAACAAATCATTATTGGCGAGGTACTTTCGCGCTAGCGCGATCTTCTCCTGGAGATGGGCCGGCAGGGTTGTAGAGCTTCCTCGGCTCTTACTCGATTTTGCGCCGAGCCGTGCTTTTAGCGTTTTGGGGTCAATGGGGTTTCCCGGAAACACCAGGTTATGGAGTTGGGCAGAGATGTACTGGATCCCGACCTCGTTCACCCGCGGCTCTTGGCGTAGCGCGGAGAAGGTGTTGAGGTACCGACATGCCTTTCCGCCCGGCATGGGCAACCGGCGGCTAAGTAACATGTGATTGGGGGGAAAGCAGCTATTAGTAGAATCGATGCTGTGTTATTGTGCTGAATTGAAGGTGACGGTGCTGATTCAAGTGATTTCGGTGAACCGCCGAATATCAATAACGTCAAGTTTTGCTCTGGGTTTATAAACTTTTGTTCACGTGATGTGCAGCCGCACCCATGCGGCTGGGTGCTGATAGAGGTGCCGGAGGTTTGTTATCTGTTACTCTCCCAGGTTTGTTATCTGTTACTCTACCAGGTTAACCTCAGTTTCGTTGGTAGGGGAATCACTCTTTGAATTTTAAAGGCTGGCTGTTTGACCATTAAAGCACCATGTCTGAGGAATAGCCCCACCCTCTTGAATACTTACAACTATGCCGTTCCTCTAGCATGCCTTGTTCAAAAGCCACGATTATTGTGGTATCAAATGTTTGTCCGGTTGTCCAAATTAGTCTTTTTCAGCATGTCCTTATTCGTCCAGTTTAGAGCTTGCAAATTGTTGAAACTATTCCTGCCATCACACGAATACGGCATTACTTAGCCGCTCCTCTCCCCTGTCCGTTCCGTAAGCAATATGTACCGGATATCCATGGACTAGCACATGTGTCACGACGTCCGTGAGCATTGTGCGCTGGTTATCTCATAGCCCTCTAGAGAGGTTCCCCCCCTCCCCTGTGGCCCTCAGTAAGGGGCGCGCCATAGATAGACGTCGATAGCGTGTAGGAAAAACCGATTACCGAAACAAACCAACAGCCATTTCAACGTCTATATCAGACACTTTTCGTTTATCCCACCTCTCTGTCCCCATAGCACCATATATTACATCTGAATAATGTCTGCCGCTACTGCTTTGAGTAACGACCAAGTACGTATATGCCCGATTGGCGCTATTCCTTTGAGCAACTGAGAACTAACACGACGTAGGTCGCTTCCGAACTCCGTAAGATGGAGGCTTTCATCAAGAAGGAAGCCCAGGAAAAGGCCGAAGAAATCAAGATGAAGGTATGTATGTTAATTGGTGATTTGAAAAGAGTGTGATACCATAGGATGTGCATTTGAGATTGTTTTCTCTGTTCAGCAAAGGAACTGGTAATCCCTGAATACGTTAGTCGTTGAATTAATCGAGATTACACACAATGACATTGCCAGTGACAATGTTATTATCCTTTGAGACTGTTGGTTACATCCGCGACAAAATAGGGCTGCAATGGGACACTAGAGTATTTCATTTTCCGAATTGCCCATCTATTGATAAATCATGCTGCTGCAAGGTATCTTCGGAAGGTCTACTGGGCTTTGTCCGGGGTTTGTCCGAGGTTTGTACTCCACGGTAGAATTCAGCCTCTTGATTGGCGTGTCCTACTGTTTGAATCTGTTAGACTATGGTCTTGGATATGACACGTCCTACTGCTCATAATGCTCTCTCCATCTCCACGCCTTACCCTAGCAACTACTAACTCCTTTAGGCCGATGAGGAATACCAGATCGAAAAGTCCACCATTGTGCGTAACGAGACGGCCTCTTTGGACACCACCTACCAAGCCAAGTTGAAGAAGGCAGCGTTGGCCCAGCAGATCACCAAATCTACCATCGCCAACAAGACCAGATTAAAGATCCTCTCTACCCGTGAAGAAGTCCTCAACTCCATTTTTGATGACGCTGAGAAGCAATTGCAATCCGTTTCCGCTGACAAGACTAAGTACAAGCCACTCGTGACCGGTTTGATTGAGGAAGGTTTGTTGGCCTTATTAGAAACCGAAATCTCCTTGCGTGTTCGTGAGGCCGACATCTCCTTGGTCAAGGAATGTATCCCAGCTGCCGTCAAGACCTTGGAAGACCAATCTGGCCTCAAGTGTGAGGTTAAGGTTTTGGAGAACGATTTCCTCAGCGCAGATCTGGCTGGTGGGATTGTCATTATCAATTCCACCGGTAAGATCGAAATTGACAACACCTTGGAAGAGAGATTGAAGTTGTTGAGCGAGGAGTCCTTGCCTGCGATTAGATTAGAGTTGTACGGACCATCCGCCACCAGAAAGTTCTTTGATTAGCCGCAAAAGCTTCATATGCTATTGTCTACCTAATTTATACTTCTTTTCCCGGGTCCTAGCCTTTCTTTCGTGCATTATATTCTCTCCTGTTTACCTCTCGTAGTCAATCATTTGTGGAGTGACTAGGATCTGGCTCCGAAATAGATGTGAAGCCTCTCAAGTGATTATATAAAATTGGATTGGCATCAAGATATCAAGGTTACTACATCCGGTTCGCTTTAAAAAAATACCGTGATAATTATGATTAAATTTGTTATCATTAGGTTAAGTTTTTTTTTTTTTTTTTGACGAATTGTCATACGACAAATTACTTATGGCTTTAACAGAATTTGGGGATGTTTGGTGCTCCCGGGCAGAGCTATGCTAATCTTCAATCTCTTCGTATCTCTGCATCAACAAGCGCTTGTACTCGTCCATGTCTGTGTCCCACAATTGCGCAGCCTGTGCGTTCAACGGCGAGCTGTTGTTTGGTTCTCCCAATAATGACTGCAAAGACAACATGATCGTCTGGACGTTATAGATCGCCGACCACTTTTCCTTCAATATGTCGAGGCAGATGTTTCCTTTCATATCAATGTTTGGGTGCCACATCGGTGACACAAACATGATGGTTGGCGCGGTGTATGGGTAGTTGGATGGAAAGTCTAAGCTGATTTTAAACACCAAGCTCTCGTATGGGGTACCCTGGGGACCTTCAATCGTTCCCGTCCACTTCAAGATGTTAGTGTCAGACTCGGGAAAGGCAGAGATCCCAGGTGTGCCGCTCATCATCAACTGCACAAGCTCGTTCTGTAGCCTGTTGGTAACGGAGTGGCCATCCGGGACAACGCCTTTCTTCTGGGAATGCATAACGGAAGCGGACATGATAGGGGCAGCGAGACGGTTATGGGTTATGGTGGCCGCGGATGACGGAGTGGTAGCAATGGGATAGCAAGATGCCTGCAAAGATTCAATGAGCTGCTAGAAATCTGAAAGGCAGCGCAGGGTGTGAGAATAGAAGTTTCTTAAGATGATCCAACCTTTAACGCGGCACAGATTTGACAGTGCATTTTCTTACCCGATGCGGCATTGTAAACACAAATTAAATTGACGTGCACGTGATATATCAGGTGACATATCAGGTGACATATCAGGTGACACGTATTTCAGCTGCCCCTGCTACCTGTGGGCGGCCATCCTGTAGGCTGGTCTTCAAGGCGGTATTGGCCCTAAAACAAGGAGGCATACGTGTCAGCCTGGCACCTGTGCAGCAGCCCCCGATCTTACTGCAGGCGTTACCACTAATGCGAGAGATACGGCGCCGGAGCTTCCCCTTCGCAGAAGCTTAGCTCCATAATTGATAGATCCACCCCGCTAAAGAGTGGGATAGAGCCTCCGTATTTGACGCCCTCGTATATCGAGGGAGAACATAGACGCAGGAAGCTACATAATCTCACTTTTGTCGTCAAGACTCCAAGTGGCGCCACAAATCTGCCACCGACAGAGATTCCTCCTTTGACGAAAAATCTCAAACCTAACTTGACGAGCCGGAAGAGCTTCACGAATCCCTCCAAACCCAGTATAGGGGAGGCCCCGGTACCTTTTGCAGCTGTTTATTGAATCGCCCTGACTCCCCATTGTGGGTCTAGAATGCGTATGCAGATGCGTTTCCGATAGAGTTATTAAAGTACATGGGTGAATTTGGCGGTTACCTTCGAATGCAAGATAGGCTCACTAGAGCAGTTTACAGTTGTTTCAGAGTGGGAAAGTATGCGCGTTTTGGAAATGCCGGAGAGTTGAATGTTGAGTGTGTGGGGAGATTTACCGAGTGCATACGGACATGGCCCTGTGTATTCATGGATATGGGGCTTGTAAATCTCCGGACACTAGTGGTCTCACTAAGGATCCACAACCCCATTCGACGGTAGCATGCAGTCTAAGAGCCACGTTTAAGTCGGCTAAAAAAATACCATGATCCGTAGATTTTAGAACCTCTGCGTATGTGGTTCTAGCGAGCGTTTGTAGTACAGTGACGGTATGCCAGATTCTGCTTGCAACAAGTCTCATATATGCAGTAGCGAGCAAGAGATATCGTAAAACCACGCTCGTTCCGTCGGACTTTCCGGCTGCCGGGAAAAAAAAGGTACAATTGCGAGGCGTGGTAGATCAGACTTGAGAGATCAGATTTCCAGCCTGGTGGGTCTCTAAACAATCTGGATTGGGACATCCCTGACACATTGCATGGGCCCAGCATCGTCACACTCTGCTGTCTAAACTCTCGCCTTGTAGTGGCATACCCAGGTCAGTGAAAAAGTGAGTCAGAAATCTCGTAGCTTAGCAGGTAAAACCTATACCGGTCCAGTCATCGGAAATGAAGCTTTCGTGCTTCTCCAGAGATCCCATTCTAGTTCGTATCTAGCCTACAAAGGACCAGTTAAATTACTTCTAATGACCGGTTTGTGTAGAAATTCACCTGTCCTTTATATTTTTAGTCTAGCCTCGTGTACGTGGCATCGAAGGAAGTGGATTCCAGCTGGGGGCGGTTTCTATGTAAAAAAAAATACTTAAAATGTAGCACCTCGCAGTCCATATAGCCGCACCACCCCATCATAATAGGCAACAATACCCACCAGCAAGGCTGTAAATACATGTGATTGACATTCAGTTGTGCAACGATTACGCGACATCTTTTCAGGCGTGGATAGAATGATAAAATTAAGTAATAGACCATGAGTAACCTGAAACATACCTGTGGCCAGTTACCGCGAGTTAACCCCTGGTCGTTGCCAGATGGCATGCAAGCTAAGCTCATACGTCCGTTCATAATCCACGCAACTCCTCTTAGTCCGCTGGTATATCTGTGACTTCAAATACAACCGATAATCTGTCACGGGCACCTATTGCGAGCCTTATCAGTGGATGTGGAAGCAGATTGAGGGAGGCTCTTTGACGCCAATCTGCCGCCTTCACACTAAGCGATGCACCACCATATTTACTGGTGCCGCTCCCAGGAAGCCTGCCGCAGCCACTCACAAGCCTGTTGCGGGTTACAACGAAACGGTCTTCAGAAGGGATACGCCTTATTAATAGACTTTTATCTGTGCACCGTTTCTTGCAAACTCTCCTTCGTGTATAATCTATTGCTTGCTCCATTCGAGTTTGCGAGTAACTGGCGATGCGTTGCCGGACACGCTTCTTTCAAGAAGGATCACGACGTGCGTTGACATCCGATACCTCAGGCATAACTATAAAGTAGGCCACATAATGATGAATCCCACTATTTCCGCCAATAGCATGCGTTGTGACGCAGAAGGGGTTTCCCTTCTGGTCAGTAACAAGTCAGTAAGCAAGTCCACTAGCGGGACTCCTCCGGTTCGCCATAAGACGCCTCTACATGTCCACCACGAAGGTGCCGGTATCTACAGATCCACGTTGAAACGCCCAAACTTGTCTACCGGAAGGCGTCCCCACTAGGAGATTCCTGACTGGCCTTTTTTCCCAGCTCTCAGTAAGATGTTGGTCCTGGACGAGGCAGCGGAACGGCGGTCCGGGTTATTTAATGAGTGACACGAGCCGCATGCATGCATGCACTAGAACACTTTACGCGTGAATCTGTGCGTCGTCCCTCTGGAAAGGCGCTAAGGCTGTACTGCATGCCGTGACGACGAAATCACGAGGCAGGTGTACGTCAAGAACGCACCTCGCAATTTATACCGGATGTGACCTCAGGTTACCACACATCACGGAGCATTCCTTACGGCCCAGAAAGATAAACAGAGACTGGCGACACATAAGCCTCCTTTACTCTCAGAGATTTTGCTATTTGTTCATTCTTGTGGTTACGGGGTTTACATTTAAGAAACTATACCCACACCTTCGTTGTGCCATTTCTGCCACTTGAAAGTTGACACGCACGAATTGATCTGCCCCTTGCCGAACCTGTTCTACAACTCTGATAGATCATTCAACTTTTTTCACACCCAGTGGGACACTCGTTTCGAACACTGCCATGAACTTCCAGGGGCAGAATAACTACATGGGCAATGCCCAGCTGGGCCAATACGTGCAACATCCCATGGTTCAGGCTCCGGGCCCGCAGATACAGATGCTAGACCGAAACAAGCCGAACTATCAATACATGATGGTCAAGAACATGAGCCACCCGCAGTTTATTCCCCCGAATGGCGTGGTTATGCTGCCCAACCAGCAGGTTCAAATGCAGCAGCATATCCAGTGGCAGAACCAGAAGACTGCGGCTCTACAACAACAGATGCTACAGACCCAGATTCAGCAACAAATGCTGGGTCTGCAACAGCAACAAATACAACAACAGATGCAGATGCAACAACAAATGCAGACCCAGCAGCAGACCCAGCAGCAGATGCAGCAGATGCAACACCAGATGCAACTTCAGCAACAACTTCAGCACCAAAAAGGACGGGTGCTGGTGCCTTTTGCGCCGCCCATCATTCCACAGTTTCTTAATGTTCCCCTCAATTCCCAGACCTCTGGCTCGCTGTTTTCACTGCCTACGATGGGCAGTACCAGCAGTTTCTCATCCCCCATGTCCTCCCTGAACCCGCCAGTCCCCGCAGATCCCTCGCCCGTAAGAGCTCAGAACTTCGGGGGGCCAATAACACCGATAGAAACAAACTACGCATTTACCAGCGACAACCCGTACCTTCTTGCACAGCGCACACCAGATGTCACGCTTGACGACTTGTTCGAAGACGATCATTTGTCGTATGCCACAAGCATAGCGGGGTTTTTCGATGATTCTTCGCTTCTAGAGCCAACTATGGTCGAAGGTCTTGGAATCACACTACCCCCGGATTTTCAGTTCTCCGGAAATGACTCTGAGCTGGGAAACCCGGGCCACTGCTCGGACTCCATAGTATTGAACTTCTTGGACGGTGACGGTTTTTCCGCGATGCTCGAAGATTCCCTGGAGAAATCTCCTCTGGCTCCCTCCAACTCAGTTGCACAGGCAGCCTCTCCTGCTGAGTCTGTGTCCGATCTGTCGCCGTTGGCACAGCTCCCCAAGCAACCAGTGAAAAACAGGCCCGTGGGAAAGCGCAACAAACCGTTACCCAAGCTCCCCAGGCGGGATTCTGCTACTGCTGATCACATCCGTGGTCTTCCAGCTCCCATGAATGTTGTGCCATACAGCTTCTCCAGTTCTTCTCCCTCACAAACATCACCCACAGGAATGCTCAAGACCTCGGGGGCATCGCCGAAAGAGACTTGGAAGCTGAAGTCGGGGACATCTGCATCGGGACTGGGAGGTGCCACCAAAAAGCGAGGAAGCGTGGCTGGAGTTCGGAAGGTAAAGAGTGCCAACGGCTGGGTCAAGCCGGCAGCATCTACCATTGTCGCATCGTCCGCCTCAGATTCTGCGTTGTCGTTCCAGGAACACTTTTCTAGTCTGGAATGGACTGCCGAATTTTCCCCGCTGGCGTTTCTGATTGAAAACAACCTGACGCTCGATCCCTCTCGTAGGGGTAGCACTACTCCCAAGAAGAAAAATGAGGTCGAGGAGAAGCCGAAACTGAAGCCCTCCCGCAAGTCGACACAAAAGAATTCACCTGAAGAACTCCAGGGTTCTGTGTCGGAGTACTCGCTCGATCCAGAGCTGGGCTGTGTTACAGGTGAGTTCCATGTCCGCGGAGGTGGCTATGGTGAGTTTGTGGAGGGTTTAGGGGGTGCTGGAAAAACCCCGTCGTCCAAGAGGCTCCGTCCTCCTAACATATTGAAAAGCATGAAGGCAGGCTTGGTGGAGTTTCAGTTAAAGCTCACCAAGTAATCAGGTGGATAATGGAATACCACTAATAATATATACCGACTTTTGTCTAGATGAATAAATTGCATCAAGGCTCCTCCGCTGTACGATAATGATCCGGAAATTTTCAGCTTAGGTGTTTGTAAAAGTCATAGGTACTCCTTCAGTTCAAAAAGCAGCATCACCAATATACTGAGATTTTTGATGGGCGGTAATGACGCACAGCAAATTCTGGTCTTAAGCCTTGTGCATCTTACTAAGATTAGTCACGATTTTCATTAAAAGCTGTAGACCATAAATAAGTAAGCATGTTCCCAGCTCTAACACAAAAGTGAACCGCTTATTATATCTCGTTAATTAAAAACCGGGGATAATTGTACATTGTCAAATAATATACGCATGACAGGTTAAAATTTTAACACTCTCAATTAAGTGTCTAGATAACGCTCTTACTATATGTAAAGTGGCCCTCCCTACAATAAGAATAATCATGAATAAATAGGCTTAAACAGTAAGTCAAATCTAAGGAACTTGCTCACTAAAACGAGAAGAGGGTGACGTGTTACGTCTAGCAGTTGGGTTGCAGAAGGGAAAGGCAATCCCTGTGAGATTCTGTATATATGTTGAAGTAACCTAGTACTTTTCTGGGACGTAGTCCTTGATAAGGCTCTCGGTTCTCTTGGCGCCGCGGAAATCGATGGCGTTTTCAGTCTTGTACATGTAATAGCAGGTCAAAGTAGGGATAACACCCATGGAGAAGAAGACAAAAGCACCAGCCTTACCAGAAAGCTTCCAAATGTTACGCATGTTACCCATACGCTCTAGAAAGGGTTAGTATAACGGCTTGTCATCGACAAGGAAGGACAGCTAAGAGTTCCATTCGGAAACTTTTCGATATGTATAAGAGTCTTTCAGGCTCAAAAAATTACCCCTATTTCCTCCTTTTGGCTCGCAGTTAGTTGGAGTACGTACGGTTGTAGGTCTGGAAACCTTGATCGGTCTTTATAGCTATCAGATGTTAGTAGCATTCTCATGCGAAGCAGTCGCCTCTCCTGGAAGTTTCGGTAAACCCGGCCATAATAGACAACAAAAGCGTAAGCCAGTACATACCATGTCCGTGAGCACCCATTTTGTGTATGTGTATATTGGTTGGCAATGGTTGGAACTTCCTACTGTCTCCTATAGTCTTTTTTTCCTGTTACCATCTGAGATTGGTGCTAGTTAATTGGTTTAGGGCCGTACACGTGTGTTTTGATTTATGCACGACCCAGCAGCGCTCACTTAGTCTCAGCGTATTACGGGTAATTGTACTACGCGCTTTTAACAGGGCGGTTCTCTACCCATTTTTTTCAACTTTTTTTCTAAATATCCTGAATGTAGCAAAACTCGTGGTGGATCGTATTTAGTTAGTTATATAGTATGCCAGTTTAGGCAATGAGGGCTGCCAAAACGTATACGTAATCACGCATAGAAAAGACGCACCGGGGAAGTTTATACTGCAATAATGTCCTCTAATTAAACAATAGCATTGTTTGGAGGTTAGCTACTAGTAGAGATTTACTGCATCAACTCAAGGACTATAGTGGTTGAGAGATATGTTTTACAGCAGATGGCGGCATACCTATTCGAGGTCAAGCGAGTTAGGGTTCAACCGGCCAGCATACAACATGGCATCCGATCACTCATTATAAAAAGGTTACCGGCCGGTATCGTTTCTTGATATATGAAATCATCCTACTATAGTGGTGCCTTCGAGCGTTGAGTACACTCCAAATAATCGCCGTCGTTTAGTTTAGTAAGAATGGCCGGTAGAAGCACCAGACAGGCTAGCTCAGCACCTCTTGGCACCGAGCTGTTGCTTGACGTCACGCGAAATAGCCCTGCTCTGCGCAAACGTGCAAACGAAGCCTTAAACGGTTAGAAGGAATGACGGGATGAAACATGGAGATCTTCAGGAGTATTTCCATGGCATTCTGAAACACGGAGTAAATAGAAACCTTGTGGAGCTGTGATCCTAACCTGTGATCGCCTAGGGGAATGGCAACATTAACGGCTCGATGCTTAACCTTAAGCCGGTAGCCTAGACTTAATGCCCCCTAGTCCCCTTAGAGATAAGACGCCCCAGAAAATGGACTTTGGGTTAATACGAACCCCAACCTCAGTAAAATCGCGCAACAGCGTTTGTACACATTGCTTTTATCAACTTTGGAATATCTATCTAAAGCCAAGAAACCCTAGATCCCTGCGGAGTCTTGCGGCTTGCTCTTTCCGGCCTTCGCGCTGAGACACGTTCCAGGCGCGCGTTGAGCTCATCCCTCGGTCCTGCACTAGTCCACGGTGATACGTGCCTGAAAAATCACAAATCAGTCCCCTCTCCTCCTATCCTCCACTTCATTACGACCTTTATATTCTCATTCATGTCCAAGATATTTGGCTCTGCTGCCGCGGCAGCCGCCGCGGCATCTGTGCCGAGCTTGAAGGGGAGCGTCCACGTGGACTCGCTCGACACCAAGATCATACAGTACTCCGCCAGCATATTGAAGCTTGAAAAGCTCATCGAGAGGTTCGCACAACTCTCATCTAAAACGCTTGTGCAAACAGGTGTTCTCCCGCTTCTCCAGTACATAACCTTGCTCCCTGGCTCGGCGTTTAACTTGAATGATACCTTTGTGAGTCACCTCGCGCGGCTCTCCGATTGGGATTTCTCCAGCTTGCCGTCGCCCGGCATAAAGCTCCCTGGTAGTACCAACACTGTCCAGGTGACATACGATGACCGTGACTTCCCGCTCCACGCGTTGCGCGCGGTACCGCGCGCAGCAGACGGCGCGACGGGCGTGCGCGTGCTCGACAAAATGTGCCGTGACTTGCTAGCGTTGTACGTGAAGCGCTTGACGCTGGCAAAGTCGGAGCGTGCAGCTTACCGCATTCCCGATTCTACGGGTGCACCGATTCCGCTTGACATTGCGGCGATCCGTGACATTTTGGAACCACAAGAGATCGACGCCGTTTTTGACGACCTATTCATTACGCCCGGTGGCGACGACGCGCTCGCAACGCTCCAGGATATGGATTTAAAAGCCTTGAGCGTGATCAACGCTGCCGTAAACAAAACCGCAGGCCGGTTTAAGGCGGAATTGGTGCTGCTCACCGCCATTCGGTCTAACTCGCAGGCCATCAGGCTGTTGCCGCACTGGGAATACACGGTACATCGCATTGCCGCGTACGCGTTCCGCATCAATGACTTGTACATCTTGGTGCGCCGCGCTGCACGCCGCGCCTACGTTTCGCATTACGCGCACCTCCACGAAACCAAGTTTCTCCACTACAGCCTGGATACCCATGGCTTCCGCGTGCTCTTGACCGCATGCGACGAACAGTTTAACAACGCGCGCAAGAATGGCGTGCTCATTGCAACCATCACGCGCTTGATCCGCACTGGCTCCAACTTCCCTGTGCGTGTCGACATCATTGCCGACTTGATGCTGCACCTAAACCAGGGCTATGCATTGATCCTCAAGACGTTGAGCTTGTCTATGAAGCTTGTTAAGCAATGGACCATTGCCGAGTATCGATACCGCACGCTTGCTCAGAGATCGCCGTCGTCCGAGGCTGATGACACGCTCACGGCAGACGACCTTCCACACGTGAAACAAAGCGAGATGGAAAGGGTACGCGTGCAGTTGAAGCTTGATGAGATTGAGGCTAGAGAGCAAAGCTTGCGGATGGAAGAGCTTGCCAAGCAAAGCGAATCGCTTAGGTTGAGTCCCCATTACAATAATCCGGTAAAGGCAAAGGCCCGGCAGGAGCAGTTCAGACGGGAGAATGAGGTGGCATCGGTCAGAGAGGCAAAGAATGGCCTTGAATTAGCAGAAACAGAGATTGAGCTGAAAATAACTCAAACCGACAAAAATGAGGTGGATACGGCTGAACTCAGGGTGACTAAAACAAACATGTCTGAGGATCTGGAGGCCAAAGTGGCTGTGGAATCGCCTGGCGGTTCTCCGGAAACTGAATCATTGCGTGAAGTGACGCCAGTGTCAGGCAAGTCAGAAGCGTCAGAAACGCTGTCACCCCCTCAATACCAGCCAGGTATCCAACCAAATATTCATTCAGAACTTCAATCTAAGCCTGAATCTCTCTCAAATTTGTCGCCCACCCCATCTACCTCCTCTGCAGACCTGCTAGCTGAAATCTCCATTCTACTCGAAAGATCCAGATCAGACACCTCCATCAGCTCCTCCGCCAACAGTGCCTCCTCTGCTTCCACCGTTCCCTTGGCATCTGTTTCCAAGTCAGAAATATCGACTCAACCTGCTCCATTGTCCACCCGGCGTCTGAGTACGGTCCAGCGGAGACCCAACTCTGTCTATATGGTGCCTGCCTCGCCTGATAACCGTTTTAGCTCACTCACAGGCTTGCCATCCCCAGCTGCTGCCGGAATCAAGGCAGCAACGCGTCCCAGGTCCAGCTCCAACCCCGTCGCCCCACCTAGCACCCAGGCTGTTGCCTTGGGAGCTGCTGCCAACGCTTTCCGACCACTAAAGCCTGCGGCCGGGAGCAATCGCTCACGTAGTTCGTCTTTGACGGCCGCGCCTGCTCCCAACCCGGGCGTGATCAGACGCAACAGTGTGAGTGTCAATCCCCTGTCGTCTGCCACGGAACGCTTGCGGCTTCACATCCAGCAGAGCGCGCGCGACGGGTCCGTAAAGCGGGTGGAGATTCCAAAGTTTGGCTACTTGAAAACCACAGAAGACACCTTCGTGCGTGCAACTTCCTCGCGTCAATCACCAGCCGGAAAGGCGCGCTTGCTCGTTCAGTCCAATCCGCAACCTCTCGCAGCGTCTGTTCTGCCGTTTGTAGAGCCGTGCGTATCTCCCAGCGTTTCTGCCAACCGAAGCAGAAGTAACAGTGCGTCGCGAGAGTTACCAAAGATCTTCGAGGGCAAAAGCACTACTCCGGTCTCGCCGACCCCAATCTCCACTGTAAAGCCCTCTGTGTCCGCCTCCAGATCCAGATCTAACCTGGCCGCCACACGCGGCTCCGACATGATGGTCACGGTTCCCGAGCCAATGTCCTTGCCTCCTTCGCCGGTCAAGAAGGTCCGATTTGTAGGGGTTCCAGAATACAGTCCGTTGGAAGATAAGCCTAGCTCAAAGCACGCGATAAAGGGTTTTGTCTACCAGTCGTCACCCTTTAACGTCCAACAACGTGTCAGTACTGAGACCTCCGCGCGCGTCTATGGCAGCAGCTATCAAGGCTTCTCTGCCGCTGCCAAAATGTCCCCCACAGGAAAGACCTCGATGATGGGCTCTTTAACCTCCGGAGATGGCTTTGGTAACGTCCAACAGACAGGCAGTCTCTTTGCCAAACCATCTACGAACTCCGGAAAGTTGGCCAAGTTCCGGTCGAAGCTTTTACAATAAATCAGTCCAGCAGCTGGTTAGTACCAGTTGATTTACTGTGGCCCTGCTATAAATACTGAAAGGAATTCTGGTTCCAATGTATATGCAAACATTGATGTTTATGAATAGTGAAACTGACCTGGAGTTTATACATTAATAGTAAGCGAAAGCTATTTATGTGAAGTTAGATGCTAGATATATGATCAAGTCAGCACATAATGTTTCAGAATCTGGGTATGAGAATGCAGATAAATACAGGCTATACGTTAAAACGTAGTATCTGCAGGAAAGAATGTGAATGCGGTGAAAGAGTATTATGGATACATCGGTGTTAAATTATCTATTTCTCGTGCCTATGATAAGATATAACCAGCCAGATGGATTTTAGACCATCTGTCCAATTATGTTTTGTATCCTAACTGTGTTTAAGAGCCAAGTGCAATCTTAGGTATAAATGTGTGCACATTTATTATTCTAAAGTTCTATAGTTGAATATTATAATGTATGAGAAATATTAAAAGGTACGGTGAATATATGCTTGCCGATGTTAAATAGTAACTCGTTAACACCAATAGTAAATTTATACGTAAATTCGCCCGCTTTATCGGCTAAATCCAGTACGTCAGGGAAAGCAGCATCTGAACGGATATTCAAAAACTTTAACTCGGCTACATATCATAAGTCACTTCTGATCTTGGCACTTTTTATAAACGGTGATTTCTAAACTGGAGTGCTAGGCTATTTTTCCGTCCGGACTCCAACGTTATTCTTCTAAACCCGATCCTGCACATACCCTGTGCGGCGCCAAAATTTTTCAAAATTTTTCGTTTCCGATTTTTCAACTAGAATATCATTCAATCGGTATTTATTACATTTTTGTGTTCCTCTACATCCCATGTCTATCGAAACCAAGAGAGCTTACGGCGCTGAAGAGACGGACGCTAAGAGAAGAAAGCAGGGTGCAAGGGCCAAGAACCCGGTTGATGACAATGGTATTTCCGAGTGCTTCCAGAAGGTCACCACCTCTTTATATGTATCGCTTGCGCCGTGCCACGCGGCAAACCCGATCCAGGGAATCAAGACGCTGCATTTAGAGCCATTGGTGATGACCTACTTCCAACCAGCTCACGGTGTGGTGTTATCATACGGTAACCTCAAGTTGTCCAACGACAATATTCTCGAGGAAGACGGGAAAAAGCAGCTCCTCACAAAGATCTCATACGACGGACCATTCTCCTTTTTGTGGATTTCCGTCGACTTTTTGGTCTGGACCCCGCAGGTCGGCGACACCCTTGAAGGCTACAGCTACATGCAATCGGCGTCGCACATTGGGTTGTTGATCCACGATACCTTCAACGCCTCCATCAAGAAGAGCAGCATTCCGTCCGGATGGGAGTTCGTCCACAACCAAGTTGACGAATACGCTACAGAGGTGGAAGAGAACAAGTTCCGCTCGTTAGGATACTGGGTCGACGAAAACGGTATTAAGATCGAAGGCAGGATGAAGCTTACCGTCAAGGCTGTTCATTCCACTGGCAGAGTCATCTCCGTCGAGGGGACTTTATTACAGCCAAACTCCGAGAGAGACGCCTTGCCGATCGTTCCGAACAAATCCAAGAAGTTTGAAGATGAGACTCCGATCACTGTGGTGGCGGAAGAGGCCAAGGAGGAAGAGGACGAGAGCGTGCCAACCTACACAAAGGAGTCCAGTGACAGCGAAGACGAAGACGGAAAGGTTGTTGCTGCAGACTCGTCCGATGATGATTCCGATTAGTCATGAATTTTCCCTGTTATATTAGTTAGGCAGCAGCCTTTGTTCGCATGTTTATATTACGTTATTGAAAATGGATTGTAGGGTGAGATGCGGGTGGTATAGGAGAAAAGAAAGCACAGGATGGTAAAAGTGGGGTTTTTTTTTCTCTGGCGAGACAGCTCGGTTTACCCAGCTGTTGAAAAGATTACAAGTCTGAGACGGTGTTTGTTATATGAGAGACCTTGAGGCGATCTGGTATTGGATCGGAGAATAATAAGCTTGAGGAATTATATGCCAATTCTAAGCCTACATTCCTTATGTAGTAAACTGTGTCGAATGGGGTGTAGGTAGAAGCAAACCTGATTTTTTATGGTTTATTCGATATAATTAATTGAGGATTATTTTATTCGATATGATTAACTGAAAATTATTTTAATCTGAAATAAAAAGCACATTCTGTACTATAGTTTAAGAATAATTAGTAGATCTAATAAAAGGAGTACGATTCACAGCGACTTTTCAGGATATGTGACAAATTGAGACTACATCTTTACCCATTGTCCTCTTGAACCCAATCCCTCAAATCTATGTTTCAGTCTTTTCAGGTTATTAACTGCTTATATTTGTAGTTGATATCATTCTGAATGACTCCAAAGACCCAACCGTCGGCATCTCTCTATTCCCTGACCTATCCAATACCGTAAAACTAGACCGTATAGCCCTATATTTTACATCGCAAACCCTTTTGTCGTACTTAAACCACTGTTAATACATATGATTTAGAATTCCAAAAGCTTGGCCCACACTTAACGATAATTTCGCATTTTGTCCACAATCACAGCTTCCTACCGGTCACATGTCTGAGTGCCTTTTCGGGCTGCATACGCGAATTTGTGCATGACAATCATAAGGTAAACAAACCCATCGGCTCTTCCTTCACGCATCACATCTACACACACCAGCTCCAATGTCAGCCCCAGACTATCGATCCACAACCATCCTCACCGAACATCTCGGCTATCCGCCCATCGCGGTGATTGACGACGTCATCAACGCGGTGAACGAACTTATGTACAAGTGCACACAGGCGGTGGAGACGTACTTGCACGAGCGAGAAAGCAAACGGCTCGAGAGCATTAAGAATAACGTGGATAACGACGATGACGTGGTAATGACGGAATCCGAAAAAAGTATGGCAACAGTCCCAGAAGATGAAATCGAGATGGGAACAGCCAAGTTGGAGACGCTTCTCGAGTCCACGGTCGACAAAAACTTTGACAAGTTTGAGCTCTATGCCATCAGAAACATCCTCAATGTCCCGTCCGAGTTGGCACATGAAGGCTGGATCCGCTTGAACCACCACAAAGGTATCGATTTTTCGCAGGGGGCGATCAAGAGCTCGCGGTACTACGATGTCCAGATCGATGTGCTCCGCAAGGAGATCAACGCCCAGCTCACGCTCCGGAAGATTCTAAAGCTCCAGATTGTGAAGGCGACAAAGATTGTCCAGTCGCTCGCGAAATTCAAACAGACGTTGCGCTTCCTCGACGCGATGAACGGTACATTTTCGTCCGAAGCCACCGCCGCGTTGCGTGCTGTTTCGCCGCTTGACGAGACGCTCCACTACTTGCTTATCCAGGTCGACGGTCTCTTTACTCAGGTGGCATCTATCCGGGCGAAATTAGACGGTGAGGGCGGTGTTCGAAGCGCAGATTTTGTGCCGTCTCCGCGAGAAGAGTATCTCAATCAGCAGACCGCCAAGGTGTTACTGAGCATGGGTCTTCTCCCCGATATCATGCATGTGACTTCCAACCTGGCAGAGGAGGATGTGGGTAGGTTGGCTGAGATTTCCCGTGTCCTCAAAGAATCAGAGCAGCGCTCTGAGTCGGAGTGATTTTGTATAATGACTGTATGTGTCCTTTAAATTTGTATTGCTAGTTGACGAACATGAAAATAATCTGTATATTCTTCAAGCTTGTTTTAAATAAACCTAGAAATCTGTTTACTAGTTTATAAGATTGTTGTTATTCGACGACCCAGGTGATCAGTAGAGATCTGCTGACCTGGGCCAGACCGTGCACTTAATCCGTATTGCTGTTTTCGCTCCATCCCTGCTTTTATTATTTCTATTACCATAAAAGAACCATTACAGAGGATTTCAGTCCCGGTTGATTGCAAGCAATGTATCATAATACAAAGCTTGGCTATAGACTATTGATAAAGGATCATCCCCCTGGTCTTGTCTACTTATTCCTCGTTTCGTTCACCAACCACCGCCAGATAACAGCGCGGCGCTTCGAGTCCTGGACAGAATGCTTGGTTTTGCCAAAGCGCAACTTATCGAAGGAAACCTCAGGCTTTTCTTTGCGGGGAGTGGGGGCCATGGCGAGCCGTCTTACCTTTCCCAACTTCTTGAAGTTGATGAAAGTGAACCACAAGGCGCTGACCACAGAGAAGATGCATACAGCGGCGAACCCGACTTCGGACTCCTCAACAAAGTTCTTCAAGTTCATCCCGTAAAAGGCCGGCGCGATGGTTGCCACGGTGAAGCCAAGGGTGTAGATGGTTACCTTCAACTCAAACAACATCAACGAATTGCGGTTGGCGTCGAGAATGATGTTAATGATCTCCTCCGTGGACTTGATATCATTGATGAGCGACTCCGCCTGCTGAACAAACTCGTCACACTGGATGTAATACGCCTCAAGCAACATCTCCACCTCGGTAAAGTCCATTGAGTTATTCTCCATGGTTATCATCTTGTGATGGCTTTGCACTGGTTCTGCGGGTTCCGCAATAACGTCCTCAGCGACGTGAGGAAACGACGGCATTATAGGTTCAATGTGCCCCGAGTGAATATCTGTCGGAAAGTGCCCTGAGCTATGTACACTTCCCTCCGGTTTGAGGGAACTTTCAGGGAGCACCTTCTTATGCGACAAGTACAACTTGGCCAAATCCTCATCGTTGTCAAGCAACTCGTCCAACACATTCTTAATCAACAACGCTTTCTGGTAAAACGCCCCTAAAGACTTGGAATATACGAGCAAGTCCTTCAACTTAACCCTGTCGATCTGGTCCTCGAGGTCCTCTAAAATGCGCCCGCAGTGGTACTTGTGCTCCGCGAGCTCCGCCTCAAGCGAGCTCATCACATTGATCAAGATACTCTCCAACGCACGGTGCTCGTAGTCCTGGTGGTAGTTGTAGTGGTTGGTGCCCGCGGGCTGCGTGCTGAGCTTGTTCTCGAGATCGTACATGAACAAGCCAATCTTCTTTGCCAGCGCCGTCACGGATGTATCAAAGACCATCACCTTGTCGAACATGACTATCGCCTTGATGTGCAAGAGGTTGACCAAGAAGCACGTATCACGCACGACGATGCTAGGAATAATGTCGATGGTGGAAGAGTCGATCTTGCGCAAGTCGCGGGGGTAGAGCCCGTGCGATGAGAGGAACTGCATCTTGGGGTATCGTTTCGAGATACTCGTGATATGTCCCTTGGCGTTAAACGTGGTGCATGAAACGTAACTATCGTTCGGCTGGATGGGAAGGAGCAAGCGTGAGACGTTAGGTGGACCGGAGGGGGTGAACGTGCTTGTAGGGGGCGGTGAAAGAATCGTCATGGGTATTGGAGATGAGAATCTCTTTGGTGAGATTTGAAATGTACTGTTATGGGTAAAGTGGGATTTGGGCAGGGCTTTGTAGGAGGGTTTATATGAGGATTCGCTATGAGACCTAAGACGGCCAGGTTTGAAAGAGCTTAACCAACTGGAGCCTCTAGTGAAACTATAACCTCCCATACCTTCTAATCGGGGGAAAGCCCGCCCCTGAGTGTATAGCTGTTGCCGGGTGAACATGTGATGCGATGACTTCAGCGGAAAGTGAGATCAAATCACGGGGCAAATGGGCTGGACTTAAGGTAACCTAGGAGTGGCTTACTCGCAATTAATCCAGTATCTTGTCAATAACAGCGATCCTTTGTTAATGTGGCCTAGTAGAATAGTTAGAAAGGTGTGATGTTCTGGGTCTATTCTGGCCATTCTGGCCATTCTGATAGCGCCATCGGCGGGCTCAGCACCGTGTCCTGCATAGACGTCAACCTAAACGTCGACTCAACCAAAAAAAACTCCATCTCTTTCTTTCTGATAGTACCAGTTCATCTACAATCGCTTATTCATAATTATGTTATCGCTATATAACACACGGAGAGATAGGGGAAAACATACACAAACCCCATCCGCTGAATCCCAAAAGATCTATCCAAGACGTAACGTCTTCTGATCTATCACACAAAACCAATACCAAAAAAAGTGAAAAAAAATTCCAAGATAAAAAGACAAATAAAAACCAAATAATGCCTGAACCCCTAAGGCTCAACCCCCATACCATGAGACTGTTTCGAGCACCTGGGGTTCGATTATTTCAAAAAGTGCCCAAAGTTTTCATCGTTCAACCAGCCAACCTTCTCAAATGCCGCAAAAAGCCGAGACGCCTTGTTGACGTCGATGCGACACGCCTTCTGCGCGTCAGTTCTTCTGAAGGACAAACCCTTCCGCATACGCGTGACCTTTTCCAAGAACAACCGACGCTTGGAGTCCAAGTACAAGTTGCATGGTAACCTGAGGATGGAAGCCAACTGGACTTCAGCCGGATGCAATTCGGCCAACAACGGGTCGTCCGCCAAGCTCATCGGCAGGCCTTTCCACTCTGTCTTCAAGCACCGTGCGTGCGGCAACAAGGATGTGCTTGGGCAGAAGTCGGCAACGGACCTGTAGTCGATGGCGGAAGGGGCTGGGGTAGGGGTTCCGTCGCCCTTCACCTTCCGCTTGCGGGGCTTTGGCGTCGAACGCTCCTCGTCTGTGTGTCTGTTGCTCGACAACCCGTCAATAACGGATACAGACGACTCTCTGATCAAACGTCTGGTTCTCACGCGTTCGAGCTCAGAGTTGTCCTCCTCTTCCTCTGACTTCTGATACACTCTTCTTCTGGAGGCCACCTGCTGCGCGCGTCTCAACTCCTGGTTGCGTCTGTGGGCCTTAAGTCTGGCCGCATCCGACGAGCCCTTGTTGGATGATAAGGTCGCGTACTGCTCCAAAAAGTTGAGCTGCGCCCGCTTGTATCCCGGGTTGCCTAGCCCTTTCCAGGCATCGATCTCCAATCTGCAGTCCACCAAATTCTCCACAGGGAACTCCTTTTGAGAAAGTGGAAGGCCTGTGGTTGTAGGGCCTGGCGCTGAGGTCTCGTCCTTCTCAGATTCTGAAGACGAGCTGGACGTTCTGAACGCCTCGGAGGTGGGCGAATTGGTTTCAATTGACAAACTGCTTGGGAAGGGACCCGTGTGGGTGCTGGTGGCTGGTTTTGGAGAGAGCGGAGGTGACGGAGGTGAGTGAATTGCGCTCTTGCCTCCGAAATTGTTGCTCTTGTGCAACGCATTGAAGTAGAATTCAGGCTTCATGGTGGGGGTTTCTGAGGCGGTGCCCACCGGTGCTGGGGTCAAGCAGGCCTGTAATCTGGCGTTACTGGATCCAATGTCTTCGCGTGAGGTGCTACTGCTCATTGAATAGGAATTGTCTATTGCAAGTGGTTGATGATACGGCATTGCCATTGGTGTTTAGACAAGAAGTGGTTACTGGAGGGTTGAGCGCAAGAGATGGATGTATGGGAAAACAAAAATGGCGTCACCAGGTCAGGCACAAGAAAAAATAAAAAAATTTGGCTTCCTTTCTTTTGTTTTCCTGTCTGATAACGACAAGGGCTCGAGCCTGTTTTCTTTCACTAGGCACTGGTCACCCGACATGAAAAGCAATTTTTGTTAACCGGACTCAATAATATTTGCTAGAGTCTGGTCTTACAAACAGAAATTTTTTTGGAAAAAGAAACGGGCGATGCGGTTTAAGGTTTCTAATACCGCATAATCACCTGCGTCGTTTCTTTTGTTTCTTAATTTGTGTCATTTTTGGGTGGTGCAATCGCGAGCGTGATACCGTAATAACTGCAGTCGTGCAGGACTTATGCGCGGCCTGAAGCGCTGACGTGCTAACGCGCTGTGGGTGTTCTTCGTGCATACACGGCGACGGCCTCGTTCCCGTCATTAATAAGCGGTATACACTACTGGCTGTACCGTGGGTACTGCCTCTAAAGGTCAAGTCATACATAAATAGTGCTGGCCACTTGTGTTTGCCGTCCGGGCTGAAGCAATGCAGGGCGAATTGCATCTCTGGCCATTATAGTACACCTTTTTGCCGACAGTAGATGCAGCATCTTGCTCCTCTGAAACGCGTTCCTTGCATGCATTTGAATCATTGTAATCCAGGTTCTTACAGCTGAGTTGAAATGGTAGGCTTGAAAGATAGCATGAGGGCTATTTCTTTTTTTTCCAAGATCCGTCGGAGTATCCCCGCCCCAGGCATGGGAGTACGACGAGGCGTAGCACTATTTTCGTACACTCTTAAGCCGCCCTTGATCGCTTAATTATATCCTAGTAACCTTGATCTAGACACCACTTCAAATTCACACACTATGTCATACCTTGGCAGCCAGCATGCAACTCTGGACGATTCTTTGCAGGAGAGGCAAGGCTAGTAACATGCACAAGACCTGGTAGAGTGGACCGGCTGAGATATAAGAGATTAGGCCCGGTGTATGCTGCTTCTAGATTACCGCCTTACTCACACAGGTCTGGAAGCTCAATTTGTATGACGAAAACACGATTAGCTATGCATGTAACGAAAAATCTTCGTGCATGCATAGATCTACATGCAAGTTTGTGGGATTGATAGACACCATACATAACAGCCTCATCCTAGACGCAGCAGCCCTGTATGTAATTTAACGATCACCAAACGGTTTGGCAGCCCTGCGTTATGAGGTCTTGACTAGTCGTATAAGAGTAAAGCACCAAGGACTATTTAACCTGGAATAGGAGGAAATATATGGGCCATGCAATCATCTATAGATGAGGATGTATATTATTCATATTAAGGTTTAGTTCTAATTTAGCACAGAAAGTGACTGACGATTTGTGCTCTCGATATGTTATATTCGAAGCGAAAAAAAGTAAGGTCACGTGCGCAGTTGGGATATGGGGTTGGCCTAAATGCACGCGCTGATGTTATTTATAGCTCTATCGTAATTATCAGATATACATACATATATATTGTGTACACATAGATGTATTTCTTTACCCAAAGCTCTTAATATGGTTATATATACGCCATTTTCAGACTCTCTGTGTTCCCATTGTCAAATTTGAACCGGATATCAAAGTATTATTACAAATTTGTCTATATATTTACGAAAAAATTATATCAATACTTAATGTTCAGTAGTATATATTGCAACGAATAATATATGAAAATTGCACATACAGGCCCTGTTTTAGTTTATTTCGCCGCGTATAACCTATCCATTAGAGTAAAACAGTATAAATTTAATTGAAAGAAAGCTATCTAAAACTAGTCTACCATGTATTATACGCAAAACTTGCCACCATCGAAAATCATTATCCTGTACATTCATACAAATTGTCCCACAAGGCGAATACATCGATGAGCTTAAGTTTCATATGTACCGGATAGAAAAGTATTTTTGGGAAAAGAAACCACCGCTGCGAGATTGAGACTGATTGATTAAATTAACGCCTAGCATTTGCTACTGACAACCTGGACTGGCAGATAGATATACGCCTCCTCTACACAAGTATGGTTAACTACACTGGTAAATTTGTCTTGGCTCCTATGGTCCGGGCCGGTGAATTGCCAAACAGATTATTAGCCTTGAAGCACGGTGCGGATTTGGTTTGGGGCCCGGAGATTATCGATAAGAAGCTTGTGCAATGTGAAAGATTCAACAACACAGAGTTGGGTACCGTGGACTATTTATCCAAAACTGGTAACCTAAAAGTTCCCGGCGTCAGCAATTTGGTTTTTAGGACCGTTCCGAGTTTAGAAGCCGGCAAGTTGATTTTTCAGATGGGGACGGCGGACCCTGAGCTTGCGGTGCAAGCAGCCAAGATCGTCATAAATGACGTTGCCGGGATTGATGTTAATGCTGGCTGTCCTAAGCACTTCTCTGTGCATGCCGGGATGGGCGCTGCCTTGTTAAAGACCCCCGAGAGGCTCGTCAACATCTTGACCAGCTTGGTCAACGAGGTTGGGCTAGTGTACAATAAGCCAATCAGTGTCAAAATCAGAGTTTTGGAGGATGAAAAATCCACTTTGGAATTGGTGAACAGATTAGTAAAAACGGGCATTTCCAACTTGACTGTTCACTGCCGCCGAAGGGAGATGAGAAACACCGAGGCTCCTATCAGAGAGTACATGCCTGCCATTATCGAAAGCTGCCGTGCCTCCAAGGTTAGTTGTATCATTAATGGTAGTGTCAAGAGCTACCAGGACTATAGAGACATCCAAAAGACGTACGGGCCTGATATCGGTGCCATGATCGCCACATGCGCTGAAACAAACGCCAGCTGCTTCTCTCCTGAGCCTGTCTCCTGGGCAAAGTTGACCAAGGAATTCGTTGAAATTGCCACCAAATACAACAACCACGTGAGTAATACCAAGTATTGTCTTACCAGCATTGTACCAGGGAAAACCAAGTACTACCAGCTCATTGCTCGTTCCAAGACCCCCGAAGCTATCGCCGACGTGGTCAAGTCCTTCGACGACGAAGGTAAAAGTGTTGAGCAGGTGGAAGCAAAAGTCGTCACAGTAGAGCCGCTCACCAAACCGGCGAGACACCCGATTGAGGGAGAAACTTCCACCAAGCGTAAGTTGGATGCCGAAGCCGAAATCAGCGCTAAGAAGCAAGCTTGCTGAGTTTAGACTGCCTTTGACAAGTGTATATAGTTGCTCTAGGAGACCGAACAAGCTGGAATTTTCAGAAACATGATTTGGAATTAGATAAAATAAGGCAGTGTGGGGAAGTAAAACCAATAAAAAGAAACAAAAATATATACAATTTGGAGGAGAAAACATAACGATAAAAAGGATGAGTGAAAATAAGAGACAATTATCGCATACAAAGATCCAGGCAATTTTTAGTTTATCCCAGTTCAACGTTTGCAGCTAAACCGACGCCTCATCCCTCCAACCGCCAAGTTCTTTCCCTTCTCAGCCTTTTGTATTTCTCTATTCTGGGAGCCATGATATCGCATGCCTCATGGTAGGGCTATGGACGAATAGATGGGGTTCATGGAACGGACAACAGACAAGACACGTATGCGAAGGGGGTGTGTGATAAGCGGGAAAATATACAATGTGGACAGACAAGTGCTCCACCTAAGAAAGGAGAGACTTAAGGCCACACCAGGCACCAGCAGCACCTGCCATCAAACCGGCGGAGATACCCATCGGCCTGAAGCCCTTGCTGCTTTTAAAAATGGCACCAGCAATGGCACCGGCACCAACGGAGTTCAAGTCATCATGTTTGCCTCTGAAGGCGTCGATAGTGGAGTCGATGATATTATAGGTCAAAGCCAAAACCCCGGCGGAGTTACCCAAGTATGGACCTCTCTTGGTGATGTGATTCAAGATGGTGTTGATCTTCAACTTTGGTGGGGAGTTGGCTGGGATGTTTCTGATACCCTCCTGGAAACCGTAGGCACCACCAATACCCAAACCCATCAAGTAAACGGCACCAGTACCGTAGCACAAGTCATCGGACCAGCCTCTAGATGGGATAAGGCCCTGAGCACCCTCGGTCTGGTTCAAGACTTCGTCTTCCAAGTCAAGGTACTCGATACCTTTATCCAAACCGGCCAATGGGTGCAATCTGGAGGTGTCCAAAGCACCAGGGGTGGAGAGGATATTGGAGATATCACTGACGGAGGTCGGATCGAAGCCCAAAGATTGTTGCTGAACTGGCTCTTCGGCCTTTTGTTCAGCCTTTCTGCTACCAAATAACCAGGACATATTGTATGTGTATTATGCAAAGGGTTGTCACAAGAGGTGGAGTTCCCTAGCGGTTGGCGATTTAAAACTTGGGGTTATATCTAAGTCGCCGCCCGGGTGTGTATTGCCATAGTTAAGGCTGAATTTTCCATTTGGTAGTGTGCGCCGCCGAGGTAATTTTCACAGTTACCCGGTGAAGGACTCATGTATGCGGCAGTTGCCGAAGCCGAGAACGCCACACGGAATGAAGTGAATACGACTGTGAAAAATAGATAAGGAACGTAGAGAGAGAAAGACTTGAAAGAGTGAAGCATGAAATATATGAGGAATAAATTGGAAAACACTAGGGTTTCATAAAGATGATAGAGATAATGGTACTAAATAGTAATGTCAGGTCAAAACAATAAGCTTTTTAACTCAGTAAAAAGCGCCAGTGGTTTAGTGGTAAAATCCAACGTTGCCATCGTTGGGCCCCCGGTTCGATTCCGGGCTGGCGCATTATTTTTATCATTTGTATCACCTCCCCAGTTACTTTTTGGCATTTTAATCGGACCACTAAATAGGTAGAAATGATCTAAATCTGTTTAATGCCTTTTCAAAACCATGAATCTTCAAAGGATAAAATAATCCTCAACATAGTGTTGCAACATTTGGATCCAAGATGCAATGCGAAAGATGCGGCTCCATTTTGTTTTGATATGCTGAGCAAGGCCTATCGCATCTACTTGTGTCCGTCACTTCTTTAACATCTCTTATATACCCTCACATGCCTACGGATGTGCTTCCCAGCAGGTGGATCCCGATAGAGACGACACTGCGAAACCATTACTTGGTCGGCTTTAAGTATGATATTGACCGCCACTACTATTCCATAGTCGCCACAGATTTGAAACAGAACGTGTATTACGAATACGTTACCAAGAGCGTTCTATCTTCTCGAGGATTTCATGATTTGACCAACCCAGAGTCGTTCAAAGGGTGCGTCTATACCATTTGCGAGGCATTTAACGCCTATCACGCGTCGTCCTCAGATGTGACTTTTCTGGAGGAGTCCCCGGATAGCTTCCACCACGTAGGGGTAAACCTCACAGTTTTAGATAATAGTGACCCCCAAGGACCGTTCAGTTGGCGCTTTGACTTGAACCCACCCGCCACCTCTGCCGAAACAGCCGCGATTACCAACAACATGTCCCTGAAGCTTTTCAGCACCATCGCGTACACGCAGTTTTGCGAAAAGAGCTTACTAAACCAGTTGCGGAACAAAGATAATTTGATCAGGATGTTGAAGGAAAAGTTGAGTGATGCCATGGGCGAGCACGAGGTTCTGGCCCTTCAGGAGTCGCCCAAATTTGCCCAAGCGTTCACCCCGTTTCAGACGGCCAGCTGGAAACACAGAGTACTGGAAGATTATGCAAACCAGCTAGAATGCGAGGGGAACCCTATGGTATGGAAGCTATTGAAGGCCCGCACAGCGCCGTTTGGCACCCCTATTTCCGGCCAGCCACATGACATCTGGCAGTACAGCCAAGATATTACCTCCCCACGCGAGGAGAGGGGTTTCGAAGGGGATACCTCTTCTCAGTATCGCACAGCTACGCAAAATTTTCACCCTGCGGCTAAAGAGTCCAGTCTGTACGCAGAGGTCCCAAGCGTTCCGCTATCTAAAATGACCACAGAGGAATGCCCCACGCTGCGAGGGGTCAAACATGGAACGCCGCCCATCGTTTCAACTTTCAACGTCTCACCTTTGCAAGGGGCCCCACAGGGGATAGAATTCGGGTACGTTGTTCACTCGTTGCACAAGCGTGCCAAGGTGGATGCGCCATCGAATGATTTTGAAGGGCAAAAGATCTTGTTTCTGGATGCAGACTATCCGGAAAAACCAGATGAAGGCACAAGAGAGAATCCCCCTTTGGAGCCTAGCAAGGGTGCGACCACTTCTCCGCTAGGGCTGAGCCATGTTTTCCATGACAATAACACAGTCTTACGGCTGGCCATCCCGGGCAAGAAGCGAAGAATGGGCCACTCTACCACCCCAATTAAGGCGCCCAGACTTGAGTAGAATTGGAAAAGCGCTGAGGTAAAGCTACTTATGGGGTAAATCTAGATGGCATAGTTATGCATTAGCAAACTGCCTATATAATTGCAATGTGTTACGTAAGGAGCTTTGTCTGGAATATCCAGGGAGCTTTTCCAGATGTGGGTATTTCAAGCACGTCGAGTGTTCTGGATACTTTGGGACCTTTCGGCTACGTCGAGGGATCGCAATTTCCAGCAATGTTTTCCCAGCGATCTACCAACATCTCCAAAGATTCTCTCTGGCGGGTGTCTCTCTTAGTGTACAAGCTCTTCAAGACATTACTCCAATATCGAACGTAGTCTCTGAGCTCCAGTTTACTGGTTGGCGTCATACACATTAAGGTCGGCGCCATTTTACCACGACCCAACTCACGGACGGGCCAAAACTCGGACGACCTGGGAAAGTAGTCGGAAAAGACCGATGTCCAGAAAGAACCAATCACGCGACACCCAGATTCCAAGTTCAGAACCTTCTGTCGGTTGTAGTCCACCATGAAGAGGTCTTCTTGGTATCCGTGCACCATACACTCATGAACAGCCAGGGTAAAAATCGTTGTGATCTCATTACGACACGTGGCTGTTGCTTCCTCAAAGTTCTTGATAGTCATAAGGTGAGGTGGCAGCTTTGTGGGATGACCAACCGGCGGTGTCACTGTCTCATGTATATCTTCAGCCATGGCCACATCAATATCTTTATCCGTCTCTTGGTATTCCACAGTCTCATTTCTTTTTGAAAGTGACTCTGCGTAAGCCATTTTGGCAATTTTCTCCGCCGTCATGCCTTGTCGGTAGCTTACGGTAAGCATGCCATCGACGAGCACCTTGTTGCACAAATTCTTATCGTTGGAGAGGAGAACTACTATAGCGCTGTGCCCGTCATGTTCGTGAAAGTACAAGCAACAGTCCAAGATTGCATCGTCCGGTTGCATATTGGACTGTGAAATGCTCTGGCGAACCTGCTGTCCCAATACCCCGGGATGCCTGACTGCAATGCTGTCGTAGATCCAGTTGTTTGCCCAGCGGGCCAAGTAGCCAATGGATGTATTCAGAATGCTTCCCAGTTTAGAGCTAAGATCAGCACCTTTACCCATTCGGGTAGACTTTTTCAAGCCATCAAGCTCCAGAATTACCACTTTCGGCACCATAATTACATGGCTGTACTTCTCCGCAAGCGTTTTCAAGTCGTTCACAATATCCAAGTGGGAAAGGAAGAAGTTTGTGTCTACAACGAAGTAGGTTTGGGTACGAATGGAGGAGCCGGCCAGAGATACCGGCTGACGAATAGGCCGGTAAGATTCAGGAACATGCTGCTTAAGAGAGAGCTCTGGGACCGAGGGCAACGCTAGCGAACCAGCCAGCTGAATAAGCCTTTCACTGGACACAGGTGGCGTGGGAGACAGATCCAAAAAGAACTCCCTGAACAAGCCCTCATCTTCAAAGTCCACATTTGCTCCCGCCAGATAATCACGGCAGGTTTTAACATACGTCGTGATACTGTTGACCTGGATTTCATCCTCGGCTCCTACCATTTTGACGTCGCCGTCTCTATCGGGGATTTCATTAGCCAGAAACGGCTTAGGCTGAATAACAACATTACGGTGCTCCACAGGGGGCACAGACTCAATGCCCCTCTTCGAGTGAATTGTGTCTGCTGTGGGCAAGGGTATAGAATCTCCAGGGAAATATCGCGCCCAGGACTTTCCGCGGTCCTTGAAGGCGGGCAAGTTGTCATATTGTTCGGCAAAAAGACCAATCCTGGCTTCAAAGTTTTCGATCAGCGGGGCCGATGTCTTAGGAGCGGTTTGCCGTTGAGAGCTAGCCTTGGAAGGGCTGGGTTTGATTGAGCTGTAGATTGAGGGCAAGGGGTTTGTGGGGGCCATAGTCGAAGATTGCTTGCTCTCAGTTATCTATCAGAGTGAAACAGCGCTAAAGCTGCCAGGAATAAAGCAGAGTAGAAAATTTAGCACAGGTCTTCTTGTATTAGTAGAGTGCCTGGTACACTTGTGACACTCTCATCGCGTGTAGGAGCTTTTCACGATTGCAGCGACATATTTTGGCCAGACGCGCCGCACCCAAGGCAGTGCCTATGTGCTTAGAAGAGAATGTAGTTATGGCCCACCACAAGGTCCGGAGATCTATAGCTATAAGATATTAGACATATGAAACTACTCATACGGCTGTTGCACTAACTTGGATTAGATAGGCGTAAAAGAAAGCGGCAAGTGTAATTGCGGAAAGGGCAGTAAGCAGTTGCGTCTCCATGATGTCCCATAAGCAAATCCTCTCCCAGTTTACATTGATTCATCTTTATCAACCGTTGCCCCCTCAGGATTTAATAGAGAAGTTCTACGGAAAATACAGCTCGGTTTAATGGTTTAGAGATACAGCAGTTTTCGAGAAAACTCCCGGCTGAATGTGGCCAACAAGAAAAGTGTATCGATCTGGGTCTAAGACTAAGCGAAAAGATGGCTCAAGGGAGAAAGACAAAATACGGAGAGGGTTCAGTCTAGAGATCTAGCACAAGACTATCGCTATAACTAACCGAGAAAGTATTAAGCTAATTTGGGTATGTAGCCCCCGAAAAAGAAAAGTCTGCAGTTTATGTTCTTTGTTCGTCTACAGTGATTCTCCATCATCCTGTATGGTATGTATTGAGGGGTATGATCTTGTGCCCAATGTTTCTTTCTATCGTAGAGCTCCGAGAAGTACTCAGACACGACTACGGAAAGGGAAAGTATCAAACCCCTACTGATCTCCATAGAGTTTAATAGAAGATGAAACCAGTATCAGGCTTTCGAGAGATACAATGGACTTTGGCTTGGTTTCGTATAAAATCTTTTTCTTTTTTTTTTTTACCTCACCGGGACCATTCCATTGAAAAGTTTCCGGAAAGCAAGGCCAAGCTTTCTAAATACAGGATACCCCGTGTCAGTATGCAGGGGTGTTGGCCTTCGATGCTATTCAAGGCCGTGAAGTTTCCAGGAAAACTAAGGTCTCTCATAACTCTAATAAATTACAGACCACAGCTCACAGATTTAGCCTCAGTTTGACTTTCAAGCGTACAAAGGTGTGCGCGGGGCTCTTTCTTTTCCATCAACCGTGCCACTCCGATCAACGCGCTAACCCCAAACCTTAATTTTCCTAGGTGAAACTCCTTCCCCACATTTGCCTGTGTTTTTCGGATGTCGTGAAGACCAATTCCGGGGAAGTTTATTATGAGGGTTCGGCTCTCCGCGGATTTCACTAGATATTACAGAATATTTTTCACTCCAACAATTGGGCCCTCAGCCCACTTGCGTAAGAGGACTTCCCTTCCCCGCTGACCCCGTGACCTACTCCCATACACACCGTGACTCTGAGTGTACCTTCGATCCCTCGGTCGTCTATAAATACTCCCCCAATTCCCGTATACTTTAGTACCCACCAACTTCTGCCCAAAACCACCGATCGCTTGTTTATTAAATATGTCTCTCTTTGGACCAGACTACGCAAGCATCGAGAACCTTCTCGAGCACCACTTACCCTTACCGCAAGCGGAGAATGACACCGCCGTGGCCATCCCTAACACCCAAGAACCTGGATACTCTCTGGTTTACAGAAATAAGTTCAGCCAGAACCAGTTGTACGCGACCCTCCATCCCTCTCTTAGCACTTTGCACGAGATTTTCGAATATGCTGTCGCTACCTATGGCAACGAGAGATGCTTGGGGAAGAGATTGTTTAACAACACCGAGGCTAATGCTTTTGATGCGTTCTACACGTGGCAATCTTTCAACGAGATTGCTGAGCGCAAGAAGAATTTGGGTGCTGGTATCATTTATGCCGTGCAGAACAACGTGTTCAGGAAGTCACTGGAAGGAACCGATAGGGACTTTATCGTCGCTTTGTTCAGTGCCAACACCGTTGAGTGGGCGTTGACCGATTTGGCCTGCCAATCCTACTCTATCACCAATACTGCGTTGTACCCAAGTTTGGGTCCTGATACTTCGGCGTTCATTTTAGAAACCACTAACTGCCCAATGGTGGTTTGCTCCTCCGATAAGCTTCAATACTTGATCGAATTGAAGAGGCTGCATGGCTTGCCATATTTAGCCAATCTTGTTCTGCAGACCCCCGTCGAAGGACTGAGGTGGAACCAATTGCTCTCTGACGCCCGCAGCGCGGGAATTGAGTTGAGTACGCTTGAGGAACTTGAGCTTTTGGGCAAACAGAACCCAATTGCTTATATTCCACCTATTCCTGAGACTATTTACACCATCTCCTTCACATCTGGAACTACTGGCTTGCCAAAGGGTGTGACGGTAACCCATTGCCAAGCGGGATCGCACGTTACCTTCGCCAAGAGCATGGGTTACAAGGTTAAGCGCGGAACAGCCTTGTGCTTCTTACCTTTGGCTCACATCTACCAGAGGTGTACAATTATCCTCTGTTATATTTCAGGTGATGCAACGGGCTTCCCTCAGTCAGGCTCTCCGCTTACCCTTGTGGACGATATGAGAGCCTTACAGCCAACGATTCTATGTTCAGTTCCAAGGGTGTACACCAAGATGGAAAGTGCCATCAAGGCACTTACCATCAACGGCGAGGATGGGTTTAGCAAGACCGTTAGCACCCACATTATCAAGAAAAGAATGCAATGGATGGAAAAGAGCAAATACCACGGTTCCCATTTTCTTTATGACAACCTTCTCACTAAGAAGTTGAGAACTCTGCTAGGGTTGAATAAAGCGGTTTATGTAATTTCAGGCTCTGCTCCCATCTCCCCAGAGACACAGAAGTTCTTCAAGGCTGCGTTGAACCTTGGGTTCACTAATGGCTATGGTATGACTGAGACCGCTTCGGGTATTTGCTGCACCTTCCCCTTCGAAGACGACTACACCTCTTCTGGACCCGTGGGTATTACCTGTGAGGTGAGACTCCGTGATGTACCAGAGATGGGATACACCGCGAACGACGAGGGGGGACCAAGAGGTGAATTGCTCATGAGAGGCCCTCTGATCTTCTCTGGGTACTATAAGAACGACGAAGAAACAGCAAAGGCTTTTGATAAGGACGGTTGGTTTTTGTCTGGTGACATTGCCTATATTGATAATGTGCACGGACGTATCCACATTGTGGACCGTGTCAAGAACTTCTTCAAGTTAGCCCAGGGTGAGTACGTCACGCCAGAAAAAATCGAGAACCAGTACTTATCTTCCTGTTCTTTCATTAACCAACTCTACGTCCACGGAGATTCGTTGGAGACTTATTTGGTCGCTGTTGTGGGATTTGAACCTTCAATCATGTCCAGATTTATCAAGCAGCACTTTGATATCACTGAACTGGATCCAGCAAAGTTGACCCAACTTCTCAAGGAGAAACGTATTAAGAAGAGGTTGGTCCAAGAGATGAACGCCCATGTGGCCGAATTCGGCTTACAGGGGTACGAAAAGGTTCACAATGTCCACTGTGAGGTTGAGCCGTTGACTCTTGAGAGAGATGTTGTGACACCAACGATGAAGATCAAGAGACAAATCTGCAGAAAATTCTTTAGTGGTACCTTACTGAAATTGTACACTGAGGGCTCTTTGATTAAGGACTCTAGACTTTAGGCTTAGATATTGCCTATGACTCTTTTATTACTCCTGTGAAACGGGTTCTATGTTTTTCTTTTGTAATTTTAATGTATCCCTAAGCTAAGCTGTGACTGAACCTGATATTCCCTGGGCCTTGATAAGACCTGCACTGTTTACATAACAGGGGCAAGGCCGTTATCGAGCGGAGTACGTTTGAAGCACTCCGGTGCAAAAGAGGAAGGGAAAAAGACCGAATGTGAGCTAAGTTTATACGTATTAACAGACGTTTAATGGTGGAATCCAGATCGATACCTTATACTTAGTCCAAAATATATCTGGCGCAATCAATGGAATTAATATCACTGAGAATGGATAAATCGACAAACTACAATACTGAAGGGAAAATACGGAAGAGATAATAAACGCAATAATATGGGCTATAATTCAGAATAGATAATACAAACTACGATACAGAATAGACAATACACACGTTATCATAAAAGACTTTTTATTTAAACCACTAACACCCAGAAAAAAAAAAGTTAGGAGACAAGTCTAACTGTCCCGACTACCCCTCAAAGGGGAGGCGAGGCGGAAACGGTATCAGCCGTCGTTAAACTAAACAACCCATCAACAGGATTAAACAGCAGCTAACAACACAGTACATTATCAAACATACAAGGGGCAGATACAGATATCACGAGTTAACGATTTCAAAGATTTAACGTTGTCATTGCAAATTATACAGGGGGTTGGATAATTTATTTGGTGGACTTCTTGGCAGTCTTCTTCTCGGCCTTCTTTTCCTTCTCAGCGGCATCCTTCAAGACTCTCTTGACAATCTTCTGTTCCTCGATCAAGAAAGCTCTGACGATTCTTTCCTTGACACAGGTGGCACATCTGGAACCACCGTAAGATCTGGAGACGGTCTTGTGGGTCTTAGAGACCTGAGCGTACTCTCTTGGTCTCAAAGACGAGATACCGGCCAAAGCCAAACCACAGTCACCACACTTGACGCGGGAACCAGACTTCTTGACGTGTTGAGCGACCAACTTGCCACCTGGAGTCTTAACAACCTTGATCTGGTTAGACTTGGTGTTGTATGGGTTTCTTCTTCTGTAAGTAACTCTCTGAGCCATTTTGATGTATATGTAAGGTTCTTTGGTAGAAGGTGGATATCAAAACAAAGCCTTTTTTTTAAGGCACGCTAGGCAAAAAAATCGGCCCCGTCGCTATATTTTTCATTTCCGACCCATAGTGGGGGTTCGGTAAGGCAGCATAGTGTGGGTGAGTTGGAAAATTTTCGACTGGACGGAGGAGAAAATCTCGTCGTGAGCAGCCCACGCCTTCCACCAGAGAAGGTGCGGCGCAAAGCCCTAGCCCTGAATATAAGCACGTGATATGCTCACGGATTTAGGATAAGTGACTGCTTCGTGCCGAGGGGATCTGAGGTTTACACTGCCCAGCTGTATACAGCGGTTACTGTGGGATCCTAAAAAGGTGGTCATTATTAATGATCATATAATTAATTATATTATTATATAGCCATAACAACCCGCTCACGAAACATTTACTGTAAAGCATCCCGGGAAAACAAGATGTACGGTCTGTTAAAGCCTACAATAGCAGGACTAAATGCTTTAAGTGATTTTTAAAAAGTTTTGCAGCACAAAGCAGCAGACATAGATTAGAACAAAGGTAGTATATAACAGACGTAACCAAAACATCCAACGGACAACATGGTTAATGAATAACTTTGAACGGCAGTATAATTTTGGTCGTTAGAGATGTAACCGTGTTTAACGCAATCTTCTGGCTTCACGTTCAGACTCCATCAAGGACAAGATGTCGTTTTCTCTGACTGGGCCCTTGACGTTTCTGACAATGGTTCTGGAAGAGTCATCCAAGAATTCAACTCTGACTTGGGTGACACCACCTCTGGAACCGGTACGGCCGAGAACCTTGATAACCTTAGCTAAAGTGACTTGAGTCTTGGTATCCTAAAAGCAAACATGTTAGTGACCATCCTTTACCGATTGAATCAGCTCCAATACATCATTTTGGGGATTCTGGTGCTTCTGGCCCCCTGATCAACTTGCGCCTCTTGGGAATATATTCATCAACAATGTAACGTGGGTCAGAGTTGGAGGGGGCTTCAAACAACACAGAAAATGATACATTGAGACCACATTGATGCCGGCGTACATACCATTTTGTATATATGCTATTATTATTGACCTTCAAAAATCTCCAATTTTAGGAGTAAGAACATTTTTAAATGTACAGTACACAAGTATCGATTGTGTGAAAATTCCAAGCGCACGCGGGTTCTGAGCGATGGCTGCTGTCTACCAAGTTTTTCCTTCCGTTTCAAAGGCCTGTAAATTACCCTGCGCGCTTTGTAATTCGAGTACTCTCTCCCCCTGATGGTTTGAAGCGATGGTACGACTTCATGTATGTTGTGAACGTATGGCTGATGTTACGTTATCGGAATTCTTATCGGCACCCATCTATGTTGAAAGGTAAAAAGGGATTGAGTCTATACGGATATCTTATTAGTTTATTGTATGATACTCTATCCTTTAAAAAAATTACAATCTCCTTTACCCTTGAGTCCCTGGAAAGTGGATATTGCTAGCAATGGAGTCGGTATATTCTTTAAATCTGGTCATTTGATCGTCCTGGTATTTTGCCAAATTATCCAACCTGGAGGCCATTTCTTTTTCAATTTCAGCCTGGCGAGCCAATATTAGCATCTCGAGCGACTGCAATTTTTCAATGACACCACCAGCTACTGCTCCTAGGTCATTGCGGAAACACTGATACATCCCGTTAGCAATGCCGACTAGCTCTGCTTCTTGCTCTTTCCCAGGAATTCCCTGAGAACCTCCACAAACAACGAGCGTATTATCTTTGGAAGCATAGAGTGGCAAAGGAGCCGCCACCTGGATAAGGGACGGAAGCAACTGTGAATCTCCAATCTCCGAACCAAAGGTAACGTGCCCTCTTCTGTCCCATTGTGCTCCTTGTGGGCCCCTAGTAACCGCAACTTCTGGGATTGTAGGTATTTTTGGGGAGAGTTCCAGGCTAGGGGCTCTTATCCAATCGAGCGAGGGCGATATCGTTTTCTCTCGCAAACGTTTGCGACCTTGCACTCGCTTTGTTGCATGCTCTGTGGGAGAGGAGGATGTGCCGGACAGTAGTGCAGACGGGACCATGCCAGTTCTACCGCCACCATTTGTCTTCCTGTTAGTGCTTAGGTCGATGGGATCTAATACGACTGAAACCTTACACGGATGTTGTCTTTTCCTGTCCCTGAGAACGGAGTCCAGCGTGTGGTGTCGGATTGGTGTATCCGCTTCTGAACGTGCCAGGCAGGTTTGACCGCACTCTTCGATCGTTGTCCTAGTCGTGGTATTATCTCCAGGCACATCGTAAATAGTAGAGTCTAAGACATCGATTCTGGTGCTTTCATCAAAGTCAGGCGAGGCTGCTCTTGCATTGCTGCCATTTACGGCGTTCAGAATGTTTCTTCCAGCACCAAATGTGTTGATCTCTGGTTCCATGACTTGAGATAGTGCGGGATTAAATCCAACAAAAAGGGAGTCACGCGATGGCTTACTGGCGGAGAATTCTTTGGAAACCACAACTCTCACCCCGATAGTTTCGCCACAGTCAGAAGAATCTTCCAGATCCGAAGTACTTTTAATTGCAATCAGCTCGATACTAACTGACATCCTTACTCTGCCCTCTCCGGTGTCCCCTCGAATAGCTCCCAGAGAAGCATCCAACGTCAGGGCTTCTTCAGCCCTCAGATTTTCATGGTGAGAAAACATAGAGGGGCCATTTTCTGGAACCACCAGATTACCCTCTTCGGCATCTAGTGCCGTACAACCCTCCGTAGACGTGGCCCCGCCAACCTTCACTAACGATGGTTGCTTTAAACACGAAAGAAACTCAAGTTGACGATCTTCATGGTGCTTCTTCAAGGTAAAATTCACCTCCACTGTTTGTTGAGGTGGGATGGTGTCCGAGAACAAGGAATAATACCCGTCGGCCATTATATCTGCCGTAGCAGAGAAGCGAAGCCGGAAATTCCGAGTATCGGCTACCTCAACTTCCTCCAAGTTTTCTAAAACAAACTCTAGGGAGTGAGAGATCTCGTTCCGGCCTTCCTTAATCGTCATCAAGATCAAATGCGTATGCTCAAAGCACGCGATGGTATCACCAAAAGATTTTAGATTCGACGTTGCCGTTGTTCCGTGTACGGAATCGATACTCCAGAATGAAAGAAGGTAGTGGGGATCTTTTTGCCTCTGCAAGGATTGGCTCAAATAGTTGTAAGCGGGACGTGTACCCCCGTTGGCGACGAGATACCCCGAACAGCTGTCAAGCCTCTGGTGGGAAACGATTATCAACTTGGTTTGGAGCTCCAAAAGGTAGTTTTTGGCCACAAAGGAAGTTCTCAGGCAGTTTATAGCTTGTAGTATCCGCGGTAGATACTCTGACACCGAAGTGCTGAACTCCGGAAAGAACCCGTTTTCAAACAAAGTCTGGTTTGCGCGGATTAGAAGGCAGGCCAACTTTACCACCTTCCAGGGGACATTACCGGAGAAGGCAAGCTCGAGCAAACTGCTAAGAACTCGGTGGAGAGCAGAATGACTCGAGCGGGCTTCTTCAACCGATAGGTCAAGTTTCTACGGCACCGTTAGTATTGAAAATGGGCAAGAATACCAGATAAACGTACGAATAGAATGTACCACAACCTGGTACTCGGAGGGCAGCGACAGAGAACCTTCACGAGGACCTCCAATAGGTTAATCCCAGGGCAAAAGAGATTCTTCGATAGCGCACTATGTCCCTCAATCTGATCAAAACACGGAGTAATGGCAAGAAGTAGAGGGCCCGCTTCGCCTTCCACGGAATTGATACCTCGAAGGATTTTAGGTACCAGCTCATCAATAATGCTAAAAAAGGTTAGATGTGGATAATAAAAGAGGGAATTAGGACCCTATAATAAGTTCGTGGGATTCTGCTATGTAACATCATTGTAGTAAATTTGCAATAGAAGGTATGGCTTACTGTATTGCGACTGGAGTTTGGTCCAAGGCCTGAGAGATCACCCTAATCTCTCGACAAACAGCCACAATTGCTTCCATCTTAAAATTAACTCAATGGACTAAAATTGTTAAAAAAAAGCTATCAAATATAAAACCAAATATCTCACCTTAAGATCAGAAAGTGGCTCATGTAGCAAAAACGACCCGCAAGATGCGGGGCTGGCGCCCTAATGCGCGCCTACGCACCGAGGCCGTTTTGCTGGCGTGCGCCGCACAATAGACTACATTCAATGAGGAAAAAAATGGTTAGCCGCCGACGACAAAAGTGACTCAACCCAGATCCAACTCAGATTCAATCTTCTATCCCTACCAACCATGTCCTCTGAAGAAGAACTCTCCGTTCTTTTTGCCCGTATTGGGTTGAATGAACCTAAGATCAAGGAAGTCTTGAAGAACAAGAAGGTGTCTGCCTCATTGGGCGAGATTGCTACCGAGGCCGCCGTGCCTGTCACTGATAAAGCCATCTCCGCCTTGTTGCACGCGCTCGCAACGCTTTGTAAGGGCGAAACTGTCGCCAAGAGAGCGCTCGTTACCAAAGCCATTGTTGATGGCAGATTGAAGACCAATTTACAGGTCGACGCTGCGTATAAGTATGTGAAGGCAGCGCCAGAGCCCTCCGTTTCTGAGATGGAAGCCGAGTCTGGGGTAGGCATTGAAGTCACACCAGAACAGGTCAAAACCGAAATTGCGGCTTATATTGCCGCCAACAAGGCCGACATTACTGAAAAGAGATACAAGTGCGTGCCAGCATTGTTGGGGAACGTGAAGTCGATCCCAGCGCTCAAGTGGGCGTCCCCATCATTGTTCAAGACCATCATCGACGAGCAGGTCTTGGCTCTTTTGGGTCCTAAGGACGAACGCGACCTTGTTAAGGAAAAGAAAAAGAAGGCGCCAGCCAATGAGAAGAAGGTGGTCAAGGAGGAGCCAGTCAGATCCATGTTTACCGAGGGCTTCCTCGGCGACTTGCACAAGGCGGGCGAGAACCCGCAGATGTACCCTGCGTTGATGAAGGAGCACCTCAAGGCGACCGGTGGCCGCGTCTACACCCGTTTCCCACCAGAGCCTAACGGATACTTGCACATTGGCCACTCCAAGGCTATTATGGTTAACTTCGGGTACGCCAAGCACAACGACGGGTTCTGCTACTTGCGTTACGATGACACTAATCCAGAGGCCGAGGAGGAACAGTTCTTCAGATCCATCAAGGACTTGGTCGAGTGGCTTGGGTTTGAGCCATACAAGATCACCTACTCCTCCGACTACTTCGACGAGTTGTACGCCTTGGCTGAGAGAATGATCACCCTGGACAAGGGCTACATCTGCCACTGTACCGCGGAACAGGTTAAGGCCCAGAGAGGGATGAGGGCCGACGGAACCCTAGGCGGTGCTAGATTCGCCTGTCCGCACAGAGACAGACCAACCGAAGAGTCATTGGCCGAGTTCAGAGGGATGAAGGAAGGCAAATACAACGCCGGGGAGGCCACTTTGAGAATGAAGCAAGACCTCACCTCCCCATCCCCGCAGATGTGGGACTTGGTGGCGTACCGTGTGTTGAATGCGGTGCACCACAGAACTGGCGACAAGTGGAAGATCTACCCGACCTACGACTTTACCCACTGTCTCGTCGATAGCTTTGAGAACATCTCTCACTCTTTGTGCACCACCGAGTTTGTGCTCTCCAGAGAGTCCTACGAATGGTTGTGCGACGTGTTGAAGGTCTACAGACCTGCCCAGAGAGAGTATGGCAGATTGAATATCACCGGAACCGTGTTGTCGAAGCGTAAGATCGCAAAGTTGGTGGCCGAAAAACACGTCAGAGGCTGGGATGATCCGCGGTTGTTTACCCTCGAGGCTATCAGACGCCGTGGTGTACCACCGGGCGCCATCTTGTCCTTCATCAACACCTTGGGGGTCACCACCTCCACCACCAACATCCAGGTTGTCCGATTCGAATCGGCCGTTAGAGCCTACTTAGACGTCACCACCCCGCGCTTGATGATGCTTTTGGACCCGGTCCCTGTGGTGTTTGATAACTTGGCCGACGACTACGAAGAGAGCGTCACCATCCCGTACAAGCTGGGCTCCCCGGAATTTGGCGAGAGAACCTTACCGTTCACCAAGAAGATCTACATTGACAGAGCCGACTACAGGGACGAAATTTCCAAGGACTACTTCCGTCTTGCTCCGGGCCAGTCTGTCGGGTTGATGAAGGTGCCTTACACCGTTAGAGTGGTTTCCGTCGAGAAGAACGAGCAGGGTGAGGTCACCTTGATCCACGCGCACTACGAGAATGACGAGAAGATGAAGAAGCCAAAGACCTTTATCCAATGGATTCCAGAAAGTGCCAAGGCCAAATCGCCAGTCAGAATCGCCGAGATCAGAATCCACAAACAGTTGTTCCACTCCGAGAACCCGGCCGCGCACCCAGACGGGTACTTGGCCGATGTCAACCCAGACTCAGAAGAGGTTGTTACCACTGCCATGGTCGAACCGGCGTTCTTTACCATCAAGGCCAACAGTCCGTTGAACATGAGTGCGGGTAACCCAGAGTTTGATATCAAGGAGAAGACTGGCAAGCCAGAAACCGTCAGATTCCAGGCCTTGAGAGTTGGCTACTTCTGTATCGACAAGGAGAGCACGGAGGATAAGCTCATAATGAACAGAATCGTCACCTTGAAGGAGGACTCCGCCAAGAACTAGACGTAATAGTATATTTATAAACTGTTTGAATGAGTGTAGACAGCCAAAGGGGGATGCGTGTTGATCGTGTATGTATTGACCTTTAAAGTTTGTTTACAATTCCTCCCTTCAATCGGCAGGGTTGGACACAGAGAGGTAAAGGTGGGATATTAATTGGGTAGAGAATTGTTAGGGTGGGTAATAGAATTTCAGAGCATGCCTGATTTAACTATCATATTCTCCGGGAGTTATAGAGTCGTGAATCCTTATTGAGTTTGTATATTTGCTGGCCACGGAGATGAATTTCCTTGATTTTGGGTAATTCTTAGTCTTGACCTATTAAACGCAGGATTCAGATCAAGAAACTGCACCTGCTTTTTTTTTGTCTTGAAACCTCTACATTAACCATCACGTTTACTCTCGCACCTAGATCAGAAGTTCTAGCCCCACCACAATGTTCTCTGTCCTCAGAACTTCCGCTAGTATCTCCTTGAAGACCACCATGTGCCTGAGCGCTGCCCGCTCAGGTGCTCCACTCATGCGTCGCTTCAACTCCTCCGAGATGGAAATGGATGACTACGAGAAAAAGATTTTTGGCATCTTGCAAGAAAAGTTTCAACCAGAAAAATTGCAGGTCAAGGATGTTTCCGGTATGTACTTCCGTGCTAATGACTAGGCTCTCATACTAATACCCCTAGGTGGTTGTGGTTCCATGTTTGCCATTTTGGTCGAAGCCAACGCCTTCAAGGGCCTTCCAATGGTCAAGCAGCACAGACTAGTCAACGAAGTCTTGAAAGACGAGATTAAGCAGTGGCACGGTTTGCAGTTGCGCACCAAGGCTGTTTAGACGTCTCGTCTCTTATTTATTAACACCCCCTGTATATATCACCGTGTATGCCGATATCGACCTTACCTTATAGTTTACCGTAGATTTTGCTACTCCATGCTACAGGGCTTAGTTGTGGTGTACACGGGAACTGAAGAGGTACGCGGTGCTATAAAGCGTATGTATACTAACCTATCTTATCCGAGATCTATAAAAGGCGACATATAAACCTCAGTTGTATTTGTACAATACAAAATAGTATACTCAACGAGTATGAAATCTAGGCTACATTCGTAGAGAAAGTTAAACGGCTAACGCAGCCCTGTGCACTCACCACGTTAATACATTTAAGCACACTCAAAAGCCAGGCCACACCCTCAAAACGCTACCAGCGACCTTGGGTCTACAACCAAGATCCTTACAACCTGGATTACATAAAACCCCCAGGCCGTCGACTGGTTACCCAACGCTTTACCACGGTCATTAACCTTAAACACAGCCAACTGCGCTGGCTTCCATAGTAATTCATATAACAAAGCTTTATTCTAACTTACACAACGAGCTCCTCCTTCTGCTCCAAGATCTCCTCTCTGATCTCCTCAATGACAATCGGCTTGACCTCGTCCTCACCGACAATGGCCCATTGCGCCTTCTGGACCTCCACTTCGGCTCTCCAGGCCTTCCACTCGTCCAAGAGCGCATGTCTGGCCAAGATGATCTCTCTGGTGGCAGCGTCGGCCTCCATGGCGTCGGTTTCCTCGAACTCAAGCGAGTACGCCTTCAAGGACTTTCTAACCTTCTTACGGTCGGCAGCACTCAACAAGGATGCTGGACGAGGTCTCCATCTGAAGTCCTTGAACTCCTCGATCAACTCTTCACGGGTCAACTGACCGGCGAACGAGAAGATCTTGTACCCGTTCTCGATCTTGTGGTGCCACAACGACGACCACCCGGCAACAAAGCGGCCCGATGGGTCCCAGGAGATGTCCGATAACCCGAAGAACTCTTGGTGGCCGATCTGCTTGAAGTTGGCGTTGACATCATTCTTTTCCTTATTGGCCTCCTCGTAGTCCATGTCGAAAAAGTCAATTTCACCGGCGTGCCCCTGTTCTGGCACGGTCCCGGTGGCGATGAAACGCCCCTTTGGCGACCACGAGAGCATATTGGAGTGCTTGTTTTCAATCGTCTTGAAGGCCTTCCACTTGCGCAACGCGGCAATCTTGCCCTTGGACTCGATTTCCGGCGCGTAGAACGAGATGGTGTTCTTTGGAACCGCCGGATTGAGGTTACCGTTGTCTAAACGGGAGATGATGGCAAATCTGTCAGACTTTGGCTCCCACGCGAAGTTGTTGATCTTCTCCTTCAACTCCATCTTCTCCACAGGAATGTCCTTCTCGGTGAGCGAGAAGAACTCGAGGTTAGAGAAGAGTGTCTTCTTCGACTTGGTGTGGCGGTCCACCTTGACACAGAGGAATTTGCCCTCATCTTGCCAGTGTAATCTACACTCAGAGACGTGAAACAAGTTGGAGGTTCTGAGGACTTCCTTAGAAGGCACCTGCATCAACGACACTCTAGCGGTCTGGTTGGTGGACTCCGGGGTCCAGTAGGCCAACACGTGCTCGCCAGCAGAATTGGCGGTCTTGGCGAGGTGCACCGGGGCTGGAGACCACTCGAAGTCGACAATCCCATCGATTTTGATGGTTTTCTTGTCCAAAAGGCCAAAGGTCTCGGTCTCGTAGATGGCCAAAGCGTCTGGACCTAATCTGGCGGCGTACTTGTCGTCGTGGGACCACTTGACAAGCGGCCATGGCATCTTCTTTTCCTTCTCAAGATGGTCTGGAAGACGGAAGGTACGGGCCGGAAGGCCGGTCGCAATCTCCCAGATGACGAGCTTGTGGCCTTCGGACTCAGCACCGAACGGACACGCGCTGCGTCTTGGGTGGTTCTCCGGTGGAACCGAGATTGGCTCTGGGGAGAGGGTCACCAAGAACTTTTCACAAGGCGAAAAGTCGATGAGACGCGCCTGGAATTGCGGGAAACGCTTCATGCGCGAGAACTCAGGGCCACCCCATGCCTGAACACCCTGTGGGTGGAGAGAGAAGAGGTAGGAACCCTTAGGCGAGAAACGGACGAAGGAGTTGGTCCACTGCGTTCTAGGCTCAACCACAGGCTCTGGCTGCTCTTTCTTCTTGTTCCAGAAAGCACCGACAATATCACCCTTCTGGAGGATAAACTGGTCACGGCCCTGGTAGTCTTGTAACCACGAGCGGAGATAGTCGGTTTCCTCGAACTCGGGCACTAATGGCGACACAAACTCGTCGGAGACCTTGTCGGCACTGTACTTCTCAATGTCAGAGAGCCTGTTCACAAACAATCTGTGCTTCTGGTCCAACTTCTTGCCATTGAGCTTCTTGATGGCTTCCTCAGCCTCAGCAGCGGAGGAAAACTCGACAAAGAGGAACCCCTTGGTCTTGCCGTCTTCGATCGGCATCTCCACGTTAGAAACGGTACCGACAGTGTTGAAGAGCTTGGAGAGGACCTTGACCAAGACTGGGGCCTTGGATTCTGGTGCCACCGGCGCCCCGTCAACAACCACGTAGTGGTCGTACCCGGCGCTGGTTTCAACGGCGAATTGCTCATCCAAGTCGGAAAAGTCGATTTGCGAGACGTCGATCTCAATGTCTTCGATAGAGGTCATTTTGGTTGGGAAGAGATACAGAGAGGTAAGAGGCGTGTTTTGCGGACACTTCTAAAGTACGTCGGTGAATTTTTCGTGTATTTTTTCGGGTTACGAGCACGCATATAGGGTGCCTGTAGGACTGGCAACCTCCATCCACAGGAATGGTATGGCGAGTACGAGCGGAAATATTTAAGATAATCGTACTGGTAGGCAATTGAAGGAGATCTAAGCGTATAGCCTTTGTAGGTGTTACCAGCTTTTTTGTGGTAGACTGGGTGCAGTTTGAGATGAAGGGGTTAAGGGGAATGCCGTATGGTGCTCGCGTGGACGCCGCTAGCGTCACGTGACAATAAGACGACAACTTAGGATTGTCTGACCCAAAGATGCTAATTAGATTGAAAAATACAGTGAATCTGAGGTGCTCCGGCTATAGTGTGATTGTTGCCGCTTGATTTTGTGGATTTGTGGAGGAAACGGAAGCCATTGAAGCACTGGTGTGATTCTCACGTGGCCGTGGATCGACTGGTGTCACATGACCGATGTTGTGGGCCAGAATCGTATCATGACGCATTATCATAGGAATGTTGAAGGCAGTGATATGTCATGGAAAAAAATTGTAATTAAATTATATTAATATTTGAACTTAAATTATGTTGTTTTGGCTTTAGGTTCGTCCTATTGGGAAGGTGTTGAAGGACTGGTGCTACTCGCAGGACAATTGCGGATTGTTGTATATCCAATGCTGTAAACCATCCTGGGAAGGATGTAAGCATTTTCAGTAGTACACGGGAATTTTAGGGAACACTATGGGTTCATTTCATGAAGGTGTTTAAAATATTGCGACCTAGGAATTTTAGGGCTAACTTATTATTACCAGGCATCAACCGATTATGTGCTGTACAATTTCTAGACGAGAGCAGTTTCCCAATCCCCTTTTGTCTTTCCCAGACTCTGAGGTTTTCTCTGGGGCTGCTATCCAACCAGCCCAGGCTCCTTTCAAATGTCCATGCCATGCTAAGATCTGAACCTGCTGATGCTAGCCACTTCCCCCTCAAGTTTGTTGTTTGAAGGGCTAACCAGTTTTATAGCTAGATTTGGTTTCTCCTTCTCTCCAGTAAGCTCAAGTGGCGCAAATCAGCTTTAGATTAATAAATACCGCACATTACCCTGTTGTTCAACTATCTAAATGTTAGTAGTGATAACTCAGAGATTATAGCATTGAAAATACCTATATGCTTCAAGCTATTATCTGTTCAAGTCAATACACCACGCACTCCACACCCTTTACCGAATGTACCACTTTATCACATGCCATTGTATGTGTTGTTACAGATGTTCTATCGGATGTATACCGAGAAAGCTACAAATACCTGTAAATTTCCGTGTTTGAAGTATTTTCGCTCCATATAACCAAATGTGTCCCACCAGTAAAACCTAAATAACCCGAGAATTCTTTAAAAAGGGACACCTACGGCATCTTCCCGTACTCTCCACAATGAAACCTTTAGCCTCTGTGACCCCTAATTATAAATGCTTCAGTAACCTACCTCAACGTCTAAATACACCATCTAAGTATAACCTTTAACAACTATACAGCCATTTATAAATTATATTACTCGCTCTATCGTTTTTCTCTTCTCTTACAAACGTATGACGTACGCGCCCTGTTTACTCGCGCAGGCCACGCGTGCGTTTCGTTTTTCCTACAGACCTGTCGCAGAAATGTACACAAAGCGTGGCGACCCTTCAAAAATGTCTCCCCCGGTCAAACTCCACACATCCTCCCATTGGCTTAAGGAGAACAATTCTCCGATGTCTGACGACCAGGAAAACCGCAGACCGTTCAGCATGATCGAAGCCCAGGCATTTTCACCCGTTACGGAGCGCAAACGGTTCTCTATCGCCACGGATACCAACACATCCTACGGCTCCACCCATTCGAGTCCGTTCATCACCACCCCTCAGATCCATCCCCACTTTCCGACTGAGGGAATTTCAATAAAGCCGCTAGCGACAAATGTGTCGTACTCATACAATGACACGTACGAAAGCGTGCCCGAGGAGGCACTGGAGATCATCGACTCGCTTCCGCGGCACTTCTTGCCCCAACTGAAGCTTACGCCCTGGCGGCGTTCGCGCGATATTACTGCTTCGTCTCTCACGACAGCCCGGCATAGTATGTATGGAATCGCAAACACAAAAGAAAATGAGGAGTTGAAGAAGGAGCTCACGAGCTTCAAAATCCAGATCCGGATATTCAAGGAGTTTATCCAGGAGCTTATTCGCAGGACCGGTCACGAACATGACGAGCTGTTCCAAAACGAGTTGATTGACAATTTTGCGGAAAAGACGCGCGTATTCCAGGAAAAAGACTGGGCGTGTGAGAAATGCGGCAGCCTTGAAGAGAAACTCCAGGACTCGCAGCGCTGGATAGCCCACTTCAAAGCAGTGGCGGAGGAGCTACAGCAGTCGCCGACGCGGGTGGCCAGCGATGGCTGGGAGCACACTGCAGACGAGATTTTACTCGTGTTAGCCGAATGGGCGACCGGAAAGTCCAAGGACGCGATAGAGCGTGTCTTGCGAAAGCCGTTGGGGGTGAAGTTGGAGGTGGTCAAGTTGGAGTTGTACAAGATACTCCAACACCTTGAGCTGGTGCTTGCACAACAGCGTGCCAGTATCCGTACCCTGGACGAGGACACGGAGGCGCTTATTCGCTCACTAAGTGCGCTCAATATGGAGCTCGCGAACCAGCGCGAGGCTTCGGCCGTCATCAGCGACCGGTTACAGCGCGAAGTGCAAACGTCCCAGGAGTTGGCCACACTGCAAAAGACGGGCCGTACGGGTCTGACCCGTGAGTCAGAGGAGTTGGATCGCAACTCAACTCTGCCGGCGCGCTTACAACTGCCAACCCGCCTTAAGCTCACACCAAATACTCTGCCTGAGCAGGGCGTAAATGCCTTAGCACAGCTCAGGCGCGACGTGGCCGGCCTTGAAAGCGACAACGATGCCTTGCGAGTGCTCTCTGACACACTCAAACTCGAAAAGTTACAGCTCCAGAACGACCTCGATGCGGCAAGCGAGGCGCACTCACAGCATGTTCTCAGCGTGGAAGCCGCGGCGCAGCGCCAGATAAACGAGCTACGCGCACTGATATCTAGTAGCACGGCCAAAATTGCCGATCTCGGCGACGAAGACGAGCTGCTCCAGAGTGCCCCCCCGAAACAGAATGCGTCTTTAAAACAGACAAATGACGAATTACAGCTCCGGATCGGCGAATTGGAGGCTCTGAAGAGTGCACTAGCGGCAGAGGTTGCGGCTGCGCAGCAGGAAGTGACAGACTTGACGAGTAGACTTCGCAAGTCGCAGGAAGTGCGCACGTATCAGGAAGAGACGTTCGCGGCGCGTGTTCGGGCACTCACGAATCAGCTTGAGACGCAAGAAAAGGAGACGAAGGAAAAGACGGACGAGCTTCAACATGTGAATATCACGCGGTCGTACAACGAAAGAGATCTTAAAAGAAAGGTGGAGGAGTTGCAGGCTTCTTTGGACCAGGCAGTGGACAAGCAGCGGTCTCTCGGGGCGGAGAAGGTGCGGCTAAAATACACGATCGAGTCCCTCAATAGCGAGAAGAGCGGACTTGCCGCAAATATTCGCAATCTCACGGACAAACTTACGCGCGGCGAGCCGGCCGCGAAGAGCAAGGAGATCGCGTTACTCATCGAACAGGCCAACAATTTCGAGCAGTGCTACGAAGAGATGTTGACCAAGGACATTGATATGGCTGACCGGTTTCTCCAGGCGTTTGAGAAAATTCTCGACGACACGTCGCTCGCGCAGGCGCGGTCGAAACTTGCAGCGTTGAAGAGCCGCGAGGACGACTTGATCTCCGCGAAGAAGGTGCGCGAATTGCACCACGCGCTCTTTACGTACTATGTCGTCGCAGTTGAGGCAGTTGTCACGGACCACGTAGCGCTCCTTCTCAAGGGGTCGGACATCAATGATGCGGCGTTACACGATCTGAAGGCATCACTGGAGAAACCCGATGATGAATCCGAGCTTAAGCTCAGGATCGAGGAGTTGTACACACGCTGGAAGAAGGAGCGCGAAGCGCGCGTATTGGAGAGTACCGCGTCACGCGAGCGTTGCGACGCGTTGGAGACCGAGAACGCACAGCTACGCAAGCGCCTCAAGGAGATGGCTAAGTGATTCAGATAACCGATGCGAATATCGTGTATAGACAAGGAACCAAGCAATGCCAGTTTACTAAGATTTTCAAAGAACGCTATACTAAGACAGTGGATGGTTACCAGTTTGACATAAGGTGAAGGTGGACTGGATCCAAAGAGCCCCGGGAAGTGATCCCTAAGGAAAGGGATGCGTTACAATAAGGCGATGCTTTGAACCCGGGACTGCTTCATTATCATGAACCCGGAACTGCTTCATTATCATGAACACTCACAGTACTTTGATTGGCAGCGGGTCAAATAATATTGTTAGTCAACTATTATCAGAATTGCCAATACCAGCTAATGGCTTTGTAGAACAATACGCTTTTTATGGTTAGCGGTAAAATTAGTACCGATATAGTGAATTCTGGCAATGGTCCCGTATCTCCTACAATTTTTTAGTCACTTTGTGAATTATCTAATCCTCCATCTCCTCGTCCGACTCGGCCTCCTCGGTGGCGTACTGTATGGCCTCTTGCAACAACTGGTCGGACACCAACTGGTGTTTGCCCGCGGTCTCGGAAACACTGACCCAAGAGATTTCCAACTCAAAGTCCTTATCCTTGTTATCTTCATGAGCAGCGTAGATGATCTTAGCGGCCTCCTTGACGGCGTCACGAGCACTGATGTTCTGCAAGTCCAACTTTTCCAATTCGGACTTTGCCGTCTGTCTGCCCTTGCCAGTTGCCGCACCGGTATAGCCCCAGTAGGTTCCACTCGGCTCAATCATGTACAAGTGTGGACCATCCTCGTCCACACCGCCAATTATTGCCGAGACCCCGAATGGTCTGACGGAGTTGTAGCATGTGTAATTCTGCACGTAGGTCCCCAATCTGTCAGCCAAGCCAGGCAATGGGATCTGCTGCTTGTACAACGACTTGAAAGAATTCGCTTCGTCTCTGCCTCGGTTCACAAAGTGGCGTCCATCCGGCAACAAGCCGGAGTATGCCACCCCTACGTGTCTGTCAATGGTTTGGATGCGCTTGTTTTTGCCCGGCGCCAATAGCTTGGACGTGATGATCTTCTCCACCGCGAGCACCACACCGTCCTTACACTTAATCCCGATGGAGGTCCCGCCGTTTTCCACTGCCTTCATGGCGTACTCCACCTGGAAGTTTCTCCCGTCTGGCGAAAAGACGGAGTTGGATAAGTCATAGCCGGTCCCGATAGATGTCTGGCGTGTTAGTAGCGTACTTCAGATTTGCCAATTGCCAGCGAATCGGAAAAAACAAACGTACCATTGTAGTTTATTCGTTTATTTGTAGTGCAAAGGTGGAGATCTCAATGCCGTGGAGAAGGGGCGGGTGAATATAAGCGGTTATCGTGTTGGCTGGAGGCAAATTGTTAACCATTCGGGACGGTAGGGGCACGCTATGTCGCCACTGGGCGTACTATGCCGACTATAGGCGTATTTGTGGGTCGGACGTAAAAAAGGTTAGAGATTTAATGACTAAAGTGTAACAAAACAAAATACTTAGAAGATAGTGGGTATCCCCACGCGCTTGTGTTGCTCATCTCTCGACCGCTGAGAACATACAAGCACTACTGGAAACGTATACATATGCACCATTGTAAGGGGTTACCTTGGTATTGGTTCACCCTGTCATTGGCCCACTCAGCAGGCACCAGATAGATAACCTGAGATGAGCACAAGCTAAAGCGATGAAAAATATCAAATAAGAGTGTAAAAAAACATGGGGCAACCTGCAGATTGAAGATCCGAGGAATACCCATAATTCAAGCCATGCTAGACTCTTATCCTAATACGCAGGCTGCACTAACCTATCAGGTAGGAGCTCCCCCCCGTGCTGGTCAAAACCAATACCCTAACTGCTGAATCTTGGTAACAAGCTAAGGAACCAGGATAAATTTAATCCGTAACCCGTATTACACATTAAAACAGCGTATTTAATTTATTACCCACTTCTCCATTCGGTTAACCACCAGACTACACATCGATAACCAACTTCTCACCTGAAACCTTACCATCCCGGATGTCGTCCAACAAGCCTTGAACCGCCTCCAAGCCACCCGGAACGTACTTGATTCGGTTATGCTTGATTTCACCCCTGGCTAGTAACGGCCCCACCCATTCCTTAAAGCTGATTGCGGCCTCTCTGGTCTCAGGGCTGGCTGGGATGATATGGGCACCGAGCGGAAGCTCCCAGCCCGTTGCATGGTACAAGAGAAGCACGTCGAGCGCAACACTTGACTTGATTTCTTCAGGCGGAATCGAGGATATACCCGACAAACCCAAAATCTTAGCGGGTTTTGTGTCAGATACCGCCTTGTTAACATTGCTGCCGGAGTCGCCATTGGACACACAGTCCACGGCGTAGGCAATTGAGTCGTTGGCATACTTTTTGATTTGCTCGATACAGTCACTGTCGTGGTAGTCGATGACAACATCTGCGCCAAGACTCTTCAAATACAGCTCATGCTTCTTTGAGGCCACAGCAATGATGGATTCGTAGGAGCCAAAGATCTTGGCAACTTGGATGAACATCTGGCCCACCCCGGTAGCCCCACCCCAAACCAACAAGGGAGAGTTGACGGTTGTCTTCCCTAACTCCTTTGGAACACCCTTAACAGCTAAATGGTGGATTAAGGCCACCCCGGCAGTGAAAAGAGACACACTCACCGAGGCAGCACCCTCAAAAGTTTCAACTTTGCCAAAAGGGACATCCTCGCCAGCCAAACGCAAGCTATCGTACTTCACCGCCAACTTAGAATCAAGAATGGCGTACTCAGCAAAAGCACCATTTTCTGGGTGCAAGACAGAACTACCATGAACGAACGAAGACACAGAATCCCCGAGCTTGAACGATTTGGCTGCGTCCTCACCAAGTGCCACGACCTCACCCGCAACATCGCAGCCTATGATGGAGCCCTGGGGACCCAATCCATACGCCACGTGCTTCCAATCGGTTGGATTACCGGCAGCCGCCTTAACCTTGATCACCAAGCTGTTGGAGTCGTAGTTAGGCAATGAAACGGTGCTGACAGCGGTCTTGGTACCGCTGATAATGACAGCCTTGTAAGTGGTTGGGAGTAACATGAGTAGTTGGTGTTTACGTATTAGGTGAGAAGTGCTAGACAAATTAGGGGTTGTTAAGCACCAGACTGGTATATATAAATAAATTAATATTAGGTATTAGTAAGCAAGCTGACAAACGCGAGACTACTCAAAATGAGGGGGAGCTACCAAGGTGCATATTGCTTATACTAGCTCCGTCGGCTAAATTAGACCCGGACTCCGGTTGTCTGCCGAAGCCGGCATGGAATCGACCAGGCAATTGCGGCAGCTGCACGTCTGGAGAGCTTCCGATGCATACGTCTACTTAATTGAGCTAGCGACACTACCTCAGACTGGTAATACGACTGCCAAGCTGATATATAGAATATTTAGTCAAGTGAAGGTTATGAGAGACGAGGCTTTGGGTTTTACGTGGGCGACATAGTTACTAGACGGACTTCACTGATTCGGCGGATATGCCTAGCACTGTAACGGACCCCAGATTCCCAATTCTTCATTATTCAGATATTAATGGCGATTAAGTTATTGCCAAGCTTTTATCTACTTTGAATCATTGAGCTCGGACGTCTGTAGATCCTAACAGTTGAGACGGACTACAAGTGGTTCATTACAGGCATATCAGGTGCTAAGATGCTAAGAATGAAATTGCTAGGGTCAGTTTCGGTACCTTGAAGCACTCTAGCCTTAGCTCACACACACCCAAGACTTTAAAAGAGCAGTATCAGGTGATGCCGTACCGTTTTTATTTGTCAACCATAGAAACAGTAAGCTTATTATCTCTGAGTAAAGATATTACATGCAGAACAAGATCAAAATGTTTACTGCAGGAGAAGCATCAGTTTCTTGCCATCGATCTTGCCCATGAAACCACTTGTTCAGCAAAAGGAACACAGTAGCGCAAGCTGCCAAATTACCACGACCAACTCGAGATCATCCAGATCTAAACTTTTTTAGCATCCATAACCAGCAATCTTTCGAAAACAAACCTGAGACGTTCTAACTTGTGATTACCCGCCGAACCATTGCTTGTGAACACAGATCACAACGGACCGAGTATTGGCACACTAGCATATCTCAAAACATTTCAATTACCAAACTATATCAGCCAATACCCCTACATAACTGTTCAACTTCAGTCACTCAGACCCATCCGGCCTTGATCACTTGCCCTTCTCACTCAACTCCTCCACACATTTATCATGCTATCAGGAGAAACCATCCGGGTAGTGGTCTGCGGCGATGAGGGTGTAGGAAAATCCTCCCTCATCACCAGTTTGGTCAAGGAGACGTTTGTATCAAACATCGAACATGTGATCCCGCCGATCAACATCCCCGTGAGCACGTTCGAGCTCCTGACGTCAACTCCCGCGCCGAGCAGCATCTTACTCATCGACACATCCGTCTCGGATACGGCAGCACTCCAGCAGGAGCTCCGAAACGCTCACGTAATCTGGCTTGTGTACGCAGACCATTACACCTACGAGCGGATCACGCTCTACTGGCTCCTGATGTTCCGCGACATCGGTGTTAACCTCCCGGTGGTGCTCTGTGCGAACAAGTGTGATGAGGATCAGGACGCGCCGCTTCCCAACGTCACCAGCACCGACAACAGCAATAGTGTGGAGAACCTCGGCGAGGCGTTTATCCCGATCCTCAAGAAGTACAAGGAGATCGAGGCGTGCATCCGGTGCAGCGCCAAGGAGAGCTACAACGTGAACGAGGCGTTCTATCTCTGCCAACGCGCCATCACGCACCCGATCCTGCCCTTATTTGACTCCAAACAGGGCAGCCTCAAGCCTGACGTCATCACAGCGCTCAAGCGCATCTTTTTCCTCTGTGACAAGGACCAGGACGGCTTCCTCAACGATGCGGAGTTCCTCGAGCTCCAGTTGCGTTGCTTCGGCGCCGAGCTCCAGCCTAGTGATCACCAATTGTTGAAAGCCACCATCGCGGGCCTCCTCCCTACATACGATGAGGCGCGCGGTTTGAGCGTGGACGCATTTCTCTTACTAAACAAGATATACTCGGAGAAGGGCCGCCACGAGACCATCTGGAGCATCCTCCGTTCCTTCCAGTACACTGACTCGCTCTCGCTTGATGATAAGTTCCTCCACCCATTCCTCAACGTGCCCGCAAGCGCGTCCGTGGAGTTGAGTCCGCAGGGCTACCGCTTCTTCGTGGACTTGTTTCTCATCTTCGACAAGGATAACGATGGTGGCTTGAACGAACATGAGCTTACTGAGTTGTTTTCGCCGACCCCGGGTGTGCCAAAGCTCTGGCAGGAGACAAACTTCCCCCAGACAATCGTGTGCAACGAGAACGGGTACGTGACGCTCCAGGGCTGGTTGGCTCAGTGGCTGATGACCACTTTCCTTGACTACCACACCACCTTGGCGTACCTCGCGTATCTCGGTTTCGAGAGCAAGTTCAAGACCACCAAAGTATCCACCGTCTCGGCGTTGAAGGTCACCAAACAGCGCAAACGCAGACAGCGTAAGGGAAGGAGCTTCCGCGCGCAGATCACCGACCGCAATGTTTTTAGCTGTTTTGTTGTTGGCGAGTCCAACAGCGGCAAGACTTCGCTCCTCCAGTCGTTCTTGGGCCGATCTTACAGTAACACGTACTCGCCCACGATCCAGCCGCGCACGGTGGTGAACAACGTTGAGCTTCGCGGTGGGAAACAATGCTACTTGATCTTGGAGGAGCTCGGACGGCTCGAGCCGGCAATCTTGGAGAACCAGAAGCGTTTAAATCAGTGTGATGTGATCTGCTACGCGTATGACTCGTCCGACCCGGAGAGTTTCCAGTACATTGTCGACTTGCGCGAACAGTATCCGGGGTTAGATAATATCCCCTGTGTATACGTGGCGCTCAAGGCGGATTTAGATAGACAGCAGCAGCGGTGTGATGTTCAGCCAGACAATTACACCCGTGATTTGTACCTTCCGCCACCGTCGCACGTGTCTTCGTCGTGGCCGACGTCGTTGAACGAATTGTTTGTGCGCATGGTGGAAACGGCGCAGGTGCCGAGCTCCGCGACCCCGGGCTTAGAGCCCGAGCCTGAGGATGTGGGGATGAGTCCAATCGTGTTGGCAGGGGGAGCGGTAGGGGTGATGGCGTGTTTATCGATATGGTTTTGGCGGCGGGGGATTGTTGAGGGCGTGAAGGCGGTAACGGCGAGGAAACAATGATTACGGCGAGTTGTCATCTCCCGGTAGACTTAACTCACAAGCAAAGAGAGGGGCCTCAGGAAACACTTTAAAGAGTTTTTCGGTCAGCCGTTGATGGAAGTAAGATCTTGCCGTTTGCTTAAGCTTTAATGGCCAGATACTGGTACTACACCATGGTGAGAAAATGCAGTACATCAAGGGTTTTGCCCGAGTATGACAAAGTAACTGGTAAGTTGGGGTCTTGGGGTGTTCCTACATCCAACCAATAATAAGTAAAATTTACAAGCTGCGATACATCTTTAGCTCAAATATGAACGCTTTTCTTAGCTTTTATTTTCAAATTTGAAAGTTGGCCTTTTGAACGATGTAGAGATATATAGATCTACGACTAACATCCAGTTTTCCTTAACAGAGTCACGTGCCAAAAGCATGTGGACAAAGTTACGCGTTCGCTCCAACATGAACCCCTTGATTATTTAAACTACCGGGTTCATCTCTCTTCACAACATTGCGTCTTCTTCACCCTACCATGCCATTAACCACTATTTACATTGCTAGACATGGATACAGAGCCAACTGGCTTCCTCCTCCGCACCCACCTAACCCTACGGGTATCGATAGTGACCCGCCATTAGCCCCGCACGGCTTGGATCAGGCAAAGGAGTTGGCGCACTACATATTGTCCATAGAGCCAAAACCGGCTTGTATCTTTTCCTCTCCATTCTATAGATGCTTGCAGACGGCTACCCCTATTGCAGACGTGTTGAATATCGATATCGAGTTGGAAGCCGGGGTGGGCGAGTGGTACAAGCCGGATCGCCCGGTAATCCCCAAACCAGCAACCGTGGAAACGTTGCAACGCTTTTTCCCGAAGTTAAAGGCTAACTGGGCCGGTACAGGTGTGGCGCCTCTTCCAACCGGTGAAACTGAAGCCCAGATCTTCACCAGATGTTCCATCTTCCTCACGAAGTTCATCACCAAGTTTGAGAAGGAGCATCCAGAAGCCACATCGGTGCTTTTTATGACCCATGCCGCGTCCTCAATCGCGCTTGGGATGGCCCTTATGGGCTTTGAAAGTGTCAGAGATTACTTGGACGATGAACAGGCGATCTTACAGGCGGGCACATGCTCGTTGACACAATACACGTACAACCGGGGCAAGTGGGAGTTGAAGATGAACGGTAACACCGAGTTTTTAAGCAAGGGCGAAGAAATGAACTGGAATTTCCGTAAGTACTACCAAAACTACCTTATACAGGATTACTAACAACCTAGACAATGGGTTCGAGGCAGGTTCTGACGAGGACATTAAGGCCAGGCAAAACAAGTCCCAGCGTGAGAAGGAGGACTACGAGGTACGTAGAAGCAAAATATAATGAAGATTGTGTATCGGTGTTCGATACTCTCGCACGCTTTTCGTTTAGCGCCCCGTCTGATACTTGGGCCGATTTCAAGCTTTGACTTGGTCTTCAATAAATTTTTCATCCTTCGACCTCTTTTCATGTACTAACAGTAATAGCACGTTTACGTGACGCTCGAATTACCCCCGAGCATGGCCTTGGGTAGCGATGCCCAGCCCGCACAAACTAATGGGGCCCTTTTCTCGGACGGGATCCCGTCTCTCTCGTCTGGGGTCCACTCAAACAACCAGCACATCAACTTACGCCCCTACCGCAACTTGCCGTTCTTAAGCGTGAGGACCCAGCAGCAGGGACAACATCACCCGCACAATGCCCACTCCCAGGATCACCAGACCCAGGTAGAGAATGTTCAGCCTCCAAGACCAAAGAAGCAGCGCACGACAAAGTACTCCAACATCACCCACAACTTCAACGCCTTGGATCCGTCCTACCCGTTGCAGATCAGTGGCTTGGTGCACTCTGCAGATGCGGCCGCGCTGGACCCGTTGGTCAAGATCAACCACCGGACCTTCAGCGCCAAGTGGGAGACGCTTGTTGGTACGGAGTTGATTGTGGAGGATGACGGTGAGGTCGTAGGGAGGGTACACCAGCACTTGAGGCTTGTTCCCGGAGAATTGAAAGCGAAGGAGGAATCCGAAAGCGCTGAAAAAGACAAGGAGGATCGGGAGGAAGGTACGAATAACTTGCTAGCCCGGGCGTTGAAATTGGCCCTGGAGGTGGAGGCAAGGGAGCCAGTGGAGGGTGGGGAAGCCGGCAACAATAGCTGAGTCTGATAGATCAATCTCTTGCTATGATCTTATTTCCGTTGTGTAAACGCTTTGATACGTCCTGTACTAGGATAATTTAAGTCGGATAGGTGTTTATCCGCTCCGAAATACCTTCAATTGTCTCAATGTCCTATAGAATGACTAAGGTTTTAATAAACCCCTACGGGGGGGGGGGGGGGGGTACTGGCAGCGCGGAAAACGAACAAATTTTTAGAATATTCGGAGATGCCGTATTAAATAAATATACAACTTTAATAGCAGATGCCAAAATATTCTTACCTTAGATCACAGCGGAACCAATAGGCGGCATATCTCGTACCTACTTTCGCACGGCTTTCGGCATTCTTTCGGCATTCTTCCGCTAATTTGCCGTACTGAAATCCCAAGAGCACTACAACAAAACTCAAACGGCCAAGTGTAATAAACACGCACTAAATACGGATACTTTGTGGGATAAAATCAAAACTCTGATCGGCGTTTTTTTTAAAATCTGATCCATTCTCAATACACTTTTTACTCTCCACTGTTCATTCTCTTGCAGGTCGGATAGGTTCACCAGCCATTGCCGTGCCACAGCGCCATCGAGCCCACGGCGAATGTATCCTGCGTTGTGCACCTGCGAAAAAAAAAGCGTGCTTATCGTTTTCCCCGACCATGTATCAAAACAAGACTGCAATTAGTCGCCAGCAAGGCAAGCCACACAGCAAGCACAACACCCACTATGGATTTCAACCCCGACACCTTGCCCTACGCAGATGCACAGACGGAAAGACGAGTGGCTCTTGTCACTGGAGGTAACAGTGGGATTGGCTGGTTCACCGTGCTCCACTTGTACCTTCACGGCTATGTGGTTTACATTGCTGGCAGAAGCAAGACGCGGGTGACCAAGGCGATTACCGAGATCAAGAACGAGGCGCTTTTGAGAAGGTCGCGCTACTCCAAAGATGAAACAACTTCCCGGGTCCTCGGGGAAATGACGTTTATCGAAGTCGATTTGGTAGACTTGGCCTCGGTGGAAAGCTGCGCCGAGCAATTCAAGACGCTCGAGCTGGAGTTGCACCTTCTAGTGAACAACGCAGGAATCATGGCGGCGCCGTTTTCTCTCACAAAGGACGGATTTGAGATCCAGATGCAGACAAACTACGTGTCACCGTTTGTATTGACCCAACGGCTTATTCCGGTGATGGAACACGCTTCAGACCCCCGGATCGTATACCTTAGTTCCATCGGCCACCTGTTTGCTTTCTGGTACTTTGACATGGATACCACTTTTGACTACCACCCTAACATTGTCTTCACGTGGTTCCGTTACGGAATGGCCAAAATGGCGGGTATTCACTACACGAAGATGCTTGCGTTAAAACATCCGCGGATCTTGTGCACCGCTGTCCACCCTGGCTTTGTCATGAGCACCAACTTGTTCAGCTACTGGACCCGACTTCCGATTATAGGCACTCTCTTCTGGATCATGTTTCAGATTTTTGGCTGGCTTTTCGGGGTCACCAACGAAGAGGGGTCGTATGCCACCTTGAAGGTGGCTTTATCGAAGCTGTTAACGGCCAACAAAGACAATGGGAAGTACTTTGCCGCTGGTGGTGTTGAAAGTAAGCCTAGTGCCGTTGCCTCTAACATGGACTACGCTGCCCGCACTTGGATCTGGACGATCCACGAGTTGCGTGACAGACGGGTAGAAGTAGCTGAACGATAAGGGGGAGCAGCTTGGCTATGCAAGGCAATGCCTAAACCACGTGAATCGGGGTACCCTATACCAAGTTTGTGCACAATCAGTGGAGCTAGAAGCAATTGGGATATTAAATGATTATACACAAGCTAGTAACATTTAATCGCCGAGGCAAGCTTTCATCCGCTGGTTTAATGCCCGATACCCCTCATACTAGGATGAGAATTACTTTAGATCAGTAGTCGGTAATTGAGAAAAGTCTGAATAAAGTGAATACGTGTCATAGCGATGGATCTAGTAAGACATGAGAAGAGAGAAGGTAGAGTGTACGCTAGGGGGTACTTATCAATATTTTATGGATATTCCATGCTGGTGCGTCACTAGCAAACGAAGCCCAAAGTAGAAAGTTTGATCGATTTTGTTACTCGAGCCAGTAAAACATAATTAATCTTAAGACAATTAATCTTAAACTCCCCAAATGCTCATAAGGCACAAACAAAACCGGGAACTCTCCATTAACCTTACTAAAGAGCTAACCACTGACCCATACAACCAGATTAAACATAACATAAAATAAAGCAAAAAAAAACTATACAAAAGACCCACACCAGCACTTAGATGTTGGTGATAACAATAGCTGGCTCACCTGGCACAGCAGACTCAAGAGCCTTGGCAGATGCAGTGATTTCGACAGCTTCGCCGGTCACGACATCCTGACCCTTACCGTCAGCACCGATGAGAATGGCCTCGACCTTAACAATGTTGAAGGCGGCTGGAGCCTTCTGCAATGCTGGCAACACGGACTTGACGGTGTCAATCTCGTTGAAGGACAACTCTCTGTTGAAGACAATCTCTGGCTTCTCGGTCGCCAAGCGGGACTTCAAGATAGAGATGAACGGCATGGCCCGCTTCATGTCCTTACCAACCTTTTCTTTGAGCAACTTGTTGTCATTCAAGGACTGGGCCTCAAACAATTCGCGGACCATGTCTATGTAGGTGTTCTGCCACTCTGGGAAGGATGGTGAGATGAGCAACTGCAACTTGGATGGTAGCTTAGGGTCGGCCTCTGGGGCCTTACCCTTCTTCTTCTTCATCAAAGCACCCTCAGCCTCACGGATGCTACGAGAGACGCTTCTGACATACTCCAAAGCGTCAGACGCAGCCTTGGAGAGTGGCTTGCTAGCTCTTGGGAACGCAGTCTCGTGGACGGTACCCTCCTTACCGACAACCTCCTTGTAGAGATACTCGGCAAAGTGCGGCGCGATTGGAGCCAACATCAAGGCCTGGGCCTCGATGAATCTCAAGACCAAGTCCCGGTGCATGCCAACACCCTGGGTGTTGTCTCTGTAGAAGTCTCTAGCGGTCTGGAAGTCAAACAACCCGGTCTTCAAGGCAGCCTTGTAATTAGTGGCCTGGTAGTTCTCGAAGGTTTCCTCAATCAATGCATTCATTTCGTTCTCGAAGGAGACGTCGAAGAAGTTGTCGAGCGGGCCAGTTCTCAAGGCGCCTCCCCTGAGGGTGTCTTCACACCACTCTTTTAAGGTGAATAAACGCAAAATGGCAGCGTTGGCGTTGGACTCATCGAAGTTGGCATCCTCAACGGTGTCACCGGCGTCGGCAAGCGCAATTCTGGAGGCATCAGCACCGAATTTCTCAACAATCTGTTCGAGGGTCATAAAGTTACCGGTGGACTTGGCCATCTTGGCGTTGTTCAACATCAAGTGCCCGTTGGCACGGACACCACGTGGCCAGTACTGCTTAGGGAAGAGCGCCGTGTGGGTATAGATGAAGAAGGTCAAGTGGTTAGGAATCAAATCCTTCCCGGAGACTCTGACGTCCAACGGGTAGAAGTACTCGAACTCTCTTCTCATCAGCTGTAACTGTTCGATAGGAATAGTGGTGTCAATGTTCTCACGGCGGGTGAAGATGTAGTCCCAAACCTCGTTGGTCATCTGTTCTGGCCGGATCTTCATGGAGCCCAACTCCCTTCCGTAGTAGTCAGAGTGGAGGAAGTGGCAGACGGTGTAGTACGCCATGTAGACGGTGGAGTCTGAAAGTGACTCAACCAAGTACTTCTCATCCCATGGGATCTTGGTACCCAACCCGTAGGTTCTGGAGACCGCCCAGTTCTTCAACCAATCCAAAACACCTTCGAAACCGTGTCTAGTCTCGGAAGAGAAAGTGTTCATGTGCTCCAAACACTCGAGAGCCTGGGATTTCCACTGATCCTCACCGTAGTCGATGAACCACTGGTCCTCCAAGGACACAATACAGTCATCACCCGATCTGGAGATAACAACACCTTCCGGCTCGTTGTAGACGAACGCGTCGCCGGAGGCGATCAAGTCAGCCTTAACCTTAGGCTTGGCGACCTCAACCTTGTCGCCGACGTACTTGCCGTACGTCATGATACCGTTGTAGAAACCTTCCTTGTAGGCCAATTCCTTGGCGGCAGCCAACTGCACGGAATCCTTTGGCGACTGGATCTTCATCTCATTGACCAAGAACTCGGCACATTTGTCACCGTACTTCTCAGTTCTGATAATAGGAACCGCCTCAAAGGAAACCCATTCCTTCTCGATTTGGTAGTACTCTGGCTTGTTGAAAAGTTCTCTAGTGGTGACAAAATCGTCTGGGGAGTCCGACGGCACACAGGTGACAACACCGGTACCCTTAGTGGCCAAGACGGTTTCCATTGGCAAGACACGTAACTCCTGGTGCTTGGCAAGCGGCGCATGGATCTTGGACCCGACCAACGCCTTACCGTGGATAGTGGTGGCGGCGGTGTAGTCCCCTCTTTTTGGGGTGATCTTCTGGAACGACATGTTCTTGAAGGAACGCTCGGTACAGATGTAGTAGTTGTTGTCGCCGGCATCAAAGATCCCGTAGGTGATCTTTGGCGAAACGAAACAACAAGTCTGTGCGTACATGGTCTCAGGTCTCAAGGTGGCGGCGACGAGGAAAATGTTCTTACCGGCAAAGTCAAAGTTAGCGGCAGCGAACGCTTCTTGGGCGGCTGGAGCGAACTCAGTGACCTTGATCTTGATCCCGGTGTACTCCTGTGGAGTGACACCTTCACCAGAAGATCTGTCGTGGTCCATACAGGCCTGGCCGTCCTTCTCGGAATAGATGGTGTATCTCTCACCGAACTTGATCTTCCCGCATTCTCTCAAGCGGGTGATCTCCCACTTGACGAACGAGTCGTAGTACGGGTTGGCATCGGTGGTGATGAACGAACGTCTCCAATCGACACGGCCACCGAAGGAGGTGACATCCTTCTCGCACAAAGGTGGAAAGAAGTACAACCAGTGGGTGGGATCAGCAAACTTGGCCACCTCTTCTTTAGAAATTCCCAATTGCATCATGATCTCGAACTGGTACTTGCTTCTGCCTTGCTTGGCAACGGCCTTGGACTTTTTAGCGGTAAACTTGGAGACATCCTCTCTCTTGGCAACCACCTTAGGGGCCTCCTCCTCTTCGGTTTCAGCTGGAACGCCCGAAAAGTCGACACCAAACTGCTCAATCTCTCTGGCAATCTTGTCGGCCGATGCCTTGATCGGCATACCGGTGCAGTGGAACCCCAATGGGAACAAGGCGCGTTTACCTTGCATGCGCTCGAAACCGGTAGCAAATTCAACCTTGGAGAGGGTGAAACAGTGACCAGCATGGAGAACACCGTTCATATAAGGGTAGGCCATGGTGGCAAAGTGCTTAGGGATACGCTCACGAAGCTCTTCCGGATCCACGGAGACTGGCTCTTCCGCAATGGTTGGCGCATTGACCTCAAAGACTTTGGCATCGGCCCAGACTTTCTGGTATTTTTTCTCAATAGAGATGAGGGTATCTCTACGGGACGTGTTTTCAAGCACAATCGGAGCACTCATCGTTGATGGGGGATTAAGTATGATGGGAGTGTGGATGACTGTCAGGATTTTTTTGCGTTGCATCAGCTGGAGAAAAACCCACTGTTACCCGGCACTGAATTGGGCAGACAGGTGAGTCATGGATGATATCCAATCGAGTACTGGTAACTTGTTAGTTTGTCTCTCAAACAATATTAAATTCAGAGCAGATTTTATTTAAAAGACCTTAATTTTTTGGAAGGGAGCGTGCAGGGTTTATTTGTAGGTAATGGGCCTATAGTTTGAGAAATCTAATTAATCCAGGTTTCCGCTTGAACTCTGATGACGTTCGGCGCAAGATAAAAACGTATGACAGTATAGAATAATCTTTCTGAAAATTTGTGTGCGTCTCTAAACCGGGTATAATTATGGACCTAAATATTCCAAAAGGATAGCTCAAGTATGTAGCTATCTCTAGGGCATTTCGTACCATAGTGTCAGCATCTTGAGGTGCATACAGCAGGCTCCGGATCTCGATCTTAGAATCTGACTGGCCAGGATACACATTTGACATCACGTTCAAAGTATGAACAAATATGACATGTATGAACATATATGACATGTATGAACATATATGACATGTATGGAAATCAACGTTAAAATACTAATGTTAATTCGAATATCTATATATCAGGTGAAAAACCCAAATTTCTTGCGCCCCTAAGTTTTGCATGGTCTACTTCATAACTTTTGATCATTGATCAAAGGTTAATACACACGACATCTAGCACATTGCCACATGTTTTGCAATACAGAACATTATCGTTAATATAGCTCAAGCTCGCTGGCGCTCACTTTTGCTCTCTCACTATCGATCAAATAACCCATCGTCTTCAAAATCATCATCATCCTCAAAATCACTATAATCGCTGCCCTCACTACCCGACTCGCCCTCGCTGGAGCTCTCATATTCATCCACTCCCAAACCCTCTAGCGAGATCTGCAACAAGGTCTCACCCTTGGCACTCGTCCCCTTGTTCACCACGAAGCTACCTTCGACGTTACAATTCAACAACTTGGACTTGCTGTGCACGACTGCACCGGAACCCACAATTGTGTTTTCCAACACCACATCATCGCCAATGGTCACGTTTTCCAAGATAATAGACGCGGTAATGCGGCAGCGCTTACCGACGGTGCAGTTGCTGCCAACAACCGAGCGCTGCTTTAAAGTCGTGCGTTCGCCCAAGACCGTCAAGTCGCCGACCAAACAGTCGGCTCCGATCCCGGCTGCACCCTTTTCCTTAGTCGCGGGCGTCTGCTGTGAAAGGGCCGCGACCTTAGCCTTCTCCTTCATGAGCATCCTGTTGGTTTCCATGTACACCGCGAGGTTGTCCGCGCGGAGGAAGCTGCACTGCTTCGGCAAGACGAACAAGCCGACAGTCCCACGTGGTTCCTTGAAGCGCCACGAGCGGCGCGCAAGGTCGCGCATCAACTTGGTGCATGACTTAGCGGCCACATTCTTGCACTCACTGTTGATGATCCCAATGGTTTTCTGCGAGCAGATGTAGATGAACGAGTCGAGCAACTGCGTGGACACCACAGTGCTGGGATATCTCCAGGTCAAATGGGTTCTGACCTGCAACGCCTTGGCGAGTTCCACGTGCTCTTTGGTGTACATATCTAGCAACGTGTTGTGGCCGTCTTTCCCCTGTGCGAAGAGTGTGTAGTTCGGCTGGAAGTTCTTCTTCTCGACGGTCTCGACCGTGTTGTAATACTGCACCGAGAGCCCGAGGTTGCCCTCCTTGCGACTACGGTATGCCTCAATAAGCACCTGTGGCGGTAAATCCGTCATAAAATCGCATGGCAACACCAAAAAGTCCGTTGTAATCTTGTCCTTCAAGCTCTGGAAGATCTCACCTGTGGCACCTGACAACGTCACAAGCTCGATGGAGGTGAGCTTCTGCACGTCAGCGCTGCGTTTGGTCTGGTAGAAATCGAGCGCGTTCTGGATGAGCGGTGCCGAGAGCGGGTCGCACACCACGGTAATGTTCTGGAATGGTGCGAGGTCGCACCACTCGAGCACGTACTCGATCATTGGACGGTTGGCAATCGGGAGTAGCGCCTTCGGCATCCCTGTCGATCTGACGGACGAGAATGGTGCCAAGCCAGAACCCTTTCCGCAGCAAATTACAGCGTGGAACTCCATTGAATGTGTGTCTGGTGGATTGAGTGAAGACAGTGAACCGAAGCTCTTGCATTTATATAAGGCTGAAACTTTTGCATTCTGACGGGCGGTGCACGACCCCTAAAGATAGATTCTGGGGGGAATGGTAGAGGGAACATGTCTTTTTGCAATAGGGAGATAAAAGTCTAAGAGTATATCATATTCAATATTGCTATATAAGAAGCGTTATTTTTTTGGGAGATAAAAGGTGGCGAGTAGAGGTTCATCTAAGACATCTAACGAAGTATGGAGCAGGGACCAAATGGGAATCGTGGAGCATGTGCCACAGATGGAGACGAATGAATTTGCTACGATAGATTGAAGAACAGCCGATATCCCATTGGCAATTTTGAACGATATTTAAGAAGTTGAGGGGGTATGATTGTGTGGAAGCATTCGCTGAGCCGTATCGGTGGTGGGTCCGGCTCCACCAAAGTTACCAGTACGTCACGTGGGCTACACTCCAGTGGGAGAACTAAATAAATCTGGGAAAGAAAAGGTAAAATTGATACCAAAGACAAGTAAAAAGGGTGGAAGCAGATGAATAAAAAGCTTGCAGTGTCGATAAAGTTCTTATACTTAACGCCCAACCCTCGAGCTGGTGCCATTACCCTTGGACGAGTTCTCAGGCGTGCACGCGTACACAATAAGCAATGCCACTAACTTGCACTAGTTGCAATTTCGTACACTATCCAGTTAGATAGTCTGGTAATATAATTATTAGAAGTTCTTTTCAATTGATTTCAATTAAAATCCACCACTTCCACTGTATAGCATTTTTAGGCTAGATAAAGTGTTGTGGAGCTTTCTTTCCAATATTAGTGGATGGCTGGGGGTCCACATCGATATATCCTGTACAGATGCCTCCTCACAAAATGCTAACTGGTTACAACGGGCCAGTAGTCACCTCTACCCTAGTGAGGCTGGCGTCGAAATTAACTCAAATTTTTACAACTAACATCCCAAGCACCGCTTAATACCCTTTGAAAGTACTACATTCAAGGTGATCCTTCGCCCAGAAGAAATAAAGGTTGTACCTGGACGTGCTCACGTATTAACCACCGCACGACCTTTTCCGTCGACCAGCGTTGCAATCCAGTGGCAATTCAAATCAAACGGTATGCCACTATAGAACCTCCCCCATTCTATCCCCCACAACATTCATCAATTGATACCAATTACGTCACCTGTTCAACTACACAATGAGCACTGATAAAGACCCCCTTTTAGCGGCCTTCGAGGCCGACAGCGCCGAGGCACCAGCTCCAGCCGACCCCGAAAGAGAAAGAGCGCTCGGGCAGTTCAAGAACAAGTTAATGGAGCACAGACAGTGGGATGCACGCCTCAAACAGTTGCGCTTGGATATTCGCGGCAAGGAGAACGATTACGAAAAGACAGAGAACGACATCAAGGCGCTTCAGTCGGTGGGGCAGGTGGTGGGCGAGGTATTGAAGCAGTTGGACGACGAACGCTTTATCGTGAAGGCATCGCTGGGGCCGCGTTATATCGTGGGCTGCCGCAACTCTATCAGTAAGGAGGCGTTGAAGCAGGGTGTGCGCGTGGCGTTAGACATGACGACGTTGACCATCATGCGTATCTTACCGAGGGAGGTGGACCCCCTCGTGTACAACATGACGACGTTCGAGCCGGGTGAGATCTCGTTTGGTGGGATTGGTGGGTTGAACGAACAGATCCGCGAGTTGCGCGAGGTCATTGAGCTCCCGTTAAAGAACCCAGAGTTGTTCCTTCGAGTCGGTATCAAGCCACCTAAGGGGGTACTTCTATACGGGCCTCCAGGTACCGGGAAAACCTTGTTGGCAAAGGCGGTCGCCGCCACTATTGGTGCTAACTTCATCTTTTCCCCGGCGTCCGCGATTGTGGACAAGTACATCGGTGAATCTGCTAGATTGATCAGGGAGATGTTCAGCTACGCGAAGGAGCACGAGCCGTGTATCATCTTTATTGACGAAGTGGATGCAATCGGTGGGCGCAGATTCAGCGAGGGGACGTCCGCGGATCGTGAGATTCAGCGTACGTTAATGGAGTTGTTGAACCAGATGGACGGGTTCGACTACCTCGGCCAGACCAAGGTCATTATGGCCACCAACAGACCTGACACTTTGGACCCGGCGTTGTTGAGAGCCGGACGTTTGGACCGAAAGATTGAAATCCCGTTGCCTAACGAGGCCGGCCGCTTGGAGGTGTTCAAGATCCATTCTGCGAATGTGCAGAAACAGGGCGAGTTCGACTTCGAGGCCGCCGTTAAGATGAGCGACGGCTTCAACGGTGCCGATATCAGAAACGTTATCACCGAGGCTGGATTCTTTGCCATCAGAGATGACAGAGACTACATTCTCCAGGAGGACTTGATGAAGGCCGTGCGTAAGGTCGGCGAGTCTAAGAAGTTGGAGGGCAAGTTGGACTACGAAAAGTTGTAAGTTACATTAGATTGAATCACGAATGGTGGTGTACATTATTTTGAACTAAAGAGTACGATGTAGCGGGATGAAGTAATATAACCCTATAATGGTATCGGTCCTTCGATGTGTCAGCCCAGAGCGGGTCCTTGCAATGCGAGGAGCTGGTACCATCAAGATACCTTCCGTTCAATGGTAACTTATCCTTCTCTGGTATTGTATTCCTCCCGGAGTTGTCTTCCGAGTCTACGCACAATGGCTCCACTTATGCAAGCGATACTCTCAACCACACTGATGTATTTTTACATCCAACCGCATTTCTTGGCCACGCAGCTCTCTGCACAGCTGTTGCTCTTCCCCTCCAATATAATTATCCCCCTCGCCTTGCTACTGAATTATTGTTTCGCTACGCAAGTATTGCTTCATTTACTATGTACAGTATCCACCCCTTAATCCACGTTCTTCACATCACGCATAAGCGAGTTCAAGTGCTCCTTGACCTGCACATCTGACACCTCATTGACATGCTTGGCGACTCTCTCCCCGATAAAGTCCTTCATCTCTGGGGTCAAGGCAGTCCAGCCCTTGGCCTTAAACGCGGCTCTCTCGGCAAGCGCGGCTTTCTTCGTCTCGGACAATGGCATCTTTGGCGGAGTCAACTTCCAGATGTCCTTTTCGGTCAAGTTGTTTTTTCTGAACTTGGAGTGCGGGTTTCTGATGGTTGGGAGTGCGTCTGCCGGGATTGGCGACTCGACAAGCGAGTCCAACTGGTAGGTGGTTTTCAACACAGTCTCGGCAGGGGTGCACATGACGGAGTCTTTGAACGGCTCTGGGGCGGGCCATGGAATGCGGATGGTCTTTCGGTGGCCCTTAACGACTCTGTGGGGCATCATGCGGTTGTACTCGTCGCTCCACTCGGCACCCTGGTACTCGACCTGTGCCGCGATGAACTTGTTGGCAACCTTGCCGTCCTTGTAGAAGGTCCCGACGAGCTGGATTTCTTTTTCAGTCATTCTCAACGGGTACTCGATGAGTCTGGAGTTGTGACCCGGTGGTACCATTGATGGCGGCACGAGCACCTTCTGTGTAGGCCCCTCGGCTAGGATGAAAGACTTGGTTTTGTAGTCGATGGAGACAATCTTGGAGGTGATACCCTTCTTTTCGCCCTTTGTTACGTACACTTCATCGCCCACAGCGTACCCAACCTGTTCCGGGCGCGTAGGGATATCCTTGTACGTGTTGATCATCTTGACCTTGTCCTCATCGCTCAAGACGATCGGCTGCGACCCTCTAAAGAGTTTTCTGTAGTGGTCCTGAAACTGCGCTGGGAGCTGTTCAAATTCACGCTGGAGCCTTTTGGCACCGTTTCTCACTCTGGTAGCAGACATCGTGTGGGGTTGATGGAAAAGAGTGGTGGATGCTATCAAACGCTGAGCATTTTTCAATTTTTCAAACCTCACGTTTGAAGGGACTTCCTTCCGTGCGAAATGTGCACGCGTGCTCATAACACCAGATGAGTGAGGTTATTGCCTTTGGCATCTGAATAAAAGCTCGTCGGATGGAAAATTGAGGTTTGGAAAGTCAAAAAGACTTGGGTCGGTTGGAGCTTATAAGCGTCGGGGTGTGTGGCGTTGGATTGACGGTATCTAGTGGAGAATCAATGGAGATCAGAGCTGCATGCTCTTTGTAGATGGCGCGTCTACCGCCCCCATTGGAGCTCTGGGGTGGTTAAGGGTACATCATGAAGGACGAAAAGAAGGGAATTGAGTTAGCTAAAGCCAGGACGGTAGCAATGTTTTCGGGCCCAGACCATGCCGTTGATAGTCAACTCGGTCATGGGATAATTTTGGCTATCGCGCATGTATACTCACGTCTTATACTAATCAGGAAATACCACCTCCAAAAGGGTTGTAATGGATGAGCTGAAAACAGTGAATTTAGCGAGATCTTGACAAAACTATTAAGCCATGGGTGACCAATATCCCGCTGAGTCACTACTCAGGGCTGGCCTTGATGAGAAATGCTGATTAGGCTTGATACATGGAGGATATTAAACCGCAGTGTAACCTTGATGTCGTACGCATAATCAATGCCACCGATCAGTCATCAAGCGTACCAGAACAATATGTCACACACTGTTTCTGATCCATCCGCATCTCACACGCCTTTGGCAGATCGTCCAAATATTAATAGGTTTGTATTATACACTAAAATAAACTCTAACGAAAATCGGCCATGATAGCAATGTAGCTTCCCATTTTCAGAGCCCCAGCAGTCGTACCTACTCAGTACAGATGCTGATAAACTCCTGCTCGTTGATTTCTCCATCCTCATCCAAGTCAAACTCATCAATCATGGCGCGCAATTCATCGTCGGTCAAATTCTCGCCGAGCTCCTTGGCCACACGTCTCAAATTCCGCAAACTTATCTTGCCGGTGCCGTCGTCGTCAAAGAGTTTGAACGCGCGATGGATCTCCTCCAACGGGTCGCGATTGATGATCTTCTCACCCACCGCCTGGAAGAAGCTCTCGTATGTGATCAAATTCCGGTCATCTGTGTCGTACTCGTGGATGATATCCAATACTTCGCGTTTGGCGAGATCAAATCCCAACGCCCGGAAGGCCACTTTGAGCTCGTGGTAGTCAAGACATCCGTCGTTGTTCATGTCGAACAACGAAAACGCCTCGCGGATCTCCTGCTTCTGTTCGTTTAACAACTCGAGTTTCAACTGGCCGAACGACCGTTTGGACTGTGGCTCTTTGTTCTGCGAAAGCGGTTTTCTAAACGCCGACATGGAAAGGTCTAGGGGGTCTGGAATATAATAAAAGGATCGGAAAGGATAGATCTGGGATTATCCGGCAATGATAATCGAGCACAAGAGATGTTTTGAAGCGAAGCTTGGCTCAACTTGAAAAGCGCGTTAGCCGCTCGTTTTGGATAGCGTGTAGCGTGTTATGTGCAGGATTTAATGACACGAGCATTATTGTGAAGTTATATATCTACTTGCGAATATGTTTGTTGGTTTGACCAATTTAGTAACTGAAGGGGAATAACCGAGATTTCATGCTGCTTGGTTGTACATGTGTATAAGTGATACATGCGGGTAAACTGTACATGTGGGCAAGTCGCGTAGATTCAAGCTATGCAAGTGATGAAACTCTTAGTAGCGGCAGGTGCCACTTATCCCGATCTCTAACCCCTATAGACCAATATACAAGGAAAACGTATCGAATCATAACGAGAGAAAAAAGAAGCGCCGTGTTAATGAAGGTGTTAATTAATAAGCAACCTTTGAAACAAAAACCAAAGACAGGTGATTGAGAGACACCATGGGGTTTGACGCGTACTAGGAAAATCGAATAGCTGATAAGGCTAAAAATTTCTCTCAAAGGGTCTGGCGTACAACCATACAGACTGGAAATAGTTGCAAAAGTTCCGGAGAGATGCTATTCTTGTTCGTCTAATATTCTAACGGAGACCCTCCCACGCTCTATCCCATAGCTATAGCCAACAACTCTCTGGAAGCTATGGTTTTAATGAAATGTACCCATTTCACCAGGAGTTATGTGCTCAATGGTTTATCCTTATTTTTCGCTTTTTCAGGGCAGCCTTAGGTGCCAGCTGGGGTTGTTATGGCATGGCTTATCTACAGGATTTAAACTTGGCAAGATCAAAACATGCACTCAAAGACCTCTGCCCTGCACCACGTGCTAGCATTCAGACATCATGTTACAAATAGGACAAAAGGTCCAGGTCCGAGGAGATTTCGGGGTGGTGCGGTTTGTGGGAACCACAGAGTTCTCCAGCGGCGTATGGGTAGGCGTGGAGCTAGACACGGCGGCGGGCAAAAACGACGGTGCGGTCGGCGGCCAGCGGTACTTTGTATGTCTGAAGGAAGGAACCTGTGGGATATTCGTGAGGCCAACAGTGGTGAAACATGTTTCCAGGCGCTCAGAGACTCCCAAAACAGAGGTCTCGCCTTCTGAGGGCTCCTCCCAGTCGTCAGACACTCTCATATTGTCTGAGGTTTCGCCCAGGCCTGATGAAATCCACATTTCCGATTCATTTAAAGATGACGACTCCAAATCCGAGATTAACCTAAGGTTACCTGGGGATAGCAACCCCAAATCTCCTGTTGGTATCAATGACAAAAGGCTAAACAGTTCCCCTGAATCCCGCGTGGAACACCCCCTTGAGACGGCTGGCTTGTCTCCTACCCCCCCGGTTTCTCTCTGCTCCAAGGAAACTGACCACCACCTCCAAACCATCATACATACCTTGCAAAAAAAACTACACGCGATTCACTTGGACACCGAATCCTATAAACTACAAGTCTCCACCCTCAACTCCGCTAATATCACCTTGAAGGAGAAGTTAGCAGTGGCAGATGAAAGCCGCGAGTTGGATACAATTAGCAGAGAGCTTCTCGAAGGTGACCTCGAACAGCTTCAGGAACGCTACGATGACCTCCTTTCCAAGTATGACGACTTACAGTTGGAGTTTATCGACCTTCAGGAGGAGCTCCGGCTCCAGGAGGAGCTCGAGGAAGGAGACTCAGACGTTACTGCGCTTAGCAAGCGCAACAAGTTGTTGGAGCTGGCGCTCCTCAAGTTGAAAGACATGTCCCAACAGAAGGAACTGACCTTGCTAGGCCAGCTTAGTCAGTACGAGGTAGGGTATCGACGGTCGGTGGAGCTTGAGGCGATGTATTCAGAGGCTTCGCAGCGCTTGGAGCGCACCGAGAGGTTGGTGGATGAGCTTAGGGGCCAGCTAGAGCTCGTGCCCCATTCTGAGACCGTGGTGGATACCCTCACGGAGCGCAATATAGAACTCGCAGAGAAAGTCTCGGCTCTTCAGCTGACGGTTCTGGAGCTAGAACAAATGCAAGAAGTAGACAGAGACCTTGAAGCGACGCACTTAGAGGTGGAGGGTGATTTGCGGGCGGAGCTCAGCGCCTTGACCCGTCAGCTAGCTGAGTCGTCTCTGGTCATCGATGAACTTCGGGGTGTGAACAATTACATGGACAAACGGCTTGCCAGCATGAATGCTGGGACCTTTGATAAACCAGCCCGGGAAGAAAATGATAGTGAAGGCCTAAGTCGGGAGATTACGCGCTTGAAACAGCGGATCTTCGACCTTGAGTCGCGCGCGACGGAGGCCCAGATCGACGCTGCGATTGCTCAGTCCGAAGTCCCAATATTAAACGAGTTGGTCGGGGCTCTCCGCGGGCTCACGGCAACCGACAGAAGGTTTGATCTCTGTTATGAGGCCAGGCTCGCAGCCAACAAAACCCGGTGTTTGCTGGAAGTTCTCCCTCTCTTCGAAGACTATCCCCCTACGATTATTGAAATGATTCGGTTACAGCTTACGTGTGTGCACGCGGCATGCGATCTCGCACGGTACCACTTGGAGTTTGGCGTGGATTGTCTGCTGTTTGTGCGCGATATAGCAGCCAGGGTGGAAATGCTAGTCAGCAGCGCACGGCAGAACCAGCTAGAGGTGAAGATAACCCAAGAGATCCACCGAGAGTGTGAATTGTTCTGTGAGCTGCTCACGCTGATTCCTAGGGAGCATCTCTTGTACCGCGTGCGCGAGGCAGCTGCGTGCAATGCGTATTGCTTAGTGTTGGCCAACCGCGTTGCATTAGAGAGACCTGGTTTGCTGAACAAAATAGAAGCGAAGTCGAAGTTGGTGCATAAATTACAAACCACGGGGGAAGTGCTCGCGGACGCCCTTGGGGTGTTAGTGAAGGCACAGTCGGAAATGTGTGGTGTTGAAGGTGAAATGTCCGGGGATTATAAACCTCTTCTTGCGTATCTCACGGAAGAGGGCAACGCTTTGGATTTAGATGCAACTATGATTTCCGATGAGCCAGTCTCGGTGCTTGAGCCAGTTCCGGTGCTTGAACTTGGGAGCTTGGAAAGCGAATGGCGGTTTCTCGATACCATCAAAGCCTCATTGTCCACCCTTGTGGTTGGTGGCCAGGTTCCTCAGAAAGCGGTCTGGAACGTTGAGCAGGAGATGACAACCGATGATACTGAAGTGACTGCGCTTAGGCTACAGGTACAGGAGATAACTCACAAGTTCAGAACTAAAGAGCTCCTTATCGAAGAGCTTGGCATAAAGATCCAGGTGATGGATCATAAGCTTGCAAAATCTAAAGCCGTGGAAGCCGAACTAGCCGAGGCACGGAAAAATCTCGCGCGATACGAAGCAGAGAACGTTCAGGTTGGCAGCCATGTGAAAGAGCTCTTGCAGAAGAACCAAATCTACGCGCAGGCGCTTAAGGAGTTGAAGAATAAGTCAAACCGCATCGTAGGAAACTTCCACGACATTTACCAAGAGAAGGAAAAGGCCAGCCGGAACTCCTTAATCAGCGAAATCCACACCTTGCGGAGAATCATTCTGCGTAGTTGCGAGCTCTCGTACGACCACACAGACTTAAAGTGGCTCCAGCAAGACTTGTCCCCCGCGAAACTCTGTCGCGGCTATAGAACCCGGTTCAATATGCTTGGACGAAGCTTGGTGCGGGCCATTGAACGCTACGAGACCATCCCCTATGCTGACCAGTCGTCCAAGACAGCACTGCGATACTATCTCAGCCGCATGGAGGAGGACTACAGCTGGTATCGCCTGGAGAGGGAGCTGCTCTACTAAAGGTCAGCCTATCTGTAGATCCCATTCGGATTGCTATTATAGAGGGATTAAATTCTGTGTAAAGTTGTTAAATTGGTGTAACTTGTAATGTTCTATAGGTTGTCATTGTTGGAGGTTTAGATTGTATATATGGACGGTTCTCAAGAGTATCCATTAAATTGATATCATACCGTACCTCTAACTAAGTATTATCCGTGAGGTCAGTAGCGGGTTTCTGTTCCTTTTATGACTACAGTAGAGTTTATTTTCACTTGTCTGAGGGTTGATGCATCAGATTCTATTTAATACGTAGCTTCTATTATATGTATCCATTTGGTCCATCGGCACCATATTCAAAACATTTGATATGGCTTAACAGGTAATGTCTATTTCACAGTCTTCCAAATAACGGGATGTCTCTGTAAAAGTGCTTTACAGCCCACCCGCAAGTATTCTTTGATATCGCAGAAGAATAATCGACAGAGAGCGCATGTAATACTTCACCAAAGCTTCTTATTCTTAAGGTAACACCTTTGTTGGACTATGACCCATCTCGAATGATTGCACGTTCTAGCCTTCACAGATAGCATCATCGTAATTTCGAGCCTTTACCTATGGCTTCACCGAATCCTCCACCGATGACGCTACGACTTCAAATGATACGTATGGGGCTCGATCGGCAGAAATACAGCCTTGGTTATCACTCATCCATCGACTTCGTCGTCACCTTTTCTATGTACTGGCCACTTTCGCGCCACGTCAATTTGGTGCCGAGGGAGAAACAACTCCAAGAAAAAGTACACAAACATGTCCACCACCGCACACAACGCGTACAACTTCCCGCCCAATGTGGCGCTCTGATAATAGAACTTGAGAATCCGCTTGAGCGTGCGCCGGTTCGGCTCCTCACTCCGGTCTTTGGCTGCGTCCGCTGCTGTGACCAAATGATACACATTCTCCGTCCGCCTTGCCACATCCATCCAGCTGTACATCGTCTTCACCTCCAGATGGAAGTTTGCGGTGTAGTTTCTGTCTTCTGTGACAATCTGGATCGCTTTGGTGACAGCATCCACCATCGCTGGCTCCGATGTCTCATCCGCAAACACCGACATGTGCTCGGGAAGCACCTCCGGAATTCCGCCAACTTTCGCGCTCACCACAAGCAAGCCACACGATGCCGCCTCCACCAAGACTGTGCCAAACGCTTCGGTGAGTGACGGATGGAAAAAAATTTGTCCCTGGATCATCACCGAGCGCACCTCTTCGTGCCGGATGCGTCCGACAAGCTGCACACGCTCCTGAAGCGCATACTTCTCGCGCATTTGCTCGAGATCGATAAATTTTGGGCCGTCGCCGGCAATGAGGAATTTGATTTTGGGGTTAGATTCACAAATGGTGGGGATTATGGCGGTGAGGAGGTCCGCACCCTTGTTTTGGTACAAACGGGAAATGACGACGATTGTGATAGAGTCGTGTGCATCAGCTTGCGAAGTATTCGCGGCCACTGCGCACGAGTCCGGCGCTGGCGCGAAATCCTTCGCAATCACTGCGTTTGGAATCACCGAAACGTTCGACGGATGGATCCGTGCGCGAAGCGTCGTGTTCTCCTTACACGTGTGCGATACGCAAATCACATGCCCTACGTCCGAGAGCGAAAATGCCAACGTTTTGTTCCCCAACACGCTCGCAACGTCCGCGAACCCAAACAACGAGTGGTCGGTAAACACCGTCTTGATATCCATTGCAGATGCGTGCACAATCGCCTCAAGCCCAATCGAGCTGTAGCAGCCGTGACCGTGAATGATGTCGATCTGCTCGCGGATAAAGATGTTGCGGAGGATGGGAAAGCACGAAAAGACCGAGGGGAAGGATGTTTCACGATAGAAGATGAGAAACGGCACGTAGTACACCTTGAGTCCGTTCGTGAGATAGCGCACGCCTGTGCGCGACTTGTATGCGTGGGTGATGACCACCACCGAGTGCCCGAGGTCCATTAGCTTCTGTGACAAGTGGTACACGTGGAGCTCGACCCCGCCCGGCTGGGGGTAGAAAAAGTCAGTAATCATCGCGATATTGTACGAGGGAGCACCGTTGACGGTTCTACCCAGGGGTGTGGCTTGTATCTCCATTGGTGTGGGATGAAGAGAAGTTTTGATGAGACCCACTGGTATATTGTTAATAACGTCCTGTACGGAGCCGCACGTATTGAGCTAGGAGTAGGATTCGGAGTAGGTTATAATAAAACTTTGTCAGTAATTATAGCATTATTTAGTATTGATTTTGGAGGTTTGATTTTTTTATCCGACAGGTCGACATCATGGGGGCCAGGCAATTGTCGTAGTTCCTGGGTATACGTGGCCCTGTGGAGTGAGAGACATACGGTCTTCAATGCTGAGTTAGGCTTAGAAAGGGTGAGGAGCGAGGGTAAATACCACGTCAGATAAATGAGCGTTCTACGATTGACAGCAATCATTACAAGCTATATTTTCAAGATACACCAGCTCCATCAAATATCGCACATTTTATGTGCTAGTGTCTCTTTAAAAGTGGTGTCCCGTAGATGTGAGACATCGACGGTCCTTTCGGGCCCCTTAGAGAGGATTCTCGGCTGCTCCTCGGCATCTTTCCGTCGGGGTGTACATTGGCTATCCCTCCCAAATATCGAGCATATGTCGTTTATTAGAAGTTTCATAAATAATCAGCGCTCTTTGATTCGATTTGCTTTACATAAAATCTAAAATAGCAACCCAGGCAACATTCTATATATCTCCTGGGCAAGCATGTAGCAATATCAATTAGATATTAATAAGCCCCTGATTCAGATATTATCCTCCATAATTTACTCTCTAGAGAATGCTAGAATGCTTATTCTCTAGAAAGTAATCTACCCGGCTCTTTTATACCCAATCTCGCTTCAATTAATCCATATCGCAGATCCTGCCAGGTTCTTGGTTTCTCACGTGACTCGCTGCGCCTGCAGACATACCCTATTCGTATTCGTATTCGCATCTATTTCCACTCATCTCTTCATACACAGCGTTCTGGCTTTACCCGTCATCCGGCATTAATACCGTGAAATACATTCCGTCACTTTTCATTATTACTCCCACATCCCATGTCGCACAGATACACTGAACTACCAGAACTACCGGAACACCCACCGGAGTACACTTCCGATGCTCGTGCCTCCGCTGACTCTCTCGAGTACGAACTCCTCGAGTTCGATATCGAAGAGGAACAGCGAAACCCACACGCTGACTTTCTTGCGCGTGCAAAGTTTGCCACCCAACAGATCGCTTCCACTGCGCGCGCGGCAGCCACGCGCGTGGTCGACCCAGTCTACGCTGTGTACGTGGTTGTTTCGCGCTACTGCGACATGTATATCGCCAAGGTCGGCAACCCGTTGATTATCAAGCGCATCCTCTATGTGTTTGTGATGGGTCTCCTCGTGCTCTGTGTCACGACATCCCGCTTGTACACCTCCTCGCTGCCGTCTTCTGCGGGCGTACTCGCGAACCACCACGGACTCTTCCAGTTCCTTAGCAGCGATTCGGTTGACCGTCGCTCAATGAAGGAGACGTTGGAATATCTCTCTCTGATGCCACATATGGCAGGTACCGCGGGCGATCGAGTGCTTGCGAAGTACGTGGAGGCGGTGTTCGCGCGCAGCCTTCACTCCATTGAGACCCGCGAAATCGCCACCTTCTTAGACTACCCCAACAATGACAAGCTTTCCATCAAAGTGAGCGGTGACGCAAACTTTGACGTGGTTTTGAATGAGGGCAAGTCCGACATGGAGTACCTTGCGTTCAACCCCAACTCCCTTGGAGGAGAGTTCACCACCAACAAGCTCGTATATGTAAACTACGGCAGAGCTGAAGATTATGCCAAGATAGGGGCCTTGGATAATGCGCTCTGTTTGGTGCGCTACGGCCAGACGCACCCCGGGACAAAGCTCCAAGTCGCAGAAGGGCGGTGCCAGGCGGTCATTTTCTTCGCCGATGACCCCGCGTTTCCAGACGCGATCATCAAGGACAACGTGGCAAATCTTAATAATTCTCCTGGAGATGTGCTCACGCCTGGCTGGGAGTCCTCCAACGATCTCAGACTGACCTGGGAGCAAAGTGCGAGCACCCCGAAGGTGCCATCGGTGCCGATTTCCCTCTCTGAGGCCAAGAAGCTCCTTGCCCTTCTCAAAGGAGGTGTTCAGTTTGGTGATTGGTGGTCAGGAAGCACTGGTGGCCTTGCAAAGACAAAGATCCACTTTAAGGTCAAGCCCACAATACGCGAAAGGCACCCGATCTGGAACGTGATAGGGCATATTCCCGGGCGTGAGCAGAAGAGCAAGGGTATCATCATTGGCGCTGCACGCGACGCCGCATGCTACGGTACCATGAGCGCAAACACGGGTACTGTTGTGATGCTCCAGCTCGTGGAACTCTTTGAGACGCTTCGCGTGAAGTACGACTGGACGCCGTTGCGGAGCATCTACTTTGCTTCATGGGACGGCACCGAGTACAATCTCCAAGGTGCCGCAGAACACGTCGAGCAGCACTTTCATGAGCTCAAGTCGTTTGGTTACGCTTACATCGATTTGAGTGATGCGGTGACCGGGACAGATCTTGCGGTGGATGCCCACCCGGCCCTTCAGGCTGCGGTTAAGGAAGCGTTAGGACTGGTGGCTTCTCCTAAAGATAACTCCTCATCGTTGTTTCAGCATCATTTCCAGGGAAACCATGGGACCCGATTTGCCTACCTCAACGAGCTTGAGAAGAACTACGTTCCGTTCAACTCGTTTGCGGGGATCCCCTCTTTGGAGGTCAAGTTTAAGGGGACCGCTTATCCCGAAAACAGTTGCTACGATAACTTTGCGTTCTTCGAGAAGCATGGCGATGCGGATATGACGTATCATACCACGCTTGTGCGCGTATTGGCGCGTCTCGCGATCAAGCTCGTGGATATGCCGTTTATTCCGTACGATCTACATGATTATGTAGGGATGGTGGACCCATTCGTCCAGGACATCGACAAACATGCGAAAAGTCACGGAAAGCAGCTTGATTTTGGGTCGATGAACAAGGCGATACGCCAATTCCAACAGATCGCGAAAGACTACCACCTCCTGACCGCGAACTGGAAGGAGTACGTTTACGGAAAGTACAGCATGGACGACCCCATCGACGTGTTGGAGCCGGTAGGACTTTCTGCCAGACGGATGCACTTAAATGAGCGCTTGACTGCGTTTGAAAAGTATTTGCTCGCTACGGGGGGGAACAGCCGCCGCCCTGCGTACCGCCATATGCTCTTTGGTGCACTGTATCGCGCGCCCGATAACGACGCGATGCATCAGTACGGTGAGGGGTACTGGGCGACCTTCCCAGTGGTTAGGGATGCGATGGAGCGCGGTGACTGGGAGGGTGTTCAGCGGGCATTGAACACCGTGGCGAATGCGCTCAGCACTGCTTGTGAACATTTTTTTAGGGAATGGTAGGGGTGTGCTGCTAGAGGACATATTTAGCTGGTGTTAGTGCGGGAATGAGTATTCCCTAGATGTGTTAATAGTGTGGTGATCGCTCAAGGCTATGGTTCATTCCCTAGAACTCTTGTAAGTGGGCTTGGATGTATTGAAAAGCGAATAAGGCATGGATATTGATGATATATATAGGCTAGTGTTAAGGTAGGAGCCATAAGGGTTTAAATTTTTGGTTATTAATTCATAGTTAATGTAAATAAATAAGAAAGATGAAAATAAATAGCAAAGATGTACATATATGTACATAAATGACAAATATGTACATAAATAACAGATATATGGCTATAAATAAATATATTATCCAATAATAATCACTCATATACCATTAAAAAGCATCTGACTATTCTCTTACAGATTCTATCCAGCTGAAACACATCTGAGGATGCAAAATAAACTGTTCAAGATGGGGACAGCGAAAGTCTCTATGCAGGATAGATGCTAATTTCGCTTCACCATGCAACGATCTCCTCAGAGTTTCCCCACTTATCTGGCCCCCTCGCGCCCACATTACTCCCTCCTCTCAGCACCTTACCATGAACTTTCTACTCCTCGGCTTGTTAGTTTTATCCGTTGTTGTTTTCAAGTTCACATTGTTCCCATCTATCAAAGAAACAGACCCATCCATGTCTACTGCCACTGAAAACACCTCTACTGAGGGCGCTACTGTCGAAGGCTCCTTTACTCCTAAAACCCTCTTCAAGTACAATGGGCACGACATGCAGGAAATCTACATCGCCGTTAAAGGTGTTGTTTACGACGTTTCTGCTGGCAGGTCCTTCTATGGCCCAAGCGGCCCGTACGCCAATTTTGCCGGTCATGATGCCTCCAGAGGTTTGGCGTTGAACTCCTTCGACGCTGAGTGTATCAGAGATTTTGACCAGCCAATTGACGACTTGAAGGACTTGACGCCCGAGGATATCGATTCCTTGGACGGCTGGGAGGAGCATTTTCAAAAGAAGTACCCTGTTGTCGGCACTTTAGTCGAGAACTAATAATGTATATCCATTAACACCAATTTATATGTAGGGACGGCCAGTAGCTAAGCCTTTCATTAACATTCTCGCCCTCGGGAGATTAAGATCTCTCGAGTCGCATTACAACCTAGTCATCTTTTACCTGAAACGTTTAATATTCGACATAAGTAAAGCCTTACCTTTTAGGACCTGTCATAAAGATTTAACATTCTTTTATCTATTTGCCAGCAACATTTATATACATCATTTAGATCTTCTTGACCATCACGTAGGCGTCTGGATTTTTCAAGCCTTGGGCTTCATAGTACCCCTTTTCAACCTCATCCTTCTTGATAAAGCCCTTCAGCTCATACCACGCGACACCGGCGGTGTTCTCGCACCACACATGGGCAATCAATTCATGAATAAATCTTTTGGCAGTTTCAGCCTCCAAGTTTTCTAACAAAGCAGAACCCACACCCTTTTGCTGATATGCTGGAAGCACCGCAAACGACTCAATGTACACACCGGTCGGCACAGTGGACGGCTTGCTGGTATTGGAGGAGTAGACCTGCTTGGCTTTGATTGCACCCACGGGAATCTCGCTGTAGTAGGCCAACTTGACCAACTCGCCGGCTTCTAAGGACTCCTGATACCATTCGGCGGTGTATGAGGTGGGCAACACAACGGAGTTGATCGTCTTCAAGACCCCGAGGCAGTTGGGGGTTAGGTCATCTAAGGATATAAGCTTTCTTGCCATTGCAGTGCGTTGAGATATTCTGACTGTTTGAGATATACAAATAGCTCTGGGTATTTACTTATTCTCGGAGGGTCCCAGCGTCCAGGGATGGGATTGAGAATTGTTCATCTCCTGCACTGTATGATGCGATGGTTCAACGTTGGTTTCAGATGCTACGAAAGGCATGGTAACGATGGAATAATGTCATTACTAAAACCAATGATGTGCTTTATATCACCATTGTACTACAATTAGAGTTAATTTTTTATCCTTTTTAAACCCCTTAGAGGATGGTACCAGGAGCGTATTATTTGAACCATAAGGCAGCTTTGATCGAACTACAAGGGCCGCTAAGAAGTATCGATGAGTTTGGAGGAAGCATTTAAGCTAAGGGCATTGAACCTTACTAAACTAATGAATAATATCCGTTATAGATATTCTGTAGCGCCAGCTACTTCCAACAGGGTATTTAGAAACTATACGAAGCCATCCCTAGCTTTAGGCTTGTGATTTACCGTCTCGCACGATAAAATCACGGTAAATGCCTCTACCCACTTTTGCAAGAGAGTGTCTCCCGTCATACAAGGGATATAATCCAATGATCACAAAGGCGAGATAGAGCCAAAAAATGGAAACCGTAGTCCAGCCCTTAAAGAACGCTTTACTCCAGATCCAGTCTCTGTACAATGGCATTGGCCAAACAACCCAAGTCAACAAAAACACAAACACCACGGCGAACCGAGATATCTTGATGTAGAAATTGAGTTTCTTCTGCTTGCTGGTTTCAGCACCTTCAAAGCTATTCTCAAAGGATGAGTGTCCTGCCGGGGTTTCGGGATCCAGAGCAGTATAAACGACTTGCTCATTCTTTTCGTTACTGGCTGTTTCCAGGACAAATCTACTCTCTTCTAGAGACTCTTCGGGATCCACGACAATAATTTCAGCCTTTTTGAACTCATCCCAGTCAAATTTGTATGGGTTGATGGTTAAACTGATGACAACACTAGCAATCCCCGGCAAAATGATAGAAGTCAACCCGCCAAAGAGACAAGGAAGTTGCTGGCCAGTGGTGAAAATGGTAACCGCCCCAAAATAGTGGTATGCGGTAGACAACCAGACGGCAATGCCAGCCAACATGCCAACGATAGGGGCGACAAAGAATGCCAACCTGGTCTGGCCGTCCCATGTAATCGCAAGAACCAAGGGAATAACGCCAGGACAAATGACCATGGAGTAGAAATAGGTCATCCAGGTCATATCTGTACCAACGTAATGAAGCATGACAGAGAACCCGGCAGAGAAGAGACCAAAGAACACAACCCCGAGGTGCGAGACGTTAATCAAGTGCTTATTGTTGGCATCTGGCTTAATGTATTTCTTGTAGATGTCAAAGGAGATGATACTACTGACAGAAATCATTTGAGCACTCGTGGTGGAGGTGACGGCAAGGTATACAACCAACAAAACAGCCCCAAGAGCACGGTCACCCAAAAGAGCCTTCAAAGTGTAAGGGAGAACAAAGCCACTGTTGACTTCGTGGGCAGTCATGAGTCTTGGGTAGGTTGGGAAGATTGAAGTACTTTCGAGGACAATTCCGGCTAACCCGATAATGGTGCCGATTGGCCATACATTGGCAAAGATAGTACCTGCAGCAAGAAGGTAGCCAGGAACGGAAGCATCGAGGTCGGCACTGAAGCTCTTCTGCCAGAAGGAAGAATCCATGACCGTGAGCCCCGTGTTGCCTATACTGAGAATAATCCCAAAGAACACGGCACCCTGGGACTTTCCAGTCATGAAAGAGCCCTGGAAGTTTCCTTTAACGTATCTATCGGCGTCATGAGCTATGACCTTATCGTACAAGCCACCCATGCCACCGATTTCTGGGGATGTCAAGACCGAGGTAGCGGCATAACACATGACAACTAACACCACGAATGAATGAACGTAATCGGTCAAGAAAGTGGACTTGAGACCCCCAACGGTGGTGTACAACAACACACCGAAAGGAATGAGCATGGTGCAGGCAACAATGTGCATGTTACCAGCGATAACTGAAATGGCACCGGCAGCGGCCAAAATCATCGATGAACACGATAAGATGTTGTTCACAAGACAAAGGAACAAGTACAAGAGGTGACAAGCCTTGCCATATCTTAACTGCACGATTTCCAAACACGTGTGACTGGCCGGGATCTTCTTCTTGGCTTCAATTCCCAACAAGGACATAAGACAGATCTGGAAACACAATCCCACCCCAAACCAGAAGGAGGCCATTACACCGTAATTGAACACCATGGTGGTGACCATGAGAAACTCAGTACTCCAGGTCCAGCTGGAGTACACTGCACTTGCAGTCAACCCCACGCCGACCCTCCTGCCGGCCACCATAAACATTTCGGTGGACTGAGAGTTTTCATTCAAATATCTGGAGGACAATTTTGTCGCAACGACAATCCCAAGGGCAAACAACCCCCCCACTCCAACAAGAACCCCGTAACCCGAAGCTTGTCCTAATAGTTTCACAGTTTCTGACATTTGAGTTCTTTAAAATTGATTTTGGAGAGCTGTAGTAAGCGGTTTATTATTTGGTTACTCGGCGTCCAAGGTAGGGTGGAGAATCTTAATATAAAATAATTAAATCTACCGTAATGCTAAAAGAGGGGTTGAAATCGCTTTATATAAATGGGCAGACCATGGAAGCCAGGGATAACTGACAACCAACTCAATAAAACTTTACCCAGTATTTGGACGAGCATTGGTGTGAAATTACGAGGATGAACTATCGATGTTTGATGCAAGCAGTAAGTTTCCTGTGCACTTAAAACGGGATTACGGTTAAAATTTCACACTGTGGAGGTGTGGCTGAGAGCTTATGCTTACACGGACGGAACGTTGCAATCTTAAAGTGATGTAATTGTGAGTGTGCATTGATGCACAGAACCGAACCATTTATTCAATAAAATAGTTGAGTAGCATTTATTTTATAATTATTTATCATAGAGAGATGGAATATATTAGTATATAGATAAAAACTATGAGATGATTGTTTTCGGGATGAGTGGAGGGGGATACTACGGCCTTGCGTGGTTCCCTGGTGCCGGTGCTCTGAGAATTCCGTTCCCACCCTCGTTGTGTAAATGTACAACCATAGATTAGAGGCCAAGAGAAAACTATACTTGCTTTTGCAACAACGATATGCATACCAATACCAGACATATCTCAGCGAGAGCTACTATATGCGTAACTGTAGTTTGCTCGGGATTTTCATAAGCGAATTATATCTTGCATGTGAACTTATAGCGATGATGTGATTCAGACTGAACCATGCATCGTAGCTTCAGATGCAGGTTGTTACAGATATGCTGCAAAATTACTTCTGGCTAGGCCTAGAAGAAATATGTTGTGTAACTACATAAATTCCTAGCGTTCTCAAACCTTGTTGCCAGACGGGAGTTTGTCACCGGTCTTGGATCAAGGGGTGAAGGTTTATTCTATGGTCGAGCTAACTTTATCATGGTGCACAAACTGCGTAAAACTCAAGCTGACGACGAACATGCGCCTCCAGTGACTACTTTTAGACTAAGCTGTAGAGGCGGGATCTAAAGAGAAAAATACACTTTCGCTGATTAGGATTTCTGAATATATTTCTTGACAAGCACCAAGGGTCAGATTTCGGAAAAAAACTCAACAGGGATTGTTTAACCGTTATACCGAGAGGCCTGTATCACTGAGGTCAATGTTGGTATGGAAAATACCAAATAATCTTGAATAAATCCATGCGATACCTTTAGGAACTCAGCTTTCAACGCTATGTACGATTACACAAGCGTTCTAATTTTCAGTACCTCGAAATGTGCCAGCCCGTCTAAGATCAATTCCTTCTGCTTATCCTCAGTATTGAAGAAGTCCCTTAGCTGTAATACAGGCAAATAACACTACAGTGGACAAAATACAATTATATATACCAGGTGTGAAAGTCTGGACGATTTCTCGAGGAAGAGAAGTCCATCACAGGAGCCATCTTAAGATCAACTGGTAGTTGTCATGCAGTTGATTCAGCCTTTCAATTGAATAGGATTAAACCTCAATAATCCAATGTTACCTCAAAACAGAACCTCAGAGATTTCAGCTATAACAGCTCAGTGCACAGGTTATAAGCCACCTTTATAACGAGGTGCGTTATGTATCCGGCATGCACCTTAACGTTTCTTTTCATTTGAAAAATTTGGTTAAGTGTGGAGTGTCATTTTATTTTCCAATTTACGGTCCAAAAGACGAGCCATGTTTGAAGAAATCTCAGCGCCAGTGGAAGGTGTTACTGAAAAAGTTGTTCTTAAAGAGACCAAACCACCATTGGACAGTCGTATCGGTAAAGATGCGCCGTTCCAGTTTGGCCAGAGAGTACTCGCCGATGATAATGATGTGTGGAACCACAACGCCTGGGATCACGCCGAATGGGGTGAAGAGCAAAAGGTGGAGGCAGAGACTCTCATTTCCAAGCAATATGAGAATCCGGTTGAGGAGTTTGACAAGAAGTTGTACAACGGCAACCCGGCCAAGTACTGGGACATCTTCTACAAGAACAACAAGGAAAACTTTTTCAAAGACCGTAAATGGTTGCAGATCGAGTTTCCAGTGCTCTACGAGGCCACCAAGGCGGATGCCCCGCCTGTGACCATCTTGGAAATTGGATGTGGTGCGGGTAACACCATGTTCCCCGTCATGAGCCAGAACGAAAACCCCAACTTTCGCATTATCGGCGCTGATTACTCCAAGAACGCGGTCCAGTTAGTCAAGAACAGTGCCAGCTATAACCCAGAGATTGCCCATGCATGTGTGTGGGATCTTTCCAACGAGAACTTGGAGTTGCCAGAAACCGTCGAGCCAGAGTCCGTGGATATCATTATCATGGTCTTTGTGTTCTCCGCCTTGGCCCCAGAACAATGGGTCCACGCCGTCAACAACTTGCAGAAAATTTTAAAGCCGGGCGGTCAGATCTTATTTAGGGATTACGGGAGATACGACTTGGCGCAGGTTCGATTCAAGAAGGGGAGATTGTTAGACGACAACTTCTACATCAGAGGTGACGGTACCAGGGTGTACTTCTTTACCGAAGAAGAGTTGAGGGACATTTTCGGCAAGTTTTTCCAGGAGGAGCGGGTCGCTACCGATAGACGTTTGTTGGTCAACAGAAAGAAGCAGTTGAAAATGTACCGTATTTGGATGCAAGCTGTCTTTAAAAAGCCGCTTGAAAACTAGGACCTCAGGATTTATTTGTACAATAGAGCCCTAATAGCTGCACAATAGACATATAACGGGCTGTTTGTAGAGAAACAAAAAATACCCGCCTGTATGTCATTCCCTGGAATCGTAGGTGGGTGAAGTGCCGGCTATGGTGCCTCTCTTCTCAAACCAAGCCAACATACTGGATCTCGAATAATTCATCTCAATACCTTATTCTCTAGTATTCAGAGCCGTTGCATTCAAAGTTCAGAACTAGAGGGAAAGCCGGCCACCCACCTTGCATGGTATGTCAGGGTCGTGCACATACCAGCGACATCCTTGCCCGTTTGCCTTTCGAAAGGCTCTCGTTGCCTCCGGATGACAAACCATCAATTGAAATACACATTTGCCTTTATCAAAGCACCCGGTTGCCACAGATACCCATCCTTACACACACAATGCCAGCAGCTAGCGAAACCACCTTCTTAGAGAAATCCGTCTCCGTGGCGCCATTGGTGTTGTTATCGGTGGTCGACCACTACAACAGATCTGCGCAAAACACCAAGAAGCGAGTCTTGGGGGTGATCCTCGGGGATAACTCCGACCCAAACAACATTCGGGTGGCCAACAGTTATGCCATTCCGTTCGAAGAAGACGAAAAGAGCCCGGAAGTGTGGTTTTTGGACCACAACTACATCGAGTCCATGGGCGAGATGTTTAAAAAGATTAATGCGAAGGAAAAGTTCATTGGGTGGTACCACTCAGGACCTAAGTTGCGGGCATCCGATTTGAAGATTAACGATTTGTTCAAGAAGTACACACCAAACCCATTGTTGTTGATTGTGGACGTCAAGACCAAAGACGTGGGGATTCCTACTGACGCTTATATCGCCGTCGAGGAGATCAAGGACGATGGCACTAGCGCCGAGAAGACGTTTGTGCACATTCCGTCGTTAATCCAAGCCGAGGAGGCCGAGGAGATCGGGGTGGAACACTTGTTGAGAGACATCAGAGACCAGGCCGCCGGGAACTTGTCCATCAGAATCACCAACCAGTTGTCATCGTTACAGGGCTTGCACCAGCGGTTGAGAGACATAACTAGTTACCTTGAGAAGGTCTATCAGAACGATTTGCCGGTTAACCACGCCATTTTGGGGAAGTTGCAGGACATCTTCAATTTGTTGCCGAACTTAGCGACCCCAAAATCAGTGGAGAACGCCCAGGAGTTGCATGAAAACACTCCGCTCGCCACCGCCTACACTGTCAAGACTAATGACGAATTGATGATGGTGTACATCTCCACTCTCATCAGATCAATCATCGCGTTCCACGACTTGATTGAGAACAAGATTGAAAACAAGAAGCTGAACGAGGCCAGCAAGAAGGGCGAGGAGGAGGCCATTGAGAAGGAGGAGGAAGCCGAAGAAGCCAAGGATGAAAAGTAGAAGTTATTACAGAATATTAAAGGATCTAATTAGGATCGTTGCAACCGCAATGCGTAGAGTCGGAAAAATGCATGTGAAACGCAGCCTTCGGAGAAGGAGCACTGGAGCCTGCGAAATTTATTAAGTCTCAGTCAAGTAGTTACTCCTATTGAACTTTCAGTCGAGGGATACAATCCCAGTCTAGTACAATCCCAATTAATTCCTACATGAGAAAAAAGTATTTTAACAGCGACATTTAGATAGACCTAGTGAACGATGAAAATACAATGTTCAAACAATTAGCACTTTTAATTCCGCCGCTGTGATCGAAACCTAGTCAGCTAGAACAGTAAGATTAGCATATACTAAAGTTTCCACTTATAGTCCGGGTTATCCAAAATATGCGCATTCTCTGCTGGATTGAAGCACCCGTTCACGTATTTCGCCTTTTCTCAACCTCCATATTATCTTTCACCCCCATCTCTCTTGTAATTACGCCAGTGGCGCATGACGCCACGCTCATAACCTCCAGGCATTTTTTTCCTACACCGATGAGATTTGAAATAAACGCCAATAACATCGTTGCTCCAATCTCCAAGAATATTACGTACGTGCCTACACTTCAACCAGAGAGCAACTGCCAACACCACCAGTGCACAATGATGTTACCCAGAGCGCCGTACTTGACGCTAAGCAGGAGGTTGGTCTGGAGCAAGGGGCCGCTCATATCCAAGTCCGCGATGCCGAATCTCGGCGTGTTTTCCGTGTCGTCCAACTGGAGCGCCGCGTACTCCACGCCAAAGGCCGAGATGAGCAAGACTCCAGACGAATCATATATGAACGAAGTGGCAAAGAAGGTGTTGAGCTGCAGTAGCACCAAAACTCCGTTTGTCGTCACACCGGTGGATAGAACTAAAAGGACAGAAAAGCCAGGGGCCAAGTCATGGATGAGCAAGGATGAGCTCAGAAAGATCGCACACCCGTACTGGGTGCTCACAAAGCCGCGGCTCACGGCGCTCGTTATGTTGAGCTCCATCTGCAGTTATGCGTTGTCACCGTGTACGGTAACCTTACCAGAACTCCTCTTTCTCACTGTCGGGACAACCTTGGCGTCCGGAGCGGCGAACGCAATTAATATGGGCCGTGAACCGGAATTTGACGGTAAAATGACCAGAACCATGGCCAGACCGGTGGTCAGAGGCTTGGTTTCACCCGCCAATGCGTTTAGATACGCTGCGGTTTCCGGTACGCTTGGTGTCTCCCTCTTGTACTTCGGAGTCAACCCCACCGTGGCAGCGCTCGGTGGGCTCAACATCATCTTGTACTCCTGGATATACACTTCTTTGAAGAGACGTCATATCATCAACACATGGGTGGGCGCGCTTGTGGGAGCCATTCCGCCATTGATGGGCTGGGCCGCATCCTCGTCATTGGCCCATCCCGGTGCCTGGGTGCTCGCAGGTTTGTTGTACGCGTGGCAGTTCCCCCACTTCAACGCCTTGAGCCACAACGTCAGAGAGGAGTACCACAAGGCGGGGTACAAGATGGCTGCCTACGAAAACCCGACGTTGAACGCCCGAGTTGGTTTCAGATACGCCTTGTTGATGTTCCCGTTGTGTTTTGGCTTGAGCTACTACGAAGTCTGCGACTGGGTCTTTCCCTTTGATTCGGCGCTCTTGAATGGCTGGTTGGCCTTCTGGGCGTACAAGTTCTGGTGGCAGCAGAAGCAAAATTATGCCAAGGGTAGCCCTACCGCCGAAGGTATGCAATTGGCTAACATTTATGCTAAGAAGATGTTCTGGGGGTCTGTCTGGCACTTGCCAGGCATTTTAGTGCTTGCCATGTTACACAAGAAGGGCCAGTGGGATAGATTCTTGGACTTTGGGGGCAACAAGGATAGGCTCCAACCCGCATAGATTCCTGTACATAGTCATGAATAGAACAGTTACATCAATAGGGCGCAGGGCCCATCAATATCAGGTTTACTGGAGTTTACCTAAACTATTAATAAAGATAGAAACTTGGTTTTATACAAGTAGTAGGTAATATTGTTAATTTTTTTTTTTTTTTTTTTTTTTTCACTATTTCAGGCTTTAACTGATACGCCAGAGTTAAATTAGAGAACTGCATAAAAACCTATTGCCCATACTAGGGCCCTGTATCTCACCTAAAAAAAGATTTTTTCCTGCTCAAAGAATCAAATAAAAGTGCAACTCCCTGAATAAACCAGATGAATTAATGTTTCTGGAAATTAGGTAGCCAATGAAAGCCATCAGTCTTTGTCTCAGCCCTTTTACCGCTTGAACCTGGCCGTCTTATCAATGTCCTGCACGAATTTGCAACATAAAGCCGAAAGGGCTTCCTTCTCTCCGTTGCCATCAACAACCAATGAATCCATGTCTGATACAAAGTCTCTAATCACCAGAAACATCTGGGAATCATTTGTTAAAGTGGAAATCACGTTGGATATTCCACACATGGTACACGAGACGTACTACGGTACACTTCACCGAAACTCTTATTTACCGCTTCAGTTTTCCAAGCTCTACGAGTACTTCAAGTACTGCCTTGATGAAACCCACCTATCAAACTTTGACCAGTGGTGGATAGAACATGATCTGATACCTTTGAAATGGCACTTGCCTATCGGCCTCATCTACGATATCTGCCTGCCACAGCGCACCGGTACATGGCACCTCAGTCTCCGGGTGGACAAGTTTCCCGCAGACTCAATTATCCCGTACCAGAATCTTGAGCACGGAACAGAAATTTGGACAAAAGCAGTGGAAAATATTTGGTTGAATCAGATCAAGGAATCGTGCTTTGTTCAGTGCGGCTCCGCCAAGCCCATCATGAGTTTGTCCAAAGAAGACTCTACCGCCTTCTGGGAGGCCGTCACAGCGCGTATGTAAATGTTTTGAAGCTGTCAAACTAATCACTAACATTTCAGATAACCTCGATGGTTACAAGGCGATTGAGAAGAAAATCACCCCTTCTTTGTCCAATATAAGAAACATTCCCCTCAAGCTCTACATACAGCAGGCAAACGACGTTATAGATATCGAGGAAGACATAGAAGTTATCCAAGCGCCTGTTTCACCCTTTCAGAGTAGTGGGGCCAGTCAGACAATGTTCTCCGCGCTAGCCTCAGTCATACCGGAGCTATTTCCCCGCCATGACCCCCCTAGATACACGTTCGCGGTGCCCTCTATCCACGCTGCTATCATCCCAGAAGATGCTATACTCGCCGAGCTCTATTCTGTAGGGAGTTATCTCGATGGTTTTTTGCACATCTTGATAGAAGGGGAGAAAACCATAGACAGGAGGGAGGAAGGGGGAGAAATAAATTAAGCGGAACTAAATCTTTGATAGACACTCAGCTCGCAATTGATACCTCTGGACTATGCATAGTATATAATACACCACTCTCTCACTCGTCAAGACTTGTTTCCCCGTGCTCAATCTCGGGTCGCAAAAATGCCAAAGCGTATAGCACGCAAATCGAGTTACCATGTGGCCTTGTCTCAACCCCATGGCTTACGCTATTTTTCTACACGGATTCCATATTAGATATTCATTACGTAAATATTAGGTGGGCTGTTCGAGAGGTGCATGTGTACATAAATGCCACATGTTATTAGGTCGAACTTGACCCTAACCACAGGTGTTTTAGAAGGGCGCTGGATAGCAAAAAAAAAGGCACAAGCGATGATACCAATAATATTCATGGAGACAGTTATAGGAAAGGGCTCCGGTTCGCCTGTGTTGGAAATTAGAGAACCTTGTCAACCACGTAGAGGGCAGTGATTGACAATCAGCACACCGCTTAGTGGTATCAATAACTTATTGTGTCTTCTTGTGGTAGACAGAAGTAATGTTGGTGTCAAAGACGTTGTCCCAGAAGTTACTAGTAACACCGAAACCCAATTCGTAGTTCTTGTAGTGATGCTCCAAGTGGTACTTCTTGACTCTCTGCAAGTAGCCCGGCAACTTAGAGTGGTGCAACAAGTAGTGGATGACATCATACATGATGTAGCCTAAAAAGCCACCTGCAAACCCGGAGCAGGCGAATCTGTATGGCAAGAGCATAAAGACAAGCTTATAGATCGGAGTAGCAAGGGCAATCAACATGGCTGGTGGCATGACTAATCTGTAGCCATCCATTGGTAAGTAGTGGTGGACACCATGCATAGTGAAATGGATGGTGAGAGCAAGCGGGTGGTCTGGCAAATAGTGGTCCAAGTGGAAAAGGAAACGGTGCAAGCCATATTCAAGCAAGGTCCAGACAAACAAACCGACACCCCACCAGAACAAATGAAGAAGGGGGTGGGAGTTGTGGATCCAACCTTGATAGAAGAAGTATCCATCGACTGGGAGCCAGAGCATTGGCACGACCCACCATGCAGTCTTGGAGAAGGGTTCTAAGTAATTGCCGAAAAATACTGCGTCACCCTTACCGTAATGGCGAGGTCTATGGACTTGGTCAAGATAAAAGTCCTTGGAGAAGTCGCAGAACAACATTTGGAAGAACAACGGCTTGTTCAAGTCAAGAAACTTGTGCTTTTTCAAGTCAGAATCGTAGTCGGTCTTGACATTCAACAATTCTTCCGCTGGCAATTCTTCTTGGAACTGGGTCAAGTCCAACGTGACCTCAACTGGCACGTTATTCTTGTTGTGAAGCAAGTTTTTTTCTTCTTCGTCAGTAGCAAGGTAGCCCACCATGTAGGCGTCGTCCAAAATTTCGTAGGCACTTTCAGAGTGTTCGTGGGAAATCTCGTCAGCCATGATGGCGGTAATGTCCTTACCGGCGTACTCCAAAATGAGGTCGGCGCCGCCAGGATGGTCTTCGAGGAAGTCGGCGACATTGTAGATCTTTCTGTTGTTGAGCGAGACCCAGCAATCAGTCGCGGTGTTATGACTGGCTAGTTCAGAGGAGGAAAATAACGGGTAGGTTTTGGTGGCCATGATTAGTTTCAGGTAAGACCAGGAAGAGTAGGTGAGATCGTGGCTTGTTTATAAATAAACATTTCGCATGAAAATTTCGTCTTATGTTCTGCTGACGTATGAGGGGTGCCTGAAGCTACGAAAATGAAACTCCCCCAAAGAGGAACCAGGCGCAGTGGCGTGAAAAAAAACGAAAAAGCAATTCGTGCGTGTTAAGTTATCGTACCACCTGAAGCGGATGATATTTACATGAGCCATAATTTGTATTAACTTTGTTTAGATTCCACCCATTTCCATGTCATTAAACTCCTAGCATATTATATGGTAAAAAAAAGTGAAAAACGGGTGGACTAGGTATCCAGGTTATGAACACCGGATGGATTGTTGGGCCCACAGGACCCCCTCAATCCCGTTCATTGTACGTAGCCAGAGTCAATCCGAACTTTCCTAACGTTTCCTTCATGCTTTGTTTCTGTAGTGCTTATATATGCTCGATTAAACCGAAAGCGGCTGTTTCTAGGATCCATAGCATGGCTGGCCGGGCTAAGCTTTGAGATTGCACTCCCCGCATCGCTTGGTACAGATCTCAGCATAGGATTTCCTAGGAACTGGTGTCTTAATATGCAAGTCTCGCCAGTTTATCACTGCCAATGTCCGCATGTACACGTGGTATACACAGATGTGCGCTGTTATCTTTTCTCTAAACAAACACTGGTCCGAGAACTGGTTTTATAGGTTAACCCATGGTGGCGTTTTAGATATCAGGGAATTTGACACAAGAACAAATATAATGGTCCATTTAGGTATGCTCCTGGCAAGTAATGCTGGTCATTGTTAATAAACGAGCATTGCCAAGGCCAACTGATTTGTAAAAACAGAGACCATGGGTATCAAGCTAGGAACCGTAGTACAAAGGGTAGAACACCGGTGCCCCAAAAAGTTTATACATTCACTTGTTTCGTTCCTGCTACTAAATACAAATTCTTTCGTTGATTTACCAACTGGTGATCGCTACTTGCTTTAAGTAGCGGCAGATAACTTAGCTAAGAATCGGCCAAATGCTGGCTTAGAATCTTTTACTCCTTTGGTAAACCAACTAATCCTTCATGTTTTGTGCGAATCTTATCATTAACAGTATCCAATATATACAAACCCTATAAATCGGGAATGGCCTGCTCGAGACCCTCGTCAAGCTCAAGTGTCTCTGTGGGGACCTCCAAGATGGTGTCCTGGTCCGCTTCCTCGCCTAGATTGGTAAAGAGCGGCTGGTCACCATCTAAAGTCTCGGAGCCGTCAGACTGCAGCAAGTACAACGTGTGGTTGACTAAGTTCAAGTAGGCGTACATGAAATTGGAGAGAAGCACCTGTTCGCGCAAGGACCGCTTCGGATTGGCGAGCTTCAAATGAGATAAGCGGTAAATTGCGCGCTCCACGTGGACCGGGAAGCGGTAGTCCAACATGATGAGCGTTGACTGTGATGGTGGCGGCAACGGGAAGCCAAACGCCGAGTCGGTGAACTCAATCGGCTGGTTGGGACGCGAATAACGCTTGATCTGCTTTTGTAACTGTTCCTGGATCGTCTGGGTGGATACGGCTGGTGCCACCGCTTCCTCTTCGGTCTCCGGCTCGGTCTGGCTCTTGGGTGAGACCTTCGCCGGTTCCTCATTCACCGACTTGACAGACTTTTTAGAGAGCTTCCGCACCAGCTTCTCCTCAGAGGTTGTGGCTTTGGACTCCTCAAACAGTGGCGAGGCCGGGACCAACGACCTCTTGGACTTTTTCTTGCTCAAAAATATGTTGAGCCCCGTCTTTTTCTTCGGGCTCTTCGTGACGGAGTCATCCGAGCTGGCAGGTGGAGTTGCCAGCTGCGCCGGTTTCTTTTCCTTCTTTATTTTAAAGAACTTGGCAATGGCATTCTCCGGCTTTTCCTCTGCGATGACGTCTGCCTCCCTGGTGGTTGGCTTAGGTGACGCATCCAAGGACGTACTTCGCGCCCCCTTAACTATGTTTAACTCTTCTGACGACATTGCGTTATTGCGTTGTCTGGAATGGTTGCCCGCGACCACAGATGCCGATGCGGCACGTTTCAGAAGGCTTGGTAGAGGTGGGACCGGCTCCTTGGACGCGGAAACCTTGCTGTTGAGCCAGGTCCACGACTTTTTGCTCTTGAGCTTTGGAGTTTTGTCGTCCGACTTGGTGAGCAAGCCAAACGACTTCTTCTTCTTGAGCTTTTTCAAGTCAGCAGAAGGCGCCGGAATAGTTTCCGATAATGATTGGGTGGGGGTTTTAGCCTCAGCAAATGTTGATTGGGTGGGGGTCATAGCCTCACCAAACGTTGATTGGGTGGGGGTCATAACCTCACCATACGCTGATTGCGTAGGAGTTTTAGCTCCCAGAAATGTTGCTTGAGTGGGCGTGGTGACCATACCGTCCGAAGGTTGGTAGTCCAACGACTGCTTTTTCGCTATAGGTGCTAACTTTGATGCAGTCACATCGTTGTAGGACTTTGAGCCTTTCATCGTCACCGGGACATCAGACTTTGACGTAGTCTTCTGTGGTGAAATGGGCTCCAAGACTGGCGCAGTGGTATTGGAGCTGTATCCTATCTTGCCACCGCTCAGCGCCCGATGGGTGTCCAGATCGCTGTATCCTTTGGTGACACCCATGATTTTATCGGTGGCACCGTTGGCAATGCCCATGAGAGGCAACCTATCCGTGCTAGAATACGCAAGGTTGGCCACTTCGTCATCACTGCTGTAGTCGGCATTGTGTCCGAACGCCTCGTCCTCCAGAGAGTCATCAATCCCAGAGTCGTGGAGCGTTTCGACCGTTCTGATATCCGCTAGCAAGTCCTCCTCGTCTACCTTTTCGTCGCGGATGTTGTTTTTGTACTCGTTCAACTCGTTCTTTAAGAGATCCAAGTCATTGTTTAAGTCTCGCTTGAAAACTTGGCGCTCAGCCGTGGTTTGCCCGTACTGCTGCTGGAAATGCTTGCGCTGGTAGTAGTTTGTTCGTTCTTCGGCTGGGGGTGATGTCGCACGCTGTGGTGTTACCGGACGCTGCAGCTGGGGTGGCTGCGAGCGGACATAATCATCGCCGGGACCTTGAGAGCGGCCATACTGATCGCCAGGAGTTCCCTGTGCACGTGAACGCCTATAGTTGTGATCATTGGGAGCGCGCTGCTGCTGTGGTCTTAGTTGGGGAGTACGGCCCTCCTGCGGCATACGATCGTGAGTGTACTGTCTGTAGCCCTGCAGAGGAAAAGAAGATGCCTGCTGGGCCTGGGGATGCTGTTGGTAATTCTGCTTATATGTATGCGAGTGCTGGGAACGGCCGGCCTTTGATCGGTTCTGGAAATTCAATTCATCTTGCAGCCCATACTGGTTCTGACGGCCTTGCTGATTCGGCCTTTGCCTCTGGTACTCCTTGGGCCAGATCTTGCGAGTTTCCATCTGTGGGACCAACGAGTACGGATCGTTCTGTATGGTTTGCCTCAAGTCGTTTAACTTACCCGGTTTTTCCGTGATCTTGGTCCGTCTGTTTGGTCTGCGAGAGACGTTTCCGTGCTCATCTACATCGCGTCGCTGGCCTCGGTATGCGTTCCCCGGCTGGGAGATGTTCTGCTCATACTCCGGGTACTGGTTCATGTCGTTCATCGCCTGCTTCTCGACTTTGGTGTAGCCTGTGGAGCTGCTTGACAAGGTCCGAGCGAGGGTGACGGCGTCGGTGGCACCCATTCCACGGATTATGGACAAACTCTCTAGCTCCACCGTCAAGTCCTTCAATGAGGGCGTGCTGTTGCGCTTGTCCTCCAGAGCGTCGAAGGACGTCTCAAAAGACATGGACGACGGCCTGGAGCGCGACTGCGACTGCATGCTGTTTTTGCGCTCGATGTTGCTCACACGCCGCTCGATATCCTTGATATTGTTAGCAAGATGGGCCTTGTACTTGCTCGGCGATAGCTGGGGATGGGCACTCGCGGGCACCCACATAGAGTTGTCTGTATCTATGACCGTGTCGCCCTCACCGCTGGCCTCAAACTCGTACGGGTACTCCATTTTGGGCGTTGCGGGAAACGCGTCCTCAAAAGGTAGGTCTGGGTCGCGGTAACTTCCCCCGATGGATAGTCTCTTTAACGCCGTCACCATTTGCATCTCCTGTTCAATCTCAATTGCCGCTTGGTGGACCGCCTGGCTGCGGTCCCTAATAGAATCCATGGTGTTGTAAGGAGTGTTAGGTGTTACCGAGGGTATCAGGTAACAAATCAGATCAGCATAAGGTGGTTATAGCCTTGCGCGATGTTCATTTCACGCTTGAGACCTGCTGAGCAATACACGCCCATGTATGCAGACTGCCACATTGGGTAATAACCCACAGAAACCGTCATACGTGGCGGTCACCAGGTTGGTGAGATTTCGGGTCTGCTTGGCTATTATTGTTATTTTTGTGATGGGCAATAAGACATTTATTTTGTAGTTTTATTTTTGTCCGGTTCTTTTTTTGTTTAATGAGCCTGGTGGTCTTGTACCTATACAATGAGCGGTTCCCATCCACCCGCTGTCACTAGCGCAGGGGCATGGTGACAAACCTATTTTATAGAAGCCACTAAATTGTTTATAAAAGCATGACAGTGGTGGCATAACGGTATTATATTTCCTTCGAGTTTGTAGCTTGCATATGGAATCAAGCCTCAGCTTCCCGGCCCTCAACCGTGAATGTCTGGGCCGTGCCGCATGTTCGTTATCAACCGGAATGTGTGCGATGATTTACGGTAGAGCACAGAAGTCGGCACACGTCATGTACAGCAGACGCGAGAGACAGAACCGACAACAAAGGCTTATGGGCTTTTCTCCTAAATAACTTAAAGGTGAGTTTTGTCAAAATTTCCTCCTTTGGACCCCTGAAAACCCGTACACTAGGTAAATGTATGTAATTAATGATTTTATGAAAACGTCTCCAAGTGCATTGAAATATTTCTGTAGTATAGGGATACCGGTACATCTTCATCCCGATGTCTCAGATATGCACGTAGCCTCACCTATAGGAATATGGACAAAATGTCTACAACATTGTTACAACGGGCACTCAGTACCACTAGGATTTTGTAAAAGGACCCCGACTTCTTCCCCTTGGTATATATTTAAACAAAAAAATCCTATTTAGCCTAATTAAGTTTCACGTACCCTGGGAGATATCATACAATTTCCTCTATTAGATTAGTGCTCCCTCACTTGCTGTGAGAGGATATAAGCCGTGCCGGAAGCCGTAAATTCCAAACACCAATAGCCCGTAATACGCATATCCCCAGCCATATTTCGGGGATACATCGTGACTGGGAAAGCTCATCAAGTTGCAGAAGCCGTGCACAACCACACAGCACCACACACTGCCCGTTCGCAAAAAGATGAAATTTGTCAACATCCCAAAGACAGACGTGTAGGCCATCTGAAAGGTGCAGATGACGGCAATTTTTCGCAAGGTTCCCCCCGCTTGGTGCATCTCCCAACCGTGGTGGAGGTGCGCCACGCCAAAGAGAAGCGGCGTGTAGACGATCATGTTCTGAAGAGTCATGTTAGCGAGCAAACAGACGTTGAGGATACACGAAGTGTACACAAGTTCCTCTGTGATCGGGGCAACGATGTGGTTTCTGACCCCAATGAGGGTGGTAAAGTTGTCGCGGAAATCTGCCATGGCATATTTCCGGTCAAAGAGCGTGTAGTCAAGAATAGGGCCAATGTACAACACTGCTAACAATAACCAACATTTGAAGACATCCCCCACCGAGGATACTAAAGACTCAAAGCCAAAGTGCAAGGATGCTCCCGGGATCAAGCCGAGTCGGGAAAATGCCTGCGGAAGCGTGTAATACGGATCCAACCAGCAGAGAACGAGTGGTACAAGAATGATATTAGCGAGTGTGACAATGGAGACACTTTTAATGCGATTTCGGATCGTCACCGGCGAATCCCGGGGGAAGTGGCTATTTCTGTTATGGAGATAGATTCCTAGCACGTATGAGACAGAAATGCCGGTGGAGAGAGCAATAGCCGTTACAGTACTGATCATTCTAGTCTGGTACTATGGGGAAGGAGCTAAGTGGGAATATATGTCTTGTTCTAGTCGGATTTGCGTAGAGGGGTGCCCAGATGTCATGTGCCCCTAAAAGTGAAACTTCAGATTTTTCGCCGCACATGCGACGGGTCTAACAGAAGCTGGTTAAACGGTCATCGAATGCGGAGAGTATGGAATTTAAAGTGTTAGGCCACTAGTGACTACATTGAAGAGGTTTTTAATCGAGCAACAGACTTAGATGTTTGGTGCACATGTGATGGTTAAGTTTTTCTGCACGCCTTAGTAAACCGTACTGAACCTACGGGTACTAGAGCTGATTAAATGCGCTTACTGCATGCATTATAAAATCATTTACATCCCGGGGAATTCAGACTGGGCGATACATAGGAGATAACAAAGAATCGATAGAGGTTCGGTTGAGAAGGGTCGCTGATTCAATAGGATCTACAGGATGTGTATTCAAATTAAGGTCAACTCTTGGTCATCGGATAGTACTAACACCGGACAGAGCCCCATTCTCATTACCAGTTTAGTCAGAAGCAAGGCATTTATTATAGTATTTGCCATTGCGGCAGATTTATAAACTGCATTTTGCTTCCGACAAAACTTGTATGAGGATAGAGCTCTGTCCATGTGTTACACTATCTACTGTTTCCCGTCCAACACCACCAAGAATCCGCCGACCAAGTGTAAACTACCGCACACAAACACCTCGACGGGACCCTCGAGAGAGCGGATAAAGTTCACGGACGTCTCAATGTCGTGAAAGATGTGCTTCCTGGCGGCCTGCTGTTTGTTTTGCTTCTCCAAATCTGCCCAGGTCTCTGCCAATGACTTCTGCACCTCCAAGCGGTCGACCGCATCCTTGGACGTGTTCATGGACACCAAATCGGCAGAATATGCACCTGACGACCAGGTCACGTTCGTAGTAAACACCACATGGTCAAACTTCACATCCGCGAGGTTGTTGTATAATCTGCCTATGAGCATGTTGGCATCTCTCGTCTGCTGGTTGAACAACAAGACACGGGACTTTGGCTTAGCCGCCAGGGCGGAAACAGCCCCAAACCACTCGGAAGAGGCGTCAATTGATTCCTTGGTGTGGGCACCGTCAACGTACCATGTGACGCCCTCCTCAACGATGGTCTGACATCTGCCCTCCCACATGGCAGTCTCCAACCCCACGGCAAACTCAATTGGCAAAACACCCCTGGAGATGGCTTCCACATCGGTTTGGCTCAAAATCTCCAACTTTTGCAAGTGAGTCGCCGCCAATTGAATCGCAAGCGACGCGTTTTGCTTCTGGAACTCCCCCGCGAGACCCAACTTCAAGCCAGTAACCGCTGGGTTCTGTCCAACGACCTGCAACTCTCCCGCGATGTTTTTTTCCGTGCCGCGTGCGCGCAACACCTGCATCGCATCCTCAGGCTGCTCGACCGTAAACGCTGGCGCGCCCTCCTTGAAGATGCCGCCCTTGTTCCACGCGATTTCCGGTAACGTTTCACCCAACATAAACACGTGATCAATCCCGAGCGCTGAAACCCCACACACCGTCGGCTTTTCTATGATATTCGTGGAATCGTACTCACCGCCCACACCCACCTCGTAGATCGCAGTATCGACCCCCTCCTTCAAAAATACGTAGAACGACAACAACGTCATGTATTTGAAATAAACTGGCTTGGAATCGCCCGCCATGTCGGGGAACCTTTCTGTATCAGACGTGGAACCCGAGAGTTTGTCCCAGACCTCGAAGAAGTACTTGGTGAACAAGTCCTCCGCGATGGGGTTACCATTAATGCGGACCCTCTCCCTGACTGATTTCAAGTGCGGCGAGGTGAACAACCCGATTTTGTTTACGCCGCGCGTGTGGTACTGCGAGAGAATTGACTGCACGAACGCGCACGTGGAGCCCTTACCCTTGGTCCCGGTGATGTGGATGATGTTCATCCGGTTAAAGTCGCTGGCGGCGTAGCCGAGACGGCGCGTCCACTCCAACATCTCCGGCATCGCCAGCGTGTTACGCTTGAGCGTGCCGGCTTTTTTGCCGGCCTCGATCGACGCAAAGTTTGTCTGCAAGGAGTTCAACGCCTTGACTGCGTCCTGGAAGCGGTTAGTAATGGCCATGGAGGGAAGGGCGGCTACGTACTTGGTAGGTGCGGGGGCGCATTTCGGAGGTCTCGGGAGCTCTCATATAAATAGAAAGGTATTGGGATTCGGCTGTCTCAAGTATGCAGCGCTGCTTGAGTGTGAACCTAAATTGAGTGAGCGGTTTATGGGTGTGTATCGCTATCAGAGAAAAATTTTGGGTGTGCAGTACCGAGCGCGAGTCGGGGAAGCGCGAAGCACAGTGGAGCTAAACGAGGTGCGGCGTTGACCGGATTTTAATGCCCACAAACTCAGAACGTTATCTCTAATCCAGTAGAATAATAATGTGATAGAAATCAGAGTTGGCAACGACCAGCTCAAGTTTATCCTACAATAACAGCTAAATTCATTGGCGGCACTACGGCTAGCTTCGAAGTTGTTTGAGAGATCACTTTGGCGCGGGATTAGTCAGATACAGTAACTTCTGGAAATTAAGTCTTGAGAACTTTGAGGAAACACCTGGTTAATCCTGATCCTTCCTGAGGATTAGCAGTGTAGCAGGAAATAAATAACAGTGGAGAATATATTGGAGGAGCCGGGGTAATATACATGCTCGATCACTAGTTAGCAATGCTAATTAACTGCACGTGAGTGATACGCACCTGCTCAATGTATAAGACAGAGTCAAGGAAAGATCGATGTAGACCAGGGTTTACGTTTCTGGATTGGTATTTTACAGGGAACTGGATTTTATCAAGAATTAAGCGATGACACCGCTAAATAGATAATTTTTGTAGGATTTGGAAGGAGAGAGTAACTTATATTTGACATGTACAATAAATTTCGATGCATTAGGCTCTGTATGGTCGTGACACAGAAGCAGTTTCCTTATTCAAAGACTCAGTGGTACGGTAGGGTTGTACCCTCAGAGAATCTGCTTAACCGCAGTTTGAGTGGTTCAGAACCACTTCTCCATTTCCTTTGTACAGAAAGAGCTCTCCCTTCTAACCGAGGGTTCCTTTTCCTGCTGGTAAAATGGAATATAAATTTTTTGGAACCTTTAACATACTTTCCTGTTATCAATAGTGGCATCAAAACGAGTGTTTCGGGAACCTTGGTATCCAGTCCAATAACCTCCCAGACTTTAAGTCTGCTAGGGTATAGAGCAAATTACATCCCTCCGTTTTTTCTATATTTAGAGATGCCTGCCGTCTATTTCGTCTCTCGTGCCCTGCCTGTGGCATAAGGCATGGAGGACGTCACACAGTAACTACCTGCTTCTCCTTGTTGACCAGCACAGGGCATACATATCTTCTGCAACCGTACCGTAGAATTGTGACGCCCACCATATTCCTAACGATTCATATTTATCCACCTTCCAGAGTAATGCTGTCAGAGCATCCCAACCCTCCTACCATAAGTCTCTAACACACGCGCCGCATCTCTAATTTGCACTAACCCTCACCGCCACTCTTCTGCGCCACTCGTGCCTCGCTTTCCTGTACCTTCATAAAAGCGCAGCTCCTTCTTCGCCTCTCCCCATTCCCCCCTCCGAGACCCTAACTATGTCGTACCCCAATCGGTCGGCTCAAAATGCACAAGCACAGGTAGGTACCATAATTCTCCATTCTGCTCTGTACTAACTGTCTAGCGCGCCCATGACTTCAACCAGCTCTTTGCCCAGATCACCGCGGCGGAGGTCAAAGAGATCGGCAACTACCGCATCAACCGTCTCATCGGTGAAGGGAGCTTTGGAAAGGTCTATCTAGCGACGCACAAGCTCCTCCACGTGAAGGTGGTGCTCAAGTCAGGGTCGAAGGACGACCCCACCGTCGCGCGCGAGGTGTTCTTCCAGCGTGAATTGAGCCACCGGCATATCGTGCGGTTGTACGAGTCTATTGTAACTGAGTCGCTGGTCTGGATGGTCATGGAGTACTGCCCCGGTGGCGAGCTCTTTGACTTGGTTTACAGCCGCAGTCTCGACCTCCTGGAGTCGGCGCGGCTTTTCGCCCAGATCTGTACCGGTGTCGCGTATGTCCACGCCCAGAGCTTGAGCCACCGCGACTTGAAGCTAGAGAACATTCTCCTTACGCGCGAGCACGATGTAAAGCTTTCAGACTTTGGGTTTGTGCGTGAGTACCAGCCCAAAGCGCTTTTGAAGACTATCTGTGGCACAGACGTGTATATGGCACCAGAGTTACTCCGCGATGAGCGGTACTCCGGGTTTGCTGTGGATATCTGGAGCTTGGGCGTTGTTTTATACACGTTGGTGTACGGCCACGCGCCGTTTGAGGACGATGCATCGCGGCAAGCACGCACTAAGATCTTGCACGACGAGCCCGACTATGACGACTCCGTTCCCGAGGGGGTCAACAGTTTGCTAGCGCGGCTTTTGAATAAGGACGCTAAGAAGCGGCCTACTATCCAAGAAATAGCGGCCGATCCGTTTGTTAACGCAACGTTGGGCCTGGAGCCCTCTCTTCCGTTCCAGTCGCGTGCGGAGCGCCACTTGCTCAAAAAGCTAAAGGCGGCGCACATGGACACCACAAGATTGGTCAATTCCGTCACCCACAACAAGTGCGACCAGTTCGCGGGCTTCTGGTTCCTCTCTCTTGAGAAGGACCACAAGCGACGGAACAAGAGCCGCAAGACCAAAGGACGAGGGTTGTTGAGTGGGGGGAACAGCCGACGGGTCAGTGCGTTGATGGAGAACCAATCGCTTGAAAGAATCATGAGTGCGTTCAGCCTGCAAAGCCGCAGTCGCAGAGCCAGTGCTGACATGGGCCGAGGCGATATAAAGCCACTTCTGAGGCGACCTTCATTCAATGCCGAAGCATTGAGCAAAATTGAGGGCACTCCCCGTATCAACCGTCCCCCTGTAATTGAGCCCACCATAGAGAGCATCGATTTGCGGCGGAAGCAAATCACGTTTTCGGAGAAAAGGGAACACTGGAGGGAGGCGGAAACCGAGAAGAAATTGTATCGTAAGGACACAAATGAGTCAGTTAGTACGGAAAAGAAGAAGAAACCTTCGCTCTTCAACAAACTTTCCATGCGGTTCTGGATCGATAAGGTTAAGAAGTCCGAGCCCCATGAGGAGTCCTCGGAGACCACGGCTGAGGATTCCTTATGCACGTTGAACGACTCGGTCGAAGACCGCAAAGTCTCGCCCGCCTCCAGCCACAAGTCTCGCAAGAAGAGTGACCCGTCGGTGGCAACGCAAGGGCCACTGGTGGCAACGCTTTTGAGTGCGCCGGTACTAACCCCCACGGTGCTAACCCCCACATCTGAGTTTGTATCCAGTGATTCAGATGAATGCACAAGACGGCGGAGCACGCTCCTGAATCAAGGCTCCCCGCAAGCGGTGCAAACGCGCAGACCTGTTTCGATGGCTTCCATGACGTCTCAGGTCACGTCTTTCTCCGAAACCTCGGACTACGGGTCGTCGGTGAACATAGAAGGACAGCAGAGCCGGCCGCATTTCTTACGAACCCAGTCTGACCTCTCCATTTCTACCTCGTTGAGTAATTATGCCAATTTGAACTCTGTTACACCGCTCAAGCTGCAACGAGCGTCCCTTTCACTTATTTCGAATTCGTCGAACAACTCCGAGACCTCGTCCTTGATATCTTCGTCTAACAACAATAGCAGGCCCCATTCGCCTGATACATTCAAGAAGTTCACCGTCCCGTCGCCCGCCGGCCACAAGCGGCGCAACAATATATACAACGAGTCGCTTCCAAGGCAGCTTCAGCAGAAGTTACACCTCAGCTCCAAGCACCTGAGCTCCAAGCGGTCCCGCAAGCGCTCAGTGGAGCCGGGACCAGCAAAGAAGAACTTGATTATTAGCGAGGAAGCTGAGAGTGATTTAGAGGATTAGAGAGGAATCCGACGCTTGAAAGGCAACCTTTGTAGAATATAAAGGGATAATGCTGAATACGCAAATTTTCCCACCCTACTTGTGTACGCGTTGATACATGGTCATGTCATAAATGCAAGTTGCCTCTAGATCTTAATGACTCACTACAGAATTTCAGAATTGACCCGACATGATAGTAAAAGAACATTGGTTTGTAGACCTTAATGGGTGTTTCAAAATAATTTATCGATATCGTGGAGAGTAATCGTACGCTAATCGCTATGCAAGTGAGGTTAGCCCATACAGAGTGCAATATAAATCATAAGCGGTATGTTGAAAATTAGTTTTTCATACCATTGGTTAAGCATTCATCTTTATGGGTCTAAAGCAGGGTTAGCCTAAAGCGACATGGAAACCTAGGCCAATTTCCTTGTACAAGCCGTGGCCTCAATCCAAGTCCTCAACATCACGGGGAAGAGGAACACCTATTCCTTGGAACATAGTGGCACCCGGACCGGATATACCCCCATCTGCCTTGATGGATTTGACTAGATTCGCCAAGGACGAAAGCATGTCATTCTCACCTGTCTCTGAGCCTAAATCAGCATCATAAACTTCATAGTCCTCTTCGCTAGAAGCGTAATCGCTTTCATTATTATATTCTCTCCGGGGCTGACAATGTGGTTGACTGTTTTCTTGGTTGTTTGTCAGATGCTCATCATCTATCTTACGTTTTTGTGAGCCCTTCATTTCCGTCATATATGCCGCAATTTCCTCCTGCTTCAACCCCAATGCTTCTTGGCAGAAATACTCGAAAAAGTCGTCCTCGTCGATGTCAATGTCTTCACTCTTGAAGAACGCCGCTGCCTCCTGGTCCACGTCTTCATCCTCTCCATCGCTCTCTAGATCTGACTTGTCAGACTTGGATAGGCCAAAGGCAGCCCCCTGAGCGCTTGTGTCACGGAAAAACGTCTCAAACCGCGCCATCAAGTCTTCCTCTTCGTTTGTGGAGGTGGGATTTTCAGGAACAGCGGTATCGTGGTTCTCGGGGATTCTTTCAGTAATCACATTTCTGTATAGTAGGATATCCTGAAGGTCCTGAGTCGCCACTCCAGCAAGTTCCGTACCCTGGAACTCAGCGAGAAGCGATTCATCTTGCGAAAGAACTTCATCTAAACCTGCGTACAAAATCGGTGGAATTCGTTCCTCCGTGGACGAGTCTGACAGGTCGCGCTTGACAAGACTGTAGGCCAAGAACGGAAACTGCAACGACACCTTTGAAACATTTCCCGCGTAGCGTTTTGGGGTAAGATTGTTTTTGAAAAACTCGGTGGTCGCAAGAGATACAAGGTGGGGGTATTTGGCCAAGAACTGTGCCACCTTTGGGTCGATGTTGCAGGCGAGGGAGTACACAGACCCTAGCGACTTTCTTGGATATTGTGCAAGTTTCGCCGCGACAATATCGTGGATTTCGGGAATGTGCTGTAGCCGAAAAGTTGCCCTAGTGACAAAAGTCAATGCCTCGGCCAACCTCAACCCTCTGTCTGGGTAGAAGGTATCTGGAATAACGGTGATTCGCCCCTGGTTTACCCAGACTCTGTTCATTGCGGTTTCCGGTTCTAGCCACTCGGGGAGCCCCTCTGCCGCTTCCACGAGGAGAAATTCGCCCTCAGAGTCGAAAAAATGGACGAATACGTCTGGCTCCGTCCTCAGAAACTCCGTGAGCAAGTGGCACACCAACCACTCGTCGTCAAGTGTGTCTCCATACACCAACTCCCCGTAGACGTAAGCCTGGCCGTTGTGCTGCGCTAGACTGAGTCTCAATGGATTGCATGACCATGCAAAATGCGATATCCAAGGGCTAAGCTCTGCCTGGAGTTTGTCATAGATCTGTTCAAGCTGCTGCTGTTGGTTGTCCAGAGACATCACAGGATTGACGTAGAAGAGGGTGAAGATGAGCGTATCTCTTTCAAAGAACGGATGAGATATATCTTCCCACGGAAGCATAGGCGACAGCCTATCAATTTTCTTCACCATGAAATGCAGTGCTTATCAAATAAGAGTGTTCTTCCATATGAAAATAAAACCAGAATGCTGCATATATAAACTTTCACCGTTCATGTACCGAGATTCATGCATGACAAATCGAGCAGAAAAAAAATAGCCTCCAGATCAAAATATTCCCCGAGATTTGTTTTGCCGCCATGTCCGTTCCGGTAGAATTAATTAAGCAGCAGATCAATGCTACAATTGAGACGCTTCAATCCAGAAAACAAATCCTTGAGTCGCACAAGAAACAGTACACCAACCTCAGTTTCACGCTAGACAACCATGCCCAGTACACTAACCGCGAGCAGCCGTTACTCGATGTCCGCATCGGGCCCAAGGCCATTGTCACAGGCATCATGCCCGAACCCAAGAAGATCATGGTCATGCTCGGAGATGACTACTTCGTGGAGCGCACACCTAGCCAGGCAAAAACAATCTTAGGGAGACGCTTGGCGTATCTCGACTCCACGCTTGCGGAATTTGACAAGAAGGTCAAGGAGGCCATGGAGACACTCCGCAAGATTAAGGAGCTTGAAACCCACTCATTAGGCAAAGAGGTGCTCAACGGAGAAGCCCCAAGGGCTGAGATAAACGAAGAGGGCTTGCCGTTCATGGATATCAGGGAGGAGTTGGACGAAGACGGGAGCGTGATAGATAGTGTGTGTATTCCAACTGACAATGGTACCGAATCGGTCGCGCCACGTGAGGCACAAGCTGAAGTCACTGAACCTGAATTAGCTCGTTCTCTCCCTGTCATGAACATTATTGAGCAACTTGATGAAGACGGCGAGATTATCTCCGCCTCTGTGGAGCCGGAAAGTGTGTTGCAGACCATTCTCCAGACGCCTGCTGAGCTGCTTCAGGGCGACCAACTCACCCGGTTAAATCGCAACGATGAAGGTTTGCCGATTATGCGTATCGAGGAGGGGTTAGATAGCGATAAAGCACCCGCTCTACAAACTCCAGAGGTCGAGGTCAAAGGGCAAGAAGACCAAGAGCAGGTCAGAGAGTTGCTTGAGGATATGGGCATTGTTTCTGAAGTTGGAACCCCAGCCGAAAACAAGTCTGAAAGTATCCCGTCGGATCTTGGTAACGCACCTGCGACTGCGGGCGATATCATTACGCTTGAACTTATAGCAGATGATTTTGCCGAAGAAGACTATTCGGGTGCCGAATTTGATGACGAAGAGTGGGACTTTGAGTCTGAAGAAGACGACGACGATGATGGTCTCTACGGTTCGATTGTCCCTGCAGAAGGCAGAGCCCAAAGTATGTTTTGGGATCAGATCCGGGCGGTACGCGAGAAACAGAACCCCGACGCAAAGAAAGAGCCGACCGTTGTCCGAGACATTGCAGATATCAGGGCTGAGACCATTAGGGTGAACGTGAGTCAAATCCCAGAACATGACATTGTCGAGGAATTGTTCACCAGGGACTTACCCGAGGCTGAAACCCTTCCAAAGCCGAAGAAGAGTGTCTCATTTGCCACCAATCTCCAAGTTAAGGAAATTGAAAATGTCTCTGCTGAGTTGAAGCAGATCAACCACACCCATGTTTCCCGCTTCAAGCAAAATATCACTGGCAAGAAGTCTGTTAATGGTGTATTGGAAGACAAGACTGCCCCCTTAGTGGAGCTCCCCGCACTGGAAGAAGATGTGTTTGAGAACCCGATGTTGGAGAAGGTGGTTGAGAGGGCCATTGTTGAGACACCGGTGATTGACCCTACATTGGTTGAAGATAAGCCTGTTAGGCTTTCCAAATTCAAGCAATCCCGTAACGAGAATGGATCTACTTCCATGCGCACTCTCAGCCCCATGGACTTTATTGCTTCCCCAGTTGAAAATCATCGTCCCGAGACAGAAGTCGAGACGGCAGCTCCCAAAAAAGTTTCCAAGTTTAAACAATCACGTACCCTGGAGCCTTCTGCCCTGGACTTTGTTACTTCGTCTTTAATCGTCGAGAAAATTACGTTGAACGAGCCCGTAGAGGGTGAAGTCATCTCTTCTAAGGTTTCCCGTTTCATGCAATCGCGTCAGTCTAGTCTGGCAATGGCTAATGTTGCGGAGAGTCCCAATACGATGAGGGACGTCATTACTTCTCTGACTGTAAACATTCTCAATCCGATCGTCGATGCACATGAGGACCCTGCTCCTAAGCTTTCCCGTTTTGCACAAACTTCCAAGTCTAAAGGCTCACCTATCCCCATTATTTCAAACTCAAGAGTGACTCCAAAAGTGTTGCCTGCCATCCCAATATTGCATGGTGTGGAGGGTGAGGTGCAGCCTATCTCTAATCGGGCTGAACTCATCCAAAGCTCGATTGATTCAGTGGAAGACTCCAAGCTGGAAGAAATGAGCTCGCAGATGGTTATGGATGTTACCGAAAAAGTAGGCAATCTCAGTATAGATGTGCCCCAGACCGTGGGACCGGTTAGTACAGCAAAGGTTTCCAGGTTCAAATCTCTTAGGTCTGCTGAGCGCGGTGTCTTGTCGGTCGCAAATGCACCTATTAGCGCTGTGATGGATGCTGCTGAACCCCATGTTGAGATGCTAGAGAAGGCTCGTGACCACGATACCGTGGAGGTTATGGAAACCACGTTGGACTACCAAAGTCTCCAAGATGACATGGACACAATGGCCAAGGCGTATCTCTTAGGTATGTACGACGACGATATTGAGACCGAAGGGCCAATTGTGAATGAACTAGCGGATTTCGAGGTATTGAACAAGATGGTTGAGTCTTTGAACGAAAAACCACGTTCAGGTCAGAAGAGAAGTACGAAGGTTCCGCTCAACTATTCTTCCCGTGAATTCCAAACGGATGATAACATCTTACAACCGCAAGAGGATTATATCACGATGCTGGAAGAAGATGATGACAGGCCGGTAATGCTGGAAACTATCGTGGAAAACGTGTTTACCGATACAGATGGTGTTGTAGACCCAAGCGAGCATTTGTTAGACAACGATGATATGTTGCAGCAAGAGGTCACAATGGAATACCAAAGACTCAGACAGCGCATGATCCTTAACCAGAGCAACACCGGCTTCCGTAAGAGCGACAAGGAGATGGAGTTTGAGCCAGTTGATGAGAATGGAGACCCGATCAAGGTCAGTAGGTTCAGGGCTGCCAAGTTGGCCATGCATAAGTAGTGGCTTGCTTTTATCATGTACTAGGTTTATAAATACAAATAAGTTTAAGAGAGGTATAGTATAAATTAAACTCGGAGATTCGTATTAAAAAATAATGCTGTGCTAGGAAGAATTGGCGCTTTCGAAGCCCTAAACAACTAAAGATTCTGAAGATGCAAAGTTATCGTACCTTGGTGAAGACGGACCAACCAACTTGGAAAAGTGCAACGAGGTTTCTGATTTTAAAATTCTCACAACCTTCCTGGTAGGCCGGACGTTGCACTGAATCTTGTCTGCTTGCGACAGGAACTTTTGGTGGTAGTACAGACTTCTGATTCTTTCAAACTTTTCGGTTGGGGTTAGATCTGTGGTTGGTTTGCCATCGGTCAAAAGCGAAAGGTTGGAACCACGCTTTGCTTCCCTGGGCCGTGTAACAATGTGGAAATGGTTTGTCTCAGTCTGATAAACCCGAGCGCTGCTTGTGTCTGGTGTCCGCAAAAAGCTTCTATCCAACTCTATTGTGTCGATGGTATCGACCGTATCATCCATCAGATACTTGGGGTAAGTTTTTTCTGGAAATTGGTATGACTCCTTGCTAGGTATAGTAATCTGTAAGTTCTGGAGGCATGTCGTCTTCTGGTTCGTGCTAGGTGGTTTGCGCTGCGGTGTCACCTTAAAGGTAATCTCGTGGTTAAGCGCGTTGGTTTCACTCTCTTCAGACGAGTTCATCTGCCTGTGTTTATGCGTACAAAAAGGAGCTGGTGAGCCCGCGGAATATTTATCATACAACGAAACAGTTGAGGCCGACGAGATACTAGAACGGGATGAGAAGGTTTGGGAGTGACGAGAATCTTGGACAGAGCAGTAACTCTTCTGAGTAGACGGGCTAACCCGGACTACTTTGAAAGGAAAGGGGTATGTTTCTTTGGGGGATTGTGGGACTACGGGGCATGGATCTTCGTTATCCAGGAGCTCGGGTTCTGGAAGCTGGAGCAAGGGGGTATTCGTGTATGATCCATCAGAAGTCATTCTCACGGAAGTGGCAAGACCTGTGAGGGATGGAACTTGCGGAGAGCCATGTTGCACCCGTACCGTTGGCGCAGTATCGTGAGATGAGGTGAGTAGCGATGCATAGGGATGGGCCGAGCCTGACGGAAGTGGTACTGCAGAACTGACTGCTTTGCGTGTTGACGACATTTCAGAGCTGACTACTTTATGGGTTGACTGTTTATCTTTACTGGATGGGTGGTTTGTGGAGAGCACAGCCGTGCTTTTGGAAGTTAAATCTATCTGTTTACCGTCTGGCTTGCTTGTGTCATTCTTTTTCTTGCGAACTAAAAACCTGAATCCCATTGCGTAAAGATAAAACTTGACGAGCTTTGATGAAATGGTGGTTTCGGATAGCAGGATAATGCGATGGAGAGACTTAGGTTGATGGTACTGGTAGGAGAGTAGAATACAGGTAAGGTAAGGTGTCTGGGTATAAAATATCCTTGGCGAGAGAGCATCATCCTTATATAAATACACCTCTGAGGGCAGCCAACCCGGCACTGAGAACCTTACCTTAAACTCAGAGTAATACAACTGTCTCATCAAGCCATGCATTTAGCTCTGTCTTAATGGGGTAGTTTTTATATAGCCCAAAGCACATCTTTACTGCACCTCTATGATCAACAGGTGATACATATGCACTTCCAGATACAGATAATTAATCCCGGTGGCCAAGACAATAGCCAAGCTCTGGTCTACACCAATACGGGGAAGGCTCGACCCGCAGGTGTATCCGGGCGAAGTCACACATATTAATTGGGGTGGTTGGTCTATACCCCCGAGATGCATGTACTAAGAAAAATTATGCGCCTTCCCAGGCACCAGCCATGGTTTTTTTTTTTTTCGCGCAGCCCCGTAATTTGTACATGCTGTGGCGGGTGTGATAATTAGCATGCATTTGTCTGCCAATATGTCACGCCCTTTCCTATTCGGGATATGATTGAGGCTAGAGAGCGTGGCGACACCTGGATCGTCCCTTACTTTAGTATCGTGATCTTCGGTGGAGATCTGTCAATGCAGGCTCTAGGATACAAGCCACCTTCCGTTAGTCGTTGAGGCACCATAAAAAGTATAGTCTGATCCCGGTCGCCTCCAGGATCGATAAGACAAGCTAAGCAACTACTTTACTAAATCGGGATCCGTTGTCGAAAAGTCTTAAATCGCTCGAATTGATAAGGGTGCGTGTGGTCCTGTCAGCTTCTTTCAACCGTTTAGTTTTAGTAGATTTCCAACCTATTTAAACGTACAAGTGTGACTGACATATATACGAATCCACCGATAAATTTAAGACCCTAAATCCTCTCCAGAGTTGGGTTAACATTATCTCTGGTTATGCGCGATTAAACTGTACGATATTCACTAACTTTTATTAAAAGGTGTCTAGCCCTGCTAACGTTGCCAAGTCTGTTAAATTCTTCGGCCGGGTTCTCTTAGGTACATCTGGTCGTCCGGTTTGAGTAGTTTCAGCCGCATGTGTGGTTAAAGTATATTAAAGTCCGGTCTCTCTCCTCCGTGTACCGCTGTTCTGCATACTGAGTATATACACATCTATATAACATAACACCGTTTACCTGAGTCGATGTACGATACTGTCTATGTATGTTATATGCGCTGCGCGCCTCTTCAGTAGCTTCTGGTTTTTTTTTCCTGATCTGGCCTCAAGGCCCACTAGGGCTAAACGTTTAGCATAACTGAAGTTTCTAGGACCGAAGTAGTTTTATGAATTATGATCCAGCATTTATAACAATTCTAAAAGGTGCCTCCTAGGTGAGGAATCTAAAGGTTCTGTTGATCTCAACGTTGTCAACACCCTTACCCATTTCCGGTTCCCAGTCCATGATGCCGGTTTCGATCTTCTTGTTCAATCTTTGCAAATGAATCTTCAAAATCACACACAACACGATGGCGGCGATAATGAACCCACAGTTGCAGCAGAAGGCCACCAAGTACTGTGGAGCATCAGACGCTGGATACAAGTAGGCGTTCCAGATCGAAGTGGAATTGGAAAGACAGTTCATAAGCGCCAAGGAAACAGCTCTCTTCATCGGTGGTCTAGCTACACAGTTGGACATCCACGAAAGGATCACCGTGAAGGCACAGTATAAGGACGGAACCATGATACACATAGCAAAGTATCTGGCCGCGGTGTTCATCGTAGCAGCCGATATGATAAAGGAAGCTAAGGCCATGCAAAGAGGGGCCACAACGTGCCAGAATCTCTCACCGGTACGGTCAGCGTGTATAGCCCAAACAAAGGTAGCAATGACACAGATCAAGTATGGTGGGGCAGTAAGGCACAAGGTTTCAATTCTGCCAAACTTCAACGTAGCAACGACAGATGGAAAGAAGTTGGTAACGCCACAGGCAGCAACCAAGAAGGATAAGATGCCGGTAATCATCCAAACCTTAACATCCTTGACCGCCAACATGAACCCGGTCTTGAAAGACTGTTCTTCGGCACTGACCCAATCGTTGGTTCCGACCTCTCTGCACAACTTCCACATAACAATGTCCTTTTCTTGCTGCGACAAGAACTTAGTGTTCGAAGGCATATCTGGCAAGATCAAGAAAGCAAATGGAACAACAAAAACTGTGATCGCCCCTTCAATGATGAACAACCATCTCCAAGCAGACAAGCCCCTGGCACCATCCATACCGTTAATAATACCAGCACCGATCAAGCCAGCAAAGGCCCCGGAGATCAAGGACCCGGAATAGAGAATCGAGGTTCTCAAGGCCAACTCCTTTCTGGTGTACCAGCAAGACAAGAAGTACAAGGAACAACCAAAGAAACCGGCCTCCACCCAACCCAAAAGGAATCTAATGGCAATCAAGCCACCGTAAGACTGCACGGCACCAACACACGTGGAGATGACACCCCAGGAGATCATAATGCACGGAATGAAGATTCTTGGTCTCCCCACCTTGGTCAAGAACATGTTTGCCGGGATTTGCATGAGAATGTAACCCACAAATAAAATAGAGACCGTAGTTTGGTATTGAACCGAAGTCATGTTCAAGTCTTCCTCCAATCCGGCTAATCTCGCAGTAGCAATATTGTTTCTGTCCAAATAGTTCAAAATATAAATCAATACAAGCATCGGCAAGATTCTCAAGTCGATTCTTCTCCTCACTCTCTTTTCGAGAACCTCGATTTCCTCGTCAGATAAATGCTGCAAGGAAGCTGGGATACTGAGTGGGTTTTCGTTGTTTCCGGCAAAATTCCCACCGTCACTCTTGAGCGAATTTGCATCCAAAGAGTCATGGAGCGAGATGTGTGATTGGGTTGGGGCAATTTCCGTCTTGGTGTCGTAGGTAGGATCCACCATATTGTGTAGTATATAATGATCTAACTTGGACGCGATTGAAAATTAGTGGAAATATGTGCTTTATATAGTTTTTACCTGGTCCCCCCTTAAACCAAAGCTCCCAAGGAGAAATTCTCCCCGGGGCAATATCATTGTAACTATGCATAAAGGGACAAGTCCCCATAATGCCCGTGCACTGGATCTGTCAATCTTGTGCATGTTTCTCCACTGTATGCGGAGAAAAATTCCGGAGAAATTTACTAACAAACACGGAAGAAGACATGCAATGCAAGACTTGAGGAACTATGCCGTTCAGCTCGAGAGGCTTATTTGAGCCCGGGGTGCGGTCGTCACAGGTCATACTCCGAATATGATTCATGAAACGCGAGCTGTAGCTTTAGTGTTAGTTCGTGGAAGACCTGCTGAAACTTAAAGGAACTGTTTGGTTGCGATTCCCTCAGTCTAGTCCTATACTAGCAATTGCAAGTTTTGACATTTTAAGTTCAAAAGCGTGGAATCGGAAGTGATTTACACCTTTTCATAGATCTGGGTGTACGCGTCAGGTATCTCTTGTGCTTAGAAATCTTGGTCACGGTATCGGAAAACCTTGCTATACAAAGAATGTCTAAAGTTGCAAGCCGTGTAACTTCCCAGAAGTTATGCTTCCCCGTTATTTAGGACTGCTATCTCACACATTTACCCCTCGCCTGTGTTTCGGGGGTATTTAATTTTTCTGTTGTGCTGCCCAACACTCCTTGGCCTGAGAGGAAGGAATGCAAAACAACCGGGTGGAAAATAAATCCATGGCCGTAGTCCAGGGGGAAGCCGGGTCCACGCGCAGCTTTGGAGAGTGCCGACTGGAGTTATGCGTGCATACGCAAATCTTGTTGTAGGAGCTAAAGGTACGACTCTCCTATTCTTTCCTCGATTCGATTATTTAACTTTGTACTAAGTCTTTGTAGAGTTTAGTGGATATGTATCTCTAGTGGGTATGGTATCATTCGTGGGGTTCGGATAATCTTTTCATGTTGTATGGCTGAACTAGAGTAAATGCTTGTCCAGTTATACGGGTTCGTCATCGTATACCCGATATGCATGGAGTGCATACTGGCGTAGGTTGTAAAAGTGAACTGTGGGAATAGGTAAATTCTCCTCAGAAAAGTAGGGAGTAGTCTGGTTAGGCAAACTCAGCAGGGGTCTCCCGGAAGACGTGACCCGATAAAGGGTTCCTCGCTTGCCCATCCTCCCAAAAATGACAATTCCCATAGAAATCGTTTCCCATACCACTTGTGATTCAATGGCTCTTGAATAAATTTCTATTCGAATTATAAGTGTTGTGAGTAATAGCTGACACAAATTTGCCTGGTTCACTGTTCCTACAATAGGCAGTATTGGTGCCAGGGGAGAGAGCTCGAAGCCGGTCATGCTAAACGCACAATCCAGGACTTTTGTTCACCCGCGATTTTCCACCATGACAGTCATGTGCCAAGGATTTTCCATTTCATTGTCATGGGGCCTCATTCCGATAGTATGATATTTACAAGATCTCTTACAAACGGCATATCCCTCTGCAAAATAGTCAAAGATTTGCGGTCTGCTCTTTCTTTTTTCCGGGCACCACCCGTGTCCTGACGGACCATCCCCATCCGTTTGTCTTTAAATTTGGAACCGGCGAATAAATCTGTTGTAAGTCTGAAACTATCTATTTTGTAACTTTGACTAACAATTATCGGGAATTACCCAACCGGGTAGACTGGCCCGCTGTGCACATTCCCATATTTCTTCCGCAGGTTACAAGACTTTGGCACCCATGATGCGAGAAGGATCTGGAGTATGCCATATACTCCGTAGTTTTGGGTTGTGAAGCTGTAATTCAAATTTTCTCCATACATCATGCACTATTCGGAACACAGTATGTCTGAGCTTGACAAAAGGTCACCTTCTGGCTGTTTGAATGCCTATTTCCGAGCTCGGAATTGATCGCCGAATTGAATTCTGACTCGGAAGTTATTTGTTCCGTGGTGTGCTTATGCACGATTGCATGAAAAATGAACAAGTGCCGTGCAGCTTACAAAAAGAAATGCACTTGTAAACTATAACAGTCCGGTTTAGAGTTGCATATTTCACAAGGAATAAACGTGAAGTACGTGGCTTTAGAGTGTTGTGGTTCGGAATGAGATGTCTGGCTAGCAGAGCGACGCATTTATGGCGGCACCTGCATAACCTGGTATGGTCTTATAGCTAAAAGGAAGATAATGTTTCTACCCTACAAATCTATATCCTTGCTCTGCACGCGAAATGTATTGACGATATAAGGTCACAGATATTGGAAGTCTTTAATCAGACCTGGCCCTCTCCGTGATAAAGGATGGCTAGTGTGCGGGGAAAGCACGCTATCCTGGTTTTAGTTATCGATTGCGGGGTATCGTCAAACCACCAGGTAAGTGGGATCAGACGCGTATGTTATTAGACGCGTATCAGTTATTAGTTTAAATGACTTTACAGGGCTCTCGTCTAACCATAGTCCATAATTGGACAACTATCTCTAATCTGACTCGCTTCAAAGCTCGAGTTTCACATGCTTTCAGTCAGTAACGTATCACTGGCTTTGTGGATGGATAAGAACGGGCATATATTCGATTGTCACCCTTGCGGTCGGTAAAACCAACACATAAGGAGAATATTTGGGCACTATCTCCGGCCTGACCGCGTATTAGACCCGTAATTAGCCGGAGGGGATACAAGCTTCGGAAATCTACCTGCATATTCCGTATTCCATTCTGTTATGCCAGCTCAGGGGACGAAAAATGCGGTACTATCTCTCGCTGGCAAGGCCACTCCCTTCGCTGAAGGTTACCCCCCGGAAATTAGTAGAAAGAGAATCTTACATGGCTCCTGACAAAATACGAGTAGTAACCTAACAAAGTGATACATGGTTAACAGAGAATGGTGGATGGTTATTCACAATTGTTTTATTATACCAAGGCTTTATACCAGCACGTTTAAACCACAACTTTGCTCCAGCGTGATCTGTAGTTGAAGTTAAATATGCAATGCCAACATACATCGTCTCATTTTCAAAGACTAAATCGCTGGAGGAGCTCCACGGTGTGTGGGTTAGTGAACCCCTTGTAAGCCACCGCCTTTGTCTCCACACTCGCCTTGTGGAAGGACGGTTCGTTCATAGCAAAGTTTCCCAAGATCTCCATAGACACCGCTTTCTTCTCGAGACGCTTGATTTCCTGCCTGATCTCAGCCTGGCACTCCTGGAGCAACGTCTCGTCGTGGGGAAGACGTTTCAACACGCTGTCGGTATCGGTATAGTTGCGCAAGAGCTTGGCCGTTCCAAAACGCTGGAGGAAACGCAAAATGGCAATGTATTCTGTGTCATAGTAGAGTTGGAACGAATCACTCTGATAGGAGACATGGGTCTTATTGCAGATGGGAATGTCCATATTCTTAAGGAAGGTGCGACGGGGGAGCACCTTATCAAGAGCATAGAACTGGGTGGAGCGGGGTGATGAAGGTTTTTTATCTGATGGATTATTTTCATAGTTCAGGGATGGCATAGAAGGTTCCTCATCCGAGTCTAAACTGATTTCAATTTCATCGCCGTTTTTTTCAGCTAGACTCGAATTATTTTCATTGGATAATTTGGTTTCACTACAACCCATGTCCAGTATAACTTCATTGGTATCAAAATCCAATTGAATTTCATCTCTGTTGTTTATCCCACTCGCATCCGACCTCCTTCTCTTCTTTTCAATCCCATTTCCGCTTTCTCCATTGCTAATGTCTGTTTCATTTTTTTTCTCATTTTCCCCCAAAGAATGGTGATAAACAGCCTCATAATACACATGCAAATGGGCCGCGAACCAAAACTTCGGCCGCAACTCCTCCATCAACGCGCGCAAAGCCGGATTCCCGAGCTTCCCAGTCTCAATATCCTTCTTGAAATACGGTTTGGTTCTCAACAAAGCGCGCAAGTTCCCGAAATGCTCGATTCCTTGCGGCCAGTCGTGGCTGAGCATCACGTCTAGCACTGAGTTCCGCAACAAGAGCATCGCTAGAAAATCCGAGCGCCGGACATGGTACACAGAGCGAAGCTCCCTCGGTGAAAAGCGCTGTGAAATGTCCCGGTCCGCCATGAAATTGTGCTCATTGAAGATCCCCGAGATGCCCCCGATCCGCACACCCCTGTACCAGACCACGTTTGTGTAACCCATGTAGTAGATGTTGGGCGCGACCCAGCCCCCGTGCGGCAACTCCTTCAAGAATCGCGACGACTCGTGGTTCCCACCAATGAGAATCGTGGGTATCGGCGCCATCAACGTCCCGTCGTAGTACTGATAGAAGTCCCCCTCCTGCTTGTACTTGTCTGGAACCGCCATCGACGCGAGATCCGCACGGTTCCGGAGCGCCTGGAAATCACCGCAAATCACGAGGAGCTCCACACGCTGCGGCCGGCGCATCACCTCCGCGTAAATCTGTCCAAGCTCCCCATGGCAGCAACCATTGACGGCAATGTGGATAGATTCCTGGGGCATTTAGGTGGTTTATTTAGAAAAAGTGTGAGAAAGTTTGACGCAAATGCCGAAAAATGAGACCCTGTATATAGCGCGCGGTATCATGGTCCGATCTGTGAATTCAACTTTGCAGTCTTGGAGTATAATACATGTATTATAATTTGACAATCAAGTTTGATTGATATGTGTCAGACATGACACATAAATAATCTTCATTATTCTAGATGATAGGGAAAGAGAAGATAGTGGAAATTGAAAGTGATATAGAGATTAACGTTTATTCCTGATATATACATACAAACTGGTCATAAAGATAGCACTCAGTGCATTTCCGCATTGGCACGGCCCAGTTGTTAACCAAACCCAGCCCATTCAACAGAGAAACAAACCACATCCTGCTCCGTCGCATTGCTCTCCACAGTTTTTAAGTCTCCAGCCTCGCCCTTTGCCTTATTCTCTGCATTTTTGGTCCCCCCAATGACCCAACACTTTTTTACGCCAGTGGCCAAACGGCCGTTGGTGACAAGGCTCATCATGCCGATGTCGCTCTCGGCATAGTTTTGCACCGAATCGACAATAAGATGAGCATGGTAGCGCAACGGATCGCCCGGATATGCCACGAATTTACCTCCGAAGCGAAGCCCCGGCGCAAGGTAGTACCCTTGGTCACGGAGGTGCCTATAGATCTGATAGCTGCTCACCAAGTCGGTGCCACGATTGGCAAGAAGCTGTAAATAGAGGCTGTGTTGCATCTCTGGGGTGTTGAACGATTCCGCAAAACTCTGGTAGTTGTTGAAGTAGAACGCAGAGTTGTCCTGAATGATCTCGTCAAGGTCTTCGGTCTTAAACTCCCCGAGATACTCCGCCTCGAGCTGCTTGATCCGGTTGCAAAGCTCTGACTTTGATATTTTAAGCGTATTTAGCTCAACCACCTTGATTTTAAACTTCCTACTGGCCTCCTGCCTCTCCCGAGTCTTCTCGTCAGTCATCTCCTGTTTCGCTGCCTGGATAGCTAGGATGTCCTGTCTCAGAAGCGTGGCAGCGAGACAGTCGTAGAGCCTTCGCCCGGGAACCAAGTACGCATGCTTCTGTTCAAGCAACCACATCGCATCCTCCACCATAAGCTGTAAGGGGAGCCCAAGAAACACATTTTGCTGGGGGGCCGTCGGCAATGTACCTCCAAGCACCCCACACACACCCAATTCACGAAGCTGTTTAACGTGTGAAAGGTCAAAAACCAATGGTGTATTGTTCAATAGAGAAATTGGAACGCATTTCGCTGGCATTGGGGCTGTAGTGGTTGGGGATGTATGATGGAGATAGTCATAGGAACTATTTTTGATCTGCATGCTAAAAATTTGCGTGCGGGAACAAAGTCATGACGTGCATGAGTACATTCATGTATACACGGCAGTAACACTGAAAATAGCACAAATACATATATCTACGCAAGTACACAGGGGGGATAATTACAGAAAAGGCTGTTGAGAGCTGATCTATATACGAAGTCATATTAATCCTTGTTGCAATTATATTGATGTGCAGTACTGATCTCTTGTAATTTATTTTACAAGTTAGCCAGGAATACTGAAATGATTTTCAGGTATTTGGCCCCACCTAAGCATACTCCTATGTCTAATCTACAACTTTTACCTTTATAATTTATAAATATTACTAAATACAAGCTCACGCCTGGTATGCCTCTCTAGGTAATGTGGCCTTGGAGCTGTTGAAGTTAACAATACACGTCTGATAATCCCAGTTGCTGCCCTGGCACAACATCCCGCTGTACTCCAAGTTCAATCGCGTCTCAGCAATCACCTTCATCAACAAGTCGCGCTGCGCCGGCTGTAAGCTACTGAGAATTTCCGCGGGAATAACCACATTCGTGCCTGGAACGGCACCTTCGACAGGGGCCACCGGAATGCTTGCGACAGGGGCTGCAGTCTTATTCCACGCCTTCGAGCCCCCAAACGGCCGAAGCAACAACATATCGGACGCGATGATCATGGAGCCGTTGGGGCCGGGCACTACCACAAACGTGCGGTCAAACGACTTTTTGCTGAGTACAGCCTTCAGGGCGTTGTTGTTGTATCTTCTGCCCCCGCCTTGCGGAGGTTTGTAGGCCTTCGGATGGGCGGTTTCCTCGAAGCTACCGTGGAGTACAACGAATAAGCCGCCGAGCTGTGGGAACTGCCAGCTCTCCATGGCGTAATCCGCTGGACTCTCGAGAATCAGGTGCTTGGTGGCAGGGATAGTAGCAAATTGCTTCTGGATCTGCTCCTGGCCCTTGCACAACTTGGCCAATCGGGTTCTGCCATTCGAGAGCTTCGTCAAGTTGCGCGAGTTGACAAGATAGTGTGACCATGGCGACTCATTATAGTTGTATGCCGTGTCGTTAGCCATGTGGGGGTGACTGGAGTCCACCTGAAGCGAGAACTGCGACTCGGGAGTGTACAAACTGAGGAGTTGATCGCGCGACGTCGGATCGTCCCACAATTTGATATAATTGGCGATAAACCCGGAGGCCAACTCCTGAATGCTGGGGTTCTCAAAGAACATGGGACTGGTGGTGATGGGAAAGGTAAAGGTCTGCGTTAGCTTCGCCTCGTCACGTACAGTGACCCCGTTCAACACCACGAGGCGCGGAAAGCACTTGAGAATGTCAGGGATTGCTGTAACATCGTTTACAACAGCGTTATTTGTCAACACCAACTCACGGAGCGAGTTAAGTTTCTTTTTCCACGTCTCAAACACCCGTGGCTTGGAAAGCTTGTTGTCGGCCAACGAGAGGTTCACCAAGCCGGGGAACGTAGCCGGTAAGGAAGCAATGGTCGCCAAGTCCGTTAAGTTATTGTTCGCCAAATTAACCGTCTCCACGTCGAGATTCAGCTGCGACGCGAGCTTCATGATGGCCGAAAACATCTTGGAGAGATTCAGCAGAATGAGCCCGAACCGCACGAGCTCCGCGTCCTGTTGTATCAGTGAAAGGTCCAAGAGCTTCATCGCAGGATTGTACTTGCGCGCAATGAATTCCTTCAACACACCGATGGTGTTGGTAGTTGAGGTATTCGTGTTCACAGAGATCACCAAGCCCTGCCCGGAGAACTGAAGCCCGTTGTACTGCTTCAATGTATCGGCATCCTTCTGGAACTTGACGTACGCATCAACCGCGCCGGTCGCATGGTTTACCGTGGCGTCGAGAAGTGCAACCTTGCACGTGCGTGATATAAAGTTAACTAACCCGTTTAGCGTGCCGTTGTTCCAGTTGCGGATCTCCACCGCCACGCGGCTCTGATCCGCAAAGTTGTTGACTTTTTGCTGATGATTCATCTCGGTCTCGTTCGTACGGTTTCCTTGATTGCCGTAGCCGCCGCGGCCTCTTCCTCTGTAACTCATGGGGATGGTGCAATGGATGAGGAAGAGGAAGCAAAACGGTTCTTGTGTAGTTGCCAGAAAAATTTTGGTTTGCCACGCACGACTTCCCCGGAAAAGATGCAGGTGATTAAGACTCGAGCAATCAATTGTTTATTTAGCAATTGGAATTGTTGCCTTATATCGTCGGCTAAAAATGGCACATATAAATATAGGCCGGGAAAGTTAAGGTATTTGTGATATGGTGTGTAGATTCGGTAGAGGTGGCAAGCATAGCCGTTAATGGCCACTGGGGACGCTCGTCTGTACAGAGCCTATATCGCAACCTCATTTATGAAAATGTCGTAAATTTGAGTAAATGAGGCGAGAACTGGTCTAGATGTGTCATTATAAATATCTAACCACTAAGATGGCTCGATATTGTGTGCGAGTGTCCACTCGGTCGCAGGAGACTGACATAATAGAACGTGTACTAAATAAGAGCACTCCAGGCTTGGACCAACCACGATATTGGCGCAAAATATTCGCGTAGACCATTTATTTCTCATAGGAATAGAAATATGGGTTAGCACTGGTATGCTTTTTGTAACGCAAAACCGTGGATGTGAGGGATTAATATACCTAGGCTATCTCAGTATGGAAAGTGTGGTTAAACATTTGAAGGGCCGGTGCTAATATCCACTTTGTGTGGTAGCACGGTACTACCAGCGAAGGTAGTATCTAATGACTTTCCCCTTTCTATATATTAAGCGGGGACCTGTAAATATATATTTCCGTTTCTCATTAGCTGCTACCACAAGTCCCTCTTGAACTTCACCGTGGACCAGTATGCCAACCGGTCTCATTACCAGCCACACAGTCTCACTGCATTCCCGATATCAGACCACTTAGCCACACATCCATATCCTATGGACATTTCCGGTGCGTGCGCCACACCCACGCTGCCCATTATTCCTAGCCATTTATCGTATGGAAAACTCTACTCCCCTAAAGCAATAACAGAAAATACAAGTATAAATCCGAAAAAAATACATAAACCATCTCCGTTGAGACCAAAATATACCTGGATAGAGCCGTATAAATCGCTCAGAGCTGACGCCCAGCGCCAGCGGACACATGGCAAATCCTGCATTCTGTCACGTGCTCTCGATCCCGCGACGTTTCCTAACGCTCGTGGCGACTACGTGGCTCGTCGAAACTTCTTCTTCTTCCCCCACCACCTCAGTTCATAAACACACCCGCCAACCACCCAAACTGACTGAAATATTCACCTAGAAACGCTCACCGCATACCATGTCCAGCTCACAGTACAACTATGACGAGGATGGCGAGACGTGGCCGTACTTCGTGTTGACACTCTTGGCCGTCGTCTTGGTGCCGTACACCTACACCACCGTGAAATCGCTTCTTTTTTCGGAAAAAGACGCTACGAAGCGTGCGCACGCAATCGAAGTGGACTACACGCCGGCAAATGCCGCGCAGATCCGCTCGTTCCGCGTTGCGACACAGGCAAAGAAGCTCCTCAGCACGCGCCTCCTCGTGTTGGCAGTTGGCTGGGGTTTGTTTGCGTATCTTGTGTTGATTTTGAAGGAGAACACGCATACCAATGCGTTCGACCCGTATGCCATTCTTGAGGTGTCTTTGAGCGCCACCGAGAAGGAGGTCAAGTCGCGCTACAGAAAGTTGTCGTTGAAGTTCCATCCCGACAAGATTGCCAACGATGTTCTGGCCGAAGTTAAGCAATCGATGGAGGAAATGTTCATCAAAATCAACCAGGCGTACAAGGCATTGACGGATGAAGATACCAAAAAGAACTACGAGCTCTACGGGCATCCAGACGGCCCCCAGGAACGCTTGATGGGGATCGCGTTGCCAAAGTTCTTGATCGAAGGCGCGTATTCGCCGTTGTTGGTTGTGCTCTACTTTATCGTGATTGTTGGTGTCTTACCTTACGTGGTTGGCCGCTGGTGGACCAACGTGCAAATGTACACCAAAAAGGGTATCCACGTGGAAACTGCGACGTTCTTTGTAACCAAGTTTGTGAACCTCAACCCCGCCAATATGGTCACCCCGTTCACGATTATCGAATGGCTTTCGTATGCGACAGAGTTCAAGCTCCAGTGCCCGGACTTAACTCCGAAGCAAATCGAACAGCACATCTTAGACCACTTGTACAGAAGAGTGACTGCGGACGAAAGAAGCAAGTTGGAGATTGTGTCTATCTTGCCTACCTTGATCAACGCTTTACTCGATATCTCGGCGACGTTCCGCAACTCAGAAATCAGCTTGCTCCTCATTGACTTGAACAGGTACATCACCCAGGCGTTGGTGCCGGGCGGCAGATACGCGCAGTTATTGCAGTTACCGTACGTAGACCCTAAGGTCGTGACCAGCCAGCTGGTCAAGACTTTAGGCAAGTTATTGACCCTCTCGGAAGAAAAGATTGGTGAGGCGTTGGGGATCAAGGATGCTGCGCAGTTGAAGACCGCCATTCAGGTGGCCAGCGAGATTCCGCTCTTGAAGATAGTGGATGCCAAGTTCACCGTTCCGGGCGAGACCGTCGTTACCTCCAATTCGACTGCGTACTTGGAAATGAGAGTGTTGGTGAAGTCCGCGAAACACACCTTCAAGGGCGGAAAGTTGCCAGTGCTCAAGAAGGAAAAGTTGGCGTCGATGGATGCGGAGGCGGCCAAGTTTGAAAACTTGAAGGATCCGATGAGCCTTGCGGACCAGCAGCCAGAGTTGCCAGCGGCATACGCCCCGTGGTTTCCCCAAGCTGTCAGTTCGGGCTGGATGGTTTGTCCGTTGTTGCAGTCCGACGCCAAGTTGGCCGAGCCTCCGACTTTTGTGAATAAGTTGGATTTGTCCAACTTGGAGTTGACATCTGAGGAGATCACCACCGCTGACAATGAGAAGTTGCAGGTCGGGCTCATCAAAGTCAAGCTCATCGCTCCGACGCCTGGCACCACCGGCCAGTTCCAGTTCAGAATCATCGTGAAAAACATTGCGTACTTTGGCGCTGACTTGGACTTCCCGATCATCATGACCGTGGAGGAGCCACCGGCTGAGTATATCGAGGAGAAGATCTATGAGATTGAAGACCCAGACGAGGACTCCCTCGCTGGCGCCATGGCCCTGTTCAGAGGTGAAAGGGTGAAGAGAGTCGAGTCAAGTGATGACAGTGACGAAAGTGACTTTGATGATGACAAGAACGACGGTAGCGACTTCACTGACATCAACACTGATACCGAAGATGAGAAGTAATACCGAGATAAATGGTGCTTAAATGGATGAGCAGCAACGCGCAGTGAGACGTGCTCTGGTTATTAGTTAATGTATTAATGGTCTATGCTCCAATTTGAAGGGTTCCGTTGGCTAAACTAGATACGTAATTTGCCTGGTGGTGCTATCATGTAGATAACTCTTGTGTAATTCAGTGGTTATCAAATTCTATCGATTACTTCTGTTACGGGATAGTGCTGGTTTGACAATTTTTCAATTCCTTCTGACTTGTCCAGATACTGAGACTTTTGTGGGTTTCCTCTGTGATATAGGGGCCTGGTTTATTGTTGTAAGGAATTGCCTGGCTAAATTGCAATGAACTTTTGCTAAGACGTGTTATTTTGGTTCTGGCTCGGTTGGCTACCTACTTTCCCTAAAATCGAAAATGCACCCTTCCACTATTTGCGCAAGTAACTCTACCTAAATTGTACGGTTTTCCAGTTGTGAAATACCTTAAACTAAATTGGTAGAATCGTCTCAGTTACAGAGTTTAGACCCCAAGGAATATCAACGGGCGTCTAGGAGAGCGCGACACCCAGTAGAAATATGCCTTCCAGGAAATTGTGTTCAAAGCTGAGACTTGAATGCTTCGAAGCTAGGAGCCGTGCTGTAGCATAATATGATGAAACATAGACCACAATCTCTTGGAGAGTCTAAGACCGAGATAATCCCATGTGTATCTCTATATCATGAGGCGCTGTCGAAGGTTTGCGTTTACTATTTAGAATAAACCGCTCTCCCGACCATATACTTCCCATCCCATCACTAGTTTCGCTAGTTCTACCCATCAATTATACTCTCTGCTAATTTCACCTCGCTATCTGTAGTGTTTTTGTAATACTCTGCTCAGATCAATCTAGGCCCTTTATATATATATATATCTAAAAGAGTAAGAAAACCTCAGTTTATAGGCCAAGGTGAGCCAAATGACTAGACCAGTAGGATATGAAGGAACTGCACGATCTACGGTTAAAACCTGGTATATCCCCATAAGGGTTGGTAATTTCATCCCATGCAGCTTTGCTTCGACTCAGCATGGCCATGGCATTAGGTTCAATCCAGGTCCCACTGCATTCTTCCAATGGAACCCAAAAGAAGTGAAATATTTCCTTTTCGGGATATCATTTAGACTCGTATGCACGCGTCGCCGCGCACGCCAGAGATAAGACCCGGTTTCGTACATGCATACAGCTGTTACTTGTGTTGCCGATCACCGTTGTCCAGACCCCACGGTAACAAGTTACGGGGGGTTACAAGCTGTATATAATAACGTAGCGATGGCAACCACACAGTCTTTCGAAAGTCCCATGCGTCTTTATCTAACTTCCTCTAGTCAATATTAAATGATTATGATCCTCACGAAAAGTCCCACCAGGATCTTTCTATATCTACATACAATTCTCACAAATATCTAGTTGACGTGGCGGGTCTCTCCATCTGTTTCGCGTTTCGTGTATCTCCGCGCGCGTCACAGGAGCGAATATTGATGCGCGTCTCATCCCTTCAAAGCAAACCCGCAGCCATAGGCCCATTACCATGCAGCAAGCGCGATTTTAATACACCAACCGACACTTTTTCACCGGGACAGCGAGCCTTCGGGTACGATGCAGGTTATACGGATGCTACTAGTGGGAGGATAATGCATGGCAAATAAAGCATTGAAATCTCGGGGTCTAGATAGCTGACAGAATATAATTTCAAAGCCACCTCAAGGCTCTCAGGTTTTCGTTTGCTACCCTCATCACAGCAGCCGGTCCTACATCTCTGCATAACCTCTCCACAGAAGTATTTCCTGTCTGAATCCCCGCATCATTCTGGATTCCACCTCTATCCGGATAATTGCATTTCCCCCACCGCAACAACCCTTTTTAAGCTTCGCAACAACAGTCTTGACTGTCTCGCCATTGCTTCAAGATGACCCTTCCCCACTCCCTCTCCTCCAAATCCCTCAAGCTCATCGATGACATCTACGCACAGAAGTACACACGAAGCTCCTCCTTCCAGACGCTTAAAGAGCTCCCTACGCCCTCCGTAATCGCACAGTTGTTCGACGAACTCCGCAACTCGGAACTCACATACAAACACGTCCTCGCGCAGCTCTTGGCCTGCTGCAAGCCCTCGAACCGCAACCTGCGAGTCTCCGGCCTCGCCCCGAAAAGCCACTACTCGCAGTATGACGAATCCCCCACCGTCACCAACGCTGTGCGTTCCCTCATAACAAAACACACCCAGCTCTTACGGCTCTTGGACCAGGACGATTTCACCGCCAGCTTTATCGACTGGGTGGAAGACGTGGTGGGCACCTACGAGAGCTACATTCGTAACTATAAGGATGATATTGACGCCCTAGACTTTGAAAAGGTGCTTGTGCGTAAACCGTTGATGAGGCTCCGCTACCTCACAAAATTCCTCGAAACGCTCATCAAGGTCTCGGCCGAGGCGGGCGACTTCGCGCACATCGACCACCTCAGCACGTGCTTCGAAAAGGTGTCGACGCTACTTGTCAATGCCAAGCTAAAACTAGAGTCGGAGCTCCAGGACGCAGATGCGAATAGCATTGGCTTCGGCAAGGTCCGCATCTTGGAGCGAATGACACCGTGCGCCGCCGCGTTCTCCCTCACCGACGTCCTCAAGCGCGGTCGCTTCTTTGTTAGCCTCAAGCACCCAATCATGCCTATCGAGGATATGCTCTGTGAGGCGTTTCTTCTCAAGAATGGGAACGGCCAGTCAGACAAGTCGGGTTTCGCTGCTAGCGTAAGTTTCTCCCCTGATCTGGCCACTGGCCTTGCTATCTGTGCTATCGAAGCCGTGGGCCGCTCCTTGCTCTTTCCTCCGTTCAGACCTGGCGAGCTCTCCATCATGGAATTGGACGGAAAAGGCATCACTCTAACCCCAGCCTTGAAGGAAGACGCTGAAGACATCCTCCTCCACTTGGAGTTTCTTGAGCCCAGGGAGGCGCCCCTCTGGACCGCATGCTTCCGCGAGCTTTTCCAGGAGAAGCACCAGGACCCGCTTCCAGCGACATTCAAGCAAACCGGGTTGGGGCTCATGGAGCCAACCGCGGAATTACACCTCCCGCAAGGCCTAGCCCCTGAAAACCCCAAAAACGATCCTGCCGATGCTTCTGACGAATTCTACTTTCCAGCTGCTCCTTCGTCGCAGAAACTCTTCAAAAACATCTCAGGAGTGACTCAACCCGGTTCCATCTACAACGGAATGCTGTCCAAGCTGTCACCGCTAGGTGGAGCGGCGTCCATGCCGTCATTCCAGTCGACTGAATCGCCGTTTTTGGACGAAAAGTCGGGAAAGATTATGGTCAAACACTCACCTAGCCTCAGCCAAGACTTGCCCAGCCCCGAGCTCTCGCCTCACTGTGAGGTTCTGCCTGGCACCAGACTGCTGTCTCACCGGGACCTCTCGTCTGGTAGCTTGGTGCTTCCAGTGCGCCAGTCCGTGGCGAGCAACCGGGTCATGGACTGTATCAACTCGTCACCGATCCATCAGCACACCACTTCGTCGGCTGCCTCGTTTGGCGAAGTATCCCCAGGAAAACCCGGGAGTCTCAACACGTCGCCGCTAGAACTTTCCGAGATCAGCTCCTACAAGACAGACAACCGCACGGAGGATACGCCCCAGCTCGATGGCCAGTCGACCGTAGACAGCGATCTGGTGGGCTACGACTGCGACGAAGAATCGTTTTCAGACTTTGAGATTGTCACCTCGGCTGCGCTCAATGCGCGAGCCCCAGAGCCAAAGTCAATGCCTACAGTTACGCCAAAGGAGCCGTCTAAGGACTACACGTTTGGGGGTGATTACACCCCAAGTTTTGCCCCCAAGGCGCGTGACTTTTCCAGCTTTGGCAAGGAGTACAAGCCTGATTTCTCGGCGGAACCCAGGAAGAAGTCCATCTTCTCCGTGTTCAAAAAAAAGAAGGAGCCAAAACCGGTGGTGAAGCCGCCTCAACCGATGGCAGAGAAGCCGATGACCCCGAAAGAGATTTTCAACAAGGCGAAGGAGAGTAGTTCGCCGGCTATCCAGCAGCGAAAGGCGTCCGCGTCGACCGTCAAGGAGCAGAAATCTGGTCTGGGCTCGGTTGACCCCCCGTTCCGCTTCGCCCAGAATAACAACAGCTCCTCCACCCTTGTCCTTTCCTCGTCTTCTTCGCGCAACAGAATGAACCTCGCGGTGGACACTAACATGTCCGCGCCAGCCTATTCGGGGCCTGCCTCCGCGACCTCCTTGCCGTCGCCGTTTGCCCCGGCGACGTTCGCGACCAAGAAGCCGGAAGACTCTGAAAATGTCCGCGCAGTTCTCGCGCGCTGTACAGTGCTCTATGAGGCCCAGTGCCGCGCATCCCAATGGCGCTTCAACCAATGGCAGCGCATGGGTCTCACCGATGAGACGCTTGTGAGGATCGTCGTCGCAGAGGATGAGGCGTATCTCTGCGTATACGAAACCGCGCGCGCCGACAACCTCGACCCGGTCGCGTGCATGCCGTTGAGTGCGGCCTATTCGATATTCGCGCCCTCCAGTAGCTTGGACGTAGAGTGCCGCACGCGCGAGTCTGTCGAGCGTGCAGGCCAGGTAGCGGTGTTGGTGCGGTCGAACTCGGGCGCGGAGTCGACCGCGTTGGTGGAGTCCCTTGAGACGGCGTGTTCGGGGCTCAAACGACTCGCGTTCTTGGAGGAGACACACGGAGACCCGCGCATGCCGAGCAGCAACACTGACTCCAGTATCTCCACGAATGGCACGCTCGAGTCGCGCGGCTCCATCCTCATCTCCGCCAACGTCTCCTCCAGCATGTCAAGCATTCCGTCGGGGATGCTTGACGTGAATCGTTGGCAAAAGCCTTTGTTCGGCCTGCTCCAGCGCGTCGGGTCGTCGGATTCGATGCGTGGGCCTTATTTGCACAATGATAGCGGCTCCACCGTTAGTTTACCTGTCTCAGGCAGCTCCAGACAGGTGCTGGTGTTGTCCGAGACGGTGGTCCAAAAGCATGAACTCTTGTTGTTACAAAACGTCAAAGTGGTGGTGTATCGGACGACTGCGACCTTATCCGCTGCCGAAGTTCCGAATTTGAAACACTATGACGCGGTGGATGCGTCACGTTTGAGCTTGTTGGCGGTGACCGGACTGAAATTGTATCACTTAGTGCTTGGAAAGAGTGCGGATGTGTTTGCGGAGCAGGACGGGTTCAGTAGAGTGGGGAAGAAGAGTTTGAGAGTAGTTCCGTGCGCAGGCAATGAGGCATTTTTGGTGGTGTTCCGGAGTAGCAAGGACGCAGACAGGGTGTGGGTTTTGGTTGACAGTTGTTAATCCATAACTAGTGCGTAGCTCTTGATGGTTAGGCATTGGATTGTGAATTGCTTGATATTACCAGCTGCTGAGTAATCCATGTCTTTTCCTGACTGATACTAGTTGTGCCATTTGGATGACCTCTGGGCGAGTTCTCTTAGATTTGGAAATGCTCTGGGGGTAATATAAAATAGTAAATAATGTTTGTAACAGATGTATATAAATGGTGGGAAATCTTTTACGTTGTAAATAGGTGTAGATCAGCTGAATATTAACAGATAAACGGATTGAGGGAAAATCCTCATATACAGGCTAGCTTGATTCCATTTTGGTCATGAATTGTACAAACTTGGTTGAAATAGCTCACAGAACCTCTGGGCAACCAAGATTTCTTATGCTCGTTGGTTTTTCCAGCCGAGTCTCAATAGATGGTTGGGCTTGTCCAACAAATAAATACTAGTAGTAATTATTGTCTGATAGCTTCAAACAGAATCAATATAGTATCTAACCCTATTCTCGTTACAATCCCTAACATGAAAATTTTTAAAATATATACACACATAATTTTCAACTATTGAAACGGTTTCTATAATTACAAATGGTTGAAGGCTACGAGAGAGGCAGTGCCCAAGTTTCTTCTGATGTCAACCTTGTCAACGTCATGGGTGTCTTCAACCTCGCCCCATCTCTCGGTCTGGTAGATGGTTTCTAAAGTGGCAGCTTCCGCAACCTGTTCCAAGGTCAACTGCTTCTCGATTGGATCGACACCGGTGACACCGGCGCTACGGGCGCCAGCGTTGGCTCTGACAATGGCGACACCAGAGATGAAGGACTTGGCAGATAACGTGGCCTTTTCCAAGGCAACCAACTCCCAGATGCCAATCTTATCCATCCAGACACGAACTGCGGCCTTGGTAGCCTCTGGTTGGAAGTTGCCTCTCAATCCGTGGAGGTCAGAATCAATGTAGGTCAACTCGACCTTCTCCACACCCGCGACATGGGCAAAGAACTCTTCCATGTTCTTGATGATCGGCCTGTAGATCTCCTCCTGGGCCTTTCTCAAACGGCCTTCGTATTCCTCGGCGGGTGAGAACACCAACAAGGTGTCAGTGTCGAGGTAGCGCAACAAATCTTCTTTGATATCATCAATCTTTCCAATCTTCGCCATGATTTCCAAATCACCAGAAGCCACGGCAGCAGTCAAATCGACTGCACGCGACGTCACAGAGGTCAAAGGCAATGAGTGAGTCTTTGGAGATGTCAACAAGTTCTGCCATTCGTGCGCAATCAACTTGGCCAAGATCGGCTTGTTTGCTGGGATCTTCATATCAAACCCCATAGGCGACTTGATAGATTTGCCGTCCAAACGGACCTCGTACCCCTCGTTGTTTGGTAAGTGATGCACCGCAGCGTTCTTCCAGAACACCTTGGATGTCTTTTCCAAGCGGTTCGTCTCAGACAAAACGTTGGACTCCACGTTGGATCTCGGCGCTGGGGCAAAATGGGTCGCGGACCCGACCGACTGGAATCTGGCAGCAGAGGCAAAACGAAGCGCCTGGGAACGGGTGATATGTCTCAACATGGAAAGTTGTGAAGATGTGAAGAAGAGGGTACAGTTTTTGATAACAATGTCTTGATGTAGTTTTTGTTAGCGGCATATTTCCGCTTATGTAATCGGAGTAGGCTGGAAGGATCTAGATCAACGCAGAGAAGGATTGGCGTGCAAATGATGCCATGAATTTGGGTTGTAGGTATTAAATCATACTAATTTATAACAATTTTAAAATATTCCCCGGCGTTATTTTGATTCACCATGGGCTCGTAAAGACAAGGGAGAGGAGCTCCATTATAGTTAACATGCAGGATCCTCATGTGGCTATTAATGTTGGAACTAGAACTAGTGACTGTAGCTTTAACTGCGTATTTTATTAATGGAACCGGATACTCCCAGACTTTAAAGTGTTTAAAGAAGCAAAATGGAATCACTTGTCTCAGCTATAGATATAAATCCCAGCTCGGTAACCCCTGTGTAATGGACACTGAAGCCACCTCTGCTTATATAATCAGTACTTGCGTACAGGGCAGACATCGGCACTCAACAGAAGTAAAGCTAAACCACAGAACACTTCTTCTCCATCCCATAGCACTATCCTACAATGTCGGTGAACCCAGATGCCATAAACAAAATTCTCTATGAGATGGACCAACAGCTCCAGAAGACGCAGGCCGATCTCCAGATGACCAATATTCAGCTCCAGAGAAAGCAGACCTCGTCGAAGATCGCTGAGTTAACGCTAAAGGAGATCAACAGCGACCCAGCTGCCAACTTATGGGAAGGTGTGGGCAAGGCATTTTTCTACACTGACCACTCGGACTTTGTGGGAAGATTGGAAGACGACCAGAAGACGTTGGACGACCAGATGAAGAGTTTGGCCACCAAGAAAACCTACCTAGAGACAACCATGAAGAACACTATCCAACACATGCAGCAAATGATGGGTCAGGATGACAAATAAGCAGACAGTATCATGTTTGGCAAAAGAGGAGTTTTGTGAACCCAATCGCTCTATCAAATTCTGCTAGAGAATGTACCATAGTTAATATATTCGAACTAAACCTTCCAGATGAATTTCTTGGTTGTGGGTCATAGTAGCTAAATTATTGGGCATGGCTCAATGGGGTTAAATCTATCAGCCTAGCCCGGTCCTCTGCCATGACTCTTGTTAACAAGAGGCTCGTTGAAGCGTCTAACTCGAGGAAACGCGGAGATACCTTAATTAACCTCTATACATAGCTCAAAAAGTTCGGTATACTCACCGATTCGTTTCCCAGTAATAGATGTATATTAGCTATATCTAGACGGCACTGTAGCCACCTCTGTCGTTACTGCCGACTAGCCTCTCGACCACCTCGCCCACAAACCCGGGGACAGCCTTCCCCACGCCCTTGGAGTTGTCCACAAAGTCGTTCACCATGCGATTCAAGTTGATCTCGCCGGTAGTGGAGACCTGGGCCCAGGCCCCAAAAATGATAAAGACCGCAGCCGCAAGGACAATGATGATAAAAAGCCAGGTGAACCAACCCCACGAGCCGCCTTCTTTATCGCCCGATGGCTTCTTGCCCTTGTCTGACTTGCCTTTTAAGCATGCGGCTTTAGTTCTCCAAGTAAAGTTCACGCTGGTGTCGGTCCTCGACACCTCAAATTCATTCTTGCCGTCACTCTCGTCACAGGTGTACTCGACGAAGGCTGTGAACGGCTTAGAGCCCCAGGAAGCGCCCTTGAAGAACATACGAATGCCCGTCCCATTGTTGGGACCCGGGTCAAAGTTCGAATATGGGACGCTCACGGGATGTATGGACTCCGGGATGGAGATAATCTGGGTGCGCAACGGCTTGGAATCTGGCAACAAAATCTCCTCGATACCACAGATCTGGGAGCCTGCAGGGCAGCCGTCCACCTTGAGGTCTTCACAAACAGCAATGTACCACGTAAAGTTGGACACAGATGGCGGGGTATCCCTGGATACGGATACAGCATGCACCCCTTTGAGTAAGTCAAATTGATAGTTACTCAATTCTTTCGAGGCACAGTCAAAAGCGGTGGTTTTCTCGAAGAAACTCGCGAGCACCAACGCGGCGGCTAATAAGCCGGTTTTGGAAAACATTGAGGTTGGATGTTGGATTTGAATCGCACCGGAGGTAGCCAAATAGATATATATGCAATGAAAATATCCTGTTTCAATTGCAGCTGTTGGGGTTTCGCTTAGAAATTTACCGTGACGTCTCTTGCTATCGGCTCCTATCTGCTCAAACTTGAAGTTGCGATCATGTGGCAACCTTCGGTGCAGGTTATCACAGTGCCATCCAGCAAAGCCCGGAACGTAGAATTTCGCGAAGGTGTTCCGCGAAAAAAGAAAACCAAACAAGGTTATTGCTTAATCAGGATTTTAAACGGATCGGGAGCTGTCACGTGCTACAATAGAGAGCCTGGTTTTGGGAGACCAGGCAAACTGGCTTCTACTAAAACCCCATGTTGGGTTATGAACCCAAAATCTTTCACTTTGAAATATAACCAAAGTTGTCATATTAAAAAAAATGGTATATAAAGCAAGCTGGCATATTGAAAAACAACATATAAGGCTAAGTATAGCGCTCTGATGTAATCTCGATAGTGACGCCCAAGGAACTCAGGTCTCAACTCCATGTGTGACTGCTTTTTTTCGACAAACGCACTTCCATCACGTGCCACTCTGCATCGTGGTTTGAAGCGATGCTGCACCATCTCGGTGAGAATTTTCACCCTCTTGTCAGGTGAGCCCCACCCTTGCCATTCTGGAAAATCGTGTAGGCTATATATCAATTTATCTCTGTGCAATTTTAAAGCCTTTTTCTGACCCTCTGTAACCAAACATACTTCAAAATGAGATACGCCGCCCAAGCCGCTAACCCAGCCAAGTCTGCTTCTGCCAGAGGTTGTTACTTGAGAGTTTCTTTCAAGAACACCAGAGAAACCGTTCAAGCCATTAACGGTTGGAAGTTGGACCGTGCCCTCCAGTACTTGGACCAGGTTTTGGACCACAAGAGAGCCATTCCATTCAGAAGATTCAACTCTTCCATCGGTAGAACCGCCCAGGGTAAGGAGTTCGGTGTCACCAAGGCCAGATGGCCAAAGAAGTCCGTTGAATTCGTTCAGGGCTTGTTGAAGAACGCTGAAGCTAACGCTGACGTACGTATTTTATTTACTGATACGAAAAATATCAAAGAAACAACAGTACAAAAGACCTCTGTTAGCTGAGAATTTTTTTTTTCAGTCAAAGCCAGTTGTCTTTTGGAAGCTATAAGAAGATGTTCAAACTAGGGTCGAGTACCTCCTCTAGTTGCTTCTTCGCTCGTTCATCGGACCTTGTTGTCTTGAACGGGAGTTTATTCATTAAATATCCATTTCACATGGTTACTGTGAAACTCAGTCTGCTGGATCTGTATCGGATCCAACTAACGTGGGAATAGCGTCGATCGCCGCAACACTGTTATGGCCCCCGATCTGACTGCTGTTGTTTTACTTGAGGTTTTTCGCATCGGCTAGATGTCGAAGTCCTTATACTAACACTTTACAGGCCAAGGGTTTGGACACCACCAAGTTGGTCGTTTCCCACATCCAGGTTAACCAGGCTCCAAAGCAGAGAAGAAGAACTTTCAGAGCTCACGGTAGAATCAACGCCTACCAGTCCTCTCCATCCCACATCGAGTTGATTGTCACCGAACAGGACGACAACGTCGAGAAGGCTCCAGAGGCCAAGGGTGTTAAGTTGACTTCTAGACAGAGAGGTAGAATCGCTTCTCAGCAGAGAAAGATTGCTGCTAAGTAAATTATTTCCTCCAATGTTGTTTAAGCCCCTCCTGGGGACTGTATAGTACGAGATAATAAAATAATTAGCAAATTCACAGATTGTAGTCTGAATGGATCCTCATTGTGTCTATTCGGAGGTTTGAATATTTAGTTTGGCATGCGTGGTTACCGTCAACCTGTATACTGAGCCGAAAAATATTTGGCTGATTAATACGCAGGAAAGTATTCATAAGATACCAGCGGTAGCAGAGATATATTCATTAACTCCAAGCCATAGCACTCACACATATGTTCGGCCAGATTGTTATTGGGCCCCCAGGGAGTGGGAAATCCACCTACTGCCACGGTATGCTCCAGTTCATGTCCTCTATCGGCCGCCTGTGCAGTGTCATAAACCTTGATCCGGCTAACGATCGATTGAACTACGACTGCGCCTTCGACATCAGAGATTTCGTCACGTTGGAAGAAGTTATGGATGACTTTTCGCTCGGGCCCAACGGTGGATTGATGTTTGCCTTGGAAAGCTTGTTGGGGGGGGACAAGACCCCGGTATTCAATAGCGAGATCAGCACCATGGATGCCGAGCCCGTCCGAAAGTCAGGACTTGATCTAATCGTGGAGAAAATCGTGCAGGTCTCAAACCATGGTAAGAACTACTTGATTTTTGATTGTCCCGGTCAGGTTGAACTATTCACCCACAGTCAGGTCTTTCCTAAACTCTTCCGCCGCTTAACGTCCAAACAGCACGACTTGCGCTTGTGTGTCGTGTCTTTAATCGACTCCTTCTACTTGACATCGCCCTCGCAGTACATCTCTGTGTTGTTGTTGGCGCTCAGATCGATGCTCCAGCTTGACCTACCTCACATCAATGTCTTCTCCAAGATTGACTTGTTAAAGAACTACGGCGCCTTGCCGTTTAACTTGGACTTTTACACCGAAGTGCAAGACTTGCACTACTTGATCCCGCATATTGAAAAGGAAAACCGAATCCACAGTAAATACAACAAGTTGACCGACGCAATCGCAGAATTGGTTGAAGAGTTTAACTTAGTTTCGTTCGAAGTCTTGGCAGTGGAAGACAAGCAGTCGATGATCCGATTGCTCTCCGTCATTGACAAAGCAAACGGCTACCTTTTCGGTGCCACCGAGATCGGTGGCGATACCGTGTGGGTTGAAGCCACGAGACAGAGCGGGCCCTCTGACATGGTCATTGACATTCAGGAACGATGGATTGACAACAAAGATCGCTACGACCAGAAGGCGCGCAAGGAACAGGAGGACAGGCTTGAGGAGCAGCAGTTTTTGGACAGAGAGTTGGGTGAGGACGAGGAGTTGGAGTTGGCCATGAAAGAATGGGACGAGCGAAACTCCAAATAGGACTACATCCCTGAGGATACGGGTAAAATAAATTAGCTTTTGTATTTGGGGGATAAGTAGTATCTACATGTAAATTTGAGTGTACGGGTATTTTATAGCGAGCTTTGGGGTGGCAAACGGCAAGCTTTAGAAGAAAGCTAGGTCTCTGATGCGTCCAATTAATGAGGTTTAAGGGTTAAGGAAGCCGGATGGATGGACGATGGTTAAGCAGAGATGGCTTTATTGGCCTTGGCGATGGCTTCCTTGGCTTCGGTCAAGTCTTCTTCACCACTGTAGGACTCCAAGAACTCGTCCAAGGCCTGCTTGTGTTCTGTGACCTTCTTGAGCAACTCTGGGATCATCTTTCTGGTTTCTTCCAACACTTCGATCTGCTTCTTCAAGTCGTATTCGTCGGCATTGTTAGCCTTCAAGTTATCCACCACGACTTGTTGTTCAGCCAATTCCTCGCGGTAGAGGGATTCTTCCTTCATTAATCTGTTTAAGGACTTGAGTTTGATTTCTAACTTAGTGGGAGCCATGGTTGTGTTCTGGTATTTGGGGTATTGTGACAAAAACAGTAGAGCACTATTGTTTATACATGTCTGGATCATGTTAATGTTTTGCTGAGCCGCTGCAGCGCGTACGTACTGGTGTTTACACGCGTAAGTCCGAGCTCACTGGGAATTCTCGCGTTAAGTGTATACACTAAGTGCTTAGAAAATAATTGGATTCCATGATATATATAGTGGGCGTCTATAAATGAAGTTTGCTAACTTAATCTTCAAGATTATAATATTGTGTGCTTAATATATTTATATCCGCATATATACGTACGCCTAGTATCAATACATATTAATATTTAACATTTATTTAAATTTATATTATACGAAAACGTAAATATATATCGCTTACCATTGTCAATAGATGCATCATTGGAAGTAACAGTTTATATAGCTGGTACATTAATCCGTCCGCGCTAAAAACATCAGCATACTCATTGATAAAGCAATATATCTTATCAAGAACTCCATATCCTATTTGAAACTACAGTTTTCAGGGAGGTATCGGCAATTGCTGGTCCGCATCTAGGGGCTAACACGATAATTGTCGTGCAAAGTCTCCGCCACAAGGGTAATACGAGGCGATGTGCAGGATAACATTGTCAGCCAATGCATGAGAATAGAGCCGAAATAAGGCTGAGATGATCTAGTGCTACCTGATAACCGTCTAAAAGATCTCGGTTACACAAAGGCCCTGCATTCACAAGGAATCCGTTATGCTTCGGAGACTCTTTACCCCCAGATCGTTCACGATCCTATGCAGCACTGCCTGCTTCTTCTTCCTCGCCTATATTATGCTCTTCCAGTATGACGTAATGGAGGACAATATCTCGGCCATTAGGGGACTGTTGACAGATATTTCGAACTTAAACCACCTCCCCGCCCAAATTGGGGATATCCTATACTACAAGAAGCTGAATCCGAGTAAGCTGGTACTGAAGAAGGTACGCCAAGCTCACGATGATCTCTACCACGAAATTCTTACCCAAAAGATTGCTTTGCCCAAGGTGGAGAATCTAGTAATGGCTCCCGCAACTCAGGAGGGAGAAGGTATGACGGAAACCCCATACCAGAGGGAAAATGCAACGTTGGTGGTGTTGGTGCGGAACAACGAGGTCCGCAAGCTTTTAGTGACCATTAAGGAACTAGAACTGCGATTCAACAACAAATTCCACTACCCATACGTATTCCTAAACAACAAGGCGTTCAACGATGACTTTAAAAATAAAATCCTCGGTGTTCTCAACCACAAGGATCAAGAGGTTTTCTTTGAGAAAATCGATCCATCGGACTGGAACCAACCAGCATTCATCGACACACAGAAACAGAATGCCGGGGTGGCACATATGGTCGAGGAAGACGTTGCCTACGCTAACATGATCTCATACCACAACATGTGCCGTTACAACTCCGGTAAGTTCTACCACCATTCACGTATGGCAAACTACAAGTACTACTGGCGCTTTGAACCGGGTACCCGCTATTTCTGTGACATAGACTACGATGTCTTCAAGTTCATGGCTGCTAACAAGAAGGTGTACGGATTTGTCATCAACTTGTATGATATCCCGCAGTCTGTGGAGACCCTTTGGGCCACCACGATAAAGTTTATTGAAGAGAACCAGCAATACATCCACCCTAACGGAGCATTCAGCTGGCTCACCGAAAGCGTGCAGAATCTGCACAAGTATGAAATGACCAAAGGCTATTCCACTTGCCATTTCTGGTCGAACTTTGAAATCGGTGATATGGACTTCTACCGTGGAGAAGCTTATAGCAAGTGGTTTGACACGTTAGAAGCCGCTGGCGGGTTTTATTACGAGAGATGGGGCGATGCTCCAGTGCATTCGGTCGGCTTGGGACTCTTTGCCGATAAGGATTCGATTCACTGGTTTAGAGATATTGGATACGAACATCCGCCGTATCTTAATTGTCCAAACCTGGACCGATGCCAGGGTCGGTGTAAAGCGGGTGCATTTAGTAGAGGAGGAAACTTGCTAGGTGAAAGCTGTTTGTCCACTTGGTGGGAAAAGGAAATGAGCGAAGTCCAGCGGGGATTGTACTAACATGCCGACTTTTATGTATATATGGTGAGTTTTTCCTTTATTAAAGGTACCAGTCTGTTCTAAATAATCGTCCCCTAAACTCAAACCCTAACGGCTACGGCTTTCCCAGTCAAGGAGTATCTAGCCCCGCAAAAGCATATCGTCACGAGCACACTGAGTAAGCCACAGAACAAAACAAAGTGGTTGTAATTTCTTCTCGACTCGTTGCCAATAAGGATACCGGAGACTGGAATGAACACAAGGTTTCCAACAGCCACCATCAAAAACACCATGGCGTAGCACCGGCCGTAGCTCTTGATCGGGGTCACCTGGGCTAGGCACACTGGTGCAAGACAAAGGATGCTAGCGGAAGTGACGCCCAATAGAGCGGCAAACGCATACAAAATCGGTAGTTGGTTTCCCAAGGGAAGCCAAAGGGTAAAGATACTCAATGTCACGAGTAAAAGCATGCCTGTGATAACGTTGAAACATCCAAACTTACTCACCATAACTCCCGGAAGGAACCTTCCAATAATACCTGATGCATTGATGACTGTGATCAAAAGATACGCAGTCCTCTCTTCTACTCCCTGCGCCACGGCGTAGGAAGAGAAGTAAGTCATCGCGGTAATGAGGTAGACTTCGGCTCCAGCCATCCCAAGCGCGCATAGCGTAAAGCGCGGATTTTTAAACGCCTTGAGATCCACAAGGTTGTTGATCTGGGATTTTATCCGCGCAAGCAAGTTCTGGTGCTGTGTCTGACTGACGTCCATAGGGCCAGTACTGGCTCTCACCATGCGAAAGCGCTCTTTTGTCAACCAGATGGAGATCCCAGAAGACACAAAGCAGAGCAACGCCAAAACCCGAATGGCCCATGAGAACCCAACAGAGGTGTATAAGGATGAAAGCAACAAGGGGAGGACTACGCCTCCTACCGAGACGCCAAGGGTGGCCAAGCCAGCGGCCATGGCTCGCTTTTGGCTGAACCAGTGTGATACGAGACAAAAGAGCGGGGTTTGGAGGAAGGCCAACCCCAAGCCAGTGCATACACCAAACGAGAGAATAAACTGGTATACTGTTTGCGAGCTAGCAGTGCCAAGCAAACCAGCGGTGGATAAAAACATTCCAACCGTCATTGGTAAACGAGACCCGTAGTGGTCAAAGAGAGTCCCTCCGATCAAGCAGAAGCCAAAGTTGGTTGTCAAAAGAATGGAAAAGATCCAGGAGACAGTGGATGGGGGAACGTCTACCAACTGGTGAGTGGAGATGTACGTTTGGATGGTTCCCAAACTATTGATCAAACCGAAATCAAAGGTCAAGCCTAAAAAAGAGCCTAGAACCACCATCCAGGCATCTCTTCCGCCATCGGGATACGATTCTTCTTCCTCGTTTGTCAAACTATCAGCGCCAACAATACCCAGGACTTGACGTAATGAGGAGTCCTCATGTTGGGCGAGAGCCATCTCAAGTGATGGTTGGTAGCTGGAGCTGGCGGCCGCCACGTTGGTTACCCGTAGACTATTTGAGGTGGAAGCGCTGGCATTCTGATACACTAATTCATCAATAGAAATGGCTTGGATTTGGATATCTTCACGGCGATTTTCCTGCAGGTGTATTTTTGGGAGGGCTAAGGGGGTACTCATGCTAACCAGAAGGATTAGAGTGATGCGCAGATGTTTCGGTTAAGAGTCGTGCTTAAACACCTTGCGAGGGTTATTTCAGTGATTTATATAGCTAACTTCTGGGAATGGCTAATACAATGAGTGTCCACTAACGTGCAACTTGGTATCCCTAATTTTTTTGGGTGATAGTTTTGCAAACTTTAGTTTACGCTACCAGATGCTAGAACAATACCCGTCTAGGGGGTGGCGGATCGTCGTGGCATCCCTGGCATAATGAAGAGCTGAAACGCAGGGTACCTGCGTAGTTAAACACCTACGGCGCTACACATATAGAGCTGTAGTAGGATATATAAACAGATTACCAGATTATATGACTGTTATTCAACACAAACACGTTTCAAAGTGACAGAGGCACGTATAACAATTGTTTTGTTCCCCGCAGACCTGCCTGAAAGCACAGTTTTGCAGATTGTACCCTCAGAAGGCAATGGCGCATAATTTAGCGCGATTTGGAAGTTATATCCGACGCAACGACTATCCCAAAGTGGCTAAGCGCCCACCGGCTTATCTCGCCATATTTTATACCCCAGAATGAACCCATATAAAGCAACGAACCGCTAGTCTTGACATTTTCCAACGTGCCATTACCTCTAAAAACTTCTTTTCAGAAAAAGTACCCAAGAAGCCTCATATATATACGTAACAATGGATCCATCCCCTATCAAACCAAAGACCTGTTGCAGCGGTGCCAGCTGTAAGTGTGGCTCCGGGTGCAAATGCCCATCTTGCAATACGACCAAGTACGTTTTGATTAGACATTCCTCTCTTTCAGCTTGAGGTGGTTACTAACGATGCTATAGGTTATAATACAAAGGCGCTAATAACCCCAGTCGCTTGCACCTCTCGATATGCCGTTCTTCGAAGATGGAACTTTCAGACGGGCCGAAAAAATATCAAGCAACGTTATCGAATTTTCACAACCCTCCCTGGATTTCGCCGGCTGTGGACCGAGTCCTTAAAAGTAAGTGCGGGAACCGGGAATGTACCAGAGTTTTATCATGCATATAATTTATAGGAATAACTAAACGTTTATCTACCATCACGGAGTGACAGAATCATAAAAACTTTTCATATAACAAGCCACATACCCTTTTAATTACATATACTGTCAGCTCACCACTCCTATCATGTCTTCATTAGAGGCCCAGCTACTGGACCGTAATTCCCGTCTTGCTGCCTTAAGAAATAAAAGGAGACCCCAAAACACCGTTCAATCTCCTGTCGCCCCAGACACCACATCGGCGTTAAGCGATACTCTGATAGTTGCACCATCTGCTGATGCGAATCAAGCCCAAGAAACAGTACACACTGAAGCTCTACTTGACGACGAGGCGAGCAGTCCCAGTGCCGCTCCTACGTTTGAGATTTCGGGTGAAAACAGAACTGAAACCATCGAGGCTATATCGCTTTCCATCCAAAACAAATTCTTGAATGAACATTCCAGGGCTATCCAGGCTGAGCTTAATGATCTGAACAACCAAGACCCTGATGAGATGCATCAGCCGCTCAAACCTCACCAACAACTAATGGAAAGGTTACAAGACAAGGTGACGTTGCTAGAGGAGAGAACCACGCGCAGTTTGCGGGAGATACTAAAGCAGAGAATAGAGGAGGAGAGACAGAAGCAGTCGGCGTAGGAATACCAAGAAATAAAACAATGAAATAAAATAAAAAAAGGTCTTACCCTAGAAATACTATGAGCACGTATCTATTATACATATATTAGTTGTGATATTACTGGCCACTAGGGATTTGTGTAGTCGCAATATTAGGCGGCGGGGGCGTTCATGGCTTCATAAAAGTACAAAACGGCAAACACAAAGAAGGCCACTGCACCGCCCAAGGTGACGGTTCTCATGGAGATCCTGGAGGCCAATAACTTACCCCCGATGACGGCACCACCGGTACAGATCCCATGGCCGATGATGGCACCCAAGATGACGTACCAGTAGTCACTACCGGCAGCCATGGCGATAGTGGCGATTTGCGATCTGTCACCCCATTCACCCAAAAAGGTCATGATAAACACCTGCACCCAGATCGGAGAGAACACAAAGCCAGCCAAGTTGGAAAACTCTTCGGTGGCTGCTTCCAACCACGATTTGGAGGTGCTCTTAGCCTTCAGGTCACCGCTCTCGACGGAGTCCATGCGGGAGTTAATAGAGGAGGAGGCAATCTCCTCTTCCACCTCGGCCATTTCCTCAGCAACCCCCAACTCCTTAGACATGGCTAAACCCTCCTTGACCAACTTGAAGCCGAAAATCACAAAGAGAGCCGATGCCAAGAACTGGGTGGCGCGCTGTGGGATCAACGCAGGCAACGCGTGGCCCACAATACCTGAGAGAACCGTCATGACCGCTAAGGAACTGAAGGCGGCAGTGAAAACCACAAGACGCGACGACCTCATTGCCATAAGCGCGGCAATCAAGAAGGTCTTGTCACCAACCTCAGAGACCAAAATCATGGAGATGGACATGAAAAAGGAGTTGTACGCGCTGGTTTCCTCTTCCGATGTGCTTGTAAGGTCCTGGTCCTTGCCCTTGTGGACAGAGCCAGAAACGATGCCCTTCAGACTATCGACACTGGAGGAGTCATCGGTGGCCTTATCGTTCCTTTCCACAACCGCCTTGGTGAGGGCGGCGGCGTTGATGGCGGCGGGAGCAACCAGATCACCATCGACAGGTAAAGCGGAAGCCGCGCTCAAGGCAAGAGCGGTGGCAAGTAGAAACTGAGAGTACTTCATGTAGGTGTGACGGCGAATAAAATCTACTTTTGCGTGAGGGAGAGTACCAAGGTATGATGTTTAACGAACAGCGCTAAACAAGCAGTGAATGCGCGTAGAGGGGGAAGCGGAGGAAGAAACAAACTGAAGGGATGGCATCAAATCGGCAGTGCCGCGCGATACTAACTATGGAACAATACACGTAGAGTTTTTCCAGTGCGTTTGGAAATTTTCGAGAGCCACAAGACTAAACAGGAGAAATGACATCACGTGTTTCTCCGATCCTTGAGGGGTTTCCCTCAACTCCGAAGGCTTATGCGCAGGACTGATAGCGTCAGCTTACTCTCTCGGCTTGTTATTAGCCGGCCCGCGAGCGCGTGGTGAATGCTACGTTTTGGAAAGCCGGCGAGGTTTTCGGGATTAGCTCGCGATGCCCGGATATGTACTATAATGTACTGGACAAGGCCTTGCGTTGTTTGCCTCACGCTAAATAACCTACTTGTGGTGAAAGAATTTATACGTAGAGCCCCGGTCCGTACCTTGGCTATTAAAACCGCATACTCTTGGGCGTACACTTGGAGCCCTATATTGGTCATTTCCATTATGTAACTGCACGCCCACAACTTTAGGGCCTGCCACTACGTAATTATACTTCTCTTGTTTTACGAATCCATCAACCAAATTACTTCCTGGGCATCGGCATACCCCTTTACTTTTCCAGATCAGTCGGATACTTAGGATTACAAACAACGGAGCAAAGGACTTCGAAAACAGTACAATTTCTATTGTTTCAGTAATCCATTAGGGTTTGAGAAACCACTAAACTATTCAAGCTTAGTGGATGCCCCTGTTCTCTCTGGGAAAGTAAGTGTCGCAACCTTCGTCTTTCCTTACGATACTCTGTGGCTCTTATCCGAGATACCTTATGTTTGATCGAGGCCATCCATATAATGGCTCATGTCATCGGTTCAGTCTAAAATCAGCTCTACAGGTGATGTACAATAAATATGGAATAGAAACAGAAAGAAGGAAAACGTTATACCGTCGAGGGACTTTTAAATAAAAGTGAATAATTTAGATGTGTAATATGCTAAAACAATGGCTCGCACGAGCAATTGCTTTTGAAGGGTGGCACAGGCAATTCGGCATGTCGCTAAAAGGCCCGCCTTTGGAAAAAGGGTGAAGGGGGATGAATTTAGTGGTGACCACCGACGTGAGGAACACCAACGGCCTTACCATCCAAGACCTTACCTCCCTTGGTCCAGCCACCATAGGAAACTGGTTCGCCCAACTGTTCTTCAAAGTGCTTGATTCTGGCTTCCATTTCCGGACGGAAAGACTTAATCAAGCCCTGGACTGGCCAAGCAGCAGCGTCACCCAAGGCACAAATGGTCTGACCTTCGATCTCCTTGGTTAACTCGTACATCATATCGATCTCACGAACGGTGGCCTGGCCGGTGTAGAAACGGTCCATCATTCTCTGCAAGTAGGTGGTCCCTTCACGGCATGGCGTACATTGACCACAGGATTCGTGCTTGTAGAAAGAAGACAATCTCTGGATGGAGCGGATCATGTCAGTAGATTTGTCCATGACAATGACGGCGGCAGTCCCCAAACCGGAACCGACGTCCTTCAAGGCATCAAAGTCCATCAAGATGTTGTCACAGGTGGCCTTTGTCATGACGGGAACGGAGGAACCACCTGGAATAACACCCAAAAGGTTGTCCCAGCCACCTCTGACACCGCCACAGTGCTTCTCCAACAACTCCTTCAAGGGAATGGACATCTCTTCTTCGACGGTACATGGCTCGTTAACGTGGCCGGAGATACAGAATAACTTGGTACCGGCGTTTCTCTCTCTACCGAAAGAGGCGAACCACTCCCCACCTCTTCTCAAGATGGTCGGCGCAACAGCAACGGTTTCGACGTTGGTGACGGTGGTTGGCCTACCGAACAAACCAACACCAGCCGGGAAAGGCGGCTTTAATCTTGGCTTACCGGCCTTACCTTCGATGGACTCAATCAAGGCGGTTTCCTCGCCACAGATGTAGGCACCCATACCACGGTGGATGTACAAGTCAAAGCTGTAGCCGGAGCCACAAGCGTCCTTACCCAACAACCCGGCGGCGTAAGCCTCGTTGATGGCGTTTTGCAAGTCAACGGTTTCGTTGTAGAATTCACCTCTGATGTAGATGTAACCGGCAGTAGCATTCATGGCTCTACCGGCCAACAAACAACCTTCAACCAACTTGTGGGGGTCCTTTCTGATGATTTCACGATCCTTACAGGTACCCGGCTCACCCTCATCGGCATTGACCACCAAGTAACGCGGGCCAGGGTTCTTTTCCCAGCCTGGTGGGTTCATGAAGGACCACTTGAGACCGGATGGGAAACCTGCACCACCTCTGCCTCTCAAGCCAGACTTTTTCATTTCGTTGATGATCCAGGTGTCACCCTTCAAGATGATTTCTTTGGTCTTGTACCAGTCACCCATTCTCTGGGCGTTCTTGAGGTCCTTACCGTACTTGCCGTAGACGTTTTGGAAAATACGGTCTTGATCCTTCAAGCCGCCGTGGACTCTGTTAGGAGTGGCAGCATCGGCGGCGGTAGCCAAACCACGTTTCAATGAAGATGAACGTAAACCTCTCAACATTGCGTATGTATGCGTGACGATCGATTCTGTGTAGCACGGGCTAGGGCGTCTATACCACCTTTATGTTATCGTTTATACTGGCCGTGCAATTGGATTTTCGCCTGCATGACAAAAGTTTGGTAACGACTTTTCCCTCCTTATGATTGGGTCTCTATGGGACAGGGCACATGTGCATAAAATCAGTCACGTGCATGGACTACGGAGTTTATCTACCTGGTATCGGTCTTACGAGACTACAATAAGCTGAAAATATTTGGGCGGGGGAACGTGAAGCGCACAAAAATTGAACGATTGCTCTGTAGCGATATCAAAAAACAGTTTAGCTCACCTGGAGTAAAGGGTGTTTTTTTCGAGGATTACCGGCCAACAGCAACTGGCCTTATAGTGCAATAGATTCATGGCCTTTCTAAAAATCATAAATTCAGACATGACTGGTCCGTATTCCTTAAAACTTTGCAAATATCTATAGCATGCACATTAATAGCAAAAATAAAAAGAATCTAGTAAAGGGTTACCCCTCAGTCAGCAACTCGCATGTTATTGCAAGCAAACGAGCCCGTTCCATATAACAATATACTCGCGGCAAGAAGCTTGACCGCGACAGCCGCTTCCTCTCCATTTAGATTCAGCGAACCTTGCTGTGTGTTTTTTGGCCAATGACCACATCGGCACCATTATCTCTGAAGGGTTAGTCCACTTTAACTTCTGGAGGGTCTCACTGAGTGAAAACCCTTCCAACGAAGAAAGCAAGTCTTGCAACATGGGTAAATCCAACCCAAGGATCTCCATGCCCGTAACCCAGGCATCGAGGGGCATACTGATTCTGTGCATAAACTCATACCTATCTTCCGGCTGAGATCTAGACGACACAACAAGCGGGCGTCCAACCCACGATTCTTTAGCAGACAAGCTGGTCATTGTCAGTTTGATAAAGGATAGTTCCAAGTCGTACTCTCCGGTGGCGGTCAGGGGTGACACTGTACGCTGTGATGGCTGTAGTGCCAAGTGGAAAGAGGTACACGGACGCGGCTGTAACACACTTTCTGCAGAAAACGACGAAATATTCAGTAGGAGGGTAAGGTTTGAAGAGGAAGTATGAGATAGTTGGAAACTGAGTGTGGATGCACTTGAGGAGGTACACGTTGATGGAGTAGCTGAATCATCTTTTGAAGCTGGGAAATGGTTATATTTTTGACCTCTCCACCCCATGGATCTTGTGTCATAAGCCCCTTCCTCCAGAATGGGTCGTATGAGAGGGGATGTCCTGATTACGGCTTCATTCCTCAATTCCAATGGTAAACTTAAATCCTTGGCAAAGTTTAGTTTGAAGTACCAGTCAATAAGACTTTCCTCTGAGAAGCACTGGATTAAGATCTGCTCAGACTCGAGTCTCATTCTGAGGAACACAGTAGAGGGCCCTACCTGGACATCAGTCGCCACACCAATGCTAGCCCGCTGCAACGTATAGGATGCCGTAGGCCAGTATGTGGATACTAAATACGACTTCACCAAAGACTGGGCCATAACGGAAGAGGGGATCCGCTGAAGGGTGGATGGGTATGCAGATGTGAACAATTTGTTACTAATTGTCTTAGGGTCTTGCTTGTCCGACTTGAGGTTCTTTACCAAGCCAGCGAGTTTTGAGCTGAGAGTCTTGGGCACCAGTCCAACAGCTGTTTTCTCGCCTCCAAGCTGGCTATCCACGATGTCCACCAACGACGGGATTGTCTTTGCGGTATCGTTCGGGCAGAGCTGGTAAAAGTTCACCTGTGTAGAGTTGAGTTCCATGAAACACGGCATCCATCCAGGAATAACCTTGTAAAGTTCAAAGGGGGATACTGCTTCTCGTTTTACAAGAACAAGTCCGAAATTCTCCAACGCTGGAGTGTAAAGGGGTAATAGCTCATCGTGCGGCTTGTACGCTGGTGGTTGGCTAATGTCGTGGCGCGGAGTGGAAACTGGATCGATACTTTGATAAGGGGGTGGCTGCATTCAGGGTTGTAATGTATTTCTGAGTGATGATAGGAGAGATAAGGGTCAGAGAGGGGCAAGTGGTAGTGCTTTTATTTATCAAAACGGTCGGACCCGGCCACATGCTACGAAGTGAGTAAATGAGTGGGGGTTATGTCTACCGAGCAAACGACAGCCGCAAAGAAGATAAATTGGTACAATCTACATATGTGAAATGATCTAGACAGCACGCCTGCCGGATAATCACGTCACAGGGTCCGAGATAAGCGTTAACGTTGAGTAAGGAAGTACATAGCGGGTGGGGGTCATCATCTGCATGACTTAAAGCATAATGCTAATCCTCTCACGTGCAATTTACATAAGTGGTTAAGTTCGCAGCACGTTTTACTATCTTCCGATCACGCTGAATCCTGCGGTGTTATTCGAACCTATGGTTGGTTCTGGGGCTACTGACAATAGAAAAGGTTCGTTTATGCTATTTTCAGGTTCAGATAACATTCACCACTCTCAACATATTAAATTAGTACAAAGCGGCCTAGGACTTTCCATTACATATTTGTAGCTTGCTTCAATCCATAGCTATTGCTTACTGAGAACTTGCCTGGGGTTAGTATGCCGTTGTAACTCAAAAGGTACACGGCAAACTACCAGCAGGGCAATGTCTCGTCATGCAAGTGATATGTAATTAGATATGCCACGGCGTTCTGTCATGACTCACTCAACAGTGATTCAACTAACGCCGTGCCAACATTTACAAGCATCAATACATATGAGCATCATTACTTTGGGATAAACGTGCTAATGACTTAGTATATGATACTCTAAAAAATCACAAGGGAGTGGGATCCAAAGGCTATTACACCCAAACTAGCCTTGCCTTGGTCACGATATCACACGTCTGCCGAACACTATTACCGTTCTGTGGGTTCTGGGAATGACTTGAGGATTGTCGCGCTTGGATGCCGTTCAGGATAAACGGGATTGCGGAAGCCTACTGCGGATCGGAATCGGGGAATAATTACCCTACGTCACTACTGCGGTTTAAGGTTTAGTAAGATTTTCGTGTGTATGCAACCAACCCAAGTGCTTAGGTGAGAAAGGATAGCGGATGGGTATTCCGACTCGGGATTTGTCTCAAGAAATGGAGGTTTTATGATCTACCATTAACCCACATTCTCCTCACTGCGACAGATATAGAAAACCCCACGCTTAAGCACGCTAATATCTGACATGGTGTATACACACTTTGTGGAGATAAGCCCGGTTGTGCATACGCATCTCGGCTGCCAGGGAAGGGCGACCACGGTTTAAGCTTCGGGGCTGTGCCAGAGCGCCCGCAATCAAAAACAGACGTTTAGTCGACAAAAAAATGTGCCACCTAGATTTAGTCAGGTGTGATCACCGAACGGCAAACACGGTATGTTGCTACTCCACAGAGCACAGCCCCACTGGTCGATGTAAAGTACGTAATCGCATTAAGGTCTGGGCACATTAGCTTGCGCGCCGAGAGCCATATACAAGCACTACTGAAAAAGGGTGTATCTGATAAGGCTGTTATCACAAAAGCTACTTATGGCTCTCTCAGTGTGCAGGTACATTCTCACCTGACAGAGCCATAACTAGATTTTGCGATACAAAACGCTATAGTTAAAATGCCAAATCAGTATTTCTCTATTTAGAGGCACAAACGCAATTACAGATCGATTTAAACCAACTCCTTAGTATACACATTAATGAAGAGTCTTGATAAAATTATCAAGATTGTACTCCTCTTCGTACTGAGATTCGTCCCACAACTCGGCCAACTCACCGACGGCAGCGCCAGCCTTCCCTGTGAGTCCGGTATCCTCAACGCCATCCTTCTCTTCAGCATTACCTTCAACCAACCCGGAACCCTCGTCCACATCAAATAAGTCAAGCAATTGGTTAGTGTCCATCGACGCCAATCCCGCGTTCTGCTGGTTGACAATCGTACTAGCAATGTTCATCTTGAACTTCTGTAAACCCATGATTTTCTCCTCCAAGGTGTCCTTGGTAATCAATCTGTAGACGTTCACCACCTTCTTCTGTCCTAATCTATGGGCTCTGTCCATGGCCTGCAAATCGTTCATCGGGTTCCAATCATGCTCCACAAAGATGACGGTATCGGCACCGGTAAGATTCAATCCCAAACCACCGACCTTGGTGGTCAAAAGCAACACATCGATGGATGGATCACCATTAAACTGTCTCACAATGTCTTGTCTTTGACGGGGATCGGTGCTACCATCCAATCTCATGTATGTCACATTCGGCATGTGTTTCTTGAACAAGTCGTTCTCCACCATATCTAACATATCCTTCAACTGACAGAAAATTAATGCTCGGTGCTGACTAATAACAGACAACTGGCCCTTCTTTTCTTCAACACCGATCCCACATTCCAACAACAAGGTCTGAAGAGAGGTCAACTTCGGAGCATGTCTGATGTCTCTAATCGACATCTTGGTCTCCTTCAAGTACTGGTTCACTTGGGTATACTGTGGATGCTTGGAAGACATCACCAACGCCGGGTGGTTGCACAACTTTCGCATGTACTGCAACGCCTGGAAAATGTGGGTCTTCCCCTCCGTCTCCTCTGTGTTCACCTCCTCCTCTACCGTTGCCTTTTGCTTTCTGGCAAAATCTTTGTACAACTTCTTCTGCAACTCACTGAGTTCACAGTAGTAATCCTGGATGATCTTTGGGGGGAGGTCCGATAACACGTCCTCCTTGAGTCGACGCAACATGAATGGAAGCACCTGTTTGTGGAGCGATTCCAACGCCAAAGCACCGGCCTCTTGCTCCTTCGAAGATGTTTTACTGTTACGGCTGGCAGCAATCGGCTTGGCAAACTTTTCTTGGAAGCTCTTTTCGGTCCCCAAAAATCCCGGCATGAGAAAATCGAACAACGACCAGAGCTCGAGGACATTATTTTGGATAGGCGTACCCGACAAAATCAACCTGTGATCAGCCTTGACCATCTTGACAGCTTTGGTTAACTTTGCAGCCGCGTTCTTGATGATATGGCCTTCATCCAACACGCAGTAGTTGAAGTCGTGCTTCTTGATGAACTCGATATCGTTACGGGCAACGTCGTAGGACGTGACCACAACGTCAGCCGAGGTTACCGCGTCACGGAGCGAGCTTCTAATGGACGGACCGCCAGCGTACACGAGCACCTGCAAGAACGGAGCGTATTGGTTGAGTTCCTGCTCCCAGTGGCCGGTTAAGGATGGTGGGCAGATCACCAACGACGGCACCTTGCGGAACTCTACAGACAGGGTCTTGGCGTACTCCTCAGCTCGAATGTGGTGGTCGCTGGACACAATACAAATCGTCTGCAACGTCTTACCGAGACCCATGTCATCACAGAGAATCCCGTGGAGACGGTACTTGTTCAAGAACGCCAACCAGTTGACCCCCTCCTGCTGGTACTTACGCAAGGTGGCCTTAATGGTGACTGGCAAGTCGAACAGCTTGATCTTGGTAGGGTCCATCATCTGCTGGATGAACTCTCTCTCCTTGTCTCTGTCCACCATTAAGTCCTCCGGCATGTCTGGCGGATCCGGAATACCGGCCTCCAACGGCACAAGCTTGATAATCGAGGCAAACGTGGTGGAGGCAAGGATACGCACATCCTTATCAGAGTCACTCATACGCCCCATAACTGGTACTATGAGAAAGACCACATACGGGAGAATGGCAGCCCCCATAATAGATGACAAGTGGTAGACACATTCTATCGCACCCTGGCGCTCCTTCACTTCACCTGCGTTATTCAACATAGGAATGATAGAGTTCACAAGGAAGGGGAAAACGCGAGACGGAATGGTTGCACAGAGAGTAGCGACACACTTAGCGGTGGAGTAGCGGAACACCGAAAAGTCGGAACGCAACCCGGTAAGCATTTCCGGGAGCTTGGCGGTGATTTCCCCATGCAACAGGCTGTCGATCTTCGGGATCAACGCCCGTAAGATCCCCAACGAGTCCACAACGGTCTGTCCCTTCAAATCGTCCTCCTTCAAGGTAGCAAAAGTTTGGTTCTGAAGCAACGCAAGAGGGCCCAACATGGCATCCTTAAGGCGTGGCACCTTGTCAAACAACTCAGAGCCATAGTACTTCAAAATGCTCTCAAGTGCGAGCTTGCCACCGTTGCGCTTGATTCTCGCGAAAAGCACCTCCCGTTCGTGGCGCGCAATGTCCACCGGATCGGTCTTGGCTTCCTCCTTGCGGAGAGACAAAATCTCGTCCGAAAACTCCTTGTTAGGTGCAAACTCTGGCACCTCGGACGTGTCCACGCACAAGAAGCCGCACAAGTTCTTGACAATTTTGTCGGCAATGTTGCTCTTGCCGGCCTTGATTAGTTCGACGTTCAAGTTTGCCACAGCATTGGCAGACCGTTCTTGGAATAGGTGCAAGGTTTCGCACTTGACACTCTCCATGAGAGATCGGATGATCGGGTTGAGCTTCTTTGGCAAACCGTTGAGAGCAACGTAGGCAGCGGCGTAGGAGGCCAAGATTCCGTTTGTTCTTTCCGTTTGGGCAACCTTGGCATCTTCGATAGCAAGAGAGATTCTGTGTTTACAGTCATCGAGGAGCTGCTTCGATGCCATCCGGTAGGTAGGGGAGAGGGAGGCAACGAGCTTGGTGAATGTATCCCCGATAACCTTTTCGGCACTCTCAATGCTGAACGCACTCGGACCGGCCTCCAACTCACCTTGTACGACGACGGGAAGCATCGGAAGTCTGGCCGGTTGTACCTTTCCGCTCTCGATGAAGGTGGAAAAGAGCTGGAGACACTGGGTACGAACACCCTTAAGCGTTGGCACAAGCTCCCTGTAGTACGGAAGGGCCTCGGGGGTGGCCAAAACCGTGTTAAGTAGCTCCAGGAACGCATCACTGGCCAGGGCAGGCGGGCTAAGGCCCTGCTCTCCAAGGGCCCTGCAGTACTCTTCGATAATCAAGGCAGAAAGGATTCGTGGGGTAGAGTGCGGGGCTGCCAAGTACTGCGCGAGTAGGCCAAACACGGTAACCAACTCTTCAGGCGGGAAGAAAGCGAGCGTGCGCCCAAACTCAGTCGCCGATGCGATCTTGGTTCGCACAAACACCTCAACCCCAACCAAGGTGACGTCGCCCTTAAAGATTGGCGCATCAATATTCACCTTATTGTCGTTTTCGACCACAATCGCTGGTTCGGGGGACGGAGGGGTCTTTCTCTTGCGACCGCGACGACCAGATTCTTTGTCGGCGGAGCCCTCGGCATCGGGGTCATCCTCCTTTAGAGGCGAGTAGGTGATACCGGACGGGCGCATGATATAAGCGGTGTTCATCGGGTAACTGTGCCTGGCTACACCCAACGGGGTCATTAGCAAATTGAGTAGTGGCTGGGCATGAGGGGCGAACAAGGTAGCCATGTCTAAAACCGGACTGGCCCTCACCTCGGCCATCAACTTTTCGTAAACCTGAACCGAGAGCTGCAAAACTTCAGTGTTCTGCTCCACAAGCAAGTTCTGGAAAAGAAGTCTCAAGCTCTTGCCGTCAACCCAGGCCTTGGCACTGGCGTCGTCGATGGAAATAAAGGCTATGAGGGTCGTGAGAACGGCCTTTCTGACCTTGGTGATAGAGTGACGCAAGAACGGAAACAACCTTGGTACCAACGACTTGAACGAGGAATCGTCGTCTTCGTCTGCCCTTGTCTTCATAACCTCGAGCACCTCCACGTGGGAACACAACTTGGCCAAAAGGTCCATCACCGACCCAATCGATGCCGACAAATCGTCCTTCAAGTTGGTGAGACAGTCCCAGATGGCGGAGATAATCGTCTGGATGACGCTGCCCTTGAGCTTGACAAAGTCAGCAGCAATCGGCGTGAGAGTGGAAGCAGCAACCGCCTGTACGTCGTCGTCGCTCTCCTGAAGCCCGTGTAGCACAATCTGCACCACCTTATCAAAGAGTTCCGGGCGGTGGAACAAAATATCCGTGCGTACACTCACAAAGTAGCGTAGCCCGAGCATCCCCCCGTGACTAGCCTCCCAGCAAGGAACCTGCAACCCAAGTTTTTCCGGGTTCTGCAAGACTAGCTTGGTGAGGGCATCGAAGGTGCGCAACACAACCTCATCAGAGAGATGAATGAGTAAGGCCGCAAGGGTCTGGGCTGAGGATTCCCTCACCGGCGCCACAACCGTATCCGAGACGTAATCCCCGAATCTGTCAAGCGCAAAAAGGGTACAGATTCTGACTGCCAAGTCCTCTAACGTTTTGCTGTTTTTCACGTCGTTTTGAGCCTTGGTGGCGGTCTTGATTCTCCCGGCGCCCTTACCCTGGGTTCGCATCAATTCTCGGAGACCTAGCGCTGCCCCGTGTCTGATCTCCCAGGCTTCCGAGAACAAATCAAGAATGAGAAGCTCGTAGACACCCTGGAATGGCCACACAAACCCCGCAACCTTTGCGTGGTGGGCAAGTAATGGCGGAACCTCCGGTGTTTTGTGCTCGACAACCAACTTTTCCCCCCCTTGCTGTGAGGTGATGTCGATGTTGGGGGTGGAAGAAGGGGAGGCGGTGTCGGTGACACCTTCGTGAACCAACTGGCGCGACACTGAAGACTGGGAAAGATCGACCGGTCTGATGGTGTGGCTCTGGTTCTTGGCATCTATCTTGGCCTTTCTTCTCGCCATAGCCTTGAGCCTAGCACTGGAGGACTTGCTCATGGGAGTGTCGGATTCGACGGGCGACGCCGGGGCCAGGGTTGGGGACGGAATTGATGCCACTTCGGCCTTGACAACTGGCTTGACATCGGTGTCAGCGGTTTCAAGGATATCGGCGTCAATACCAATACCCATGCCCAACCGGGCGTTGATATTGTTTTTCTGTCTCTTTAATCGCTCTAGCGGGTCGCCAATCTGCGAATCGAGTTCGTCGTAGTCGGCGCCACCGTTGGCAAGCAACTTCTTACCGCTTTTCAAGATCTCCTGTAGTTCCCATTGGCTGAAGGCTACCAAGTGCGAGTCGTTGTCAAAGAGTTCTAGCTCCTCCTTCTGGAACTTTAGATCCTCCTCCTCTTCTTTCTTGATCGCATCGTAGTCGGGCATGTCTACGTCAAGTTCCTCTATTTTGGGTTTGATGTCTGGTTCTGTGGTTGTTTCATTAGTCTCGTTAGCGTTGGGATCCCAGAGCTCGGAGTGGTTGACAATTCCCCCAAACGCCCTCGCGGCGGCAACTCTCGTTTCCCATTTCTTATTCTTAAGATAGGGGTACACACGACCCAATAGATTGAGAATCTCTTCGGGATGGCCCTTTGCGAGATCGGATAACTGATCCGCAGCGGTGTTTCGGATGAATTGAGTCGACCCTGTTTCAAGTAAGATGACCAATCTTTCCAAACGCGACATGGATCAGTTCAGGCTTGCTGTGTGATTGGGGGGGCGGGAAAAAAAGGGAGCCCCAATATTTGTTGCCGATGGAAGTTCACGACAAATGCAAAGGTAAAAAAAATTAGAACAAAAACTGGTCGGTGCTGGAATCGGGGTGTAGTTGGGCTGGGCGTCTGTTTAGTTTGATTTATTTCAAGGTTGCATTTTGTTTTTCGCTTGTTAGGAAAAGTGATCCTTTATATATGGAGCGTCTGCGGCGTGAAGGTTGCCGCACAGGAAAAAAAAACAAAAGAAAAATCAACGTCAAGATAGAAGCACGTGATGAGTCAGGAGACTAATCACAAGGACACGACCTTAAACGTGACTAGGTGATTATTGGATAAGGCACGACTATTGTGATGGTCGTGTGAGAAGTGGAATGGATACACTACAGCTGGGTAGTTAAGGCGCCAGACAGCAGTGAAAATTGAATACAGCAGGCGATCCCGTGGATGAGTAATATTAGTGCAGGACTGGTGTGGGAGGAGAAGCTTTCAGCCCTGAGTGCCACACACGACTCAGCACCCGTAAAACATGTTCATGTACAACCAACTGGTACGTATCTTTTGTCAGCATTCATCATTACCTGAGTTATCAAGGTAAAAGTCTTTGCATACGTAAAGTGTGATAGCACATAGAACTGTTTTAGAACCAAAATATAATCCTAACATCGAAGCATTGTCTTCTTTCCTCAATGTGTCAGTATTCGTGACGGGGGCCACCGAGTCTGGAGGGCAGTAGCACTAGCCTGCTAGATTTTTCTGAACTTCATCGGAGTGGAACAAACGCAAGGGCTGTATGTGAGCTAATCTGTAAGTTGATAGAGACTTCATATATCCTTTGTATCACCTTCTGATTTAGCATAGCCAAAGGTCTCTTGACCACAATCTTTGTGGTGGGGAAACAGCTGAGGATGTGTGTGTATCATGACTAATTAGAGATATACGTAGACGCTGAAAATATTTCGGCGGGCGACCGAGGTGAAATTCGTGGAAACAGAAGACGAGCAATAAGGATATCCTGTCTTGATTCTCTCGGACTATGACTCTGAAAGTTTTTTTCGCAGCGCTCGCCCGTGACGAGCGCGCTTAGCTGCGCAGAGAAATGCCCGATACGGCAAGATATGGAGCAAAGATTTGTCACACCTGTTGCATCTGTGCCGGATAAAAGGCATAAGAGTCAGAGGCACATACAATCAGTGCAGGACGGGTTCCAAACGGCCCAGAACCGGCATGAAAAATTTGTCATAGCTATCGCGAGGAGAAGGTAGAGCAACCTGCTCGCGTATATAAGTAACATCCCTCCCCGTAATTTTTCAATCATTTCTGGGTCTCTGTCGTAAACATCACATTATCTCTCTATCACTCTCTGATATCTAGATACTTTTAGTAGCATTTTCCTGACCCTCAAATCACACATTCACAATGGCTCAACAAAATCCATATGGTCCAAACCCAGGCGATTTTCTCTCCAACGTCTCCAACTTCCAGTTGATCGAATCCACCTTGAGAGAGGGTGAGCAATTCGCCAACGCGTTCTTTTCTTCTGAGAAGAAGATTGAGATTGCCAAGGCCTTGGATGACTTTGGTGTCGACTACATTGAGTTGACCTCCCCTGTCGCCTCCGAACAGTCGCGTAAGGACTGTGAGGCTATTTGCAAGCTCGGCTTGAAGGCCAAGATCTTGACCCACATCAGATGCCACATGGACGATGCCAGAGTCGCCGTCGAAACCGGTGTTGACGGTGTCGACGTTGTGATTGGTACTTCTCAGTTCTTGAGACAATACTCTCACGGCAAGGACATGAACTACATTGCCGAGTCTGCGGTTGAAGTTATTGAGTTTGTCAAGTCTAAGGGAATTGAAATTCGGTTCTCGTCTGAGGACTCGTTCAGATCCGATATTGTCGATTTGTTGAATATCTACCGTACCGTCGATAAGATTGGCGTCAACAGAGTTGGTATTGCCGACACCGTCGGGTGTGCCAACCCTAGACAGGTATACGACTTGGTCCGTACCTTGAAGTCTGTTGTCTCTTGTGACATCGAGTGCCATTTCCACAATGATACCGGTTGCGCTATTGCCAATGCCTATACTGCCTTGGAAGCTGGTGCTAGATTGATTGATGTTTCCGTCTTGGGGATTGGTGAGAGAAACGGAATCACCTCTCTTGGTGGTTTGATGGCCAAGATGATTGTCTCCGACAGGGACTATGTTTTGTCCAAGTATAAGTTGCACAAGTTGAGAGACTTGGAGAATTTGATTGCCGACGCTGTCCAGGTTAACGTTCCATTCAATAACCCAATCACTGGTTTCTGTGCCTTTACCCACAAGGCTGGTATCCACGCCAAGGCTATTTTAGCCAACCCATCCACTTACGAAATCTTGAACCCATCTGATTTTGGTTTGACCAGATACATCCATTTTGCCAATAGATTGACTGGTTGGAATGCCATCAAGTCTCGTGTCGACCAGTTGAACTTGCATTTAACCGATGATCAATGCAAGGATGTTACCGCCAAGATTAAGTCTATGGGCGATGTTAGATCCTTGAACATTGATGATGTTGATTCTATTATCAGAGAGTTCCATGCTGATGTCTCTGAGCCAGCTACTAAGAAGCAGAGACTTGAGTCCACTCCAGTGTGTACCGACCCAATTGAACCAGAGACAAGTGCTTAGTTTTTTTTTTTATTTAATAAAAAAAATTCTTGGTTTGGGTCTCTTCTTCTGTCGATTATTTTGGTATATATTTTGGCATTACTGTATATTAATTATTAACTGCTTTTAAAATAGGTAAGTCTAGTATGCACGAACGGGAGTAAGCAAGATTAGGTACAGGCGGAACATCGCACCGTACGGTCAAAGCATCTTAGCTGTATTTCTATGAGGGTGCACGTTCACCTAGGCATACCTCTAAAACGTAGGGATTGCGCACAGCGTGCTGTCAAGCTTTAGCTAGTATTATAAGTAATACTGTTGGATCCTTGCAGTCAGTGTTATGTACGCCTTGATACTAATATATCCAAGACTCCAAAATCGTGTACGCCTCCAAAGCTGGCCCTTATACTCAAACCCATAATGCACGCTTGAGACGACGCGATCGTGGCAACTGAGCTCGGGAGCGCCACCCAGTCGTGGCGTACCGCACACGTACACCGTTACTTGGCTGTCTCAGCCCTGTCCTGTATACACCTCTTGCCACACCAGTCTGCGCACGACCTATACTCATTTTTACCCGGCTGAAAAAAACTGCAGTATTGTGGAAAAAAAACTTGAACCGACAGCACCTGATCGCCTAGAAGAGAACGTCCATCCTGCCTAATCACCTGTACGCACACAGTTTTTATCCGTCCTAACCCACCATGGCCTCTCTCAGATCCCACATTGTTGTTGACAGCTCCATCAGTGATTGCGTCAGCGAGTACGCTTCCATCCTCTCGTCCTTGCAGAAGTCCACCACCGTAGAAGAGTTTGTAAACGGCGACGACATCAACGAGCAATTATTCCCGGAGGTTGCCGACTCTGTTGCCTCTTTGGGCGAGCTTTCCGACCGTGAATTTGAGCCGGCCTTCAACTTGGCCATTTACATCTTGTCTCAGGCCGAAGACTCCCAGTATTTGGCGACCGCCTTGACCAGCTTGATTGCCTTGGCCCCAACCTCCAAGCCATCTATCCAGGACAAGAAGTCGCTCCGCCCAACCACGGTTATCTCCACCTTGTCTAACATTTTCAACCTCTTGCCAGAAACCTCTCCTTTGAGAGCCACAGCGTTGAAGGCCATCATCACTATCGCCTCCCAGAACAAGATTGCCCATATTTTAGTCCCATTATTACCACACTTACAGAACTGGTTGATCAGCGCTAATGTCAATGCTGCTGAGATCCGCCAGACCGTCTTCCAGGTTGCTCGATTGATCGAAGTCGATGAGCCTGTCAAGGCCTTGGACCTTGTGGAGAAGTCCGTTACCGACTTGGCTGGTGCCACCGTCGCCGATGTTTCTGCCTTTGTCACTTATGCGTTGAACTCCGTTGTGGTTGACTTGAACTACTTGACCAGCATTCCAGTCGTTGCTCTCGTGCAATCCACCCCATTATACACGACCTTGACTGCGTATAACACCGGTGACTTGGCCCAGCTCAAAGCTGCCGACGTCTCTAAGGCCACCATTGCCAAGGCTGAGTTGTTGGCTATTGCCAAGTTCTTGCAGGGTAAGGATGTTGTTACTTACGGTGCTATCGCCGAAGCTATCGGTGCTTCCGCTGACGACGTCGAACTCTTGTTGATCAAGGCTATCGAGCAGCAAATCGTCCTGGGCAGATTGAACCAGGCTACTGAGTCCTTTACTGTTCATAAGGTGAGCGCCTTGGGCGAGTTTACCACCGAACAGTGGTTGACCGTTCAGGCAAAGTTAGAGGCCTTGAAGCAAAACTTGCAGAATATTCCAGAAATTGTCGAACAGGCCAAGAAGAAGAAGGGTGGATTTGTCACTGCTCACAAAAAGGTCAATCAAAGAGCCGCCGCTGCCGCCGCCGCCGCTGCCGAGGGTGAAGCCACTGAAGAGTCGGAAGACGTTGAAAAATTTGAAGTTGTTGAAGAAGTTGCCGCTGCTGCCGAATAAGCAAGACATCCTTCTATTTTAAAGCCTCTTTACGAGGCCAGGTATACTGTATACTAGTTCAATGCACACGGGTGTATCCCCAGAGACAGCCCTGTTCTCTCTTTTTATCTCTGCATTTAAATGTACCTCTTTAATATAAATGTCATCTTTCCATTTAGTTAAGCGTAGAAAGCAGATTCCATGGTGAATAGCACAGCCGGGTGTACCTGTTGTAGTTCATTGTAAGGAGTAAAAGTGGGCTGAACAAATACTTAGTGACAGAGGATAGAAGTCATGGGATACGCAAAGGTTTGCCGTGAGACTCAGGCTAAGCTACACTAAGCACAGTGGAAGAAACGGTAATCTCTACACGATAACGAAGCTTACAGAGGTTTATTATAATTAAATTTTTGTGTTTATACTACATTTGAGACGTTGATATTAGTACAAAGGTATTGTGTAATTCGTGAGCGTTCACGACGAATACAGGTCAAGAAACGTTTCAAACGACATGCTTATTCTCAAATCACATGTTTATTCTCGCAAGCTCCTCCCCTCTTGAAAAAACTGAAGCGATTGGAGACAGGACAGCTAGGATGCACGTAGACCAAGGACCAACCCTGCGAAATGGCCCATCTCTGTGAAATGGCCCAAGCTATAGGCAAAAGCAGTCGCCGGGAAGTGGTCCTCTCCCTCCTAGGACTCCACATTCAGATATCCCCTCTACCTCGAGTTCTATGGCGAGGCAGATTCGTCCTTAATACTAGCCAAGTCTTCCCCAAGAAACCCGCCCTTCTCCTTTATCCGGTTAATCACGTCTTCATTGGTGATATGGCCCTTCTTGTTTTTGTACACCTCAAGCAACTTGTGGTTCTCTTTCCGTAGAGAATCGATGTAGTTTGTGCTTTTGGTCAAAATGGACAACTCCGATCTTGCCTCCTGGGACGATAGGTCTGGTACCACTGCCACAATTTTGTCAAATGCCAAGCGAATCTGTTCCCTCCGCTTTTTCTCAGAAGCAATATGATGGGCCTTCTTCTCGGCCGCCGTTAAGAAGGAGGAATTAGAGGTGGAGCTTTTACTCTCGTTGGCCGGGACTGCCACGTTAAGAGGTGGTAAAGCGGACATGCCGGGCTGTTGTAACGTGGGTGAAGTTAGGGTTGTTGCGGTTAGAATTGACTGAGGGTGGACCAAAGGAGTGTGGCCGTAATGGAAGTGAAATTAATGACGAATAGGGAAAACGATGAATATGGATTAAAGATGAAAAGTCACTCGGCTAGCTTAAAAAGCGTTCTGTAGCAACCGTTTTTAGTGTGATACTCATCCCCACCTTACCTTATATTTGCATGTGGACGCGGTGGTCACGGCCATCTCTTGTTACTAAGTGCTTATGTAAGCGAGACGCTCATGAGGGCGTAAGTGTTACAGAAATTGTCGTACAGCATTTTGTAGGAAAGATTTGGGCTAATTACAATATAGCAATATACGGTTATTAAACTATAAATAAATGAGAGCCAACTAATCGAACAAGCCTGCTGTGGACCTCTTGTACTTGGCTTGAGTGAACGGTTACCAGCTTCCGTGAAAACTGAAAGCATCCTGCATTCAGCCCTATGCCAAATCTTTTCAGTCTTTTAGAAAGTGAAAATTGCCAGATTCAGACTCAACTATCATCTGCAATGCCCGATCTTATTCCTACCGCTACCTACATCTCTCCGGATTTAAAAAAGGACTTCCATCCAGGCTGCGGACCCCACTCCACCCAGGGTACCACCACGGGTCCGTCCGACGTTGTGGCGGACAAAGGCGCCATTGATAAGGACCGCCCCACCGAGGCCTCTGATTCCACTTTGGGTGAGCTTAGGGCGAGATTGACCACGTTACAGGACCAGGTGAATGTGTTTTTGACTGACAGAATGAAACTGGGTGCGGCTAAAGAGGAGGACGACAAGGACTTGGAACGCCGTATTTTGGACGACGGTGTGGACGAGGATGACGTTGAATAGGCTTTTTGCTGAAGCGGATTTTTTAAAAAAAAGGATCGGTGTAACGAATAGGTACACCTAGATTAATCTCAGACGCACGGGATTCGTCTTTTATTCGAATACATGGCAAGATTGCGTCAACGACAGACAGCATGCGTGCTGAAGGTTTAAATGCTGATACTTTACACCAGAAAAATGGTGCATATCATAAGCATGGTTAATATATAGGAAACCGGAATTGAGTGTAGAGAAGCCGCGATTGAAGAGCGAGAGTGAAGCTATCAGGGGGCCTGGCTAAACATTTATATTCTAGCTAAGCAGACATAGGGGGAGTTAACCAACAAGCTACGCGTGATACAATCATGGTATGAAATAAACCACACTATTATGGATATAACGCTTGGGGAACATTTCTTTGCTCATGTCTGTTGCAATCAACAGCAAGCTCTGGTGGCTAAAAGATATTTGTTTATGTATTCTCCCAGACCCTATATATAGATCTTACATCTACACGCAATATGCACCACCCGAAACCGTGAAAAAGTGAGCCAATTCAACAACGCTTCACTCGTCTGTAAATTAACCAGGGCTAATGGTATACATAAAAGTATATCAGCTGAAATAAGTCCCCTTTATGTGAATGGCCTGGCAATTGACAGGTCATAAGTATATGTTTTCATAATGCTTTTGTGGGCATCCAGTAGCTCGTAATCTTGGCTTTTTTTCTTTTTTTTCTTTTTTTTCCTTTTTTTTCTTTCACTACGTCATTTTGGACCACATTTATGGTAGGTCCTAGCTCACCGATAACTTTCACCATAATCTATGTTTATTCTACAAAAGTGCTTATTAATTTATACAGTATAACCGAAGAATTTTTCTATTTTCTTCACAAAATACCCGCTCATCAACCAATAAGAATACGAAACATCTATGTCTGTCTACCAGAGGCGGACGTGTAGCGAGCTCTAACATGGGAGCGTTTACGCTTACATAAGCACACGCGCTTTTATAACGGATCCACTTGAGAAACTAAAAACGAACACCTCTCTTCTTCCACAGATCAGAGACACACCCAGCTCTCTATCTTCCGCCTTCACCATTATCGGAATCTTTCTCCTCACGTCCTACATCCTTAAGAAAGTCATGCATTTAGGGGTGCCCACCAAGGACAACTTCAAGCCCAAGGGCAAGAGCTACTTGTCGTTACCTACCAAATACATGCGGTACACGAACAAATGGCGGAAGACGGTGCTCTCATTTTTGTTTCTTGTGTTCATCTACTTATTCTTCGTTAGCCCCTCCGCCGTGCCGCAGGGCAAATTCTCACAGCTCCTCGGGAAGAGTAGACGGGCGGCAAAGTACCCGAAGGTGCACGGGCTCCACGTGAAGGAAATCAGGCTGAAGTCGCCATTGATCTTCCCACCGATCGAAAGCGCGCCGTTGTTGAAGGAAATTGGGCTCTCGGGCTTGTTCCACACCAAGGTGCTTCATGACCCGACCACGAAGACGGACAAGACGATCTACCAGTACTTTGACGAAGACTTCTTGAGTGATAACAACGAGTTATCGAACGTAAACAACAAGAAGGACGACGGTGCGCTTCTTTCCGCGAAAAAAGCGTTTTTGAATCACGGAAAACGCGTCTTCACCGGTTCCCAGAGCCCGGAAATCGTCGTCGTCACCGCAATCGACTTTGACAAGTACGAGTTGTCAGGATTGATGAAGATAGTACAGAACCGTGTGGACTACGCACAGAAGCAGAGCTATGGGGTATACGTGCGCTGGATCCAGGAGTTTGTGCCCATCTTGCAGAAGCATAACAACGACAAGGAGTGGACACGGTTGATGGTGATGAGGGCCGCGATGCACGCGTTTCCTAATGCCAAGTACTTCTGGTACTTGGACCAGGACTCGTTGATCATGCGCTACGACATTGACTTGTACGACTACATCTTGCGTCCGGCGGCGTTGGACCCAATCATGATCCGCGACCAGTCGGTGATCCCACCCGGAGGGGTCATCAAGACGTACTCCGACGCGAAGCCAGAGTCTGTGCGCTTGTTCTTAACCCAGCTGGACACCAAGATTGAAACCGACTCGTTCATCTTGCGTAACGATGTATACGGTAAGGCGATTCTCGAGTTCTGGATGGACCCGTTGTACAGAACATACGGTAAGTTCTCCGCCCATCAGGACTCCGCCTTGGCACTTATGTTGCAGTGGCATCCACTCATATTGTCCAAGACCGCGTTGATTCCCGCCAGAACGATCTCGAGCTTGAATACGTATATGGAGTTACCGGAGGGTGGTGATGACGTGCACTACTCAGAGGGCGATTTGGTTGTGTTGTTCCGGGATTGTAGCAAGCACCAGACGTGCCAGAAGGACATGGAGCCGTACTGGAAGAAGTTGACCACAAAATAAGCGGAGCAAACTGTAGGGCTCCTATGTTTTACTCGTCTTTGGTTACGTATACTAATAGATTTATCTGAATTGTTGATAATCCATAGCGACATACGGTTCCATTTTGGTACGATATTATTAGGCCTATCGTCTGATTTTTCATACGCATACGTATACTTTCGGCCATTGGGCCACAGGTGCAATTTTCCAGAAATATATATGGGAGGTAACCTGAAGCGGGAATACTCGATTTTTGCGCTTAATCAGTATATCTGTAGTATGCAGATCTAGGGATTCAAAAGGTTTTCAGCAGCAGTTAGTTTCTCTCTTACTAAATGACATGAAACATAAGCTACTAATTTCGAAGGATCTTCCCCAGAACTTATAGATCATTGAGCAGTTTAGATCTTTCGGGAAAAACACGATTGAGACCTCTCGGGCTTAATCGTGTTCTGTCCTGCCTCAGACACATTCTTGTCCAAAACACTAAAACCATTGTCTAGCTATGCATACAGCAGATGTATACCAGATATTCAAACAATAGAAATGAAACATAATAGCTCCGGCTATTCATAGTTGAGGTGATGAGTTCACGCGAAGAAAGAAACATGTAGCTAGACACCAAACCTGTGCACATATGACTGCGTGGTTCCAATCCAAACTTTCCAAGTCCTACGCCGTTTGTACCTATTCCAAATGCCACTTGACACGTTTGCTTTTGACGCCGGCATAATATAACGGTGCCAGGAGTTGATATTCCCCGAACGCTCCTACAGCTAAGTACCCCTAAGCCCCAATACTTGCATGCCAATTAGGGATAAGATTAAAGAAAGGTAGTAAGAAATAGCCCTATTGCATTGCAATCCGTCAGGCCACACACAGCGTAGGCCAAGTCTCAAATCTGAAAACGGTAAGCCACTAGGTTTGTATTCTTCCACTGAACATGTGAACTAGCTTAAACTAACATGGCTACTACTCGCTGCTCCCGGAAATTCTGTCTTCCAAAACCTTCAAGGCAACCTGTCTGCGTCTCTCGCTGGTGTCCTTATTCTTGCCTCTCTTGGCGGCTCTGGCGTTACTCTGTTCCACAGATTCCTCGTTGAACGCAGACACGATGCTCATGACACACATTAGCTCATACACATCGTTGAAGAATGGGCCTAACCATGGCTTGAGAACGTTTGGGAAGAATTCAACAAAGGCAAACGCGTCCGACGCGTCACCCTGTATTCTCAGCACACCAACAACATCGTTTGGCTGAGGCAACTGGGGGTCAGTCAAGGTGGACTGGTAGAAACGCAAGTACGCCCAGGCTGTGATGAGGGACAACCAGCATGGCAACACCGGGTAGAAGTTGCGGTTGTAGACGGACATTCCTAAAGACCCGCACAAAGCGGCGAATGGCACGTCCTTGATTCTAAGCAAAAGGGAGCCCCTAAAGACGTTCACGGAATGCTCTGGAATGCTCTGCTTCAAGAGCACAAGATAGCCCATAGCATAGCACAAACCACCACCAAGCGGCTTGGTCAAGTCCAGAACATTGCCGCTGATCATGGTCAACACGATGACGGATAACACAGTCATAAGGTTGGTGAGCGTCCCCACGAGGAACACAAACTTGAACAGCTCTTCAGCGCTGCCCCAGATGCGGTGGCAGTACTTCGAGCCAGCGACAAGGATTACAGAGCTTCCAATGTATCCCACCACGGAGATCTCTGCAAAGATGGCCGTGACAAGCACCCAGATGTTGTGCATGGCGTAGCGAGGAATCAACTGGATGGACGGGACAATGATTTCATTGAAATTAATCACCTTGGTTGGGTGTCCACGGTAGTCACGCTCAAGCAATAATTCGTAACTATGCAGCTTGTAGGTGTAAATGGTGGCAGTGACGGCCGTCAATATCACAAAGAGGACCCGGGAGGCCACAGGAATCGCGGCCGCCGCCTTCTGGTATGGGGCAAGAATCGAGCTCATGATGGATAGCGAGAAAACAGGCTTAACAGTAAAGCGTAGGATATCTCAGCGTAGGTTGGTAAGAACAGGGTGTTATTTCTGTATGTTTGAAGTTGAGGATGGGCCAAGATTCCCAAGACTGTACATACGTGTCAGCGTAGTAACCGTGCAGGGATAATGTGCGGGGGCTGGACAGCTTACGCGCTGGTCGAACAGAGCCATGCACGACGATCAGCAATGGCCAAAATGTCTTATATAGCGCGCACGGAACAAATAGCATGGGAAAACTTCTCTAGGCAGGGCCAGTCACAGTTTCTACCCGTCTGAAATTGGTGCTCGTACGGTAAAGAGGGGTTTCCACTTCGTGGAGGGACAAAAAAATAAAGGCTAAGGCATAGAGGTCGTGGGTTGTTCCGTAGAGGCCATAGATTGCGTCGTGAAATGGAGTAACTTTTTATGGCACACGGCGCTCGGTTATGTAGACGGTGCATGGAACACCCACGCAGACTAGCGCAGGCACTGGCCGGCTGACGTCTCTCAGTCAAGCACCGAAGCAGTGACTGGTGTATGACCTTATTTCGAGTGATAAGGCAAATGAGCTGTCAGTGAAGCTCTCTGGTTCTCGGAGTTGGATACTCGGTAGGTGGAACCCAGGTTGACAGATGCGGATTTTCAGCAACTAAAGGCGCAAATCTCCGATAGGCATTCGGTGATTGAAGTACCAGATATGACTGCGCGTGACGCGGAATAGGCTCCAAAGGCTACAGAAGGATTAGCTGAGATGGTCTCTCAACTAAGATTTGGTTGATTTCTGGAACAAAAACAATATGCGATATTAGCACTGTGTTTTACGGTGTCATGCTATGGTACACACAAGTCTGTTAGACTATTGTAAAGGGTAGTGGGGTATAGATGAATTCTCGAATTATATCTGTTCAACCAGGGTAAGCTAACAGTGGTTGGTGAGACCCTTCTGAATCCTAGCGGAGTGTAAACTAACAGCAGGACTCTATCAAGCAGATATTGTCCAGCCCCGGTTTACTCCTTTCAATTAAACTCTGTAGGGTGTCGTTTGATTGTAGGGTTGATACAAAACGACAGATCTAGTCTGACTCCGGCAATTTTCTTTATTGTCCAAGCCGTGAATCTGAGTTGGGAAGGCTTATCTGTAGTGTGGAAATTTCAGGGGTAACATAATATAAATTTACACTAGTTTTTAAACCATTCAATCCAAATACATAGCACCTCTCTTCCGTACAGACCACCTTTCCGACTGCGACAAGCCGCTGCCACAGTGGCGGCGTGGCTGGAGTGAAAAATTATGCACAAGTATTTTTTTTTTACCTGATTCATAGCACCAGCAGCAACGAATACCCGCTGTCGATCCCCCCAGACGCATTGTCTTTATCGATACTCAAAAGGGCTCCGTTAAAACCGGATGCACGGCTACTCAGCACACGAACTCCATCCTTCCGCAACCCCGCACTGTTCACCCCCTTCGTCTGCTCCAACAAGGCACACATCCAGGCCCTCAACCTTCTAGAAATCTCCAGCGACCGACCATTGGGCATGTACACTCTCAAAACGGTCCGCCACCCGACCAGCGATATTCCCAGTCCCCTCTTAGTGCTCATCACGGAATCTAACAGTCACTATTTCGGAAAGTGCGCCGAGGGCACGCAGCGAAGCTTGAATGAAAAGGGCATCAAGCCCTCGCGAATGAAGAACTTTTTCATGACAGGGGTGCTCGACTGGAACGCCATCGGCGGGCTTCCAGGCTTGCTTTTGACGTTGGGTGATTCCGGAAAGGCAAACCTAACCATCAACTACGGGTCCAAGATCCTCAACTACATTGTCGCCACCTGGAGAGGCTTTGTCTACAGACAGGGCGTTGACATCAGCATCAACGCCATGAACGACGGCGACGTGCTTGTGGAAAAGTATTTCTTGGTCAAGCAGGTGCACACGTTCCCTAATCAGGCCTCCCACCTGAACACTCATACCTCTCCACCCTTGGACACTCACAATAGCACCTTGACCAAGGTGATTGCGAAAATGTTTCCTAAGGAGGGCCTTGCCGGTGCGATTTCGGATCCCTCGTCTAACATTCCATACATCAATACAGACTTGCCAGAGGCGGCCAACACGACCCATGCGTCCAACTACATCCTCCAGTTCCACCAGACGCGGGGGAAGTTTTCGGTGGAGCGGGCTACTGAGCTCAACATCCCGCGCGGGCCGCTCTATGCGAAGCTCGCACGCGGCGAGAGCATTGAGGTCGATGGAAAGGTGATTCTGCCAGACCAGGTGTTGCTGAGCCCACGTAAGTTCCAGCGTGTTCTCGTGCTAGACGTGCCCAGCTCCGCTTATCTAGAGTCTACAATGCAAAACCCGGCGTGGCAGGCACCGATCAACGCTGAGAGCGACGATAAGGTTGGCTTAGTATACCATTTCCTTGGGGAAGACGTAGATTTGGTGGGAAACGAGGCCTATTTCCGCTTCTTGAGCCTGTTTGGCGAGAACTGCCAGCACATCATCTCACACCCCAGATACTGTCCCAACACCCTCAACTTCAAAACCGCGGCGCTTTCATTATTAAAGTTACGCTCGTTGCAGAAGGACTTTTTCCAGTTGCCGCTCCATCAAAATGTGCCCGAGCGCGAGCTATCCCAGTTGGGAGCTAAAGCCCGGGCGTTACACGCCCACCAGGATGTGGTGGTCTCCCCTGAAGGGTTCACGATTGACAGCACCCAGGTACACAGGAACGAGACCAACTGGAGCGATCTCTACGACTCCACCGTGACGCCCCTCGGTATCAGTGTGCACGACAAAGCCGCGGTCATCGACGAGGCGCGCTTGGACAGCGACACGGGTGACGTCACCGATGTGAAGAACGAAGTACAGATTATCACTCTCGGCACCGGGAGCGCTTTGCCGTCTCGAACCCGGAATGTCATCTCCACACTCGTGCGCATTCCCCAACCGGTGTCGCTTCCCGTCACCCGTGACCAGCTTGTGTACAAGTCGATGTTGTTGGACGCTGGCGAGCACACGCTTGGGAGTTTGATCCGAAACTATGGCGATGACTTGCCTAATTACCTTGCAGAGTTGCAGTTGATTTACTTAAGCCACTTGCACGCAGATCACCACTTGGGAATCATGTCCATCATCAAGCGTTGGTTCCTCGCCTGTCCCGAAGGTTTCTTATACCTCGTGTGTCCCTGGTCGTACGAAAAGTTCGTCAAAGAATGGTCATACTTGGAGCCCGCGGTCGATTTCCAGCGCATCAAGTATATCAGCTGTCAGGATTTCTTTGATATGGGCGGTCCGTCCCAGAGGCGATCGGCGGAGTTTGTGTCGATTCCATTCGAAAGCTTACTAGACCACACCCTGAAGAACTTGGACACTCACATACCCCTGCCAAACGTAACCGCAATTGGTGAGTTATACCAGGCGTTTGGCCTTGCCTCGATCGCAATGTGTAAGGCCATCCACTGTAAATGGGCGTATTCCATAACCCTCCACTTCAAGGACCCTGACTTTAAGCTCTCTTACTCTGGGGATACGAGACCAAACATCCACTTCGCAAAGGTAGGCCGCGGTTCTGACTTGCTCCTCCACGAAGCCACATTGGAGGATGCGTTGATCGAGGATGCGTTGTCAAAGAAGCACAGCACCATCGCTGAAGCCATCTACACCGCTCATTTAATGCAGGTGAAGAAGTTGGTCTTGACCCACTTCAGTCAGCGGTATCCGGAGTTGCCTGACTTGACCGCTACCGAAAAGAGCTTTGCGTACTTGCGGGGATATTTGAACGATCCCGAATTTGCCGCTAACCCCAAGCCGATCCGCCGCAACAATCCGCGGAACATCTTCTCTTTTGACCTCGGAACGCTGTCGCCAAGCTTGGAAGGCATGGACTACTTGTACGCTTTTGACAACATGTTCATCAAGTATGGACGCATCCACGAGCAGAAGGCCGTCGCAGACAAGTTGCCTTTAGCGTTTGCTGATGAAGAGGAAGAGATTGACGGTGAGGGAAGCTTTGGCGAAAAGCCGGCTGAAGGGAATTCCAGGCAAAAGAAAATGACCAAGCAGGAGAAGCAGGAGAAGAAGTTACAGAAGCAGCGGGAGAAGACGGAAACCATGAGGCGGGAGAGGCAAGAAAAGGAGTGGGTGAAGAAAAGAAAGGTCAATTAGGTGTGTATATATTCATGTTACAAATGAGATTTATGGAGAAATTATGCACATCGATAGTGTGCGAGATACGTTTGATAGATTGTATGGGAGAGTGTAGCATAGGTTATTGCATAGAAACGATATTGGGCTTTGAATCCTTGGGGAATAAACTATCGTATAAACTATCTGTAATCAAAAAGAGGGGAGGACAAAAACATCTGCCGGTCCCAGGAATCGAACTTGGGTTTCCTCTGCCACAAAGAGGTGTACTGACCACTATACTAGACCGGCTATCGCCAACAAATGTCAGAGTTAGAGAGTTGTTTCAGGAACCTTATGAGGTTCCAGTTGAGGCTACTAGGATTGTTTGATAATGAGTATCTGAAACTAATCCTGTCGCATAAAGCAAATGAGGCACCGAAGAAAGCTATATAAGGAAGTAGTTTTCCAGATCTAAGAATGATCTTGGTTTTAATATCATCTTTATTTTTGTGGAAGATCACGATAAGTAACTTGTGAATCAATGACTGATTACAACCCCCCGACTGGAATACCAACAGGCGCTGGAACCCTGACAACAAAAATCAAGTGTAGGAATCTATACCAAATTTGGATTCGTCAAGTAAGGACTGAACAGTCCGCTAGGAAAAGAAAGCGGATAATAGTGAATATGTAGCACCTAAACGGTATGAAAGTGACATTATGAAAGAGCTGGTCAGAAACCCTCTTGAAAAAAGGAGAAAATTTCTCTTTTCACCAACCTGCCATACGACTAACTCCAAATGTTCTAACTACACACACCCCATACCAATGCCCCAGCTCTTTACTAAATCTGGATGCTCATAGTATCTTCTCGAAGACACTTCACCCTATATGAGTATCTTCCATTATGGAATCTCAGCACCGAGTCAGAAACTAGTCCCTTAGACGGAAAATCACCTACACTGAAGCTCAGATATAAATAAAATTAGACATAATGAAAAGATAGCTGGTGAACTGCTAAGAACTAGTGTACACACACCATGCTTAAAGCTTGTTGTCATCGCCCAAGATATCGGCAACAGCCTTCTTCAATCTGCTCTCAATCTCCTTGTCAACCTTACCCCACAAGGCAAAGGCACGTTCTCTGATTGGCTTGCGACAAGAGCTGATGGAGCCGGCCAAGTTCTTGATCAAGTTCGCCTGCTGGTTGTCGTATCTGGCCAAAACCTTCCACAAGTTACCGGCCTGGACGTAGTCGTAGTCGTCGGTGACGGTCCAGTGGTACGGCAAGGCTGGGCCGGACCACACTTCCTGGTTCTCCTGCAACAGGACCTCGGCTCTGAAAGTGACTGGGTGGTCGTAGGCCAAGTAGTTAGGGTGGGAACCCAAGTTGCCGTCAACGCTCATGGCACCGTCCCTGATGTGAGGGTGGAATGGCTTGTTGATTGGAGCGTTGACCGGAATCAACGCGTAGTTGGTACCCAATCTGTGGCGGTGGGTGTCTGGGTAAGAGAACAATCTGGACTGCAAGACTGGATCGGCAGATGGCTCTTGGCCTGGAACGGTGTGAGATGGGGAAAACGCGGACTGCTCGACTTCGGCAAAGTAGTTTCTTGGGTTCTCGTTCAACACGAGCTTACCGAATCTTCTCAACGGGAAGTCGCCGTGAGGCCAGACCTTGGTCAAATCAAAGACGGAGAACTTCTGCTGGGCAGCCTGGGCTTCGGTCATGGTCTGGATGTACACGGTCCAGGATGGGAAATTACCCTTGGCAATGTTTTCAAACAAATCCTGCTGACAGTAGTCCGGGTTCTCACCAGCCAACTTGGTGGCTTCTTCGGCTGACAAAGTCTTGGAACCCTGGTCGGTGACCAAGTGGACCTGGACGTAGTGCCACTCGCCCTTGGCGTTAGACCACTTGTAGGTGTGGCCCGAGTACCCGTTCATATGACGCAAGGAGAATGGAGTACCACGGTCAGAGAATAAGTGGACCAACTGGTGGTTACACTCTGGGTTGGCGGTCCAGTAGTCCCAAGCCATGTTGGCATCCTTCAAGTTGGTGTGTGGGTTTCTCTTTTGAGTGTGGATAAAGTGAGGGAACTTGGAAGGATTTCTGATAAAGAAAACCGGAGTGTTGTTGTAGACCCAGTCCAAGTTACCTTCTTCAGTGTAGAACTTGGTGGCGAAACCTCTTGGGTCACGGGCAGTGTCCGCAGAGCCCTTTTCACCACCAACAGTGGAGAATCTGGTGAAGGTTCTGGTCTTCTTGCCAATGGTGTTCAAAAACTTGGAGCTACAGATATCAGTGATATCGTCAGTGACCTCGAAATAACCGAAGGCACCGGAACCGTGGGCATGGACAACTCTTTCTGGGATTCTTTCTCTGTCAAAGTGGGCAATGGAATCAAGTAAGTTGAAGTCCTGGAGTAAAAGCGGGCCGTGTTGGCCAACACGCTGGGTAGCGAATGGCTCTGGGATTGGAGCACCCTGAGAGTTGGTGTAAATTGGACCGGACATGGTAATTGTGATCAGAAGGTAATCAATACTAGTTCTGAAGCGTGAGTAAGAAAGGAGAAAAAGAAAAGGAGAACGACAAAAAATTACTGGGAGCGGGGAAGTTTATATAGGCAAGCTTGGCGGCTACACATGAATAAACCAAATCCGCGTCAGCAAAAATACCCGCATGGTTAGACGCTGATGAGCAAGATTTTCCCACTCATAGTGGGGAAATACTTCAAGAGCAAGAAGCAGCGTCGTGCGCGGCATGGGAAATATGTGGCGCGACCCCTAATTTTGGAAGCATGTGGAAGGCAACCGCCGGCGGCTACAGTACCGGGGTAACGGAGTATGCCGTAAAGACTAAGAGATAAGACACGTAAGGATCTAGCGGGTCAAACACATTGGCACCCCTTAAACAAAATAACCGCCATTTATACCCCAGTGTATTAACCGTTTTAAAATGGTCTCTTCCACGAGGTGTAGGAGTCGCAGGGGCCGCGATATCATAGAGGCGGGGGGAATTATGGGCATAGCGGGTTTAGGCTGGGGTGATCTAGATGCCACAGGTTTCTAAGCACAAACGCATGTGATAAATGCTGCATATGTATTTCACACGTATACGCACTCTGATTTAGGTTTGTTTCTCCGCATTCCTGTAGCCAATTACGAGCCCTCCATTCATAATGCAGTGTGGTCAGAATTAAGTTAAGCGGAATATTTCATGTCTGCAAAAAAAAACCGGATGCTACGTATTTGATCCTGGAAATTATCCCGCGCAATTGGGGTAAATCCGCGTGATGAAGCTATGGCGTGGAAACCGGTGCTCTCTTACCGGTTCAAGTTTCGAACTCATAATGTACCACGGCTTCGCAAGTCGGACTTCGGTTATGTTTAACTGCAGGATTACGTTACATCTACTGAACTCGAGATGTCGGCAATAACCGGCCACTGGCGGTTGGGATACTTTCCAAATCGGCTGTTCTCGTTTCCCTGATTACGCACACATAGGGACACGATCGTTCGGCCAAAAAGAGAAAAGGTGCTTTACTCATCCTAGGAGACTTGAGTCCAAAGTCAATCCCAATTCATTGCCTTAGTATGGCTTCTCAAGGCCTCCTTCTGCTGTCCTAACCAAAGTTGGCGGTTTCTCGGCCTAACAAGGGTGCCTATATTAATGCACCGAAATATCAATGGAAACAGTAGGTATCAAGACTTCCTGAACCTTCAGAAATCCGCGAAATGTTCAGGCTCTAGGGTCACGTTACCAGCCTCTATGCCCTCTTACTTCGCCATCACATGACCAACTGTGTTAGACACACCCACATACATCCCGCCTGATACATGCATAAATTTTTTTTTTCTCGATTAATTTTCCAACCAGCTTTCGGCCTGTGCATTTGATAAAGAATTGGCGTCTCATATATCAGTTCTCTGTGTAATATTCAGCATACACTCTCTGCATTTTTCATCCACCTTCAGCAATATGTCCACCGCTGAACAACCCATCCGCTCCGATGCCGAGCCAACTCGTATCATTGGTAACATCTACATTTCCTCTATCGCTCCTCTCGAACAGGCCCTGGACTTGTTCGGCTTGTACAAGATCACCCATATCCTTTCCCTTGTTCCAGATCAATTACCACCATACAAGAACAAGGCGTGGTGGTCTCAATACCAACATAAGCAAATCGATATTCTCGATGATCTCTCCTCCAACTTGTTGAAACACGCCACTGAGATGAATCAGTTCATCGATGATGCCTTGTTCCCACCAGTTTTGGATGAGGCTGGTGTCGTGATCCCATCAACCACACCCTCTGCCAAGGAAAAACACCGAGGTGCTATCTTAATCCACTGTGTCGCCGGTCAATCCCGTTCTGTCTCTGCCTGTGCCATGTACTTGATGTACAGGTACGACCTTCCATATAAGACCGCCCTTGCATTGATCACCAAGAGACATGGCAAGAGTATTACCATGCCAAACGACTCCTTCAAGGAACAGTTGGCCTCATATGATACCTTCTTCCATAGGCCTAAGGCTATCGACACCAAGAGCGGTGAATATAAGCAGTGGAACATGACCAGAAAGTTGAAGATTATGGGTCTTGGTGAAAACGATCTCGACGGCGCCTGGAGACCAAGAAACGCTCTTCAGACTATTCACCACGATGAAGATAGCGACGAAGAAGAGGAGGCCGAGAGGGTTGTCGATGAAACCACCACCTACCTTCGTTGCACCAAGTGTCGTTACGTTGTCGCACAGTCCACGAACTTCATTCCCCACGACAAACCAACCGTGGACTCCCGTCACGCCACCTTCAGAGCTAGAGGCGGACCAAGCCACCGTCGTTTCGAGATGGCCGCAACTTCCTGCTCTCACTTCTTTGTGGATCCATTCCAGTGGATGAAGCCGGAATTGGACAAGGGTGACCTTCTGGGTAAGTTTTTCTGTCCTAACCCAAAGATCAAATGCGGTAACAAGGTTGGTGGTTACAAGTGGGACGGTATGAGATGTTCCTGTGGCGCGTGGGTGATTCCGGGTGTCCATTTGTTGAGCGCCAAGACCGATCACGTCACCGAGTTGGCTGGTTCTACCGTCGTTGGCTCTGAGGGTATTGCCAGATTGGTCGTCAACCACCGTTCTATTTTGGAAAACGCCGGCCTCGCCCCTGAAGGTGAAGAGGAAGCCAACTAGAGGCTGTTTTCTTAGTGTAATTTACGTCATTCCAGGGATATATGAGTGTACAGGACAAATCGTGGTTTATGATTCAATATTCCTAGAAATTGAAATATAAATAATTAGCGTTGCATGATTTATGATCGGTTTCACTGCAAGTTAATGGTAAAAGCTGGAATAAACTGGCGTGAGAGCGTGTTTCTTTTGCTATAGCTTCCAGATACCCGATTAGAGCTAAGGAGTATCAATATGTATCGGGTAGCGGATAATTCATACGTCATTGAACCCGCCCCATCGTGTAGTTAGCAATGTCAGCCCGAAAGCGTTTATTCCGTCCCAAAATAATATGTACATGGATCCGCCTCAGGCAAGCTTCAATTCTGGCTTCTTGTCCGCCAGCATCAAATAGTACTTGGCCATTTCATAAACGGTCCAGCATAACGCCGTGGACGGCACGTTGGACACGATTCTTGGCCTCAACCCCTTCCAGAACCCATTCATCCCGTCGATTGCGTAAAGAGCCTTGGCACCCTTCCACATACTGTCAGCGGTCATGACTCTCGGGTCGGTAGACTCACCTCTCACTTGCAACAACGTCTTGACACAGTCCAAGGGAGTGGTGATCGCAGCGGCCAACCCACCGGCCACACCACCAGCAATACAGTGCATGAACGGATTATGCACCAACCCGGGATTCAACACCTTCAAGGTGGAATCGTATATCGTGAACTGCAACACGGTGAAGGGGACGGTCATTGCCAATGTGGTTGGGTAAGACAAGTAGAACGCCTTGAGTCCCTCGTGTTGGTAGATGTGTTTGGTGGTGTTGATGAAAGAGGACTTGGCCAGGGTTTGTAACTGCATGTGCTGCTTGACAACGTCAAACGGGTTCATGAAGAGCTCAGAGGTGATTGTAGCAGCAGCTCCCGCAACACCCACCTGGACAGGATTGTGATCGTGTCTCTTACGCTCATCGATCAAGGCTTCTTTGGCCAACTCGTAGACACCAAAGTATACCGCGTGCGCCGGACCCGCGCCAAGAATGATGGAGGAAGACCCACGCCAAAGAGAATAGATACCTTCCTGGGAGACGATCTTTACGCAACTGGAGATGACACCACCGAGTTGTTTCGAGGCCTGGGTGGTCCCCATCATCAGAGAGGTCTGAATACGAGTTTTGAGAGAATCCACGGGATACATCACCGCATGCTCCATAGTCCCAGCTAAAGCACCAGCCACAAGATGCGCAGAAAGAGAAGCGTTTTCCGGCAAGGCCTCATAGTCGATCTCGCCGATTTCAACAACTTGTGGGGGTGGCGCCACAGGAAGACCCGCCACAGCTGTACGGTATGACTCAGTTGACATAGGGTTAAAATCCGACTAATGTGGGGTTTGCGCTAAAGCTCGGCGTTTTTGGAATCTTCTGAGGCCGGGAAGAGAGGTAGCACGAGCTTCTGCTGTTCCGGGTGGATGTGTGGTGGATACGGAAATGCATTTATACCGCTGAAAAATTATGGTGGTTTCTTTTTCGCTAAACCGTACGCGACTTCGAGTTTTTTTTTCCCGATAAAGAACTCAGCCTGTATGCGGTAGCTACAACTCTCCATCGGCATGCGCCCATAGCAGGCAGGCGTAAACGCCGATATGACCTATTTCAAGCTTTTCGCCTTGCTGAAAGATCACCTTTCATTGAAATCCCCGCATATGTTTAAAATATGTATACCCAAAAAACTTAGCAACATTTATTGCCCAATTCACCGTCGAGACCTTTCTCTGTTTGACTGTTCCTTGTCCACGTACACGCTACCTAAAGCCAGCTACCAATCCTGCATGTACTCAAGTCCACAGAGCTTTGCCGAGGCCGGAGAACCACGTGTGAGCCGGTGAAAAATAGCAAATTAAGGGCTATTATCATAGCTACGTGAAATGGTGGAACCAATCGATAAAATTCGATTATATAGCGTAGCAAATGTGTCATATTTGAACTCTGAATGAAAATTATTATTACATATCTCGTATTTATTCTATATTTTACCATAACGATAATATAATACGATTCATATAATTACATCTACGCATTGAAACTTTAAAAACTATACATATTAACATTTACCGTAATTTTTCTTGTATCTTAATCTAGGACACACTATATATGTATTATTAGACGCGTATATTATACGACCACAAGCCCAGAAATGTTGGATGCTATTGAAAATAAAATAACTATATATATATTTATGATATATCCTGCCGATAACGCTACTGTAGCCCTAACGGGAAAGAACCCAATCGCTTTCTACTCTCGAGAGGGTAACCTAAAACATTAGCATCCTGCATATTATATAAAAAATTCTTTACGCGCGAGAACTTTCATAGGACTATAAATTCAACCAGATTCCCTCCCCATTGTGAAACGCGCTCATGACGTTTTTTCCCTTCTTTGATACGAACGCTTCCCATTCACTGCACCATTCGCTTAAATGAATGATTGGAGGGGAAAGGGCAAGCCAGAAAAACACCGTCGAACACGTCCTCATACCGAGCTTTGCGTCTACCATGCTATATCTACGGATTGCGCATGGTTATCAGGCATATTATGGTACTGCGTTTTCGATATATCTTTTATTTCTCTTCTATATATGCCCAGGCCTTTCGGCAAGATTGTTGTACTCCTGGTTCTCCACGGATATCAATCTAATAAAAACATCGCCCAAATACTCCTGTAAGAATGCTTGTAGATGAAAACGGAATGTTCCCTAAGGACCAGTCCGTTAAACGCTACTCTTGACGCGAACACGTGAATTTTCGACGTGCAGGAAGGCAAACCCAGATCAGCTTCGGATATGATGTATCACATTACCTGGATTGCGTTCACCTTCGAAAGATAGAAAAGTTTCGATATCTGTTTCCACCATACTTCTGTTTCAACAGGTATGCTTCTGTAATGCCGGCAGCTTCCAATCTCAGAGCAAGGCCTTTACACGCCTTCAGACGGTGTCGTCACTCCACTAGCCTGACCAGTGAGAGACTCCGATTTGCGCAAGTGAATGCGGAGTCGGTGGTGTTGCGAGTACCAAAGGATAGACAAATAGCGGTCGGACCTCCTGGGCAAGCCATGGACCAGAGCTACAGAGACCACTCCATCATCGACAAGTACATGGCATGGGTCAGCGCTCAAATGACCGTTGCCAATGCCAAGCGGGTGAAAAGTGGTTCCACCCGAAAACGGGTGGCTATGAAAGCAATCTCTAAGGCCCCAAACAAGCTTCGGGAACCGTCTGCCGAGGCGAACAGAGACCATTCCACCGTATATGCCCGATTAGCCTCCAGCTTTCAGACCACCGGCTCAGGCTACATCGCCCCTATTTATTTGGATACTGCTGTCACACCCTTCCATAAATTATGCTCCGACATCCCTGGCGATTTACCCAACGGCAGACTTTCGTACGCGAGCCATCCTCGTCTCAGTATCACGAAGATGGTCCCGAAGTACTGCGAGCTACGCGACACGTTTGAAATCTTCGGCGAGGTGCCGAGATTGACCACGGTGCGAATGACAGACGGGACCCAGATCCATGAGTACTTTGAGAACGTGACATACCCCGAGCAAGCCCGTTTGACGGGGTTGTTAGAAAAGTACCGACCAGCACTTCAATCCAAGACAGGGTCGTCGACCGATTTGCTCAGCTCTACCGCATTGGAAATGGCACGGACAATAGCTAGATTGCAAGGGTTGTTTACACGAGGGCAGGCGAGAGAAGTCAACCTCTACGGATTCATCGATTCTCAAACCTGCAGGTTTGTAGAGCCGTCCCAGCACCAAGACTCCGACTCCGTGTTCATTGGCGGGATCATTGACCAATTGACACTAGAAACGAAGCGGGAGGTGAGTGTTTACGACGAAACCCCATCGTTGTACTCGGGATGCGAGGAATGGAGGTACAACCTTCTGGAGTTTTTCAACCGTGCGCCCGCAATCATCGAAGAGTGTAAAGACGAATACGAGCTTTGCGTCACTGATATAAAGACCAGACGGAACAAGTTTATCCCTATCGATCCCGTGCAAGTGCAGTCGGCGGAGTACCAGGTATACTACTACAGAAAGATGTTGGGCTTACTAGGAGCACAAGGACAACACACGTATGGCATATTGCTCAGTGCCGCTCAGAGAAAGAACCTAGACATTGATGAGCCGGTGGATGACTGGACCATGCTCGAGCTCTCTGTGAGACACCCCGAGCTTTTCCACGACCGTCAATTACTCGAGAAAGGTGCGCCAATCGGGTTTACTCCGTATGACCAGCACCAGAAGAGGTCCCAGTCGTTGTCTGTGGGTATAGATTGGTCATCACTGGAGATGGAGAAATTTTCCACGGAGTTTGCAAAGCTCTCGAACAGCGCGGCGTATAGCGTGGATATTTTGCAGCCATGGCGCTATCGCTTCACGCTCCGCCACTTGGCTGCCCGGTTAGCCCAAATGTACGGCTTGCTCCCACCCTTTCTCCCCCCCGAGAGCAAGTGCAATGTGGAATATTACGTAGGAAAGAGCTTGTTTAAAGCTAAACACTATCAATACGACGAAGGGGCCTTGGGGGTGCAAATGCATGACGCTGTTGATTTTTGGTACGGCCGCAGACAGCCACGGGGAGTGGAATTGGCCCGTGTGGGTGTGTGTAAGTCGTGTGAGTTTAAGAATGTTTGCGAGAGTAATCGGGTGCTAGAGGAGAAGAAGGCACAAACCGCAGACGTCAGTGTGTGAGGTATTATTGGGATGTAAATGGATAATTGCTTATTATTTACTGCGGTCGCACGCCTATTTTATTTTTAGTGCGTACTTTGATCAATGAGGCAATAATGTGGGAAGAGTGCTCGAGATAAGTTTCGACATACAGGTTTGTGGGGGCTTCCACGATTCAGAGTCAGGGGAGTTGGTTTGAATTACACGGGGGATCTAGTTGTTTCTAGGACACTATTTCATTATGTAGCACAACCTGTCCCTACTCTCTCTGTTATTTGTAACTAACGGATGAACTCAAGCAACCATTAATAAACAATATGCCTCTTGTGGTTTACGAACCGTTGATATTTTACACTTTCCCATATTATTCCTGGTATTATTCTTTGCACTCTTTCCTGCATTATTTCTTATATCATCTCCCTTTACAAACTCTTGCTGTGTTGACCTGTATGTGTGCCGCACTGTTCAGATTGTTGTGACCCGCGGGCCAGCCGTGTAGGCTTTTTTTCCGCGGCCCACCGTAGATTACCGAAGCCACCGGTGCTCCGAAGACCTGTACCTACTGATAACGTACCTTCCCCGCGTGTATTTGCGACGCTGAAATCTGGAGAAGCTAGGACTACATCCTATACTCCTTTACCCCTCTACCTTTAACACTCAGATATTACCACTTCCCCTGCTGCTAATAGATAATCAACCTTACAAACCAATATAGCCTCCCTATGTCACCCGCTCGGAGCACCACCCACTCGGTGTCCTCCATCTCTACCGCCCTTCCAGAGATCCCCTTCAAGAGCACCCTCCATTTCTATCTCAATGGGAAACCAAAGATTGTGAAGAAACCAGATCCCGAGGCGATTCTTATCGATTACATCAGAAACTCTGCTCATTTAGCTGGCACCAAGCTTGGCTGCGCGGAAGGTGGCTGTGGCGCGTGCACCGTCACCGTTGCTGAGTTCGACCACGACCTCAAACGCGTTACCTACAAAGCATTAAATTCGTGCATCGTCCCGCTTATCTCTGTCGAGGGAAAACACTTGATCACGGTTGAGGGAATCGGCCAACTGGAGAACGACTCGCTTCACCCGACGCAGGAGCGCATCGCCAAGTTCCACGGCTCGCAGTGTGGTTTCTGCACCCCGGGCATTGTCATGTCGTTGTATTCACTTTTAAGAAACAACTCCACCCCTTCTAAGGAGCAGATTTCCGAGGCATTTGACGGAAACTTGTGCAGATGCACCGGATACATGCCCATCATCGATGCCGCCTACACCTTTGCCATTGAGAATCAACCAGAGTGTGGTAGTCAACCAGGCTGCGCTAAAGTTAACTGCTGCAGGAACGGAAAGTCCGCGGCTGAGGTTGTGAAACAGGTTGCGGACTTCAAACTGGAGGCAGTATGCGCCAAGGGAGTCGACTGTTGCCGCAACAAACCTGAAAGCAATGGGACCGCCCACTCGAATGAGACAGATATGAATGCCTTGTTCACCCCTAACGGGCTTCCGTTAAAGCCCTACGCACCCCAGCTAGACCTCCCCTTCCCGAAGGTGTTGCAGAGCCGTGAAGCTACACCGGTTTTGTATGGAAACGGGCATAAGATGTGGATAAAACCCACCACCAAGCAGCAGCTCCTCGAGATCCTCTATGTATACCCCCACGCTAAGCTTGTGGGGGGTGCGTCCGAGGTCCAAGTGGAGGTAAAGTTGAAGAATGCTGACTACAAGCTCAACGTTTACTGCAACGACATTGCCGAGTTGAAGAGCTGGAAGTTTACCAACGGTGGCTTGGAGATTGGTGCCAACATCTCGCTTTCAGACTTGGAGATGATCTGCGAGAATTTAGCCCACACTATGGGTCACGCCGGTCAGATCTATGGAGCCTTAGCCCAGCAGTTCAAGTTCTTTGCCGGTCGCCAGATCCGTAATGCTGCCACACCAGCCGGTGCCATCGTCACGGCCTCTCCGATTTCCGACTTGAACCCTATCTTGGTGGCAGGTGGATGCCACCTCATCGTGGAAAGCTTTGCCGGCAACGTCAAGACCTTTGCCTTGCGAGACTTCTTTGTGGGTTACCGTAAGACCTTGCTCGAGCCCGGCTACATAATCACCAAGATTTTTATTCCCCAGACAGCCCCAGGTGCGTTTATCCACGCCTACAAGCAGTCAAAGAGGAAGGACGACGACATTGCCATCGTTACTGCTTGTTTGCAGGTGGAGCTTGATGACGCTCGGATTGTCAAGGACGCTTGTTTGGTCTACGGCGGAATGGCAGCCTTGACCGTAGAGTCTCCTAAGGCCCAGGCGTTCTTGCGGGATCGGAAGTTTGATGAAAAGGCAACGTTGGAAGGAACGTTCCACCATTTAGAGTTGGACTTTCCGTTGGGCTTTGGTGTTCCTGGCGGGATGGCTTCCTACCGCAAGACGCTCACGTTATCGTTCTTTTACAAGTTTTTCAACTACGTGTTGCAGAGTCTTGAGATGCCGTTCGAAGCTGACTCGTTGGCAGAGGTCACCAGAGGCAAGCCCGAAGGAAAGCGTGATATCGTCAACCCCTTTGAGACCGAGATTGTGGGGAAGTCTAACCCGCACCTTGCGGCCTTGCGGCAGGTGACAGGTGAGGCCGTGTACGCCTCTGATATTTCTCCACAGTTCAATGAGTTATGTGCAATTCCGGTGCTTCTGACCAAAGCCCATGCGAAAATCTTATCTGTAGACTGGCTGGCGGCGTTGGAGGTGGACACAGTTGAAGGGTATTTGGACATCAATGACTTGCCCTCCAAGCTGGCCAACCTCTGGGGCGTGAACCCAGCGGGAATGGAAGAGTTCTTTGCGGATACCCACGTCTACTACTACGGCCAGACGATCGGGGTGGTCTTGGCCACTGATCCCGAAAGGGCACGTGAGGCTGCTCGCTTGGTGAAGGTGGAATACGAGGACTTGACCGCCGTCATCAGCATCGAAGATGCGATTGACCAGTCGTCTTATTTTGCTGACAACAGAGTAACCGAGAAGGGCGACTGGGAGGCGGCGTTTGCCGGCTCCAAACACGTCTTTGAGAACACTTCCCGGATTGGAGCGCAGGAGCACTTCTATTTCGAGACCCAAGGGTGTTTGGTAATTCCGGAGGAAGACGGCGAGTTGAAAGTTTACGCTTCCACGCAGAATCCGACGGAGACCCAGGAATACGCCGCGCACATCACCGGGGTTCCCTCCTCCAAGGTGGTTGTAAGAGTCAAGAGGCTTGGTGGAGGGTTTGGGGGCAAGGAAACGCGCTCCGTGTGCTGGTCCTCGCTTGCGGCGTTGGGCGCCAAGAAGTTTAAGAGGCCAGTACGGATGTTCTTATCGCGATCCGATGACATGCTCGTGGCAGGCCAGCGCCACCCCTTCTTGATGAAGTGGAAGATCGGCTTGGACGAGTCTCTTAGGTTCACGGGGCTTGATGCCACATTGTATGCCAATGCTGGCTGGTCGATGGACTTGACGCGAGGCGTGGTGGATAGAGCGGTGTTCCACGCAGCCAACGCCTACCATATTCCAAATGCCCGCCTTGAAGGGATTCCCTGCAAGACCAATACCGCCTCTAACACCGCTTTCAGAGGGTTTGGCGGGCCACAGGGGATGTTCATGGCGGAAACTATCGTGGTGGATGTCGCGGAACGCCTCGGGGTGGATCCGGACTTGATCAGAGAGCGCAACTACTACGATTTAGCGGCAGGCCAAACCACCACGTACAAGCAGCTTGTGTCGGATGACTACTCGGTGCCCGATATTGTGGCGCAGAATAAGGAGGAGGCCAATTTTGATGGCTTGCGGAACGAAATTTCTGAGTTTAACCGGAACCACAAGTGGGTCAAGCGAGGCCTTGCGCACGTACCCACGATGTTTGGTATTGCCTTTGGTGTCACGTTCCTCAATCAGGGCGGCGCGTTGATCCACATTCACCAGGACGGCTCTGTCTTGGTCTCCCACGGCGGTACCGAGATGGGCCAGGGGCTCCACACCAAGATGGCGATGATCGCGGCTGAAGAGTTAAACGTGCCGTTGCTGGGGGTGTTTATCTCCGAGACTTCTACCCAATCTGTGGCGAACACGTCCGCCACCGCCGCTTCTGCTTCCTCCGACTTGAACGGGATGGCTGTCAAAGATGCCTGCGATCAATTGAATGAAAGATTAAGACCTATTAGGGAGAAGTTGGGTCCAGGCGCCTCCATGGCCAACATTGCAAAAACGGCATACCTCGAGAGGGTGAATTTGAGTGCCAACGGGTTCTACAAGACTCCGGATATTGGATATGAATGGGGTGTGCCCAACCCGAAGCCGGCCTTCTCCTACTACACTCAGGGATCAGCCATCTGTACCGTCGAGGTGGACACACTAACAGGCGATTGGACGTGCCTTGAGGCACACGTCAAGATGGATATCGGCAGACCCATCAATCAGGCTATTGACTACGGCCAGATTGAAGGCGCGTTTGTACAGGGAATGGGTCTATTCACCTTGGAGCAGAGCTTGTGGCTCAGACACAACGGTGCGTTGTTCACGCGTGGCCCTGGGGCTTACAAGATCCCTGGTTTCAGAGACGTGCCCCAGGTCTTTAACATTAGCATGTTAAAGAACCGCGACTTCAAGCACTTAAAGACAATCAGACGGTCCAAGGGTATCGGTGAACCACCGTTATTCTTGGGGTGTTGCGTTCTGTTTGCAATCAGAAACGCTCTTGATGCAGCACGCAGAGAGCATGGGATTGCCGGTGGTTCCAGGGGTCTTCCCCTTATCTCTCCGTTGACCACCGATAGGATTAGAGGGTTTGTGGGAGATACCATCAGTGGATATGGAGAAGTGGTGCCGAAAGACGGTGAGAGAGATTTTTTTGTTGAGGCGTAGCAGCGATGGTATGCTTACTTTACTATAGGTTTTGTTTAAATAGGCAGGACAATATGTGACTTTTTCTAGCTATTTCGCTTACACCAATAAAAAAAAAAAGGTTCTCAGCACCGCCAACGGATCTCTGAGAAAGAAGGGATATTTAGTGATCGAAGCTATGGCCGTCTCAACCGGTTTTATATAACTTTGGCATGTTTAAGGGCCAATAGCCCGACCGGTTTAGGACATGAGCCGCGACTGAAGCCCTTACATGCTTTATTACATAGGGCCTGTACTATAGGTTACCCGGCAGAAGTTTTCCCTCGGCAAAACTTTCACAGGGAAACGCTATAAAAGTGCGCCAATGTCTTCCCGTGGTTATCCTTATGCTGCTGGAGTCTTTGTCAAACGGCAACATAATATCTACAACATGATGGGATCGGGGCTTCCCTGAAGTGATCAACATGATTTATTTAGATGCCAAGAGCAAATCAGACTTCCTTTTCGCTAACCACGATCATTATTGCTTCTTAGATCGTTGTTTGATAGTAGTGGGATGTACAGTTTTTTTTCTCTCTATAGTTTATATACGTATATAGGCCAAGATCAAAAGAATAACACATTGCGCCTAGTGCGATTGACAACAATCATAATGTAGCTAGCGTGACGTAGTTGGTGATAAAATTGGTGCAGGCTGTCTTCCGATAGATCAACAATTCACAAAGCGGGTCCAGCACGCCAGCTTTGTCCCACATGGCGAATTTTCTGTGGCTTTTATACCTCAATTGACTGGATACTTTTTGGGAGTTGTGGAAGCCATACCATGCCCCCTCTGTTGTATAAAGAGCGCGGGTTGCCGTAGGGGGAGGCTTGTTAACCAAACTGAGTACCTCCACCCACCTTGACGATGACCACTGCCAGAAACGAAAGGAAGCCCCTTATCATCAATGCCTTTGCCATGGCCACCAGTGGCCACCAATCTCCAGGACTATGGAAACACCCGGAAGACAAGTCTCCTGAGTACAACACCATAGAGTACTGGACCAACTTGGCGGAGTTGCTAGAGCGTGGCAAGTTTCACTCGGTCTTTTTTGCCGATGTCTTGGGCGGGTACGACGTGTACAACGGACCGCAGAACATTACAGCCGCTGCCACATCAGGAGCGCAGTGGCCTGTGAATGAGCCCAGCGCGGTGGTGGCAGCCATGGCCGCGGTTACCACCAACTTGTCGTTTGGAATTACGTTCAGCACCATCAGCGAAGCGCCTTACCACTTTGCTAGAAGATTGGCCACCTTGGATCACCTAACTGAAGGCAGGGTGGGTTGGAACGTTGTCTCGTCCTACTTGGAAAGCGGCTCCCGAAACTTATTGAACGGCGCTGCGTTGCCTCCGCACGAGGAAAGGTACCTCCACGCGGAGGAGTATCTCCAGGTGGTTTACCAGTTGGTTTTGGCTTCCTGGCGGGATGACGCTGTGGTCAAAGATAGAAAGACGGGTGTCTATTCCGAGCCTAGCAGAATCAGAGAAATCAACTTCGAAGGAGAGTACTTTAAGGTTCCCGGTCCCAACATCACCGAGCCTACCCCCCAGCGACTTCCGGTAATCCTACAGGCCGGTACCTCCAAGGCAGGCATCAACTTTGCTGCCAAGAACGCCGAAGCGGTGTTTCTTGCGGCCTTCACTCCCGAAAGTTTGCGAGAGAAGATCAAGGAGATCCGCAGAGTGGCAGCTGAGAAGTACGGAAGAGAAGACGATGCTGTGAAAGCTATCCAGTTGATTACCACCGTCATTGCTGAAACACACGAAGAAGCTGAGGCAAAGTACGAGGAGTATAAATCGTACGGCGACTTAGAAGGTGCACAAGCATTACTCAGCGGGTGGTCTGGGATCGACTTTGGAAAGTACGGGTACGACGAGGAGCTCGGGGATGTGGAAAGCAATGCGGTAAAGTCCTTCGTGGAGGCCTTGACCCAGAAAGCCACCGGTGAGCCAGAGGGACTCAGAAAGACTCGGGAATATCTTGCAAACAAAGTCACCATCGGTGGGGTAGGTCCGGTGATTTTTGGAACTCCAGTTGAGGTTGCCGATGAGCTTGAGCGTTGGGTAGACATTTCGGGTGTGGATGGATTCAACTTTGCTTACGCTGTGTCTCCGGGGAGTTTCGAGACGATTGTGGACTTGCTCCTCCCAGAATTGAGACTCCGAGGCTTGGCCTGGGAGGATTACCCAGCAAGTAGCACTTTCAGGGAAAGCATCTTTGGCAATGGGGGAATAGAGCCTGGATTTGTGAGACCGTCCCACCCAGCCTACGGTTTACGATGGAGAGCTGGTGTCACTAGAAAAGAGTTTGAGCAGAGCTTGGAAGAGGTTAGGTTAAAGTGGGAGGAGGCTTCAAATAGACTGATATAGAAACAGGTTGTGCCTAATGCCAATATGAGGCTTAGTACGCAAGTGAATAAGCAATGGTCATTATGACTACCTGATGTAGATGGGGCAATCGTAGCTGGCCATAGATATCTTGCTACGCCAGCTTACGATTCGCCGTTTAACCAAAATAACCTTCAACAATTCTCTTTAGCCTCGAACTCTTGGATGCCTTAAGCGTTAAATTAGTTTATTTATTATTAAATCGCCATGCACAGTTCGAAGCGGAAAATGTCTCCTAGGACTCATTGCAGGAGCCACGGCGCATTGTAGATACCGAATTAGGAAACTTATCTCCAGGATTCTCATACATACAGAATGGTTTATAAGGCAACCATCTGCAAAACCCAACCTGAAGGTTCATCTCCACCCAGTATACAATGGTAAGTAAACCAGGAAATTCCAATATGACAATATACTAACCCGTCAGGCGGAATTCAGCTACGACGACGTGACACCGCTACCAATCTCGGAAGAGAACCCACAGCTATGCCAGATCTTGTACAAAGAGGAGTACAAAACCACAATGGGGCTATTGCGGGCTTTGTTGGCTAAAAAGGAGTACTCAGAGCGAGCTTTGGCTCTCACTGAGCGGGTGATCGAGTTGATTGCGGCGCACTACACTGTGTGGCAGTACAGATACCACATTGTGCTCAACATCAACCGGTCCATCTTGGAGGAGTTGGACTGGTGCGAGGAAATTGCGTTGGAAAACCTCAAGAACTATCAAATCTGGAACTACCGCCAGTTACTCATTGAGCACTTGTTGAGCCAGGGCTGCGAGGAGGACCGGAAGCGGTTCAGCTACAGACGGGAGTATCCGTTGATGCAGGCTATGTTTGACGAAGACGAGAAGAACTACCATGTTTGGTCTTATCGCAAGTGGTTTGTGAAGAAGTTTGGTTTATTGGAGTCTCCTGAGGAGTTGGCTTTTGTCGATGGATTGATCGCCGCTGACATCAGAAACAACTCTGCCTGGAACCATCGCTTCTTTATCAGTTTCGGGAGCTTCCAGTCGGGTGCAGCTGATCCGCTGATTACCGAGAGGGAGATTAGCTATGCCAGAATGAAGATTGCGTTGTCTCCACAAAACCCATCTTCGTGGAACTACTTGCTCGGCATCTATGATTTCATAAAAAAAGATATCGATGATCTCTTTGAGTTTGCCAGTGAGTATGCTAGCTACAGGGTGGAAGACGCCTCGGTCGAGCCTATGATTGAGAGTGTGCTCGCTTTGGAGGTGCTTGCCAGGATTCATGAGAGAAAAAACCCGCAAGAGGCTGCCAGAATATACGATCTTTTGGGCACCAAATACGACAAGATCAGAGTTAGATATTGGGCATTTGAGAAGCAAAAACTACATGTATAGATGTGATGCATCCTACGTCTTCATGTATTGGTATAGTAAAACTGCTGCAAATATGTTCCTTAACTTGAGGCATTCCTACTGTTCATTTACGTGATATAGACCATGACCATTTACATTTGTCTATATTTCTCCGTGCCGCGAGTATATCGCTGGTGTATCGAATGGGATTGGTAAACTCCTAAAAAAATATTGGTCCATTAGCTTCAGCCATTATATATCAATAATTCGAGTTTCTTACCCCTCATTTCGTACGTTTTGGTAACCTTACCAGAGTAATTCTCAACATAGGCTTGCGCCATTCCCCCTGCATAATTTCTGGCTTGCGTCGTTTTTATTCTGCAAATCAAAGTAAACACCTTCCCATCGTATCACTTTCCTAGCACCTTTCTCTTTAACGTTTCTTTTCTCTATCCCTGCAAATATATTCCAACACCCAATATCATGTACTTACCGAATATACTTCCAAGAGATGTGCATCATCTCTGGCTCGATGCCACAGACACCCAGACGGACTCACTTCACAGACACCTCAACCTACAGTCACAAGTATCGCCCCACCAGCGGAGCCTCCAGCAACAACTCCAGGAACAGGAAGAGCAGTTAAACGTTGTAGCACCACCTCTATCGTCTTACTCCTCGGCCTACCCGGGAGCTATGCCTGACGAAGCCAGAAACCCTTCCAACTTACAGACCCTCGCGCCCGACCTCCAGACGCGGGTTAACTACCTCAATTCGATTCGAACGTTGGGATTCTCTTACTTGAAGCCATTGGGGGTGAACAAAACCATGGCCCATATGATGGAGGAGCAGCACATGCTGACTTCTGCGTTTGGCACTTACACCGGAGACTTTACCGAACCGGTAGTTGGAACCACAGAGAACGGGTTTGACCAACGGAATCAGCAGAACCCCAACACCGCCGATCGAACGTTCAACCTCACCAATATCTCTGGAAATGGAACCAGTGGGATCAACGCTGAGGGCACCAACTACGACACCACCAATGCCGAAACGGCGCCCAACGAAGCCGATTTGGACGCAGAGATTCCCGATGGAGACTCCTACATGGCCGAAGACTATGACTACGAGGAAGATGATGAGAACGGCGAGGATTTGGTGGATAACCACGACTTTATAGACAACGACATGGAGTTTATGGCAGTGGAGGAAGAGTACCAGGAGGACCACAGCGATTTTTTTCAGTTGAGCAACATCAGTGTGACTAGCGGCAGGCAGGAAAGGCGTCCGTCGGAGTAGTGCTTTGCGCTGTGGCCCGGGGAATCTAAGGCGGAGTTGTATGTGAAGACAATCGGGGCCTAAGATGTCAGTGTTTATTAAACTGCGGTGCGTGTAAAACAATTATCCGATAGAGTAAATGAAGACAATAAACAAACTGAATCTTACAATAATTACGTGAGTTGGTGACGGATGAGTAAAGGGAAATGGACCTGACGCAAGGTTACAAGGGTCACCGGTCTTCCACTAAAAGCACTCCGTAGAAGGTCTATTTTTACCCTTATGCAAACCCTATTGCCCACGCACGGCATACCGATTGTACGTCAGGTTTATCTTGATACTACAAATCTGAATCCGGTACAAATAAAATACAACAGTAAAAAAATCGGATGCCAACTTACGCCTCCTTCTCCTCGTCCTCGTCCTCGGTGTCGGCACCGATTTTCAAGTCGGTCAACTTTCTGTCCTCGAACATTTTCTCTCTGATTCTGGAGGACAACAAGGTTTGACCCTTGAAGCCGTTGCTGGCCTCCATCTCGCTCTCGCTCTCGGACGTGTTGGACGAGGCGTAGGCTCTGAAGTTCATCATGGACGACTTGTTGTAGTTGGAGAACATCGGAATGTCGGACAAGTCGTTGGAGGAGTTGATGCGGGAAACACCATCGGAGTCGGAGAAAGAGTCGCCGCCGTCCGATGGCACAACCTGCCTCTTGGCCTCGGCACGCTTCTTGGCTCTTCTCTGGCGCAATTCCTGGGTCTTGGCCTCCTCCTCCGCGTCGCTGTCCAAACCCATATCCACGCCTCTCTTCACCTTGCGCTTCTGCTCCAACAAGTTAAAGTCAGGGAACAACTCGGGTCCGAGCTCGTTAACCACCTCGGTGATCTGCTCGGACAACTCCTGTCTGGTCTGCTTCAATTCCGACACGGAGGACGTGGTGGTGAGCGAGAAGTACAACGGCCGCAAGGATTTGAGGATATCCATACCCTGGTCGCCGACTATGAGCGCGGCGTACGTGATGGACGCGCCCGAAATGTAGAGCGTGCAAAAGACAAGCGACAAGCGCCAGCTGGCAAAGATTTCGCGATAGTAACAGTAGTAGGTCCCAATGGAGGCATAGAAGATGTACAAAAGCGGCGAAAGACCCATTGCAATCAAAATCTTCCACGTGGCGAGGACATCGTTGGCTCTGACCTTGACCGTCGACGCGGCGAGCGCCTCCGCTGCCTTCTTTTTGGATACACGCTTGGTGACGATGAAGACGGGGGCAAAGAGGATGGCGCCTGGAAGCGCCAAGATAAAGAGCACAATCACTTGGAATAACCTCGCTAAGAACACCGGCAACATGCGCAACTGCATAAGATGGTTGTCAGTGATCTCCTCCACCTGGTGGTCGGAAAGATGCAAAAACTTCAACTGCTGGTTGTAGTGCAAGATGCCATCCTTCAAGTGCTGGATCTTGGGGTTCTCCTTGAAATGGTCGTAGCCAATCACCAAGCGACGGTTGAACTCTACTACCAACGGCAATGGGATCTTGTTGCCAAAATTGCCCGCGTACAAGCGGCGCGCACCCTGTACCACCATAAGCGTCTCGTAGTCCGTGCACGTAACGGTGACCGCCTTCAAGCCGGCAGTGATCGTGTCGAGTAACTCGCGCACAGCCTCCCTGTTGGATTCCGGGTTCGCGTATCTCTGCACCAACTCGCGGTTGATCTCGATCGGGCGGCCGAATTCAACCACCGCTCTGGACCGAAACTTGTGCGGATGGAAGTAGTTCATCCCGCATGGGACAATCTTTACGTTGCACTTCGGGTCGTGGTCCATGGCCCCGAGCGCCATGATAGCGACCCCAGCCTTTAACGGCAACAAATCCGTTCTGTCGTGCGACCCGCCCTCCGGGAAAATCCCGATGCACTGTTCCTGCGACAAGTGGCTGAATACCTTCTCGTACACCTCCTTCTGGTTGACCTTGTCGGCAACCTTGAAGTTGGTACCCTTCGCGAGGTATCCCACAGTCTTGTCGTTACGCTTGAATTCCTTGCGGACGAGCAATTCCGTATCGGAGAGAATCTCCAGGATCTCCGTGGTCCCGAGCGACTCAGGGAGCGCGATCAAGCCCTTCACCGTGCACTCCTTGGTGAATTTGGTGCCCACGCCGCGCACAAGCAACGGGTCTGCGTCAAAGTCAAGCTTGATCTTGCCGGTAGCTTTGCGCAAGTTGTCTTGCGCACGCTTCACCAGAATTGCCAACTGGCATCGCGAAAACAAGCCAATGTCCCACCGCCTGTAGGACTTGTCGGCCACCAAGAAGGAGATTCGACGGCTCGCCTCCTTTTGCACCTGGCCCATGAGAATACCGGGATCCACAAACTGGTTCGCATGCGGTGCCGCGACAAAGATGACGGCGCCCGTGCGTGGCACGCGGAACGCCCCGCGGGTGCGAATCTCTCTGAAGAAGCAGTCGAAGATGCGGTCAAATATCCAAAGCACAATGTCGTAGACAAACTTACGGAAGGTCGAAACCCCCTGAGATTTTGGTTCCGCCATTGAATAAAGATTCTTTGTTTTTATTTTGAAAGGTGCGAGGGAAGAAGAGGTGCTGAAATGTGGTGCCATTTTGCTCCCCCCTCCCGGTTGCCGCAAGGGCTCAAGACAAACCTGCACGTAGCCACCTGGGGGGCTTGTTAAAAATATTTTGGATGCAGGAGAGTCATTCCCCAGACCAAAGACTTGGCGACGGAGATCAGTACTGTGATATCGGTTTATCGGTAAAAAGGTATTGTGCTTAAGGGGTTTAGACGTATCAAGAGCGGAGACTTGGAGGCGAGTGAGGTTCTGCGGATAGGAGTTGGGCTAGAAACTCTGCGGAGATACGGGATATACGAAGCCAACAATTTCGTGCGTCTCCACATTATTTAGCCAGCTAGGATTAGGGATAGAAACTCAAATACAGTTTCTGGAGAGGTTGCACGCTTCCATTAAGAAATTGCCATTCATTTACCGAGAATGTAGAAGCATAAAAATGAAAGCTAACCCGTCACATTACCAGTATCGAAAATGCTTTGGATAACAAAAATCGACCTCCCCATCAGGGGCTCGAACCCTGGACGTTTCGGTTAAAAGCCGAACGCTCTACCAACTGAGCTAATGGGGATTGGCCGTTGGTGCCCTACCCGTGGGGCTCGCCCGGAGGAGAAGTCATCTAGGAGAGCTGTGGAAGGGATTCGATAAGGGTTCTAAGAAATCTCTTGTAGGAGTTGAGCTGGCATTTTTTTTAGCAGCCTGCTTGATTATACCCGCGGTGGGTTACAAAATTCACGACAGAAAAGAAAAGGAGAAGGCTAAAAAGGCCTGATTGGAGTGAACGGGAGTTTTCCAATAGCTCCCTAATGGTCTGGTTCCATGTAATGGCTCCAGGTAAATTCACTAGGGAATAGCACAGCTTTTTACATTCTCTTCCATGTTGGCTTTTCTTATTATACTGCTATTTACATTTATCTTGAGTGATTGCCAAACATCTCCGACGGATGCTTGAAGACGTTGGTGGCAGTCTCGCCGCCCAAAACACAGTCCAACGGCAACTGCTTGGAGTACAACTCGCCCGACTTCAAGTGGTCGTGGACAAGCCCGGCCAAGGCCTCAATGAACACGGGGTTACCGTTCAACGACTCCGCACGCTTGATCTTCTCGGGAAACTTGGCGTCCTCCATCAATTCGATATCAATCTCGTGTAACGTCTCGATGTGATCGCTGGTGAAGGCAATTGGCACAAGAATGATACCCTCTACTTGGCTCTCCAAGCGCTCGACGATCTTGGCGGTCTGGCCACCTAACCATGGCCTCGGGCCGACCTGTGACTGCCACACCAAACGGTACGGGTTGGAGAAGTTTAACTCCTCCATCACGGCGTAGACGGTGGCGGCAACCTCCGCGGGATACGAGTCACCCCTGTTGATGATTTCCATTGGCAAGGAGTGCGCGGAGAACAAGATGTTGATATCATTCCGCTTATCAGCAGGAAATTCTGCCAACTTGTCGCGGATGTTCTGCGCAAAGGCCTTGGCCAACCCGGCGTTCTTTGGCCAGCGGTCAATCACGGACCAGTTGATCGTGCGGTTTGGATCGATGATCTGTGTTTGGCGCCACAACTCGTTGATGGATGAGCCGGTCGTGGAGTAACTGAACTGCGGATACTGCGAAAATGCCACCGCGCGCGTGACCCCATCGCGCATCATCTGCTCCAAGGTATTTTCCGTGATTGGCTGCGCGTAGCGAAACGCGACGTATGGCTTGTGTGGCGCGGTCTCCGGGTTGGTTTTGTCCAAGATTTCACATACTTTCAGCGACTGGTACTCGGACCAGTAGCGGATCGGCGACCCGCCGCCAATCTCTTCGTAGTGCTTGGCGACCTTGGGCGTACGCCTTTTGGCAATGAACCGTGCGGCCCATTTCTGGAATGGTCCAAGTGGGATCAAGTCACTGTCGGAAAAGAGACGGAGAAGGAAGTCATAGGTCTCGGAGGCCTTGGACGGCCCGCCCATGTTCATGAACACGACCCCCTTGGATTTGTTAGTGGAGTTCGGAGGGCTATCAGTAGGTACTTACAGTAGGGGCTTTGGCTTTATCAGTGAATAGGCCGTGAGTGGAGGCAAAGCCACGGGCGAAACTGTGTGATTTATGTGAAAAAACCCGTCTAGAAAGCATTAAAGTGGTGGGAAGTGGTGCGGAGGTCGAGGAAGGCGCAGAGAATTGTTTCCTTATATACTTGGAGGATGTATACAGGATACTTGTCAAGCTTCGGTCTGAGCCTTTCAAGACTCAGCTATGACATGGGATACAGTGTTGTCGTGGGCAGTCAAAGATTAGAAGGCAGGATAAACCGTTACCGAAAACAAGAGATATTGCCTGAAATTATCTCATTAGAGTTAGTCTGCACTATGTATATTTTTGGACTTTCTATAAACGTATCGCGGCTAGTGTAGGTAGCCAGCTCTTCCTGCAGCAAACGCTGGGCGCGAAACTAAGCTGCCAGCGGTTTGGAGCCAACGCCGCGATTTGCCAAGACGATCTATCAATTAATAGCACTTGTGATGTAACCACACGCCACCAGTATTTCTAAGAATCACATTCAATCACATTCAATCATATTCAATCATATTCAATCATATTCAATCATATTTAATAGTCCGTCATCCTTGATACACGTATGAACTCATCTCACTTTGACGCTGAGCACGAAGACCCATGGGGTGCCAACACCTGGGCCTCATCATCCATCTTGGGCGAATCAGCGCCAACAATTTCACCAAAATATCCCGAAGCGGACTCTGTGAAGAAAACATTGTTACCTTCACTCTCTAATGAACATGACCCGTTGTCCGATCCCCAGTCTCTGTCGCCTTTGCTTGGCTCGCCACAGCCAGTGGGTAACATCTGGGGCGAGGATAACAACCCCACCGCCTTAACAGGAACCGCTGCTCCGGGATTTGCCAGTCCCTTGGACGGAGCGTCATTGATCCAACCGTTGAATCACCCAACTGGCACGGTAGCACCTGACGGCCACGAGAACAAAATGTCAGAGAAAGAGGTTGCACAGTACAAGAGCTCCCTCCGCAACCAATTTCACCCACTCACGTCAGACCAGATCTCTATCAAAGAGATTCCTGAGAAGGAGGGCTTGTTGTTCAAGCATATCAACTACCTCTTGACCCACCACATCATCATTGACGGTGACGCCAGCGTCAAAAAGATCACCAGACGCTACTCCGACTTTGTCTGGTAAGTATATTTCTACAAACCGTTCGGACACCCACTAACTCCCCCCAGGCTACTTGAGATTTTGGTTAAAAAATACCCGTTCAGGGCCATTCCGGACTTGCCTCCGAAGAAGTTTTCGGGTACGTTGAGTTCTGTTTCTGCTTTTTGGACCACTTTACTAATATTACAGTAGGATCGCCACAAGATACGCAATTTCTCCAGCGCCGCCGCCGCGGGCTATCGCGGTTCATCAACCAGTTGATCAAGCATCCGGTTTTGAGCAAGGAACCGCTCGTGGTGGTGTTCTTGACCGTCCCCACCGACCTCACAAGCTGGAGAAAACAGGCCAACGTGGACTTATCCATAGAGTTCCAGGGAAAGAAGATTTCCAAGAGTTTTATCGTCAACTGGGAGAAGGAGAACATCACCAGATGGTCTCAGACCGAGCAGTCATTAAGACCATTGTACGAGCAATGGTCCAAAATCTGTATCCTCCTTGATAGATACGAAAAGCGCCGCAGACTGGTGGCGGGCGATAAGACCAAATTTGCCTCGCTATTACAGGCGTTTGCAGCTACAAACATCAGCTTGTACGACTCCGAGGCTGCCGACACCGACATTGGCGTCATCAACGCCAATCTCGAGCACATCTCTAAAACGTTCACGAAGGAGGCGGATGTTTTGACTAAAGAGGCCGATAACATCAGTTTAACTCATTTGGAGTTCTTCAAGACATACCAGGACTACCTTGCGTCCTTAATTGCCTTGTTTGAGCGGTATCACACGTTTGGAGGAAACACCATTCCCCAGGTCTCCAGGCACTTGGAGGCAGCCGAGCAGAAGTTGCAGTCACTCAACTCCAAACCAGATGTGAAGGGGTCTGAGGTGGAGCGCGTGAAATCATTGATTCTCAACGACAAGCAGGAAATCTTTAGTCAGGTGAACCGCGACTGGTTGATCAAACAGTGCTTGGTTCACGAGTACTATACCTTCCAAGAAACCCAGTATATTGTCACCAAGGCCTTCCAGGACTGGTTGGCTGACCGCTTGAAGTACAACGACATGCATTCCGAAATCTTGACTGAAGTCCTCAAGGATATTCATAATATGCCGTTGTACAGAAGTTTAGGATAAAGTTAATGACACGAATGATTGTGACGTAGAAGGTTGTGGTTATAGGGAAGGAATTTGTACAGATTTAGAGTGAAAGTGCGTGTAACCAGTCGCCGTTCATTATCCCTCTAATTTTATTTTCACCCAGACGTGCTTTACCCCTTATCCCTTACCTTTTTGCCATTCAACCATGTACGCCTTTTCCCGACTATTCATTCGCCGTAAGGTTTACTACTTACTCTGGTATCCGCCTAGTCCCTTTTATTCCCATAGTAACTCTACGGTAATCCTTCCACAGGCAGACATCAATTGCTACATACGGCTAATATACAATTTTATGCTTGTTTATGCGATTTTCTTGGAGCTGTTGGTGAAACCAACACCCTTGACGGTGGCGACGAGACAGTTCTCATTGTCGTCGTCCTTGAAGTACACCTCGGTACCAAAGAGCTTCTTGATGTCTCTTAACAAATAGATCATGTTTTCGTCAATCTGCTCCTTGTTGAGGAGTAAACGCCCGATATCTTCCTTCCCGATGACCATATAACACAAGGCCAACTGTAACTGGTTTCTGCCCACGACTGCGCTCTTGCTGATTTCTTCCAACAATTCATACGCCACCTTGACACCGATGTCCTCTGGTACCTCCCCGGGGCCACCGATATCTTCCGCGATAAATCTCCAGCCTTTCTTTGACTCAGCCACGAGGGTCAACCCAAAACCCGGCGACTTACCGGAGTTTTCGCCACGCCACACGTCAGCTGTGATGTTCACCTCTACGCCAACACCTCTCAAGACCCCTCTGGCGGCATCGATCATTCTGTTGACGATCGACGGCGAGACCCTGGTACAGTACGCCACACCTCTGATGGCGGCGATCTTTGGCATCTCCAACGCATGCATTGTGAGCGGCTGTGGAATTAAGTGGTCGACCTTCAAGTGGACCTCACCCCCACCGTTCGGAGGGGCGCCTCTCTTCAAGGTGTGAAGGGCCGCCTCTCTGACCCCGAACTTTTCCATCACTGGTAGAAGGCCCCACTTAATGGCCTCCAAACCGGCATCTTCCTTGGACGACGTGATGCCTTTGAATACGATGGAGAATTTGGTTTTGGAAAATGGCGCAAGGTAGAGCATCGGTTCGATAAAGTATCCCACTGGTTTGGTTGGTGGACAGTTGTGGGTAAGCGAACCGCCTATGATGATACCCGGGGAGTATTCGATTGTGGTACCGGTGTAGGATATCTTGATAATAGACCCGTTGGTTACGGCTTCTAATAACCTCAAGAACGAGACTTCGTGGTCTCTCAAACCGGGATTCAAGTCGTCGGACCTGATCTTTGTGATTTTGATGGGTTTCCCGGCAAGCGTCGCGAGGACGAGCCGGATACGGAAGTTTCTGTGGCCCTGGAAAGGAATCGCGGACATAGTATCGTAGATTTCAAGTAATAGTCACTGGTTGCGTAAAAAAGAAGTTACTGGCAAGGTAATGGGTTATAGTAAACTGCTAGCAATTATCTGGATAGCTGAAAATTTCAGATAATTTTTTTATTTTCGCGCGCCGCACTGCGCGATGCCCCGAGTTACCCGGCCAGGTTTACAGCCGTCAATATCACAACACAAAGCAAAACGCTTCCATCGTACAACTTCTCAGGGACACGCACCATTTAATCATCATGGACAGTACATCACCGTCAGGGGATACTAAATCACCGTCTTCCGCGGGCGACATATTCAATGACGATGTCACGCGCGAACAGACGCCGGACCAGCAGATAGATGCCTTGTTGAACGACCCGTTGCCGTTTTCGGTTGAGGGGATCGATAACCCTGAGTTTACGGCCTCGGACAACTTCAACCTTGACATGGATTTAGATCTTCCCGTGGGTACCACTGAGACCGACTTTGAATTACCGGAAATCGACTTGGATTTGGAGCTTGGGGCGTTGTCCCATGACCTTCAAGTGGATGAGCCAACTCCTGCTTCAACTTCTGTCTCCACCCCGATTCCAACTTCTGTATCCACTCCGGTTCCAACCCCTGGTTTGACCCCAGCTTCTGGTTCGACTCCAGTTCCAACCCCTAGTCTCTCCACTACAAATAGCGTAACGCCTGTTGCCACCCCAGGTGCAAATAGTGAAACCAAACCAAAGGATGCGTCGCCTGTCAAAGAACCATCAAAGAAAATAGATACAACTTCCGCAGACTCAGCGACGGAGGACGAACCCTCGGGGGAGAATAAATCCTCGGGGGAGAGCAAACCCTCGGGGGAGAGCAAACCCTCGGGGGAGAACAATCCTTCAGAGGGGGACAAAACCCCTAGGGCCGAGATAAAGGATACAGCCAGACCCGACAAGAAGGCAGAGCCAGTAAAGCCAAAGTCACAGACCTCATCCGACCCCACCACGTTGGCCGACACGTTGGCCTCTGCGGGTGTGGACTTGAGAGAGGAAGAGGCTTTGTTGAGCTCTACTATACAAATTCCGTTCGGTGCAGAAGCGGATGTGGCAAAAATCGTGTCGTCACTGTTCTTGGAACACCGCCAACTAGCGCCGTTTATGCGGATGATTGCGCGCGATAACGGCGTCAAGCAGACTTTTGACCAGGAACCGGACATCTTGGGCACCATGTCGGCTGCCTGCGAGCACTGGCTCTCGCACGTGGTGACAAAGACCGCGCTTTTGGCCCGACACCGTAAGCGCACAACCAAAAAGAGCTCCACGTTGAACCGCAACCACACACCCACCGCATTGCGCGAGCTCGCGTACAAGCAGAAGGCAGAGGAGGACGCGCGCTCACAGAAACGCATACAGTTGGGGATCGAGACGGCTCTGGACCTGCTGCAGCGCGCAGGTGCGGAGGAGACGTTACACCGTGCAACCAACTCGACTGCGAGCATGATGACCGGCGCGAAGAGACGGAAGTATGCGTGGTTGAGCAACGGCGCAAACGCAGGCGCCGGGACCGGTGGCCGCAACAGCAACGTCCGGGGTGACACTGGGCTCCGGTTTAGGGAGAACAGATACTCACGTGGAATTGTTTTGCGGGATGTGTTGGAAGCGATGGACGGTGAGCGAATGGGTGTGGACAAGAGCATTGTCAAGGGATACGCTAAGTTAAGGGACTAGCCGTGCAAGCTCCTTACCAGGGTGCCGGTGGGGCTGTTATACATCCAAGATGGCGACAACTGACTTGAATCTCGGTATCGCTGTCATGTATAGGTAGCTACGACTAACCGGGGTTGGAATCGCTAATAGTGGATATCCCTGATTACTAGATTTATTCGGTAGTATAATGAATCACGACACGTTGAAGGTATCTGGACTGATCTACGTCCCGATGTGTGTAGGCTTCGATATCGTCCTGGGATTATTCTAAGGGATTGGTGCAATCTAGCCGATGTCAGAACGTGAGTGTAGCACGATAGGAACGATTTTTTTTTGCAAAACATTCAATTGATATATTACATAATTGGGTCTGCTAAAAAAAGAACATTTTTCGACTATTTTAATAGTAGCTTTGTATCAACGTTGGTTTCATGCGGTTAACGCTCACTTTAAATCCCAACCGCTTGTGCTACATCATATACGTACTACCGTATGATAAAGGATCCCCATGAACTGATAATGGTTTTAACTGGATCATCGGTATTTCTAAAGTTGTAATATAATTTTCAATGCTAAGTACTTGGTCAATTCGTAGAGATGTGCTCAATTTAATGACCCATCGCATCTCTATGGTCGTGTATCACCGAAGCACGTGCGCGTATTTGTTTACTTTCCGCAGATCATAATAAAACATTTATTGCCTGTTGCTCGGTGGGGCTTTATTACACACACCACGCCATGATCTTTAACCTCTCAGAATCCTTGACCGAGTTTCAGTCGGCGGAAAAAGGTTCCTTCAGCGTTAGCGACCCCGAACACAAGCTTGATGCCATTGCGCAAGCGCTCACCAACAACCCCGGGGCGTTAGGCGCCGACGACGTCTTTGAGCCCTTAGAGGAGCTCGTTCTGTATGTATCCCGTTCATTCTTATCGCGTTGTGCTATAAGCCTTTACAGTCTCATGATAACTAGGCTATAGCCTAGAATACCACGGCTATGATGCCAAAGACCGTGAAACATTGTCGTGACCAAGCCAGACGAACGCCATGCTTACCACTATCAAAGACCTTATGCTTTCCCAGCCATGCTCATGATTTCATACTAACATACATTTAGCGCTTATCCCAGCTTATCGCAGGAACATCAACGCGATGTATCCAACCTCATCTCCTCCAGCATGCGCGAACAGGCGTCGCACACGCTCCAGACGGTGACAGCGGGCGATGTGGACGTGTTTCCGGACCACAAGCAGCTCTTGGAGCTCTACGGGTATCTCATGTACGGCGTTTTAACGTATCTCGGGGCGGAAGACCATTCAGCAGCGGTGTCACTGGCTGGTAAGAAGGCCACGCCACAGGCCAAGTTGGCCTTTGAGGTTAACTGCAAACAGCTCGAGGACTGTATGGAGGCTATCACAATCCTCTTCCGAATCGAGCTTTCCAAGCTCTTTGTAACAACCCCGGAACGCGATCTCTATGTCAGTCTCTTCACCAGACCCATCTACATGTTGATGGAGAACGAGCAGCGCGTGAAGCAAGTAGCCATCAAGATGTTCATGTTCCGCGTCATCGCAATGGCCATCAAGTCGCATGGCCACGCGTCCGCCGCGCAGAATGCCATCATGCAGAACCTCACATACTTCTTTCACTTGACCGGCACCATGGCAGAGTTGCTCAAGGTGGTGGCTGAAGAGTACGACTATACAAATATCACCGACGAGGTGTTGCGCGAAATATCTAACAAGCGATTCAATAGCAACGATACAAACGGCCCGAAAACGATCTCGGCCTTCATCGTCCGCTTATCCGAGTTGATTCCGCGCGTGGTGATGAAGCAGATGTCGTACATTGCCAAGTTGCTTGACAACAGCGCGTACACGTTGCGCTGCTCCGTTGTGGAGGCGTGCGGGAACATCACTGTGGCGCTCTGCCACGATGACGAGGATTTGGAGCGTCACCAGAACCAGATCATGGGCTTTATCGACCTTCTTGACGAGCGCTTCTTAGACCAAAACCCATTCGTGCGCACCAGGGCTGTCCAGGCCCTCATAAAGCTCTGCGACTTGGATGTCAAGTTCAACAACCGCCGCCAGAAAATGACTGAGTTGGCCGTGCGCAGTCTTGAGGACCGCAGCTCGTTGGTGCGGCGTAACTCTGTCAAGTTAATGTCCAAGCTTCTCTCTACGCATCCGTTCGACTCGTTACATGGGTCACAGTTGGCGTTGGGGGTCTGGAGGAAGCGTTTGAACGGAGCCGAGGAGGAGATGCGGCGGCTTATGCGTGAGGCTGGCATCGATGTTGAGGAGACCGAGAGAGTTGCCCGTGCCGAAACTAGTTTAGAATCGGAGGAAGGAGACAGCCCAGATGTGGATATGGACGGAGGTAACGAGGACATAGATATGGATGGAGATAATGTGGACATAGATATGGATGGAGATAATGAGGACGCTGACACGAACGGGGATAAAGACGAGGCAGATACTTCCGCGATGACTCCTGCCATTAATCTGGTAGACGCAAGCCTTCTTGTCAAGGCCAAGTTGACCGTTCAGTACTACACTGAATGTGTCACCTTTATTGAGACGCTCCACGTGGGGATTGAGATGGCAGCACCGTTGTTATACTCCACGAACAAGAATGAGGTCTTGGAAACGATGGATTTCTTTGTGTTCGCTGATGCCTATGCCATTGAGACCGCCTCGGTTGGTATTCGCCGCATGCTCCACCTTGTGTGGTCGAAGGGGGCGAGTGAAGAAGGGAAGAGCATTTCTACCCATTTGATGGAATGCTATCGCGACTTGTTCCTCACCGCACCCACGGGTGCGCGCGAGCTTGAGGTGGCTACATATATCGCCAAAAACTTGATTGAGTTGACCTACAACTCCTCCGTCGCCGATTTGGCGTCGTTAGAGAAGCTCTTGTGTCTTATGTACGAGGACGGGTTGGTTCGCGACTCTGCGATCAAGATCTTGTGGCAGACGTACAACCTAAACAAAGAGCTTCCACAAAAACAACGTCGGGGGGCCATCACTGTGTTGGGGATGTTGGCATTGGCGAACCACGAGATTGCGTTGAATGGCTTGGATGCGTTGTTGAACGTTGGCTTGGGCGAGAAGGGCCGTGACGACCTTATTCTTGCCAGATTCACCTGTATCTGTCTCCAGCGTATCGTGCCGGGTAGCAAACAGGCTGTCCAGTTTCGCATTGCGCGCGAGCGTGAGGCCATCGACAAGTTGTCCGAATATTGCTTGTTGTACAGCGAGGACAACGAGTGGTACACGGTCGCTGAGGAGGCCATCAGCGCTATCTACAACATCGCATCGCATCCTGATGATCCGGCCACGCACATCGTCAGAGCTAAAACCCTACAGGTTTTTGAACCCAGCACCGACAGCTCCCGATCCCAGGTTATTGCCTTATCCCAGCTTTTGTTTATTGTGGGGCACGTCGCAATTAAAACCATTGTGCACTTGGAAAAGTGCGAGGCAGAGTTCAAGAAGAAGAAGATTCTAGCGGAGGCCAAAAAGGACCTGGATGATAAGGAAAATGAGGCGCAGAACGAGCTTGAAATGATCGGGGGTACCTCCGAGGACGACTTTGCGGATGCGATTGCGATCATCAAGGAGAGACAGTTGTTGCACGGCGAGAAGTCTCTTTTGGCCAAATTTGGGCCCTTGGTGAAGGAAATCTGTCTCAACAATATGCGATACGAAAACGAAATCTTGCAGAGGTCCGCTGTGTTGTGCATGGAGAAGTTGATGTGCGTTTCCTCGGCCTACTGCGAGGAGAACCTCCAATTGTTGATTACCATCATGGAGAAGTCCCCTGACCCAATCATCCGGAGTAACGCCGTGCTCGGTCTCGGTGACATGGCGGTGTGTTTCAACAACTTGGTTGATGAAAACACCGATTTCCTCTACAAGAGATTAACCGACGAGAATATAATGGTCCAGAGAACTTGTTTGATGACGGTGACGTTTTTGATTTTGGCTGGTCAGGTCAAGGTGAAGGGCCAGTTGGCCCAGATGGCCAAGTGTCTCGAGAACCCCGACCAAGGCATCTCAGACATGTGCCGCTTGTTCTTCACCGAGTTGGCAACCAAGGACAATGCGATCTACAACGGGTTTATCGACATTTTCAGTGGGTTGTCCAACGACGAGCTGTTGGAGAAAGACTCCATGAAGCGGATTGTCAAGTTCTTGTTGAGCTTCATCGTCAAGGAGAGACATCAGAAGCAGTTGTCGGACAAGTTAATGGCGAGGTTGAGCAAGTCTGAGACCCAGGATGAGTGGAATGATGTCGCTTTTGTCTTGAACACTTTGCCATTCAAAAATGACGCCATTACAGCAACCTTGGAAGAGGGGTTTAAGATGGTTGCTGCTCGTTAAGCAGATAATTTATAATAAATGATGTGTAAAGATGTGCACCTGAAGCGCGTAAAGGAGATTGTACAAGATGTGAGTGGGTGAGCCCATTTCTTGTGGGTAATATAAAGTTCAATGTGTAACGTAATGCAAATGCCCGAGTGGGCATATATCTAGTGTATGTACAAGAATAGCGTCTGAAGGATACGTCTCAAAGGGATCGCTTGATTTTTTGCTCTGCTCTTTTGAGATCGACAGCCCGCTGTTCGAAGGCCTTGACCATGAGGTCTGCAACCTTGCTGGCGAAAAGCGAGCTCACAGAGTTGTAGAGCGGGTTCTTGAACTCGTATTCGAGAGTGATTTCAGCCTCACAGGCATTATGTCTGTTTGGCAAGTCACGAATATTCCACTCTGTATACAACTTGCTGAACAACGAGTGAGAGAGAGATTCAGCAATGACTTGGGTGTTTTCTTGGCAAGTTAATTTACAGACAAACCTCTCGTCAAATTGTTTCCAACCCACTCTGAGACCAGCCTCTGTGGGCTGATTCCGGGCGTTTTTTTCGTTAATAAAAGACTCAGTGCAATAGGGCACAAATTCATTGTACTTGGAGACGTCGGCAACGATTTCATACATAAGCGCTTGGGGATGGTTCAACTTCTTCTTGAGCGTGTAAGCCTGGGGAGATGGACCTTTGGTCTTGGGGATGGAGAAAAACGATCTCTTAGCAATTAATCTCACACTCAATGGTGGCTTTAGCATTGTGGAAATGAAATTGGGAACGGGGAAGGGTTCAGATACAGATATTCCGAAGTTATCGGGCAAATGTTTACTTCGAGTAAGCTGGAAAATAAAGCGTACAGGATTGCGTAACTTCAAGGTTTACCCTGCGTTGATTACAAGTGCGTTAGCAGTGATTCAATGAGCAAAAAGAAAAGTAGCGTGGGAAATACTGCCCAAAAATATTCAGAGAGATAGCATGTTGAATCAGCAAGCATAATACCTTGACGAGTAATTGGGGAAAGGTAACAGGTATAAATCATTAACGGACACTTCGGAAAGTGATTCGCTAACACGATTCGGTAAATCAACGAGTTTTGTTAAACATCCGGTTTCTGAGGTTAGAATGAAACACTATGTATTTTATAACTTACTAATCGTGCATGGCTATTTTATTGGAACGGTTTAGGTTGGAATAGGGTTGGAAATACGAGATTCGAAACTTTTCAGAGCAGAACGCATTGTGTGAAGTTGGCGACTGCAATTCATTAATACCATGGTCATATACATATTCATTATAAACTATACTACTAGCCAGATTCCTGCCAAAATCTTATTAAAAGATTGCTATTACCTTTAGATGGCTTCCCAGAATCCTAGACTCCGAGCTACCTTGGGTGTAATCCCCCGGAAAAAACTAGCCTCAATATAAACGTGCTAGTTTGTGGTCTTGTTAAGAACCTCGTGTGTAATTCACTCAACTCGATAAGAGACTTTAGTTCGTTGTAACTGAAGTTCCAAGGGTTTGGTGGATTTCCAAGATGCAATATTCATATTGTCAGACTCGCGTGCCATTCTCTTGACACTTCGACCATATAACGTGTTTCCCATATAGTCTTTCATCACCACGGCCAATGATTTTTCTCCAAACCTCGGGCCGTCATTATTCTGTCTGTGAAATAACTCTAACCAGTCCGCCAATTTTGCTCGCGACGTATTATCCAATATTAAGGCACGGAGTAGCGGGAAATGAAGACAATGAGTATCGGGACTCGCTCCATCAAACACCAATGCCGCATCGATATTATCAAGAGTAATAGCCAAGAGGGTATTTCGTAAATAGCTGAGCAATAAGTATAGAATTTTCCCCAAAGCAAATTTTGTCGAGCTGAAATGTTTCACAATTTGCGTTCCCCTGCTATGTGAAAAGTAACTTTCGTAAAAAGCGGGCGGGGACAGGCAGTAGAGGGCAGTAGAACGGGTGGGTAACAAGACTGGAAAGATTCTTTCTTTATACATAGGAGACTTGGATAGGAGCAGCAAAAATTTCAAGTTGCTTGGAGGTCTCCTATCAACAGTCTGGACACTTGACGAAACCATCCTTTGAAAGTGTTTCTTGGATCCGGTTGAGTGTGAAACGGGTGTTTGGATTATTATGGAGAGCTTTTCCAAGGAGGGTGGTAGTTCGAACAACAACGGAATGACAGCCGCGTTGTCGAAACATAGTATGAGAGATGAAATGAGGTATTGGTTGGATATAAGGATCCTCAAAGAAGGGACCAAGCTTGGTTGCTCCAAGGGAAGGTAGTTTCGCCAGCCCAATCGAGAATCCACCCTCAAGGATAGAATACTGTTAGAAAAGTGAGGGTTACTAACCTAGGTTAATGTTGTGCTAAGATGAGCGGAAGGAATAACATACGAGTTGAATCTATGGAGTAGTTCAATTGACCAGGAATCCAGCTGTGAAAAGCAAACCCGCTTCCAAGAGTACATTATCGGAAGACACCAGTTATATGTTTCCTTGGAAGCGTAAAGATAGCCGTGGGAGTTGGTGAAACCATATAGGCCGAGGGAGAAATAAGCAATTCGTCTCAAAACTTCTTTAGGAAGCACCTCCACGATGGAGGGTCTGTTCCGTAAAACCTCCAGAGCGCTTACTATACCCGTGTGTAGGCATGCTAGACCTGGTTTATTCGACAGCTGCATACCGATAGTTACACACGGTCCTTTTCCTACTGTAACTGCCAGAAAGTAAGGTAGTTGATATTCAGTAGTATAAACGATTTAGAAGCGCAGATCACTATGTATGTGAGGATTCACTGGGAGGGAGATTCCTTTTGTGGAAGGCGCATATGCCGCCGTTGCATATTCAACGCACCAACGCGAGCTGGAACAAGAACCATTCGATCTCAAAGTTTGTCATGGCCACTCCAAAATAGTTGCTGTTTCCAACTTGGTACAACTGCATACACGGCAATAACCATGAGAGATCAAACAGAGACCCAGCAACAAAAGATATCTAGCTTACCCAACTGGACATACTATTGCTCCCAGTCGCATGTTGGGTGTGGTGCCATAATACCGATTCAACACGGATTATTAGCTGTATGGTTGCAACAACCTAACTAGCACGTTTTGGCCCCCCTGTTCAACAACCCAAAAATCCTGTGGAGACAGAGTCTACCGTAACTGAGGCCTGTTAGCGTTCTAAGACATTAATGTCATCCGCCCCTGCATGCAGTAGAAAGACGTTCTCATGTACCTCCCTAAAACACGTTTTCTTCAGTTTGGCGGTTGAGCCCTCACCATAGCTAATAGCAAATAACCTTCAAACCATACTTATTCCGTTACGCCCTTTCCGTCACAGATGTCGTTTGCTAAGACAACAGAGGCCCGTGAAGGGAGAGAACACCAATGCTACAGCAAAGCCACTGGAGCCAGGCTTGTCGCCGGCTGCATTGCCTTGAACGCAGACAAAACTAAAGTCATCATGATCACCTCCACGAATTCCAAGTCCAAGTGGATCTTGCCAAAGGGTGGTATTGAGGCTGATGAGGCTGGTGACTACCTGGCCACCGCGTTGCGCGAAACGTGGGAGGAGGCTGGGATCACGGGCAAGCTCACCCTGAAACTTGGTGTCGTCGAAGACAAACGGCCACCAAAAAAGTGGAACACCAAGAACGAATACGGAATTATGATTCCCAGGACGGAATTTCACTTCTACGAGATGCAGGTGGAGGAGTTGGCCAAAGAATGGCCCGAATCCAACAAGAGAGAGCGTCGCTGGTGTACCTACACCGAAGCCAAGCAGGAGTTGGAGAAGGCTAAGCGACCAGAGCTAGTTGACGCCCTCAACAGCTGCAGTATTGACAAACAATTCAAAGAAAGCACCTAGTTATGTCGAAGAGTCTACGTATTTATGGGAATAAAAGCTGAGCAAGGCTATCAGCGAAGAGCAGAGCTGGATTGCCTCAGTTAGCAGTTATATAGGAGGCTTATTCTCGGTCGTTAAATACAGCTGAACAAGGATGGCCTTAGAAGGCGCAGCAATGGAAGCCACCGCCCACCGAAGCATTAATCAAAGGTTAATCCTTCGCAAACGTTAATCTTTCTTTGGGAAGAAGCTGGAAACCTCCTCGGAAAAGTTCTTGTAGGCATCTTCCAACACTCCGCTCTCTACAAGGGAGCCTCTTCTCTTCATGGTCTGGAACTGGTCTCTCAACTCGTCCATTCCCTCCTTGACCTCACCAATGTTCAGGAAGACCTCAGTGTCTGGGAGAACCATGACCGGTTCCTCAGACTCATCCTTTAACACGGCAGTCTTTGGGGTAGCCTTGGCGTTTGCCGAGGCTTGGAACTGCTTCAAAAAGTCAGTGACTTGTTTCTTAAACGGCCCCATGAACACAAAGTAGGTGACAGCCACCATGGCGTGGAAGTAGTAGTGGACAGTTCCCCACAAGTATAACGAACGCTCAATGTCCAAAATCACGAATGGGTGCACCACATAGCCGAACGCTAACTGGGTGACAAAATAGCAGACTATATCGTAGTACACCTTGCTTGGCTTGGCGGTCTTGCCATCCGCCTCCAAGAAGATCGGGCGGAAGTTGCGTCTGTAGAGGCGTTGGCAGGATTGTAAGAAGGCGCCACAGGCAAAGGCCATGTAATAGCCTGGTCTGGTGCCGTGCCAAAAGGCGGAGGTCAAGAAGGTGAAGAGCGACGACTTGAAGCCCGGTTTCTTGCCCGGTCTGACCACACGCATGTACACGTAGTTCTTCAACCACTTGTTGGTGTTCTGGTTCCAGGCCTCGAGGCACACATGTACATTCTGACCGGTCTCAAAGGCATACGGGTCTACGTTCTGCACGCGGTTCCACAAAATGGTACCGGTCTTGGCGTCGTACCCGTTATAGCCAATACCACAGACAATGCAGCCCGCCTCAGCAATGAGCCAAACGGCGTAGTACTTGAGACGGTACGTGAAGCCCAAGATCCACAAGTATAAAACCTTGTAGACGAACGAGCGCTCGTACTTAAAGACGGGGTCAAGGGCATCCTCCACCGTGACATAATCGCCGATTTTGATCCACACTGCGGCCCAGAAAATCCCCTGGGCAACCTTGCGGAGCGCCACGCGGCCGCTCTTTGGGATTTTTCTTTTTCTGGTGCGGCCGGGCTTTTTGTTATCGGGCAAGTCATCGAATAAGGTGGAGTGGATGAACTTGTGGTAGTCAGCGAAATCAAATGCAGGACCCGTTAATAAAGAGGGGTAGAAAAAGGTGTAGCCCAAGAATTCAACCAATCCCGGGTGCTCCTCAATGACTCGCGACTTGAGGTAGCTCGAGAGGGGAAGGTCCTTGTTCTTTCTCTGTGCGCGCGCATCGTGGATGTTCCAGCCGAACGCACTCAACTTCATCACAAGCACCATCTGTGCGCCGGTGATATCGATTGTCGTAGGATCGTACACCTTGAAAAACTGCGCGTGCACGTGGTTGAATGCCAAGTGAGACATTACAAACACAAAGTTGATCCACGGCATCAGTGGCGTCTTGAGGTAGCGCGTAAGGAGATACGTGCCCATGGCTGAGATGAGAAGTGTCCGGAAGCCGCTGTGGAGATTGAGGATCCCGAAGATGTAGAACGAAGACACCGCAATGATGTAGTAGTTTTTGAGGCGGTAGTTGGCATCCGGCAACCGTTTGAAGACCGCACTGAACGGGAAAGAAAGTAATAGGCAGATGACAATCCGCATGGAAGCGCCGTCCAAGCCAGTGGCCGTAGCAAGCAAATCGATACGGTCCTGAATAAACGTCATGGTGGAGGGTAGAAGAAAGCGAGGTGGAGCAACTTGGCCAAGAAAAAATAAATAACAGTAGTTGATACAGGGCGTATGATCACGTGATGCAGGGTTTTACGGGGGCATTGAAGGTTGGGCTCGTGATGTAGCATTTTCCAACTTGTCACCATGACAAAAAATAATTGTTTCGTTTATCTAGTTTGGAATTCAATATCGCTATCCGGAAAATCACCTTAAGCCCTTTATATTGCCAGTCTATATGACGGACGTACATTGAATTATAGCTGAAGAATGGATAGTTCGGTGTTTTGTTTATCCGAATTATATCATCTCACGAGTGGTATCTAACCTGATTATCACGTACGCGGCGACATTCAGGTAAGCTCGACCCCCATTTCCAACCTGGTATTCTCACCTGCACGATTATGCTCCCCATATCCCATCTAGAATAGTAGATATGTCATATAATACAGGTATACCCACCTACATTTAGTCTATCGGAAACTTCGACGTTCGGAGGAAATATATATCACTACCGCAGGCCGGATCTAAAATAACTTTATAAAATTCGGAATCTAAAACTTTGGCTTCAAAAGATCTTTGATCTCGGCCTTGGTCTCAGCCCCAGTTTGTCAGTTACAACTCATCCCTGAGGGCCTCCTTCCCCTTTGACCCACCCGGGAAAATCACCTCGTATGTCACAAAAAGATCCCCAAACTCAGACTTACCATGCACAGGCATACCCTTGCCCTTGACAACCTCCACATGTCCACTCGCCACAGTACCACCCTCTGCCCTTGAGAGTACAATGGAATTTCCGTTGAGGAACGGAACCGATCTCAGCCAGCCTCCGAACATCGCCTCCCGAAGCGTGAGCGCTTCAGTTCTGTACAAATGACGACCGCGTCTGTGGTAGCCCATGTTCCCTTCGGCTGCCTCCTTCAACACAATTTTTAAATCGCCTGATTCAACGTCTGGAGTGTGGTCCGCCTCACCTGGGAATGTTACTATGTGGTTTCTGCCCATCCCAGGCTCAATATTGACTTTGTAGTTTCTGGAGCCTCTGCCAACCCCGGAACCGGCGCAGGTACCGCATTTGTGCTTAACCACCTTGCCCTTACCACCACACTGGTCACAAGTGGTTTGCATCTGCTGAAACATGCCCGGTGCTAACTGGATCCGCATAATCTTCACACCAGAGCCCTGGCATCCGGAACACTTGTGGGTTTTCTTGTCCTTGGAACCGGAGCCGTCACAGGCGGGACACAAGTCCTGCAATTCGAGCCCCACGCCAAACTCGCCACCGTTGTAGTAGTCCTTGAGACTCACACTCATGACGGTCTCCACGTCGCCCCCTCTCTGCCGGCCCCGCTGTTGGTGGAAACCTTGCTGCCCAAACATGTCACCAAATGGATTGAACCCGTGTTGCTGCTGCTGCTGCTGGCCACCGCCCTGCTTGAGTCCTTCCTTACCGTACTTGTCGTAGGTAGCGCGCTTTTCATCGTTGGAGAGCACGTCATACGCTTCACCAACCTCTATGAACTTTTCATGGGCATCCTCGTCAGAGTTCTTGTCGGGGTGGTACTTTTTGCTCAACAGCCGGTACGCAGACTTGATTTCCTTGTCACTAGCCTTCTTCGACACGCCGAGAATCTTGTAGTAGTCCGTCTCCGCAACCACTGCGTAGAGCACAACGCTCACCACAAAGAGAAATGTTAGAAGCTTCATTGTGAGGAACTATGATACTGGTGTGTGTATACGCAATTATGCTTGGGTACACCCGAGTGAGATTGGCAGTTTATTCATGTCAAGAACAAACACGTATCAACTTCCGAATGTGGTCCCAGTTGGTCACGTGATGTTCGAAGGTTGAGCCAGCGTCCAACGGGTGCGGCGCAACCGTCTAAGATGCCATAGAACAATGGTGAATATTAACTATCCGTAGCTAACAGTCATTCTTATATCGATATTATGTTATTTTGGGCCAATGAAAAAAGAAAAAAAGTAATCGCATAATCGTGTTACACCCTATTTTGATATAGTGGTTCGTAGTGCTTTCCAGCAGAACAATGACTAGAGCTCTGTTCTTGAGGCTGGGCTGATACATAACGGCGAGGTATTAATAAATTCAGGTTAGAGAAATGTCAAAGTAGAACCCAGATTACAACGGTATCCCTACTAACAATATGTGAAAATAAATTTTCTCAAGACAGGATGAAGCCATTCGATCCTAAACAATGTCAACCGATGGATGAATGATCTAACCATACGCTGTATTTTACAAACCTACTTACGATTCTACATCAATTAATGCATATATAATGCGATTTAAATTTCTAACACTGCTTTTGCAGCTATATATCCTCTTTTTTTTTTTTTTGGTAGTTTCCAGATTTTGATATCGGCCTTCCTTCATGTCACAGGACAAGAGTTAGCTGCAGATACGCGCAGGACTTTTCAAACCTCATTCTTTACCCGCCATTCCGACTCCTCCGAATTGTTCATTCACGCTCTTTCACAAACCATGCCAGAGATCCTTAATGTCTCTATGTCCCAAAGGGCAAACCATCTCACGACCCACTTCTACAACGCGCAGGACAGCTACCTCGACTATGTGAACGGCGCCGCAAAGTCCAAAGTTGATCCCAATGTGTTTTTCAACCCCACACCGTCCTGGGACAACCGCTCGATCACGTTCAATCCGCGAGCCATGCTCTTTGACCTATCGGGCGGGTTTGGCTCGCTTGGCCAATACGAGTACTACCTGGCGATGGAGGCGGCGCAGCATCACGACGACGCCAGCCCTCAGGATCGCCTTTCCCAAACGGTTGAAATTGTGAGACAAGAACGGATTCCCAAGAGCGAATACCTGCAGGCATTAGATACTTTTCAGCCAACTCCGGAACTTACCACGGAAAACACCACGTATTGGTCCGATTACGCCCGCATCATCTACGAACCAAAGTCCTTCAACTGCGTGGATAACTGGGAGTACCATCCGAAAGAATACCCTGGTGGGCGACTTAGGGCTGGTGCTTCTAAGACGTTTCTGGACTACCTCGTGGGGGTGGATGAATGGAAGGGGCGCGAAAGGGTGGTGCACTTCATGGACGACACCTTCCGGGTGTTTTTAGAGAAAAGCGACCAACTCGACGGGCTCAACTTGATGTCTGAGGTGGATACGGCGTGGGGCGGAATGGCTGGAGAGTTTATCACCGACATGAGAGACGAATTTATTCCAAAAACCAGCGTTTTCACCTGGGGCTTGCACTCCCCACAACCCACGGGCTTGACTCCGCAGGGGACTCTTTCACGTGTTAGAGCTTCCCTCGCCCTCATAAACTCCTCATCCTTATACATCCCACTATCCGACCCAACCAGTCTTCCGGAAGGTCTCAGTGTCACACCTACGTCACTCTGGAACACAACCGCACTTCAGATGCTTCCAGTAGACGCTGTGGGGGTGTTACTGGCGCAACGCGCAAATCGCGTGTCGATGACGGAGCTCGAACTCGGGGTCACCATGGGGTCGAAGAGAAACATTGTAGCTGAAACCAAGGGAAAGGTAGCTGGAGAAATGAACTACACGTTGGACTTTACTGGGGTATCTTTCAAGCCCAGCAAGTCGAAAAACCACGTATTTTCCAAGACGGTGGTGGTCCGAAACGCCACTTCACTCACCAGTGAGGAGTTTGATGCGGAATATGAGACCCAGTTGCAAGACTTTGGTCACTATACAGAGCTTCTTGAAAAGGGCACCGAGCTCAGGGGCCTTGTGCACCACAAATCGCTCATTCCGTTCGCCACCCCTGACTCCTTCCCCAAGGGGATCTTAGGCGAGCAGACTCCCGTCACCTGTGCCTCCATGGCGGTCGCCACTAGCACCCGTGCCTCCCTCCTCGAGATGAAGACGTTTGTATCCCGATTCTTGCGCGGCGACGACCGCGAGTCGTTGATCGATGAGTTGGAGACCTTGGCATTGGAGTACGAGCACGGCTGGATGGATGATGACCTTAGTGATGATGACGATTATTAAACGGCTTGTGGCAGAGATTGGATTTTTCATCATAGGACAATCGAGTAATTGCGCTTTGAGTCCGAGAGCCTAAAAACATCGGTGAGTGGATTAAATATTATGCTAGAGCAGTTTGGGAGGCAATGCTATATTGGTTTCGATCTAAGGGGGATATGAACTTTTTTTTACGATTAACAAAAAATCAAAGTATTATCATATCGGTACGGCTTGTATTTTTAGTAGAAAATGATATATAAATCAATGCTTCTGCTAAATTTCCTCAAACCTAATCATGGTGCTAAACCGTGCCACTGCTTAATACCGTATCCCTTGCCTTCGTGACGCCTTCCCCCCTATTTTTTCCACCGTGTTTACATAAACGATGCTTCGCTCGATCTATAGCGATTACCTGATATCTATATTACAATAATTTACTACTCCATAGCGACGTCCTTCTTTACAGGCAACTCCTTCATGCCCTTGGCGACGTGGATCCACTGAAAAATAGAAGCACCGCCGCTAGTCCCGTTCCACTCTCTCAACCTCTTGACCACATCTGGGTTCGACAAGTCAGGGATCTTATAGCCGGTCTCAAACAACAGCTTCTCATACTTGACCTTTTCTTCCAAAATTTGTAAACGGGCACCCGCCGGTCTACCGGGTCTTCTCTCGGCGCGCAAAGTGACCAACACTTCATCATCCCTGGAAAGGTACGCGTCAATGAACAACTTCATGTCTTCCAAGGTGAAGGCAGTCTGGGGCCTGGTGGTGAGGGCCTCCTGGAGGAACTTGACGACCAAAAGCTCGTTCTGTCTCTTCTCCGTGGCCTTGATCTTGGAGACCTGGAGTTTCTGGTCTCTAAGCGTGGCCCTGGCCAACTGCTTGAACTTTCTACCCTTTGGATGGATCTGCCCGCGGGAGTTCTGGAGGTTCTTGGTGACCTTGGCCAAACTCTTAGCAACCGGCATTATAGGATTGTGAAGGGGGCTGGGTTTGAGTTGTTGAGAGATAAGTGTGACTATGAAAATAAATATGTAGCCTGCATAATTTTTTTTCTGCGATGAGGGTTACCCGGTGCGAGTTTTCTTCCAATTTTCGTGCATATGAATAAATGCGAATACTCGCGATACCCATACACCCATCATTCAATCAAATAAATTACAATGGCCAAGTACACCGAGGAAGAATTGTTAGCCGTCCAGGAGAAGGCGGTCGCCCCACAGGGTACCATCATCGACGCCTTCAACCAGATGGTCGAGGAGGTCAAGGCGTTCCAGGCGCAACACGAAAAGGCCCACGTCAGATTCCACAACGGGGACTCCTTCCTCGACGAGAATGGCGAGGAGAGATTCTACTTCACCCACAGAAGGAGATCCTCGCGCCACAGTGAGACCAAGTCTAACGTGAGAAGACAGAAGATCAAGGAGCAGCTCCAGACTGATGATGACGGATGGAGCACCTTAGTCAAGCCAAAGAAGTCGTTCGGCGAGGAGGCTGTATCTGAGAGAGACGAGTTCAGAAAGAGCTTCAAGGAGACCCAGGTCAAGGTTAGACCAAACAACAAGAACATTTCGTCGTCCAAGCCGGCCGACCCTAGAGATGTTGTCGACAAGACCGCCAGGGCGTTCAACGCGTTTGACGCGCTTGTGTCTGATTCTGAGGACTCCGAATAGATTTATAGTTTAATTGTATTTTGTCCAACAATCTCTAACACGTTTAACCGTGTTTGTATCTAATTTGGCATGGTAGGAGCATATGTAGGATTACTGGCGGTGGGCAGGTAGCGCGCTTGGCCGAGGAGAAAGGGAATGATTCTGAAACTAGTTGGTATTGGTTGGATAATGTGGGTTCGTATAATATACGTATAGACAGTCCTCTGGCATTTTATTCTATTAAATCTAAGGGAATAGGGGTTTGAATAACCAGATAAATGTGCATAATAGAAAACTGGTACTCATCCATGTATGTCTATTAAATATTAATATGGAACTATAGAGGAATTACAAGCTTGGGTCAACATATAGATGCATATGTACAAGATAGAATAATTGAGAAGCGTTCAAATTCCAGAGAGCAGATAGATGATCGGGGGGTACCGGCTACCATATAGGTTTATCAAAACAAGCCACCTCGTATTTTGAACAGAGCATATGCGATATCCTGTGCTTAGCCTGCTGTTTGGGTAGGTGGAACAAGCCAACCGGCAAAGAACGAAAAATTCTGATAGCAGAGAGCCAACATCGCTCAGTTCTCCCGGTAAATAGTTAACCAAGCTAGGTCGGGCAAAATAGGCCAACGCATAGGTAAATACATCCAAGCCTACGGATAGCAGAACTCAATCGCGGGGAAGCGGTCGGTGAATAACCAGCTATATAACAAATAATCAGTCCGAGCTACGCCGTAAGGCCGAACGAACGACCAACAAACGACCCGATCACCGCAACCTCTAACGCCTTAACTCTTTCCAGGAATCTCTATCCGTCCGCGCGAATCCAACTGCACTTCCACCTCCAAATCATCCAACAACGAAACAAGCTCTTTGGTCTGGATTGACATGTTTGACGCGCGCAAGGACTGTACACGGCTTTCCCCGGCGTGGTTCGGCTGTAGCATAGCCCCCGACACCGCACGTCTCAAGTCAGCCACACGTGGCGAGGCTCTGGCCGCACTGAAGTACGATGAGCCCTGAGACATTGCGTGCGAGCGCACACTGCGACTCTCAGGGTCCACGTAAGAGAGTGTACCCGCATCGATAGTCTGGGGCGCACTCGAGAACGTAATTTCCGGGGCGGAGAGCGTGGTGTTCGAAGCTAAGTCGGTGTCGTGAATGCCATGGAGTGAGGGGTTGATCACACGGTCGGTATCGATCCACGAGGCCGCCATATCTTGGATAAAATAGTCGCGAAGTTCCGCGCGTGAGTAGCTAAACACAACATCAGGCGCGGCACCGTGCACGGCCGGAATGCGCACGTCGAGCGCCTCCCATATGCCTTGTGTCGTGCGCGCAGCCACCTTTGCAGTAACATCCAGAAGTAAGTCTAGCTCAAGGTATGCGGTCGCGTGGTAGAGGAAGCAGTACGCGAAGGAGTCTCGCGTTACATCACGCTTCAGTGGACTTGCCGGGACCGACGTAAACTGCCATTCAAAGAAGAATGGAATGCCGTTCGCAATGGTATTGATGCCGTACTTCCCAATCAACAAGTAGACAACCTCGGCCACACTCTGCAACACGTGAGGCTCTTCAGTGGCCAAAAGGCTATGCACGATATAGAAAAAGTGCGCAACACTCTTTTTCTCACCGGTGATGTAGTTGTTGTAGTTTGGTCTAACGAGTTCCGCGCGATTTCCCACATCGCTCTCTAAGAAGAGTTTCATGCAGTCCAAGTATGCGAGTTTCACCTGGGAAGAACCAGCGATGGTTAAGATCTCGAAACTGTCTTCCCAGGCGTCTATTGAGCACTCGCCATGGTTGGGCGTCTGGAAAATGCGGCGCGCGTCGTCAAAAAGCACGTGAAGAAACGGCGTGGCGGGCTTGTCGGTGCAGAGCTCGCGGCACCGGGCGAGAATCTCCGCAACCATGTCGGAGGTTTGATTGTGGTAATAGGTGTGGGTGGCAAGGCTGCTAATGATGTTGCTGAAGAGGGTGGTGGCGGGCGCGGCGGTGTCGCGCACGCTTTCTCCGTCGCGCGCGATGCTTGGCGTACCACTCGCTTCACTCACACTCTTCTCCTGTAGCGCGAGAATCTTCCTCAACGTGTCTGTCACCGCTAACCCCACCATATTCACCTCCGATGCAAGTAACCCGGCAATCGCGTTGGCCACTACCGTCTCGCCCGGGCCCTTCAACTCACTCATAAGGGTCCCCAAGACGATAAACCGCATTTGCACCGGGACCCAGTTCGTAGCAATCTCAACCACCGCGTCATTCCAATGCGCGCTTGTGGGGCGCGTGACTATGTAGCTGCACACCGCCCTGGTGCAGTTCTGCAACTGCGTAGCAGAGGTGGTGTTGAAGTAGCCCTTGAGGGCCGCGAGAGATTTGTCCTCGGGAACAGCCTCCATGGTAGGGATGCTGCGCACAGATTGTCTGCGGGCATGGCCATCCACGTCTGCCCGCGATTGGAGGCGTGCGAGCGCGTCGTCAGAGTGGGTGCGCGCGAGCTCTTCCAACACCAAATGGATCGCGGTATCGACAGTTTTAGCCGCGTATCGGCGCGCGACGAATGCAGAGCCCGCAAGGCACCGCGCAGCGTCCAAGCTCAATGCCTGCCACTCCGCCTGCTGCGGGCCGGAGCGGCTTCCCAAACCGAGAAACGCGGCCGCAAGCTGCTCAAAGTTACTTACGAACGCGCGGTCGCCGCTGAGCATGTCCTCGTCCAATTTTTCACAGAACTCGCCAAACACCGGCACCGCACGTGCGCAGAGCGCGACGTCGTTCGCGCCACACACCGCGCGCAACACCACCGTCACGTTCAGCGCAAACACACTCAAGTTGTCCGCGCACTTGTCGATGAGAGTCGCGATAATGTTTAATGAGACCTGCGCGTTGCCTGCATGGCCGCGCGCAATGTCATGGAGTGTCTTTTTTTCCAAGTAGCGCCCTACCTTTTCCAACTTAACGCGGCGTGTGGTGGCGTAGTAGAGGAGGTAGCTGAGCTCCAGTGCATTAGGCTTCTTGTCCGTGTCCTTCCCAGGCGGATAGCACTGTAGAATGAGCTTCTGGTGTTTTGACTTGAAAAAGTGCATGAGCAATGGGGTTGAGCAACAAGATTGAGCTATCGGTATGGATAAAGGTTGACGTGGTTTTTGATACGTTGCGATAGGTCTGAACAGATTTGGTCGGAACGCATCATAATCACGTGAGGATTATGTAAGCGTAGTACGATCTCTAAGATACTGGATGCTCAGAGATTTAATGTTTTGTGAAAATTACAATTCATTTTGGTAATGGATTTTCTGCTGAGAATCGGTAGAGGGTTTTATATGGTGGTTATTACGAGGGGTTGTGGAACGTTAAAGGTGTAGTTTAGGCCTGAAGAATGCGCCGCAAGGGCGACTGTCTGGTGCGAAGTTGTAGAAGGAGAGCTATAACGGGTGTATTTAAGACTGACAATGCAAATATTAAAGAGTGAGAACGACATCAAAAATTAGCTATGATTCATTAAGTTTCTTTAATTATTGATGTTATTCTCGCACCAGAAAGGCCAAACAAAATCTAGTAGCCGGCCTGCTTACAAATGTATGGTTATCTTTTTGGATTCCATGTATGATTAATATAAAGGCAAGTTTTATTTTGAATCGCCGTAGTGTGGAATTTTTGATAACTAAACCAGATCATACCAATTTCTATCCGAATGTCTGGCTGAAAAAGCTCTGACTTTGGGGTTACACACTCTGTATCTTAATTTCTTTTACTGTACTAGAGATTATGGTATCTCACTCTGATCATACTTATTGTATTGAATATTTGTATAAAAAACGATAAGAATCGTACCTGGATGAATTTAATTGTGTCCAATAATGCTTGATTGAGAAATATCGTTGTAATCTCCAAATTGAACCAGTAATAACCTACTGATGTGCCTCTAATCGTGCGCTTACCAGCATAAATGCAGGGCCACAATTTTTTAGACATCACCTCTCAACCATACAACAACCACCATACCAACAACCGTCATACCACAAGATGCCTGCTGTCTACGTAAAAGGGGGCGTGTGGACTAATGTGGAGGATGAAATCCTCAAAGCAGCTGTTTCAAAGTACGGGCTCAATCAATGGGCGCGCGTAGCGTCGTTGCTTGCACGCAAGACTGCCAAGCAGGCCAAGGCGCGCTGGAACGAGTGGCTTGATCCGCAGATCCGCAAAACCGAATGGTCGCGTGAGGAGGACGAAAAGTTGTTGCACTTGGCAAGGTTGATGCCGAACCAGTGGCGGACTATCGCGCCGATTATCGGACGCACCGCCACGCAGTGTGTGGAGCGCTACCACAAGCTTTTGGACGACGGGGAAACCGATTTGGGGTTCTCTGGACCGGGAGTTGAGGCCATGGACACCAGTTTAAAGGTGGGCGACCTCAATGTCAACCCTGAGAGCAAGCCCGCGCGCCCAGACGCGGTCGATATGGACGATGACGAAAAGGAAATGTTGTCTGAAGCGCGTGCACGGCTTGCAAACACCCAGGGAAAGAAAGCCAAGCGCAAAGCGCGCGAGCGGATGCTAGAGGAGAGCAGACGGATAGCGGTTTTGCAAAAGCGCCGCGAATTGAAGGCGGCTGGGATTACCAGCAAATTGCGCGTCAAGAAGAAACACCAGAAGGAGTTGGATTACAACGCAGATATCCCGTTTGAGGTGCTGGCTGCTTCCGGGCGGTTCGATGTTGACGAAGAGGACAAGCGAAATGCCCACGAGAAGGCAACGTATGAAAGAGAGGTCCAGAGGACAGGGATCCACGACAAGCGGGAGCACAAGCGGAGGGACAAGTTGCGAACACACGATGACGGAAATGTGACCGAGGGGAGCTCCACCGTAGTAGCCGCAGCCGCTCCAAAGCGGGGAGTGTTAGTATTGTCGGAGCCAAAGGGGGCTGAAGTTATTGAAGATGAGGACATTGACGATAGGATTGTTAACAAGGCCAGGGAGTTGAAATCATTGATTGGAAGTCAATCGGTTTTACTTAATGAAACACAAGAAGCACTGGAAGTACAAGAGGTAAAGCGGACGGCTACGTTTGACAGAGCCCCAAAGAGGCTAAAGGTCAGTGTGGCAAAGGAAAAGACAGCCAAGGTGTCAAAGCTCCGCGCTGTATTTGCAAGGCTACCCCCACCGGTCAACGAGTATGAAATCATTCTCCCGGATCAAGACGAGGTGGTGGAGAGTGCCGTCGAGGAAACCGTGGTGGCTGATGTTGGTGTCCTTGCGAGTGCGATCGAGGCGGAACAGGAGGACGCCAGACAAAAAGCCTTGGGCAGGCGATCACAGGCGGTGCAGCGACTGTTACCAATTCCAAACATTCAGACAGTGACCTTCGGGTCGTCAGATCCGGTACACCGGGAAATTGTTCAACTTATCAAATCGGATTATGCCAAGGCAAATGGTGACTCCGGGATGGTCCAGGATCTTGACGAGGCATCGCAGGATGCGGTGCAGGCAGAGATTGCCAAAGAGATTACCCTTGCTGGCTTGGCAGAATTCCAAAAAGGCATTGTTTCACTGACATTTGCGGAGGCGGTGGTGGAATATAATGCTGAGAGGGTATCCCGTGATCTCAACCATCTTATTGAGGGTAACCGGTCGTTAGAGCGCAGCGTGCAGCAGAAGTACACTGCGTTCTTCAGCACGTATCACAGCTACCAGGACACACTTGATGCCAGGCTGCAAGAGCTCCAGCACCAGTTGGTGAAGCAAAAGACCTACGCTGCCATTTTTGAGAATGAAAAGTTGGCGATTGAAGCGGTTCGTGGGAGGTTGCAAGAAGATGTCGATGCGGTGAGTCAGATAGATCTGGCGGCGCAAAGACGGTACAACGAGTTTCGTGTGGTACGAACAAATGGAAACACCCGGCGGTAAATCAATAATTTCCGTGATAAATTAATAATTTGCGTGATGGGCCAAAGGTATGGGCAGAACGCTAGTGCATAACTACGGCAAGACATACATATACTGATATGTTTGGTTTATAATTAAATTACTTAATAAATTGGATTAATTATGAATCCTATATTTGAATACTGTTTCTGCTTTTAAAAGCATCATTAATTCCCATTCCTCTCAAGTCTTGTTATAGGTGCTCGTACTAAGATCGCTTCAACCCTGCAGCAAACTTTACGCAGGACATTTCGTGGCTAACTCAAGTTATGACATTCATTCATCTTCCATTGCCACTCTTCAGACCACTTCTTGCAAGCCATGGACTCCAATCTCCTTTCGATCCCCCTTCGCAAAACCCATTATATCCCCATTGGCGACGAGTTGCGCGCGATCATCTCCAACGAGTACTTCCAGTTGGCGAGCGTCTTTGAGGCAGATCTTTGCGAGGTTGACCTCCAGCGAAAGAACATCGTGGATGTTGCCACGGACTCCACCGGTGAAACTGCCCTTAAGACGTACGGAAGACAGCTCAGCGCCTTGGAGCAAAAGTTTCCCGCAGACGCCGTTGCGTTCCCATGGTACGGCACTTTAGGCTACTCCTCTGGCGTGGTTGAGCAGCGCTCCTTCGCGTATGAGCGAGTGAATGTGGCCTACAATCTCGGTGCACTTGCGGTACTCCGCGGTGTCGCACAGTCACGCGACAGTGAGGACGGCTTGAAGCGGTCATGTGCGCACTTCCAGACCGCCGCGGGCTACTTTGCGCTCACGCGCGCACAGGCGCGCGACGTGCCGCTTCCGTTGGACATGCAGGACGCGGTGCTCACGTGTATCGAGCTGCTCGCGCTTGCACAGGCACAGGAAACTTTCTGGCAGAAAGCCGTGGCGAGCCGAATGAAGGATAGCGTCGTTGCGCGGTTGGCGGTCCAGGTGGCCGAGCTCTATGACCAGGCCTTGCGCCACGCCAAAATCTGCGACGTGATGCGTGCCGAGTGGATCAGCCACATGACGGTGAAGAAGTTCCATTTCCAGGCGGCTGCACAGCTCCGTGCAGCGCGTGTCAGTTCTGCTGCCGCCGCGTACGGCGAAGAGGTCGGTCGGCTCCGGGCCGCGGCCAAAGCCTGTGACCAAGCGCTTTCCTTTAAGAAGCGCGTTTCGCAGATGGTCATCGATGATTTAACCAGCTTGCGGGTCTCGGTAAACAGTCTTTTGACGAAATCAGAGCGTGACAACGACTTGATCTACCTCCAAGCGGTTCCAGGTGAGACCGAGTTGCCTTCCATCGCCCCGGCCCTCATGGTCAAACCCACTCCCGTGGAGCTTCCGGAGGCTGATGGATTATTTAAGGACCTCTTGCCGTATGTGGTGCTCCAGGCGGCACAGGCATTTCGAGAGCGCCAGGACGTGTTTGTTCATGAGCAGTTTGAGGCCCTGGTGGGTGCATTGAACAGCATGATGAACAAGTTTTTGATCGAGCGGAGTTTGCCAGCGGCGATTGATGCAATCCAGCGGCCAGAGGCACTTCCGGCAACGTTGCTCGAGCGCTCGGCGGAAATCAAAGGCAGAGGTGGAGTCTCGGCGGCACGCGAGTCACTCTCGGATATCCAACGATTGTCGCTACAGGCGATGAACTTGGTTGGGAAGGCCAGGCAGGCTTTAGAGGCTACTGGAGCGCAGCCGAACGAAGTCGAACGCGGTGATAGTCTCGTGCGAGAAACTCCAGCTTCCTCACTTTTGGATGAGGTCGCATCGCTCGAGACCTACTTCAACCAGGCGCGCGCGGGCGACAGTATCATTCAGGAGCACTTTGCCGACCTTACGCCTTATATAGAACTCCTCTGCGGAGGTGAACCGGCGCTCCTGGACTTTGTTCCCCACTGCCGCTTCGTCAAGTTGGATCCCGAGCTCAACCGCGTGATCATCGAGTTGCGCGAGGCTGTCAACGAAGCCAACCGCCAGGAAAGCGAGCGTAGCCACTTTCTCAAGGCTGTCGAAGTCAAGTCCCGCGAGAGCAACATCCTCCCCCAGGTCATTGCCGAGTACAAGGCGCTGCTCCTGACGAGCCAGCGGTCCTTCGAGCCGGTTTACGACAGACACATTGCCACGTTCAACAGCGATATCCGCGCCTTTCAGGCGCTCCGTGACGCCCAGATCAGTCTCGAGCAGCAAATCGACACTCTCAACACTGAGTTCTTGCGTGTGCAGAGCGCGTGTGCGGTTCAAGCTGAGCGCCAGGAGGCGTTGCAGACGTTGGAGAAGGCCTACACGGGTTATCGAGAATTGTGCTCCAACATTACCCAGGGATTGAAATTTTACAATGATTTTATGGCAAAGGCAAGCGATCTTTTGAGGCGGTGTGAGGAATTTTCCCAGCAAGAGGGACTTTCCCATAAAGAGAAATTTACCCAACGAAAGGAATTTTCCCAGCAAGGAGTTGAAGACGAGTATCTATCAGAGGAGGTTTCGGACGAACTGGACGCAGGACCGCCTATCAAGTCTCCTCGTGCGAGGGGTAGCTTGTGGACACCAGACTCGGGGATTGGATTTGACTAGCGTGATATGATTGAATCTTGTGAATGGTATTGTACGTCCGGGTTAGATATCATACCCTTGGGTTATGGCAAATTTGGAATAAGTATCCGAGTGATGAACCCCTCGTCTGTTGGGTACGTAAACTATATTGGCATACAAATAGAATGCAGTCATTAGAATGGATGTTATATCACGAAAAGTCAACGGGTTTAAATAATTAAATCTTTGTACAGGAGTTAATCCCAGCGAGTTTGGATCTTGATACCAATTCAATCTCTCATGCTTTATTTTGGTAGCTTTGTGCTTTATGTTTGCATACAAGCATCCCACTCTTCATTTATTTTGTCACCTCGTCCTGCCCGTGGGCTTCTGTCTTCTTTTGTCTCTTGGCCAAAAACTCCTCAAGCTCCTTCTTACGTTTGATCTGGGATATCCGGGAGCTGTGCTTTCGGCTCTTCATGTGGATATCGTACTGGCCTTCACCGACCAATACCAACGGCTTCCCATCGCCGGAAGTGCACACTTCACACACAAAATGCTTCCACTTGTCCTGAGTGAACTCCTCGGTGGTGACCTCTAGCATGTTTTCAAAGCCAGCCGGAGCGTAGCTGAGGGTTGGTTCTTTTTTCAAAAACTCTGATAATGTTAGTATGCTGTGTGAAAAAATCGATAGGCCAATGAGCCAATAAGAATGCCAAATCAATGGAAACTCAGGTCATTATGCATCGATAAATGTCTCCATGAAAGCCCGAGTAGAGTCTCAATAAACTTACGGTCTGTAATCTCCACCCCTCTTTTCGACACATTTTTACTCCACTTGTCTAAATCACTTGCATCAAGCAAGTAAACTCGGCCTCCTCTCTCATAGTTGTGGAGCTTTTCCTTGCCCATCTCAGGAACCAACTTCTTGCGGATCCACTTCACCTGCTGCTTCGCGTACTTTTTTGTTCTTTGCTTCATCTCGTCAACACATTTCCGGAACTCCACGTCGTTCTTTTGGCCACTTTTCAACCACGGGAAAAACTCCTTAAACCCAATAACCTGCCAGATACCGTCTTCGAAGAGTGGACTTGGAGAATCATTGTGGGCGGTATAAAAATCGTACAACTCACGGACTTCCGCCAAACCGCCAGTTTCCAACATCTTGTCCACGCGGGAATCAAGTCTTTCCTCCAACGGCTGAGTTTGTGAATACACCCAGAAGATGAGGGTATCATACCGCAAAGACGATTTGTCCAACTCGCTCACCTTCTGCTCGCTGTATATGTCAGATGCCTTGCGGTTTGTAGTGAAATAGATCTCTAAGGCTCGTTTGAGCTTTCTGGAATCGTTCGGATGAAACTTCTCGGCAACCACGGGGTCGTACTTCTTCAAGGTCTCCCACAAAGTCGCAGGATCGCTCTCAACAACGGCCTTCTCCTCCTGGGTGAGTTCTTCCACGGTCTGGATTTCGGTCTCCCTGTTTACCATTTTGTTGTGGAATAACAAACTCTGGAGGTAGTAATGTGTTCCTCCCACAACAATCGGGATCTTTCCTCTGGCGTGGATATCGGCGATGGCAGCTGTGGCCTCGTCCTTGAACCGGTGCACAAAGTACTCTTCGTTCCAGTCCACATGGTTCATGACGTGGTGTTTGACCCCTTCTCTCTCAGGGATGGGATGTTTGTTGGTTATAATTGGAACCCCCCTGTACATCTGCATGGAGTCGGCATTAATCACCTCACCGTTGTACTTTTTGGCCAACTCGATGCTCAACTAGAGGTGTTAGTAGGGCGGCAGATGTGGGGAAAGGGGTACTTACCTGAGACTTTCCCACACCAGTGGTACCAACAACCGCAATAATATCATTTCTGGGAATCATGGTTCTGGATAAGAATTTTGATAAATAAGCTGCTTTCATTAAAGGGTTCATCAGTGGTTCACTGGAAGTAACTTGAGATGTAATTTTCAGTCCTGCATGTAGAAGTATAGGCTGATCTGATGCGCATTATATATTAGTCAAGAGTTTTATTACAGAATGCTGTAAATACATACATTTCAGTGAAGCTCACTATATTTATTTCTTCCTGGAAATTCAAAACCGCCGTCCAAGGATACCGGTTGGGTTATTTTGCATTCACAGTTATATCAAGAGTTGGCATCTAGCCTAAATTGTCTATACACAAGTAGCTCCTGGGGTTTAATTCAAATCCGCAGTTTCATCAACCTTGGCGGTAAAACCGTAGTGGTTAAATCCCACCACTCCTACAATGACAGTCCCCACCAAAGCCAATCCATTTCTCAACCCAACCCACGAGTTTCCGCCCACCTTGTCCTTAAACTTCGATGCTGGTCTTTCAAACACAAGTAGCAGTTTTGGCCCTCCACCTCCGATCAACTTCCAGTTCTGGGCTTGTAACTTTGCAATGTGCCTTAAATACTTTTCGGGAAAATCAATTCGGGAAAAAATAGAAAACATATCTTCAGCGGTGTGGTCCTTTCCTAGCGGATTATCTGCCGAGAGAATTGTCGCCCCATTATTGGCTAGCAACAAGTATTCTCTCGTAAGAGCGCTCTCAACAAAGTTGGTACCGGTGTTTCTCGTGCCTTCAACCTTCGGGAAGAATAAGTCGGATTCTGACACCCCGCGAGCGCGGCGGAACGCATCTGCAACGTGCTCCTTGTATATCGCGTTTGGCTCCAAAAAGTTCAGTTTGGGAGATCTGGGGTCCCTGCAATTTCGTGCGGAAATCCATTCGTAGGTCTTTTTGTGGCGGAAGATTGTTTCTCTATCATTATCCTTCACCTGCTTTACTTGTCTCAAAAACCCCTCCAATTTTCCCAGGTCGGGTTTGCTGTGAACAGGCACCACATGCGGGGGGACCTTCTTTGACAAGTTGTATTTGTAGTTCTTTCGAATCTGTTCAGCCGTAAGGTTGTCCAAGTTCTCTGGCGTCTCGCTGGTCTGTACTTGGGATTCAACGCAGGCGGAAGAACTGGGCATGTGCAATCGCTTTTCCAAGATGGCTGCCAAATTTTTCTCCAGAGGTTTAGACTCGCTTAATAACGAATCTAAAAGTAGTTTGCTCAGTTTTGCTTTGATAGTGCTCTTTTCAAGACCATCCTCTGGAGCCTCCTCGATGATGGGCGCACTCTCCTTTGGTTCATTAAGCTGTACCCCTTCTGAGTTGGCCAAAAATCTTGCGGCATGGCGTTTTTGTATCGTGTGGTTAGTCTTGTCGAATACGTCAAAGTTTTTCAAAGCCACATCCAAGGCACACGGATCATTGCAGGTGTTAAGAATGTATCTCACGCCCCAGGCCATCTTCGCAAACCTGTGCAGTTTCTTATCGTCAGTAGCATACTTTGACGTTTGGTTCATGTTACTCAATAGAGAGTTTAGTGCGTCTAGGATCCCAGCTTTGGACGAGGCAGCAAACTCATGGCCGAGAAATGCCCTAAACAACTTCAACTCGTGGAGATAGGCCTGCAAGTAGGATGCATCCTCGGGGATCTTCTTATACTCCAGGCGGAGGTTGTGTTTATGTCGTGTATCCTTAAGGGATGTTTTTTTCTCTTGCAAGTTCCGCTCCATCGTGTCAAAAACCTCAAAGTTGGTCAAAATGGCGTCGAAAACATGAGTGTATCCGTTATTCAAATGCAACGTCTTTCTGATTCCGCGGTCCATTTTTTGGAACGCCTTCAATTCCTGGTCCAAGAGCAGAGCCGTGGCCTTGTCTGCCAGAAATCCCGTCTGAGACGCTCTCTCCTTCTCTACCTGCGACATGAAGTCTTCCAACTGTCCAGAAAGCTCGTTGGCGGTATAACTTTGAAACGCACGCTTTTCAGCGTGTCTGTCTTGTAAAAACTTGCGGAACCGGATCAATTGTTCCCTGTGCTGGGTGATGTACTGGCAGTCATCCGGCAATTGCTTGTACTCGTTGGTTCCCTGGTCATCTTCTTGGGAAAATGTCTTAACATCTGAAAGGGCCTCAAACCCGTCCAACTCGGAGTCATAGGTTCTGTCAATCATTGTACTTGCCTTGGCATAGTATCTGATGGAATCTGCACATCTGGGAAGCCCCATAGGAAGCCTCACCCGAGATATATATTGGAATATTCTGGCTGACATTGCCGATCAGATGGGAACGTGGGGAATCTGAGACGTAGACAATGATTTCCGAGGTGCTAAGTATCCCGCGTTGGATCAAAGAAATTGTGTTTGAGAACTCTCTATGATTTTGTATACCCTTCAGGTGGACATGATTGTTGAAACAGCGTGAGAGATGACTGCTCAGTGTTCCTGTGTAAATTGCCGTCAGCCGATAACTCAGAGCTACTGTCCTGCGTATTGCAAGGGAAAATTGAAAAGTCCGTAACGATCTGTATGTATCGTAGAGCTAGAGACCAAGCCGAAAGGGTTATGCCTAGTATGGGAAGTATAGTTAATTAACGTATAATTTAAAGAAGTCTTTAAAATATCTCTGGTCGGTCTTAGGAAGTTTTGTGAACTTTAAACGAAAAAAGGAAAGGATCTATACGTCAACGTCGGGATATATAGTTGAGGAGGTTTGCCGGCAGTCACCTCCATCTTTTCAGACTCTCGATTTTATTTACGTAATGAGGTGAATAACCCAGAATATAAAGTTTCAACATTGGTAAGGCAATATGACGCTAGTCACTCCCTCGTCTCAAGGGTATTGTACCATCCTTACTCCATCGACTTCCCCTTTCGGAAGTGAACACTGCCTGACTATTCTATCACGTGTCTGATTCATATGGCAAAAATCGACTCAAGCTTTTGTTTGGGCAAAGTACGGTCCGATAGTCATTGGACACCCGATATAGTACTAGAAGAATTCATATACCGAGTATTTGCTTCAAGATAATAAGACTGGAAACTTTTCAATCCCAGATCTCCAACACTTGGTAATTGCTTAGTGATGCATAGAATATCCTATACATGGCTTGAACCCTTCATATAGGCAAGCCCTTAATTTCTTTTTCTGTACCCCACGGTGAACAATTCCTGGCCTGTTTGACTGTTCTCGCTTCCCCTCAATGGCTGCGGTCAGATGAAAGCTTCATTTCTATATCACATCCTCTACCAGTTATACAATCGGACTCACATTCGCTATCCGCCATGAACTTGAAGCAAGTTTTTTTAATTTCCATTTTGACCACCACCACCGCTGCCACTGCTTCCGCGGACAACCCTGTCAGCAGCTCCACTGAGACCCCTAATATTGATGCTTGCTCTCTGAGCACTGCCTGTATCAAGTATAACAATATCCGGACAACCTCCTGTTTTGTTAATAACTCCGACCTTAGCTATGTTGCGCCATTATTCTTTACTTGTTTGTGTGGCCTTTCCGACGAAGAGTACTGGAACGATGCCTGGACATGTATTCAGTGTAAGGGCGCTGTAAACAGTCGGACTGGCTCCACCCAAGCTGAGTATAAGGCTCGCTACTGCAGTGATGTAACTGGTTTGTATCCAGGATATGATGTCGGCCACTTCACCTCTTCTGGTACGGTGTACTTCGGCTACCTCTCTAACGGTCAGGGTGTCCCAGCCACTATTGCCGAGGAAAATAATGGTGATATTGGTACTCAATTTGATATTGGTACTCCTTACAGTCCCTCTGAACTTTCAACTGTCTCTCTCAGCAGATTTGACAGTAGTGCTACCGGGGCCGCCGAAGAAATGTACTGCGATATGTTTAGCAAAGTTATATATTATGTTGCCGACGGAACCAACTGTACGACTAATAGCGACATCCAGTCCCTTTACGCTGAATCATTGGTATGGACTTGTTTGTGTGCCCTTTCTGACGAAGAATTCTGGAACAGCTACTGGATCAATACCCAGTGTTATTCTGGTGGTAGAGCGCCTTACTCTACCCAGGCTGAGATGAAGGCTTACTACTGCAGTGACATAACTGGTTTGTACTCAGGCTATGATGTCGGCTATTTCACCTCTTCTAGCTCCGTGTACTTTGGCTATCTCACTGATGGACAGGGTATTCCTGCCTCCGATTTCGAAGCGAACAACATTTTTTCCGGAACTCAGATTTCTACTGGTGATGTATCAGGTGCTTCAGGTACCTCTGCAAGTACTGCTGTAGTTAGCTCTTCCGCTGGGGCTTACACTGGTACTCTGGGTACCTCTACCTCCGGAGCCACTTCTGTTGCCACATCTGCTGTTTCCAAAGCTTCCTCCACAACCTTTAAGGCTTCTTCGGCAGCCTCTTCCAAAGCAGCCTCCTCCTCCACCAAAGCCTCCTCTTCCAAAGCTGATGCTGCCAAGACTGTTGCTGCTGCTATCGGCGGTATCATTAGCTCTGTTCTTCTCCTTTTGCAAGTTTTATAGCTTTGGCATCCTAGAGTAACTTTGATAAATTTGTTTTATTCTTATAGATGAGGTATATAGCATTTCAAGTCAAATATAACCTGTGAAGGTTTAGTGACATGCATAAATAGCACTTTCTTATGCGGGTCTGAGAATAGGGGTATATAAATAATCAATGTACTCTGTTCCAAGGGCACTGTATTAAAAGTACTGCAGGTGCCTTATTTTAAATGATACTACAGGCGCCCTATCTTAAGACAGAGCTTTGTCGGTCAGTCTATATAAAAACTGACTGTCCATTTCCTTGTACATCTAGTTCTGATCTAATGGTCAATCAATTCTACCTGGTTATAGTATTACCTATACAGATATACTATAGGCATCATAACACTCTTAACACGCCAATTGGTCCTTATCAAAAGAGAGTACAATCTGGCTATCCTAAACGCTATCACATGTCCAATAACTATGACTGTTTTTAATAAAATCTAATTATAGCTTCAAATATCCTGGAAAATTTTGTACACCGAGTATTTTTGTCGAGTTGACAAAATCACAATATTCTTACTCCTATACTAGACCAGTGCTTAGTAACATTCTGACTTTAATACAAATGCTTAAATGCCGCATATGCAAGATTTCTTTTTTCCGCGCCCCGTGGTGGAAAATCCTTAGCCCGCTTATGCGTGTTTTCTTCTCAACAGCTCTAAACAAATAAAAGGTTGGCTTCTTTCTATTTTAATCCTTTCCAGTTCCATAGCCAAATTCACACTCACTACCCATAATGAACTTGAAGTATACCGTATTTCTCTCCGTTTTAGCCACCACCACCACTGCTGCCACTGCCTCCGTTGACAGTTTCGACAGCAGCTCCTCTGAGACACCCGATGAAACTGCTTGCATGCAAAGTGCCGCCTGTATCAAGTACTCTATGGCCCAACAAACCACCTGTCTCACTGATGACAACGCTACGAGTTATGCTGAACCCTTGACCTTGACATGTTTGTGTGGTCTTTCCGACGAAGAGTATTGGAACGATGCCTGGACATGTACTCAGTGTATGGGAGCTGTAGACAGTCAAATTGGTTCTACTCAGGCCGAGATGAAGGCGTACTACTGTAATAATATTACTGGCTTATATCCAGGCTATGATGTTGGCCACTTCACCTCCTCTGGTACTGTGTACTTTGGCTACCTCTCCGATGGTCAGGGTGTTCCTGCCACAGTTGCCGAGGCAAATAATGGTGCTACTGCCTCTGGTGTTGCTACTGCTTCTGATACGGCTACTGCTTCTGGTACAGCTACTACCTCTGGTTCTACTACTACCTCTGGTACGGCTACTTCTTCTGGTGCTGTTACTACCTCTGGTGCTGCTGCTAGTACCGCTAATATTGGCTTCTCCTCCGAGACTGTCACTAGCGTTGCGGGGACTACTTCTCCCTCAGCTTCCCCTGCTGCCTCCACTGTCACCTCTTCCTTTGTATCCTCTCCTTCCTCTTCTGCTTCTTCGATCACCACTTCTGCTGCTTCTTCCACTGCCTCTTCTACATCCGAAATTTCTTCTGTTGCTTCCTCCTCCACCAAGGCTTCCTCTTCCAGTGCTGCTGGTGCTATAAACGCCGCTGCTTTGGGTAGTATCATTGGATCTGCTCTTTTCCTCGTGCAGTTCTTATAATCCTAGCATCCCAGAATGATACGAATTTATGTTGTCATATTTCTAGATTTTGCAATTTAATGGGTCAAGGTATCTGTCTCTGCATAAGGTAAGAGTATATCTCCCATCAAAAGATATAGCCTGTCTACCCTGACGAGGTCGAGTAACAAACACTTATTACAATTTTTAAATTCTATTTTAATTTCTACTTTCCCGATAAACCATGGTCCACCATTGAGGGTTCGATCCAGTGCCAGAAGCATGTATATGTCGACAACTTCCACTGAGCAGATAATACTATAATTATAACTCCTATACCCCCTACACCAGAAAAATGCTTAGTGACATAACTATTCATTGCGTGTGCTTACCCCTTAAATCTCAATCTTCACTAAAATATATTGTATGGCCCAATTGCGTTTGTCCTGAGATTCCAGAATGGATGCCTTACAAATCCAACCGCACATTGACTGCACGATTTCTGCGCTTATACGTCGAAGGTCTGACAAAATAAGTCAACAAGCGTCCCATTGTGGTGACTGTTTTCGCTCCTCCCCTTCCGGTTTGGATCGCTGCATTAGAGGTATGCCTAATAATTTGTTCTTTGCCCCGCCTTCTACGGGTTGCGCGAGATGTCAAACGGGAGCGCCTGATGTAGGACACCAGCCTCCTTCGCCGCCTGGTGAATGCGCCTGCATCATTTATATAGCCTTTAGTGAAAAAAGACCGTATCGCTCGTATCATACGCCGCAAGGATCTCAGACGAGATTCTCTAGGCGGGGGAAGTGAGCGCATGGCTTCTCATCACCCAGGAACTCAGTATAGTTTCGAATGTTCTACCTCGATGTGGAATGTGTGCGTAGCTCGAATGATCGTCTCCAGCAGTTTTGGATCTCAGCGCCAAATTATTTCGAAAGCAACGATGGTAGCAAGAGGGCTTGGAAATAAGCGGTAGTATAGGATGTCACGCCAGATTTGTAGAAGGAAAATTGGGTAAAAGTATAATTCGTATGGACAAGAATAAAAAGAGCAACTATGTACTCCCTTGAAGTGCCATCCCTGATGTGCGATCACAGCGTGCTTTCAAACGTAAACGTTAAATCCTGCCCCTGTAGTATGCAGCCACAAACCCAGAGACGGCATCCGCTTCAGCCACGCCCAGACCCGGTGATAAAACTTAGCAAGACTTTTGATTTCTTGCTTTCGGGAGTGACTTTCGTTTCTAAGCTTCGGCGATATTAGAAGAGGTAGCCTATGTGCAGAAGATATCTGATGGAGGCTACATCTGTTGGGCATGCCAATATCCAAGGCGTAGTACATTTACAACACGTTTAAATACTTTAAATATTTTGTTGATGAGATGGGACAAAGAAGAATCATGTTGGGCTATAATGGCACGTGTGACCCTCACTTATCGTTACCCAGAGCGCCCTCAACAGGCTGAGAGCGCATGAAGAGCAAACGTGCAGCACCTTGCTACACGCTAATCCTTCGTAGCTGCCGTTTACCGAGTGGGCTGTGAAAACGCTGGGTCACTCCGAAGGGATGTTGGGATATCAGCTGTACCAAGCTTTCTAGGATTGATCGGCTATGCTACTGGTGAGTCCCCTCATACTACCTAGATGGACACCCTGATTTTCCACCTACAGTAAGCCCAGTGCTTCAAATGCAGCCAATTATTTTAAACATATTGCTCTCACCGTGGATCAATCAAGTCACGGCTCAGCCCGTATTGCCTTCGGTGGGTATTACCGACAGGATAGTTGGCTAAACCGTTTTAGCTAACGAAGATCAAGATAGGACACTGGTATGGAAATTGACAGCGTGCATGTGTGTGCGATCGCCGTTCGTCTCTTAGATCCAGTGCCCTGATTTAGTCGTAGTCGGCGTCATGCATCTTTCATATTCCAGCCCGCAGACTTAAATGTTGCATACATGCAAGTAATTAATTTGTTCATTTCTTCTATTTTTCGCACCATATGACGGAGAATCTTGGGTATGCTTGTTTCCCTTTTTCTATCCAACACCTTCAGCTAAATAAAAGGCCATTGCTGCATTCTACTTCAGTCAAATTTTACAGCCAACCCCACACTTGCTATTCACCATGAACCTGATAAAAATTGTCTTATTTTCCATTTTGGCCGCCACTGCTGTCAATACCTTAGCCATTGGTTTCGAAGCCGGCTTTGCTGATGCATCTAGCAACTCAGATTGCTTGCTGGGCTCCTCTTGTCTCAAATACGGCCAGATCCCGGCAACCAGCTGTAACATTAATAACGAATCTACCGATAGCGATGCACTCGCGGGCTTGAAATGTTTATGTGGCCTTTCTGACGATCAGTACTGGAACGACGCCTGGAAATGTGTCCTGTGTTTGGGCCTCTCTGGCGAATTTAATTCCCAGGCTTCGTACAAGGCTAGCATCTGCGACGACCTTGGTGCTATCGCTTCTGATGCCGCTGCTTTTTCTGGTATTGCTGCTTCCGATGCCATTGCTTTTTCTATTTTTGCTGCTTCCGATGCTAGTGCTCTCACTGCTGCTGCTTCTATTTTTGCTTCTGCTGATGCTTTATTGTCTGGTATTGCTGTTTCCGGTGTTGCAGGTGCTTCTGGGACTGGAGTTGCAGGTGCTTCTGGGGCTGTTGTAAGTGCTTCTGGGACTAATGCAGGTGCTTCTGGGACTGCAGGTGCTTCTGCTGCAACCTCTGCCTCTGCTGCTGCCACCTCTGCTGCTGCCGCCTCTGCTGCTGCCGCCTCTGCTGTTGCCACCTCTGCTGCTGCCACCTCTGCTGCTGCTACCTCTGCTGCTACCACCTCTGCTACTTCTAAGGCTTCTTCTGCCTCTTCTAAGGCTTCTGCCTCCTCCTCCACTAAAGCCTCCTCTTCCAAAGCTGGTGGTTCCAGGAATGTCGCCGTTGTCGGTGGAGTTATTGGCTCTGCCCTCTTCCTCTTAAACCTTTTATAACCCTGGTACTCCAGAGTAATGTTAATGTCCTTTCATGTTATCAGTTTTCTAGATTTTGTAATTGAAGAAGCCAAATCTATATGTATCTATACAATATTGGCCATTAAGCCAAAAGCATATATCATTATATAAGTATAGTATATTAATGCACGATACCGAAATAAAAGAGGTCTCAACTAGAGCTCTGGTCAGCCTTTCGGAGGTTTACGACTGTTGGAAAAAGGAACAGTGGTGTTCGTTGATATCGTGAGTACCAATTGAGAAACTTTTCGAACCATTTTATCTATCTTACTCAGCCTTTCGATTATATCTGAGTAACAGGGTAAATATCATAGATTATAAAGTTCTCCACGTCGGTAAAACAATGCCATATAACATCCCTTATCTAAAAAATACTGCCAGGGTACCCTAATCGTTATCATATATCCAATAATTATCACAATTAAACTAGGTAAGAATATAAGTCCTCTGGATCTACTAAAAGAGCAACAATACGCGTAATGTACCACATGTCTCATTGCACGAACATATCAAAGTCGGACAAAAAAGAATCCTGCAGGATATTATGGTGGCACGTGCGGTGGGGGTGGTGTATTAGCCGTAGCCGAGCATTATAAACTGCTTATCATTGTAACGCACTGTAAATCAATCTAGATCCTTCAATCAAATAGTATTACCTTCCATGGGCAATACTAACAAGAAAATGGGCTAAACAGTCATCAATTTCTGAAATAAAGATATGACATCTTCATGCAAATTAACGGTATGAGTGTACACGACTACCTTCCACCTCTGAAGTTTCGATGACATGACGCACTTATCGGCGGCGCCATTCATATACTAACTCGCCGACTAAAACCCTGCATGTATGCAAGCCCCTCTTTTACTGCACCATGGTAAAGAACCCTCGGCTTTTTCCTCCTCGACGTCTCCAGCCAGGCAAAAGGTCATTTCTTTCTATTTTAATCCTTTCCAGTTTTATAACCAAACCCACTCTCCCTCTAGCATGAACTTAAAGCAAACCGCCATACTTTCTGTTTTGGCCACCAGCCGTTCAGTTCAGAAATCCAACTCTGCTTGCGCTCTATTACCCGCCTGTTCCGCCGTCTACACAGCAGTGTCATTCTCCTCTTATTTGGGTGATATCGACGTTAGCAGTGCTATATCAATGAGTATGTCTCATTTGTGTGGCCTTTCTGACGAAGAGTTCTGGAATGATGCCTGGACCTGTCACCTATGTACGGATCCCAATGACGACTCTGGCTCTAGCCAGGCAAAGTACAAGGCTAATGTCTGCAAAAACTATGTAGCTTCCTCTGTCTCCTCAGCCTCCTCTAACTCCTCAGTCTCTTCTGCTGTTTCCGTGGCTTCCTCTGCCTCTTCATCTGCTATTTCCTCCTCCTCCAAGGCTGCCGGTGCCAAGATTACTGCTGCTATTGGTAACGTCGTTGGCTCTGCGCTTTTCCTTTTGCAACTTTTATAACTGGTATCTTTGAATTACATCAATGAATTTATTTCTATGTTCCTAGATTCTGTATTTAGCCGCGTTTGTATTAAATCACAACAATGGGGCTACCAGACTGATTTCCACATAATTCAGAAGTTTGATAACGTCAATCACTTGTGGTGCCAACTCGCTTTTGAAATTTATGCAACACTCCTTACCAGACCTATCCCTCCAAGATGGATAATATTCCTACCACACTAATTACCTGCTTCGTTATACGCGGAGGAGTGGGATTATGCAGACTGAATGAGGATAAAATGGAGACTTGATACCATAAAGACACTGTACTTGACCTGAACTCGACAAAAATACTTTATCACCAATTTGATGTTGTCCCTCAGGGAGACAACTTAATAGCTGGGATACAAGTATACCTCACTAACAGCACAATCAATAAACTTGGACTACACTAGCACTGTAGGCTGTAAATTAGCCACCCTTACCTATCCCTACACCTGCTCCAATGCAATATGATTTGTACACTACTCCTTCTTTCCCTTGTCGCTCAACTCCTCCATCTCAATCTCCTCCCTTGGCTCATCCCCAGCGACCAACACTTCTTTCAACTTGGCCTTGCCTACCTCAATCGTCTTGTGCACCGTAGTGTTGATCACAGCCAAAACCGGCCCGGTCAAGCCCATGTAATGGATGGTAAACGCGACAGCGGTGAAGGTCACAAGCCAAATGAAGAAGAACGGATTACGCAACACAGCCATGAATTCGTTCCAACCGAGAACCGCGATGATGAGATAAATGTAGTACGGAATCTGCGACACCGATTGGATGATCGACCGCTTCGCTTCAAAGAAGATCGCATCGGATTGCTTCTTGAACTTGCCTTTGATCGTCTCCACCCTCTTTGACGATAAGAGACGCGAAAAGTTCTCCAACTCGTCGTCTTCCTCGATTTCAATATCCGGGACAATAGCCGTCCCATCGGCAAGCTTCGCGACCGCTAGCACCGGCAAAACCGCCACGGCCCGCTCCTTGGCGACCCTGTAGGCAACATCAATCTCGCGAGCATCTTTCCACAACTTTGGCAACCCCTCATCGTCATACCTGAACGACTCCTCAAAGATATCACGGAGCAAAAGCACCATGTTGTCTTCGCGGATGAACTCATGGACGATGGAGTTCAACGCTAACCACGCGTTGCGACGGATCTGGAACAACAATTCACTGGAACTCGTAGCGTCACCTAAGCCAAAATCATACCCATCGTCTGTCGCAAACCGCGCGGTCACTGAGGAAAGAGACTCTTGGAACACGACCAAAACACCACCCCAGACGTTTTCATCAGGTTTTGACAATAAATCCGTCACATTCTCCTTCAAGGCCGGGGTGATCCGCTTGATCGACTTGTTCACTAGCGAATCCACTTCCTTCGCCCTCTCAGCCACCGCAAGGTCATCCAAAGCGGATTCCAATTGTCTCAATTCAGAAGAGCTGTCAAAGAGCCCGTCGAGCGAGACAAGAGCGGCACTGGCAACAAAGGTGTCGTGGCAAGCCGCGCGAGCCTTGGCCAAAATCGCCAAGAATGGTTCGTTCGTGCGGGTTTTAAAAGTGGCCGTAAAGTTGTGCAAGGAGGACTGCCTCAAGGCGACGAGGAAGGATCCGTGGACCTGCTTTAAGCGGGCATCGATCTTGGCCGCGAGGTCGGAACGCTTTTCCATATAGACATCTTTGTGGTAGCGCGAAGCAAGCGTGTCAAAGTCTTCCAACCCGGCGTTGCGAAGGGTAACCATTTTTGCTGCAAGGCCCCCAGCCGCGGTCTCGTCCTGGGAATCGGTCTCAACTCCCGTTAGGAAGTCCACCTCACCAAACTCTTCCACATATCTCTTTTCAAACTCCGCGTACGCCCCGTTGGCAATCTCCTCGCACTTAAACCTCGCCACCAAAATCTGCTGCGTCGGCAAATCAAGGTCCTTGTTCGACTCAATCTGCTCCCAGCACTTTTCCGCATACATTGTCCAACCGTCGATCGGCAAGTCGTGGCTGTACTCCCGCTTAAACAAGTAATCTTCATTATTTTCGATCAAGCGGTCACCGAGCAATGCCACCTGTTCCACGAACTTCTCCGGCTGGAGAACCTTATGGGCCAAGGCGTGGAATTTCAAATCAAACAAGTCATCCAACTGCACACCTTCCGCCCCGGCTGGTTTGTTCAACTGCAACCAGATCGCCTTGAGGTCCGTGGTAAGGGTGTTGGAGAGGTTTTCCAATGGGGTGTTGCCCACGTGGTCTCTGATCACAAACAAGAGCAAGGTCTTGTGACTGGAAGACTGGAAGAGCGATAAGTTAACCTCGAAGACGGTCTTTAAGAGGCCCATGTTGGCCCCCTGGTACAAGCCCACCTGGTTCTCCCAGATGTTGACAATGAGAATCTCGGAGGTGCTCAAGGCGAAGAGCGCAGCCTTGCGCTCAAAGTCCTGGTCCTCCCCACGCTCGCGACCGTCGGAACCCTCCACATCCATGACGAGGATGTGGGAAGAGTTGGGGACGTAGCCCAGGCCAGTAGCAGCTGCGGGGTTGCTGGTTGTGGCGACCGCCCTCGCGTGCCCCATCCAGATTCCCTTCGTCGTCTGCTGTCTGCTATGCTCATCCATCACGTCGAACCGCGTCTGGAATAACTGGTTCAACAACGTGGACTTGCCCGACGACTGCGATCCGAACACGGAAATCACGTGGAAGTTGAGGCTGATCTCCCTCACACCGCCGGTCGCCTGAGTCGTCTGGTCGATAAACTGAAGTACCTCCTGGTTAAAGGTCTTATCCTGGTCGATAATCTGCACTGTGGACATTTTGTGGCAGGTAATAGCAATGGCCGTGACTTAAAAGGCGTGAACATGGCTTTGATATAATGCGTTTTGAGGAGTAGCGATTGCTCCGGCTAATCGCGTGGCCCAAAGTTTGTGTTTGCAGGAGAAATCCGCCCACGTCCGTGGTGCGGCGAATGTGACCACTGTGAGTATGTGACCTGGCTGGAGAGGCTTACCACAGAACAAATGATATGTACCGATTTAAATCATTGATGAATATTATTGAACTCAGCTAGAAGTATTGACGTTTTAGAGCTGTGGCTAATAGCTTGGGTTCGTGTACTAGTAAAGCCCGCTGGGCAAAGGCACGGGCCACAGTCATAAAATCACATGCCATTTCCACTTTAAATAGGAGATTAATGCTTAGAAGACGAACGATCGCTTCTTTCGCTCTTAATAGCTTTTCTGAGGTACCGCTAGAACCATAGTCATGAACCCAGCAAGGTGAAGATTTAAAAGATGGGCCAGGCCGGTACACGGTCTTTCGGGCTGCTTATATTCTGCGACACCCCACCATCCGTATTCCTCGTCGTTTCCTGAATCTTTTCGAAAGATTTTACCCAGAGAATACCCTCTAACGGTTTTACTAAATCCTCTCTATTCACAATTGACTCCCTGGAATCTGCTGATAAGAAGGCCCCCGCCATACAACCCCGACTACAAAATCCTTAGCCGCAAGATAAATTAACAGTGGCAATACAAACCTTCATTAACATTAGCTAAAACACTTATTCAACAAGCCCAAAATCCTGCCGTCCTCCTTGTACTTACTTTCGTCTTTCATGCTCTTACCGTCCTTTGTAGCACCGTTGCTGCTAATGCTGCTGATCGGGGACAAGCCACTGACGCCCGCCGCTCTGTTCTCGCTTTGGCCACCGTTGTTCAAGATGTCACTTAAAACGGAACCGGCCAACGAAGGAAGGGTGATTCCGTTGGAGAGCGCCTTGCCGACGCCGGTGCCTCGGAAGCTCGTCGAAGGCTTGGTGATACGGCCAAAGGAGATGGAAGCCATTCTTCTTGGGGGAGACGGTAAGCCTGCGCTTGGTTCCTCCACCGCGGACGGCGCCGCGGTGCGCGTGCTGTAGTTCGAGTACGCGGGGTTCGAAGCCCGCGATTCGTAGGAAGACTGGTGGTTGGGTGGTGGTTGCGAGAGCTGATGGACGTGGGGGGCTGAATGGTGGTGTTGTGGCGCTGGAGCCGTGTGCTGAGGTGGCGCGGGGTGACGTGGCGCGGGGTGGTGAGGCGCATGGGCAGGGTTGCTCGTCTGCTGGCGGTAGTATGGAGAACCGCTGTTCGCATACTGCGGCGACCCATTATTCGCATATGAGTATTGCTGCGAGTACGGATACTGCTGATGCTGGTTGTAAGGATATGGAACGTGTGGCGAGTGCTGCGGCGGATAGGACGAGTGGCGGCCCTGAGGAGCCGGTGCAGCCTTGGTCTGTCTCGGGGAGTACTTGCTGAAGGCAATGTCCAGAAACGAATTTTCCACATCCGCTTCGTTCAACGTTTCGTTCAAGATGCTTTCCGGGTAGACGTCTGGCGACAATTGCAACCGGCCGAAGCGGTCGTCCTGCAGCGGTGAGATCAAGCCGCTGGCGCGGGTGATGTCGCGGGAATGAGCGCGGGTCAAATTGTGCATGTTGGTATAGGCAATCAAGTGGAATTTATCGCCCATTCTGGTGGTTAACGAAAAGCTCTGCTTGATGAAGCCCTCGTTTTTGTAGCGGTAGGTGGTGGAGTCTCTGGAGCCAGAGGAGGTGCCGCCGTTGCTGCTCTCCATTTCTCTGTAGATCAAGAAGGAGCCTGAGACACGGGAGGCGGACCACGAGCGGCCATCGGTCCACCGTTTCATCCCAGAATCGTTTTCGTTCCAGATGTATATGGAGCCAGTTTTGATCGCCTGACGTTCCTCATCGTTTAACCGTCTTTTGATCTTGGTGACCTGGTTATTTCTGGCGGCCTCAATGAGGATTAGTGCGTCCTTTGTGCTGAGAATAACGCCCTGGTAGCTTTCCATTGCGGCGGTATGGTGTAAGATTTTTGTAGAATAGATTGAATTATTGGTTTTGGGACTGGAAAGATGTATGAAAATAAAACCGCTTCGTCGGGAGTAATTAAACAGATGAACCTTTATGAAGTGCGTGGAAGAAATTAGTTAGTTGAATCTTCGGTATGAAACGTGAGAAAGAGCAAAATAAGTGGCACGTGTGAAAATGGGAATCTCGGGGGTGGCACATGTCTTTATAACTATCACTGTGTGTAAAAACGAAAAAAAAAGGCTTGGGTTTTGCTTGGCTAGAGATGACTACCCACCAATGCAAGACTTGAGGTGCGAAAAACGTAAATAGTCCCCGCCTTCAAGGATCATCTCACTCCCTGCCAACCTTATTTTTTCCTTGGTGTCTTGTAAATTTAGACACACGTGCATACGCCAAGTGTTATCTTTAGTCTGGTTATGGCGCACAGATAACCGTTCCGCTCCAAGCCGGAAGTCTTGGAGCCCAAGTCTTGCGTAGCGTTTAGCATTGGGCCAGCAACACCGCATTCCTGGCGGGAGTGACGATCGTTAGCATACATCATGCATGCGCAGCGCGCGTGCCCAAAAACTGTTTAAATATGTATACGATATTTAAGGTTGATTCTACAGTGTGCCATGCATGTCCTCCAGACGCGGGCGCCAAGACTTTTTAATCTCTATCCTAACCTAAAATCGCGGCTGCCCTCTAATGCATGTTAAGAAATTTTCACTACTGATTACCCAAAGGCGCAACCTTAAAATCTTAGACATGGTCATGACGGTGAATTTCATGTACCCACCGACACTCCGGGTTATTTAAGCTTCCTCTATTACCCAAAAATGCATGATAGATAGTCATTGGAGGAGAGTTCATTTACTCATGGCTACTGAAGTATTAGATATCACTTCCTGTTGTAAAACCTTCGGTAACGATAGCATCTACGGCTGTTCTTTGGGTAGCCAAAAACGAGATACAGGGGGCATACATTTATGATCAAAACCTCTCGTTTGTCCTGTACAGTGTGGCTGATAGCATCTCGCTAAAAGCTTGCAAGGGAGCCAGAGAGGAAAGTCTCCCCGACCCTATAGGATAGCTGATTTTCTTTTTGATTGGGCCATTCCAAAGCTCCCCCACTGTTTCGGAGGCCTGCTCTCGTCTGGTACCGCTACTGCTGCCCAAATTAGGTCACGGAAACATGCTTTCACGACTTATGACCTCCCAGATCACAGTTTATGTGAATCTGCTTGTGCATGAAAATAAAGATTTAGAATTAAAGTTTTTTCGCCCACTGCTATAATGCGTGACCCTTATTTCCGAACACCTGGCTGCGGCGCCCCTTATCGGCCAATTTCTATAATCTCTGGGCGAAGGTTGGGAGCCTTGGCCGCAGCAACATTTGCAGCGGACTTCGACCAGATGCAGCGCAAGACATTGAATGTACCTCGGGTCCTAGGCCCAGAGTTAAGACATCTGTCTACTCGAAGTGGTCGAGGTGAATCTTCACCCGAGCAAACTCCGGTGTCATGCGTACCAACCCCCACTGCGCATACCAAAACGCAACGTTGTGGATATATAGCATCATTCACTGGGCTCTTCGAGCCGCATTTTCTTACTTCGCCCTGGGCGTGTAAAACGCCCAGGGCTAATGTCCCACCGGAGGTCAGAAACACGACTTTTGATCCAAGCTGTGTGCTTATGTGCTCAACCTTTTTTTTACATAGATCGGAAGTGTAGTGCGAAAAGTCAGCCGCAAGCTATAATTAGACCGCTAAAACTGGAACACTGGCTCGAACTTTCAGGGTATCCGGCTTGTGCTACGTAATTTCTAACGGTGTTACCTCCATTGTTATTCTAAATAGAACAGCGAACCTCGTCTGCCGTTAGGCCGACGCAGGTAGTTAGAGAGCCAAGGTCCCATGGGCTTGCAGGTGACGTCGTGGACTATGTGTTACAGAATGCCAAGCAATTTCACACGAGAAGGGGTGCTCTCCAGGCTAGAAACGGAATGCATGCTGGTCATTAAGCATTCCGTGGCTGCATTACGTGCGTGGAACGTATTCTTGGAGACACGTTGGGTGCCGTGCTGACTATAAGCTTAATTGGCGGACGACTAAAGGGTCCACAGAGTACATATCCTCATCGTTGGCCCAGTATCTTCCAGTCACTTTGCTAAATATAATGACATTGTTGTGCTTCGCGTGAGAAAAGGGACTAAGTCTTCTATTGTCGTTTCGCTCAGACCTGCTGTATACGTAATCCAGCAGGTGCATTTAGCTCGAATTGTTCGTCACTCCTTTTTCGGAAATGACCAATGGTCTGGCCTACAGAATTGGAGGTCTTTGAAGTTTATTTCGTATACTTGTATCTACTCAAGATGGCTGTAAATTCTTCAGCGTGGTGTGTTTGATTCTTTTACCCCGCGAAACCTTAACTCTCAACAAACCTGAATTGCAAGGCCTGCGAAAACAGGCGGGTCTGCTCCCCGCCAAGCATTTCCTTAGTTCTCACGTAAGGCGATAGCGGCAGTGAAAGTGGATAGCGCCAGGCTAGTATAGTTGTTTCCTCCATTTACCTATATTTAATATCTTTTTGGTCAAAGACTTAATCATTTAGAATAATAGCTAAGCGAGTGACATTAAATTGTTGCTTTTCCCCTCTCTCATTGTACTTGCATTTTTAGACAATAGCGCCAGCGTCGGCCGTATAATTCTCGGAATTTTATATACTGCATGGAATCCTTAATCTCAAAATTGATCACTATTTTTAGAGCGGCAGCCTTGATCCAGACCGTGTGGCACTACCAGTGTTTAAACGGCGTTATAGCTTGTCATTCTGCGGAGATGAATGACACCTTTTTCTGCTCTTTGGAGCCTCTTTTCTAATTCTCCCACTTGTCGAGTAATATAAGGTAAGTATCTACGTGCCGCAAACTCGATTGGGGGTAGAAGGAATAAATCTAATGTTTCGGGCTAATTTAACCGGGTTAGAGTTTCGTTTTAACTTGCTGTGTACGTTCTGTATGGATACTGCACTGCTTAATCCAGGTTTAACTAAAGATTTTTGGTGGAACTATGTCTAATAATACCTTTAGGTGCTATTCCCACGCGGGTAGACCGGTTATCTCAGGGCTAGCGCATATAACGGGTAACCTCGGTACAGCCTACGTGTAAACAGACCCGCCGGTGACCATTTTCTCCCGCAAATCTAGTAATATGTTAGCGGTGTAGAAACATCCAATCCCGGATTGTGGTATATATTTTTTCTGGAACTAATTCCCAATGTTAAACTTAATTATCTCTTTAATGTCGGGGTGCTTTCCGTGCATCAGCTGAGGCTCCACCTTCAATTGTTTGCAAGTAAATCTTTTATGCTAAAAGTGACAATGCTAATGTTTTCCCAGCATAGAGCTGGAGTGCTACGCTTTCCTGTAGTGACCCCGCTTTCCGAAACTTCCCAGTATGGTACATTTCAGCGTATATGCTGCACCAGCTAGGAAATAGCTAGTATTACGCCCAAAGTATTTCATGGTAAAGCATACTTTGAAGCGTCAACGCCAGTTCAGGGATACTATATAGTCGACTCAACATAATTAATCACCCTTTTAACGCCCCAGATCCACCCACGTTCCATCGCCTCATCCAATCCGCCGTCCATCTTCCCTTCATCGTCGTACAACTTGTAATCGTTGGATCTGGAATGAATGCCTACACTTCCCACCCCCAAGGGCCAACGTTTGTTACCAATAGAAAGAGCCATGTACTGTTGATTCGCCTGGTTCATGTTCTTTTCGTCAAGACATTGAATAATTTTCAGGAGGATCAAAAGCTTTTCAGGGGAAATTGTACGCATCCGAAGGATGTAAAATAAGGGAACTAGTTGCTTTTTCACTTCAGTAATCGTTGACGTTTCTGTACCTGCGGGGCTCTGCATCCTTCCTAACATTTGCTTGAAGTATATCCTGGCCAAAAGGCAGAGTCTTGAGGATAGTTCTGTTGCTTTCTGAGAGCTGATGGTAGTTTCTGTACTAGGCAGTGCGTTTTTAGCACTCTTATGCTTCACCCAGGACTCGAAACTCCGAACATCATTATCCGTGATGGCTTCAGCAACTCTACCGTCGGCGGGAATCACCTCTTGTTCCTTTAAGGACTGAGACTCGACCGCTTCCGTTAGGCGAATTCTCTCCTCAAGTTTGTTCAAGTAAACTAGCTTTTCGTATTTCAGGCTGATTGGAAGCGAAGAAGGGTCCACTCTCAATTTCTGCAATCTATCATCGATGTCACCTTCTAAAACGGTCATGAGATCGTTGGGATTGATCGGAATGTCAGCAGCGGCTAGTTTGGGTCTTTTTTTTGAATTCTCTATAGGAGATTCTGTAGGAGATTCTGTAGGAGATTCTGTAGGAGATTCTATGTTCGTGGTAGGGTTGGTCGTTTCTGCGTTAGCTATCGCATCTCTCTGTAGTCTCTCCTTCTTTTGTTTTGCGAGCAAGACCTGCTCTTTAATAATTGCATCAAAATCCATTGGGTTTGCAGGTTTCACCTTCCCTTGGGTGAACCTAAAAGCGCTATCAGTCAAGTTCAAGACGGGGCACGCTAAACGCATGTTGGAATTTTTGGTCTATACAAATTTGTCTCTCTGGTCCATCCATACCGGACAAACTCCCTGTGCACTTCTGAATAAAACAATATATTCAATTAGTATATATAGCTATATGTGTGTAAATTTGAAATTAAACGATAGGTGAGAAGGTTAAATCTATAATTGTAATATATCTTAGATATAAATTTTCCCATCTTTTGGCAAATGTATAATTAGTATTAGTATTAAAAGTATGTAAATATATTCATTTAATTTTTATAATGAGCATTTATAGCAAATATTTAGAGTATATGCACCAGCACAATAATAAATACTTCATCTAATCTTTTACTACTAAAATGGTGAAATTTCAATATTGCCTTCGATAATAACCTTGATATTACCGTTGCTAGTATCTACTGGAAATCTCAAAGCCTCATTGGCCTTTCCCAATGAGAATTGGTGAGTAACCAATCTGGCAGCATTTGGCAACATACCGCCTTGGAACGTGTTGGTAAGAGGCGGCCACGAATCTGTTAATAGGCTTCAAATAAATCTCGGCAAGATTGCAGTACATAAGGGGTAAATTATTAAGGAAATCTTGGCCAACACCGATGAGAACCACACAACCTGAATGGCAAGTAATGTAGCAACAGGTAGCAATGGATGACTCCATATCGGTGCATTCCAACACCACTAGTGGCCGCTAGTATTTGGTCTCCCCAAAGCACAGTCTAATCCTCGCAGCGTTGGCGGGAGAATCTGACACTAAACTTGTCTTGTAGGCGCTGACCGAAGGAACCAACTTCCTGGAAAATTCCAAATGGTAGTTGGACAAGTCTGCAATGACAATGAGGGAGGCCGCCCCAAAAGGCAACGTCGTTACACAAATTGTAATCGCCCAAGGTGTTGTCCATGAAACAGTTGCGGCCCGGAATTCGGAGTTCGATAGAGACTCTATCACCTGGCCTGGCGCTGCAAACACCCTCACCAACTTCCAAAATACCCTCAGGGAACTCATGGCCCAAGATCAAAGGAGTCGATAGCACCGTTTCTCATGAAACGCACGTCGGTATTGCAGATACCGGTAGTTTTCACATGGATAAGAACCTTGCCCTTAAGTGATTTTCTCACCAGGACCTCGCGTATCTCAATGGCCTTGCTTGGGAGGCAGTACAAGGCCGGGGTTGGTGTAGCCATCAACAGTCATTGAGTGGATGTGTTGGATGGCGTGCTCACTGAAATTCTCGAATATTAACGTGAAGGACACATCACCCCGCTTTTATGTCGCAGGTATTAATTGCTGACTTTGACATTCACCTCAGAGACTAATATACAGAGAAGTAACAGCATCGGGTCGACTTATGCACGAGCCCCTACAGGCAGAGATATTGATGCACTGAAGTTTATGTACGAGACTAAAATCGAAGGCAAACCGATCAAATCGTTGACTTACAGCCGTCTTTATGAAAATAGATTCAGTAAGTACTATTGGAGTTAATCGGCCATTTAGATTGTAATATTTACATTTTATGAGCTTCTAGTGGAAGAAACACCTTCCCATTGTAACGAGCGCTGCATTTCCCATATCATCCCCGATCTTCAATTTACAGGTCGCTTGATCATACACCCGAAATCGAATGACTATACTTAGCGCCACCAGCTTGGCTCGACCACGCCCATCTACCTCTGGTGACCTAACGTTCCATATCTCGTTAGGTCGCACTTACAGGTTCAAGTGATTCCAAAAAAAAAAAGCCTCGACTTGCGCACACAATACCTAACAAAGTTGAAAATGGGGCTAAATCGATACCTGTTTGTAATTGGCACATTTTTACAAATACTCTACACAGGTCACATTGGAATGGCGAAACCCATTATCCCTGGACAGGATATGTATTACGGGAGTTTGGAGAAAAGCTCCGAATGCGGTACCAGAATTCAAGCAACTGAAATTGAACTCATGTGGCAAGTGGTACCGGGTCTGGAAGGATATACATCCCAAGTATGTTTCCGTTAGTCTATTAGAAACTCACAATCAATTAGCATTATCTATTAATTCGATAAGACTACGACCTTTCCGCTACGGGCAGGATCAAGCGGGAAACAACGTCGTGCCTTCACCACACCTCTGTTTGACGATCGTAGTCCGGAGCGGAAGCAGAGCTTTTCGAATGAGGGGGCGGAATATTTCCGTCCTGCGCACATTTCGATCGTCATGGCATACGCTTACTGGCCCAAATCTCGCTCTAACCTGCCAAATCGGTACCACACTGAGCACAAGATGTAGGCAAAAGTGGAATCTGAAAGAACATTTCTCTACAATTCAACACTGCTCTCACTCGCCTCATCCACAAGTATATAAACGCAGAATCCCCCATTTGAGCATCCATATCTACCAGTTACAAGAGTATATCATAGGAAAAAAAATGGTGTTCCAAGAGGACTTTGAAATTGAAAAATTCATGAACAAGCATGAGCACAATGTCGTGTACAACTTGGGCGAAACCTGCTGCTACTCCATGTCCTTGAAGGACTTGGAGGTACTTACGGGAAATAAGGCGCCGTTGGACACCATTTTCAACCAGAGATTGGTGTATGGCTGGATCGAAGGGAGTGACGAGTTGAGAGACTTGATCTGCGACGTCTACAACAAGGACGGGTGTGCGAAGCTCGTCAGAGAGGATGTTGTGGTCACCAACGGTGCCATTGGGGCCAATTTCTTGACCATGTACGGGCTTGTGGGCAAGGGTGACCACGTGGTGGTGGTCAATCCAACCTACCAGCAGCTCCAGTCGGTGCCAAAGATCTTTGAAGCAGAGGTGTCGCTTTTGGACTTGAAGTTTGAGGAGAACTGGCTTCCAAACCTTGATGCCTTGCAGAAGTTGGTTCAGCCAAATACCAAAATGATTGTAATCAACAACCCTAACAACCCTACTGGCTCGGTCATGGACAACGAGCTTTTGCTAAAGATAGTGGACATTGCCAGGGCCCAGGATGCCTACTTGTTGTGCGACGAAGTTTACAGACCATTGTTCCACTCTGTGGCACCTGACAAAGTGCCTGACTCCATTGTTAACCTTTATGAGAAGGGGATTTCCACCTGTTCCGTTTCTAAGGCGTTCTCCTTCGCCGGTGTCAGAGTCGGCTGGATCATTTCCAGAGACCACGCTGCCATCGCGGAGTGCATCACCAGGAGAGACTACAACACCATCAGTGTGTCCATGGTGGATGACATCATCGGATCCTACGTCTTACAGAACAGGAATGCCATTCTTAAGCACAATTACCAGTTGTGCATCGGAAACCTTGCAATTTTAGAAGAGTTCATCCAGTCTAGCAACGGTGTCTTGGACTGGGTCAAGCCAGCCGGTGGTACCACTGCTTTTGTGAAGATTAACGGTCTTGTGAATGATAACACCGAAGATTTCTGTGACGACATGGCTGTCGCCTACAAGACCTTGGTGGCTCCAGGCGAAAACTTCAACAACCGTGGATACGTTAGAATCGGGTTTGGAAACTCCAAGGAGGATTTATTGACCGGCTTACCACAGTTGAAGAAGTCCTTGAAAGACAAGGGCCTTTGGAAATAGGTATTAATTTTATGTATAATCGTTTATCTTATTGACAATTGTGTACAAGTAAAGTACACTAGGTATGGCTACACATGATTCTTTAAATTCTCTGATTTGGCAAAAATGTTTGCTTACATCTATATCCTGCAAACCCATGACTAGCTATGGAAAATCTACTTCTATAGGTCTAGAAACCAGAATGAACGTGGTGGATACTTTTACATTAATCCACAGATTTACCTTCGTTTCTACCTGCCCGTCACTCCACTCGCATCAGGAACTGGCAGGCCGACTTATTAGACTTCCTGCATATACCGTCATTCTCCTAATCCATGTGTTCGTCCTGCACAAAGGTACTAAAAAGTGAGATTTACGCTTGAACTCCTTTCCACCTCCTATCCACCTCCTTTCTACTCCTTAACACCCACCTAACCGCGTCATTCTACACAAAATGGCTATTAAAGTGCAAACCAAAGAACACTCCGCTTCCGAGTCTGAATCCAAGACGGGCACTAGCAGCGCGTCGCGCGCCACGGCGAAGAACAGAACCGCCGTCCAGCAAGCACAACAGGCATTTTTGGCCAAGCACATTAACTCAAACGGCCCGAACGATCAGCCAATCCCGTCTCCGCTAGACTTTGAGAGCTTACCAACCGAGGCTTTGCGCAAATACAAGAAAAAATTTGGAATTAATGTCCCTTCGTCCTTGACCATCAGTGGGTACATGTTGGCGAGCGAGGCCGGAAAAAAAACCTACAGCTACAAAAATAAGGATAGAATCACCAAGACTGAATTGGCCAGCCATGTGAAGAAGCACTTTATGAACCAACAGTGCCGCGAGAGCGAGATCATCACCAACTTCATATACAAGGTGAACAACCAAGGTACGTACCACGTCTACGTGGGAACGCAGCATCACTAACCTCTGACAGAGAAAGCCTTCAAGCTTCGTTTTAGCTAATCAATCTTTTATCGCAAAGACGGTCGAGCTTTCAGCCACGCCGAATTCTTCCGTGCTCAGGTTGTGTAGACAGCTATGGTCTATTAATACTAGCATTGCCTCGTTAATATACCACACGCAATAGAAGTAGAATTAGCAGTTCAAGCCTGCATTGTGTCATTGATACTTGGACGGGTTTTACTAGTTGCGTCATTTTTCTTTAGGCTAACCGAGGCTTAATAAATTTTAAGCTAAAAAGTAGCGAATGCAATCTCTGAACGGGGATCAAATAGATATGCCAACCTCTAATCGCGACTATTTAGAAAGTCCCACCTTATTCAGCTACGTATAATGGTTAGTCACTCGAGTTAAAAACTTGCGCATCCGGTTTTCGGGCAGGCAGAACCGGTAAGGGCTCTTGCCTCAGGATTATGACATCCACCGGACCAGTACCTTCGAGTGAAATAATTTTCAAGCGTAGTATCATCCAGTTAGAAACTAATTATTGGGATATCATTGCAATTTTGGTATGAAGGATAACCCAAACCTAGACATACATCTATGTGTGAAAACCATTTAACTATATTTAGCAGGAAGTGCCTGTATTCTCCCATTTTCAAACCACGGAGAGATACCCGGTAGGTAGGAAGCCGCCCAGACCGATTTATACGCTCTGATGAAAGCAAATCAGACCATTCTTGTTAAAAGTGAATTGTTATGGCAGCCTCATCGATACTCGCCTGGTCAGACCGCAGTTTAACTACCGCGCATGCGACCGGTTCACAGCCCGATATTTGTACATGTCTCCATGAAAAGTACCATGCAGGTTATATCCGGTGAAACTTGAGGTAGCGAAGACGATTTGCGTTTCGGTTATTTTTATTTCCCGACAAAAGTCGATTTCAGTCTTACACTTGCTCATTAGCATTTCCAATGAAGAGAGCCCACCAGAAAGACGCCAGTGCCATCATCTCTCGGGTCTCCTTCCTTCTCCTCCTCTACGCGGCGCTCCTTAGCTACTTCCCTCACTCCAAACTCCCACTCATCGTCTTTGTTGTCGGAATGGCGGCCTCTGTGCGCAAAACTAGCCTCTACGAAGGCCTACTTACGTCATCCTATCGCCGTCTCAGCACCTGGAACATCCAGTCGCTCAATACGGAGTCTACACACATTGTGGACGACGACGACAAGGAGGACTTGATCGTGGCGGTCAAAACGTTGCAAAACTACCAGAACAAAAGCAAAGCCTGGAACCAAAGACGGCGTGACTTGTACCGCTTAATGACCTGGAAGCAACAAAAGCTCGCCGCAGATGTGGGCTACAACGTGAAGCTTGATCGCGTGGACAAGCTGATTGCCGCCAACCAGAACTTCCTCAACGATATTGCCTTGAACACCATCCTGAAGCACGGCTTGACCTATATGGATTTGCAATCCGTTAAACTCAGTAGCCACCAGCAGAACGAAAACTACCGCGTGGTTGAGTCGTTGGGCCACTTTCCCCGCGACTGGAGCGCCGACTCCGTTCGCGAGTTACCCGAGCTCCTCGCCTATATTAAAAGCAACATCCTTTCTGTGATTCCTGACGAAGAGAGGGCGCAGACCTGTATCATTGTGCCCGGTTCTGGTTTAGGCAGGGTGGCACACGAATTGGCGATCATGCCCGACTCCAAGGGCAATATGAATGCCTTCGGTAAGGTCCATGCGGTGGAGTTCAGTCCGCTTATGCATGTTTGCAACGACTTTATGTATATGAACGAAACTGAACCTGAGGAGCAGACGTCTGACGATGGCGAAAAGAAAAAGTTCAAGAGCAAAGATGCTTACGAAATCTTCGCGCACATCCACACCCATTCCAACCACACCTCCACGGAGAACCAGTTGCGGACCTCTACCATCGAGCGTATCCGGCACAAACCCACTAATTTGGAGTTGCACTTGGCCGACTTTATCAACTTTGAGCCGGAAAACTTGGCGGAATACAAGAACGTGGTCATTGTTAGTTGTTTCTTTATCGACACCGCGCAGAACCTCTTCCAGTACCTTGATGCCATGACACGGTTAACTACGCACACAAAGCAGACTAAGGGTTTCTGGATCAACGTAGGGCCGCTCAAGTACGGCACCGCTGCCCAGGTCGAGTTTAACTTGGAGGAGTTGCGCGAAATCAGAAAGAAGATTGGCTGGGTCGAGTTGGATGATTCGAGCTACGACAAGGGGCCGAACGACCGCGAGCGGTTGGTTCCCTACTTGACCAATACCTTAGGTTTGTGGCAGGGTTACTATGGGTTGGTGAAGTGGTGTTGCTCCAGGACCGAAAACGATGCGAAGTAGATGCACTATTAATGACGCCTCAGTTACTTGAACCAGTGTGGTAGACTGATATAGACGAGAAGGTTCATACTGCGCACTCTGTAGCTTCAAAAATTATATATCTGGCAGAATTTGCCGCTGACACCTAGAACCGAAAGTTTCTCCGTCTGGATTCAAGGTTACACTTACAAATTCCAGGAAAAATTTCTATAATATACAATGCCTTCGTCTATTCTAGACTTTGTCAAGTCAAACGGTGTCTACGCAATATCAGTCCCCTTGTTAATCTGCACCTTCTTATCTTGTCCGCCGCTGACAATCCCAATGGTCTTGTCCCAGGCAACACCAAACACCTTGTCTTCACCCTTCGGCGCGCCGCTTTCCCTGGTGATGGTGTACAAGGCCTTCTCAGCTCTAATATCCCAAACCTTGACGGTCCCGTCGTGCGACCCAGAGGCCAACATGAAGTCGTTATCCGGAGAGGTTGCCAACGACACCACAAAGTTGGCGTGGCCTACCAACTGCGACTGCGTGACGGACGCGCTCGAGAGGTGGTCCACTCTTGGATCGTGCAAGGTGATGTGTCTGGCGGAAGACCCACAGGCCAACAAGTTCAACTTGGACATGGCCGCGATGGATAACAAGGAGAAGTTGGTGGTTCTGGTGTCGACACATCTGGAGGTGTACAAGTCCCAGGTTCTGATGGTGTGATCCTGGGAGACAGAGTACCCAACGGTGTTGTCTTGGGGCGAGAAAATCACGTCTTCAACCGGAGAAGAGTGGCCCTCCATAAAGGACAACGGCGCCCGGCGACGGATAGAGGCGTCCTGCAACGCCAACTTTCTTCTCTTCTTGGCAGCGGTGGAGGTGATGGTGTTGCCAGCATCCTCCAACGGCTGGATGGTGGTCATCTCCTTGTAGTTGGTGCTCCAGAAACCAATGGCGTGGTCGTAACCAGCGGACATGATTCGGCTGCTTGGGTTGTCGATGGCCAACGATACGACTGGCGCCTTGTGGCCCTCTAAAATGGCTAAAGTCTTTCCGTCTTCTGGCTCCTCTCCATCCGAGTCGTACTCCGCAACAATGCCATTTTCGGCCTTGGTCTTCCACAATCTAACCTGTCTGTCGTTACCAGCAGAGACAATTCTGGTGGACGAGATCCATTTGACAGCTCTGATCGGCCCGGAGTGCCCAACGTACTGCTTGTCGATCTGGCCCGACATGTTATAGGTTCTGACGATACCGTCATAGGCACCAGAGAGGATCTTTGGCTGGATCGCGAGGTTTTTGTTGAAGTAGTCGCTGGTGATGGTGTCCACGGAGGAGACCCAGTCTTCGTTGTTGTAACTGGCCAAAAAGGACGGTGGCAACACGGATCTGGTGTATTCCAAGGTCAAAAAGGCCTCACTGGACAACCCATTCTTCACCAAGTACTCCTCAATCGGGGTCCGCAACAAGGTCCCGTCAATAAGGAAGTCAAATGGAACTGGTTTCTCGTCGTTGCCCAACAAGTGGTTCACGATCTCGGACAACCCGTATCTCTTTAATGAGACAGGCACGTACAATGGTGCTTCGTTCACGTGTACCTCCTGGTCTTCATCTCTGGTGAAGAATTTGATCTTAATCTGTGACTTATCGGTGGCCATGGTGGATGGGGTGAATGCTGAAGTAGAAGATGGCTAGGCTAATATGCGTGAAAAATATCATGCACAAAAATAGAAAAAAATTAAGCTCATCGCGAGTTACCCGGTGCGAATCCATGCAGGAGGCGTTACAAGGAGACAAAAAGAGGACTACAAACCATAGATGGGTTTTGGAAAACCCTTTCTATTGTTTTTAATCTTAGACTGGTATATTCAGACTGAAGGGAGTTGGTCTAATAAATGTTTAATATCTTTATTTTATAACTGTAGGTACGATTGTTTGGGGAAGGCCAAGTCTTCCTGCATATAACTTACCCGTGGGGCTTTATTTGGCTAATTCCATACATGTCGTATTCTCAACCATTTGGTACGAGTCAAAGATGGGTAGGGTCATTGGGATCGGCACAGACCTCCTACGAATTGGAAGGTTCCACGAGCTCATCGTAAGACATGGCATTTCCTCGGCCTATGTCACCCGGCTCGCTACCAGGATTCTTCACGGCACCAGGGAACTTCCCCACTTCCAAAAATTCCAGGCCGGGCAGAATGTGGCTGAATGCACGAGGTTGCTTTCAGGAAGCTGGGCCGCTAAGGAGGCGGTATACAAAACGCTCGATAGCGAGGACCAGAAGGGGTTTTCGTTCAAAAAATGGTACAAGTACTCCAATGTGCAGGGCAAGCCGTTCATCCAGGGAACAGAGTACGCCAAGCCCAATGAGGAGTTTCTCTTGTCAATGTCACACGATTCGGACTTTTTAATCGCCACAGTACTTCGCCAGGAAGCGTAAGTGACTTTAGCCAGGGGTTAGACAAAGCCAACGTTCACCGGGGAAGATTCTAGGTTTCGGTACACGAGCTATGACGACCATGAATTTAGTATTCTTGGCGGTTTGAGTTGATGTGGAATCTCTGCACCGAGTAGCCTCTGGAAGGTAGAAGTTTACTGTACAATAGGTATGTGTGACGCCTAGGCTACTTAGAGTTAACTGAGAGGTAACCAGGTTCAAGTAGTTCTAGATGGTGTATTTAATACAGCTCTTACGCTTATCCTGACCCCCCTTAAACACTTATATTCCACTTCTTATCTGCACCAAGTATTTCTTATGCGTTTTCATAAACCAGGGGATTATCCCATATGAATTCGTTCATTTTCATGGCTCTACCAAGGAAACACCTGAAACACACTTGAATTATTTATCAGGATACAATCTTCATCGGTGCAGCCTTGATTGCATTAATGACCTACTGGCAGCGTTAGAAGTGGTGGCCGTCACACCCAATACAGGTCTGGAGGCTAAGACCTACACCGCATCTACCATGCGTCTTTTCAAATATGCAAACTTGATTATGATACAGAGTGTCTAAACAAATAAAAGTAACGTTATACATCTAGGCGTTTATTCCCATTCGACGGTGGCTGGCGGCTTAGAGGTGATGTCGTAGGTGACACGGGCGACACCGTCAACCTCATTGACAATTCTGGAGGCAACTCTCTTCAAGAAAGAGGCTTCAAAGACGAACCAATCGGCAGTCATGAAGTCAGTGGTCTCGATGGCCCTCAAGGCAATAACCTGTTCGTAGGTTCTTTGGTCACCCATGACACCGACGGACTTGACCGGCAACAAGGCGGCAAAGGCCTGGGAGATCTCTCTGTATAAGCCAGCCTTCTTGATTTCCTCAATAAAGATGAAATCGGCTTCACGGGCAATCTTGACCTGAGCTGGGGTAACTTCACCCAAGACACGGATGGCCAAACCTGGGCCTGGGAATGGGTGTCTCCAAACCAAGTCGTGTGGAATCTCCATGATTTCACCCAAGGCTCTGACTTCGTCCTTGAACAACTCTCTCAAAGGCTCGATCAACTTCAACTTCATGTCATCCAACAAGCCACCAACGTTATGGTGGGTCTTGATGGTGTGAGATGGGCCCTTGAAGGAGATGGACTCGATGACGTCCGGGTACAAGGTACCTTGCAACAAGAACTCAATCTCCTCCCCCGACTTTGGCTGGATAAGAGCAGCCTGTCTTTCGAAAACCTCGATGAAGGTGTTACCGATGATCTTTCTCTTCTTCTCTGGGTCGGTGACACCCTTCAACTTGCCCAAGAACTCCTCGGAGGCGTCAACAACAGTCAAGTTGATGCCCAAGCCCTCGGTCAAGGTCTTGTGGACGGTTTCGGTCTCGTTCTTTCTCATGACACCGTTGTCCACGTAGATGGCGTGGAATCTCTCACCGATGGCAATGCTCAAGAGCTTGGCGGCAACGGTGGAGTCGACACCACCGGAAACAGCACCGATGACTTCGGCGGTCGGCCCTACCAAGGTACGGATACGGCTGATCTCGGTGTCGATGAAGTTGGCCATGGTCCAGTTCTGGTTGGCCTTACAGATGTCGACGGCAAAGTTACGCAACAAGAGGTTCCCCTTGGCAGTGTGGGTAACCTCTGGGTGGAACTGAATCCCGTAGATCTTTTCGGTTTTGTGCGCAATGGCGGCAAATGGCGAGTTGTCAGAGGTGGCAACCGTGGTGAAGCCAGTTGGCAAGGCAGAGAGCTTATCACCGTGAGACATCCAGACCTGGGAGTGGTCGACATCCTTGAAAAGCGGACAGGATTGGTCCTGTACGTCCAAGGTGGCCGGACCGTACTCACGCTTCTCACCACGGGCAACACCCTTCCCGTTGATCCAGGCCAATTCCTGCATACCGTAACAGATCCCCAAGATTGGGACCCCCAAATCAAAGATGGCGTGGTCAACGTGGGGAGAACCCTCTTCGTAGACAGAGTATGGACCACCAGACAAGATGATCCCCTTTGGCTTCCAGCTCAATTCGGAAATCTTCTGGGTGCACGGTAACATCTCGGTGTAGACGTTGAACTCGCGCAAACGACGGGTGATCAAGTGGGAGTACTGGGAACCGAAGTCCAACACCAAGATGGTGTCGAAAACGGCAGAAACTTCTTCAACAGTGACGGACATGGTAGGGTTTTTGGTATAGAGCAATCACCAAGTTTCAGAGTAGGAAATTTTGGCGTTGGGGACTCAAAGTTTTATATACCCTGCAGGCGAAAAATTTTTTTGCAAACGGATGCGATCCGGGTAATCCCCAGAGTGCAGGACAAAGATGATCTAATGTGCCGGAGAAGGTAATTTGACAGCGTGCAGGAGTAATTTGAGATTTGTAGGCACGGCGGTGAGTCGGTACCGGCTCAGAGTCAAATCGGCAGGTAGCGGAAGTGATTGACTCACCGCAGGGTGTGCTTAAAGCTACATTTATGGAACGATGAGGTGCAATTGCCAAGGGGATATGCTAGAGATAATGCTTTTAATAAGAGTCCTGGATGCTATGGCTGTGTGCTCTCACACGCGGAGAGTCAGACCTGCAGGATGACTCTTAGACAAGTTTGACTCATAGGTTGTGCCATGGCCGAACTTCAGTCACCTCAATACCATATTATATTTGCTGTCTAGATCTTAATCTTTGAACAGGTGGAGTTAGAATAGATTTGGTTTGGGTTCTGCCGAGCAAGGAAACTGGCCCCGTGAACAATTCTCAGTTAAGCCTTGTGAAGCAGCATAGCTCTCAGGGCTTGTTTAGCAATGACAAAATAAAGGTGGAAAATCGGACTTTGCAGGGAAGTTTCTAGCTCGTTAGTGGCTTCTCAAGCTGGTCTGACGCATTAAAGAACTTGGTTGTTTGGACTCGAAAGGTATTTGCCAGAAAGAGCTCTATGAGAAGCTCTGATACTGTAGCATGATTATACCTATGCGTCTTGAAGTAAATTATTGAGCACTGAAATTCCTGTTCCTACCCATCTGTGCTAACGGATAACGTCGTTTCCAATAATGGGTTTATAATAATATGAGATATCAACTATGCTATAGATAGACGGAGTGCAATATTTGGACCCGTGTCATGTGAAGTTAGTTCAGATCATGTATGCCTTTAACTATCGGGTGAATGATGTAATTGTAACTATCAATTGGCCCTTCTGCCAAATCCTAACTTGGCTTCTGATCATATCGGAATTTAGGCATCAAATACACTGCTCCATAACTCATCCACCGTAACCATGTCTCACACTTGACTAATGCAACAGACAATAGCTTTAGGAATACATCCACTCATTGCCATTTTGGCAAACCCGAAATCATTAAAGGGGCATTTTATTACAAAGCACTCTAGTGCCATTCTCTAGCTAAACCATACTCACCAGTACCTCCAGCCATGCAAGTTGGTGACACCAACCGTCTGTTCGATCTGGTCGCGGCTGGAGAACTCAAGGAACTGCTTGACAGAAAAAATCTCAGATTCTGCTCTGTCTTCCTCTGGAATCAACACCCCGACACCCTTACCTCCCAAGGTGGTTTCGTAGGTCTCAAAGCCCTCCTCTTTATAGAGCAGGGTCAACTTTTCGATGTTCTCCTCCGACACTTCGTCGTTCAATAGGGTAATGGCACAACCGCCACCACCAGCACCAGTCAACTTGGTCTGTCCAATAGCCATTTCGTCTGCAAGCATCTTGACCTTCTCTAATTTTGGGTGAGATACCCCGATGGCCACAAGCAAGCCGTGGTTAATACAAACCAATTTTCTCAAGGTATCCTTGGCTTCCTTGTCAAAGGGCTTAATCATGAGGTTGTACGCCTCATGGGTCAAGCTCTCCATGGCATTCAAGATCGCCGTGGTGGTCTTTGGGAATTCATTGTTCAATCGGCTCACACCGGCGACAAGGTCAGCCGTGCGTCTCGGCTGAGTGGTATTGGTCAAAATAAGTTTCAAGCTAGGGAAGTTTCTCATAGTGGTTCTCACCGACGGGAGTGATGAGTTGGTCTTCTGAAACATGACGGCGCCACCATGGGTAGCGACGGCATTGTCAATACCTGACGGGGTGCCGTGGATGCACTTTTCGCCCATGAAGGACCAGTTCTCGATAAAGGCCGCTTCCTGGGTCTCCACCGTCAACTTCTCGTTTCTCACCAGCGCCGGAGAAATGTGCTCACCAAGCAAAGCCAAGGCAGTAGCAATGCACACGGCGATAGACGCCGACGAACCCAAGCCAGCACCAATCGGCAAGGTGGATCTGACCGAGATGGTTACACCCTGGGTGTTCTTGTGGCACAAGCTCATGTAAAGGTACAAGAATGTGTAGGCAGCAGAGTAGTGCAAGCTGCTGGCGATCGAGTCGAGATTGTTTGCCAACGCGGACACAAGCTCAGGGACAAGCTCTTCGGTCAAGACGGGCTTTTCGCCCACCACATTGTTGAGAACGTTCCATGGAAGATCGTTTCTGTTCCACTTGTGGGAGAATTTGATATCCGGAAACTCGAGAGCCACAACGTCGGGATCTTGCGAGGGCGTTACCAAGAGGTAGGTTCTCAAGGAAAGAGCGGCGGCAATGGCTGGCTAGAGGGTGTTAGGACCGATTTCCAGGCGGTTCAATGGGTACTCACTTTGCAGTACACGGCAGAATGCTCACCGAAAAGAATAACCTTCCCAGGGGCACTGACCAAGAACGGAGAGGTGACTGGCATTGTGGATGTTTGAACGGCAAGAGCAGCCGGGTTAGCTGAGCGGCAAGATATTTAAAGGCGTTTCGGTTTGCGTAACGCGAGCGTCTAAACGAGAGTAAATGATCCTGCATGGAAATAGGCTGAAAATGAATAGTGTCCGATGATTTTCGAGCCGGCAGGGCCAAGCTGTAGAGGAGCACAAGAGTGATATGCAGGATTAAGTGAAAAATCGCCTTATAGGGCGGCGGGGGGAGGCCATCTGGTCTTGGTCACTAGTTATTGATCTTGATCGTGTAGGCGTTTTTAAAAGTTTTGGCAGGTTAATTAGCAGTGTATTTTCTCAATGCCATGAAGTTTGGTAAGCAAAAGAAGGTCTGGCCATGGATCCTTGGCCGAAGCCTGGAAGATAGGTTTTAATACACCCAAACACAATTAGTATTGAAGTGAGCATTGGCATCAAGCCACTCTCTAACACTATCAAGGACACCATTACGTTACCAATCAAACATTATTATTAAAGATAGGACATGAAAGACATTAGATACACAGAGGAGAGAAAAAGTCTAGGAAATGCTCTGTGGAGGGGTGGCGCCAAGGGGAGTGGAAGGAATGGAGAGCGGAGCCTGGTTGATCTTTTCAAAGTTGATCTCTTCCAAGATTCTCTTGGCACCTTTTTCGGTCAAGCGGGCAGCCAATTCGACACCGACCCCATCAGCCTCTTCGTTAGAGGTACATGGGACCTCGATCACATCTTCAACAAACTCTTGGCCGTCCACGCTGATGACAATACCATCCAACCTCAAGACCTGGGTGACTTCGTCATACGAGGTCTTGACACCGATAGGTACCGAACACCCACCTTCTAAGGTTCTCATCAACGCTCTTTCGGCCAAACAGCAGTAGGCGGTGGCCTTGTTCTCAAGGTGGCTCAAGAGTCTCTTCATCTGCATGTCACCCTTTCTGATCTCGATCCCCAAGGCACCCTGTCCGACGGCATAGTACATTTCTGGGGCTTCCAAACAGTGGGTGATTCTGTCGTTCATGCCTAATCTGTTCAATCCGGCCGCAGCCAAGATCAAGCACTCGTACTCGGAAGCCGGGTCGTCCAATTTGTTCAATCTGGTCTGGACATTCCCTCTGACACTCTCAAATCTCAAGTGTGGGTGATGTCTCAACAATTGGGCAGATCTACGCACCGACGAGGTCCCGACCACAGAGCCTGGGGCCAAGTCGTATAGGGTTTTGTGGGGCGAGCCACTTTTCATTACCAAGGCGTCACGTGGATCTAAAATGTTAGTATATCTTCTAAGGAAGCGTCGTTATGACAAAGCCTGGCCAACATTAAACTGTTTATGAAAATTAGGCGGTTTAACGTCTAATTTTTTTTTTTTCAATCACTCAGGCTTTGTCTGATAATAATGGTTTAAAGGGACAACATACCGTCCCGGGTCAAAATGGCCCCTAACTCGAATTCTTCTGGAAGGTTGGTTGGCATGTCCTTAAGCGAGTGAACCACCAAATCTAACTTTGGGAAGTGCTCCACGGACTGCATCAACAAGGTTTCTAATTCCTTGGTCCACAAGGCTTTGCCGCCGAAGGAGTATAACGGTCTGTTCTGGATGTGGTCACCGAAGGTGCTCAACGCCAAAACCGAGCACTTCAAGTCTGGGAACTGCTTCAAAATGAGGGCTTTCACGGACTCTGACTGGATGACCGCAAGCTTGGATTTTCTCCCACCGATTTCGATGTTGGACTTGGAAAGATGCAACTTCCTGGCGGACGCTGTCAACTCGACGAAGGATCTGGCGCGCTCGAGCTCGGGCTTTTCAGATGCGGCGAGGTTGGTAATATGAGCAGACATGAGGGGAAGTATTGGACGTGGCGCAGTTAAAGGAAGCTTGCAATGGGATTATTTACAGGAGGGTTGGAGACAATGTGTAGTGTATATAGGGTGCTCTGTGAATCGCTAACTTTCCATGCTGCTCCAGACGAATGGACTAAGGGAAATGAACGGGTGGGTAAAACAAATAAAGGTGTAGTGGTGTCCTCCAAAAATAGGGGTTTATACAAGAAAGCAATAGGTGTGTAGGAAGACCCGACGTAGTTCTAGCACTCTGTAAGTGAAAAATTTCTGTTCAATATCCCGGAAAAAGTGGGTGGTGAAACCTTGAAGTCCAATCACGAGCGGAAAAAACTGTTCAGTTCGAGTAAGCAGCTTTCGGCGCCGCTACGAGCTTTTGCTTACATCAGCATCGCATGACCATAAACGGCAAAGTTTCGCGGCTACACCGGCGCATGTGATAGTAAAATGTGGGTGGGCCGTACGGCACTAACCCTGTATCGGGAAAAACCGTATGGAAACCGAGGGATTTTTCCAGAGTATAGAAATACTTTGGCTGGATCAAGTTAGTAATGATTGTGATACAATCTCGGAGATCCAGTAACTCGGCAGTGCATTGCAGCTATGAGAGGTACCGAACATTATATCTTTATTGATTGCAGTAGGGGGCAGCTCATGATACAAAGTGATTTTCAAATTTCCAGAAATTCAAAGTTATGCATTATGCAGTTTAAATAACCGCCGACAGACCTTACAAGCTTCCGTTCAGACGCCAATGGAACCCTTCGGACAGGGTAAAACCCTTTGAGAAGTTAAAGTATGAGTTGAAAATTTTATAAAAGGGAAAATATAGTACATATTAACGGAAGAAAGGTTATACACGAAAAGACGAGCTGAGAAAAAGCGGGAGAGGTTTATGCAAAGATATAAGTAAGAACTAAGCTTGCCAGAAGGTAAATTCTTGAGGGGCCTGGACACTAATAGGAGCCAAGTTTTCTTCGCTCACCGCACCATCGGCATTGACTCTCTGGCTGTTATCGGATGGATTCCCAGCACTTGGTGAATCGGCTTCGGAGCTTCTACCAAGACTAATCAATGATTTAGATAACAATGATTTTGGAGGAGACGCGAGAAGTTGCCTGGCTTCATCAATGAGCTGAGAAGCCTTGGAGGTAGCGGCATCTGGACCAAAAGTGGAAGACAAGGCCTCAATGGCTACACCCAACTTGGCGGCAATGTTAGTTACATTCATATTCAAGGTCAAGCGGCTAAGGAAAGTTTCCTCCTGTTGCTTGGCCAAGACCTTCTTCTCGTACTCCAATTGTCTCTCGATTGCTTCCAACTTCTTGAGCTTCAAGTCCACCTTGGTCAACTGCTGGTTAACCAACTGCTGGGTCATTTGGTGCAACTCTCTTTCCTCCATCGTGGCAAAGACGTGGCTACGAGCAGCAATGATACCGACGCCGGTAGCAGCAATTTCTTTGGTAGCCGCACTGCCCGAAGTAGCGTCAACTTTCTCGTCCTTACCTTTATTGATCTTCTCCGTCAATTTCGCGTCGGCCATGATGCAGGCCCGAGTCGAAGCAGCGGCAGCGACCTCCGGATCCACCAAACCGGCTAAAAAGGCTACGGTGCTGATGACGGGGTTGTCAGCTTGTGAGAAAGGCAAGTGCGGAGCATACTTCAAGACTCCTAAAGAGTCTACATCTTTCTCCAAGTAGGCATCTTCAATTGGTAACTGAAGGAAACGGATGATGCACTGCTCTGCCGATTTGTTGCCCACGTGTTCTGCTACCTGGACCCAGTCGTGCTTATACTGGGTTATGCCTTCGATCAACTTTTTCAAGTCGTCTTCGGACCAGCCAGATTTGGTGTCACCCGTTTGCAAGACCTTTGGCCTCTTGATTTGGGGTTTGCCGTTGGTGGTGTCATCGGAGTGGGAGCTTTCAGAATTGCCGTTGACGGTATCATCGGAGGATCGCTTTTTCGCCTCTGCAGATGGAACGTTGAGCAACTCCTTGACCCGGGAAAGATCGGGCAACTCCATTGGAGGCTTGAAGGTTTCAAATGGGAACAACCCACGTGGGGTGTCATAGGTGATTTGGTAGTCCTCGGTAGAAGGAGGCTCAACGATCTGTGGCATAAACTGGACATTCACCTGGTAGTTGATTAAACCCCATTTGGTCAAAAACTTGTGTACACGCAAGATTGTCGCGGCGTCACCGACCAAGTTGCGGCGACAGGAGGTGAGGGTCAAATATTCGTTGGGGTTCATTCTGTAGCCATTGATCATGAAGTTACGGTATCTCGCGTAAATCTCTGGGGTCTTGGATCTAAACTTCTTGTTGAAAAACTCTGGCAACGACTCCTGTTCAATCTTGTGGATGTTTTGGAACTTGAACCACGAAGCATACGATGGGATCACAATGGTATGTGTTTGTTTGACGTAGTCCTCTTCCTCTGCCGGTTCCTTCGCTGATTCATCTTCCTCAGCTTCGGTCTTGACTTCGTCCAAAGGCCTGAGAACCTCTGGGACTGCCACTGGAGAGTTATTACTCTCGGCGTCTTCCACATCCATTCTATCGGAGACTTGAATGTCATCGTTTGATAAGTCTTCGAGAGAAGGAGTATCCTTAATCTTCTTTGGTCTCTTTACGACCTCCTCTTCCTCCTCATCTATAGAATCGTCGTTTTCCTCTTTGAAGCCAAAGATGTCGTCATCAGCGTCAGACTTTTCAGCCGAATCTGCCTCTTTGTCAAATGGCTTGATGTCGTCGATGGAACTCAGCAGACTGGCATCGGCCATATCCACATCTGCATTCTGTTCCTGCGGGATAGGCGTCTCAATAACTTCAGGCTTCGCGGTCACCGACTCAGACTTTGACTCAGTCTCTGGGGGCGAGAGCTTAGGCTCACCGGCGGCTCCAAATAAAGCCGGGTCGAAGTCGTCGGTACCCGAGGAACTCTCCGCCACAACAGCTTCCGTAGGGGCTCGGGCAGGCTCGGACTCTGCCTCTCCAAACACACTTTGAAGTTCGGGATCAAGGGCATCCGAATGTGCTGGCGACCCAGAGATGGGATACGCTAGTTCAGGGGTCGCCCCGTCGAAGAGGTTGGATGACGGTGTATCTGGGACGGAACTCTCTACCCTGTCTTGGGTTGATTCTGGGATCTGTGGTGAGGCTTTAGAATCAATCGCCTCTGGCGCTGCTTTCTCGCGTGGGGAAGTTGTCTCACGCGAAGCTTCTGACAAAACATCGGACTCGACAGATTCAGCTGGCAACACAGGTTCGGTTGAAGAATCGGTCTGGGTTTCCGGTTGTGGGACAACAGAGGACTCGACGGACGATGGAATACTGGGCTCAGTACCCGGTTCTGGAGCCGTTTGCTGCAGTATTTGGGGCTGTTCAAACGAGAATTGGGCCGAAGCAAAGTCTGGCTCATCATCTCTGTCTCCAAATGCCGAGAAGTCAGGCCCTAAACTAGGATCACGCGACCCAAGCTCTGAACCCGGTTGTGAAGCCTCAGGGGCCGCTTCAGGAAAGGCAGACGACCCAAACGGCAGCGGCTGGTTGAAAATCTCCTGTTCCGTTTGTGGGTTGGAACCAAAGCCATCAGAGGCGAAGATGTTCTCATCAGCCTCCCGGCTTTCTTCGCGTCCGTCGCCTGAAACTGGAGTCTGGCCAAGGAGGTCAAACTGGTTATCCAAGTTTTCGTCCGCGTGGGGGCCATCCATTTCATCACCTGGAAAGGCTTCGTCACCAAAAAACGATTCGGAGGGCTTGTTGGAACCTTCGTGAGACATCTTTGCCCGTTATGAGTTGTTTGTAGCGTGCTGCCGGAATAACGTGGGGGAACGTGTATCAAATCAATTAAGCGAGTACGGGGAGTAAGCCAGCAGAGAAAGAGTCTGTCCTTTATGAATATATCTGTTAAACGCCGAGATTCTTCGCGGACAAGCGTGAATATCTCACTGTTTTCTTTATCACGGCGTGTTACCTTATTTTTCTCTGGCGCGTCTCGGGCATTCGCAAGCTGTCTCGCTCCGAAAGTCTTGTTACCCGGCTTCTGGCGTTCGCGGAAATTGAATCCGCGAAGCCCGCCACCGTAAAGCCATATGCAGCGCCACGCACAGCCACGTTATCATCCCTCCGAACCGCACGCTGAGAAATTACTGGGTCGCACATGTCCAAGGTCCTTGGTGCACTACAAGGATTTACAGGATGTTAGCAGGCTCCTGTCTGTACTGATAGCTACCAGCATTCTTTCGGGTTTGTGCTCGGCCAGTAATCTGAGGAAACGAAGTGGCAAATGGTTATGTTTTCGAGCAAATTATAGGTACCCCAGTGTGGAGTTTGAATCAGTCTTCACCATTACCCCACTGTAAGTTCCAAAATTCTGTAGTCCAGACCATCTATTCTTGAAAAATGATGCCGTTGCCAACAAAGTTGTCTACCAATACAATGAATAAAGATGATTTTCATTTGAACGACTGATCGGATATTCATTTTGTGAAACCATAAAACTGTTACCTCAGTGATTGAACTCCTCGTAAATTTACTTAAATGGCACGCCTTGCATTATAAATACGGGTATTTCATTAGTTATTCTTTATAAAGACCATTGAATTATTTGGCACGGGATAAAACGGAAAACAAATAGCGCCATATGCAAAAATCGAACATCAAAAATCAAGCACAAAAATCAAACTCATAACCTTCATAATCCATATTCCAAAACATAAAAATACACTCCTATACTGGTACTTGCGTGGGGAATGTCAACTATAGTGCTGCACAAATTACGCGCCGGGAAGAAGCGACATTCAATGACAGTCCACACACCTTCCTGACTCCAGCTACTGGACAAGGGCACCGAACGTTGTAAATGCTCTGAATGGGGACAAACCCCACTAAGCCTTTCTCGCTTCTTCTTCGATCTGGGTAATATCCCATCTCTTGACAATGTCCACTTGCAAACACCCAGTTACTATCTTCATGATGCTGGAGCCCCCTGGGTGGGGGTCGCCATCGATACAAACCGCCTCTTCCAAAGACTCCGTGTCAAATTTACCTGCACTGATCATTGCCCGCAACCTTGGCTCATACGAGTGCTGGAACGGTAGCTTCCCAACCGCCATGGTGTACAACATAACCCCAAACGCCCAGCAATCGGCCAGCGGGCCCAATGGCGGAGGTGACGGCAACAAAAGTTCTGGAGAGGCATACGGCAACGACCCGATGTGCGAATGTGGCAAATCCGGGTCCAGCAACGCCAGCACGCCCACTTCTGCGTTTACCGTTTTGTAGATATCAAGCAACGATTGTGAAAGAAGCTGTGGAAAGTTGAGCTGCGATTCGATACTTGCCTGCGACATCCATGAAGCGCTATTCGGGTTAGGAGACCCCGTGTACGATGGAGAATGGACGCTGACTGGAGTAAAGTTCGTCGAGGTAGGTGCATCGCCGTGGTGGCGTTTCTGCGAGTTCATACCAAACTTGGTGTCCCAATCCTCGTTCTTCATGGCAAGGGCATTCGAGTTGGATGTCATCTTCATAAGCTGTTGGTTGACCTTGTTCAACCGGATCATGCTCTTATGTTTCGTGAGCGAGGTTGAGGACAACGAACGCACTATTGACGGACGGCGAGAGCTGTTCCGCTTCGTGTAGAGCTGGGACATCCCAAAGTCACAAAGGATGATCTTTGGATCCGTGGTTAACTTATTGGCGTCTTCAACAAGACAGTTTTCCAACTTGAGGTCACCATGAACGATCCCTTGCTCCTCATGCATGTACCTTAACGCTCCCGTCATTTGAACCGCAACAGTCTTGATGATGGCCAAACGATCGGCACGGCTGATAAAGCTGATGGGGTTGTTGTACAACCCCCAGTTCTGGGTGACCTCAAAGAGGGTGCCCCCGTACACTTTTGTGGTGATACAGAAGATGATATGTTCTGTTTCGGTGTGATCAAGCAACGGCAAGATGTTTGGGTGGTTCAACCGGCCCCAGAGCTCCATTTCCTTGCGAAAGTGCTGCTTCACCGTCGGGTTTTTGGTCTTGACAATCTTGATAGCGCAGATCAGGCCGTCTGGGGCGACACATTCGCGCACAAACCCCCAAGCGCCGCACCCGATTACCCGGCCGAGCTCATGCCCTAGCACCATCGCCCCTCGTTCGTCCACGTTCTGTTTCTTCACCGCCGGTTGTTGAGGTGAGGTGTTGAAAAGCGAAGCAGCCGACGAGAACCTGGAGGAGGAGGAGAGAGAGCCGGGCAACAGCGTGTCGCGGTCCTTCTTCGGTCTCTTGTTGGTCTTCTTCAAGTACAACGAGAACAGCGAGTAGTCCACCAGGGGCTCAATGTCCATGAAGGTCTTGCGCCGCACAGAAAAGGGCAAGGAGCCGAAATTCGAGGGCAACTTGGCGTATATAGCGTCATAATCCACGTCTTCGGGCTTGTTTTTGTTGACAGCACTGGCAACCGCAGCGGTTCGAGCGACACCTGCCACAGAGGTGGTCCGGGGCTCAAGCGCCTCTCCCATGGCATCTCGCGTTCTAAAGTGGTTAGACCGCTTAGTCATCGCGATTGGTGCGACCTGCGCATGCAATTCGCTCAAGTTGACGTGGGAGGTTTCTCTCAGAGATACCTGGGAGTTGGTGCCTTCATCGTCCCCGAATGTGTACACATTGGAGGAGTTGAAGAGTGGCTGGGGAGCCGCTGCAAAGGTGCCTTGAGAAAAGGTATTCTGTGAGGCGGAGTCTCCTATCCAGTCGTTAAGCACTTGTCGGAAGTCCAACCCGGGAATATATTCGTCCTCCAACCCGAGAAGGTCGGAGCTGTCGTTGTTAGAGGAATGCTGGGGAACGTGCGTTTGGGAGGAGAGCTTGTAGTCCGGCTCCTCGTAGTTGGACTGGTGAAAGGGACGGTGCTTTTCGTCATCGTACAACCGTTCGCCAGTGTGTCTTGAGAAATTCTTGGACTCATTTTCCGAGTACACTCTCATGAGTTTGTTGATTCCGCTACCGCTGCCCTGGGGCTCGCGCTTGGTAATGGGTGTTTTCGCAAATCCACCGAAACGCAAGAAGCTGTCGTTCGGGGGGAGGCTATTATCTTCTTCCATGAAGCTATCTTCGTCATTTTCGTCAGCGGGGGCGAGTGAGAAGATAGCGCCTCTCTTGCCAATGCTGCTCTTCCGCTTATGGCCCATGATGCTGTTGCTAGTATTGGTGCCTCCAGCACTGCCGATGCCCCCAACACTACTGATGCCTCCGATGCTGTTACCTGTGGTATTTCGGTCAGTGCCAGAGTTGCCAAACCCAGTGGTTTTGGTGAACCCTTTGAACCCCAGCTCCGTAGGACTGGTGGAGAAGGAGTAGGACGAAACTTCCGGGGAAAACATCAAATCATGGAGCGTATCATTGTTGGTGGATTTATGCGAATAGGGGCGCTTTGGGATTTCCATTAAAGCGATGTGGAGGGTGGCGCTGGTGAAATGTGTGTTGCAGCGTTAAGTGCGGGGTCTGAGCGTGAACGGTGAGTATGTATGGGCGGTAGATATACCACTGGATCCAATCAGAATAAAGACTTGGAGTCTAATTGGAATGGTGAGGTGGTAGGGTGAGCAGTTAAATTCAATTTACGTGGCGCCATAAGAGAGTAGAGGGGAAGATTACGGCGCCTAAATATTTTGATAGGAGCAAAGCAAATTCTTACCAGAATAATAGAAGCGCGAAACTCCCGCAGGCTCTGACTCTGAATTCGCGACGCACCTCACTTTTTCGCCCCCCCTCCTGGGCACAGAGCGCCTGTCATTCATCGCCCGATTACGGCACGCCGGAATTAAGTTTACTCCGCTCGTGTTAGCCAATGGGACGATTACACCGCGATCCATTCCATCCACTTAAATACCAAAGACTGAGAAGAATACCGTAGACTAAGAAGAATACCGTAGACTAAGAAGAATACCATAGACCAAGGTTTCTACTTTAGGGGTAATGCATACATTCCTTTTAATTATAAATGCATTGGGGCCGAGGAAAGCCCGTTGGTGTAGGCGTGTTGCTAGAGGGATTTTGATTCCCGGTTGACGGGCCGTTTTTTCCACCAGCACGCAAGGTGCATGTATAGTATTACAGGGCCTGTCGCGCGTGTCTGACTGTCATGTTAGAGAGCGTGATATAGCAACACACAAGGAAGACGGTCAACTCAATAATCTCGCTTATCTTGTGCTATATATATATTGGACATTAATAATATATACTTGACGTAAGTCACATAGGCTGTTACTCTGAAAAAGGTTGGCCGTCAAGAAAAAGAGTAGCCCGATAATTAGAGAGGGTCCAGCTGCAGGGCCGTGGACCTTGAAACATGGAATCAAGCGGTATATGATCAACTCGGTGTGACAGGGATACATTATCTGCAAACTGCTGTTATAGGAATAGGATATCAGAAATTCAATCGTATTTGTTGGGTGTGGCTCCCTTTAGAACGGCAAGATTACGCTCGGATAGGCCCTCTGTAGCGTTAATAGAGTAAGAATTCTGCGACTCTTACATATATACTAGGAAGGTTCAGCACCACAGCCATCAAACCTGAAATTATTAGATTGGGTAATGTGTCTCCCACCAAGTATAAGACGTTTTAGATGCACCTAGGCACAATGCATTTATAATTAAAAGAAGTGTACACATTACCCCTGGAGTAGAAACCTTGGTCTATGGTATTCTTCTTAGTCTACGGTATTCTTCTTAGTCTACGGTATTCTTCTCAGTCTTTCGTATTTAAGTGGATGGAATGGATCGCGGTGTAGTTGTCATAAAAATCTATCGTCAAGAAAGAACCAATCCAATCATGCCACCTCAGCCTCTCCATAGGGCGCTATTTTGTAAAGGGCTATCTTTTGGTTTGGTCCCCAGCACGGTGTTACGTCCAACCGAAATATACTTATACCATAGGTGTACTAACGTAGGATCAAACAGGGTGAACGCTGTCGGTTAGAAATTCAGGTTGGGAAAACTGCATGGGCACTTTTTAGACTAAACCGCGCATTTCACCGCCGTATGTGAATGTCAGACCATGTTTTAAGTCATATGCACGCTTAAGCATGTGGGTTGACCCCGGTAAAAATCACTTCACTAGCCACTTCTAGAAATCTCGCGCGCCACGGAAAAAGTAAAAGTAGAGGGAATGCATACAGGATTAATTGCTCATCTCACCAGACAGTGTGAGATGTCAAGACGAGCAAATTAATTTCGCTCCATAACGATCCGGGCACAGGATATTTGCATATGCACGATCGGACTGGTCTTACATGATCATATAAATAGAGGATTCTCCTATGAGACATACGAATTCATATCGAACCATATCTACGATACAAAAACATAAAATGAAGCTCTTATCAGACGAAGAATCCACTGCCCACAGAAACGCCACGCTTATTGGTTGCGCCAAGGGTGCTGTCTTGGGTGCAGCTATTTCCACCAGTATTTTCACCTTGGGTGTCAAGAGATGGCCCGCTATTCGCAGATTGAATACTTCGATCAAGACGGCCATGTGTGTTATGCCCCCCCTTGCCTGTTTTTCGGTGTGGGGTGAGCTCGCATCCTTGGCGTTTGACGAAGATTTCTACCAGTCCGAGAAAAAGAGGCAGGATATGATCGAAGCACAGAAATACTGGAATGCCATGGATACCAAACAAAAGTGTATTCACACCTTATCCACTAACAGATACTCGATTCTCGGTGCTTCATGGGTCGGTTCTATGTGGGGTTCCTGGGCTCTTGTCAACAGAGATCCAATCATGACCAAAGCGCAGAAGATTGTTCAAGCCAGAATGTACGCCCAGGCATTGACCATTGTTTTGTTAATTGGGACCGTGTACTTGTCTATGTACGAAGAAGAGCATGGAATAAACCACGAGAATAATGACAGCAAGAATCAGTGGAAGAGGATCATTGCCGAAGCCGAAGCCAAGGGTAAGGCCAAGGCCGATGCTGAAGCTGCTGCCGCTGTCTAAGCCCGTGCACACCTCACCTATCCAATATCTCCAACCTCCGCTAACGATTGCTTCCATGACACTTCATGATCTCCCTGCATCATAATGACCCTGTCCACATAGTGTGCACTGCATACACACACACCTTTGCATGATGCCCGGCGCCTCGCCTTTCACTCTTACGACTTGACACGCTCTCTACCTTTTGTATAGATTGTATAATATATGAATTTCATCGCCAAGTCCAATTTCACAGGTCTATTACAAGTGCCCGAATTTCCCTCCACGGTGTAGACAAGACTGCCAGAGATATCAAATGAAACGACACAAGCTCTTCTACACTTCAATTCTTCTGTGGCTGAGGAGGGCCTGAGGCCGCGACCAACCATGAAGTAACGATTTAGTCAGCATGTCATCAACGAGGTATTTTTCTATCTCAAATAATTAGTTCCACATTCCCGAGGTCAAAAACACCCCGCAGATGACATGCCGCCTAAGTCGCCGCCAGGTATATGTATGCAGGGCAGCGATGATCGGCCTGCATCCGGTTTAGATTTCCGCGTTGATTTTAGGCACAGATACTCTCAGTTGACTGTCTTCTACACAACAATGTCAATAAAAGATGCAGTTTGTCAGCCATCAACTATTGTGGTCAAACAGCACATCCCATGACGTTGTGGGTGCACATATTTGCGCGATTCTACCGGCAAAAAATATTTCGCCCCTCCCTTGGTTCCAACCAGTATCCCCCATACATGAGTAGTGAAAATTTACCTATATCCGCACCATTTGTTAGTGTGTGGACAGCCCCAGGAAAAGACGAACTACCCGCGAGCACCTCGGACTTTTTATCAGCGCGGCTGCGTGCTATCCTACATCTCCCGGGAGGCCGGTGAGTATGTTCGAGCCGCCCGCGCCACCCGGCTTTCCCTAAAACCGTACACGCAGGTGGTGTAATGCGCCTCGTCTCGCCCCCTCAAACAGCTGATTCTGCCGCGAAACTTCGCAGCAAGCACCTTTAAATCACTCAGATTGACCACAAGCTGTGGCGAGTGCACTTTGAAAAAGAAACGACCGAGATACCAAACCTACAGCGATGGAACACACCGGCTCGAAAATCTAACGGGTCCGAAAAAGAAACGGCACCAGCGTATTTAAGCCCCAGCAACTCCTGCCCTTTTTGTGTCTTTTGTTTCTCTATTGAATTCAATCCAAACAATCTCAATTACAAATTATACATTCCCACAATGAAGTTAGTTTCTCAAGCTGAAGCCGATGCGCACTGGACCGCTACCGCTATTGGTGCGGCCAAGGGGACTTTCGTCGGTCTCGCGTTCTCCACTGCAATTTTTACCGTTGGTGCCAGGAGGTGGCCGGCGATCCGCAAGTTAAACACATCGGTCAAGGCGGCCATGTGGGTCATGCCAGCCGCGGCCCTGTACGCGTTGGGTGGTGAATTGGCCTCCACTGCGTTTGACCAGAAGATGTACCAGTCCGAACAAATGCACGAGGAGATGTTGCATTCACACCAGCACTGGGCCAGTTTGACCACCAAGGAAAAGGTTATCACCTCCTTGTCTGAAAACAGATACTCTGTTCTCGGTGCCTCGTGGGTCGGTTCTATGTGGGGTTCCTGGGTTCTTGTCAACAGAGATCCAATTATGACCAAAGCGCAGAAGATTGTCCAGGCCAGAATGTACGCCCAGGCGTTGACCATTGTTTTGTTGATTGGGACCGTGTACTTGTCAACCTACGAAAAGGACCACGGTATGGGCCCAAAAAGGAACTCTTCCAGAGTCCAATGGGAGAGAGTTCTTGCTCAAGCTGAGGCCAAAGCCGAGGCCAAGGTTGAGGCTGAAGCCGCTGCCGCTGCTACCAACTAAGAACGGCTTAGATTCACCCTGTCTGTCTGATTCTGCAACGCCCTAACGAACCCCTTGATACGTATAGATTTTAATATTATGTTTTCCATGAGCTTAATACCTCAGGTGGGTCTTCATTGGCCCGCACCATGTCGGGAATTGCTTCTGCGGCACGAACCGCATATTTGGAGGGAGAGAATAGGGTTGTCTCAAACGTCCACTAAAACAAACGTTTTCTTGGATATTTCGCTCGAATGGATTGAGATCTAGATAGTTCCGTATGTACTCAAATTATGCATCGCATGGACGTTTGTTTCTTTTTTGCACCACTGGGGAAACAGTATTTGTCGGCTGTATCTGTTGAGAGGATTAGATTTGAGAGGAGTAGGTTTGGGAAGACCAGGTTTGGGAGTTTATTTGACTAAAGGCATACTTAATGGAATGTTCTAGTCATACCATACAATGCAGTATCGTCTAAACGTATACTGGTAGCTGCGAGATATAACACATCCTTATCAGTCTAGATTAAGGTTGCTGGCAGCGATAGTAGAACAGATAATTGGCTATTCATAGGGACCTCTCTACATCTTTCAGTCGAGTTCGAGCCGGGCTGTAGTTATAAGATTAGTGTTTACGATGCACCCATAAACTGTATTGCTTTACGGTATAAGATTGGATTACTATGAAAGCATTGACAGCTTTGTAATGTATCGTAGCGTGGGAAGCTCAAGACCCCCCGTACTTTTGGTATTGCAAAATAATACTGATGGCTCATAAACGGATGTAAAGATCCATAGCTCCAGCGTTGTTATGTATCAACTGGCCCTTTCGGGTCTCGGGAACCAATTGAATCAACAATGGATTGTCAGTCTGGTGGAAGCACCGACAGTTCTATTCCTGAGCGGTTCCTGTCTCCTCTGATGTCTCACTGGATGCACCCTCGAGAATCGCATTCATTTTGGCCTCCAACTGGTCCAACATCTTCTCCATCTCGGCAGCCTTGGCCTCGGCCTCATTCAAACTCTTCAAGGCTTGGGAAAACTCCTGAGGGTTCACAGATGTTTCTGTCTCATCGGGTAAGCTAGCTTCGTTGGTCATGTTCTGATTTCGTAACAGTTAAAAAGACCCTCTATTCTGTCCCGAGGGTCATCCAGTAGCATATACACGGCAGCCTATCTTCAGCTATAGAGTATCAGACTGTGCCACGCACGTCTTTTACGCTTCTAAATTTGGAAATGTCGGGCGCTTGCCTCTTTTGGGCTGACTCAGTTCTGCGAGACCGGCACAGCTAAAAACCTGTTAGACGGTGAATCAGATACGTAAACCATAGATACCCCCTTGACCAGTGCTCCGCTATTCCCTGTTTCATCATGTCTGCCCCCCCTTTACCAGAAGGCTACGCGTTCAGAGCCGTCCAAAAGTCGGACTACACAAACGGCTACATCGAAACCTTAAAGGTGCTAACCACCACCGGTGACATTTCCGAGGCTCAGTTCCACAATTTGGTGCAGCACTGGGAAACCCACTCCCACATTTACAAGGCCCGGGCCATTACGGATGCCTCTGGGAAGATTGTTGCTACGGGCATGTTGGTGGTTGAGAAGAAGTTGATTCACAGCTGTGGCTCTGTCGGGCACATTGAGGACATTGCGGTGGCGAAAGATCAGCAAGGGAAGCAGTTAGGGAGGATCTTGATCGTGAGCTTGACGGCGTTGGCTAGGGACGCTGGCTGCTACAAAGTCATCTTGGACTGTTCTGAGCACAACAAGCCGTTCTACGAGAAGTGCGGCTACAAGCACGAAAGCTGCGCCATGGTTGTTAGATTGTAAACTACGGATAATATACAAATCACTTGATATTAAAATACAACTTTGGTATACAAGGCCCACGTTTTTAGATTTTCTCCAATGCTTCCACACTGACAATAGAGTTGCCCCTCACCACGACCGTGCCGATTTGGAGCTGCTCTTCCTTACTATCTTCACCCTCAGTCTTGCCTTTGGGCGCCGGGATGACTTGCACGCATTCACTTAAAGTCAAGTTCAAGAACACGTCGTAGCCTCTTAACGTACCGATGATCAGGCGGGAACCGTTTATGGAAACAGAAAGCTTCTTATCCATGTATTTCTTTAATTCTGGAGTCGAGAGCACCATTTTTTGTAGATGTGTATAGGAAAAGGAAGATGAATCGAAGACGGTTAAAGAGAGTATGGAAGATTACGAGTATGACAAACTGAATATGTACTCGATGCCCATCTCATCGTCTGATGTAAGAAAAAAGCGCTAAGTAAATCCTGCCTGACCACTGCACTACCTTTTCCAACCACTTTCCATTGTTTGGGTCAAAACCATGGGGTATCATTCTAGTTGTCGCTGCTTCCAGATACACAGTTTAAATTTGATCCCTATTTATTCCTTGTGCACATCCAATGAGTAATATCCCCGATATCACATCCATCTCGGATATTCTAACAACATCCCCACTTCAGTCCCACGCGGCTTCGCAACTTGGCGATGAGAATGTTCCTGCCAAGGAGAAGACTCCACTGCCAACCGCTCACCCACCTCTGGGCAGGACCAGAAGGTCCCATAGCGGCATTCTGACGCCAAAAGCCAAGAATCGAGGTGGAAACTCGGCCCTGGTTCCGTCTACACCTGCCGCCAGGTTGACCCAGAATTCCCCACGACTGAAACGGCTATCGCTTTCCGCAACTCGTTTATCATCTAAAGCTGCCACGGAGAGGAATTCCACCACGATAAGCAACAGCCCGGACAAAAGTCAAGATGTTCAGGATAAACACGTTCAAGACCAAACGGAAATTGTCAGTCTTTCGGAAAAGAGGCGGAAGTTGATGGACGAGCGCAAGGCCTTACTTGCGGAAAATGAAAGCCTAGAAGAAAAGATTGCAGAGTTCAAACGGGGGCACTCAGAGGTGAAGAAACTGCAGTTACTTGAAAGTAATGATGCTCAGTTTAAAGAAAAATATACAAAGTCACAGGGGACAGATAAGCCCAATGGACAACCCCTGGAGGAAGAAAATTTGCTACTTAACCTTTCCGCCAAACCGTCCACGGACCTTGCCAAAAGGGTTGCGTTTGCCAAGGCATTGTATGCGGATCTACTGGTTGAGAACCTCCAATCGCACGAAACGGTCAGAGACGAGGGGACGGTGAAGATTCAGCAGTTCACGTTGTGTTGGAACAAAATGTTAAAGGTTCGGCTGAAGATTAGTGTGGCAATGTTTAAAGCCAGCAGCGATCTGAACGGAACCACCAGACCGCCCCAGATCACAGGCATCGAAACTACCTTTGTCAAACCACACCAGTTTTTCCACACAATCAACAACAGTACTGCGATCTCTCGTGTGTCGTCTTATGAGGAGTTCATTCGGGTCCAGGCAAAGGCAAACAACTTGCCAAACATCATATCCATGATCAACAACGTTGTCACGCTTCTCAAGATGCGGATGAACTTTGTGTACCACATCCTCCATGGATTCTTCGTTCCAGTATCCTCCCCACGGCGCATCACGGTGAACGACGAAGAGCACACGTTGTTGTACCAGCGCATTCGGAAACTCCGTAACTCTTCTCATGCCACGGATATCACCAAGTTGCTTACATTGCCTCTCTCCATTCCGCTAAAAAAGGTAAACCAAGTTACGCTTTCTTCGTCTCAGAACCCCGGGACGGAGCTAGTGATTACGTGGGATATTGTGCTTGTTGATGATTTGACAGGTGAATGCGGCTCTAAAATCGAGTGCCATGCGTTAAACACCAAGACCGGTGCGATTGACAGCCTTGATGATTTGCCGGAGACTGTGGACGGCAATGTCAACCAAGCGTACCAGACAATGATTAAGAAGTTAGGGGTTACGCAGGGTTCCATCAAATTTGTCCAGAGCTTTTACGGCGGAGAGTAGGATGAAGCTCTTCACTCCCAGGGCAATAGTTAAATAGACAGTAAATTTCTTGCCAACTATTTTTAGGTTCTTGTGGCTTTTGGTAACTTTTTCAGATCTGGAGGATCCCATAATACCGATTATTGTCTCAGCTTATCTTCCACACTAAGTATTTACAGCGCTTTTTCAACCGTTATTCAGTTGGGCAGATACCTTATAGAGAGTTCTACCGTGTATCCCCAGCATTGCATATCCATTGAAATGTAATTCTACCCGCGACTGGATTAATTTTTTTTCTGGTTCATGGAAAACTGCAGCTCTTGGCGCGGTTGTAAATACTTATCCCCAACTTTAGTGCTCTAATTGATAAATACTCATTTCCTCTTCCGCAACCCCAGAGTTACCCCACTCTACTTTT